CAGTACACCTTTCATCTTTCTAGACTGTATGCTAGCTCTTCTGTGAACATCTATAGCTTCGGGAATATCCTTTCTCGTTTAGTGAGCAAGGAAGCTATGAAAAATATAATATTACTTTTAGGTATAGAGTACATCTTTCATCTTTATGGACTGTATATGCTAGCTCTTCTTCGTTTCATTTACCTATGTGCTCCGCTAAATCTGACGTATTAAAGCTCTTGTATATTATATATCCAGCTAGGCTGTTACATATTATCCCCTAATCGGGCTATCCTTGAAGAGCGTTGCGAAAATCCTGTACTATATCTATAATAGGTAACATGTTCTTGACGTTTTCAAAAGTGTATGGTATCACGATTATTTTAAGATAAGAAAAATGTCGCACTCCACTTCTCAAGTGTGAAACCGGCTTAAAATGTTTGAAGGAGTTTGTTTTGGGATATTTTTCTAGACCAGTCATGCATATACGACTTAATAAAGTCCGTTATGTTCTGTGTAAACAACTTGTAAGCATTTTGGATTACGAAACGCGCTAGTTGCATATAGCTGTTGCATGTATAGGTGTGAATTATACGAATGTTCAATTTGTGCATTCGAATGTTATTTCTAATGTGAGTTATGTCGTTTCTCTTCTGCGATTCATTAAACGTGTTTGTACTCCTTGTTTATGGTGATGATATAGGAAATCCCATCGTAAGCGGCTGTTTATTCAACCACTCAGACCAGCCGTATGAATATATAACATCGGTTAATGCATGACCATGGACTATGATACCAATATAAGTTCTAGAATAATGTATCTGTAATCAAGATCAGATTCCAAGCGTATGATTGGTTGTTTTGACCAGTTGGCGAAAGCTGTTGGTTATAAGCAGGTCTATGCATGCACTATAGTCTATGTTGATTGCTTATTCAATAAAGTCGTTTACCAGCGACCAGACAATAATCGTTGATCTCAGACCAGATAGGGGCCTACAGTAATTCAAGACGAACGAGAACCAAATCCTGAAATCTTCAGCCCAATGGAAAAACCCTATATACCTATATGCGTCTGCAAAGCATCATGTAAGAACTCGCAGACTTCTCTTTTTTCACGCCATGTTACATGCCTTGGGGAGATTCAGAGCTTAAGCCATAAGATTATGACGTTTATTCGTAATCCTAATTGTATCCTCCCTGACGCTGTCTCGACATTTTAACAATCGGTGAAATCGCCCCCTTGACAAGTCGCGAATGGAAGGTGTACCTCACCGCAACAATCGCTTTTCAAAAGGGCGTTGAACCCCTGGTGTTACGTTGATTGAACAATGACTTAGAATTGTTCCTTGACTATTTCGTACCGATCGAGACATTTATTATTTCCAACTAAGTTCTGTACTCAAGCAGATAATTGTGATTTCAGTTAAATTTCATTATAAATATACATTGAAAGGAGAATAGTATAAGTTATGCTATGACAATGCTGTTAAATTATAAAAAATATGCTTTACTGAAAATGCTAAACACTGCATTTCAAGCGCTTCTGAATGTATTCATTGGTCCGGCTCTCAGTAATATTTATATATTTACATGAACATCAGTTATGTTGAAATTTTGCTGAGCGCAAGAAATCCAATATTATAGAACTGTAATTATTGTCCAACTATAGAAATGTATATCATCAAAGTAAACATTTGTTTTGAGATGTTTCTATAAGAGGAAGCGATCGATTTACTCATGGTTCCCAAGAGGACTGAAAGGCATTCATTTTATTTCATTTCATTTTTATTTCATCAAGCAAAAAGATTTGTTTTCACATTCCTGATCGAGATTGCATGAGAATCAGGATCTGAGGCGGTTTCCTCCAGTTAATCAAAGCCTGTGGTGTGACGATCCAGAGTTAATTATATAAAGCTAAACCATAGATATTGACAATTGGGGAATAATTTTAAATTGAATAAGACTCTGAGAGATACCAGTGCAATACAATAAAGACTGGCCGGTAATTTAGGTTGAAATTAAATATAAAAGATCAATATAGCCTAAGTGTATGTACAGGTTCAGACGAACAGACAGCAAACATCGTTCGTCTGCTTCTATCACCATTATAAAACACAAAAGCTTTTTCATTTCGGGAAAATGTTGAATATTGTTGCACCATGCACGTATGAAAGCATGTCTATCACAGTCAACATCTGTGAATGAAAACCTGCTTGTTTTCAACGAAATTTAATTACGTCAGGCCTGTTTTAATCGTCGACCATCTATTTCATGCAATGGAGTAATTCTTGTAAAAAAATAATCGTCACGACACTTCTAGTTATCTACAGCCCAGTTATAAACGAATCAATTATGTCTCAACATTTGAACAAAGGACTGCTGAGCATGTAGAGTATACAGCTATTATATGTGTCACCATCAGAACAACGCACCAAAGTATAAAAAACAGCAAGCCTAAAAATACTCAAATCTGTATCACGTCTTCTCAAGACCACCGATTGGTATCAGCCACGTGCATGGCATGCCCTAAAGCCCCGTTTACACCACACTCAATTTATTTGCTAAAATGGGTACCCATTTCCAACTTAAAAGCCCAGTTTTATCCGAATCGATTATGTCTCAACATTTAGACAAAGGACTGCTGGACATGTAGGCTGCAGCTATTATACGTGTCACCAGACGAACAGACGTGCTCGTATAAAAAAAGCAAGCAACAAAAATACTGAATTCCGCATCATTGAAATCATTGAAATCGTTCATGTGCAATTGTGCATTCTCTGCATGAGCGAGTATGAATTCCATTCCAGATCATTTGAATTCTTTCTACGTGAAACGAGTTGTTAAATCCAGGTGTCGGGTCCAGCATTTTCGCCGACTGCATGATGTGATATTTTGAACCATACTCAGCAACGCTAATGGTCCATATTCGACCTAACCAATGTCGAATTCACCAAATTCCGGTATATTCGACCCTATCAATGTCCAATATACCATATTCCAGTACATTCGACCTTCGCTATTTTTTAATGGTATTTTACTCAGTACCTTTCCACAAACTGATCTTATTTTTTTACCAATCTCGTATTTAATTTTTTGCGTTTGTGATGTTTTCACTGATGCATTCTCATTAGTCTAGAACCGCCCTTGCCACATGTGCATTATTATTTGCATGTGTTGAATTCGAGTACCCGAATAATGATAACTATCTTCTACTGGAATTTTAAGAATCGTTAAATCTTCATCGCGATTATCTGTGAAATTTGCAGGAAACCTGAACTGATTTTAATTCCAAGATTCAAGCTAGAAATTTCTTAGAATTTTATAAGTCATCTATGCATGTATAAAACAGTATCAATTAGCTCTACAAAGACTGTGATATTTTTCAACTTTCCAGCATGCATGCACTGTTAATAGTTATAACTCGTGAGGTTTTACAACGGGGCTTTTTTTCTTAAGGCTTATAGCTATAGGGCCGAATCTTTTAAAAGAGGAGAAAGGAATGCTAGGAAATGGGAAAGGAATACTATACTCGACAATATATTCGAAACTAAGTATCTATAATTCGTTTTTGGAAATAATAATTCTGGTGGAGTTGAGTGAAGAGTATATAACAGTTTTTATTTTGTAAATAGTTAATAATGTGCACATGCACCCGTCGTGGATATCAGCGTAATGACTCCAGTGTGTCCAAATAAAGTTGACTTATCTGTCCATGCATCTACCCATTTACGTCGCCATCAGGTTGCCTCTCCGCCGATAGTTTTGGAGTATACTCGCTCATTCATTCAGCGATATATCGTTAAAAGTAATCAACTTCCATATGAGCCAAACGTAAATACGCGTTGTACATTCTCGGGTCGGCTTAAGATAAGAACAAGAGAGTGGTTAATGGATGGTTTACATCGATAGCAACTGGCTTAAACACAAAAATATGAAGATTTGATCGACGTCAATTTTCTTTCGTAATTCGTTATATATATATATATATATATATATATATATATATATATATATATAATTATATATATAGATTTGTATTTACGTAAAATTTAGACGCGCAGTTGGGGGATTAGCCTGGCAATAATCTCTGATTAGCATGTTTAGCGAAACAGGTTTACGTATTTATTATTGCTGTTTTTTATGTGAAAAGCAAGCACAAAACAAAATCTTAATGGATATAGCAATGTCTTTGAAAGCTTTGCGAAGTAGCTGTATATGTTTGCTCTCTGCTCATACGATGTTGTTAAGCTGGTAGCGTCGAATAAACACCGGTGAAAACAGACCTGTATTTACCTAACATATATCATACGCCATTGCAAGTAACTGGATAATCACTGCTAAAGTTAATTGGGCAACCTATCCTATCAACGACCCCCTGTCTCAAAGCACTCTGTACCCTATTATAGCCGGAATTACGATACGCAAATGAGAAACAGCTATCCACAGGTGACACAGTATACTTTATTTCATTCCAAACAGCGCTACGACATCGACGTTTCTAGCCGTTTAGAGCTGTCGATATGGTTCGTTTCAGAACGGCATCGCGTTAATTTTTCATCCGTTTCTTTTAGATCTCATTCGCGTGCTTCGAGATTCTGCGAAAAGTTAGAAAAATCCACAACTGGCGACAGATATTGATTGGCAAGGTATGTTTTATTGGATATTTTTATATGATAATTGTTTCATATTGCTTGTTAACTTATGAAACAACCGTTTCAATTTGTCGGCCGTTTGGACTATACATGTGATGACCATGCGAAAGATATACTTATATCCGATTGTTCGTAAGCAAAGATTACTCTCCGCTAATCAGCTTTTGTGTATGGGTCATATATATTGCTATAGACATTTCTATATCAATCATTATATACCATGCAGACAGCCGAACCCCGGCTACGGGGTAATGTTTCCTGAGTTCACAGTCGTTTAAATTTATTATTTTATGCAAATATGTATACCCTCTTTTGCCGGCACAGTTCCTGAAAGAGGAAAGCGAAAACATATGTTTACGGTGACACTGGTTTGAAATCTCGATAAGTTATAACATTGTTTGGGCCGTTCATGTATTGTTTTCAAACATATTTTAAATATATATGTATGTATATCACAAATAAACTTTGTTGTAATGGCGAATGTATAGAAACAACTTAAACATCTGGCAATGGATCTATAGCTTCGGTCGCCATGCAGAAGAGAAAATATAAAACAACTTCAAAGCGTTTCCATCCAACAATCTATTTACAACTTGTCTAACTACTTGAAATGTATAAGCGCTGGTTGCCTGATGGATTGCCTCGACCTGTGGTGGTCCATTGTTGTGCAAAAATACTCGCAGTCTATGTAGCAGGTGGAAGTGCGTACTTGCATGTGCTTTGACAAACAAGCTATCATTGCATCGGGGAGGTTTAAGATTTGTAGAAAAGAGGGTTGGGAAATCATTGCTTAAGGGGCCAAGGGTGAAGACAAAAACGTCTGAGGCATTGTTTTGAAGGAATTTACGAGCGAATTACTTGGTTTCCCAGCGCGAACTATGTCAATACACATTACAGCCTTATGAAAACAACTTCATAATTGATGAATGTTTTTGAAAATGCACGAAATCACTGCGATAGAAGTCAAAGCTGAGCAAGTCTGAAAAATACATCACGATATATACGTCTTGTTCTCACGACCCGAACTATTAGACAAAACTGCCTTGCGATTAAAAAAATGGTGCAACACTTCGAGGAATCGAGGTATGTGAGTGATGTGATTGATTGCTTGACTGCATGCGTAGATCTCCTGGAGTGAGATCTTAGCCTCGTTGAAAACTGTGTAACTTTAAACATTTTTGTCAGTGGGAAATTCCTGCGGACAATATCAAATATGTTATAACGCTATATCGGTACATAATATGGGCAAACTGAATAATCGAGAACTATTTTATGTGCCTAAAATTAGTACAGCGGTTATATTAACGCAAAAGTTGCTCAGCGATTATACATGATGATAAACATTCCTAAAATTGATGTTATCTTATGTACTGATAAAGATATTTATGTGTATCGTGTTGTTTTTAACCCTCGTATAAATACAGATTGCGTTGTCCAAAAATGTGTTCCCTATAAGAGCAAAATTGCCGCTTTGTATACGCAGTTCTTAGAAAGCGTCCTATGATATGAACGATTTTTTATACAGAGCGACTGCGAACGTTGAAAAATCAACTATTTTCTTGTTCTCGTGCAGTCATCATATGAGAGAATCTCCATCAGTGTTAATACATGCAGTAATAATCTTAATTGATGCATGCATGGTCTGTGTATGTATCTATGTTTAAATGGAGTGGGGATTTGGGCATGTGTCAATAGCTCCACACGCTTAATGCCGAGCTTTTTATCTGAGCCAGATGAAATGTGTTCACAGAAATTCATATAGACAACCATATAAGTGAGGATTAACTAGATTGACTACAACTAATGAATATAACATTTCGTGAATAACTGCGACAAAGTGTGCTCTTTTATATTTGAGATGGTTTTTGATCCGTCGCTTAGACATTTCATATAAATAGAACACACAAAGATATAGCAGAACCCTTTTAGATGCAATTATCAACTTCAACTTCCATGCAGTGTAAGAACAACAACACCGCGAGTTAATGCAAGCTCGTTCTAATTTGGCCTAATTGTCTTAATTGCTTGATTTGAACTTGCAGATTAATGTTTAATTAACTCCAGTGGCACGTTAACACACCACATCTAAAAGGCTACCCTTGATTTTAGCCTTGTTCTAGAGTGAAAAGTGCAAGTCAATATAAAGACACTCCTAATGTCGACATTATCTTGATAAAAGATAACAGACTTCATTCAACGCCCTGTATAGAAGCCAATATTTATTTACTGTGATATGTGATAAGGTTTTGAAGTATATACACAAAGAATACTGAATACCTTGTGGTAAAGTATTCGGCAAGTTATTAAACTTTAATCCAAATTGACAGTGGACAAATAAACAAAGCATTAGAATTCATTTGTCACAATTTTTTTCATGGTAACACAATACACTTTTAAAAGAGTACTTCACATGTCACAACCATTTCAGTTTAACAGAATACACTTTGGATTAATACCAGGGTGAATGAAAGCTTTCAGGTAAAAATATGCGGTAGAAAGTAATTGTGTTAGTATAAAAAGATAGTCAACTCTTATATTAGAAGCGATGCCGGTGAAAGATTACGGGAATCATGCATAAGATCGTGTTGCTTACAACGCTTAGTCATCTCAGTGAATATATACCTTCGTTGGAATGCAATACAGAATTAGTGAATAGTGAAATTATAGCGCATGCCAAGCAGAATTTAAACTCACTGGAAACAGTTCCCTAAAATAATTGACCATTTGATTGGATTTTAAAAGATGAAATTTCTGGTGAAATTAGACGAATGCATGTATTCATAAAACTCTGCATGTTACAATTTATGGATACATTGCGATACAATTTATAGAAACTAGATATATAATTGTAAATCCTGCGTCAGGTTAGGTTGATGATGATATTCGAGTTGTGATGGCATCATTTTACAATAGGTATCAAATTAGATTGCTTGCATTGAAATTTCACCAGTTGTGTAAAACCGAACGAAATAATTGCCGGCGATTGAAGTTGTTGAAGATTAAATAATTCATCACATGCCCTCGCCTCCCGCTAGTGAATCGCAATAAAAATATTTTTATAAAGGTTGATTGCGCACAGAAATTGATTAGGATACATCGCATCAATTATACATTATAGCATGATTATAGTCGCTTGCATGTCGAGATAGCCGTGTCTAGTCGCTGATGTGCGTGCCCGCTTGATTTGACAATTTTCATTTAAAAATTTATATTAGTAATTTTTTGTGTAAATATTCTAAGAAAACGTGTAGACTCCCTAATCAAAATATCGATAAAAATATACTTTTGCTCTAATTGTAGTAGAATGTATATGTCGGGAGGAAAATATTCAAATTTTCAACGATTTTATATTTACGTTCTGTTTAGAATTCATGCATTCATGTACGAGGCTATATGCATGCATAAGGCTTGCAAAATGTGTTTAATATATTTATAGGCCGAAAAACGCGAAACAAAATTAAAATTTAATGTCATTACGTGTGTGTATTTAACCTATCACATTTAAAGGCTTGAGAAATTAAAGTTTTCGTGTATCTAACGCTTTTTTTCTTGTAAATTGCTTGGAAACCGTGCAGGTATGCTTTTTATGCGATGTGCAATTCTCCATATTGCGGATTCTAATGATAATTTTTCTTCGGTCGTTCTCAAGGGGAATTTGAGGTTGCCATAACTTAAAGTGCAAACCTTTGTTTATCTAACCTATAGAGAGCTCAAAGATTTGCCTAGAGGGATCTGCTCAACTAGATCGAGTGCTTGTTGAAATTTGAAGAGGGTTGCATTTGCCGTTCGTCGCATCTCTAGAAAGATGTCGAACTTTTCCAGCACAAGCGGCATAACTCTCGAACCGAGCGAGACCACGAAAATTATTAACATCTTCAACTATCTTCTTTACACATTAATCCTCGTGCTTGGCGTTCCTGGAAATATTCTAGTGGTCTGGTCGCTTCTCTCTGTTCGAAAGGAGAAAGTAAATAAAAGTTACAAGATACTCGTGATAAATCTGGCCATCAGCGACATTGTAGTGGTTCTGGCTACGTGTCCATTTCAAATAGCCGAGTTGATCTTACTAACTTTTCCATTCGGCCGTGCGATGTGCTCTATCCTGTGGCCTCTGCAAACAGCAAGTTACGGCGCTGGGGTGTATAATATGGTCTCCCTAAATGTCCACAGATATTACGTGATATCCTACCCCACAAGCAGCCGAGCGCTTGGAAGGATTACGTGTTTTGCTGTTGCGCTGTGCTGGATGGTGCCAACGCTTATTACAGCGTTACCTTACGCGATAAATCTTCAATACACGCCTGAGGAGTCGTTATGTGAAGAAACTTGGGGTGATCATACTGCTCATAGCTACACAATCTACCTCTTTTCTGTGCAATACATCCTACCTCTGTTTGTTATTGCCACATTGAACCTGTTGACAATACGACGACTTAAAAGGTATTGTGTTTTTTTTTCTATATATATACCAACTTAGAGATTAGATCGATATTTTTTTTATCTTTTTTTGTCCTGTTGTAATATTGTAGTTTGACGTGTTTTTTGTTTTGGCACAAAACTTCATCGATTTACTATGTTCTGTACTATGGCAAAGCACTTATCCGTTTTCCGTTACAACCAGCCGAATTGTTTTCTCGTTATCAAATTCTCAATTCATTATGCTTTCTGCTTTTTAAATTTCTTTTTAATTGATAATTGTTGCTACCGCGAAGGTAAACCGTATATTGGTTTGTTTGATGCACGATCTTTTTAGATATCTGTTGACGGCAATCTTTCGTGCAAAAGATTTTAATGGTTTTTACTGTTTGATTTGCGCCTAAGCACTGACTAATGTCTTTTTAATTAACTGTTGTTTATCCATAAATCATTAGTCTGGAGGTACACCGCAAAGCTTTTGGTCCGCAAACCCCCGGGGTACGTGTGCAATACGTGATGTACTTCCAATCTAATAGTATTGTTGCTCCACATGCAAACTTGCAAAAGTATCGCGATAGTATTCTGGTTTTTGTCAGGCTGCATTCAGACTTGTTGCCCAGGGAATATGTATGATACGGAGCGCGTTGTACTACTACCTTTAAACGTAGGGTCCATTCTTTAAAAATCGCGGTAAACAGAACGCCAGGTCTGAACGCACCAACACTTATATTTCTTAATAATTTCCTGTTTTTCCTCGTAATGATTGGGTGGTAACAAGGAGCGATTTTGTTTTGAACTAATATGCGAATTTTGGCATTTTCCAGACTAGGGCAATCAGAATGCTTAAATTTGCAATACTTTATGTGAAATGGCAAATAACTATGTACCTTTTATCCTGAGGTAGTCAATATTTATGCATTCTGATTGAGTCAATGAAAATGTAAACAAATTTGCTGATTGGTTAAAAACGAAGTCCTTTCTTGTTGTCGGCGATTCATTGCTCCGTTGTTGTGTGCTTTTTGCTTCGCACAACAACCACAACAACTTATCTATTGACAGTTTCGTGTCTTTGAAACTTCTAGACGTTACATGTTCAGGGTGAACTGCGCCCGTCTCTCAGACGACAACCTTCAGGCACACAAAAGAATAGTGAAAATGCTTCTTTTTATCATCGTCATTTTCGCATTGTTTGGTCTACCAGGACAGATCATGTGGTTACTGCCGGCGATCACAGAAATCAAAGACGACTCCGATTATTTATCGATACGTTCACTCGTTGACATTTTCAACTTCATGTACTGCGTCCTGAATCCTGTGCTGTTTTTCACCTACAATAAAGAATGTTTTGACAGACTAAAGAAATTTCTAGCTTCGCTGTTCTCCTGCTGCGTTAAATATCACTGGGAGATTTCGTCGCCGATCGGAACGAGTCGCCACGACGCGGTGACGAATCTGCTGCCCGCATCGCGGACATCTTATAGTCAGGACACGAGCGGGAGCGACGCCCCGCGGGCTGATTCAAGATACGCGCCCGCGCTACCAAAATGCTTACTGGCGAAACTTGATGAAGGCTCCTCGAAGGGGACCGCTGATAAAGTCGATAAACAGGTGCCCGATGCGCTTTATTCGTCGCTTACCGGACTTTATACCCCGGTTGTTAGTTGCCATGGTAGTAGTGACGTTGAAAAGCGAACAAAAAGCTCGTCCCAGATTGTTAAAGTGGCTGGTGACGAGGAGATATTTCGGGGAAGTTTTGTGGAGTTGTTGAGAACTAGAAATATTACCAATGACTTGATGAAGTGTTTGGAGCAGTCGCCAGAGACGGCCATTGTTGAAGAAGGCGTGCTTGAGACTGGACATCATGTATTATAATTGCTTACATGAAGTATAGTTTAAATATTCAAAATATCATAATTTGTAAATAATTTAAAAATCAATATACATTTATGACTGATTATCTAAGAAGATTTCGAATCAATCACTCACCAACTCGTCTAGAACCGACGACTAGTTATGATTGGAAGGATTAGTTGTAAACGATTTTCATCCTGGCGTATGTGATAGAATGAACATGCGTGAAAATTATCCTAAGCGAAAAAACCATTGAACTAAATAGATATTTGGTTACCTCCCTCTCCACGAGATTGAACACGTGCGGTTTAATACGCCATAACACGCGTTATTTAAAGGTAGCCTCACTATCTATTCAAGTTCAATGGAACATAAACATGTGACATCAGCACTTGTTTCCATCCGTCAGAATGACAATCGAGTACAACTGATCGTATCGTGATCGATCTTTAATGATGAAAAAATCTTCGTCAGCCTTCAATGAAATTTATTGGTGTTCTATCTATTGTCATTTATGGTATTAATGGTCCTTGTTCAACATCGCCCAAGCAAATGTTCCTCTTGAAACATCTCTTTTTCGCTTCAATAGTTTGTCTTCCAGCCGCGTTAGTAGCCAGTCCACCAGGCTCTCCCTTTGAAAGGGAGTGGGGACTAAGGAAGGTATAGTAAAGTCTAAAGTTACATATGAATGTGTTGGTGGTTGTAATTGAATGACGTCAACTGGTGTTTCTACAGGAATGTTTGTTCGAGATTTGCCTCACAAAACTCGTTGATAGGTTCACAAAATTAATATGGACCATACTTGCGGCTTAGAGAATACATTTTAGAACTCAATGACAATATGACGAAAGTTTCCGAGCTTTCCCGAGGCGTCTACGAGCACATCCGACTTCGAACCGTAGGGAACAGCATCATTCTACACCGCAGACAATATATCTGCCGTTCCTGAACCAGTCCTAACTCGATACCTTGTCGAATGTGATGATTTCTGTTTGAATCTTAGTAAGTATCCAAGCTTTCCAAACGAATATTCGCCGTTGTATACAAAAAATATGAGAGGGTTCAGCGCCGAATTCGCAAACACAAATAACTCGGATACTTCTAGTATTCTGTACCATTTTTCCCCACCATCCGAGAAGGTGACCGCTATCCACGCCAGTTGCCCTGGAAACCAAAAAACAGCAAATACTACCACGATGCAAATGAGCATGCGCACGACGTTGTTGTGACGTTCCAGGATGACGTCATTGATGATTGCGCAATTCTCTCGATAGCGGTCATGCCTGTAAATGTGAGATTCATGATTGTGAAACCCATATACTTGCATATCACAGTCAGACGGGCTCTATTTGGTTTTACGTGTCTTTGAAAGCACATAAATAACAGCATTGTTGTTATAGTGGAATGGTTAAAGCACAATCTACATTCTTACTGACCTCTTTAATTCCACCACAGCGCGCCCGTTACACCAGGTTATAACAGCCAGAGGACCGATATATTGTATCACTGTTAAATAAACTGTGAAACAACGCTTGAAAACGTCCGGCCAAGACTCCAGGCATCTTTCATTTTGGTATTTCAATGCTATTCCAAGTGGAATTGCAGCTAAAACGATCGGTAGAAACCACAGACTGAACACAGTTAAAAACAACGTCAAGTTGTGGCCTTCCTGCGGCTCCTCGGTGGGACGAACTATCATGAAATATCTCTGACAGCTCAGTGTCACGACGGTAAATATCGCTGTCATGGCGGCCGTCGTTTGAAAAGGCATCAGTAGCTTACACAGAGCAGCGCCGAATGGAAACTGTGGCGCGTGAAGCTTCTCCACGAAGGTGAAAGGAATTGAGGAAACTACGAACACAATATCAGTCGCGGCGAGGTTGAACATCAAGCAAATATAGAGCCGTGATGAACGACGGAAATGGTGCTTTAACGCAATAATGAGCGCCACATTACCAACGACAGACACAATCAAAATCAACCATGAAATTGTCGCCGTGAAAACGTGGGTGCTGTTCATCCTATATAAAAGAGAAAATTGATAGATTGTTTTAATAAAACATCACAGTTTCCTTGTGTGAAGATACTTCACATGAAGTCAAATTGTCATTGTACAAAACAAGCTGAAATTAAAGATATCCAATGGACCGTTTAATAAATTATACCTTGCTGTATAATAATAATTACTGAATACCTGAATGCGATTTGACGTTTTGGAAAAACGAAAAGATCTTTCGTGAAGTTTCCTCATGCATGCGCTACATCATATATCAAAACCGCGCGTTCAATCGTGAGTGCTCTAACCTGATTTCGTTTGAAATCTATGACTGTGGTTTTCGTCTATTTGTAGTTACCTTTGTTATCTACACCTCCAATCTATCGTGTTATTCGCATTTCAAAACAAAGGGCCCATGCTGTGTCGTTACGATATTGCACTTTATTAAAAACCATTTCATGCATGTTTACTTTTCCACCGTTATATATACCTACGTAAGTTAATCATAATATCCATGAATAAATTGATATGTTTTCAGCACAAATAACTGTAGGAAGATATATATACGTGCATGCACACAGTTCATTATAATATAAAGTGAGGCCACTTTTGTTTTCAAAAACCTCACTCGTGTTTCAAGTAGCTACAGGCATAATTTTCATATACAAAGATATGATCATTATTAAAACTATATAGGAGGAGATTTGCGTGTCTACTTTAGTATATGTTTGCTCGCAATGTTTGAGTAACATCCCATTTATACCAGCTGTTTTGGCAACGTATATATATATTTGGCGTCTATGGAAGATACATTATATGATTTGATATTATGAAAAGATATTACAGCTAGAAATATTATCTATGGCTACAGCAGAGCATTAAATATTTATATCTCCGATTAAATATCTTCAATCTTATATTTTTTCCGCTGTTTAAAAATGCATGGAATACAGCGGTTCTTAACTTAATGTTTGAAATGCGTGTTCGTATATACAGATTAATATCTCTAATGAACATTGATTGAGAGGGAACTCGTCTCCTATATATTGATGTATAGCCACAGAATGTTCACAATATCACACTTCCTATAACTGCAAATACGCTTTTCTAAAAATAACTTTTCAATTATATATATATACTTTACTTTACCTATCATTAAAATTTAAACCATACTCCAATAATAATCTACCGCGCGCATACAAGTCCGATGTCAGCTTCGCATGAAGCATTGAGCGCGTTGGAAGTTAGAGATAAGCCATATGCGTGTGTTTCCATAATTCATTGATCAACTCCTCATGCACGCAAATTCAGATGCTTTTTTACGTCGCGGGGTTACGAGCTATATATAATATTAGGCCCTCCTAATTTAATTGTATTTCATTTCGTCAAAACAAGCCAAGACAGACCCAACTGATTACAATATTGAATTGTTAATCCTGTTAGTTTTGTTACAAGACCATCGAAAAAATATCACGCCGCTTTTTTATTGCCGAAAGCCGGTTCATCTGCCTCGAAATTTTACACAATTTGAAATCTACAAAGTTAATTTTTTCGTATACTGTATATACTTTAAATAAAACATTACTTCTTCTTTATGATATAGATGCATATATTTAACTTCTGAACCTGCATGCATGGGTATAAACTTCTGGTAGCATATCACAACTTGGGTTTTGATTAGATGATCCAAGCGGGCAGGACTAAGGTGTAGGCGTGTAGCTACAAAAAACAGCGACGGCGGTATATTTAGAACTGGTCTAAATGATGCCAATCATATAAGGGCAATCAGCAAACTTTATAATCTCGTGAATAAAACAGTCTTAAACTAAAGATTCCAAACACATATAACATCACACGCTGCATGAGTTTTGTGAAAATTGAAATAGCAATAAAAAATAGAGTTTTAAGGTCTAGCTAGTGCCCCTTTTCAATCGATACAAACTGTACTATACCTATATAGTAATCTATATAGAGTTACCATGCCTCATTCATTGCACATCTGACGCGTTAATTGGGATTGGAAATCTCGTAGCTATATATAGAGGATGTATATAATTACCTATTTACATCGTAGTGGGTCTCGAGGTAAACTGCTCTCTCAATAGGTCTAGCGAAGACCAACCTTCGTGGGCGATATCTTGAGGGCGTATCACTCTGAAAATCTTTTACTGAACCTTGTCTGAGAAATCACTAAATAAAGAGGCGTCAAAAATCCACGTAAAATCCCGACAAAATCCCTAAAGATTACCAGATATAAAGTTACCAGTAAAATTCGCAATGAAAACCGTAATTTCTCCTATCAGAGATACCTATCACGAAACTAATCTGTCTTAAGATCAAAACGGATGATCAAAATATCGTAAGCGTCTTTGGAGCGGTGCATGGCTGAGATGATCCAGTGTTAATATGACAGGAGGACGATAGAACCCTAAAAACACTTCTTTAACAATTGACAAGTAATGATAAATAGAATTAGGTCTTCAACCTCTTCTCCTTCGTGTACAGCTAATTCGATTAAGTTGAGTTTAATGTTAAGTTTGCCCTCCCAAGCCCCTCGAATTTGGTTCTTAAATGATGATGGTGTATACTCAGGCTTGAAAACAAAGCTTTAATTGTTTTCAACCAAGCAAATTTCCTGCGGCCTGATGAAAAGCAGAAAGCAATCCGATTTCTCGCGTCGAACTATTTTCGCAGATCATCCACATAATCGGATTTCAGATTTCGTTTCGCATCGCTCGATGAGCAAGCTTATGATGAGAGTACCAACGTATGTGGAAGACGCACTGCAGATATAGTATTTTTTTCTCAAAAAGGAAGTTTTTATGGGTTTTAAACGGCAATGGAAACGAATATTTTATATATATTTAGCTTATAGAGTATAAGTATACACTGCATGGCTTCTTTCATTCCTCTTTATATAAATATACTCGCATTAAAAGGCCCACAAAATTCTCGTATAAGATTTTAATCTTTGTAAATGCATTGTCTGTGGTTGTATGACGTTGCACTTTTGAAAGCTTATCTACCGTTTATTTATATATTTGCGATGAACAAACACATCTTCGTTTACAAATAGGATGTTGGCCTTCATGACAGATATTCCGTGCAGATTTGATGCTCAAAATTCCTGGCTGTATTGTACAATAATCTGTACACCGCTCCAATGAAAACAGACAGTCACTTGAGTTGCATAATTCGCATGCATTCAATGATAATTTCCCTCTTGTCGGAAAGTGGTGAACAGTGATTCAGTTTCAAGCCGTGAAAGAATGCGATATATTGGCTAACAGTTTCTATTTCAAAAATATGTGGCCATTTCCTTATCGATATTGATTCAAAAAGGTATCCCCAAGAATCTAAATAGACGATCTTTCTCAGTTTCTGTCTGAAAATTTTCGATACAAGACAGACAGCCTATATTGTATTTGTTTTTTTAAGGCACCCTGTTAATACTTTGGAAAATTGATCCTATATATAGCTATCATGCATACACATTGTCTGAATCAACGGTTTCATTCAGTCGTTAAAAGCACGACTATATTTTGTACGGTATTTTATATTCTAAAAAACTCACAAGTGAAGTGTTATTCCAACTGTGATCTCATCAAATACAACCAGCTATATAAATATTTGTTTGCACTTCTTTCGGCCAAACCCTTCGAGTCCCGTTCGCGTTCAACTTGTAGCAGTCACTGCTTCGACACACATCTAAAACTGTTTCACTTCCGATCTAACAGCCATCGATTATAAACAGGAAGAAATTAGATCTCTCTACAGCACAATCATAATATTTTGAACTGAAGAAATTTGCATGTTAGCTTGTTACGTCTTTGTCTACAATTCACGCGACGTTGAACGTCAAGCGTACACCGCTGTGTTAAATTGTTTTTCAGATGTTCCCAAGCTTGAAATTCTGCCCTGGATTACGCTGGCTGCTTTTGCAAGTGGAGACATAAAAGTTTTCAAACACACGCGTGTATTTATCGCCTACAAGTAATATAATTGCAGCGAGAATAAGGATTAAGTGTCTGAATACAATACTTGTTAGTTACCTTGGTCAATTGAAAAAATGCAATTGTAATACAACACAAGATAGTTTGAACTACCTGCTGAGGCTTCGGAACCAATTCTCGCTACTGCTTATATACATCTCCCTTGCAATGGAAAGTGAAATACTTTCAATTCTTTATCGGGATCTGTTTACATTCCCCAAGTATCAGGATTGAAAGTTGAGTTGTTTCTCTCATGTAAACGTTGGGTCTCAGTACTCATTTGCATTTTAAATTTTTCAGTCCACTCATGCTGTTAAACAGATTTGTGAGGGTGCCTTGCTGTTTACATATATTGTCGAGTGATTTAAAGTATGGTGATCGCTGTGCGCTCAGGATTTTGCATAGCTAAATTCTATGTTTATTAGAACTTGCTGTGAAAAGTACTTAAGTGAAACTTCTTGGTGTTAAACACGTTTTATTAATTCATTTAAATATATTTCTAGTTGAATACGTGTTCCAAATCCCTCCTGCCATGACAGGAAGTTCAGTGGCTGCAATCTTATTGTGATATTTCACACCGTTGCGCTAAGATGCTCATTGAACTGCGGGTAATTCAAACGTGCGAATGACACTTCAATCAACGATACTATTTCTCGAGTTATCGCGAAGTTGCGTGTCAAAACAAGTGGTTGAAGTTGTGACTGTGTTTTAGTTAACGCCGCGTATATAGTTAACCATATGAATGAACTGGGAACTAGAAAATGAGGCTTGCAAGTTACTAATGGTTATAAGTCATTTTCACGTATGTGAAATAGTACGCATTTAAATTTGTCTTAATTCACTCTTCATTCAGTCTTCACCCTTCAAATCTGACATTGTTGACTGTAGACACATAGCAGTATTCTAATACATCAACCACAATGACATCTTCACGACAGCAATACGATAAAATGGAAACCATGTCATATGTGCACAGCTTTGGAATTCTCATGTCAACACCCAACAAGCTAGAGTTGCAGTTCAGTTTCCAAGTAATTACATGTGTGTATTATAGCTACAGCGATAGCATTCCATCCTGACTGAAAACCCTATTAAAACATCTCAATACGTAATTTCACCTATTTATCATCTCTTTGTTACACATGTACGGTCTGTAATTAAAAACGGAAACATGCATCCATAACCCGGACACACGTGGCGCTAATTTCTTGCTAAAACAGTCTTTGCATAATCACTCTACGACTACAGACCCGTTTTCGTAGCAACCGTATCGACTTAATTCCTTTTGTCTGTTTCTTATAAACAGCATATCGCGTGCATGCATATGTTTGGTTTATTTACCTTTCGGTCGAGTATACATGCTTCATGGAAAACCATGTTTTTAATTCAGTTAGTAATGGAAGCCTTTCGCAATTTGAATTGCCAAATTAAATTAGAATACAATTTTGCAAAACACAGACATTCAGTGTAACTGAGAATATGCCACCGCGACTTGCAACTTTCCAATCACCTCAACTTCATTTGTCCTTTCGAAGTCTTCTTGGCAATAATTTCTTGGCAATGATTAATATGTTACAAAATTATCCCATCCAAATTGGCGAACTATTCTGATGTTTAATATCTCATGTCGCAACAGCCTGTAATTAATTGGCTGCAGTATCAGTTTCGTTCGACCTCAGAGAGTAACTGATTTAATTTGATGTCTGTCATATATTAATATCACTCAGATTAAAACAGTCTCCGGAGTAGCGTCAAGATATTTTCTCAAAACGTCTTTCTTCATAGTTTTCATTACTTCTAGGAAATCTCGCATCACGCCATTTCCGGCTTCTACCTCACGAAGTTTCTCGAGTTCGTTTCCTCGAAAGCAGTCGCTCTGCGTTTCTGGGATGCGAGGAGTAAACGAGTCGCGTTTGTTAAATATTGAAAACGACAAACGCTTATGGCTATGTCGTCGAGGCTCGGTGTGTTTTGGTTTGGAAAAAATGGTAGATTTTCTGTTCGACAAGTTTTCACGAATGGTTGATGGGATGACTGGAAGATGATCATTCCTTTGTATTAGGACAGACAGAGTCTTGCGTGATCTTGGCGTTAAACCATGTGTTTGCATCGGCTCAACGTTTCGAATATTATGCGAAAAATTGCCTTTTCTGGCAAGAAAAATAATGTCTGACCTCGGCGCTGCACCAAGAGACATACATCTTTGCCTTCTTCTCTCTCGGTCAAACTTTGTGACAGTCCTTCGAGAAAAATCCACGTTTTGCGCAGAAGGAATAGAAACTCTTTTTGGCAATTCGGCCAGGACTGATAACCGTTTCTTTTCCGACAGTATTTTCCCATTCAATCTCAAGTTCACATTCGTCTCCATTAATTTTTCCCTCTGGGTTTCGGTGATGCCCTCGCATTTCAGGATCGCCGGCAGCGAGGGTCGTTTAACTGATCTTCCTAGAGGGACGCGTCTCAAGTTCCCGGGTAGCGAGCCTCGTCTTTGTACGAAGTCACGCGACTCTCGTCTGGTGGTGTAGCCAAACTCGCAAGCTATCGTGGGATTGATGGAACTCGACGAGGTCATTCTTCGCAGGAATGAAAAATTCTTATGACATCGGGTGAAATAAGCGAATATCAATGGATTCATGAAACAGTTTGTAAAAACGAATAGATAGCTGATGTCAAGGCCATAGTTTAAGATGAACTCATTATCCTGATAAAACTCCAAGAGGAATTGCATTATTTGACCGGGCAACCAAAAAAAGGCGAATACAGACATAATAACCGTCAACATCTTTACGGTATTTTGATGATGCTCGATAGACAGAGCAGAAATCATCGAAGTCCTTCTGTGGTATTGAAGATATCTGCAAGAACGTTAGAACGATGTTAAATGCGATATAAGAACATTCTAAACTGCACTATTTATATAGGCAACAATCCGGGGTTCTCAAGGCCTGGATAAAGATATCTGTATTATAAAGGAATCTCTTTCAATCAGATATAGACTTTAGACTGCATACTTGATAAAAACATTTAATCAAAACCAGGCTTGCTAGCGTATTTACAATGCAAAGATATGTAGCTACGAATCTGTTGCATTTTCCCACGGTAACATCAGTCTCTAGACTTCGAATGGGTTTGACAATGAAGCAACACCTTCCAATAAATCATTCTTTGCCAAACATTCGGTTAATTAAACGCCGGCCTTCGAGCAAATTCACCGCACTAATTTGGCCTTAGATTTTTTCACATATAAGAAGCTCATTGCCTGCCTTATTTGTCGTCTCTAATTAAGTGTTCATCTTTAGTAATAATCTGTACATTCCAATCTAGAAAATTAATTCCTATATTAAATGCCTACTCTGTAGTGGGCTTATCGAACAAGTAAAATGTCTGTTCCTGTCTCTAGAACAAGGGCCCCTTTCTCCCTGTCCCGCAATCCGCGCTCACGTTTTTTGTGTTTTGTAAGATTATCTGGAGTAAGATAGATTTTGTAACAGGCTTCGTTCCCACACTGTTTTTTGATTAGGAATTATAACCTTGTTTAAGATCATCCACGTTTCTTTCACCGTAGTATGACTTGTAAAAAAAAACAAATCCTAATCCCCTCTTGCTAAACCCGTCCTTAATTTAAAATATACCCCACAACCCAACTCTTAAGTAGATAAAATATTTGAGACATTTTCACTCCTGGGTAAAAGGGCGCTGGCGGGTGATGATTTTTGGGAAAACGGCAATTTAGGTTGATTTATCGAAAAGCTTATTTTGGACTTTATCTTTCTGTGAAAAATGAGACGATTTTCCTCACTGCAAACGTGTTCACAGCTATACGAAAATCCTGAAAAACATTGCGTGCTCACGAATGGTAGGTTAATCGATGTACTTTAGCCTCTGTGACCCAGCATGCAGTATTAATGCAGTTATCTGATTAGTGTGAACATGATGTTCGTGTAGACCACAAGTTGACTACAGCTTTATAAAAGGAATGCTACTCAATTTCTACTCAATCAAACGTCCTAAGTTTGGCGATATCTCTCTAGTGGCAGGCCTGTTTTCGATGCAATAAAGTGGGTTTCGAGAGAACAGTTAGAAGGACCGCCTTATGGCACTCGAACGAAAATAGATTACTCGCAAAACATGCATGAATCTTTTTATAAACAAACAATGAGTTTTTAAACACTCGACAAGCTTCTCATGCCAGCCATATTAGTTGTCTACGAAGGGATCGTTAGCCGGAAAGATAAAAATACCAATCTAACGAGTTAACATCATCGGCACATCAACCTAATTTTGATCACATTTCTTGTCTCCTGACATACGCAGTCCTTACTGACATACACTGTGCTGATGATGATAATGTTTGTATTAGAACCATTGTTCATATCCTGATAGCCAAATAGACGTACGAATAGCCCACGCATCATTTCTAGGTGTCAATTAAGATGATACGATTTGCAATCAGTTTTTCATCATGCAGCAAGGATGGAAATTAAAAAACCAAATTGCAAAATTCCTTGAATAACATTGTCACTATTTTATAATCAAATTTCCAAAAAAAACGCCACTAAATTTTTCGAATGCATCTTAATCTCACGTTAAAATAATGTACAAACTAGTCCAGAAAACAAAAAGTCGTGCTTCATTTGATATTTACACGCTTTCTGTCATATTTACTGCTCGCTCTTCCACGAATTTGAAAACGCTTTAGACAAGGGAAGAATGTTTCCTGAAATCTTTTCCCTCTAGTAATATAACCATCAATCAAAAATCATTAACTATATACGCGTTTATTTAGGAGCATGACAAAAATAAGATATGATGTCCATATACCCATTTTTTGTATTTTTTTTTGTACGAGAAACGTGCGGTAAACATTCCCCCTTCTAAAACAACACGCACATGCAGGTCTGTAGCTATCTAAAATCGTTCTTTTGAAATTCAAAACATAAGCCCAACGGACATCTTTAAAATATCAAATTGTTATCACCAATCGATAAATTACAGTAAGTCAGTAATCCTCTTTTCCATCATGCGCTGACTATATGCGTCCATAATTGCATGCACGAGCAAAACATCAAATAATAGCCGTTGTTTTAATCTGAGCAGCCTGGGGTGTCTCACAGTATTTCACGGTGTCATTCATTTGTAAACATATTGCATTCCGCGGGAATAATGAAATATTTGGAAAGCGCGCACCCTGTCGTGCGGTGCGCAACAAAAATAATACAAAACGGCGCTTTTATTTGTCCAAAACTGCTTAATTGATGTTTAGACGTAATTGTAATCCCTTTAGGCGCGCAACAAGAAGACATATTTGACGAGCTTTTTTTACGGGAGATTCTATAATCGCTTTATAATCATGTACAGACAAAAACTGAATTCAGAGGCCGAACATAATTCGTTGCTCCCAGCAAGCCAATACTGACCTTATCGGACCGTTCGATTTATCCAATGATCTTAGGGTCGGTATATAGAACCAGTCGAAGCCAATTCGTATCAGTTCATCTGTTCAACAGTGATTTTGCAAAAGTACTAGATGCATGTTTTCCACGCCTTGCGAGCATGTTTCGAAATTGAACATGATGTTTATTATTCATTTTCGACTAAAAGAAACGCTTGCCATTGGCCGTTATTCACTTATTTTTCACGCTAGGGACAACCAGGAAAAGTGGCGACTTTTTGTTTACGTTCATTTCACACAAACACAAAAAACAATGAGGCCAGTGTTTGAAAAAATTAACAAGCAGCGAATGTTCCATAAGTTTCTATTTAAAATATCCTATTACATTCTTCGGAGAAAAAGTACGATAAATCAAAACGAGAATAGAAAAAACGAGAACTTACCTTTTTAACTCGAGAATAGCATTCACGTTGCACCAGACGATCAGAACCAATGGAAGCACGTATTGAAGTATGAAGAGATATATTGTAAAACCTAGCTTTATTTGGGCCTGTCTGGACACAGGCATCCACTCTTCAAAGCAAAACGACGCGTTATCGTCAAACTTCAACACGAAGGAATATGGCAGTCCAGCCAACAGCACTGGCAGAAGCCAAATCGAGGCGAGCATCGCCAAAAAACGACGTTTAGACAGTTTGCCGTTGAATGGTTTCACTACAAGCCTATAGCGTTGGTAGCTGAGTGCGCCCACTGTGAATATTGACGCCATTCCACAAACGGTCTGAAAGGGCCATAAGAGCTTGCACATCGTCGCACCGAATGGAAACGTTGGCGCCTCGAGCCGTTGAACGATGTCAAAGGGAATGCTGGAAGCTGCGAGAAGTATGTCGCATATCGCCAAATTGAGGATTAAATAGGAGTAGTTTCGTACGGCCTGATATGGTAGTTGTGCATGAACCACAATCAATAACACGATGTTCCCGAAAAGACTTAGAAACAATATGAAGCCCATAGCCGTTATTAGCCCTATTTCAAGAGCCTCCATGAATTACGCTGATGATGATATAACCGTATAACTTCACACCGATTTGAGTTAATCAGTTGTGTTCCTCCACAACCATAGACACCTTCGCACCACGCAAATCACGCTATTGGGAGAACGCAATTCACGCTGGTAACATTCAGAACTCGAACACAAAATACCCTCGCTGTTCGCATGTCGGCCAACACCGTTGCCGTTAAGTGCATGTGTATGACACAAGTCAATCTTCCGCAGTTGATAAATATAATCTACACCTTGACTTTCTCAAATTTACGACCTGTTTAGGCAATCGCGTAATTAATTCAGTCCCGTAGACCAATATTCTAGCAGCTTTTGATAACGGGCGATGATTGATCGTCACCTCTAATCACGCGTGTAACGCGATTGTTTGTCTTTAGGAAAACAAATTGGGATCCCATCGCAGGGCGCCGTGGCGCGCAAGGCGGTATTCACAATAAGATAATGGGAAAATAGAGTGAAACCCAGTGGCTACGAATTGTGCGAAATTAATTTGTTTCGAAACTGTGCTGTTTGTCTGCGTGCGTTGATGATGTTTGTTTGTTTACACGCTACCACAGTTTCTACCTCTCCCCATCAGAGAGCCTAAGTTAATATTTATCAAAAGTCAGTCAAGTTTCAATGAATTATGCCCTGAATGATTCCATAGACTGTGCATGTAGTTCATTACGTCACTGTACCAAACCGAGACAGCTTGTTTATACATAAATATTTATTCGAAATTTCCATTCGAGCATTTAACGAAATCGTTTTCATGCCAAAAGGGGAACTTCGTTAATTGAAACTGGAAGCGATTCACATTCCAGTGCACTAGCAAGTCACTGCCAGATTCGGTTAAAACAATTTCCTCCCACGAGATTTTGTTGATTGATGGATCTTAGTGGATCCACGATTGTTTCATTTTTTTAAAAAAACTATGATCAGAATTTTGGCTTGATTTTATCGAGCAATGCTGTGTGCCGTTGACTTTGAAAAATATGAGAGGGGATACCCTATTTGACCAAGCTTGGGGCGATGTGCTTGGTCCTTTTATATAACCCACCATCTGTCATAGCCATCTGTTGTATGATTCCATGACACAATTCAGCGATACCAAAGGATTCAGTCCTTATACAGTTAATATATGTGGATTGACTCTATTACTCTGGAATTTTCCCAGGATCAGTTTTAGATTTTCTCACTTCAGTTGGACACTTTCCAACATTATACATACAGGCATTTTTGGCTGGGTATAGGCTTTCTAATGACTCAATAGAGTTCGGTGAACTGATGTTGTTATTACTGGCCTAACTTGGTCCTATTATACTTACTGCTTTGCAATGTTTTATTCCGTGCTTCATTCTCAAACTTTATCAATATCTGTTGATCATTACAGTTTAGTATTGCTAGTCTGAAAATGCCCGATTTAGTCATTGAAGTCTGACTCAGTGTGCCAGGCTGGCTGAGTGCTGACAATTCTAATAATATCCTGAGTAGTCTAGTACTTACTGCTTTGCAATCTGCTTTACGAAATCTCATTTTGTTTTCAGTCACTTTAGACATTTCAGTTTTCGCCTGTATGGGAATAATCCAATACACCACAATGGTACTAATCTTCCTGATTGAGTGGTGATTACAAGACTCGCCAATCCATATAGTACACACTTCTTCGCGATCAAGGTAGCTTTCTCGATGCTAAACCCCGTATTGCTTAATGCTTATCAGTTCTTTATCTATCTTCAGCATTTTTGAAAATCCAGTTTGTATCACTGGGCGTAAGAGTCGTTGATGATTTAATCGACAGTTACAATAAGGTTATCAGAATGGGAAGAGAGTGTAAATGTTTGAATTTTGTCATATCGCAAGGGCAACAGAAGGCGGCTTTTTTCAAAACCGATTGCTGGAAAATGTTGTGAATTTGCAGAATTTTTCCTTGCTTCATTTTAACGATCGCATATTGATGTCCTAAAGTCTGAGATGGTTTCTAAAAATGGATTAAGGAAACGCCTCTTTCTCAAGGCCTCCGGCAACTCTATACTCTCTAAATATTAGACAAAGTCTTCTCAGAGGACTGCAATCTGACATTTCTGTCTCTACGTGCGCACGTTAACGTTCTCACGCGAAATGCGGATACCGACGCCCGTTTTATGACAGACGTTGCTGCAGTATGATATTTTGAACTTTGTTTCTTCCGTATGAACATGACGTCAAAAGGATAAAGGAAACAATAACGTTTCGCTGTTGTTGACAAAATGAATTTACTGATAACTGTGAATAAGTTCCGGGTGATTGAAATACTCGAAAAAAGTTTCCGTTCGTTGTGTTGTATAGGGAAAAATAGTTATCTTGTTATCAAAATGGATGTCCTGTAGTGAAAATAAAGTGTATTATCACAAAGTGCATGGTAGGGTGTATTCCTATCATAGGGACTTGAAACACTTAAGGAAATATCGAGAACAAGACGCCAGACTAGTTTTTGACGCAAAGATGTCATCAGATTTGTCGAAGTTGAGCAAAACAGTATTTCATGCATGACAACATGAGTCACCGTCAATCCAGATGATGACGTGAATATGGTAATGATCTAGTATTGACGTTCATGTACTCAACCACAGTGAGTCAGTGATATACCGGGCAAAGATATCATGTTTTCACTGTGAATCCAAAGCCTGGTTTCCATATGACGCCGACCTCGGCAAAGTATATTATTGTCGGTGATTATTGATGAGTGAAACCTTTTGTCTTTCTAAAATTTCTTGTCTTTCTTACAGACAATGAGTCGGCTACAGGTCTGCGACATATGGAAACCAGGTTTAACATTAGTTCGATGATAGTAAAAGTAAGTGTGACTTGATGAGACTCTTCCGAAATGAATTAAATTTGTTTACCTAAAGACAACGAGTAGCTACAATCACAAGTAACGGAAACAAACATGGCAGGTCACTGAGCGAGGATGATGAATTACAATGTTTTTCAATGTATTGTAGTAAACGTAACAACTAGCAACAATAAAAAAAGGATTAAAACCATGTATTAATAATATGTAAATGTAATATAGAGGGTAAAAGACTCTGCAAATGTTGAGCACAGTAAGGCACTATGAAATTACCATTCAATGATCAGTTGGACTAAGTGAATTCGATGGAATTAATTTCTCAAAAACTCCCAACTTGCACGACCCTAAAACATGAATATTTTTCGGAAAAATTTGATCGCTGTTGTAAAGCCTTTCCTTGTATGGACTTGGACACAGGATAATCTGTTGGAGTTCATATAATATGCTCATGCATATAAGATGTCATCTTGAAACGGTATCATAAAAAATATTCTTTCCACACTTGCAAATCAACCTGCACGTAATTCTATTGTTTTCGCTATTGTTTTTGACGCATTTGGTCAACTCTAGAATCTACCCACGGGATTTGTTTAGGTAGATTTTGTAGGTATTGAAAGATTGTGAAGATTTTTATGTCAAATGCCGAAAAAAATATCTGTCAATTCTTGCATTAATCGTTTGCTGTTCAATAACATTGCTTCACCAGTGGTCCGGGATAGTTTCCGTAATTCCTGTTGTAGTTTTTCTTGTTATGACTTAAAATAACCGAAAAATGTGATTTAAAATCCAGGTTTTATCCCCAAACATAGATATGTGATAAATCTTGTGGAAGAGTTGTAGTTCATGCGTCCTTGTAGATAGTGTGGGCGAGTTGCAGACGTCATTAAAATCAGTCAATCCTCAATTATTCCTAATAATTAGAAATAAGCTGATAAAGGGGCATCGGCTTCGCCTTCGGGGAATTGTATTGACAAAGCAATGCTATATTACTGCGCAGTGATGAAACGTCATTTAACACGCTTTTGCACAGGCACTAAACCAAAAATTAAGCTACTGATATGGGGTACACTTGTTGATTCGAGACTGTCTGAGTCCCCATTCGATCAAGAGGGTCATATTTCTGGGTCATGAAAACGGATTTGGTCACAACTGATGCGATTTCAATGCACTTGAATTGCCTTTAGATTACTTTGACGTCACAATGCAAAGTGCAAACATTTTCATCATAACAAAAATCTCTTATAAATTGGGTTTATACGGATATATGCGAGCATCAAATTATAACAACGCGATGCTTTTCAGATTGCTCAGAATAGCGAATGGTCTAAATCAGTATCTTTCCATTATACGGAAAAAACGGTCGTTACGTGCACAATTAGTCGTATTTGCCATTTTCCGGCCAATTCAACAATGGCCGTATTTGCCATTTTCCGGCGAATATGACCATGGTCGTATTTGCTATTTTCCGGCGAATATGACCATGGTCGTATTTGCCATTTTCCGGCGAATATGACCATGGTCGTATTTGCCATTTTTCGGCGAAAATGACCATGGTCGTATTTGCCATTTTCCGGCGAATATGACCATGGTCGTATTTGCCATTTTTCGGCGAATATGACCATGGTCGTATTTGCCATTTTTCGGCGAATATGACCATGGTCGTATTTGCCATTTTCCGGCGAATATGACCATGGTCGTATTTGCCATTTTCCGGCGAATATGACCATGGTCGTATTTGCCATTTTTCGGCGAATATGACCATGGTCGTATTTGCCATTTTCCGGCGAATATGACCATGGTCGTATTTGCCATTTTCCGGCGAATATGACCATGGTCGTATTTGCCATTTTCCGGCGAATACGACCATGGTCGTATTTGCCATTTTCCGGCAAATATGACCATGGTCGTATTTGCCATTTTCCGGCGAATATGACCATGGTCGTATTTGCCATTTTCCGGCGAATATGACCATGGTCGTATTTGCCATTTTCCGGCGAATACGACCATGGTCGTATTTGTCATTTTCCGGCGAATACGACCATGGTCGTATTTGCCATTTTCCGGCGAATATGACCATGGTCGTATTTGCCATTTTCCGGCGAATATGACCATGGTCGTATTTGCCATTTTCCGGCGAATATGACCATGGTCGTATTTGCCATTTTTCGGCGAATATGACCATGGTCGTATCCATTTTCCGGCGAATATGACCATGGTCGTATCCATTTTCCGGCGAATATGACCATGGTCGTATTTGCCATTTTCCGGCGAATATGACCATGGTCGTATTTGCCATTTTCCGGCGAATATGACCATGGTCGTATTTGCCATTTTCCGGCGAATATGACCATGGTCGTATTTGCCATTTTCCGGCGAATACGACCATGGTCGTCATAGCTAATTTTAATTGCAATAGTATAGAACCGGGTATAGTAGATTATACAATTGGTTCTATTTGGAAATTGGTAATTTAAAGATGGATGAGATGTAGGGGGTCTGACGAATCCGTCTCAAAAGAGTGAATTCGAATATATGACAAATATATGGTCAGTGAATTCGAATATATTGAATATATGGTCAGTGAATTCGAATACATGGTCAGTGAATTCGAATATATGACAAATCGAATATATGAATATCAGCCATCGCACTTAACTATCTTCCGCTTTCCTTAAACGTTTCATTTTTTTTATTTAGGCGGGGGAAGAAATCAATTTAAGCGATTTATCTTTCTTGTTCCTCTTGGTTTCCTCAGAGACTGCACGCTGGCCAGCGAGCTCACTGACGCATGCTAGCTTTTTCTGAGCTCGTGAGTAACTGAAGCGCGAAAAGAGGGAGGGCGCGGGCGAGACGCTTGCGGGCTGCGCTTTCTTCTTTCTCCACTCTCCAGTGATTTCAGAGAATTATATTTTGGGAAATTATGGCGAAAATCGAGTGCGTTTTCGATGCTAGTGGTTATAAAGTTGGTCTAGGAGAGGGCCCGCATTGGGATGACAAGAACCAAAGACTCCTTTGGGTGGATATTTTCGATAGAACCGATGAAACGAAGGGAAAAACTCTACATATTTCTGACCCTGCGACCGGAACTGTAAGGAGATACAGTGCACTTCTCAGCAAATATTTGCTCGTTTTATCTTATTTAATGCAACTAGTAACTAGTATAGCCTGGTTTCCATATGACGCCGCCGTCGTCGTCAAAGTATTATTGTCGGTGATTTTTAATGAGTGAAATATTTTGTCTTTCTGAAATCATTTTCTCCTTGGATGATTACAGACAATGAGTCGGCTACAGGTCTTCTACAGCTATTTAAATTGTCTCTGCTGATCCTAAATCCAGATAAATATTAATAAGCTAATAAAAATAACTAGTTTGATAGACTGAGGTTGACCTTCAGAGGCTGACCCCACCCTGATACCTGAAATGGTAAGATTTCAACCCCCCCCCCTCTTGAAGGAGGATAATTAAAAAGAAACAAACCATTTAGAAGCTATATCATTCTTAGGACCAAGCCATCAAATTTGATGTACCAGTGACTTCAGGTATACATGTCTTGTTGTGCATATCTTTTTTCCTTTCAAACAGTCGTACAATGGTTAATGGACCATGTGCAACTTTTGATTTAAGTGATAAAAAGGGGATTTATTAAAAGAAATGCTGAACTTAATAAAACTGCCAAGTTTGGCTTCAAAATATTGCAGACATGGCATTATAGCTAGCAAAATGTAGTAGAATGATAAAAAATGGGTTAATTGGTGTGTTTTGTTCTTATGTTTCTATCAGTTGTTCCTCGTAAGAACAAACCTACGTCAGTTGCTGTTACTTTCCAGAGAAACTTTGCTTTTGTTGACCTAGAGGTACGAAACTAAAATTCTGAATCCTAATGCAGTAATAACCATGTTCATTATCATTGATCCATACTAATTACTGTATATGTAAGAATTGGTTTGGGTACTATCAAGTCCATTTCATATATGTTCAATAATTTTCTTTTAGACAGGAAAACTTGAAATTGTCAAGACAGTGGATGGTAAGATTACATTTGAAAATACTTATTGTTGTTTTATTCATGATTATTCACGAGAAAAGTAGAGATACATATAATATGACATGAGATAATACAGAAAGACAAAAAAGTCATATGAGTGACATGACACATGCCCAATACTTCATACAATACTTAATATTATTACTACTAGTGGTCTCATTATATATAGTTCAATATTGTGAACACTTCTGTGTCCACTGGTACATTGTGGAGTACTACGGTAGAGGGTGCCTTGCTATTTATTAGAAGTTGCCATTCACAGATATACCACTGCTGCTCTGGTTGAAAACCCTCTCCAACCAAAAAAAGTAAAAATTTGGACATGTACCAGCTATTTTTTATCCTTTCACCTTCATTTGATATATGCATTTTATCATTTTCTCTTTTTATATGCAGATGACAAACCAGGAAATAGATTCAATGATGGAAAATGTGATGCGGTAAGAAACAGATAGTGATTGCTGTATTCAATACTTATAGACCTCTGGAGGATAACGTCCTTAGGGGCTTCCATCATTGAGTGAGGAGTTGAATTTTGATCTAAGCAAGAAGCCAGGTGATCTAGCGCTCATATTTTAAGATATATTAAGACATTTTGACCACGAAATGGACTCTTATTTGACAACTGGGCCGAGTGCTTCCCTGTTATTCAGATCACCTGGATCTCGAGCATCACCACAGCTAGAAAAAGCTTCCTAAAATAAGTAAAACTGTGAAGTTTGGTTGTAGAGTGTTGCATGAGGTAGACACTGTAGGTAATCAATATTTATATTATCCCTAGCTCAGCAAATAATCATTTTCAACTATATGTTCACCAACCAAATTGTTTCTTTTTTAATTCCTAGGCTGGCCGATACTGGGCAGGTATGCAATAGTCCAACCTTTTTGGATCTGACAAAATCATGTCAATATCAGAGTTTTAAGCAATGTTTATTTAATGCACAAAGCAATTTTAAATGAATGCCTACGTGTTAATATACTGTTGTCTATCAATTTAGGAACTTTGGGTCCAGAGCCAGTGCCATTACAACTAATGCCATATCAAGGTTCACTGGTGTGTACTTGAAGATTTACTTACAAAAAGACTTTATATAATTGGGTCATGTCCTTTTGTCTTTAAAAACATCTTAAACAAGAATAACAAGCCCTGAAAGATCGCGGAAGATAAAATGTTTTATATTTTTTAGTTTTGTTGGGATGTTGGTGCTTCGGGCGTGTCACAATGGAATAAAGGGGTATTGGAAATAAAAATTCCTAAGACTTAAAAAACCAACAACAGACAACAATGGTCGTTTTCACACTGGAGACGTGAGACGCATGATGCGTCTGCAATATTTTTTGTCTGGTTATTTGTCTTCAGTATAAAGACGGACAACAGACAAATAATACGCCCAGACGATTAATGTTCAGTTTTTCGTCTTAGAGACGCATAACCAACGGTAGTTCGTCTGGACGGATAATGCGTCTGTTGTCCGTCTTTATATTGAAGATGAATTACCAGACAAAATATATTGAAGACGCATTATGCTTCTCTAGCGTGAAAACGGCCAATTTCGAAAAGTATAATCAAAACATACAGTGTGTAAGTCATCATATATTGACGTCATGACTCCATCACAATATGCACAAAATATGATACAAGTTAGTCCATAATAATGATCCTGAATCACTATAACTCTGTTACAAGATGTTTCCTGTATCTCAAAACTGTAATCTGTGGAGTAATTTTTTATTAGAATTTCTACAATCTTTGTACATTCTTTATGCTGACCACTTGTTTTTACTGTTGTGTAGATTTCCTTATCGAATGGATTAGGTTGGTCAACGGACAATAAAACCATGTATCATATAGACACATATGAAAGGTACATATCACTAGGAGAGGTGGGGAATGGGATGGGGTAGTACCCAGGGTTTTGTCTTCGTTGTTACGAGGTTCTAAAGTATGAAGTTGTAGGGGACATATACAGTAGGGGATTACTCGTGGCATTTGGAAAATAAGGTGTTATTTTGGGGGGATATTTTGAAAACATCAAGTGATACCGAGGATGATTCTGGGAGGTATTCGGTGATAATATGAACCATTTAACCTTGTCAGCAATCCTAAACTATGTGGAAAACTGACCCACAGAAAACGCTTAGTAGATCAGTTTCAAAATCAACCCACCTCATCAGATCCAACTCACAAGCCCATGATTTTTTAAGATCGCCAACAACAGGGGTTTGTTCTGAGCAGTTGGCCAAGGAAACAAAAGCACTCATTTATTTCACTTCGTTATCTTTTCAGGAAAGTGTTTGCGTTTGACTTTGATCTTGCGGCTGGTTCCGTTGCAAATAGAAGAGCTGCCATCGATGTCGACGAAAAATTCGGGGTATGTTAAAACGTTGCACCATGTTATTTTTCTATCATAGTTTTTTTTTCGTGCACCAAAAATGTCTTTTCTGACAATTATCTGGGGTGTAGTACAAGAAATGTTGTGTTCATTTACGCTCGTCTGATGCTAGGCAAAGTAAATTACTTAGTTACGATGCGTTGTCAACTAAATGGCTGAAAAGTGGAATTCACAAAAATCACCTGGAGACAAAGAGTTATTATCATTGTTAAATTTGTAGTGGCCAGACGGACTTTGTGTTGACAACGAGGATAAAGTATGGGTTGCTATGTATGATGGAGGACAGGTAGGGATAGTGACAGTTTCTGGTCTCTCTTTAGAAGTTTATTTACCAATTTTGTGCCCATCTTTTCTTAAGGTGGTACGCTACGATCCTATGAATGGCTCTGTCATTAGTTCCGTAAAACTCCCAGTTTCCAAAATAACGTCGTGTTGTTGGGGAGGAAAGAATTTCGACGAACTTTTTGTCACAAGTGCCAGGTACGAGAGTTGGTAGTGGTGGATAGGTGTTAATGAGTGTGGTTGAGAGGTGATTAAGGTGTATGTAGGAGCTAGTGAATGAAAGGTGATTAAGGTGTATGTAGGAGTGAATGAAAGGTGATTAAGGTGTATGTAGGTGTACATGTAGGAGTGAATGAAAGGTGATTAAGGTGTATGTAGGTGTACATGTAGGAGTGAATGAAAGGTGATTAAGGTGTATGTAGGTGTACATGTAGGAGTGAATGAAAGGTGATTAGAATGGATGAAGTTGCACTTGGGGTGATGAAAATAATGCGAATTTATGTGCATTTGGGAAGGCCCTGATAAGATATAGCTACAATTTTGTATTTCTTCAGAGAGTATTTGAGCGAGGAAAAGGCGAAAGAGGAGCCTTTAGCTGGGTCTGTTTTTAAAGTCACAAACTTGGGATGCAAAGGGATGCGTGCACATGAATATGATGGATGAAGCGCGTGATTTATGGATATAACTACACGATAAACGTGGATAATCGTGGTGATTTATGGATATAATTACATGATGAACGTGGATAATCGTGGTGATTTATGGATATTCTAAAATGAAAAGAGATAATTTATGAATACGAATCAATTTGATGAATAAATACATGATTTATGAATATGACAACTGGATGGATGCACATGGGCGAAGCTTTTAAAGTTGCTCAAGGGTCTGTCTATGGCTAGGTATGACATTTTTTTCAAAAATTTTATCAGAATTAGATATTATCGTAGTATATTTTTAAAAATTCAAAGGGATTTTAAATTCTATTTGATAATTTTAATCGTTTCGACACGAGAAATTTTGAATTAAAATATGGGTACAGTATTTAGGAATATTTAGGAAAAGTTTAGGAATATTTAGGAATTTTCTTATGCAAGTACAAAAACTGTGCTGTTAGATTTGTGTAATGTGATGGTCAATAATCGCGCTATATTTGCAATGGTCTTTTTGGTTCATGCGCCTGTCGTTGGCTCGTCGCAACTGGTCGTCGGTCGCCGTGAGGTCGGGGGTTGTCCCGACGTTTTCCCGAGGTTGTCAATGCGTACGTGAAATTTTGTACAGACAGTTTTGTTCTAGCTATCCATCAACGTAGAACAGAGGGTAAAATGAGAAATACTTAAAGCTCTAACTCCAAAGCAAAATGACAAAGCAAAAATTGCCAATAACATTATCCATATGTAGTCCTACGTCTATGTTTTTCTGACGATTTTTTTGGTCCAACCAATCAAAACCTCAATTTAATAAGAGCTTGTTTGAATTAGAATAATAATATTGATTTAAATAATTTACTACATTTTATTCCTAATTTCATACAGTACATTTAATAAAGCAATTTTTATATTAAATTTCTGTGTTGTGTCCACGCCATGGCACGCGTAGCCAATCAGGTGATTGTCTGGCCGTGACGTAACGCTAGGATTTCGAACCAACTTATGAACCAGGTCTTCATTTTAATTTCCCTGCGAGATTGCTGACGATGCACGATGATAAATGTAGAAACTAAATGAAAATGTTAAATCTAATTAAAAATTTTCGTTGAAAGCACTTCGTTTTGTGGGTAATTATTTTAATCGCCGTTTAGTATAACAATTCATAAATATTTCAATTTGCCGTATCCTGGAAACACATGAAAGATTAATTGTTGAAAAAAGCAAAATTGGACTCAGGGACGGATCTAGAAGCTTAATTGTTGTGGGGGGGGGGTGCATATTCTTATATTCGTCTTATGTCCGATTGATTTCTTTTGATAGCGTTTGTTTTTTAACCCTCTTTTAAGCTTGAATATATGAATATGCCCCCCCCCCCCCCCCCCTCCAATTAAGCTTCTAGATCCGTGCCTGAAATGAGTATATTCACTTGAAAATGTCACATTTCTCAATTTCTCACAAGGGCTACGCACACGGGATTATTTCTCTGAGCGTCTTGGCAACGTAAGCACGACTCTTACGCTTTATTTCAGCTAAACAAATACACTTGTTATGCATAAACGTGTATATGAAAAACAGTATAATCGTGTTTCTTAAATTTTCGCGGTAACCGTGTGACAGTAGACACTAAAACTATTCCTATATCCTATACGCCCTTTGCTTTGGTTCTGCCTAAGAATACAAGCATCAAAATATAATCGTACTTCTGCTAAATTATCAATTAGTTTATTTTGCATCTAATAACCTTGTCCCATTAGCCTGCATTTAAATAAAGTCAGTTTCAGCTGTTATTCTTCATATTCGTATGTACACAATTCAGCTAAGTGTGTACGGGTTAATATTTATCACTTCTCAATAATACGACTTGTACAAAGTCGAAAGCTGTCGCGCTTTTCTACAGTTTCCGCACTACGTTCTGAAAAGATGCCTGGAGCGTCTTGGCAAGGCTTTTTACTGATTGCTATCGTCATAGCCACTCTTTTTGGCAATATTTTATGCCTCTATATACTCGTTAGGCTGCAGAGACGTCTACTAAAACGTCCTCTCTACATATTCATCTTCAACATCTGCGTGGCGGATATCGCTGTGGTTCTCTGTTCGATGATCTTCAAGATAACCGACTTCTTCTACCAGGATTGGCTCTACGGCGAGGGAATGTGTCAATTCGTGGAGTATTCCCAGCGTGCTCTGTTTCGCGTTAACGTTCTTACGCACACCTCGATCGCGTTCGAACGATACTTCAGCGTCGTGTTTGCGCTCAAACCACAAGTACAGATCTCGAAACCATTGGCGCGTCGGATCCTCGCCGCCATATGGGTGCTATCATTCCTTCTCTCGATTCCACTCATCTTCTCTTTCGAGGTCTTGAAAGGTGGTGACGAACGCATTTGCAGGTTGGTTCACCTTCCCTGGCTTTGGCTGGATAAATTGTACAACAGCTTCGACCTCGCGGTGTTCTTCATCATACCACTTGCGGTCACCCTGTTCCTCTACGGTAGCATCATAACGTCGCTCAATCGCCGCAAACGTCGGACCGGAGATCTGGGTTCCATCAGCGCCACAATGAATACAATAAGAGCGGCGATCCGAGGTGTTCGTGTCTCGATAATCGTCTTGACCGCCTTCCTCATCTGCTGGATACCTGTCATAGTTAAGGGATTCAACCGTCTGGTACATCGAAACGCGAACAGGGATCGCAAGGACGAATTATACATCGTTGCAATGTACCTTGCTTTCGTGAACGATGCAATTGTGCCAATCCTCTACTGTCTTCTAGACAGCAACCTAGCGCCTTCCGTATGGACTATTTTCTACTGTTTTAATCGCGACGGGCAAAGTGAGGAAACCTCGGATGGCAACGAGACGATCAACGAATAGCAACGCAACTCTCCTTCTCTTACTTTTTGCAACGATAGAGGGCAATCCCCGTTGACATTGTCAAAAGTCAAAGACTTGATCATGTTAACTGGGAATGTTAGAGAAGTATATATAGTGTGTAAAGGTGATCTCAGTATAGTTTGGGCGGGTTTTTGAGAACGTGATTGAGGAAGTGTCAGAACTGTGTTGAACTGCAAAATATGGGTTGGTTAACCGGGGTCTGAGAAGATAGAAAAAGAAAAGACCTGTGGGGCGTCTTTCAGGACAATCAGAACGATAGATTGACTTACGAGTGAAAGGGACTTGTGATTAAAGTAAAGACTCCACAATACGGACAGCGCGAGTGTTTTATGCATATAAATTTCATGTCGGTATATTATTGCCGTATTGTTTAAGGAGCGTCCTGGAATACAGTTGGTATGTGGACTTGCATTATAAACGCTGATCAATCGCCCAGTACAAAGAAAACTATCATTGTATGTCTTGGCCGCCTATTGTGAAAGAAATCAATTTTTTCCTTTTGGTCGTCTTGAACTGAATTGGCTCTACATGCAGTTACAGTTACAACTAAGGGCAGTTTTCCACTCGGCGGAATTCTTCGATCGAACGAAATTTTTTGCTCGATTTTCTTTTCAATGTGACCGGTGACGCGGGTATCCGCCACGGTCGAGTTCTCATAATTGAAAAAAATATCGGACGAAAAATTTCGTTCCGTCGAAAAATTCCGCCCAGTGGAAAACCGACTTAAGACGGATTTTAAGGCCGAAAGGATATTGCAAACTTCAGAGAGATGTCACGTCATTGCGATGGAAACAAGAAGAGATGTTTTGGATACGTTATGGTAATTTTAATGCTCCGACTCTTAAGTAAATTTGGTTGCATGTATAAACGAGTAATTTAGTCCATTATCATAAACGCACAACCCATGTTCAATTAGGCGGATTTCATGTTTAAAAAACCCCACGCCAGCTGCATATCGCGCAATGAAAAAGGGCCATTTGCTTTTCATATGATCATTGAACAGTAGTTGCTGGATGCATGAGATTCGATATGCAAAATTTAGCGACTGATATGGAGTTTGTGGTCAAAAGTAAATTTGAATATGTAGCAACACGTACGTCAATTTCCAGCTTCAGCACAAATTTAACATGAAGAGGGTTTAGTTTATAAACAACAATGCCTGGGTTATATTCTTTTAGAATTCACGAACGGCGGTATAAATTTAAAGGCAAAGACAAGGTGTTTGAAAGGCGTTTAGCTTGAACGGTGGATAAGCCAATGTTTAAAAGTACTCTCGTAGGTCTTATGAATGACTGAACCTACATCTTTTAAATTAAATATGTACTTCCTTTCGAAAATTAAACTATTTAAATCGAAATATTTCAGCTCCATTGTTCAATAAATAGATTATTTTGTTTTCCATTTTGAACTTATCCACCGTTTAAGCTAAACATCTTTCGAAGGAATACGTGTGTTATGTTTTTTTAAATTTTTTGTTCAATGTACCGACTGCCGTTCTGCATCGCCGTCGTTAAAAATAATTTTTTTAAATGTACATATATATATATATATTATAACTTCTTAGCGGCCATATTTACTTTGAAAGATGTCATTACGCTATTTAATAATGGCAGCAAGTCGTGTAATTTTATTAGTCTGAACTGTAGTAAACGCTGAGGAAGGCAAATGAACTTAATCAATGAAAATTTCATCAAGGCAATATTTGCTCAAGAAAATATCACGTCTGCAAATATTAGTTGTCTGAAAAAATTGTAATGAATCGTTTAGACATGCATGTAAAAACAACGTAGCTATAATATTATTTTGCGCCAAAGATTTTCTCGCTTTTATCTTCAGCCCGTTTTCCACTCGGCGAATTTATTCAACGAAGCGATATCGACGCGAAGCGATATCTGCTTGCGAAAAATTCGCTGCGAAAAAGTAGAATCGCTTTCTACTTTTTATCTGTTTAGTGGAGAACGGCCTTTAGACGGCATTTGAAGTGCATCACACCTGTGAACTTTCGACCCAGATTTCTTAAAAACGTACATAATCTCGTTTGAAATGACTTGCAATTTATTCAGCAATATCGGTTAGCGTTATTTTCCCTACCTACCCTGTCAAAAATCAAGAGCAATTTTTTAATTAAATGTACTCCATGCAATTACATCTCGCAGTTTAATAATTTTTCATTTACGCTGAACAAACATAACTTGTCTTCATATATTGAAAGCATTTACACTTGATATGTGGTCGTCACATTTTGTCATGAGTATTCTGACAATGTGACATTACACTGTCCCATAATACCTTTTTTTTCATTTTAATCAGTCTGTATTCGACCGTACAGATGGAAATTCATTACATGAAGTATTAATTATGTTCGGGATATACTCAAGATTTTTCATCCCCAACAACAGTATTTTTTTCCTAATCCGAATGTGAACTGCAAGCCTTATACATGTCTCTGCCATTTCCATAATGAAATGTCCACGAAGTTTGGCTAGTGTGAAGTGTAATTTAATCGATTTAAATTAATAATAATCGCAAGCGCTTGCTTTATCCAATTATTTTTCTAAATTGTTCTGATCGACCGTCAGGACCTGTCATGACAATTCCAGCCAAAAAAATGTTTAAGAGCTACAAAAATAATTGAGAATTTTCTTCCAAATGACAGTGGTTTTCAGATGACATATCTTTTTGTCTCAAATTTTCAAACAAAATTATTTTGCCTTCAGGGAAATAGATGCGTGTTTACAATGAGTTCACAATAAAACCAATTAAAACGGCCTATTGGGCTAAAAAAAACTGGAACGCTACCTCCTAAATAATATGCCCGATCTTCTGGAAGCCTCCAGACGCGCATGTTTTACCACGTGACACGCGTGTTCGTTTTGCGAGACACCCTCGCGAGGAGAAAGAAATTTTTATGCCTTCAATTTCAAGAATTTGAAGCTATTCAGTACTTTCAATATGGCCGCCACTTTTCACAAGATCCTTCAGCATAAAATAATCATGCACCAGCTACCTTTACCCTCGCTTAAAAATCGGCACACTTTCTCAGTATCTATTCTGAGTATTATAGATTCATTGAGACCTGCAGCCCACTGGTTTCCAGCCAAATTTGATCAATATATTTGAGGCAAAAAGAGTAAAACTAGCATCGTGCACCTGCCCAAAACATTGGATGACTTCACTTAATATAACATAGTCTTTATTCTTAACTGATTCCAAAAGTGATAAAATATCCAAATATCATACATACATCGTATTATTCATTAAAAGCTCCTGGCTAATAGCCTGTTTATTATATTTTAACAATGGCAGAGGCGATTGGCAATATGATAATGGTTTGCTACATAATGGTTTAATGATAACAGCATTATAGTCGGCCGCACGAAAGATAATTCAAAATTAATAGTCTAGAAGGTCGATGTTGATTGTACATGCGATTCGAAGTTCATAATATTATTAAATTACTACTTATTACTAAAATATAACACAAACTGGATCCTAATCAGTAATCAATCCAGGGAGCAGCATGGCAGCGTCTTCAAACAACTTAGCATCAAATGTGGTATAACAACTGCCTACTAACTCTCCTGACGAAGGCCCTCAGATCGAAACGTCGAGAAGTGTTTTGTATATTTAGGCAGTTGTTATACCACATGTGATGCTAAGTTGGATCCTAATCAGTTGTGATAAGCGAATGAAAGCAAAATACGAAAGGTGTTCTGTTGCAAAATAATATTCCCTATAAAATGACACTAGCATGTGTACGTTCTGTAAATTTTCTACAGCCTATATAGAGGGGTTATCTGTCTCTGAGAATGTGTGGTAAAAATCTATGCCAGCAATCACTTCCGTTTCCTAAAGAGTAATGTATATATATAATAGATTATTGTTCATTCCTCATTGCTGTAAAATTCAATTAGATCTTGGCATAAAAACGAGTGACCACCTGCGCCCCATGCACCTATACGAAGAGAAGATGTATCTCAAGCAAACATTGACCTTCCACTTAGTGATATGCCGCGTGTATGTCCATTTGTCCTGTATGTACTTTCCCCGCATGTATGTCCATTTTCGACGTAGCCAAGGCGATATAGCAAGAGGGAGTATGATTTGTTGACAAGCGCGCGTGTGTATACGTCTCAGTGTTATGCTAAGTCGAATTTTTGTACTATTACAGTGTTAATGTAATGCGCTAATACAATAACATTGAACTATATTATTAACAGACAGCGAGAGAATGAATGTCAGAGCTATCAAAGCTTAAACTAAAGAACAATTGATCTGGTCATAGCGCCGGGTTGGATTCAATTTTTTTTGTCTGTAGTATTGTTTTCGCCGTATAAATTGAAGAACCATAAAATCGTTTTGTGAAACGTTTACCACTCGTAACAGTATATCTTGGCCGAATTCTTGGCGAAACAAGTGTCCTGTATCTCGATTTGAACCCTCGTTGGGCAAACCGATGACAAACGTGTTCACTATAGTAAAGTCAATCGCTCGCTAGTATTAACTGTTAAATCAATCGTATTACACAAAGTTTCAGTTGGCTTGGAGTGGACGATTAAAACAATCATACACATCTTGATATAATGGTGGATTCAAGTTATGCTAGCAAAATTCCTTCGGGAATAGGGCTGTCTTTGTTGATTCTCTTCACTTTCCTTGGAAACTGTTTCGTACTTCTGGTTCTACGTTTCAAGACGCCGCGACTGTTGAGGAAACCCCTGTACCTCTTCATCTGCAATATCTGCCTGTCGGACGTCTTCGCGACACTCTTCACGATGACGTTTGAAGTATATGAAGAAATAACTCATGAATGGTGGTTCGGGGGAGAACCCTCTTGCAAGGTAGTCAAGTATTTGGAAATGACTTTATTTGGCGTGAATATCTTCACGCATCTCTCCATAGCAATCGAACGCTTTCGTAATGTCGTGCAACCTTTAAAACCGCCTATGAAACTAAAGATTGCGAAGATTTTGGTCGGAGTTTCCTGGGGTGTTCCTTCAGTGTTATCGTTACCGTATTTGTATACATTACGCCTAACCGAAACTAGTGAAAGAAAGTTTACATGCACGATTGTAGCCATGCCGTTGATATGGCTGGACAAACTGTTTCTAAGCATCGAACTGCTTGTAGTCTTTCTAATCCCTCTACTAAGTACCGTGTGTTTGTACACAATTGTCGTTCAAAAGCTCTACAGTCGAAAGAGGCAAGTGAATGTTATCCTACCTCAGGTAACTCAAGCACGAATGCGCGCGGCAGCGAAGTACGGATCACGTGTATCAATGGCGGTCGCAAGCGTGTTCCTCACGTGTTGGATTCCTCTCGTTGTGGTCTATTTTGTGCGTTTGGTCAGCGGCTCAGATTCGGTGAATCGCACAAGTACTTTGTATGTGATCGCGCTTTATTCGTCTTTCGTGAGCGAGCTGTTGACCCCCTTACTCTATTGTGCCTTCGATCGTAACATCAAACCGGCATTAAGAGACACCTTAAGATGTGGATTAAGATTCTCTGCACTTGAAATGAACTGGTTTACCGCCGGCAATATTGAAGTGCGCTTTCCACTTCGGGTTGCCCCCTTCCGTTGAGGGAAAATGTCAAAATGTCTTGAATGGGGCGTGACAGCACACAGCTGTTCAAATTTACGAACGTCTGCTTGACATTGCATTGACGGGTTTAACGGGAACCAATGAAGCACTAAGAGAAAATTGTTCGTGTTATTTCTCCACCGACAGGTAGCGGGTAATGGGAAAATTCTTTGAAGGATTTATTGATTAAATGAGGCATAATAGTAAAGTGGAAACAGTCTTAATAGTTCCAGAAGTAGGTGTTATAATCCATCTTGTGAAAGAAAACAAACTATATGTATATGTATAGTGTTTGAAAGTTACGGAGAAAAAAATAAAACAAATATAAAGAGTTTGTATTATTGAAAACAAGAGCCAGTCACGGACGAGTCCATTTTTTATAAAAATTATATTTACCCATCAGTATAAAATCATTTGTCGATTTTTATGACAATATATGGCATTTAGTAAAACGCCAGGCTAATATTTAACAATTAGTCGCCGAAGGCGAGGTGATTACAAGCCTATATTCACTGAGCCGAAGGCGAAGTGAATATAGACTTGTAATCACCGAGCCTGAGGCGACTAATTGTTTTAGTATAATTTCAGTATTGAAAAAGTTTTATTTATAAATACAACTGATACACGTGTTTATTTTATGAATATAATTTTGATTTTGAGTATTTTCAGCCATGTTTTTTTGGGGAAAAGCAATAGTTACTGCTCAAACTGCTCTGAGCAGTAACTATTGCCTCAGAGTTACTGTTGAGGGAGCCAATCAGAATGCTCAAAGGCCATTTTTCAATACTGAAAATATACTAAAGCTTTTTAATCAGGGACGAGTATATATATTTTTTATAAAAATTATATTTGTCCATGCATCTGTGTAAAAACATTTGTCATTCTTTATGACAATTGCATGATAATGGTGCACTTGCTAAAAAGTCAGTGTAATATAGCTTTTAACAAATACATTTGTTTGTAATGATTTTAAACCGACGCGGTATAAAGTTCAATCTGGGGAAATGGTAGCTAGAAGTTTGTTTGTAAAGCGCTCCATGCATGCATGCATGAAATGAAAGATTTAGCGCTAGTTCAACCCCGTTTTCTTTGCATGTGTGAATTATCTCTTCTTATTTATGAAACTCACTGGAAATATGAACTGCGCTGGCCGTTATTTTGCATTGGTAATTTTCGAAGCGATGTTTCTGCGTCTTTGGAATGATTAGGAACTTTGGTTCAACGTCCCGGAAAGCCAAAAAATACAATAAAAAGACTGAAAATGTGTAATGCCAGCCTAATATTTCACTACGAAAACACTCCACCCAAAACCTGATACAAATCTACACTTTTAAAGCAACGATGAGCGTATAGGAACGATAAATCGCCTGTTGTCTTTTTAAAGTCAAGGATTTTCATCTATAAATCATGAAATTCTGAATGATAATTTTTTTTTTTAATAGGGGGAGGGTATAAGGAACAGATTAAAGGTTTTAATCTTATCTGAATAACAGTAACAATATACGGGAAATGGATAAATATATCTAAGCCGATAACGATAGTATCCTTAGGGGTCCATCATTGCATGTTTCTCTATATTTTACTATTATATATGCATGTAAATGAATGCTTGCTTCGAAAAATTGCGTCTTTTTCAAAACATGCATCTCTTTCCTGCATTTAACTCGAGATCAATGTCATTCAGTGCTATTCTTCTGCCTTATTTTGATTATTGTGGCCCGATGCAGGAAACTATATTTCGCCGATACTGAACTAAATTACGTCAAAACTTCTAGAACTAACGATATATATTCACTCAATTAACGGATATCAAATAAGTTATATCACTTCGTACGAATTTTAGCATTTTTACATGAACATGCATATGGTAAAATGATAATAATAATTTAATTTATGGAACTAAAAAAAATCGGTGATACGTGCGTCTGTCTCGCTGCATGGAATTAGCCAGAAGAAAATGCTATAAAAACTGTCTGATTGTCATCGCCAATGACCGCCATGTTACATTTGACTGGATAAAGCTATTCACTGAATACTGTTTTTTTCCAACTGTTTTAAACATGCTTCAGAAGCAATGAAATATACTACAGATTTAAGAGAGCGCCGAATTTGAGAATAATAATGTTTTATCGAAGTTATGCATCGAACAACGCCGGAGCAATTTTGGAGCTTTTGAAAAACTCTATCCGCGGTGAATAGCGCTATCAAGATTTCGTACAACTGGCCACTGATGTAAATTAAGATACATACAACTCTTGTATGAAAGTATATATGCATGAAACCCTTTTATTAAATACATCATCACATCGCCTGTATTTATATATAATCAAACTAATTTGCATGGAAACCTGCTGAGGTTAATTTATATAGTAGAATTTTTACTGAATAACGTCATGATATGTAACATTGTCAATAGAATAGTATTTTTTTTTCAAACTTCGTAAAACGATAATAGCTTATGCATATATTTATACTACATTAGCCTGCGTGAATGAATGGAGAACAAAATTTATACTAATCACGTCTAATATATGGATTACCGTAGAGCGTGTGGATTGATTATGTGATTTGAAAACATGCAGAGTTCATTCTGCAGACCATATATAATTTGCGTTAGTATATATTGCATGTATAGCAGCATTTCAATGCTTGTTCTGGCATTTGGAAAGTTTAGGCTTACCACTATTCACAAAGTGCATTCATTTAAAAATATGAATGTTCGTGTATTTTGTTTACGCATTTTTTTTGGATTAATTATTGCTAAATTATGCATCTTATATATATACATGTTTCATTTTGGAGAGGTTGGCGTGCTTTTTAGCAAACTCGTACATAGCCATAGCTAATGATCAAATTTAAAAAATACGCCATAGTTGCTAAACTTGGGATATGACGCTACAAAGATTTATTAAAATTTTGTGGAAAGTGTTGTTAATAGAATTGGATATATAGATAAAATAAAAGTGGGCAACGTGCGCACTATCATTTGGCTGTTCAAGTCCCGTTTGCAAGTTTTTTTAGACCTTTATATCATGTTTACATTTCTACCTGAGCCGATATCTTTTTGTGGCCACTATAGTGAATCACTCTCATGCATCAATTTCACGTTCGTCCTATATGTACTCGCAAATCACACCAGGGGGCGCATATCTCTCAATAAAATGAAAATAACAAACTGACTATACATACCCCTCCTCTTTCTATATTACCCCCTGTCCCGTCTTCAGCAAGCCAGCCTTTTATTTTTAATAATATTTCGAAACCAAACGGTCGACAAGCGTAAATTGTAAGATGCGATAGCTGTTAATGAAATCATCACGCGTTGATCTGCATGTAAATTATCTGTTTAGCAAACTAATGGATTCTTATTTATTTTATTTTACGCGTGTTGTGAAAATATAGAGATGCTTTTCAGCGTTTAACATCTAAATTATCATTATTGAACGAACATGTGCAAATTGTAAAAATACTATAGCGAGACACTGTACTATAGCTTTAATATATCATAAGTTAATATGAAATAATACTAATTGTAGAATTTGCTGGCTACTAAATTGTTCGTGAAAAATGAACGTTTTGCTGGTTTTACGCCGTGCTGAGTTCAAGCAAGGCAGACTTTATATGTAATGGACGTTCATTTCCATATTGTAAATCAAGCTGCATAATGTCAAGTGCATCTGCACATTCACATAAAGTTATATTTGGATTTTATCATTTGTTCCTTATCGATTTCTTTCTTAACACCTATTTTTTCTCACAGCAACAGCTCTCGAACAATATTGTTGTTTTTACACTGCCTATCCGCGAAGAATTCAATCTGTTGGGGCGTTGCGCAAATGAACACTCAAAATATAACCACCTGCTTGGGCATTATCGTACATGCTTACTATATGCATGCATTATAATTGCAGGTCATTGATCATATACTCAGCAAATAAATTGCTTGTTTCCACTCGACTCCGCGCCATTTAGCTCTTGTCGTTTAGTGTTTAGTGTGGTTGCGCAAAACACCGGTTGTCAAGGCAATGACAGTTGCCTTTCTATCGCGTTTGCGGTGTTTTCTGTGAACCTGTTCATAGACAAAACACTGCGTTCAAAGCAGTTCGTTGGAGTAAAATTACACGCTTTGGGACCGCGTGTAACTTGTAATCAAACGCTTCGAGTTTTCGAGGGATACTGTGCGTTGTTTGTAGCGGATTAAAGCAATTGGATTGAAGTGGATAACATTGTCGTCCCACGGAAGGCAGCTCTGGTTGGAAAATAATTGAATTGTAGCATTGTATCTGCAAACAACTTCGAGTGCGGGAAGAAACGGAACAGAATCAAGTTTGTGGGATGTTTCATGCATTGGGAGGAGGAGAAACTACATTGCATGTCGTTCGTATTAGATTCAGTACGATACTCTCAACGGAAAACGTTCACGAAAGTTCACGGATCGTAGCAATAAGATCTTCCTAAAAAATTCATCTTCTTACATAAAGTAGTCTTGAAAATCGTGGGTTTGATTCACAAACGTATCTTGACCAAACACATTGCGAAGTACGTGTCAAATTTTTAAATGAACGTATTGTAATCAGCGATTTGGACGTTTGTTGTTTGGGACAAATCCATTGAGTGAAATCTTGTTATTTGATGCATTCTGAATTGTTATGCATCGATTTATTTCACCGTAGAATTGAATATTCTTGTAAATTAGTAAAGCAAATCAAATATGATATAAAGTTGCAAACGTCTTCATAATGACAGAATCCAGCTTTGGTAGCAAAACTCTACTGACGATAGGACTTTCCTTGTTGGTCGTCTTCACCTTTCTTGGTAACAGCTCTGTTTTGCTGGTTCTACTTTGCCGAGCACGACGACTGTTGAGGAAACCGCTCTATGTCTTCATCTGCAATATCTGCCTATCGGACGTCTTCGCGACACTCTTTACGATGACTTTTGAAGTGTATGAAGAAATAACTCATGAATGGTGGTTCGGAGGAGAACCCTCTTGCAAGGTAGTCGAGTATTTGGAAATGACTTTATTTGGCGTGAATATCTTCACGCATCTCTCGATAGCAATCGAACGCTTTCGTAATGTCGTGCAACCTTTAAAACCGCCTATGAAACTAAAGATTGCGAAGATTTTGGTCGGAGTTTCCTGGGGTGTTCCTTCAGTGTTATCGTTACCGTATTTGTATACATTACGCCTAACCGAAACTAGTGAAGGAAAGTTTATATGCACGAGCGTGACCATGCCGTTGATATGGCTGGACAAACTGTTTCTAAGCGTCGAACTGCTTGTAGTCTTTTTAATTCCTCTACTGGGTACAGCCGTCTTATACACAATGGTGATACGAAAGCTCTACAAGCGAAAAAAGCAAGCGGACGTGGTCCTACCTCAGGCAACGCAAACGACAATGCGAGCGGCAGCAAAGTACGGATCACGCGTATCGATTGCAGTCGCTACCGTGTTCGTTACGTGTTGGATTCCATTCGTGGTTGTCTATATTGCGCGTTTGTTTAGTAGCTCGGATTCGGTGAATCGCACAAGTACTTTGTATGTTTTTGCACTTTATTCCTCTTTTGTGAGCGAACTCTTGACCCCCTTACTCTATTGTGCTTTTGATCGCAACATTAAACCGGCATTAAGAGACACCTTGAGATGTCGCTCAAGGATTTCTGTACCCAGCGAAGAATCGGTGAGCGAAGTTAGCGCCCCGAGAGGTGGTGGAACACAAGTTCAACGTTCAGAAGTCGCATCGCGGGTTGCACGTACCTCTCGAATAGGTATGGCATAGTGCTATATATATAGAGAGATAGAGAGATGGTTCTGAAATGCGTCTCTATATAGTTGGCATCATTTAGATGCCAGACCAGATGATGACACATGCATGTGTAAATGCATGGTGTATCCGACACAGTTAGTGAAGTATACTACTCGCAAGTATACGGGCATCATTCTGTATAGTGTATATTCTTAAAATGCATCTTTCATATTCTTCATGCACAGTCGATGCCTTTGAGCTCGTGAACAACTGCACATTAGCGAGAACTGTTGTCACACGGCAAGTGTATATAAACGCGATCTGTTCATGCGCAATCTAGCTTGATTATATATGTATACTACTTTCTATTGTATATTACTTGATTTTTACTTATTTTGAAGGATAGTTTACTATTAGTTCTTTGAACTGTTATGTCCACAAGAGTGTATATAGTTTTTTTTTACATGCAATTCTGTGCAATATATATCTTAATACATTTTGACTGCATGTTACATGTTTGCCCTTCGGTGTTTGCATGTGTCTGACTTGATATGAATTTTTAACGACGGCACTTTATACATAGCTACCTTGTCTTTCATAGCCGACCTTATTACAAGAATCTTATTTCCGTGGAAGCCTGCTAGAACTATTGCTATAGATAACATATATAAACTGTACAAATACGCCTCGTTTTTGTCTATATACTATATGCATATATATGGACATGCCATTCAACCTAAAGCTGTGGCAACAAAGTGAACGTGCCACCCCAAATGACTGCCTTAAACAATGTTTTTCGGATTGTATAAGTTGAATTATAACCTTATAATGAGTACTTTGCGTCTCGCTCGTGTTTTTCAGCACTGCCGTTGAAGGGGAAAGTCGCAAAAAGCGAAACAACAACTTTCACTATAGCTGACTAAGCCGTTTGTGCAATTGTGTATGATTGTCTGTCATGATTGTTCATTTACATGCATATTATATACTTTATTTACAAGCAATAAAAAAAATCTATGTATTCATGTATAGAGTTTTATTATAAAAAAGTTTTTTTCAGTAGCCAAAACAATTTCAACACCACAGCTGTTAAACTTTTTTCCATAGGTAAAGTTTATATGTTAATACTTCTATATATACTAAATATGTTCCATTGCATGACATTGTGCTTATGCATGGTTTCCAGTTGTGTGCATTATTAATCGAATTCCGCAAGACCTGTTTTGTTGCCGGGTAGAGATTGTCAAACGAATGAATGTGCAGTCAGAATTAGCAGCAGTGCATAAAATAACATTCATCCGTTTCTGCAATGTAGTTGACATTATTGGGAAAAATAAATTAAAAATGGAATATGAAAGAGACCGACAGCGAACTGAATTCATTAAAGCCATGGCGTTAAGTGTAAATAGTGTTAATTAAATTTTTTCCTACTAATAACAGTCAAACACGTTTATAGCTGCAAGAAATTATTTACAACATGCATATGGGAAAAGCACTTTATTTTAAGATGCAATGTATTTCCTGGATATTATGGTATATATTTATCTATTTATGGATAATCATTGTATGTTATATATAGCATCGGGGTTATAGTTTTAATATTACAAATACGCATGCATTGCCAAATACGCAGAGGTTTTCAATTTGAACATGCAGTTTATTCACGAAAGCTTGATTGTAAATAATGGACGAATTAAAGACTTTTATTTTTCACATTGGAACTGGTCGATGTGGTTATTTCGATTTTCAATTTGATGTGTTCCAAGAAGTTTTCCTTAAGATGCTGGTCGCGTTTAAAAGCAATTGAAATAAGTGTTAAAGCATATAATAATTTCCGTATAGGAGTACATTGTCAAAAGAGCTATTTTTGAACGCGGTAATTAATTAATTTTTGTTTAGTTTGCCTACTTCATATAGCCAGACATACAGGCAACGTGGGAACGATTTAGATCTACAGCCAAATTGCTGCTTGTTGTATTTTTTTTTACATTTCTGGTGATAGCCTATAGCTTACCGCTTTCGACATTGTGGGCTCGTATATTTGAATATGAATTAATGTCAACTGTGGTGTAACAACTGCCTAAAACAGAAAAAAACACTTCTCGACGTTTCGACCTGAGGGCCTTCGTCAGGAGAGTTAGTAACTCAACTGTCTATTTTAGGCAGTTGTTATATCACAGTTGATGCTAAGTTGTTTGAAGACGCTGCTCCCTGGTTGTATGAATTAATGTGTCGTTTGAACAAATCTTATCCTACATGCGATTAGACCTCATTCGAATTTTTAAAAACACCTGGCTTGCAGGCTTTGTTAATTATTGATAACCTCTCTCATGACGTCAGAGTCTGCGCGTATATAGTAATGAACCAGTTATTCTAGATGTTATCGTTGGTGTATATGACTTATTTTTAGCTGAACTACTTTAAAAAAACACCTTAACCTTAACGTTCGTCCATATGAAGTGTGAGCAATACTTTATTCTAAAGTGTTGTTAAAATAGTTAATTCAATTTGTCGTCCAGCATAGAAATGGTAATTCTACCATGCATATATTCTAGTACATACAATAATGTATTTTAATGGTTAAAAAGAGCAGGTATATTTTCTAGGTACATAATATTATGAACATAGACTGTCGTGGTTTGTTCGACCTACATTTTGCTTTATAATTCTATTGTGTCTAACTGATGCTACATTGACGTGAGCATTGTCTTAGTAGCTACAAAGTTAAGATTACATTCTAGAGTGGTCAAGATTTTAACAGATAAACTTTTTACAGATAAAGTATTCCAGCTTACAGTTTGCCGGACGGTAAATTATCTATCGTATTTCTATAATGAATCCCTGTATATATATATATATATGGCGCTTGTCCTAAAGCAAATCATATTTGAACGGTGTCAGCTTGTGGTGCATGGCAAGTCCCACCGAGTAGTCATCGTCCTTTGTTAAACTTTAGCATTTGAGTTGGTTTTTTAAAAGTGTTTAATGCTGTAAGCTCAGCAGCCGTACAACGACATCTTTTGATGTACTCGATCCTCTTTCGTTTGAACTTGACTGCTTTTCTAGGACACTTTAGGGTTACAATTTTATAGAATGCCAACACCGGAGTGCAGACGGCACAGGACTCGAAGGAAGACGTCCTTTCTCCCGACAATGGGATGTAAACAGAGTTGCACTGACCGAGGCAGTAATTATTGTGTACCTTCTTCGGTCGGCATCCGTCGCTCTCCACGACCTGTCCTAGCATGCGCGTTTTGCACCAATCGTGTCGCAGTTGCGTTTTCTTCATGCGGAACAACGTGGGCGCGTTCTCGTGTCGTTCGCGTAACACGTCTTGCGGTGATATCGGCGTTACCATGGCAACGAAGTCGTATGACAGATATACCGTGAGGAAAATCATCAGAGAGCTTGCCATCGTTAATCTAAAGAAAGATTTTTATCAAAAATTTGTGAACAAAATAGCGTGAAATCGATACAGCAACCACCGGGCTAACTATGTCCATCACAGCGTCGTTTGAACTGGGCTTGAATACAATTAATGTACAATTTCATAGACGATTGACTTACTTAAATCGGGCAGAATAAAACCTTATTCATCTTGAAGCATATTCATGTACTTGCAGGTGTTGTACTGTAACAACATACCCGTCAACAAATCATCTTGTGATGATCGCGCTGTTCCGATTCAAATTTTTACGCGACATGTTTTTCTTGTGCGCATGTCCCCTCGAAAAACTGGCATTAAAAAGAGCCCAAAGTCCCTTTTTCGGCGATAGATTTCCTTATATTTTGTTGCGGTCTACGATGAATGGACGAATTAAAATTTATGACAAAACTACGCATGAGCTAAAAACATACGTTTGTCAGATGCACTCGAAGAAAAACGCGGAAAATATTTTGCTTTCGCAAAGTGATAATTCTCAGCGTAAGGTTACTGCATTCTCGTATATATAATTCATTTAAATCTCAAGATTTGGACTAAGGAGTTCGTTATTATGGACCGAATTTTGCGTTGAAAACGCCTTTTCCTGTAGGAATCGAAGAGCCGGCGGCATGGCGTTGTGGTGCGTAGTGGGAAACGCTTCAAGACCAAAACACAGAAATGCAATTACTGCATCTTGATCTCTTAAACTTTCACAAACTGGTTACAAATGGAAACCAAATCTTATGGAACGCTAAATCCTTTGGTATTTTACGAGTCTAATAAAAACGCTAGCTAAAAAACCACCTTTGGTGCTAGCTAAAATGGATCGCCAGAAACTTTGTAGTTCAGCCAAAAAGAGCAAACCCATATTAGTCAAAATACGATGCCACCCAAACAATTTCGAAGAGAAGATAAAATCTAAAACGATGTAAATCTTATCAAGTAACATTTCGCTATATTTGCTGGCGTGGATACTTTAAGTAACAATTTAAATGCCAAAATTTAACAGGCATATTTATATTCCCTGTCAGATTCCCTTCGTTTATCAACCAGTAAATCATATCACATGTTCAAATGACTAAAGTGCTTTCTACAAACAGTGTTTTACATAGTAAATATCATATCCATGTATGGTTATCAGAAATCATCGACAAATTATAAGCAAAACCATCTTTAAACGACGGCGCTTACCTTTCTTTGAAGAAGTTTCCACAGAATTTTTCGGCCAATTTAAAATTTATTTCAGGTTTTAATACCGGTGTCCAGCAATAACCACAGGATCATACAAGCTCTGCTCTCTGAGTCGCAAGGTTATAAAAAGATCTCAGCGATTTTTTTTTATATATTCCCCTCTGCTGTGTGGTCGCTTCCTATTGGTGATATGTCAATTATTTCGCTCAGGAAGCGAAGACCTTGGTATACCGAAATGGTCGCGGTTTTATTGCATGTTTCACATCTGTTGAACAGGCAAAAATTCCTTTCAAAATACGACTTTTTCTACCCCCTAAAACAGGGATTTACTTGCTTATTAAAAAGGGCAGGTTTTTTTAGGGTTCTATATTGTTTCTTGCTAGTTTTTGAGGGCAGTCGTGAGATTTAGATTTTTTCAACTATTGCTCTGTCTAATGAGTTTCGCTTAATTTGTTTACAAAAGTTTTCAATTCTGGCTGGGAATGCTAAATTGTAAATATCATTTAGATTGTGGTATGGTTTAATCTCCACGGTCATGCCCTGAAACGCGGGGGTCCAGTAATTTCTCCCCGTTGCACATGAGATCAGCAATTTTTAAAATTCTACGTAATTTAAATAGAAGCGTTTTGCACTCTCTTGGCATGTAACTCATCCATAACGGCAGTCCAACACTCGTCATTATCTCATAACATTGTGAATAGCTATAATTGAGTTTTTAAGGGATATTTCTCAAAAGTGTGTTAGTTTGCGTCATTTGAGCCAAAGCTACAAAAGACGACTCGCGTAGAACAAGAAAACATTCAATCAAATAAACAAAAATTTCTAGCCTAGTCTCCTGGTGTTCACATTACGCAATTGCGCGCACGGACCCACCACGAAGCAATTAGCATAAAGAGCGAAGTTTTATCATATTTACCATATTATCCGACAGATATCCTAATGATTGCGTCTGATTTCACCCTCCCACTTTATTACCAACAGATTAGCGCAATAAATAGTCTTTTTGCCAAAACAAACAATTCGTATATACCATAAGAATAAAAACATCAAAGTTTCCATTGTTTGAATTTTTTGAAATAAAAAATCCATATCTAATTTTAGATCCCAATGACAAATACACGTTTATACAAGTCATCACTTCACGTCTACAATTTATTCTATACATATCTTTGTTTCTTTATTTAGAAAGCAAATAAATCATTAAACAAACAGAACTAGCTACAGTAGCGATCACATTTGCTTGTGACCACCATATTACATCTTCCATCCCCCTACTGAGGCCTGCAGAATTAAGTGAATTCTCTGAATTTGAGATGTTTTCATCGTTACGCTCTTGTATTCCCGAAACAAGCGTTTCTTTATCGAAGAATTTATCAACTTTTGCATCGATCGCCCCTAAAACTTTTCTGTTTTCATTCAGTAGGGCAAAGAATTCGTTCGGTCGCTGGTCTTGAGTTGCTTCAGTGGTGGTAGTCTGATGTTGTTCAGGCATAAGAAGTATTCTGATTTCTTCCATAGCTTTGCGGAGAAATACTTCGTTATTTTCTTGCACCGTTGATTTTATTTGCTTCATTCTTTTTAAATTGATTATTGTTGAACCGAGAATACCTGAGAGAAAAACCTTAATTTTAGTTGTCATTTCGGGAGACTTCTTTACCATGGTAAATATGTTTAGAGGTGATCGTGTTTGTGATGAAAGAATTAGGCTATAACTAAACTAACCTGGGAAAAGCAGAAGAAACAAAGTGTAGTTTGTCTGAAGAATGAGTTTTTTCGACATAGTGACATACGGTGGTCAATTGAATGTAGACTTGTAGTGTAAACGGGGTCTCTTGCCATCATTAGCTTGTCTTGAAGATGATTTTTGAATAATAATGCAGGTAAAAACAATATCTACCGTTCTTGATTTTGAATAATAATGCAGGTAAAACAATATGAACTGTTCTTACTTAATATGAACTGCGCAAGAAAGGAAACTTTGAAGTCCTCACACAGGTAAGATTAGATTTCTGTTTCCTGTCTGGATCGCTGTGAAATATGCGTATATTGGCGTACGGGGCCCTGTTTACTATCGCTTGTTTTCGTTTCGTAATCAGGGGAAAGCTTTTTTAACCCCATCGGCGATAAAACTACGGAATATGACGAGTTACTCAAGATGAAGGATGTCTATTATTAGGCTTTAGAATATAGAGTATAATTTGATGTTTTTGTCAGAAATATTTTCGTCCGAAAACTGGACGATACACCGTATCCGCGGGGGGGGATATTATACACCGTATCCGGGGGGGGGGTTAGAAAGAGAGCTGAGATTTACATAATCCAAGACCAACCTAAAACTGCGCCGAACGCAGAAGCAATAATCGACCAATATTTCGTCCGTTCAGCCCTACTTCTTTCCTCCTCATGAGAGGCTCTCACCGCTGCGGATAACGCCGAAAACTGATCTCGCTCATTCGTCTCAAGCATTTCCAAATCCAACTTAGCTTTTCGCTCTGCGATTAAAGCTTTATGTTCCTCCGTCGCCAGCTGTAAATAACGTTCATCCTCTCGCGGGATCCGGTCGAGTTTATTTCTGAGGTCACGCAGTTCATTTTGTAGCCGAAGAAGTTCTGTTCTGATCTCACCGACTTCTCTTCTGCTCGTCATAAACTTGTCTTCAGCTTCTTGGACTAAATTCTGTGCGCTGCGCACTTCGGTAATGCCCAGAACGCTGTCGAATTGCTTTGTAATTAACCTTACTTTTTCCGTAAACACCGTGGCAATCTTACTGCTCGTAGTGGTCGAAGTCTTACGAGAATTTGCTTTCCAATGTTCGATTTGAAACGGAATATATCTGTACACCGGCAGTTTAGAACTACCGGTTTGTGCCGTTAATATACTACTTCTCTTTAAAATACTTCTGTGTATCATCATTATAGCCTAAAATAATAGAATCACCCAGAAAATGTTTACTAAACGTCCAGTAACTGCTAAGAAAGTAGCATAAACCGATATTTTGATACCGAAACTCCTAATTTCTAGCGGCCATATTGGAATGTTTAGTTTTCTGGCGGTGCGGGGGACTGAGACAGACTACCAGCAGTAACTAATTTTGTTAATAATTTTGATTTTTTTTAACTGTTTTTTTGCAATTTAGTAATCATTTAAAGAGAAAATAAATAATACAAACTAAGCCTTGTATCTTCATTTTGCAACTGCACTATCCCTTTTTAGTTTTTACTGAAAAAAAATGAATAGAAATGTTGAAAATCCTCGAAAATCGAAACGAAACAGTAGCCTGTTGCGGTCAGTGGTAATCCGGGGGAAAACAAAATGGCGGTGAATGCTGCAAGTTTTGTGCACAAAAATTGTAGTCGTTTAACGAGAAATAGTTTTGTTAATCTTTCAAATTTATTTTATAGCAATATCTTTCGATGTAAGCATTTAGGAACGCTGAGCACATCGAATATATTTTCATTAGAGACGGGAGGGCGTCGCCATATTTGTACCCAAGGAGTGACATACGGTCGGTTGTTTAAACTTGATCATTTAGTCTTTCGTTGTTCAAGCACAGACGCGACAACTGTAGCGGGCAGAGTGCAAAAGTTTAGAAAGCTGTTGTATGATTTTTATCTTGGAGGCAAAGCTTTGTTCCAAGATGTTAAATCGACCTGGAAGATCAGACAAAAACTTCGCCAAAATAGTTGGAATTATGACGTTTTGCAGAGAAGCGAATTGTGGACAATGTTTAAGGTGATTGTGGTTTCTTATTATCATTGGTAAGAGCTAGAGTTAGGACGGATCTATATCTCCAATCAGTGGCTCGCTTCGATAACCACAGGCCTGCGGATGGATAGAGTCATAGACGGATAGATCTGTTCTTTCTCCAACTCAGGTTTAAAGAAAGTGTTGCCTTTGAGTTCCCTCTTGCACAATGGTTTAGGATTCAATACAGAAATAATACCACTTCACATAACTATTTACCATTTCATAATTTAGACTCAAAAGAATGTCAAAAAGACTCTCCCAATCATAGCATTATCGTTTCTTCCTGTGATCGGCTATCTTGGACCTATCATCGGGTAGGTATCCTGAAATCCAATACTTGACCTAATGCTAGTAACTGTCTGCTGGGGCCAGTTGCATAAAATGCTAGTTAACCTTTAAAATGTTAGCTAACCTGTTGTTAGTGGCAGAATTGGCCAATCAGAGTCAAATATTTCTGAGTTAACTAGGATGTAACAAAATGTAGTTAAGTTTTATACAAGCAGCCCCTGACATTCATGATAATTTGAATTTTCTCTTTCCTTCTTGTTTCTGTCTTTTGGCTTGCATTATAAAATTGACAAACACATTTGCTAAAGGTTCTTGAGGCCACGGCAATTTCTTTCTGATCATTTCTGGACTGAGAAACAAAAGAAGAAGTTCAAAGCTTTGGACAGTAAGGAAAGAATAGAGTGCAGAAATGCAATATTTCACATCATCCACGAGGAAACTAAAAAACCAGGAAATGAAGAGCATCAGTTGTTGCACAAAATAACTGCCAGAGTAAGTAAGGACTTTATATTATTGTAATATTACCGGAGACTTTATTTGCCTGAGAAGCACCTAACCACACGTGGCAGTAATAACTTTATTTCGCTAATATAGAAACAGAAAACACATTCAAGTAGTTGTGTTACTACATCATGTATTTCTGCTAGGCTGATCTAGACGACGATGCACCTTTTGAAAAGACCTTTTCAGCCTTCTCAAGCGGAGGTTTCGAGTTAAACAATCTTGAACATGTTCACCTGGTGAGTGTCTGGATCAACTGAAGTTGATGCCCTTTCTCTTGCAATGGGGTCATTTGCTTCTATAACAAATTTTTGACTTGATGTATACACTGTGCTACCAAAGATTTTCTCATGAAAAAGATGCAGCTCATGCTAGATTCAATAGTGTTTTCACATTTTCCATTTGCAATGCAGAAAGTTCTGTGCTAACTTCTGTGACAGTCTTTGTATTTGAGCCGATAATTCCTTTGCATTTGAGAAGGAACTAAGATGTTTTCCATGAAAAAGACGCAGTGCCGTATTTTAAATGTTTATATTTTTCGTTTCCAAAGAAAAAGCTGTGTTCTTTTTGGATTCTGAGATCATTATGGCCTAGCTTCATGTTAAAACGAAGTTTGAAAAATGAGATGTTCGTCATTCACAGAGACGACATCGCTCTAGCCCGCGAAGGAGTTGAAACGCTGGACGAAAAACAGTTGAAAGAGGTAAAAAAATTAAGCTGATTTGTGGAAGTAAAACTAGGAGGGTTTAACCTGTGCTTTAACCCCATTTACTTCAGGCCGGAGAGTCGGGGGAAGGGGGCAAGATGCCCGGGACCTCTCCTTCTCGTTCTACTATTCTTGTTTACCCTAGATTCACTACTGGACCTACCCTTACAACTTACAACTTAATTTTGGATAACATCAAGTACCATGCATGCTAAGTAAGAGTCGAAATCTTTAACACTGCTTGAACCGTAGTGAAATTCCTTTTTCCAACATCTAGGCCTGCCACGTGCGTGGACTGGATACATCACATACCTCCCAGGAAGATCTACAAATTTGGCTCAAAAGTTGGCTGGAGCTTACCAAAGATGTATCAGGTATTTGGCATCTCTATTATTAAGGCCTTCTCTTTCCCGGTAGAAATGAAGACTCCAGCAGTTCACCGCTGGAAGGTGATGATCGCGCGCTGTTAGTTGAAAAATGTGTTCGCTAAGAAATTGAATCAAGAAAATTATGTAGCAGGTCGGATGAAATTTTAAGGTAATCCTGTTCTTTTTAGATAACGAGACTTCATATCTTGCCCATCATGCTGTGTTTAAGGCCCTGGACGTTCAAGAAACGGTAAACGAGCGATCGAGAAGTCAGGTCAGGTGACTACTATAGGCATGCAGACGTGGTAACTGGTAAGCATCAGGAAATTGCTGAAAATTCGCAATTTTTAAATCAACTGTAATCCAAGGCGCAGTACTTTTGCGTATAGCATAAACATTGCAAAGACTGTGCTGACCAATAACTGCCACATATGGCACTAACTGTATCACGAACAACAGACCGCACGAATCATGATGTCATCTGCGCGAGCAGAATTCCCTGCGAGAAGGGAATGGTGTAAGTTACGCAGATTAAACACGGTTGGAAGTCATGATACAATAGGTCGATCAATGAAGCCAATTATCATTTATTTCATTTAGGCTATTTTGCCCTCTAACTTGTGAAACATCTGGTTTAAATTAAATATTTGCACATACTCATGTGACATATAACATATCCATAGATTTGGTATTATTCGCTCTAATAGATCCAGGGTTTTGCCCTTAGGGTCAGCTGTAAGCTGAATAAATGCTGCATGAATTCCTCTTGAAAATTCGAACTACGTAAAACCTTTTCCGGAAAATCGTCATAGCCACACCACAAAATCGTGGTGGAAAGCATTCAAAGCAGTAATTTCGTTGAAAATCCGGTCCGTATCGTCGAAACGGAGCCATAGGTCTGACCGCTGATGCGTATTTTGAATGCAGCCACCTGCATTGGCATTCTTCCAAAAACGTTGAAGCCTTACAAAGCTAGTATGGACATAACCTAGTAACCGTCTCATGCCATGACGGAAATAGACTGTGCTCGAATGAATACTTATCCATTTAAAAGGCTGGCTGTCGTATCGGGTCACTATTGGTCGGGTCATTGTGTGATTTAATGTTTTGGCTTGCTTCGTTCCGAGATATATTACGAGTCTATTAAGAGCTGGGGTCTCGACTCACAGATGTTGAATGGCGAAGAGAAAGTACGAAGACGATGTGGACGACGATCGGGTTAAAAAATACGCGAAGAAATCTGTACATTACGGCGATGTAACCGTGTTTTACTTTCAGCGAGTTCAAAGCTTTAGCTGTATTCCTTCTCTCGGGGGAGTCGCCCTCGGCTTGTCATCAAGACATATATACTCAGAACGATGTAAGATAGTCGACGAATTCCCGACGTATAAAAGGGAGCCTTTGCCGTCGAAAATACGACAAAAGTTGCTGCGTTTGGCCGGGGTTAGGAAATGGAAAAAACCCGAACTAAAAACAGCTCGCGATATAAGAATATCGCGGCTGAACTGTGGCTGTAGCTGTGGTGAATATTGCTTTCCACAAACATGTAGTTGTTGTCTCAATGGCATTGGATGCCAGGTCGACGAAGGAACGTTTCCCTGTAGCTGTCGCCCAAATTGTTGTTTAAACTCTCAAGGAAGACACGAATATAGCGCTGTGAACATTGCAAAGCACTGCACGGAGACCTTGGCCCGGGTTCGGACGAACATTGATAGTCTTGATAGTTGATATCAACATTTTGCCTGTGTAATAAATTAGCATTTATCAATTTTTTAAGATCGACTGTGCGTTGGCTACAGCGAAATTTAGGAAATTATTCAAAATACTATAAATATTGGAGTATATTTAAATTCAGGAATTGTATTTAGGAATTGTGCACCAGTTGCAGTGAAAATTGAAGCATTTGAAGGGGGAAACTTTTATAAATAAAAGCAGCTGAATGCAAATTTATGGTTTGTTGTATTGTGAACTCTTTAAGCTCATTGAATAAGAATTGCTTGCGGGGTTTTCCCTGGAATGAATACCAAACATATCATGTGACCCAGTAGGTTACTTGCCCGCACGCGGGGTCTTCCGCTCTTCCATGCGGGCTGTGGAGCCCGTTTTTAGTCGACTCGTCCACAGTCTCTCAGGTTCAGTCAAGGAGTGACAAGGACATCAACCTTCTTTTCTCAGGCCAACTCAGAACCAAGAACGGCGTATCTTCATCAGCCGCATTCTCATTGGAGAGAGGCTTATTACCTCCCGGAAATATTTCTAATAATACAGATTTTCTAACCACACACTTTCGGCCGCTCACGATGACGAGCATCTGCTTTTTTGGGGGTACTTTTTAATTTTCCTAAATAGGTTTAAAATTGTTTAAACAATTATAACAATATGAGAATCAATTTCTAGAATCAACCGACTATTATTTACCTACAGTTTAATTTCCCCTAATAAAACACGCTCACATATTCAAAGAATTTTCCCAAAAATTTTATAGCCGGTCGAAATAGCTACTTGAATTGTTGAAATAAATCTAAGAGTAAGTGAAACGTGTTGATATTCTAGGGCAACCCTCAGGTATGATAATTGGTGCAGTCCTCAACTTAATTGGTAAATTAAATTGTTTTGCCATTAAATTGCCAAGCAAACTAGATTTGATTCACGAAACCGTCCTTGTTAAAAGTATTTTACTCTTCTTAAAAAAAGATCGAAAACCTCCGATTTTTTAACAACGGAATGTTTGCGTTACACGATGTTGAAGGGTTGACAATCTTAAGAATTTTCTTTTTATATAAATTACAACAATATTATGTTAATGACCCATTACAATTACATATCGTGACAAATATTATCCATTATATACTCCAGTTATTTACCTCACGACTTTCTGTTTCAGTCTAAAATCTAAACCAAATACGAGTTTGATAGGATAGGAAGACGGTTGATTTGGAGCCCCATAATATGAAATACCCCCCAAAAAGTTTCGGCCTGAGCTCCGAAGCCTAGCAAAGATATTCTCTTCGGAACAATATCAAGATTTTTTCCATCGTTTGTGCCGAATTTTACATTCCTCATATTAAGTATGTTGGCCGACGCTGAGCAGTTATTTCGAGAAGAATATCCAATTCCTGAGCCGTGACGACTCCTTGGAATGCACTTTCGGTATAATGTATTGTATTGTCATTCTAATGTGACATTATGTGGTTCTATGTTTCGCTCGGCCAGGAGCCGACATAATTTAAAAACTCGGCATTTTTTTGTAGCCCGACTCCGTGAGTTTGTAATTCATGGGATATTTTATTGCTGCCGCATATATTACAACAGAATCACAAGGTTTTAACATAAAATTTAGGCGAAGAAGGACGAAAATTATTTTCGGAATGAAGTAATTGCAACAAAGTATGAAAATAGTTTGATACATTCTTTCGTGTCATTCAGCGTTCTCATTGGTCAGATCGTGCCACGTGACGCGTGTCCTTTCCTTGCGATGTTTTGAACAACATTATAATCATAATCTTTCCTATCGCATTTCTTTCCTTTTGTGTGCGAATTTTTCTTCCCAAAGACGCGGTCTCGCCGCCGGTTTAATGAAGAAGAAGTCCTTGGTTTGTGTTTGAACAAGACCGTTAAAAAGACCGCTTTCAAATGTCAGAATATGGGGTACAAACATCAAGACGAACACAGTATAGTGGAACTGATTTGAACAATGACCTCGGCATTGGCAGTCGAAAAAGGACTCTGGACGACAATGAATCGCACCGAATTCAAAACTTTAATAACGCGAAAACCGCAGGCAGAGATTCACCTGGGTTGAAAGACGACGAAGATAAATATTATCAGTATTTATTGCACAAAAGCTCTACAAATCGTCGGTCGCAACACGAAGGAACGCTGGTTTCTGCACAAAACGGAACTGCAACGACTCGTAATGAAAGAGTGTCGCTTGGTCGGCCGAATAATTTTCAGAATAGGCCTACTTCGCAGCAAAGCAATAAGCAAACAAATAGGGATTCGTCTGGTCTTCGCAGCAATGTGTACCGAAGTCATTTGAGCGGGCCGGCGTATATCAACAATGACAGGAAATCAAATTCCCCATCGCCTACAAATCGCGAAATGGCAAGTGGACCGAAACCCAGACCCAGGGTAAAGGATCTACGAAGTCTTTTCGACTCCGGAAAGGCCGAGCAGAATCCTGACAGTGTAAAGAGGAAAGAAATCGGTAGCCACAACAAGGCACCTGCAGTTGTTCACGAGACCAATACCGATCAGGCATTATCAAAGGGCTTATATAATGTAAACAGAGATACTGTCAAAACAAATAATATAAACGCGAAGACTAGTAACCAAACAACCAAAGAAGAATATATTGATAGTACAGCCCATGGAAATGTTGACAACGGGCAATGGGATGGTGATATTGTTCCCCTGGAGAGAGCAAGAGTTTTCTCAGAGCCAGGAGGAAAAGTCGTTCGGGGAGATAAGAAGACCTCTCCCCAGAATGGACAAAGTTTTAAAGGTATCAAATTATCACACGAGGAAGCTAAGGGTGCATGGAGACTTAGTCTTTCTGCTCATCGACATCAAAAGGACAGCTCGAGCGAAGAAGAATCCTCCAGTGAAGGCTCAGATGACGAGGATGATCAAGATCCTAACGATTCACGGCATCGGATCAGCGACAAACGAGTCATTCAGATGTTGCAGAAACGACATCCAACTGAAGAGCTTAAGAAAATGTTTGATGGACCTGAGGCATTTAATGCTACAACTAAACGTCAGTCTTTTCATGGCTCCTCTGATCTGCTAAATGATGGAGGCTTTGAAAAAGGTCCGCTTGCAGAAGTCAGTACAAGTCCTCAGCCAGATGCAAGGGTGGCTTCACCCCAGGGTGAGGCCAGTCCTCTATTAGATGGTAATGACGAGGACTCACCTCCTTCTCTGAAATATGTCAGTACTGGGCCAGTCAAGGATAATAGTTTAGGAGTTGTTGGTGACTTTAACGTGTCCCAGTTCATTGCTAGTCCGCTACCTCAAAGACATCATATTCAGAACAATGTTGATGAATCACAAGAGGAGCTTCATAGTGAAAATGCTCAGCTTGATGTAAGCACCACTCAAGCTGATAGCTATAAATCAATGTATCATGATTTCTTAAAAAAAGAAGGGCTTGCTCCTGAAGTTACACCATCCCCTCCTAAAACCACCCAGCGATACACAAGGGAGTCATTTCGACCTCCCCTGTACTCTGAAGACAGCGAAGCCGACAGTCTAATGCCGGGGGAGAATCTTAATGAAGATATTGCGACACAGCAACAGGTCATCAAGGAAACTGAGCAATCAGAGTTAAACGAGTCAGTCGAACCATTAGAAACTGATGAACCAATTCCAAAAAATGACAGTGCTGTTGATCTGATGCCGAAAGAGTATGATGAGGATACGCCAGATGAAGATGCTATTCATGACTCGTCCTTTGATGAAAGTGATGTTGGAAGCACCACCTCTCCTGAACTTAAATCAAACTTCCAATTCAGTTATAATCTTCAGCATCATAAGGACCTTGAGGCTCCTAAAGATGACACTGATGGGAGACCAAAGGCGAAGGGAAAGCGCACAGTCCGGTTTACCCAGTCTAATCATACGGTTCACGAGACCTACCATCCGTTAGATTATGAAAGGGGTAATGATGACATTGATCCTGTCAGCTCTTCTGCAGAATGGGAACTGGAAAAACGTGTTGAGAAAATGGATGTGTTCTCTGTGGATCTTGATAAAGGAGGTTAGTCTTAAAATTTTCATTTCTCTGATCATTTCAATTCTTCTTCTTCAATTTAAATGTTTGTATAGCCAGTGTACTCTTTGCTAATACCAAAGGATCATACTCATTAGAGATGGCAGTACATATGTATAAATGCAGCAAGATAATAGTTCAAACTTCAACATCTAAAAAACACTTTCAGATCAACGAGGACTTGGTCTCAGCATTGTTGGTCTTGGTGTTGGCACAGATTCAGGAGTTGAGAAATTGGGAATATTTGTCAAGTCACTCACATCTGGTGGAGCAGCTGAGGCTGATGGAAGGTAAGTACTGTACTACCTTCCTAAATCTGACTCTGTGATTACCTTTCTATAATATGTACACTGACGTAGAATATATTCAGTACTGTATGTGTTATTTGTTCTGCATCAAGTGCTTATGCTACACTCTTGTTCATACCATATATAAATTAATATAATCCTCTTTCTTAGGATTCAAATGAATGATCAGATTTTGGAGGTGGATGGTATTTCACTGGTTGGAGTGTCTCAGATGTTTGCAGCGCAGACCTTGAAGAACACCAAGGGTACTGTAAGGTAACCAAAATTACTTGCTAAAGTTTCATGTGGCACTAAAATGAACCCAACCAGGGGGAGGGTGGGTAATGGTATGTATGCATTTTGTACAGCTAACATTTGCCATACTTTTGTTAAAGGTTCCTAATGGGGAGAGAGAAAGGCAGACATGTAAACAAGGTCAGTTTTATAGTCTATCATGAACAGTAATCAATTTCACAATAATATGGTTTTATATAATGATCAATGTATTTTATATGTACTTTATAAATTGAATATTGACGTTGGTTTAGCCTAAACCGGGAATTCTGTGAAAGATGCAGTGCAGATCCTCTCAAAGGATGCAAACTTTTTATTCATGTTCAAGAAGGATGAAGGTTAATACATACCCGGTCAATATTGATGTACTACTTTATATTTATACAGGTTGATGCTGACAAGTATATGGCCCGTTGTGACAAACTCGAAGAGGAATTAACTCAGGTGATGAGGGGATTTTAAGACACTAGGCCGGCATTTAGATAAACGTAGAAAATGGCTGAAATTCCTCACGAGCAAAATCTGTGATGCTTCTTTCAATAGGCCAGGCAGCGAATTCGTGAACTTGAAGCAGAAAGAGTTGTGGATAAGGTAGGAATTTTTATCCCAACGGCATTATAGTTGGGTCGTAATATGGGTGCTGTTGGGTAGAGGACTTATATTAAACACGACCCTGGTTTGGCCTCTACACTGAAACACTTTGTAACATGGCATACCTTTTTTTTTCACTTTAGGTCACGACAGAGGACTCCTCAGATGACACGGAAGGCTTAAGAAATAAGTTACGATCGCTTGAAGAGAAGCTAACGAAGACTGGGGAGAGCCTGTCTGTGGCTGAACGTGAACACAGCGCCCTGCAGAAACAGCTGGATGAGAGCAAGAAATTATACAGTCTCGTGCAAAAGAAGAATACACAACTGAAAGAACAATTGCAGAATGAACAGCAGAAAAACCGAAATGTACAAAGGTATGTTACGGTTGGACTTCTCTATTACAGCATTGCTCTCGGTAGCTTCGCTCGTTCCATTGTGTTTCAACGTTGCTTGCACGTCATATGCCTGTTTGAGAAAAAGCATATCTCCCGTTCATTTCATGCACAGCTTGGACAGAAATCGACTACAAACGATTTTTACACAGTTCACAAGATGAACGGAAATACGATGAGCTAAAATTTGAGCTAATATTATTCATGTTTACAAGCAGTCTTCCGCCTTCAAGAGAGTCCTCGTTAAAACGTTACAGTAAAACGAATGAATGCATTTGCTGCAATTCACTCGAGGTTTTGCGTTAAAAGCGACAAAACGCGTGCATGGCCAACATCCGTCAGCACTTCGTCATAAAGTGTAGAAAGAAAGTTGAATATTTCACTCGACGGTTAAGAAGTATCCAGACCGTATTTGACGGCAAAGCTCCCAATACCGATGGAAAAAATTTTGATAATCCGTAAAAATGCATGTTTCCTTGCTGTGCAATCAGACAAATCCATACAATTTCCTCAATCTGGAATATATTTCCATCGCAAACGGAAGAATTTTAAAATCTTTCTGCATTTTGACTTCTGCGTACTATTTTTAGAATAGGTTTATTCAAACGCCTCTGTCACTTTTCACAGGAACAACAATAGCTTTGGGGCAGGCGAAGAACAGTTGGTTGAACAACTTCAAGCGAGGGTACAGATTTTTCTATTTTTTTTATTAACACTGTGTGTAACAGGGCTTGGTCAATCCCTATTTACCCACTATTCACCCGTTCACCGTAGCTGCCTGACCCCCACAAGGGGCAGGTACACCCCCCAATTTCTCGTCAGTTGCTGAACTCTTTCCGTTTTCTTAGGTACGTGAACTGGAAACTGCCCTTCGTGCAAACGGTCAAACTAACGCCATCAAGGCTAGTAGCCGTGGCAACCATGAGGACAGCAGTATATTTGATCAGTACATTCAACCAACACGAGGTCAACTGGAAACTAGTCACAGTTTAAGTCAAGAAAGTGAAAGTGATTTTGATGACATTGTGAAAGCAACCCCAGGTACAAAATAAACTTGTCGCGAACGCCGTGACAAATGACAATCATTACCTTAAGAGATGGACAGGCTTTATAGTGACTGCAGTTTTGTTTGTGCGTATGTAGTCATTGATAGATAATGTTGGGTTGAATGAGCTACGATTGAACCGCAAATGTGTAGTTAAAATGTACTGTAATCATGCAATCATATGCAATAATGCACATTTTGCGCTGTTTTTTTCAGCTGAGACAGCCGCTGACCTTGGTAATGTTATCCCTGCGACTGCCATCCTCGATCCCACAATGCAACACGATAAGATCCAAGCTGCTGCTGGTGACGCTAGACGACGTAGACCATCACGTGATCATATACAACGACTTAGCAGAGACCTGGATCCCGATCAACAAGCTGAGGTGTGTTCTCTGAGTGATACCAGATATAACTGTTGTTTGAAAGTGATCTGAAATAATACCTTTTGCTTAGATAATGAACAAGTCCGTGGAAGATTTAGTCGAGAAGGTTCGTGAGTATGCCGACGACCCCAACCTGGACTCTAAACCGAGGCGACCACTGACCGGTTATTACGCAGGCGCGGAAGGAAAGGATGAAGCAGCCTCACAGGTGATACCGCTGAATGTTGCGGTAAAGGAACACGAAGAGGAACGAAACAGTCTTACTCGTGGAAAAGAACGAGGAAGTAACGAGGGTATTGCTCAGAAAACAAGATCAATGGAAGACCTGAGCCCTGGTTCATCCCGAGAGATTCTTGATGAGGTTTGCATCATTCCAGACCATTCAGTTCTATACATATATCTGTGTCTGTATATCTTGAAGACCTGGGGCCGTTTGTATCAAGCCCGTTTAGCTTAAACGGTGGTTAAGTTCAAAATAGAAAGCAAGTCTATCGTTTTATTCAACAAGCAAACTAAATATTTTTAACCTTTCCAGCCTCGTGCCAAACCAAGACATGATCCGCAGACTTCCCCCGTGGACTCTGATGAAAAATCGACAAAGAATCGAGGTACAATCCAATATTCACTTAGCTGAAGTTAAACTTGTGCATCCAGTGAGTTTCACTGGGTAGTTTAAGCCGCGATCAGATTGAGGGGCAGCCTCGAATGCTTGGCTATTTTTCGACACCTTTGTTCCACGGTATAACGGGAATTATTGAAGATCTCACTGAGCACGTCTTACCCTTTTTATCTCCCACCCCATCGAAATCCCTGGGAAAAGGAGGGTGATTTTCTAGAAGTTTGGAAGAGACTCCTTCCCTCTAGAAAATCCCCCATCTTCGCCCCAACAAACCACCCTTCTTCCCTCCCGGATAATCCGCTCCTTCCCCCCATAAAATAACCCTTCTTTTCCCAAGAAATCCCGTAATATACAACTGTATCTTTTTGTCCCTCTTTGACAGCAATCTCGCCCAGCAGTTCAACAGGAGAAGGGATGAGTGATCACGACGAACTAAGAACGACCAGCTCTGGGTCGATTCCCGACGAAGGAAAGCCGGTCATGGCCGAATGGAAGATAAAACCTTTAGCTGAATGGGATACGCATCAGGTTTGTTCGAGAACGTGTTTTTGGTTGAAGAAACAAATGCTCCAAAACTCTGGATGACCAGTTGTGTCTGATTTGGTGTGGCGATAACCAAACAGGATACTACCGTCTTGACATTTCCTAAAATATTTCATCTTTTTACCACCAGGTAAACTGCTGGTTGATGTCAATCGAACTAGAGGAGTACTCTGGCTTGTTTGCGACGCACAACATTGACGGCAACGAATTACTAACGATGGATAGCGCAAAGATAAAGGTACGAATGTTATCTGCAATATTAGTGTATCATATATAGATCATTTTCAACACCCCACTGCCTGATGAATCCTTGCTTAGTATCCGACAAAGTTTGTGCAAAAAAATAGGCTATTAACATCCTTTCATTTATCCATCGAGTATTCTAGAGTCAACCGCACTTTCACTACACGAAATGTAGTTGAAAGCATCATACAAGCGCCCCTGTTTAGTCATGCGGTTTCTCCTCGTCTCGTGTTGTAACTCTTGCGGTCTTTTCAGAATATTGGGGTGCAGCAAAAACATCAAAAGCTGTTGAAAAAGAGGCTGAAAGAGTTGAGAAGCGAAATGGAAAAACAAGAGAAACAGCGGTTGAAGAACAGGAAAGGCTCCAAGAAATCAAAGAAGGTGCCGTTTTGGAAAGGAAAGTATGATATCTCTAGTCAATAGTAACCAGAGTTGACTATAAACAAGCATATCTGGTCGCATCGCCCAGATCTTGCATATATAGTTTATGCAGTTGATAAGCCCAAAAGAGTGAACATGATTCATTGGACAACCGAAATGAAATCTTCCATGACACCTATGAGTTTCATGAAAGCTAAATATCGATTATCTTGAAGCTTTTTAAAAGTCTGTTTAATGAATCAATGCATGTGGAGTGCGCTCATAACGCGATCAGCCGGGCTTATCTAGTGCGTAAATTTTCCGGATTTTAAACAATCATACTTCGCTCAAAAATGCACTTATATAAACTTATATTCATCCTGTAGTATCCACCTAGTAATATATTCATCCTGTAGTATCCACCAGTTGCAGTGCGACAAGGCAAAAAGACTAGCATTCCAGACTACATATATAAGTCAACTAGAGGATTCTCCAGTTGACTTATATACGTAGTCTGGAATGCTAGTCTTTTTGCCTGCCTTGTAGCATTCCGACATATCTTAGTTTTAATATTATAATGTGGAAATTTCAGTTTTAACTGTAATTTATGAACACGGACCGCGGACGTTGATGCAAAATAGCCAGGCATGTATATCCATAATTTGCGTCGAATGCATATAGGTTTAATTAATGACGGAATGAATTTTTAAATAAATGACGGCAATTTTATGTAAGCAAATTTAATGTAGAAAGGTTAGGTGATGCATATAGTGTAAAACTGAACATTATACAGTAAATGTTTGATAATGTACTCGTGTTGAAAGCTTTGTGATCTTTTGACTGTTGTTTGTTCAAAATAGAGCAAAGTTCGTGAAGATTTTTAGACGAAAATACTGTTATAGGCACAATGATTTAGTTAACATGAATTTACATGAATTCCACGCCACAGCATTTAACATGAATTTATAAATATTCGTCATTTATATTCATTGTATAGTTATAATCACTCCCTTACTAACACTAATATACTAGTATTACTAACATTGTATAACAATTACACGTTGTCGAAATTGGATCACTCTGTACCATAAATATATCATTTTTACATCGTCATTGTGCAGTGACTAATCAATGAATGTCCATTCCCGCTCTTTTCCATGGCCCAAAAGTAGATCCGTCAGTAGCCTTAAAAGGATAAATAAGCGTGTGTTTATTATTAAAAAAGCACGTGACACAAACTAACCAATCATATTAGGATAGATATTTAATATAGCTACCTCAAACCATAGACGAATATAACGAAGGCGATGGAAATAGCGATAATTGAATCCAGAAACCACACTTGATCGTTTTGACGCTGAGCAAAGGTACTTGCTAATAAGCCTAAAGCCATGAAGGCTGTTGTTGAAGAATTGAAAGCTACATGAACGCAAATATACAAGGTAATGAAAGGGTTTTGGAATAATAGTTTTTATTCTCTGAATAGTAGTTTTCATTCTGTGAATAATAGTTTTCATTCTCTGAATAATAGTTTTCATTCTCTGAATAATAGTTTTCATTCTATCCACACTGGCTGCTTTACCTATCGTGAATGAAGCCATGCAGAAGCAATTTTAGATGGAAATGCGTCTATGATATAACATACCATCTGTTTTCATTGACAAACTGTGAATGGCGTTTCCAATCACGAATTTGAACCACGAAATAATGGCAAAACCAACGCAACTGATGCAGGCAATGACGAGGAGTCCTGGTGTCTAAACAAAGGTTGATAGAGAGTTGGTGTTTTGTATCTTTGTGAATCTTATACCAGATGGTTTTCCTTGACCCTAAAAATATACTCCATATTTAAGCAATGACTTCATTTACAAAAGTCTTTTCATCAAACCTTCTCTGGCATCTCCTGTTGTAGCAAAAGATACACCGTGCGAGAAAATATCCCGAAAGACGAGAAAATAAAACAAACGCCAATCCCGACGCAGGCTCTGGCAAAAATAAAAGCTGTGCATAATTATCAGAAGTGCATAATTATGGTCACATTGAATATAGTGATCAGAAGTGCATATGGAAATCACATTGAATATAGAGGTCAGATGAGGTTTCATTAGATATATATATGTTCTAAACCCCCCCCCCCCCCTCCTGAGATGGGAAGAATCATGAAGGATCATACACCCTGATACAAATAATTGCCACTTACTGTTTTTCTCTTTCCCACGAATGTTCCACACCGGCTGCTCCATAAAATCTCCAAAACACGATTGCTGATGTAGCCGTGTCCAGCAGTGAGTCAAACTATAGCAAAAGTAGTGCAAAAAGATCGTAATCAACTGGTTCTCATGCAGTTTTAATGCCGGCGTAAAAAACTATATGTACTAGTACAGGGATATATCTTACTGCAAATCCAAATGCGGTTTTGCTACCTCCAGAGAGTGACAATACTAGGAACATAAAACACGCGAGGATTAAGACATTGCTGAACAAACTATAAACGTCGACATCTCTGACTTTTGCTTTGCAATGTTGTGTAAATTGGTCCGGCGTAAGTAAGTAGAGTAAAGGCTCGTTCACACCAACACAATCCAGCTTTGTCCGATCCAAATTACTTCTGGCGTATGGAATGAAGTTTGTTATTGAAAAAGCAGTACAGCATTGGTTTTGGTGGAATTGCTGCCCATATACATTGCAAGTCAACCGACTGTAATCACATCCATCAGAAGTGAATCGGAACGGACAAAATTGGATCGTGTGAACAGACCTTAGAAGGTAGGACACATATTAACATGTATTCTTACCAAAAACCAGAATCCCAATGCCAACTGAAGTCAACATTGAGATGAACAAAATCAACTGCGCCCCAAGATGCCATTTCACGGCAATACTGGATGGAGGATGATGATTGTTTTCACCAAGGATATCTTTGAAAAGAAAAACAACAAGAAACTATGAAACGAAATTCCAGCGGCCGGTTGTACGAAAGCTTGATAATCACGAACAAAGTTTGGTCACTGTGGTTTGGTCTATCATGCAGCTGGTCCTCAACGCTAGCTCGTATTGACAACTACAATGATTTAGGGCCACGTAGTTTGCTATAGTTTGCTTTTTCACGGCCGTAAAACATTCGCGAATCACTTTTGTCTCATTTTCTCTCACAAGATAACGCTCTAGTGTAATTTAATAAGAACGTGATAAATTATTCAACAATATTTGTCTGACTTAATGAAACTAGAATATATATCATTTTATGTTTGTAGTTCATTTTTGAACTTCAGCAAACTACAATAGCCTAAAAACAGGTTATCTTGAGAAGGAACGAAAATGATTTATATGAGTTGCATAAAAGTCAGATAGAATATCTAGAAAATGAAAATTACTCCAAACAAACACGTATGTAAGAAAAAGCTAGTGCTTTTCCAAAATCTCTACTCCGCTTAAATTTTGTTAATATTGTTTTGAGACTTATGATCGAGGCAGTCTAATTTGTGAAGACCATTTATAATTCTACTTCCTGTTTTACAAAAGACAAGATTTTACCTCGCTCAAGGGAAGTAGAGTGCTAATTTTTAGTTTTAACAAAAAGTTATGTTGTCTCAGTTAATTTGCCATACGTTATCACGTTTGAATATCTTTACAAAACCCGGCTTTCCGCAGGTCTTACCGTCGTCCAAGTGAGAGACACATGGCAGTCTGTTGTACTCGTTGTACTGCGAATGAAAGTCGATTTTCTGCAACGGTTTGGTAGGGTTTTCAGCAATCGTGCAAAGCAAACTCATACTTCAGACAAAAGGCATTAATTTTTCTCAAGTTATTCATTATGCACGAGTTGGAAACGAAACCACAGATATTTAATAACCAATCTTTGACAGGCTTAATTTGGAGTGACAATGACAAGCAACTTGCTGACACAAACTGTGGTTTGGAAAAAGCCTGATTCTGTAATATGTCCATTGTGTGGAAAGTGGAGTACCTGCTTTCTGGACCCGAATACGTCGAAACGTGTTGTACTTTTCTGTCTCAATAAATGCAATGCTTTCTTAGTTTTAAGTAGGTTTAGTAAAACCACAGTTAACTGTGGTAAAACTGAACGTATCTTTCCACAACGTGCGGAATACAGGCTATGCTGTTTCAAATACTACGGGCTGAAAGAGGAGTCACTCCAGAAAGAAATAGAGAGCAAACATCCGTGCGTGTTTTGCCAAACATTGAATTATCGACTCTAATATGAACGGCTGGAACCAAGAGTGTCTTTTATCTATGATAAGTAACCGCTTATCAGAGAATTCAAGTCTTTTTCAGAGCTGGAAATGGATTTACAAATTACAACCGGCTCATTTCCGAGTGGAACTCGCATCATCATCCACTATTATTACATGAAGTAAACTAGCCGTGAAGTTCATTCACAGGCTCATGATTAGTGGATTAAACCAATATGGCTGCCAAAAAATCAAGAAAAGTGTTCTAATTTCTTTAATTTTTTCGTTTTTTATTTGTTTTATTTGACCTTTTTTTAATTGTATTGTTGCCGTATATATCCAGTTATTTAAACATGCCAAAGAAAAAGACAGGGGCTCGCAAAAAGGCAGAGAAACAACGAGAAAGACAAAAGGGAATAAAGAATTCAAAGCAGTTTAGAGACATTGTGGAGCTGCCGTGCAACTTTCAAATGGTAGGCGTTTATCTTTCAGGTTCATGAAGAAATTTCTGTGCTAACTGTGTTTAATTTGATTCTTTTTTGTTCTTTAGGAATGTGATAAGTGTAAAATGTAAGCACAAAGACTAATTGTTAACTTGCAATGCCATTCACTACTTTTAAGAGATGTAAATTTAGCACCTAGAAAACATGAAAAATAGAATTGCATTGCAAGTAGAAAGAAAAAATGAATTTTTTGACACAGTGTATTAACAGCATAATAGAATATGTAGAGCTCAGAACTGGGAAGTTTAGTTGCAAAATGAACAATTCCTCCCTAAACAAAATAAGAAAGATTGTGGCCTAGGAACTCTTGCATTTATCAGAATGATAATTTCATACAACTATCTGAGAGGTATTTACTCAAGATATTTTTTTGCAGGAGACAGAAGAATCGAGCCTTTTGCTATTTTTGTTCTGCCATTCAAAAGCTTCCAGTTTGTGCTGAATGTGGTAGGTATTTGGGATATTTTTGAGGATATATCTAATCCTATCCCAATCCTAATCTAATCATAATCTAATCCTATCATAATCTAATCCTAATCTAAGCCTAATCCTAACCTTATCTCAAGGATTAAATTTGTGTAGTTAAGATTTAGTGAACATAGAATTATTACCAGGAAATGGCTGAAATTGAAATATTGGACTCCTACTATATCACGTATGACTGATTTGGATGAAATAAACTTTGTTAGGAAAATCAAAGTGTATGTCAAAGACTGGTGATTGTGTTGTGAAACATCCCAACTCTCATACAACTGGAATGGGAATGGTTGTAAGTAAAGATATTGCATTTTGGGCAAGGACCAGCACCCCAAGGTGACTTGCAGTTGAACCTCCCTTGACATTGTGTGAGGGGGGCTGATTATGTTATAAGACTATTGTACACTACACATAAAGTCAATCACAAAAACAGTCAACAAAGTGCTCACATGGAATACATTTTTATGTTTACATTTTTCCTTAAGGGTGCTGTGTGTGATTTTTGTGAAGCATTTGTGTGTCATTCAAAAAAGTGTCTAACAACGCATGCATGTGATTGCGTTGCACGCGATGGAGACTGTATTGAATGTGAACGTGGTGTCTGGGATCATGGTACGTGTTGTCTTGCAAGTCGTTTTAGAAAAGTTCATTCTCCAAATTGCTTCATTGACCTCAATGAATCTTTATTTTCACGATGCAGGTGGCAGAATATTCCGTTGTTCTTTTTGTCATAATTCACTCTGTGAGGACGATCAATTTGAACATCAAGCGAAATGTCAAGTCCTGGATTCTGAGACTTTTAAATGTAGGTTTAACCGTTGCGGAAAGACCTCATGAGTTATCCTGGCTAGGCGAGGTGAAAACTGCATAAAATGAGACTAATCTGGTTCAGCCTTTGATGTGATGCTCTTTTTACCTCACTTAGCCAGGATAACTTGCTCCATATAACCAGGCCCTAAATCAATATCCTTTTGTCACTCAAATTAGCCATTTCTTAAATTCCTGGATCTAGTCATGCAAACTATTTCTTGGAAAGAAACATGACCCACATAATAGTGATCTTTTAGATCTTTCGTATGTTCGATGCCTGTCATATTCCTGCACCTCCAAACTATTTCGAAATGCATGCAATGCCATCTTCTCTTAGGAAAAAGGCTGATATTGTTCGTTTCAATTTCTCTATTAAGGTGGTTCATGCAACAAATTAGGACAATACTCTTGTCTTCGCTGCAAGGTAAGAAAGCGGCTTTTTTATGAATTATAAATGTAGTATAGCAACCGAGCTACAATCCGATGCGACCCTTTGTGTAACTTAAAATAACACATGTTTCAAAATAGGCTTGAATTGAGACCTTGATCTCACTGTAATAATCAACTCTGAAAATGAGGATTGCACGTGTAATATCTTGACAAATTTCATGGTGTTCTCTAAATTTTTAGCTGTGTTTCTGTGAAGACCATGTTCGTCGCAAGGGCGTAAAGTACAAACGGGGAGAGGAAATACCATGTCCTAAATGTGGGTTTGAGACAAATTCGACCAAAGATCTTAGCATGTCGAGTAAGTAGATTGCATTAGGTAGCGTGGTACTTTGGTGATGCAGTGGTGGTTTGGTTGTAAGTTCATGGTATGGGGTGGTACATTACTGGTGCGTTTGTTGACGTTGTGGTGTAATCGTAAGTTGGTGGCGCGGGGATGGTACATTACTGCTGGTCTGGTTGTAAGTTGGTGGTATGCGGTGGTACATTACTGGTGCGTTTGTTGACGTTGTGGTGTAATCGTAAGTTGGTGGTATGCGGTGGATGGTACATTACTGGTGTGTTTGTTGACGTTGTGGTGTAATCGTAAGTTGGTGGTATGCGGTGGATGGTACATTACTGGTGTGTTTGTTGACGTTGTGGTGTAATCGTAAGTTGGTGGCGCGGGGATGGTACATTACTGGTGGTACATTGATGGTGCGTTGGTTCAGTCTTAAGTTGGTGGTACATTGCTGGTGTGTTGGTGGTGGTTTGGTTGTAAGTTGGTGGAACGGGGGTCGTGCATTGCTGGATCGTTGATGGTGGTTTAATCGTGAGTCGGTGGAACGGGGGTGACACATTGAAGGTTGTTTAGTGGTGGTCGTCAATTGTCGTAAACGGCACTGGTGTTTAGGACAAAATTACTTGCGGCCGTTTGAGACAACAGTTTATATTTTATTTAGCACGCCGAATGGCTTACGGCCGACATTCAGCGGAGACTTACGATGATGACGACGACGACGATGACGACGGATCGTTCCCTAGATACGGTTACTATGGCTACAGTGCAAGCGCGTACAGCGGCGAGGGGGAAAATGAGGATGAGGAGGAATCTGAAGATGATGACGATGAAGTGGAAATTGATGAGGAAAAACACGCGGATGATGTGGAAGGTGAGCTTGAACGTTGTTGTGATGACGACGAAGTTAGAAACCTCCTCTCTAACTCGCTGGAGAAAACAAAAATTTAAAACTCTACGAATTACAGTTTTAAATTTTAAACGAAAAACTCCAACACAAGGCAATGCGATTTATGATTAGAATATATATCGTGAGCGTGGAACGTGGGACTCGTTTATGATTTCAATCTGAAAGATTGAGAGATCTTATGGGGGCTGTTTACATGAGCCCGGTTACCCGAGATTCAACGAAGCGTGAGAGGAATTTGAGGTATTGAAATAAGTCTTTATGACACCAAACAAGCACATGCTATTGTTGTGGTGATTATACGACTGCCAGGATCATGTTATCTACTCATTTCAATACCTCAAAATCATCTCACGCTTCGTTGAATCTCGAGTACCGGGCTCATGTAAACAGCCCTTTGGACGGCTTTTGATGGTTTCTCGTTAGCTTAGAATTGATATAATAATGACAATCCTGCGTCTAACCTTGTTTTAACGATAATTAAGAGGTCAAAACAAATTAACGATGTAATAGCTCACTGTTTGATCAAAATATTTCAAGAACCAAACTAAATATTTCGAGCTAAAAACTAAACTAAAACTCTACAGCAACATTTTATCGACAATTTTAAACGTCCTCTGAAATGAGACAATAGCTACTTTGCGATAGTCCTCGTGAGAAAAGAATTTCTTTATTCACTGTTTTATTAATGTGGATAAAGGATCTCGTGGTTAACAAAGTTGAACCGCAAGTGACTAATCAGTAAAATGCAAACGAGTTTACTCGTGGAAGACAAACGATTTCACACAGGCAGACGTCTAAATATTTTGTTTGATGTTACCCCTCATGGAATGTCACGTTGCCTCGCACCGTGCAAATGGCTCAGAACTCGCATGTTGATCTTTGGAATGTTTCTCGTAAGACATGATATTTCTCGTAAGACATGATATTTCTCGTAAGACATGACATTTCTCGTATGGCGTGATATTTCTCGTAAGACATGATATTTCTCGTAAGACATGATATTTCTCGTGAGACATGATATTTCTCGTAAGGCGTGATATTTCTCGTAACATGTGATCTTTCTCGTAAAAATCCGGCGACATGGATGATCGCGTTACATCTCGTTATTTTCTTTGAAACAACGGAACTAACTTGCGGGAATATATTAACTCTCCCCTGCATATCATCAAAGCCTATTATAGTAGTTACAAGCTACTAGGTTCTATATTTTTTTGTCGGTTAGACATAATTTGCACCATTATATATATTAAATGAGCGATACTCCATAGGAGTCAAGTTTTTTAGGTTTGCATTTCCGTTGAAAAGATGTAGCTACATAATGTTTAGCTAATCTATGATTTGACGGTTATTTGTATACTGATATCTAATAAGATTTCTCTTCAAATATGGTGTATTTTGGAAATTAACTTTATCTTTGTGCTAAAGATTTTACTAAAACTTCACTAACGTGTAAACAACCATCTCAAATATAACTATATTTAGTATATAGACAATGGATTAGAAAATTAAAAAACATAGATTAAAAATAGATTTAAAAAAAACTCTGATCCGTTAATCCTTTTGGCACCTGATCAAGCTACCTTATCTTAAATAAACATTTTGTAATCCAGAGCTCTTTTTGCCACGAGTGTTCTTACGCAAGGCAACTTTAGAAGAGTTTTTTTTTATTTAGCAAACATGAAATATTGAATTCACAATTCATGCTAAAATTTACAGAACACTTAATTCTGTTCCTTTGTTCAACCCTCGTAATCATACATGTTTACATTTGAACAGATTTTAGATTTTCCTCAAAAATATGCTTATAACTCCTTATACGCTTTCACTTAAACCCCATGGCATAGATCGTAGGCCTACGAACTGTTGCAATGGATGTTAGACTACCCTTAAAAGTTGATGCATATTTTCAAGTACAGCTATCGAACAATAACGTCAGCATATGTTTTTGTTAAAAAGGACTCGAAGTATATGAGTAGCTATATTCTATTTCGTTTGTTTATGACGACGAGCGATGACTATAGCATGCAAGTGCTTTGAAAAATCGTGGGCTTGAATTATAAATAAAACTCGATATATATTTGTGGCTAATAATACAGGCACCTGTGCTTTTTCATTTGCCATTGTCCCCGCTTAACATGTCGAGATAATGTGTAATCGGGCATTTTGTGTTCATATTAAACTTTTCTAATGTTATACATGACTTCGAACAATGGCCTCTCGCTCTTTTTTTATGTTTTTCATTCGCTAACATTGTTTGCGATTAAGCCGTGCATTATTGAAAAGCTAACCAGATATGACACGCGTATAATTGCTCATTATTTACATTACGCTTTAATGAACTTTAATTTGATGCGAAGAGACGAAATGTGAGTCAATTAGTTTAAAGGTGAAGAAACAATGGCGCTTACTTGTACACCACAGCGCACGAAGGAGGCCATTGCAAGCAGTTTGTAGCTATCCACTGCATCTTACGGATTCTGACGAAATTTTTTCAAAACTACCCCGCTCCTGCCCACGGAAGTAATGACTTCATATACCGCCTTTAAACGAGGGTTTCGGTTTGAAAAGTTACGTCTTTATTTAACAGTTTTACAATTTGTGCAATCACAACTTATCAGCTCTAAGGTCTAAGCCACAAGTATGGTAAACATAGGAACGCACTTTTGCACCTATGTATACTTCTGTAAAAACAATTAAATCAAGTTTAACAAGTGTATATATACATATATACAGTCGATAGATTTTGCAGTCACCGCGGTGAACAGAAAAAAGGCCAGGCATTTTGCGGAATTGAAATTTGAATGTTGCTTATAAAAGAGAAGCACATCACATTCACGAAACCGGGAAAGTTTACTTCATCTCTAAACTTGCTATCAAATTAAGTAAACATAAATTACTGTAGTCGTCATTTGCCCATACTGTCTGTGTTGAGCAAGGCAAATATACGATGAATTGAATAGCGGTCGTTTATCAATTAATTCTTCATATTTTGTTAAAACAGTCCTAATATATTGGGTAATTAAATTTGTTCATTTCGATTTGGGATTCAATTGTACTAATAGTCTGAGACGTTTTGTGATAAAGTCTCTGTTATGCTCCCGGCTAAGTAGATTAACTAGCCTTACGCCACAGGGTGTCTACAAAAGGGCTTTTTAACATGTTTGGCCAGGCGACCTCACAATATGGCCCACCTGTGCGCGTGCGAGAATCGACCAATGAGCGCGCAGCTTCGTAGGCACTTAAAAACAGCCCTTGTAGAGAGGTTTAAAAGCTGGCTTTCTGCAAACGGGTCCGTATCAGTTATGGAGAGTGTAATTGGCATGAACGGAACGCCGTATTATGGATTCAATAATTGCGGGATTCTTTACGCACCTTCCGAGCAAAATAACTCGGCTCTTGCCGCACAGCGCGCGCTGGAAATCTACAATCTGAGAGCAAGGAACGCCCAGATCGAGTCGGGCAGCCAACAACAGGTCAACTTCGCTCATCCGAGCCAGAAACGTGAAAGGAAAATGCAGCCAAATCGGTCGCGAACTTTGTACAACAAACGAATGCTCGTGAACGCCCGAGAGAGGGAACGCATGAAGACTTTGAACAAGGGATTCGAAAATCTACGAAACGCCCTTCCGTGCTACATCGCTGACGGTCACATTTCGAAAATTACGACCCTGCGTCTTGCGATAAACTACATTAGGACACTCAGTGCTGTCTTGCAGGACGCGTCCAACTCTGAGACGCAGACTTTGGTGACAGAGCAACAAGCTTGCGGAGAAAGATCCTTGAATCTGTTGAAGACCACTGACGGTACTAGTGTTTTGCCAAGACCCGTCACCGAGCCCAACGAAGGAGGACAGAACACGTACGCCGCCAGTTCACAAGTTTCCTCTGTTTTAGCGGCTACGAAAATACAGGCATGTCCGTAGAAGATGGCGTTAAAAAGAGATGTGTGTGGATATCCAAACCTCATGTGCCATGCCAAGATCTTACCAGACCTTACAAATATCGCATCAAAGAACTTCGTTTTTGGAGGACTTCTGTGTCTTGGATAAGGAACCTGTAAATTACCCCCCATATATAATAAACTAGCATGCAATATGACAGTTAAAGGACAATCTAAATATAGGTTTTCCTAAATCTAGAAACTTCTCCTGTGTTTCTGTGTATAAATGGAACAATTATATATGTAAAATGCGACTGCCCTTAATTTAAAACACAGATACCAGAGCGCTTTGTATAAAAACTAAAAGCGTGTATGAGATTTAATTCTTTGAAAGAAATTATTTTAAAAGTGTGTATAGTTCTATAAAATGTGTTGAGACATACCAGTTCTAGAGATGTAGAAAGTGTATTAGACGAACTGTGCCAAGTTTATTAATATATTAAAATGCTAATAAATTATGTTTGCGAATGATCCGTATAAAAAAATAAACTTTCAAATGCAATTCTTCTAAGCCCTCAACTTATACGAAAATATTCTACGAAAGGTCTAATATACTTATATTCTTGACGGCAAAGTGCGTGCTTTGTAAGTTTTTGTTCAGTTTAAATGAAAAATGCTTAAAATGGATATTTAGCTTTAGTTTAAAAATTAAACGCAGCTTTTACAGTTAATGTATTTAAATTTTATGCACCAATTTGTTAAATTACGTTATTTGTTAAACATGTTCGCCTGTTTGCCTCGCTGTCACAAGATATACTAATTTCAACTTTTTTGCTGGCCGCAAAAAAACTCATAACAGCAATAATATTTTTTGACCCTTGTCATGAAAAAGTGTCTATTTTGAAATCCTATTTCAAAGTGGATTTTCGCCCCCAACAAAAGGCAATTTATTCTTTAACATTGTTTATATAAAATGCAGCGTAGTTATTAAGGCAATCCTATTAAGAATTTAATAGGCCACATAATGCATGTCCTCGCGGTATTGAATCTAATTTTAACGTCACATTTGCATGCCAAATGCATTTGCTTAGCCCATCCTATACGGATCCTCAACAATTTCATGAAACGCCAAGTCACCCATTTTATCCGAAATTTACTTCTAAACATGCAAAAGTTTAATTTCAAAGCTAGTCGTATTTGCTGTTAAAAAGCTGCATGGCGTGTGGTTAATTGTTCGAGTTCCAAAATACGTAGACTTTATTTACCTCGACCAACATATATCTATGATATAAAATAAAATATTAGAAAAAATTCTAATGTCTTTTAATGGTGTTTAAATCGTTCGCCAACCGTAAAATGTGTTTGCAAATTGTTGTGAAATCTGCGTCAAAATTCGTCTGTGTATTAATAGTATAGATATATGTCATTTGAAATATAGCTGGCGAATTAACAAGTATACAAAGAATTGTGTAGTTAGAAAATTGAAGCATTGAATTTGATGGCAATATGTTCAAACGGGAGCCCCATTCAATTTTCACCAAGTACAAATGCACATGCAATGTGTGCACGGCCTGTGCATGCATTCTTGAAAACAATCAGATAAGATGCCGTGAATTATCGCTATATTGATAATGAAGATAAGACGGAATTACACATCATTTTTAAGGCATTGCGAGAATTATCCGTAGTGTGCTGTTACCACTTTTGAGGCGATTTGTTAAAAACACTCAAGAGAAAGACATGTTTTTTCTGGTTTACCTATAATTGCGTTTCGGCGTCAGCGAATGCGCTGTGAAATTTTGCATAGCTAATTATTTCACCTATGTTAAATTCCAAATGCGCTCGCATGCAGACGTGTCTTTCGGGGATACTGGGTTTGTAAGTACTACATAATAAGCGTTTTTCGGGGAAATACTTTACGTTTTTTGTTTTACCAAAGAGATCAGAACCAATCAGAACGAAGCGACGAGCCACTGCAAGAACAGTCCTCGTGCAAAGAGCGGGATACGAAGTCTTTCGAATCAAGAGAAAATTTTATAAGATGTTTGTGTACGAGCTAGCATGTAGGATGTAAAATCATGCTGTAAATTTAAGATATTTTTATACCGTCAACCTAAGTAATTTTAGTGCGAATTTGAATGACAAATTCCTGCAATGTTTTTCATCTGTTAGACACATTTAAAGGAAAACAAAGATGAAATAGACGAAACAAAACTTAGATAAATGTGTTCTGTTTTAAAACATTTGACAAGATTAATCTTGCTAAGTAATCTCTGAGAGGAGCTTTGTTAAAAAGCTAATCGTGTCGGCATTTGAAAACCGGGAACTAATACCCAAAACGTACTAGTCAAAAAGGATTCTTTAAGATAGCCTCGCTTCATGCATGGACGAAGCCACCTGGGGGTCATTTTCGAACCAGTTAGAAAGAAGAAACCTCATATAGACGAGAAATGATCATCGCTATAGTTTCACAGTATCTCTCCCGCCGATGTTTGTGACTTCAATATGCAGTATATTGATAAAAAAAAAAACGAAGTCGAGGAAGTGTCACTTAAACAAGTTCACAAGACAACAGAAATATTCCACAACAATCGACAACAAGATTATAGATGTGCTTCATCCAGTTCTTCAATTCAGATCATTCGTTGGTCTTTTGGCCACGCAAGGACTGACCGCAAAAAGTCGCATCTGGGTTGGAGAAGCAATCAACACCGTCAGTTGCCTTTGATATATAACACAACTTTGAGCAATGGAGCAGTTCAGGGTGGTAGCCGCCACTGATCTCATGTTACACTGGAGATATAGATATGATACACTTTTCCTCACAAGGCCAGAACTATATTAAAACTTCCGGTTAAATTTCCTGGGATTCACGCGGGCAAACCAATGATTCTTTTCAATGGCAATTTCCTTTGAATGCACACGAAACAATAGCGTGAAAACGAGGCGGACAACGTAATTCATTGCTTTGTTAACTACAGTTATTATCCCGTCGATTATCAGATCAGTGGAGCTTTTGGAGCATTTGATTAAGTAACGATTAGCTTATAGTTAGACGTCATGTTGCGTGCCACTTTAAACGTGCGCTCATGCAAGATGGTCCCAGCTTGCGACGGTGTCCAGTTATAAGTCAAAGAAAACTCCATTTAAACAAAACAACGTTAAGATCTTCATTGTCGCGCATTCCCGTCGACAAGTGCATAAGTGATGGCCAATTAGAGTAGGGATTCGAAAGATTTCGTTTCGTAAATATAGCTGCAAAAGTTCAGTTTGGTAAATATTCGAAACAAAAGACAACAAAAGCTAGGGCTGTGTTTAATCAGGCCCTGTCGCTTCAATATTATACCCTCCTTAAGGCCCGTTTACACTTGCGATTTTTGCTGCGATTTTCTCCTTTTGGTAGATGTGAACGAGTAATAAGTTCTGCACGAATGCTCTGTATTTGAACTTCCGTAACTGATCAGTCTCATTCACTCGTTCACATTTATCAAAAGAAGAAAATTGCACCGAAAATCGCAGCAAAATTGCAAATTTAAACAGGCCTTCAATTCTTCTGTATTCAGAGCATTTAATAATAGCGATATAGTTAACAAAGTTAATCCAATCTAGTTAACTAAGTTTTCGTAGTACATCAGGCCGGAAGTCAAGCTATAAATTGTTTTTAATTTAAATTTTTTGTTTTTAACTTTAGCGAAGTTACAACAGTCAGCTGCACGATTTCAAAGCAAACGGCTAAAATGTTTTGATAAAAAAAATACAGCAAGGACTATAAAACGAACTTTTCGGTTACAAAAAGTGAAAGAATTCTTTATAAACGTATATTCTTTTAAAGATAACATAAAAATCATCTAATATACGCTATTATCACACTATAACGGTTAGATAAATTCACATCCGGCGTCGAGCCAATATAGTTAAATGACGTTTATGCCATTACCTCTTTTGCGGTAAACAGATGGCTTAGTTGGAGCTATCGTGAAAGAAAGATAAAGCTATATGTGTTTTTAAAGGTTCACCTTTGAGATACCATGTTGAATTTTGGAAAAGAAGGGGTACTTGAGCTATTGAACAGCTGAGAGGGGACATTATTATAAACAAAGACGTTTTCGTTATGAAAAATCTAAACAAAGAACTCCGAATAATGTGTATAGTTACGAGTCGCAAGATGAGCATCATTGTTCAATGAAAATTAAACATCGGTTGCATGCATGGAATAACGCAAGGCAGAGACGAACGTGAGCGGTGTTAGTTTCGCAGCTTGTTAAGTTTTTCAACGTATTTTTTCCCCGTTAAACGATAGTGGAAGAAATTTACGGAGAAGCGCACCGTTGCCTGTGGTCTCGCGATGACTGGCCAATACGAGAAGATTTATACACAGCGCACGCAAATATAAATAATTCACATAACCACTACTGTTCGACACTTAAGATGAAGTATCTCATGAGTGTTCATCACTGAGTGTATTGTTCATTGACGTGCAAGAGATGACTTGATAATGAAGATGCATGACTCTGCAACGGACTATTGATAAATCATATTCCTTCCTCGTATGAATGCAAATTAGGACTGACAAGAGCGAGTGGAATAAAGTATAAAAAGGGAATTTGGTAAATGAAATCCAGAATCCGCGTATCTGAACCTAACTCTTATCCAACTACAAACATAATAAAGAAATAGATTAAGGATTAAGGATTGTGAACATGAATAGTATTGTTACCATAAGTTATAATGCATAGCGGTGATATCACTCTGTTTTTTTAACCCATATATTTTCTGTTCTTAAATGAGAAAAACTTCTATTCAAACCAGTTATATGCATTGTATTGATTCTATTCATTTTCTTACATATTTTAAAGGCGTTCATTCTTATTCACTTATACCACAATAAAACGTATAGTTTATAAATATCAATTCAATAAATATATATATATATATACACCTCCTCCGTTAATTACTCTATGGGCCGTAGTTCCTTTCTTTCAATATAGTACCGGCTTCTATGCTCTCCGATACCCACGATGCCGTGACCACGTGCGCTTTCCGTGATCTCTCACGTGACACCTCTTGAATTCGTGGCAGCCTTGATAAGTCTCTGAAACATATAAATGCAAAGTTTAACACCAACTCAGAATTCGCCCTTCAAACCTTTGGCATGGATTTTTGCTTTTCAGACGAATCAGTTCAATCTTTGCCTTCGTGATCTGTCTTGAACGCGCGAGTTTTGCTACGGATTTCTTCCATTAACTGACGCAAACCAATACATAGATAGTTATGAATGCTCAACGTTATAAGTGCCGTTATTTTAACATCCGTAACTACCATGCTCGATCGCATTTATCAAAAGAAGAATGTCAAAAGAATGTGAACAGGTCACTTTCCATTTTGCACTTTATACCCCGAAATGCGTCGACAACTGTTCCTACCTTGCTGGATACGATGACAAATTGTTATGAACAACTTGTGATAATACGTTATGATCGTCAGTATTCGAACAAGCTGGTCTCAAAGCTGGACCCAAACAGTGAAAATTTTGAAATGAGCCAAGCTGTTGGGAAGCGTGGAAACAGATTGCATAAATCATTATAGTAGAAATAACTGTTACCTGGGGTTCATAATGACGTGTGTAACATCCTCGTCAAATTCATCGCTTAATTGTGCGCCGTAGTATTGCAGTTCGGCGGCTTGTATGTCCAAACTACAGTTGGGAATTTTCTACGTGGTAAAATTCAAAGGAAGATGATCATCATATAGCGGTCGTAGATCGATAACAAGGAATGAAATTAAAGGATATTCGGTTGAAGCCATAATATTACTCGTATATCTACCGTTCGGGGATCACCGATTTCCAAGTATTGATCCACATAAAACCTTAAAAATATACCATATATGAAGATAGAGAATCACATATTTGCCTTTGCCAACATGAATTGGAAAAGTGAAAACCAAATCCCGAATCTAATCCTATCCTAATCTAATCCTATCTTGATCTCAAGGATTACTGAACACGGACTTATTTAACACCGTGAGAGGAGTTGGGCTGAGAAAGGGACTTGAGAAAGGAGCGTGTAACACAAGGGGCGTTGCGGAATTCCCAGAGGATGTGATTGCAATGGAGTCCAATTTGTAGGTGGGGTTCTAAGAGAGGAGCGGGGGCTGTAATTGGAGGACGTTGTGTACCTGTATTGTCTAAATAAACCAAGGGGTGAATTTGGAAAATATCTTGACTCTACTTGAACAATTTCTTCTCTCGTTAACTTGACCATGTTTTGCTGAAAGAAAAGAACATTTCATTTAATTCGCTTCTGCAAAACAATACAGCGCAAGATTTCCTAGGAGAAATTCATGTTTTTTTTTCATTAGACCTTTGGCAATCGTAGGGCGCTTCCGCGTTCTGAATATCTCCCAACTAAAAGCCCTCGAGACGACAGACTGACATTCACCTTTTCGTCGATTTTTTGAAAGATTTCTTTCAAAGATGCCACATTTAAATCTCTGGTATAACTGTCGCCATTTTCGTCATAGTCTAAGGCGAACTTTTCCCGCGTCTTCGGTGACATGTGCATCATGTGACTTGGGGACCATGGCAAAAGCTTGTTACTTTCCTGGCGAGGGATATGAATTGTTTAGAATGCATTTCTGGTATTATCTTAGGACTAAAGGGAACTTAAATAAACACATAATTCATACGGTTTTTGACAGGTCTAGCTGCACGTTATATGAAGTATTAGAAATACAGAATAACTGATGATTTATCAGCAAAATCAAAATCAATAGAAAGTACCGTACCAAACACTCTAATAACCAATTTGAATACACGATATCGTAAACTGCTTGTCTATAAGAGGCAAAAGAAAATAAATGAGTTGAGAAAGTAAATCACAGCGGGTCACAGAGCGCAATATAAAACTGGATACTTCTGGGTGAGGTAGAGTAAGACGTACTCACTTCACGATATTCTGGAGGCGTACATTGCTTTTATGGGCTACCACACAGAAAGTTTCTTTCCCAGGGTTTTGAACAACAGATCCTCCATTCTAGTGTATAAATTGAAGTATATTGACTTGCTGTATAAGTGTCATTTATCCCCCCTCCTAGTCAGTCCTGTGAGAGCAGAAATAACAGTTTTTGACACACTTAGCTCTCGTGTGAACGAAATTGTTAATGATACCCTAGTTCTAAGGATAAAGGTCGACCCACTTCAAGAAAACACATTGAAAACAGCGACACGATATATTTCCTTGTAATGCAGTAGTACTCTTGTCTCGCTGATGGCAGTGATATCCAAGGTTTCTCAAATGCCTTCAATATATTTTTCATTCAATATTCTTTACCTCTATTATTTTTGTCTCAATTTCAACTTTGCCACAGCCGGGCGGACCATTCACGATGTAAAACTCTTTCCCATCAAAAATCTTTGATTTCTTCGTGAGGTGAAAAAGAGAGTAGAAACCAGATTAAAAAAATAGGTTGTTTTGTAGGTAAAGCACTGTCAGTTGATTGGTTAATTTATCATTTCAGTATTACGCGCATGCGCTCCAGGCTTGCAAAATGTACCCTCACCTCTTCTACGGCAGAAGCATCAGCGCTAGCGAAATGCTTAGCAACGGTCATCGGTTTCTCCACGCGCGTAACCGCACGTCTTTTCTTCGGCGCAGGCTCGTAACTTGTCGACGTGTGCTGATACGAGAGCTTTCCCTTCGCGATCGTTCGTAATCTCTCGAGTTCAGTCATGTCGAGACACTCGTACCAACTTTTGTCGTCACGAATTTTTTCAAGTCTTGGAAATCGCAACGTCAGACCGGCCCTGTAGCTAAAATTTGAGCGGGAAGATACACTTAACACTCCTGTTAAACCATATCACACAGGCCTTAGTAAAACTATTCAATGTTAGGGCTGTTTTCCACTGTGCGTTTTTTGTACGTACGTCTAACAGATACAGCCTGTTCAAGATTATTAAAGTCGCTTACATAGAATAGTAAGTGGACAAATCTTGACAACAATTTATGGGTTAGTTTTACGCACAAAGGTATCTTACTTGTCCGAGGGAACAATCTCTGCTGCCTTGATCTGAACGATCTTCGATTTTGAAGGTTCAATCCAGACATCAGGTTTCTCCTAAATTTATGTAAACGTACACAATCGTACACAAACTTTCCCAACTGCATCAGTAATATATATATTAACGAAGTTCTGAGTAAATCATTAACTACAGGTATGAAGATATATGAATACTGTAGTGTACTAGGACCTTGAAACTAGATGGTAGCTCAATGACTGATGGAGGCTTTTTTGGGTCAAATTTTTTCCAATATGGATGCAGTTGACGACATAGTTCTTTCAGTTCATTTATAGAATATCCTGAGCCAACCTACAATATACCATAACATATATCACTACCTTGCTGTACTATGCCATTGGCATATATACGCTGTATCATATACTATGACTATGTCACCACTCTTCCATACCAGTAACATACCATGCTGTACCATAGCGTGTAATATGTCACCACCACCTTGACGTACCATATAGTGTGTATTGTATAGCATACCAAGCATCGCCGTAACCATATATTATACCATACGGTACCACACTACTATCAACATCGTGTACCATACCATAAATACTCATATCGTTCCATCATTCTACCACGTGAAGCCATACCATGCTTACCTTGCAAAATGAGTAGAACTTGCTAGGTTTTTCTTCTGGGGATGAGGTTGGAGCAGCAAAAACCCACATAAGAAATGCGAAACCATCCCACCTCTGAACTAAAACAACCAAACACCAGATTCTTTTGATCCAATAAATTGCATTCCTGCGTAGAATGTTATCATTTAGATCCTTACCCCACTTCCGAAGTAACCTCCAAGGATTATGACGTCCAACTTTGAAAATAAAGAAGCGAAATTAGAAATATAGGAGTTTGCCTTTGAAAGAATCAAGAACACAGATCACATCACTTACCTCGTCTGTTAATCCATCAACATATTCAGGTTTTATCTTCAGCCAACCACTTCCTTGAGCAGTTAAGATATAAAGTACTGTTTAGTAAGCAACACAGCCTATCATTCGTAGCTCCGATACCACACGATACCATACAATATCATCATACCAATATCATGTCATACATTATCCCATACCATACAGTACCATACCATATCATAACATACTGTACCATACCATAACATACTGTACCATACCATATCATAACATACTGTACCATACCATACCATACCATATCATAACCTACTGTACCATACCATATCATAACATACTGTACCATACCATACCATATCATAACAAACTGTACCATACCATACCATATCATAACATACTGTACCATACCATACTATACAATATCATAATACCATAGCTTCAATCGAGCGACCTACCGTTTCTAACATTTGGTTGATAAATTGACAACGGCGATTTTACGACTAATCCTTCTTCGTATTTATCCACGGCTTCGTTCAACGCCTTTATCACATCTTGCCTAGACGAGAGAAGTACTTATTAATGGAAACTTATCCGACAGTTGCCTAGTGCTACCTGCTTTTTATCTACCTAAAAAAAAAATTTTATTATATGTACATACCTGTTTTTCCCTGGTTGACTTGAAACCAGTTGAATTCGTCCAGGAACGGGTGTGAATACTCTAGGAATGCGATGGAAATAAACGGCTACTTAATACTTTGTCCAGAAATTTTCATCGGACCATAGTTGGGCATTAACATACTTTTCCAAAGTTACCAATCGCTCTTTCAGTGGTAAACTTGCAATACTTTTGCTGTTTACCAAGAGGACATCGAATACCACGAAACATGGATGAAGACCTGTGTTGAGGGAAAACACTCTTTTCAGAAATGGTTGTCAACGGTTATTGAACTTAGTTCTGACAGTTCTTTGTTTCTGTGGACGCGAGAACAGGGAAGAGAGCTTGGGTACGAGGCTGCACACACCTGTACCTCCAGAGTAGGTCTTTTCACTCTTAAAATCAATATTGGCTCCTTTTGAGCTGCGGGAATAAAGTTACAATGTTAGATCACATTGTCAAACAGGGTGCTAGAGACGTTTGTGCATTGTTTACAGAGAGCGATTGTTCATAACTTCGAAAGGCGTTTAACTTTAACGGTGGATAAGCCAAAGTTTAGAGATACCCTCATACATCTTGTGAATGAACATTAAATATGTACTTACACAAATTTCACTTCATTTGAAGCATTGAAAGCCATCATTTCACCATCCAGTATGCACGATTTTACCTTGCTGTTTGAAAACACAAAACAACTGATTGTTACAGTAGGCAGAATAATGAAAATAATACACGCAGAATGGACTCAAAAATATTACAGTATATGAACTCGTTTCACCACCTGGCGAAGCAGTTTGCAATAAATGGCGTGAGGAATCCTTCATTTGGGGAACCACCAAACGTCGCTGTATACTCGTTCGAACTAAAAGCGTACAACCAGATTTTAAATTTACATTTTGCCATTAAAAGTAATTCTAACAATTGTATGAAAACTACATATACTGTATTTTACCAACCCTCGTGAAAAGTATTTGAACATATTGTCTTGTTTGTGTAACATAAATCTCTCTCCATCCAGTTTCGTTTCGATGATAAAATCTTGTTCGCCCATCAGTTTTTCTACCTAACGATATTACATATTATAGCAAAAGTCAGTTCATAAGAAAGTCGAAGATTAACAAACTTAGATCTGATATTTTTATCGGCTCTGTTGAAGTCTCTTTTCGAATTTTTTAAAGGTTATTCCTTATAGATCCATTTTCAAGTTCTCAAATGCGGTCCTCTCGTAAGCAAGGAATTCAAGATTGGAGGTGATAAATATACTCGAGCTTACCACGATCGAATATATCACAACCCGGAAGAGATCAGAAGATGATGCGAGTTGGTAGACATTGCAGAGAATCTTCTCTGACATTGCAGGGAAGCAAGATTGAGATGATATGGACACGTAATAAGAAGAGATGAAGGAGAGCTGGTCAGAGATATTATGAAATGAAGAGATCAGAAGAAGATGTGAGGTGGTAGACATTGCAGAGAAGATGAGGGAAGCAAGGTTGAGATGATATGGACACATAATAAGAAGAGATGAAGATATCTCGCATTGTAAGACATGATTGTCTAGAAAGTGAAGATGGTCATAAAGATCTGTGTCAATCTCAAAACTACAAATAGAGGTACAGATGTGGAAGGTACAACTCAGTACCTCATCTATGGCCGCACGTTGACCCAACATTGGTTTAAATGCAGAAAACAATGTGATGTCAGAGTCGTTCTTCCTCACTGTCGGGTCTTTAAGATCTTGACACACCTTCAACACAATGAACATAATCGATCAAGTGGTTCATATTTCAAGCAATAAATTAGTCATTAAGTTTTTCAAACAAGGCATTTTCTGTACACAGATGTACCTTTGAAAGGGTACTACACACGTTATAAAAATCCATGGCGTCTGGATGGTAGACATCGAAAATGGATTTTTCGCTAGTCCCAACTTTTAGTTCCTAAAAAGAAAAAATTCTCATATCAAAGTTCTGTGACTTCCGTCTTATGACAAAAATCATATTTAATATATGAAACAACTGAGATATCTTATTACCTTCATTATCATTCGGATCAACCACTTCTAAATCAAAAAAATGTAATTTTTGATAAATATGTTTGATTATCACCCTACCACAGACCAGGAAAAAAGTAATACATTTGAACTAATAAAATAAGGCATGTTTCCTCCGTTTGTTAACTTAAGTCATATAAAACATTTACTGGCAGACAAAATATCACCTGGAAACTTAAATCTTTTATTATATTTAAATTCTTTCCATTGAAACTAGTTATTCAATATTACCTGTTCCAAAGCACTGGTATTTCTCAGAAGAATTTGCAATGCGCTTCTTGTATCTGCTTTTTTATGATTCACATTCCCCATAGCAACCTTGTCAAGAAGGTCATTCACTTGTTTTAAGGTTAAACTACAGAACATAAAGAAAACATAGGTAGAAATACCTAGAAGGCATGTCAACATGACCAAGCAAGATTATGACACAAACCTCCCTTTCTCAGGACATCGTTTCTTTAAAACAAAATATGCTACCATTGCAAAGTCACCTGCATCCTGTAACAATGAATTCATCTTGTCAGTTCTAAGTTCTATAATTATAACTGGAATCTCCACAAACATATACAAGCTGCGTACCTTTAATGCATGAGTTGGTGCCTTGTAATTGAGTAGTTTCTTTGCATCTAAACTATCCTTTCCAATGCTGAGTATTTCAATGTAATGTCTAGCCAAGGCTGTCTTCATGTCATAAATAAATTTTATTTATTAATATCACTCAGACTACAGAGCATTTGCAACAATCTGATATGCTCTGGTGTCACTTGCTATTATTGGTACATATACCGTATTTTATTGGTATCTAAGATATATGTTACCATGCCTACCTCCTTCATACCATAGGCTGGTCGCTCTTTGTCAAACTGAGGTAGGAGCAAGCGCATTGCAGGAAAGAATGAATCATCCTACAAAGATTATATTGAATGTTGCGAAATAACAGAGGGGTTCACAGAGTGGTTGACATGATACCCCGAAGTTAGCGCACCATTTTAATACATAGTATTTTTCAAAATTCAAACCAACTTACAGTTATCTCATCACCGTGAATTTTGTTGTGAGTCTCCCGCCAGGATCCTATAAAAGACTTCAAAATACTCTTTTTCTTATCAGTTCCTTTAACACCGCGTATTTTCTCAAGCAAAGAGCACAGGTCGTGAAAAGGAACTTGCGAAGCAACTGACTTCACTCCTCCGTCGGTCGCCATGTTTGTATACAGGGTTTTCTGCCCTTGCTCCGGGATATTATATCCGGTATTGTATACCCGGCCGAAGTGGACATGCTTGGGCAAGTTTAGTAATCGTCTTGCTTATTGACTCAATAAAGTTCCATAATTATACACAATTTAAAGAGTTCGGATGTTTTAGAAAATAATCATGTTATTTCCATTTAAGAGCCCGTTAAATATGCTTATAATTAATCCACTTAGCGTCCACTTATGACGTCATAATTGAAGTTGGCGTGTACTTCAAGATGAAGTCAGCAAAGTTCATAGATCACATTTTCTTAGAATATTTTCTCCGTTATGGGAAATATGTGTTCTTTTACCGGATCAAGGCCCAGTAATCGAATACTGCCGACGAATTCGACTGTGTTAGCTTTAGGACTTGGTAATAAAGATCTGGCATTGTATCGCAGACATAGAAAAAAAGATGAAGGCGAACTTGGGCTGGCAAAGAAATCTGGCTCTTCATCAAGTAAGTGTTGGTTTTTGCATCGGTAACATTACCAATGAATTAAAGTCGTTCAGATTTTGACAACTATCAAACGTGCTATTACTCCAGAAGCAGCCGTGACGAAACAGTCAAATGACAGAGAGGGAAGAACGGACGACAATCTGCAGGATTATACAAGCAATTTAGAACCGGACAGAGAGATGCAAGAATGGCTCGATTCTATCATCTTTCAAAACAACCTGTTACCAAGTTTCATGACTTTTGATAACAAACGACATCTATCGATGCGTTCCAAATATACCGACGCCAGACAAACGATGAAATTGCGCAATGCCATCGATGAAAGCCACGAAGAACATCAAAACAACACTTTGCCATCGTCTGGGAGGGTGAAATCACTGAAGAAAAATGCAAAACAGAAAATAACCAAAATTTTAAGTCATGAAACATTCAATCTGGGTCTTGGACCCTCGCCCGTGATGTCAACACGTATAAGCAAGGATGCAGTGAAAAGAAACAAAGGGAAAAATAACCTGAAGGGTTTTCACGGCGGCAGAAAGACGCCTGCTCCTCCAAAGCCTAAGTCAGCAAGTTTAAACCCCTCAATAGCTAGCACTCCAAACAGCTCCAAGTCGAAAGGTCGGTACCTTTAGTTAACTTTTAGTATGGTACTCTCCATACGTTAGCTTTTTTCAATTTTACATCCATTTAGTATTGCAAGCATGCTCGCGCAATTGTTACTGCAGGTGGAATTCGTCAGAAAAAAACAATTTTGTTTGGCAAAATTAAACCAATGGCGATGCCAATGCTATTATTTTAGACCCAGACGAATCTCGGATAGCAACTAATACCACAAAATTTCATGTTTCTTCAAACTGGTTGGACGAAGATTTTCAAGAGAGTATCCTAAGTTATCCTAAGGATATCCCAATGCCCAGAGATAACCCGCAATGTCCACTTCCCACATCTGCTCAAAGCGATAATGGTAAAAAGTCAACCAAGCTCAAGATCGAGCCAGAGACATCCGAGCCCGCTGTGCACAATCTTGGATTGTTTTTGTCTGCGGTCGATGACGACAAATCTGAACCCATATCGGAAGGCAAATCTAGAAATTGGTTTTCGGATGTTTTTAAAAAGACATATCGCGCCAAAACTATTTATGCTACGGAAGATTTACCTTTATGTGATGATGACTAGGAAGCGAATGACCAGCGGTGGTGTCGAAGCAATATGACGTCATTGTTTATTACGTCATAATGAGTGTGTGAACATCATTGAATTGTAGGCGAATAACGATATGAAAAGAGACGATTTTTTTAAATGAACTATGCAGATGTTGATGTCTCTAGTTAAATATTTGCTATTCCTTCGGGTAGATAGTTTGTGAACATTTTCTCATCGAGTCATGTTTACGCAATAAAAAATTCTACTATTGACTTTTGTACATGCGTGTTTGTCAGAAAGCATAATTTATTAATTTTATATCAACTTTGGCGAATCAATATTCCATACAGCACCCCAAAGTTGGTTTTTAAAAGACGTCGCGACAAACCTATTAAAAAATTGTTCACAAAAGGACCGCGGCAATCGATATTGACATTTGACAATATAGTTTCGATGTTGAACCGTACGACGGCGGAGATCTTATTAATTTCGCTTCTACAGAGAAAGCCGTTCAAGATGTGCAATGAAGGGTTAAATACAATTGACATTTGGTAGGATGTTATGATAACAATCCGTTTTTTGCCAGTCTACTTTAATAAAAATCACCATGACGATTTCATCCCATTGTCAACAATAATTCTTTATGAACACGACTGGACGACAAGACGTTGTAAATATTAAGACAAGGTACTTAAAAATAATATTGCCCGACATAGACCTTGTGGCTAGCTTTTAGCACATTAGTTCTCGACAGATCGCAGTCAGTCGTGAGCAACTTTAACCACTATCGATGAAACGGTCACAATCTCAATACGTTTTAAATAAACTAATCTCGCTTGTAATGGATTAGGTAATTGTACTTCTTTCGTCTTAAATAAAATTAAATGAACGTAAATTTAATATTTTTTCTGTCTACTTGAATATGTCAAAAACCATTCTATTTTTTGCGGAACTGAAGAGATTCGTGCATCTGCCTCGAACACGTCACAAAGAAGAAAAAAACCCCGAAAACTTAAAACAGGTTTATTAATAAGGATTCACGTACGGATCCCACAGCTGACATATACGCATGCAATATCACACTCTCCGTAATATGAATATTCCAATGATCTCATTTTACTAAAATTAAAAGCATTCTAAATTAAGGATGTTTATTTGAATTCTATTTAATTATGTTTCAAAGCAAAGCGAGTGCAATCTTTATGGCTTCGGGTACAGGGTGCCATGCGCAGAAAGATCCCGTTAGCATCGATGCTATTGTCAGTATTGAGGCTGGCCTAGTATGTTTTTTACTTTTTTAAATTCAAATTAACACACGATCCCGCGGCGAAGCAACACTTAAAACACTTGTAAATGGAGTGAAAAATATACGTTTTTTATGATTGTACAATATTTTTGACAGCATTTTTAATTACGAAGTCTTTTCTATTTAATCGATCATACGGGTCATAGGAAGCAAAATAAAGCACATTGTTGACCTGTTGGATTAACTATGGTCAGGGTTTAGACACGTTCTCATTGGCTCATTCCCAAACAAGGATGGGTTTAGACACCATGCGTTTGTCGTGAGCAGAACGTTATACGAATAAACTACAGCAGGAAACCTAAAGTGCGTATTAGCTGAACCTCGTCGCATCCGATTCCGTTTATGAGAAGGAAAGAAAAAAATCTTAAACTCGTTTTTTTTGTTTTGTTTTTTTATTCTCCCGCATCCGTTCTCAACGAACACAAGCACAGTATAGCAAACCTAAATGGTATTAGATATTCTGACACTTTGTAATATTTTATGACAGAATGTGGCAGTTAAAAATGTGAACAAGGCGTGTTTGTTGACATTTGATACAGAGCCCGAAGTATCCGCGATTTTTTTTATCGCCCACTCATTGCTTGGTTACGCTGTCTGTTTTGGCAGGTAGCTGGGTCTTATCACTAGGCACGAATTAAACTAAGTGACAGTGCAACTGTGTATTCAATTTTCGCTTTTATTACTAGTTCTCAACTCTCGTTGTTTCAATGCGTTTTTCAGTACATTGACTCATGAAGTCATCTTTGTGGTAATGAAATATCTGTTTCAAATCTAAAAGTACTTTTCTTTCAAATCTAAAAGCAGTTTTATTTAGGACATTCCAATAAATTCGTGCTTTCGTAGAACGTGTTCCCAATGCTATCAAAGATATAGTTAGATTTGGTGGAAAATAGGGAATGGCCGAATGGATATTTTGACGTTTTCTGCGTCATTTTCTTGTCCGTGATTAAAGTCTGCCCTTTCTCAGCAATTTTGTTTGTCGAAGCAAGGAAAGAGTTCGATATTAAATTTCAGGCAGTTTGAATTTGACATATCGTCCATAAGTTTCTCTTTCAACACATGTGTTGAAAGAGAAACTTATGGACGATATGTCAAATTCAAACTGCCTGAAAAAAGTCTGGCCTGGTTTTTTAATTCAAACTGAGCCGTTTCGAACACGATATACCTTAAATCCTTGTATTCTCACGTAGACATAATTGTCTTATATTTAAAAGAGAGCTAGGGAACTTGATCAATATATGCCTTGATACGCCTGCTTGACTGTACAAGTGGCTGCATCTGCTGATTCACCGTTCTCACTTCTCAGTTTTCACATAGAAATATGAATACATATGTCAATAATGTCATCACTCATCATCGTAATTTATTACCCTTCATTTAATGATTTCCTTAAAAACTGGCATTTTTGAATTCCTCTAATAATTTATGATATGTTAATTGCTACAATAAGATTCCATTATGGAAGACTTTTAAACAGTTGTAGTCATATGAATTCATGTGTATTGATAAATTGATGAATTCATGTGTATAAGTGTATTGTAAAAGCAAGAATACTCAAATTTGTTCAACCGAGCGCGCGAATCGACCACCTAATTGTAAAATATTCTACACTAACTGTTTGTGTATGCTGAGAAAGCCTTCATGTTTTTTAGCGAACTTGCAATGGTTATTTAAGCTTTAATGTCATCAAAATGTCGAAAGGCATTAAATAATGATCAAAAAATGGAAAACAATTAGTCAATTACGGTGCTTGTGTCTGGGGGAGATTTAGGAAAACTAAGGAACTTCAAATATATTTGCATTGGAATTTTTCCCGAAGTTACGCAACTGGCTGAACGCTGTTAATCTGTTAATTATCTCACGGAACTTACAGAAGCCAGAAGGCAAACGTTCCCACCTTCAGCAACGCTTTGGCCCCGCTAGCCGCAGAAAATGTATCGTTTTCGGCAGTTTCGTTTGCTTTTATGGAAGAATTTTCTTCTGCAGGTAACAAATCATAAATTTTTTCTTCCACTTTCTTTCTTAGAGTTCAGGCAAAGTATATTTCGTATATTTAGTATATTTTCGTAATGTATCCATACCATATACAGTACGTAACATATTTTGTACTTTTGAACAACGGAACTCGTTCAGGCGTGTAAATATTGTGCATTTCTCGACAGAATGCATTAAAGTTGCTCGCAATTGTTGCTTTTTAGTTGTTAAATCGTATCAGTTTTAATTATCATTTACTGTGTCAGTTCAATCGTTCATTACAATATTTTTGAGTGAAAATTCTGCGTCTATCCTTTCGTCTATCCCTAATGTTCGATCGCTTTAAACATACGTTTTAAAAATATCATAGTTTTATTATTTAAACTATCTGTACGAGGTATTGCTTATTCCTTATACTATAGCGTGTACATATGTTTCTTCTCCATAGTTCCGTCGCCCGATAGGGACTATTTTCGAAATAGTACTCCCCGTCGTTTTTGTTGCAATTTTGATCCTGTTGAGGTATGTTTTGTTTTTTACTGGCTGAATATCGAGTAAAAAACGATAGATAAATAAAACTTTTAGCGGTCGCGACCTCAAATTGAGGACGAAGCCGGTATGACAGAAATCGCTTCTTCTGCAGATGGCATTTCGACAATGCAAACAATTCGTGCTAAACGAAACTGCCTTCAAGTGTCGCCGGCTTTCCTTTGTTTTTCGCTGTACAAATCGCACCTTTCCCATGCCATGTTAGCAAAATATTATTTACCGCTTGTGGGGTTTATATACCGCTTTATATACCTATTAAATAATGTCCTGATTGACCTTTTTTTAAAAAAACAGAAACGGTAGGATTAGGGTTCAAAGCAATGTTTGCCAAGGCCGAATGCTCTCAAGCAGATAAGGATACTGTTGTATCGGTAGAAATACTAGATATATTGCAATCTTGCATCGCAGTTTGTTCAGTGGATTGAGTTGAAGTGACTCATTTTCTTGAGACCTATTGTTTCCTGTTGGGTAAAACATATCAAGACATCCTGGTCCATGCATTCCCAGATGAACGGAAGGCAACCACTGGAAAGTCTAGAATATATATACTGAGGCAATGTAGCCCTACTTTAATAAATCACAACTAAAAATAACTATTCCATCTGAGTAGGTTTGGTTATGCAAACCACATATATACCTTTTTTAAAAAGCCTAACAGAATATGACACTTGTTTTGTCTTATAGCTGTTGTTTTTGCTTGTAATGTGTACATACTCAGTTATATCTGATGTGTAGGAAATGTCTTTAGATATGTGTATGACAAATGAGGGATACAAAGTTAATTAAGTTCAAGCATACCCACCATAGAAACTGCCAACACTGGAAATCCTTTCTCAATTGTTTTCCATCTTTTTTGTCCACAGGCTTATTTTAAAGCCGGAAGACGAATGTTTTGGTAAGTTTTTGATTTATGTGAGATCTATTAAAGCTGCAAGATCTATTAAAGAACAGTTACACTGTTATTTGGGTCTGTTATAGTCTCTTGCGCATACCTACTCACTGACCATATTGTCCCACACATGAAAGCATGCTGAATTTAACCAAGGTTTCTTTTTCTGCCATTTTCAAACTCAATCAAATCTATGTAAAATATACAAAAGGCAACAAGTCTATTGCCTAATTAATAAAAAATATCACAAAACCCTGGCTAAACTATAAGCACATTGTTGTGCAGGATGAATAAAGACTTGCTAGCCAGGTGTGCACACAAGACTGGGCAGTTAATGGGTTAACGAAAAGGCAATGTTGTGAAGATGTTTAAAATAAGCTCTTTCTTTGGTGTCATGTTGATTTGATTTGACAGAACTTGCACCTAAGTATATCATTATTTTCATGGTCATTGTATAAAATTTTTTTATCATTTGCAGCAAATTTTGACAGCTCAGTACTGAAAGAGAAGAACACATATTTGGATAAAAGATTCCAGTCGGATGTTCTCTACAAGGCTAATGCTGAACTTGCAGGACAAAAGGACTTAAAAAAGTTAAATGCCTCAAAAGCTTTCATTGCTTACCATCCTTCTAATAATGCAAGTATGTACGGTTCATATGTCAGTGATGACCAATGAATTTTGGTCAGTTTCCAGCTCCCAGTGTTTATTATTGGTTCATCATTTGCTATCAGTCATTTGAACTTTTTTGTGAATTGTAGCTGATGATCTTATGCGTAATGTGGGAAAGATTATGGGCATTAAACTTGAAAACCGCACATGGACATCTGAAAATGATATGATAGCTTCTGTTTCTGAGTTAGAAGCAAAGTATTATGGAGGTAAGGGGTTACTTATTGCCTGGCTGGTACAGCAATAAATTCATCAATTGAAACATCATCAATTGAAAGTACCGCAGTAACATCATAGTGAGAAAGGCTGATTATATTGTATGCAGTGTCTCTTGTAAACCTCGTTATCTTGTAATTAACCAAGATCTTCCCAACCTCAACACTTCAAATGTCTCATGCCAGCTCATTTTACTCTGTAGTTTAGGCTGGTAGAGACTGGTTTTGCATGAGTTCTTTTCCTTTCTAGCTGTTTCCTTTTTGGAAATGGAGAAGAATGCCAAAGAATTACCAAAAGATATAAAATATGCCATCCGACTTCCTGCTCAACGTTGGCTCACTGCAAGGTCTTATCCCTTCTTTCAAGCTCGAGAACCTCGGGAGAGTGAAAAAAGGTTTGATAACAACAAATTATTAGGTCAGTTTGTTGTTGGTCAGTCATGCTGTACATGTTACCAAAGTTACCAAACTCAATCTGTTGTTGGTCACTCAATCTATTGTTGGTCACTCAATCTGTTGTTGGTCACTCAATCTGTTGTTGGTCACTCAATCTGTTGTTGGTCACTCAATCTGTAGTATGTGTAATCAATTTGCTCCTTTGTTTCCAACAGTTTGTACAGCAGTCGTTTTCTCTTCCTTCAATATGCATTGGATGCATCAATCGCCCAGATTCACTCCAAATCAAGCCATCCTCACCTGTTCGAACTTAAGGTATTCTTAACACTTACCCTGGACCTGGTGATTTCAAGATTCCCTGGATATGATTATCTTAATTTGGCAGTTGCAAAAATTCTTTTTAAAAACCTTGTTGGCTTGCACGGTTTAACTAACATTTTCATCTTTTCACAAACAGCAATTTCCGTATCCAACCTACCGCAGAGATTACTTTAATTCATCTGTCGCAACAACACTTCCATTGCTACTGACGCTTGCCTTTATCTACACTGCCATGATGATTGTGAAGGTAAATGCCAAGTATTAGAAATGCTAAGATAACGTTAGCAGATCATAAAAAATGTTCGTATTCAGTTGAAACCTCTCTCCTGCCACAGGCAAATTTTATACCTCTTCTAAAAAAGGACACCATGCATTTTTGTCTTTGAGCGCGTAACAAATGACAAATGTTCTTGCTCGGGTCATCAAAAGTGCTCATGAAATGTCTTTTTAAAATTATAATTGCTTACTTATACAGGAACTGGTGTACGAAAAACAATGTCGCTTGAAAGAGTCTATGAAAATGATGGGTTTATCCAACTGGATACATTGGCTTGCGTGGTTTACAAAATCATTTCTCTTTTTGTTCATTTCAGTGGCTTTGGTGACCGGCGTACTCTCGGTAAGTGAGTCTTTGACGAATATCTGTGCTCCGTTCGTTAATGTCTCGATGACGTTTAAAACTAACCGCTCACCGCAAACTAGAATTCGTATTGTTCATTTAAAAATGATGAGCTATCTCGATGTCGGACCAAAATCTTGACCATGAAACAATTTTCATGGCGATGCATGAAATAAGCTGTTGAAAGCATTCACACCGGTTTACTTTTAAATTTGTTTTAAAGTTTGTCGTTTCCGGTTACCGGTTTGCGATGAACGTAAATTTTAAGGCCTGTTTACATGCAGCGAGTCATCCCGGCTAGGCGAGGTAAAAACTGCATCACATTAAAAGCTTAACCTAGCTTAGTCTTTTATCGCAGTTTCCACCTCGCCTGCATGGCCGGGATAACTCCCTCCATGTAAACAGGCTTTTAAGGTATCTGTTTGCTAATCTTGAACCGTTCGAAATGACAAGGCCGTCTTTATTTCAGGGGGCGAAAATATTAGAAAATTCTGATGCTTCTGTTGTCCTTGTTTTTTTCTTGTTGTATGCTACTGCTGGTATAGCGTTCTGCTTTTGTTTAAGGTAAGCTTCTAAAGACTTTGTTAATGAAATCTTACATCTACATAGTTAGACCAGAGTTCCCAAACGTTATTTCTCCCGAGCCGGAGAGACAAGTTGCAGGAGAGATTTTGATCAACTCTCAGTTTTCATTGGGAAGAATTATTACTTATTTTCTTTTTGCAAATTTGGTGTGTATATTTTTGGAGATTTAGGTAGAAATTTAGTCAAAGTTTTATCACTTTTTATAGTGTGTTCTTTTCAAACGCTATCTTGTCCATGCTGTTTTCTGGTGCATTGTGGTTCATAACGTACGTGCCATTTTTATCTGTGGCCAACGATCAGACTTATGATGGACTGGATTCGTAAGTAATCTTTGTTAGAGGGAACCATTCAATGGAGGGAACCAATTTTTCGCACTGATCTTATAATACAGCAACTATTCCTGCGAAGATCGAGTTAAGCCATCAACGATTTAATCAATTCTAGCTGAGCTTCGTCTTCGCTTCCGTAAATTGAGTTCTTTCTCTAAATTTGCACCTCAGCCACATATCTGCTCTTGTAGAGGAGCAAAGGCTGCCATATGTCTGTTGGTAAACAGCTGTCTTGGTATTGGTGCTAAGAGTTTCTCCGTGTACGAAGAACGAGGCGTTGGCGTTCAGTGGAGCAACATCGCCGACTCTCCTTCGGCCGATGACGACTTTAGTCTTGCCCAAGTCATGCTGATGTTCGTCGTTCAGATAGTTATTTACGGCTTTATCGCATGGTGAGTATGGATTTTGTGATAATTCTTGCACTATAGTTTCCTCTTGGCTACGTTCTATTGCTATAGTTTTCCCTTGGGTAGTTTTCTCTTTCGTAGATTTTAGACGTTTGATGTCCAAAAGAACACTGCTTTTGGGCACCTTTAGGGCTGTTTACATGTTCCCGTTTAGTCGAGATTTAACGAAGCGTAATATGACTTTAAGGTGTTGAAACAAATATAAAACATGATTCTGGCTTTGGTGTAGTCATCCTAACTATCATAACAATAACATGTGCTGGTTTGATTTCATAAAGACTTATTTCAATACCTCAAAATCATCTTACGCTTCGTTGAATCTCGGGTGAACCTCCTGTAACCGGACTCATGTAAACAACCCCCTTTGTAGGAAATATTAAGTCTTTATCATCATAAGATATTCCTAAACGTGAACGTGGAATCGATTTTTCATTGTCAAGGTATGTTGAGGCTGTGTTTCCCGGAGACTATGGCATTTCTAACCCACCCTGGTTCTTCGTTACGAGGTCCTACTGGTTTGGAACAGCTTCAGGCAAAGTTGATAATAGTCAAGAAGCAACCGTAAGTCTCGCATTCGTGCTGTTGCAAGCACTCGACTGAGATATGCACCTTCACGACCAAATCATTTTCATTCAGGTTATGTCGAACCTTCATCTCAAAAACCCGGACTATGAAGAGGAGCCCACGGACCTGGAAGTCGGTGTTTCCATTTGTAATTTGAGGAAAGTTTTCAAGGTATGTCAACAAAACGTTTTCTTTTGTAAACTGGGATATTTGAGCGAATTTTCTCGGCCTTGGTTTCCCTAGCATTCAAGCTGGGGTGAACATAGGCTACTCTGGGGTGAATTCAAGAAACGATATGAATATAGAGCTCGTCTGCAGACGAGCAAGTTTTGACAAGTATTCGCTTGTAGAAAATGTTTTTATTTGCTTGGAATTTTACAGAGTTCCGTCGGGAAGAAAGTTGCAGTGGACCAGTTGTCGTTCAACATGTTTAAAGGGCAAATTACATCACTCCTTGGGCACAATGGAGCAGGTTTGCATCCATTTGCTTACCCGATGTGTTTGTCCTTCTCATCTCTCGATGACTTCACAATGCTCATCAAATTTAGCCCACTTCTTAAAATCAGGCCAGGCGTTTCATGTTACGAAAATGCATCTTTCATTGACAGTCTGAGTCGAGATATATGTTTCCTCCAGAGACCTCCCCAATATTTATTTACTTTTCAATAATCAACGCCTCTCCTTGTCCACTTCTGCAAGTAGCTGCCTCGTGTTCAACGAAACCAAGTAACCGTTTGTTTATCAACTGTAGGCAAAACAACAACGATGTCAATTCTAACCGGTCTTTTCTCGCCTACCTCTGGAACTGCTTACATCAATGGCTATAGTATTTTGACTGAAATGGATCGAATTCGAGATAGTCTGGGGCTTTGCCCACAGCATAACGTGCTCTTTGATAAACTCACTGTGAGAGAACATTTGAAATTCTTTGTTAATTTGAAGGTAAACAGCAGGACACTGGTGATTGTAATTATAAGAATCGATGTTGGATTACTACTGCCACTTCTAGCACTGCCCCATCAACCCGAATTTAATCTAGTCTTAATCTTGTCTGATACTGAACGTAGGGTAAATTTGGACCAGAAGCAGAACATGAGATCAATTCAATGATAAATGATATTCAACTCGCAGACAAAGCGAACTGGCAGAGTAGATTACTATCCGGGGGTATGAAGCGAAAACTGAGGTGGGATATAAACTGCTGACATTATTGTTTTAATCGAGACATGGTCTGAAGGAAAACTCTTATTTGACAGTCTCAAAACTCCTGTTGTTGTTTTATATTTTGTTCATCTTTATGCAAACCTGTCCACATTAGATCTCTTGGAAGTTCGCCAAGTTTTCATAGAAGGTCACTGACTTCAATAGAACTGTAAGTTAACTGATATGTGTTTCTGTTTAGCTGTGCTATTGCTCTCATTGGTGGCTCTGAGATTGTATTCCTTGACGAACCCACTTCCGGAATGGATCCGTACGCCCGCAGAGCCACATGGGATCTCTTGCTGAAGTACAAAGCAGGAAAAACCATCATCCTGACCACTCATTTCATGTAAGTTCGCTTCTAGCATCGAACCATTTTGCCCGCGTAAAGAAAACTGCTACTTCAAGATGAATATTGAACTACGATTTAAGACTGTATTCTTGTTCACACGATCCAATTTTGCTGGATCCAATTCACTTTTGATGCATGTTTTATAGTCTGTTGTCTTGTAATGTATACGAGCAGCAAATCCACTGAGGCCAATGCAGTACTGCTTTATCAATAACCGACTATATTTCATACGTCAGAAGTGAATTGGATCCAACAATATTGGATCGTGTGAACAGAGCTTTAGATATTAAACTCGTTATTTTTTCTCACAGGGACGAAGCAGATTTTCTTGGGGAAAGAATCGCTATCATGGCTGACGGCCAGCTGAGATGTTGTGGAAGCTCCTTGTTTTTGAAGAGCAGGTAGATCTTTTATGATGGAAGTTGACTACGGTCGATTCAGAGATTAACTTTGTTTTCTTGTTTTCCCAGGTACGGTGTTGGGTACCGTTTAACTCTAGTGAAAGCCGCTGACTGCAATGTTGTGGCGACATCTTCGTTGGTATACAATCACGTGCAGGATGCGAAGTTAGTCAGTGATGTTGGTGCTGAGCTCGCGTTTATTTTGCCAAGTCAGAGTTCGTCTGGCTTTGAAACTTTGTTTACAGAGTTGGAAAGTAAGTAATGACATGTGGTGTGGTGATGGTGGTAATGGTGGAGGTGAACGATGGTGATTGTGTTGCTGGTAATATCGATGGTCAAGATGACATGGTTTTTAAAAGAGTGACCATGTAATGTTTGATCGTGGTTAATGAAGCTGGTTATGGTGATGGTTGATATGATGGTGATACAGTTTTGATGAAAGTGATCGTGATTGTAATGATGTTGAGATAATATTGTATGGTATTATTATGGTTTCTGAACAAAGCTTTTCATTTATTATTTCGCAGAAAGCAAGGAGAAGCTGGGCATTAGCAGTTTTGGTGTGTCAGTAACAACATTAGAGGATGTGTTTATCAAAGTTGGTGAAGGATTTGAACAGACTGTAGATGAAGTGTAAGTAAACAGACTTACCAGAAACGATAAATGGCAAGCGATATGATAATCGTTACTGTGGTATTGTGAACAGTGGTTAAATGATAAATCTATGTCTGAAAAGCTTGCTTCCATTCAGGGTTGAGGGAAAGGAAGCAGAGGAGGATACGCACAGCGTTGACGTTCTCGCTGATCCAACATTACAACTGGACCACTCAGGTGAGCAATCTTCGTTCTCTTGTCTGCTTCAACACGAGGTCACGAGCTATGCAATATGAGGGGTTGTTTGGAATTCCGTACAATATTTGATGGAGAAAGACATATAAAGAAGTGCCTCGTGACTTGTAGAACACTAACCCTATGCTGACAGTCACGCGTTTTTCATGCGTTTTTCACGCGCACTCAAATAACTTCTAAAAGAAAAGAGCTTGTCTTGATCGACTGAAACAGACAAATATTGCCATCTCTGTCCTAGAACTCTTGACTGGCATTCCGCTGAAGCTTCATCAATTCAAGGCGATGTTCATGAAGAGATTCTTACATTCCAAGCGAAACAAGGGAGCGGTGTTGACCCAGCTCGCTCTGCCGTTAATCATGACAGTCATTGCTCTTATTCTTGCGAAAACCGTGCAACCTATTGATGACGAACCCTCCAGATTGTTGGGCTTCAGGAATTTGAGCGTCGATAACAAAAATACCAAATCGTTGTATGCAAGTTTCCCCTCGGGAAACAAATTATTTGAGGTGGGTTTTGTCTTGGATGAAGAGCGAAAATTGCTGCCCTCAAAACACCGAAAGAAATTATCTAAATTTTTGAACAACCCTTACCCTTGTGCGAAGCTGTGGGGCAAGAAACGATGTTTCAGCTTTTTCTACTTTCTGAGAACATTTCTAGGAAGCAGTCGTGGAATTGTTTCCTGATTTCTGGAAACAAATGTCTGTCTGTTCACACGTTCCAATTTTGTGTGATCCAATTCACCTCTGATGGATGTTTTATAGTCTGTTGTCTTGTAATGTATGTGGGCAGCAGCTAGTCAACTTAAACCAACGCAGTACTGCTTTATCAATAACTGACTTCATTCCATACGTCAGAGGTAAATTGGATCCAACAAAATCGGATCGTGTGAACAGACCTTAACGGATATGATTTCTCTTTCAGGGAGTTAAAGACTATCTTGGAAAAACGCAGAAAAACGTGCCCAGTAACATTGAGAAGGCGATGATCTATCTCAAGTCTAACAACAGCGGTGACAAGATACTGGTTGATGGAAAAACATTGGACACAACTCCGGAGAACTGTTGTAAAATGCCTTACCAAATTATCAATGAGAAATGCCGGCAGAATGTAAGTTGAGGTTGTGTTTGAAAAAAAAATTATTACATCACGCGAACCCAAAAAAGTGTCCTGTATTTTTCGTGGGATGACTATGTATATTTATGGTTAGGACCAAACTTACCCCGTACTATCCTCCTACCTTATGTTCTCTGATCCACCTTACCCTGTTCTGTCCTACCTTATCCCACTGTAGTGAATCTAAAATTGTTTACTTCCTCTAGCTGGAGCCCAAAACCCGTGAATGTACACCGAAAGGTTACACGGAATGTGTGGATAAATGCCTAAAGTAAGCATTTTGATGTTCTCGCGCGTATTGCTCAGGAAAATTAGTAAATATACCACAGGAGAGTATAAAATCCTCTATAAAATCTGCTTTAATGACCTCATCTTGTGTAGCTATATTGTGTGACACAAAATGTGAATTTTGATGAAACAAGAGAAACTGTACCAATTCTACAGGGAATTCAGGGAACCTTAAAGACACCTACCTAGTGGATATCGCCATCCAGCTTCCATAAAATAATCGGTCACTATACAACCTGCATCGTAAAGCATTCACATTCGCTCGCCTCATCTGAACCCAGATGATTGAATCCGTTTTTTCATTGATATTTTATAGTAATCCAACAAGCACAAAAGTTTGTCCTATTCCGCTGAGAGACACAAAGACCGAGGCTTGGTCCACATTCTTTGAGCAGTATGTTTTGGAAAATAGCGACCCAAAAGAATATTTCTTTAACACCATTGCTGGTTTCATGGTTGAAAAAGATACTGCAACAAACGAATCATTTTATAGAACCTGGTATAGTAATGAGGTAATTATAATATAAAGGCTTAAATTAACCAGTAGATTGATTTGATAAACTAACAATTTCGAGACTTAACCTAGTTGGGTTGTTAACTAGTCGTCTGAGATTACTCTTTAATCATTCTTTAATTGTTGTTGTCAAAGAATTATCGCCCTAAAGATTGCCCGTATTCCGGGAGTTAATTCAGGGAATTAATCAGATTGCAACCATTTAGTTGTTCCTCGTGGTGTATTTTTCACATATATTTCTCATGCAAGCTTCGCTAATCTGTACTGAAAACAGTCCAGTAGAGTTATTGTAATTCTCATTTATCTTTCCAGGGCCTTCATACGGTTGCAGACAGTGTTAATGTTATGAGTAACTTGATCTTAAGAAGTCTGTTCAATGAATCGTATAAAATCTCAGCTTACAACCATCCTCTACCCTACAGCACGGAAGGAAAGGTATGAATTGAACTTCATTCAGCCAAATGCGAATTACCATCCTTGTGTTATGTTTTATGAAACTCTTAACCACATTTCGCTTAGCTGAATCGTAGTTAACTGAGAAAAATGATTAATTCTGATTAGCAAAACTATAGTTAAACAACTGCCTCTTTAAACAACGAGCGTGTATCAACTGTTCATTATTTTCTGTCCGAAATTTTTGAAAACTGTCTCAAATATTTCAATTTCTATTTGATATTTTAGGCTGAGAACGTTAACAGCGATTTCTCATCCCTCTTGCTTGCAATTTTCATCAATTTTGGGATGTCCTTTTTGGTTGCAAGTTTTATCACATTCCTTATCCTGGAACGTGAATCTAAGGTAATCTTGTCGTGAATAAAGTCCTAAAATAAATCGGTGCTTCCATCCAATGCTTCCATTCTCTCAACGCTTCCATTTACAGCGCTATCAGCACTCTTACGTGTCGTGAATATTTTAGGCTAAACACATCCAGTTCATCAGTGGAGTGGATACGATCAGTTTCTGGTCAGCGACATACCTGTGGGATTTCATTAACTACATGATCCCAGCAACCTGTGTGATCATTCTGTTCCTGATCTTTCAAATTGATGCGTACTCCGACAGCGAAACCCTTGGCTCTATTTACTTTTTGTTGGTAAGGCCTCAACAGACATGCGTGACAATTATATACATGATACGCACTGATCTGAATGCTAAAACTGGATAGTGTATCTGCTATTATAGCACCAGTGATGTTCGACATTAGTTTCATGTTTCATGTAAAGAGTTGAGTTCACCAGTTTAACTGATATATTATGCTGCTTGATGTTGTTGTTGTGAGTAAAACACCAAGTTTTGCGTGTGTATTGGTTCCAGGATATTCGATTTTCTTAATTAATTACTTACGACTGTCCACGACTCAGAATTGACTTTTTCTTGCAGATCCTTCAAGGACTTGCCGCAATTCCGTTTGTGTATTGTTTATCGTATATTTTCAAAACTCCTTTGGTTGGTTACTCCATAACTGTTCTCGTCTTGGCTTTCCTTAGTCTGGTAAGATCCTTTATTTCCATGATCATTTGGGGGCGTTTCTCTATGGGACCTAAGAAGCAATTAAAATTTTAGCAACTTTAAAATACAGGTCTGCCTCATGCGTCCAGTCTAACCTAGTACATAGCAGTATTATCTTGGTAGTACATATACCAGTCAAACCTATTACATATACGAATCTTACATAGTACATATATATATATATACCAGTCTAACCTAGTACATATACCAGTTTTGCCTTGTGTATTCCAGTCTAACCTGGTACATATACCAGTTTTGCCTTGTGTATTCCAGTCTAACCTGGTACATATACCAGTTTTGCCTAGTGTATACCAGTCTAACCTGGTACATATACCAGTTTTGTCTAGTGTATACCAGTCTCACCTAGTACCAATCTAGTACATACTATTCGAACCTAAAATTGGACCTTACAATTTCCTCTTAACACACGTAGGGACTTCTTATCACCGTCTTCACACTTTTTGGAGAAGACGAAGATTTGGCCAATATTATTCACTATATATCCCTTCTCGTCCCGACATATGCGTAAGTATACAATGGAAAATGTATTTTTGAAGTGAAAGTACGTCTTGAGCGAAATTTTATATTGTGGACGACAGGACGACAATGTCAAGTGACGAAGACAACACAAACCATTTCATGCGAAAGACTGCAAACAAGCTTTTAGTCCCCTGTTAGTCTTAATATATTTGCAGTTTGATTTGGTGAAAATCATGCAGGATTAAATAATAACTTTAGGAAAAAACGTGAACGAATAAAGCTGATAATCTCAGTTGAAATTGTCCTCCTTCGTCTTAAATTTCGCTTGTGAATAAATCGTAGCTATCTCTTACTCATCGGCACTTCCTTCATGACTATCGTCTTCATTATATATCAGAACATGATTGCATCAGGATAAACGATGAAACAGTCCAGTTTTCCGACGGTTCCTTTGTTTGGAATACAATTGTTCAAGTTTGTAAATACTGAAGATTTTGCAATGATGGTGTACTTTGTGTTTATCTAGATTCTCGAGTAGTTTTATTGACATGAACAGGAATTATGGTTTCAGAAAAAGGTGCACCGCTTCCCCAGGGTAGGCTAGCCATTTATGAATGTTTTTTATTATTTTTTTCCTACTAACCTCTTTGTAAGAATTGCGATGGTGGGAAGGAAGCCAAATCACTCCTTCTAGCTTGTGTACTGTAAGAGTTAGGTATCATACTTGGGTCGGTTGTGGATAAGTTAGTAAACGGTGGATAAGTTTAAAATGGAAAACAAAATTATCTATTTAATGAACAATTGAGCTTAAATATTTCGATGTAAATAGTTTAAAGCTAATCGTCTTTCGAACTACCACCAGCCCCTGTATGAAAACCTCTGCCTCTAAGATAAATTATGCTTTGTGACACGGAACATTGTCCTGTCATCGTTAATATTCCTCATAATGTTTTTTCTGTCTTGCAGTACTGTCAAGTATTGCGAACTCCTCGGAATCAAATACGCCGACCACTCTTTAAACTGGGAGTCTTATGGCGCCGGCAAGCAATGTCTTTACCTTGCTCTTGAAGCAATATTTTACTTCATCCTCTGTCTATTATTACAGGTCAGTCAAACCATGAAACCTGCAGGCGAAAACTTGCAGTTATTCCTAACGATTTCGAGCGAGAAGATCTTTGACAAAGGCATTGGTTCCTACAGCTGTATTTTGTCTGACCCTCAGTATAGAACTCGCATTTGGTTGTCGACCAACCATTGGCCTAATTCTACCTAATTTTATACCGTTCATAGGTGAACTTCTTTCTGAGCGCCCGAAAACAGGACCGTCTTCCCAACACAACTAGCGACAGTACTCCAGAGGTATTGTTTAGTCATTTTCTAGACATTTTTCTCAACACGTAACATGTATCATTCTAGATATATAAGTAGATATAGGAGATTTTCTCAACCCTTAACATCTATCATTCTAGATCGATAGATAGGTAGATATTTAGACACTGGCTTTACTAGCTTCTAACCTAGCCCCTTCCTTCCGCCCTGAGTCATCGCTCCTGTAGAGTTCACTGGAGTTGTGTTTAGGATTCGGATGTCATGGCAGAAAAGGAACGTGTCGATAATTTTAATTTCGATTCCTTGGGAGACGAAGCTATTGTTTTGAAAAACCTTACAAAGGTAAACTGTCCTTTGCCCTGACTTTGCCCTTTGTCGCATGAGATTCCACCCAGGCATCACGTAGATTACTGTGTTCGCACACAGGGCTCTGACGTTCGGGTTTTCAAATGATATTTAGGTATACCCGGGAGCAACACGTACAGCCGTGGATAATTTGAGTCTTGGAGTGACCAAAGGGAACTGTTTTGGATTGCTCGGGATCAATGGTAAATTATCCTCGTTTTTTTCATACGTTTTGGCGTGATAGTGTGGACTAAAGTTGCAAAATTGGCTTTTGTCACTCGCCACTGGAGGGAGCTCTATAGCCGACCAGCACATATAATATCCTCACATCTCTACTCTGTGTTCATTTCATTTCAGGCGCGGGAAAAACAACAACGTTTGGAATGTTGACCGGAGAGTTTCCAATCTCAGCAGGCACAGCTTATCTTGATGGTTATAATATCCAGACTCAGTTGCGAAAGGTAAGTTATGGCGGAAAACTTTATCTTTCTAGTGTTTCACGCTAGGAACACATTCCTCCTAAAGCAGACTCTATTCTTGAGCTTGAGCAATCAATTGCAACACGGACAATCCACTCACCAACCTTTGCTCTCGACTTCAGGTTCAACAGCGTATTGGCTACTGTCCACAGGTAAGATTCAGAGTTTACAAACAAATTTATACATACTGTGTAATTTAGTCAGTGAGAAACGAGAGAATGAAATAACTACGTGAATGAACGGATGGGCAGAATTTAGTGTTTAGTAAGATTTAGTTAGCATTTATTTGTAAGACGGTTAAAACGAGTTGGATTATTGTAAAAAGATGGTGTGTTATGAAGATAGATTACACCAATGCTTCTGGATAGAAGGGAATGCTGAAATGCTTGAAAAAAGTCTGGAAGATATACCTAGAGCTCGCTGTACTTACCAAGGAACTGCAATAGTTGTATTTCATGTCTTTGTTTAGTTCGATGCACTGATTGGGAATCTCACTGGTCGCGAGATGCTTGAATTGTATGCACATCTCAGAGGTGTACCGTACGATAAAATGGAAGAGCTTGTTGAACACACGATTGAGAGCTTGAACCTCGGCCACTGGGCGGATAAAATGTGTGGAACGTACAGGTATGATATCACAACTCGTTTTAAACCTTCGATTTTACAAGGTGGATTGCTGCTATATCAAAAACCCGAAATGGTGATCTATCACTCTCTTTACTGTCTAGTGGTGGAAATAAGAGAAAACTCAGTACAGCCATCGCTCTCGTTGGGAATCCACCAATCGTCTTCCTTGTAAGTAAACACTTCCTACAACAATTTTCAACCAGATTGGCAAGAAAACAATGGGCAATTTCATACCGGAAGATTCTAATTACCAAACTGTTTTTTATTGTCCTTCTCAGGACGAGCCTACGACAGGAATGGACCCTGGTGCAAGGCGCTTCCTTTGGAATTACTTGATGTCTGTGATTCGTGCTGGAAGATCAATTGTTCTTACATCTCACAGGTATCGCTAATCTTCGGACACGTAGAGTCCATAGAGGATACACAAATACATGAGGGTACATAGAGAGTTTAGAAGGTACACAGATACATGAGTGTAAATAGAGGATACGCAGATACACACGAGTGTGCATTGAGGGTACGCAGATACACGAGTGTACATTGAGGGTTCGCAGATACACGAGTGCTGAAGATCTATTCTGTGCTGTTATTTAGTATGGAGGAATGTGAGGCGTTGTGTACACAGTTAGCCATTATGGTCAACGGGAAGTTCAAATGTCTTGGTGGAACTCAACATCTTAAGAGCAAGTAAGGAGCATCATTCATTGTTGTTTTTTATAAAACATTATCCAGGTGGTTTGAAATCGCTTGGAAACACTGGAAAAGTTACATAACAATTCATTCAGAGATGCATTCAAAAATCCTGAGTTGATGTTTAATTATTTTCGCGTGTAGGTTTGGTTCTGGTTACACCCTCATGTTAAAGGTCGCTCCACCTGATATGAACGTTGTGTCATCGGGACCACCAAGTCCAGTGGCTGTACTCAGCACCGAGCAAGAATATTTCGATCCAAATCTAGGTCAAGCTCCAGGCTATGGTGCGTAGAATTCAATCAATACACGTGTTTTTGTTCGTTTCATATCCTAGAATATTGATATTAATAATGATAGGCATGCAGTATAACAACTGTTGTGTGATAATGGTTCAAAGGTTTGTGTTGTTTACTTAGTACTCATTTCTCTGTCTCTTTCTATGCTCATAGTATATGGCAACCCATCTGCTCAAACTGGCACAAACATGTCAACACTCGACGGTTATGTTGAACAAGCGAAATTGTTTGTGCAACAAACATTCCCTGGCGCAGTGCTTGAGGAATCCCGTCAGGTAAGGAAACAGTGAAGTTTGCTAGTACACCAGCATAACATCTCTCTTGACCAACAGATCCTTGATCTTCAAAAATAATATTGTGGCAAAAAGAAAATGTTGGCCATTCATTCCTTCAACACTCGTTCTTAGTTTTTATAACATATTTTTGAAGGGTATGCTTACTTACCGCATCGCGAGCCAGAACATGCAATGGTCTTATGTTTTTGGAGCTTTGGAAAAGTCCAAACAACGTCTGGGCATTGTCGACTACAGTGTGAGTCAAACTACCCTGGAACAGGTACGTGACGTCAAAAGACTGAGTCCAGAATGATGAAAAACGCCAGGTCAACGTATTTACATCCAGTCAACGTCTTTACATCCGGTCAACGTACGTGTTGTTCAAAACGTTTCCTGTTTTTTTAGGTCTTCCTCAACTTTGCCAAGCATCAGTTCAGCGAGGAAAGGACCATGTTAAAGAAAAAAAGGTGTTTCTGTTTTTAACTGTGATTATATATGTCTCAAAGTATATCTGTAGATAGGCGCAGCCTGTCCTTTTTTAGCTTCTTAGTTTTAGTTTCAAGAAACGCATCATAAATATATATATACACATATGTTTAGAAAGACTATCTAGCTAGCTAGGGTTCTGAGTCTTGGAAATAAACACGGAAAATGTCGTAACATCATAGCTCGTTATATTATGATGTTATGAATTAAGTAATTTGTTTGGTTATACGAATTGTTGGAAATACTAGAACTACCTAGAAGGTAAACTTCTTTTGTTTCTAAGGATTTTTCGCAACGTTCTTACGAAGAAAAGCGTACACATTACATCATAGTTGAACATTGTCAGTTTTCCTGTTGTTTCCAACCTCCAAAATGACGTGTGTTTCTTACTGTAACCTCGGTTTCACCGGCAATATTAATTGGGAATATTAAAAATATAATAGAACTCTAGGTTAGGGTTGGTTTTAGGGTTAGTTTTATAGTTTTTTCCCATGCGAAACCGAGGATATTCAGTCGAAAGAAAATCACGTCGTGTCATTTTAGTGACTACATATTGTCATGCATTTGAGCACCGTCATTGGATTGTATTGTTAAAAGAATATGCTATTGTGCACAAAATTAGAAATACTCGTTAAATAATAGCTGTTTTCCGCAAATATAGTATGATACCGTGAACAATAAGTTTAAAAAACGAAACATTCAGATAATATTCAGTCGTTTTTACAAAAAACAATAGAACCTGATGTAAATGCATTATGATTGTAATTCGCTATGAATTATTAATTTGTAACATGAGCTATTCCCTAGCAACTGTAACGAAACGCAAATATCATTATAAACATATCGTTAAATTTCGACTTGAAAATTGAATTCTACTTCGAAAAAGAGGTGTAACGAAATATGGCGAATCATTTGCACGATAAATACACAACGACAAGTCGGGAAGCATATTCACATCCGAAGTCTGTCCCAGCATATCGATACTACATGCCTGAACGTCCACAAACCTTCGGTAAAACCTTTCAGCATGGCGAGGGAACGAAGAGATGGTTTCATGACTACCGTCGAACTCAAGTCGCCGAGAAAGTTATGAAAGAGAACTTAGAATCGGCCGGGATCGACGTCCGTCCGACTTGGCATAGCGACAAACCTGACAGAGTTTTAGGGGCTCGGTGTGCTGACAGGGAAGAACTCTTGAATCGGCCGGATTATAAAATGTTTAACAGATTGCCGGACAGAGAACGAGATTTAGCAGAGTTCGTTGAGAGAAAGGAAGAACATAGGAATGACTACAAGGATTTGACCGGAAGAACACATAAAGTCGATTTCTTTCATTATCCAACCGAAGCGAGCGAGCAGTTCGTGGAACGTGGAACACAATCCTCCTCAAAGATGACAGACTATCCCAATCCTCACAAGGGCGCCCTCGAATACACCTGGGAGACGCAGAGGGGACCTAAACATTACGAACTGTATCGAGGAGTCTCTGATTTTAACTATCATAAGAAAATACCAGAAATTTAGGGAGCTATATACCGTATACATATTTTATTACATCAGACAGTTCAGGTAATAGTTGATTTCTAACATAGCATTATAAGTCTTATAATGGGTGGGATGGTCATTTTGACTATTGGTACGACCACGTATTCTCTTCTGGAGAATAGCTAAATTAACTGTTTTTCTGAAGAATATAATTTGAGAATTGTTTTGTTCACTGGTCTGGTATGTTAAACTTTGTTGGGAGTTTCATTGCAAAGGTCTTGCCTGCCAACATAGAAATTCAGTCATATCAGTGCTACAAGTATTCCATATTGCCCGCTTTTATTCATTTGGTTGATTCACCTTACATTAGCACGATTCATTTCACTGTTCATTTCATAGTATCCATTTATTTCACTCTTACTTCATGTTATTTCATTTCCACTTACCACATCCGGGTACGTTTCCTCTTCAGTTTTCTGACCAATCAGAGCACGCGCTCATTCAAAAATGGTTTCCTCGCAAAAGTTTCTTCGTTCGTGGATTTTTGTGCAAAACAAAGTTGATTTTAAAAGGCTTTTAAAAGTTCAAAGTCCTTGTATAAACATCGTTTAAATGCCCCTTGGTCAAAGGTCAGTAAAGTTTAATTCGTGTTATTATTCATTACTAAATTCCAGGTGCGAAACTATTTAATAATTTACAACAAAAACAAAATCATTTTATAATATGAGTCAAATTTTTGATGGAAGAATCCGTTTATAAAGCTATGTTTGTCTGTCTATACGTGTAGAGAATTACCTTCGATAACAATGTTTTTCAAAACGTCTGCAAAGTAACTGAAGCTTTGCAGTCTGAATGAAAGACAACTGGTTTAAATAGTACTTTGAGGATATTTCGAATTAAAGATGAAGAATTTATCATACCTAAGCCCACAACTTACATTCCTTGCAGAAATTATCAAGTTGCATTCAATATGTATACTCTATGCTTAGAAATGTTCTAATATCTACCATACAAAGTAATACAATTCACTGAAGATTTTCAATTAGAGAAACTATATTCAACATAAAAATTAAATCAAAAAGGTTATTGAACTTAATTCTTTACAATTCAGAATATCATTACTTTATACAATTATAGTACATGTAATTGACTTTATAAGGTCTATTTAAGCATCAGTCCATAGCGAAGGTCTTTTATGTCATCTAAGATTGCAAATATCTATAAGATATGAGGGTGTGATGATTAGGATGAATGTTGATGAATATAATAAACACAGAAATATTACTATATAAGATATTTCAGTTCATAGCTGAGCTAGCACTGTAGCTCTATATAGTTTTCTGGGACAGTACCTTTCAGCGACTGGGGGTTTTATGCGTCCGCCCATGAAGTATGTATCATGCAACCGAGGTGTCAGGCAGGCAATTTTGATTTTGCTTATTTATTTACAAGTATTTTTTTCAAACCTTGGGCACACTCCTAGCTGTGTCACACATATGATATACAGACGAAGGCCTTAGCTTTTACAGTGGACTGATACAGATAGCCATCTTGTACCAAACAAAACTCATAAAAAAAAACGCTTTTTCAACTCACATTTCTCAGGAAAATGTCTTCTTTCCCTGTGTACTTCTTTCTTTTTTGGAAACTGCAATCTCCCTTCAGCGTCATCAGGCCCTTCTTTGAAGACTTTGCTTTCAAAGGCTTTGCTGTAGTGTTTCCTATTCGCCCTCGTCCAATTTTCAGATGATCTGCTCTCGACCTTACACCATGAATCGGTGTTCATTTTCAATCAATTCGTGCTGCTAACTAACACAAAGTCCACCACAAAATAATCTTCAATAAGCAGTTATAAGCTCAAAACGAGTATTCGAAATTTAATACTAATTTGCTACACTAAATATTTACAGTCGCAATTACCAAGGGAACGCTGGCATGGTGGTTGCTAGGTAACAATTCCCATACGTGAAATTGACAGGACTTGAATTTTTTTTCGCAATTTTTGAGGCAAAGTTTACACGCGCGATAAAAACTACCATTTATCTTGACATGAAAAAGATGTAAGAGAAATTACTGTAAAAGTAAATTTCCTGCCCTTTCTTGATGTGCGTGCACAGGAATTTCTTCAGATCGTCGGAAATCACCGTGCAGCATCGATAACTCTTCGGGATTGTCGGGACCAGAACGGAAGTATTGCGAACAAAGGAGCTGACTCAGCACTGCGAAGTGCCAACTCAGTGCGTAAAAGAACTCCTTCAGAGTTAAAAAAGTTAGAGACAAAGAAATGAATGAATATGGGACCTTTGTATTTAAACTAAAGACATCCAATAATGCAAACCAGGCTAGCAGTCCGGGTACGTAGCAGAACTATGCGTATTTTGCCGGTGATAGCGTGGTTTCTCCTTGCATTGGCAGTGTCAGGCGTGTTCAGTCACGAGGAACGGAAGCCGACTTTAATTTTGATTTCATTTGACGGATTTCGCTGGGATTATTTAAGAAAAGTGCCAACCCATACTCTCTCCTGGCTGGCAAAGTATGGGGTGAATTCATCAGTTGTGAATAACTTTGTGACAAGAACGTTTCCTAACCATTACAGCATCGTCACTGGACAATATGAGGAGAATCATGGAATCATCAACAACGTCATGTGGGATCCAGTGTACCATGAAAAATTCACTCCTTCAACTGTCGACCCAAAGTGGTTCAATGCCTCCGAACCAATTTGGATCACGAATCAGAAACAGGGGAACGGCCGATTAAGTGCGGTTATAAATTGGGTTGGTGGGGCTGTACCCATTCATGGCCGGAGGGCCAATTTCAGTCCGCCTTTTAATAGCAGCATTCCATTTAAAGCTCGTATGGATTTGGTATTGCAACAATTGGAGAGAAATCCCCCAGCAAATTTTGTGGCTGTTTACTTTGACGAGCCTGATGCGTCTGGACATAAGTATGGACCAAATTCGAAACAGGTTGCGAAGGCAATTCAAAATCTTGACAATGTCACTGGTTATTTGGTTGAAGAGCTGAAGAAACGGCATTTACTTAATCAGGTCAGTGTACTCATCAGTTATGGAAGCACCTAGTTTCGTGAAATGGCAGGCATTTCTGATGTGGGACTGATTCATATTACGATGATGGTGCCCAATTGCTTAATTTGCTAATGGTCCCTGGGACACAGACACACCCAGTTTTACGGTCCAACGTTCTATTCATGAGTGTTGAACAATTAAACCTTTCTCTTTTTAACTTAAGCTGAGTAATTTGTTATATAATTTTAGGTGAACATAATATTAACAAGTGATCATGGAATGGCAGATGTCAACTCTAGTAAATTCGTATTTCTTGATGACTACATCTCAAATGATACATACACCCTAGTTGACAGTGCTGTGAATAGCTTTATTATTCCACACGAAGGAGAGAAGCAAAACATCTACAAAAACCTAAGCAAAGCACCTCATATTACTACCTTCTATAAAGAAGACATTCCTAAATATTGGCATTATGCAAACAACAGAAGAGTGACACAGATATTTGTGACAAGCGAGTTGGGATACAGAATTGCAAGAAACGTAAAAGATGTAGACAATGACCTTGGCAATCATGGTTATAATAATTCGATCAAAGAAATGCATCCTTTCTTTATCGCTTATGGACCAGTTTTCAAACAAGGATATCAATCAGAACCTTTCAGTATTGTGCATATATATTCATTAATGTGTTATATTTTGGGTGTAACTCCTGCACCAAATGATGGGAATTTAAAAGCAGTGTCACAAATGCTACGATCCAAGTCAAATCCTAGTAAATATGCGCTGTTCATCTCTATGATGGTGGTCGCAGGCCTATTGGTAATAATGATGGTATATGGCGTGTGTGTTCGCAAAAGGAGTCCTCGTCATTTTCGCAGCATTCCGTATGAGGAGGCATAGCAAGCCCAATATTTAACAATAATCCATAAGTACTGATTGTAAATTAGGCCTATTGTTTATAATGTAAATTATTCATACGTTATCATTCCTGAGTTATTCAGTGACCAGTTAGTATTGGTTAGTGGTGCACGAATATAGCTGATAACTGATATTCCAGGGCCATTATCATGCTGATATTGATCCAATACACCAATAGAGATATCTGCACAGCACTAGTATAGACAGTAAATCTTGAATAGTTTATTGTATGTGTTATCTATATAGGTAATAACATTACAATAGTAAAAACATCTTATATATAATTGGATTTACCATATTTCTCAACTTTTTTAAGCCTCTATGAACATCTGAATGCAATGAATGTTGACATTCAGATTTTGTCCATGGTGCAATAAAAATACTTTATTTACGTACATGGTGCATATCTACTATCAAATTTGAGTCTATCTAATATCAAATTTGAATTTAAGGTTGCCTTTCTTGGTAGTGAAAAGTGTGCAAATTTCTGCAGTTTATTTTAAAGAGATACTAAGTCTGATCTATGCTGATATACACAAATCAACTCTTGCTTGAGATTTGATACTTTTGCTAAATGTATATGCACCACAGGAGAAAGGAAAACTTAAGGTATACATTTCACATTTTCACTTCCCTGTACAATATATACAGCCACTTCCGTATGAAGAAATGTAAAAAAGAAAAGTTCCACCATATAACTACTACATTTCATCTATCACCAACTAAACTTGTGGCTTTAACAAATCCATAATTTCCTGTTCCACCACAAACACAACTCTTGGCACCCTACAGTCTGTCAGCAACTTTGTTAGTTTCTTGTCAATTCTTAACGAGGTTAGACGAGCGGCAGCGTTCTGACTCCAGCATTCTTTGATGATCGCCATCATTCCTTGAAGAAGCTATATAAGAGAAGTGTGAATTTCACTAAAGGAGAATTGGGTCTGCTGATTTTTCTCTACTAGAAGCATGCAATGGCAAAGTAATCTTTATATAGTGTGAATGATAGAATTATATTGCATGTTTATCATTAATAATTTTGGTTTTGTGCAACATTGCAGTACACACCTTGTTGTTGCTCCATTCATTAGGGAATGCTGGTCTCTTCTTTTGCACACAAACAACCTCTTTCATGACTTCAAAACTTGGATCATGAGGCACCATATCATAGAATGGTGGCTGGTACTCTTTAGCCTTCATATCTGCAGAGAAAAACCACAAAGTATTCTATCAACCTGGTCATTTTTAGGCATGGGGTGAACAAATAAGCTTTCAACAACAGTTGACTAACCCTCGGAGACAGTCCTCAGACAAAGCTCCCACAGGACTAAGCCAAACGCATACACATCGACCCGCTTGTAAGAATCAAACCAGCCAGTGTTCATTGTTTCATCAAGCACTTCTGGGGCCATATATCTCTTGGTTCCAACACGATTGTTCTTCGTATCAATATCAACCTGGTTCATTTCTTTCTTATGAATGACAGCAAGCCCCAGATCTGCAATGGCGCATGTGTAGTCTTGCTTGACTAAAATATTTTTCGATTTTATGTCACGATGTGCTATAGCGGGTTTTGCTTTCATGCCAAAGATCTCAGTATGGAGATGCGTGATTCCAGCAACTGCAGACTTTGCGAGAGAAAGCATTATCTCTGCATCGACTGTGTTATTGTTCAAGAAATCATACAATGATCCGTTGGGATGGTACTGCGTTATTAGCCACATTCGTGTCGTTGAATCTTTGGTGGCAACATCAGATGCAATAAAACTCAACACATTATCGTGGTTGATCATGACAGTCTGGTAGATTTGGGTTTCACGTACCCACGACTGTTCATCGACAGAGGAAAACATTTTTACGGCAATGTAACCACCATGCCATTTACCCTTCCAGACCTCTCCATAACGACCCTTTCCGATGATCTCAAGTAGCTCAACTTGCCGAGCAACAGACCGCTGTACAAGCAGGGGAAGACCTGATCCACTGCCTGACGAGGGGTCAACGCACCCACCCCATGAACTCCCTCCACTACTTTCCCCTGGTGACATTATCATACTTTCTTTTTTTCCTCTCTGTCCCATGAAGTACGGGCGTGCAATGTACAGCAATCCGAGTAGTAAAATCAATGCGAAGATTGGACCAAATATTGAAAAAATAAGTTCGATTGTTTCTGATGACTCCTTTACACTGGCTGAAGTGATAAACAAGAGAAAAATTAATAACATAAAGTGAAAAAGATTGGAATTATTGAATTAGGATATTGTGAAGAGGTTTTTTTATTGTATACGTACATTCTGTTGAAAAGTAAGGCTCAATCATATGAGGATGATTGCATTTGTCCTCATAGCAACACTTTAAAATAATCTCTAAGCTTCCAGTTTTTTTTTCTACCAATTTATATCCACACGTTCCTTTCAGATCTTCTATGCAACCATAAATCTCTCTGGGTCGAGGTGAAGCGTAAAACGACGCTGAACAGCCGATTGCCGAGGTGCAATTGTGGACATTGAGGGATTGGCATTTTATGCTGTTACAATTACAGATAACTGTCTTATTTCCCACATTTTTCCTCCGATTTGGAAAAGGGAAGGTGGAACCTATAATGACCAAACAGAAAATAAAAATATAGTTTGATTGGTTGCTTGCAAAGATTGATTTACAGCCTAAAATATAGGCAAATTGGGTCAAGCATGAGTAACTACTTTCAATGTCTATTCTACTACATGGAAAGCATTTCTGCCTTCTTGCAAACATTTTAAATGAGTAATCTTCCGTATTCTATAAAACAAAATCTGTCAACAACAAAGTAAAATTTTCTGGATATGTGCCATACAACGGTGCAACTTATAAACATAATACCTCTCAAACAGATCAAAGGTTTTGTATTTTTGGACAAAAATCGAGCGAAACGGATGCGGGTAATTTGAGATGTATTCGTTTCATAAATAACCCTATATTTTGTAAAAATACTGTACGTTTAGGTTCAAACCACTGCCGAATTTTTTTGAAGCTTCGCACTTCCTACCACTACATGCAATCGCGTTGTGAAATTTGTTTGTTTTTGTCAGCTCTCGATGAAATATGCCCTTCAAAAGCCCAATTCGATATTTCGAAGTAGGCTTTTTAAACGTAAACGATGTCTTTCCTCTAAAAAATATTTTCGTGTCTAACAAACTACGAGCATTATAGAACCACACAAACAAAAGGCCTATTATGTTGCCATTAATATAAGTCACGAAATGACACGGAATGATTGTCTTACCTGCCTCAGTTTCAACTAGAAGAAGAAAGAATAACAATATCGTAGCTCTCAAAGCCATAGTTTGTGTTTTATACAAGTTTTTAATCGACAGCGCCGTCTTATCGTTGTTCATCTAAATTTTCAGACCGCCAGTCGCCATCTTCACACAAATTCCGCATGAAGAGGAGACACCATGTCTGTATGGAGACACGAACGGATTCGCCAGAAGTAGACGCCAGTCAAATTAGGTAACTATGGTAACGAGATTTTTTTCATAGATCATCGGGAAATCTGATTTTTATGCATCTTCGATGAAAATTTAGACTTTGATAGAGCCGACTTTCGAGTACAAAACTGATTTGAGCTGGTCATCATGAGCTGATCAACCTTGAGCTGGTCATCTAATTCCACCAATGAATGTGTTTTCAATTTACAAATTAAGACGGCTAATTACCCAATTATCGTCAAATCACCACATGACGTCACCGACAATGGGAAGTTCTAACGTTCTAATTGAGGCGATGGGTTGAAATCGTTCGCATCGGGGTTGTAAACGTTTATGAAACTAGAATGAGTCGTAACAACTACCCCAATCACCCGTATCGTCGCAATGCGATTTCGATCACCTCAGAGGAAATTAGTAGGGGTGTTCCAGAGCAGGACGCAAGAAAGAAAAACAGCAGTGGTAACACCCTCGTGCCTGGCGAGAAATTGCGTCTCATGAGCGTCACAGAGGACACCACAGATCCGACTCTAAGGAAAATCTTATCAAAATATTCTTGCGATGAAGAACCTGCAAGCGGGGGGATAGTTTCTAGACTTACCCAAGCTCAAATTAATGGTATTGGTGAAGCACTTGTTAGCCAAATTAATACATGAATAGCCGCTAGGAATAGTGCAGTTTAGTTATGGTTGCACTAAAAAAGCCGGCTTATCCAACCATCTTTGTTTTAACGCTAATCGGTCTGATATAGCTAACTCTAAATTAACCTCAAGTGGTTAAACTAACCAGAATTGTTGATTTTCATGTGGTCATTTGAAAATCCAGACTTGGTAGTCGGATTAAGTTAGTTCTTCACTGCATGTGTTGAGTTTTTGTTTTGGTTGCAAATATATGCATGCAACTTCGTATCAATGGCTCGCTCCTGTGCAGCATAGTCGTGGAGACATTTTAGACTGACCACTGCTCACATCACTAGCTGATTCTACAATACTTAATAAAACGCACCAATCACGCAGCAAATTTATTTGCTTTTTTGCAGCCTTCAAGGAAGTGTTCGATTTGTTTGACAGCAATGGAGGAGGAACGATTGATGCTGAGGAACTCGATCTTGCCCTCAGATCTGTGGGAATATGTCTTAGCGAAGATGACATTATTGGCGTTCTGGAAAGCATGGACAAGGATGGTAAGAGATAAGAGTTTTCCTCTGTAAGAACTCCACAACTTTTCCGATTTTCCACACCGCAAGAGTCATCGCTGGGATATAACTCGGAAAGAGTAGTTTGGAACTGAAAGGATAATCGACTTGATATCCAAGTTCATTCCATTCGAGAGCTATCGCGTTGTTGACTAAAAGAGAATTGCTTGCCTTACCTCCTATTGCACCCGAATATACCAAAATCAGTGACCATCATTCATTTTAACAACATGAGATAGCTCGACTTAGATACTTGCCTAGCTCTCCCCCCCTCCTCCCCTTGCAACTGACCATCACCCCTGACTTCTGCACTTTCTGCTGCCCCAAGGTAACGGTGAAATCGACTTTGGCGAATTCCTTAACTTGATGACGAACACAGAAAAATTCCTGGAAACATTTGGTGAGTGTTCTACGCTTTCTTTGGGGCTGGCTCTCATAGCAACAGTTGAATGTTGAGTGAGGCTGGCGACTTGCGTATCAGACTGAAGTGTTGAAGTATGCAACTCAAATGAAGGTTTTCCGTTCGCCTCGAAGCGGAAAAAACATGCACCATAAGCTAGGCTGAACTATTAAAACTCGGCTATTCCTGTCTGTTAATTAGAAGACTCAAGTGGCAGTGGTTGCTTAGAAACGGAAAATCGTCACCGTGAGATAATGCTGTTCGAGGCCCTCACTCAGTTTATGAAAAATTCGGCGTTGCATTCCATGGAAGAGATAGTCGGGTAAGACGCCGCCATCTCTGTGCTCTCTCTCAAAGGTTAGACATACATAATCTAATCTCTGTGTGTGTGTGTTTTTTTTCCAGTTATTTCCACAGTAAATATAAGCGTTCCCAGGCCCCTCACGTGGTCGGCCATTACGCGGCAGGTGCCCGACTTATTGGCCTGACCGAAAAACAACTTCAAAAGCACATGGAGAGAATTCGTGCCTCGAACGCGAACTCTACCTCACCGTACGCGCAGCCGCTGTACAACCTGAAGCCGAGTTTGGCGGCGCGAAAGCGGATTGGCAAATCACCGCTGTCCAATTGCCTGCAGGGCAATAATGGAAAGATTCGATTGAAGTTCAAAATTGACGACATCAAGAAGAAGTCCCTGGAAACTAAGACTGCGAATGAGATATCCGTGAGTTTTTATAGTTTTCTCCTATTTTTTGTGCACTTTTGATTCGTTGACGTGACCTAATATATCTTCCAATATGTAAATCAACGAGGAGGAATTTTGTTTCAGACAATCAATCAGCAAGTTTGTTTACATTTTCAGTAACCCAATCCAAATTTTTATGAAAAGTACAATATATACCATTTTACATGAAGTATTAAAAATTTAGGCATTTTGATTGGCTTTGCCTGAAAAATGTAAACAAATAGTACCGATTAGTTTAAAACGAAATACCATCAGTTGTTTGCGAAGTCATTATCGCGCTGCCAAAAATCAGGAGTTACACGCTAGTCTCAACTCCAATCTCTGCGCGCATGGCTAATGCGAGAAAAAAATTCCGAAATAGATCAGCACTGATTCATACACTTGTGTATCTGAAACGCTATGACAGAAAATGGTCAGAAATTGGGGAAACAACCCGACCATTTCCTCTGCGAGATACCGAATCGATTAATGCTATTGTACCTGGGCATTCAGATCTTGGACTTAGAAAATATGCCTGTTGTTATGAAATATCTTCAGCTTGTTTATCAAATTTTATAAGCATTCAATGGGGGATGTCAGGAAACACCTCCCTGCACCCTTGTTGGTCTTTATTCACGTCGCCCACGAACTATATCCAAATCAACGTCGATGATGCGTTTTTCACGAAAAAAGCGGGGGCAATATTGTCGTTTTCACCTATGTTGTTGTTGAGGTGGCAAAATACGTGGGTTGCGTGGAATTCCTTGGCCGATTTGCGCCCGGGTTTTTTCCTCTTCGGTTATTGAATAGAATTTTAATTCGAGCATTCATCTACAGCCATGTAAACATCTAAAATTGCTGGGTAGGAAGTGTCAAGCTAGAACCGAGAGTCCGAGACCAACCAATTGTTGCTTGTGAAATCTGGATACCCCAACAGTTTCCTTGCTCAAATCTTTTCAGTAAAGGTGCCTTGATAATTAAACAGTAAACTAGAAGGCTAATAAAAAACTATTTGGTGTACAAATTTCAAGAGCTTAGCTCTAAAAAGGAAAGACAATGATCACTATGTAATAATCGGCTGCTCGCAGTTGTTTTTCTACTTTTAAAATTTTTGTCATCATTTCTGCTTCTGAACTGACTTCCCAAGTGGATATAGATTTTTTAGTATACAGACACAGCTGTACATCCTGTTGGCTCATTGAATCAGCTCATAACTCAGAAAAAAACATTTTGTCTTTGGCGAAATGTTTATCGTAGTTAGGTTTACTTGTGGATCCACCTCTAAACGAGTTTTGGCTTGGCTCAAAAATGAGTATATATAATTCCCTATTTTTGTGATGTTATTGTCAGTAGCTATAAATATTCACTGTTTTTCTCATTTGCCAAACACACATGGATTAATTGAGCAAGCACAATTATCGCAAGACTGACTGAATACGTGTAACTTTGTGCTCACACATAAATTGAGTTTGTATACTACATTAATATGTATGCCATAAATCCATAAATCATAGTGTTACAGCCTTGACGTCGCCTAAAACTTAAGTACATGTTTTTTTACGACCAAGTGTTTTGCCTACGTTGTTATGTTAACGTGAATGAGTATTTTCATTATGTTGTATGAGTTTATTTTTAAATCAATTTTTCAAACGAAGCATCACTTTGCCGAAAGCCGTTAGATTCTTATCGCATGCATTCATTTTCGTTAGACAAATGACTTTTCCTTTCTTGACCTTTTCACAAAGCCAAGGCGGCGTTTATATACAATGATAACGTTTATGTGTATGGCACATCGCTGGGAGACAAATTGATTTGAGCAGCATGCTGTGACTATGTATGAGTGTGCACGCAGAGACAGGAATCGATTCCGAATTCCAGACACAAATTGAACTATGGGAGAAGGTATAGGTCCCGTTATTGTGCGTTATCGTAAAGAAGATGACGTCAAAGATGTTACGAAGTGAAATTTGATGCCCATGTGGTAAAAACTATGAAGAACTGGTAGAACTGAGATGTAAGGTGAAAGAAAGAGATTTATTGCAGTGAATGTTTGGGATTCTTGGTTGAGATTATTTGGGCAAATAATTAAGGAGCGTTGGTCAGAGAGATATTATGGAGTGAAGAGATCAGATGATGATCTGAGGTGGTAGACATTGCAAAGAAGATAAGGGAAGCAAGGTTGAGATGATATGGACACTTGACAAGAAGAGATGAAGGAGAGATGGTCAGAGATATTATGAAACGAAGAGATCAGAAGAAGATGTGAGGTGGTAGACATTGCAGAAAAGATGAGGGAGGCAAGGGATGATATGGACATGTAATAAGAAGAGATGAAGGAGAGCTGGTCGGGAATATTCTGGAGTGTGAGGTGTTTGCATGACATTGTAAAGAAGACTAGTGTTTGTTAAATACGTCCATGCACTAAGATGAAATGAAGAGCTGCAAGATAGCTGATGAATGAAGGTTCTGAAAAAATGAAGCTGGTGGGTGGTCAATTGCAGAGAGCATGTGGGTAGCAAGGTTGAGGTATCAGAGACACGTAATAAGAAAACCAGAAAGAAGAGGTTGCAGGAAGAGATCAAGGGTGGCAGACATTGTAAAAAAGTTCTGGGAGGAAAGAAGAAGATGCTGTAAAGACGTATTATAGAATGAAGCAGACAAATGCTTGTGTGAGATATTACGCAATGATGAGATGAGAAGATGTGGAGTGAGTGAGAGAGAGCACAGGAAGAGGAGCAGCCGATCAGGAACGTATTATGAAGATACCGTTCCTACGGTTGCAATTTCAGGCTTGAGCAGGAAGTGTCCATCTTAATTTGATGGGAAATGAAAAAAAAATCCAAAAACATCATGACTGCACATTGACGTACTTCCAGCAAGCCGTTATCAAGTTGATTGTAGGCCTGATAGAACTGTTTGAAGCGCTTGGAATCCTGAGTCATCTGCCGAGGAATCATGTGTAATCGTAATCTTTAATAAAATATATAAAATGTAGTGATGCGAGACGATCTATTCTTGTGCATTTCCGCCGCACTTGGCAGGAGTTTATAAGTTTTGTTATTCGCATGTATTAAAGAGCTTGCCACAATTCTTATCGTTGTAAACCGTTGTAAAAGGTCTGAATGACAGTGGGTGATACAGCGAGCCTTACATAAAGTCAAGAAGTTTGGTTAGACGACAGCTCACGTGCACTTACCGAAAGTTGAGCGATTGAGAGGGAAGAACACGAAGGTAAGATTGAATATATTCACGTATATCTTTATGCCAAGCACTCAATAGCTTTTTATATCAGATTTGTTAGGTGTTTTTGATTCAATCAGTGAATGTCATTTCAACACGTCAACTATTATTTTCTATGGCAGATATAACAATTTGCTTTGATTGCGCTTTTGAAAGCGTTGTACATGCAGCACTTGGCAATGTCTATCAAAACTTATTTTGTTTACAACTGTGTGCGACTAGTCCTATTGTATTGTTGCAATTGCTGCAATTTAGCGCTAAGAAGCATGGGCTGCACGGTGAATGTTTTCCAAAGTTTTGAGTTGAATAGCGTGTGTCCACAGTAAATCGTTAAACAGTGTGTTTTCCAACAGTTTTGACGGAAGAATAACGCAAAACAACCTCTTTTATTTATGTGTACCATTGAATGACTTTAGTTTATGCTAAAGACGGAAATACTAGCTCATGCAGATGAAGAAATTCCATAATACTCTCTCTTATAACTTACAATACTTACAACTATACCAATTCACTATACTTCCTATAACTATACTCTTTCATATAAGGTATGTATATTCCAATTAGGATTGAGAATTTTTGGGGTTTATTAAGGTCGATTAGTCAGAAAGTGTCTTTGATTATAGAAATGAATACTGCATTAAAGAGCCTCTTTATATCTAATTTGTTTCAATTTGGCGACATGAATAAAAATTTGAATAAAAAAGTAGGAAGGGCTGATGAAAGAATTTGCTTTATCATCGTTAAGTTCGACGCATACCCACTTCACTTGTTGGACTGACAATATGCAAAACTTCACAGAATCCGTTAAAATAACATTTTAATATAAAAGGTAAAAAGCCTAAAATGACATTTCGAAAACGGAACTGCATGAAATGTAATTTAAAATAAAGCAGACTTTTTGTTTCGCGGCTTTAATTGCTGCTGTCGTCTAGAAAAATCTATAATTGCTTCAGCCATCCGCCATGACATTCGCAGAATTCTTTTGCACGGGGAGAGATGATTTGATTTGATTTACAGTGCCATCGTAAAATTGGAAATAAAAAACAAAGTCTATGATATACGTATATCTTTCTAAATAATATATAGCTCAGAGCATTCGTAACTAGTCGCTCGTTCTCATCTACCAAAAGGCGAAAATCACACATGGAATCGTACCATAGATTATATTATCAAAAATCTTTCCTTGTAAATTTTGGACTCTCGACGGACCGCAAAATAATAAAAAAACCACGAAATATCTGTTAAATATAAATTTTTTCCTCGTTAAAATGTTTGCCAACGTGTATGTGTGCACGCTTTTATGCATGTGGCCTTTGTGGGCACTTTAAATTTACAAATAAAAAGCCGATTTCTTTAAAAAGCAAGCTTTTTAAAAACATCTTATAAGCGAGCAAATTGCGTTTGACTGGTCCATATACATAATACATTATATATAATTATATAGACGCATGCAAGTTGTCGCAGCAGGCAGAGACGTTATGTCGTGTATAGGAGGCTATTTAGAAACAGTTTAAGTTGCCTTTATCGACTTCTTATAAGAAGTGTATATAGTAGACCTATATAATGATGTTTGTTATCGTCCTTGAAAGAGTGTCTTCAAAAAGTTGTTGACAAAACGATACGGAAAGCATATATATAGCGCAGGTTTTTTCAACAATCACAATGTTGCTAAATACGTATTCACAGGTTAGTCACAATCACCTATATCCAGCTTTAGTCATTTTCGTTCTATACCAAAATTATATAGTTTATATTCCTTAAATTATATTATATGATTTCATGTGTATATATAGCTTTGTATAATTCTTTGAATTCATTCAGTCTGCAGCGGTTATCCCTTGGGGCTTGGTTATTTTTAGGAAATTACTGTGTGCTTGAGAAGATTGTGAACAAGAATATCCGCATAGTTCAGCGATAATTTTTTTATCAAGAAACCACGCATGCATGCACGCAACATTAATTATAACAATATACAGCGTTGTTTTACGAAAACCACAACATTCTTGCTTACGAATTAAGAAGACTTATTCAAGTAATATTCATTCTTGTTTAAGAACAATGTTTTATGAATGCATGCATGAAATCACCACAAATCCGTTTTTGGGTTCATGCATGCAAATTGGGGTAAAATCTTCATTCTCACATATGTTGGCATGTTGTGGCTGCCCGCGTGCAGCTAAATAGGTTTCATGTATATATAGTTTACAATTTCTCATGTATTTTCTGACTAAGAACATATTTTCTTTAAAGGAAAGAAAATTAAAAGATTCTCGTCAATTTATAAAGCTGCATGTTAAATATATGAGTATATTTATTTTTCATGCATATATATATATGTTCAGTCTTATTTTGCAGTATATATACCAGTAATATCTTTCAAGTTCTGTAGGTGCGCATTATATGGCCTACATGCATGGACATGCATTATATAGACTTTTTTTTTACTTTTAGGCATTTAGCACTGACGCAAATGCAAAAATTTCCTGCGGCTACAAAACTAAGGCTTTTTCGGCTCGGCAATTTTCATATTGTGTTATCAGAGAATTATCTTCCTGATATTTGCAAGAGGAAAAAGGAGATTAGAAAGTTCAATATAGCTATATATAATTGTCAGGTATATAGTCAGTGTGAAACATAGATTTGTAACCTTTCATGTGCACTCTCCGACCTGATCAAAATCTATATAATTCAATGTAGAATCCCATGCATGTAGTTTTCATTTAACGGCGAACACAATTTTTTAAAATGTTTTCATGATTTGGAATCGATCAGACTTTTAATTTTTGCGTAAGATATATATATATATATATATATAAATGCACCTGCATCAGTGTATATATATGCATAATGACGGTGGAGCATGCATGCATCCTTGAGGTAAAATTTGTTGAAAATTTTCACGCATAAAGCTGATTTTACCATTGCTGAACAGATCGTATATATCATCGTAAAAAATTATGTCATCATGCATTATTGTGAATAACATTTTGATCAGTGACAGTCAACTAAATAACGATTTTTATTCACACTGGCCATGCCTGTCAATTATTTTCGCAGGGGTCGTATATTTATATAAAAACTTGACGCATAAGTGACCGTGTTATTCCCATTGACTATAATTCTAGGGAATATACAAGGCATAAATGACAGTTTGATTCAACGTTTTTGCTATCACACAACTGACAGAAGAAATGATTTATCATGCAGCACTCGCATGCATTTTCCGCTGATGATGATGCAATATAGATTATAGTCCGAAGCGCGTTGAATCAAAGCCAAGACCCAAGTCAAAACCATAAAGTTTAACATTTCGACATCTCGTTTGTTTTAAATTTTAAATTACATTTTTAAGACATACATGAGTATACGTATTGACCCAACAACTATATATACATTTAGACATGTGTTATAATGTTATTCAGATTGAAGTTTACTTGATGTGTTTCCTTTCAAGAATTTACGATAATTTATATGCATGCATGTTATGCATGTCTTATAGATTAGCTACAGATTTATATAAATCAATCATTACTTTACCAACAATGGGAGAATTATAGGTTTATTTTTTATTCAAACAAATTTATTATCCTTATTTTTCCTAATTTACGTGTGCATTATTTATCTTTCTCGCCGGTACAGCTTATATTTTATCATCAATGCATTGACGTTGCCTCAGTATTACAACATAAACGCATTATCTTTGCCGTCGGTAATCTGTAAAAGCTAGCTTCGAGCCATCTTATAGGTTTAAAATTGAAGAGGCGTTGTTTTAGGCACAATGCATGTTTGCACGCTTTTTGTTAATATTATATTTTCTGTTTCTTATCATGCATCAGTTTTCGATAAAAACGAAATCGCTATCATTCCCGTTGGTTTTTTTTTGTTTAGAGTCAATTTCTGCACGCTGTTTCGGATTCGGAAGGGGACGACTCACAATATTATATATAGTTATATTTATTTTTTTCAAAAATGACAGACTGACTTACTGCATAAAGCATGCATGTATATATGCACTTATAATAAGTGAAAGCAAATCAACACGATATATACAAAGCAAGATGTTTGCTCGCCAATATATATAATACATTTCACCATGACTAACTAGATATTAACGACGATTTCCGCAAGCCAAATTCCGCGTATCTGGAATTTCTGAAGCAATGGATTTTGTTGTCAAAGAGACCCAAAGATCAACCACGTCATCGTGCACGACTAATGATGGACGAATAACCATTTTGAAGTCCAAAAAATGCAAAAGAGCTAGCCTACATTCTATTTGCACACGAGCGTCGTTTTCAAACGTTTTCATAATCGTTTTATCTTGTTTACCGCTTTGACGCCTTGTCCACACGATCCAAGGGGAAATATGTTCAATATGTTAAATTAGCTTCAACTTCTATTGTAAGTTGACGGTGTTTGAAACCGTTTTGGCCTGAAAACGAATGTGAAAACGCTCGAAAACGTTACCGTGTGTGCATGCACATAGCCCTAACAAATGCAAATTTTATTCACCGTGCAACTCGATTTTCCCATCCATAAAGATGGCAATGTGTAATTTTTTCATGCATAACTACAGTCACTTGAATTCATGTGTATATAGGCTTTATTCATGCATATATATACCATGCATGCACCTAGCTCTATAGCAGTTCTAGATAAGTGGATCGCGCAAGGCTAGGAGTTTATTGGTAAACTGCTAAGTTTCTTAAAGTGCATGTTTTCACTATAACTGCGGCACCCACGTGTTCGTATTGCTAAGAGCCGACTTATACCAAGAGTATGTGGTCGATATAGAAATACTATAAAACTGTGCTACCATATAATTCAATTAACATCTCGTCTGTGCAGTATATTATGCAACACTGAAGCATGAGGCTTCATCACGCATGTCTTTTCACCAGCAATATTTTTATTAGTATATCTTTTCATTTAGCGTTTCTTTCATCTGAATTAAAATAATCGCCATAAAAAGACTCAGCAACATTTTGTTATCGGAAAGTTAGGCGGCGTGTGAAAATTGAACGTACTTCATTGGCGCCAATTCTTGGTGATCGCTAATTCGCTGGGCACTCAGAAGAACAAAGATTGTTCCATTCGTTAACAAAATCGTTTTGTTTGGAAGGTAACCAGAAAAATCCAAAAATCAAAGAGAATTTGAAAGAAGTGCATTTAAGAAAGTGAATCCTTACAGGAAGGAATTGCTTTGAGAGTGGATGTTATCTTTGATCGTTTGTTGGTACAGAAAGCAATCACAAGCTCCTATGAAGTCCCGACCCATCTCTTGAGAAACATATACAAAACAGTTGTGGTCTGCTCTTTGAAAGACAACAAGTCGGAGTAAAATACACCATTTCAAAAAAAAAAGTTGGGCTAAATTGGATTGGCTGGTGTCGTTTAATTGCATCGGAGTTTTTGGGATATGAGTTTCCCATCTCGTTCCCCATGAGTCTATATGTGATCGCTGAATGAGGTATCATCACTCATTTGCATCGTAAGTGCCAGAGACTGCAAGCTGTGGCGATATTGGCGCCCCCTTAAATAAGAATCGTAAGAGGAATATATATTTGTGGACACGCAACTGGCTTGAAGTGCTGACTCGGTGCGCGGTGAGTTTGACTGATCTTATCTTGCGAGTAACTCGGCGTATATACACATTAACGTCTCACCTGCCGATGTGATCGCTATATATTCTACACCCCGTCGTTAATCTCGTCCAAACCTCACAATGAACACAGGGGATATAGTACTAGTGGTCACCCTATTAATCCTATCAGTTATAGCTGTCATTGGAAATATATTGGTAATTTTAGCAGTGTACACGAACCGTCGACTCCAGACTCCTGCGAACTATCTCATTGTCAACCTGGCTATCAGTGATTTCGTTCAAGGCGCCCTGACCTATCCGCTTCGTTGCTCGGAGGTGCTGAACACCGGCGACCATAGCTTGGTTCGATGCGATGTGGTTATCTCACTCACCATACTCTTCCACAGCGCGTCGAATTTGAACCTTTCGCTGATCGCGTTGGATCGCTTCTTCGCAGTCGGCCGACCGTTCGCGTACGCAAACATGAAAAAGCGCCACCATCAAATCGCAATAGCGATATCCTGGATAACATGTATCATTCTGGCCGCCTGTCCTTTGGTCGGCTGGCGTCGGGAAATAAAACCAGAGAACGCGGGCGCTGTGTGCAGGTACAATGCAATACTAACGGAGAACTATATCATCTTGTACGTGTTTGTTGTGGATGTTTCGCCTCTGGTGATAATATTGATTACGTACGGCTATATATTTCACACGACACGGAGGCAAATTCGCCAAATACGTGCGCAAGAGATAGCCGTGAAGCACTCGGCGGTCAATAAAGCTTTTGACTTTCGCAGAGAAAGCGATGCTACATGGGAGGTATCACGGAGCGGAGTAGAAGCTCTCGAGCATTGCCCGGATCGCAACCACTCGGTTGCCAATGATAGCCCGAGCCAGGCAGAGAAATGCAGCTCTGCGGATACACATGATAACAATAACGGCGATGGAAACGAGGCCAAGGAATCAATCAGTGCTCAAGAGTTGAACAATCAACGTGTCTCCTTGAGTGCGATACAAGCCGATCACCTTGATTCAACCAACCCCGAAATGGATGGAACAAACACTGCCTCAACGAAAACGATTGAGAACAGCCAAACTACAGACGATAGCAGCGAAGTGCAGCCACATAAAACTAAGAGAAGAAAAGTACCTTTGAGTACGGTACGAACTCGAAAAGCTACCAGAATAGTGTTGGCAATCATAGGGTTCTTCATAGTGCTTTGTTTACCAATAACTATCATCGATATCATAGAACTAAGCAAGTCGCGTGTTGAAATTCCGCCAGCTGTTTTCACTGTCGCTTTGTGCATGGTTTGTGCGAATACGTGCGTGAATATGTTTGTCTATGGCGGGTACAATGCGGACTATAGAAAGGCGTATTGGAGGGTACTGCGTAGGGCAAAGACTGCATTCTTGAACATATTCACTCGCACCAAGAATACGATTTGTGCGACGAATTCGCAAGCTACGAACCATCAGGAAACCAGCTAACAAAGACGGTGAAGTCGCTGTATGAAAAATATTGTCAGAAAAACTCGACAAACATCGCAAAATTTGGCAATAACTCATGCGATGGCGGCGGATATATATATAGACATATATATACACTCGTGACATTGGTCACAAACGATATCAACTGTAACAAGTAACCATGCACTTCACTTGCGTGTTTGAAGACAATCGTGCCTGCCGCACCACATATTCCTCCTGGCTGAACACCGAACTTATCGTTTCCCGTAAGTAGCGGTTGAGTAGAAGATTGCTCGGTTGTATGAAAACAAAACTGTGGCATTCTTCTCATTGCTATTGCAGTCAGTGACGTTAAGTGTGTGTTTTAAAAAGGCCTCTTTATAAAGTCTTTGTACAAGATGCGTCGTATGATGAGAAATAACGCCCTCGTTATTAGCAATGGCACAGCGGTACAAAAATCTTACTGCATGGTCTGTCAAATGGATTGGTGAAGTAAGCTTGTAATTAATTCGCGTATAAATTGTGTATATTATGCCGCATATGTATAAAGATAAAAATATTCGTATTATATTGGAACTCATTTAGTTCCGGAACTGTTATAATGTGTCATATATTGGTCCCATCGGATATGAGAAAGCCGAGACGTTTTTCACACAGGAATGATGGTTTGTTTAGCCCTGTTCCCATACATCGTAATTATTTATCTATTTTAAATCAGGCTGTCGGCACACGCCCGTGCCTGAGCGCCGATTCAAGAGGGTCCAGCATGCCAGACTGGGTCGCCGGTTAAACTCGCTTTCTCTTCAGTCAAAATTTAAAAAGCAACACACAGATATTTCACCGGCTGTTTCATTGTGAAAAGCACTCCTCCATGCAAATTCATGCGAAATTTTGGCACACGAGTTATCCTAATGCATGCCAAGGTAGATTGCCTGCCTCTTGACGTTGCGTTATTTTTAAAGCTTGGTCCCTCCTGATGCATCCTTCGAGCTTTTTTTCCATATACTAATGACAGCCATATATAGTCCTTCATTTCGGAAAAAAAAGCGAAACCAATTATAGACCCTTTACTCTTTGCGTCACTCGGTCCATCCCAAATTGAACCTCTGAAAAAAAATACTCTTTTTTACTCGAAGACAACTGTTTACATGTTCCAAGCACAGACATTGAAAAATTCTGATTTGCACAGGTTTGTAAGGCATGGATTAATAAGTTTCAACAGGCTGTCCACAAAATCACATACACGAGAGGGAGATCGAATCGTGTGAACTGTTCGGTGTGCAATTTTCCCATAGAAACTCTTTAAAATGGGCGAATGTTTTCAGCTGCAACATCATGTCTATATATGGATTGCATTGTGTGCTGCAGATATTCGATGATTTGGAATTTGAATATGATTGGGATTGTTCCAAAACAGGATGCCTCATTGAGCGTTTAGCCGCAGAACTTATTGAAACAGAGACGTAGTTTGTGTTTAGATAAGTGGGCTGATGCGGTGACGATATGCATTATGACCAAAAGTGGAAAACTACTTGATAATCTCAAGCGTCAGTTCCGACGACATTTGTAATTGTGAACTCCATCGCATCCGCTCGAAGGCTGCCATTAATCTTTAATATCTTTTGCTTTATGAATTACCGAAGTCGCCTTCCCTTCTCAGTTTCAATTTTAACAACAAAAAAAGAAGTCACGAAATGGGCTTATTTTGAACATCTCTCGGACATAATCGTTACATTTTCGTGTAGTAACTACATAAATCTGCAGTTTGCCATCCAGCTAATATATTTGGCCCATCGCTGAGCCAAATTTAACACAGTCAAAAGAAAAGGTGAAACCTATATAGAGTTCCCATCCGGCAAGCAAAATAAGAACACGTAGGAATGATTTTATGGAGGTGATGGATTGGAACGCAGAGTTGGAGCTGGCTGTGAGCAGTTCGAGGTGCTAGGTTTCACTATCGGGTTGGTTAACTACTCTGTTTCAATATCTGTTCGAGATTTTTGAGCGTATGCAAACCGTATCTCGTTGAATGCTTTCACTTCACCTTAATTCAAAGTGGTATTTACCGGCGATTACTATATAATAATTCTTTAACTGCACGACAAACACAATTATCATAAGCAATCATATGTTATTATATCAGCATCAAAGTGTAAAAACACAAAAGCGAACTTGTCAGAGTGTTGGACGTCAAGCCACCGCTACATGCGATACTTATGATAAAGCACGCCCTCTTTCCCCAATCAGTCAAACAGTGGGCCAGGCCTGCTATTGATTTAAACAAAAGAGAAAGCGAATTGCCGTGTCAACCATGTGTGTTTGTGTATATATAAGGGAGTTAGTTTATCGCGATATCCGGCGTCGTAAAAATTCTAGCCCACGTAATGAGGTCTTTGCGCGCAAACAATCTTTTTCAAACCTTCAACATTACAACCTGGAGTTCTCGATTTCGCAACAATTGCATCACGCCAACGATTTCACAACAAACAAACAATCAAACAAACAAGCGTAGCGTGTCCCGCGTGCAATATCAATGAAAGGTCGTAAAAAACAGTTATAACGGGTTTTCGTGTGCTTCTTGATTTCGTAACATCCGCAGCGCGGTCAATTGGGCCCAGTTAGGTCCTGAATTTTAGGATACTTTTTAATCGTATCACGCATGCAATCTTATCCTACAATCTTATGTTGAAAATATCATCTTTAGTAATCATTGTACAAGTAATTTTCATTTTACGACTTGTACTTAAACTAAATACGCACATTTAGAATGGGGAGAGTACTGTTTTGTGTTTGCTATAAACAATTTCGCAACCTGACGATTTCGAAACGGACTATGCAACCGTTGCAGTCGTATTGCCCGGCGAAGATCTCCTCTTTGCATTGTTTCCACTGAGATAGAGTACACACAAGAGGTGATAATTTTAGACAATTACACGTGCTTCAAGAACCGACACGAGTGATCACTTTCATTTGACTTTCGGTTTAAAAATATTCTTCAATCAATCATCAACTATATGGGCCTATATTTTTTATTCATATTATTTTGAAATAGAAGCTCGTTTATCCAGTTAGCCGAAGTGTATGTTATCCTGCGGTTTTCTCACACAAAGAAAATGAAATGTATCTTTAGGATGTCATGATAGCCTATCATCTCGTTTAATAGAAAAACACTTCACAGTTAAACTTTATGTCATCTCCTCCGAGTCTTCTGAGGTTGAGCAAGGGGCTGCTTGCCCGGCATACGCATGGAGGTTAACTCAAAAATCTTGATTTTGGTTCGTTCACTTTCACACTGAAATTGGCGTATAGTTCGCTTTGAAACTTCACTTTCATACAACAGAAGAATCAGTTCTACATTCACCTTCCTAAAATAGACACTTCGAGATGTCTTGACCCCACACAACGGCCTCACTTCTCGTCAAGAGTCTTGGCTCAGGAGTTCAAGAAGTTCTCCTGTTTATTTTAGGCAGTTGAAAACTATTGTCCTCGTTGAATTTACGAAACTGCCTATATCTTGGGCATATCCCCATTTCTATTTTCCAATTTTCCCCTGCAGAAATGTGTGTGTAATGAATGCGGTGACTAATGTCCTATATTATTAGATACCAAACAGTCGCTCGCGTATATAATATTGCTTGCAATTGACTATATGTGGACATTAGATATTGCGCCTGTTTGGTCGTGAATCGCTTTCTACAGGCTACAGCAAGCCAATGCCAATGCAGCTGTTTATACGTGTGTTAAACGAGCGCAAACAATTAGCCACGTATAGCAGGATTATTATACGTATCACAAAGAAAAATTGGTTGTTATGTTATTGAGTTGGCGTATAAACACAAGATAACATTTCATTTTTCAAAAAAAGTCCGCGAAGATTTTTAGCAGGCGGCTCTCTCTCTCGCCCATGCACTGATCTCTCGGAACGTGAAGGCGGTGAAGTGTTATATTAAATAGACTTGATTTCTAGGGTGTGAAAAGTGCGGCGGAGTTGAGCGAACCACTGATCATTGACACCGTGATGAAGAAGCCTCGACAACCGAATATTAAACGAAATGGTTGGGTCAGCCAAAAAGCACAACCTTTATCAGTACATTTACCAACGGTGCCTTTGAAACCAAAGAAACGTGGAATCGGAGGGAAAAAAGCACTATTAACCTTTGATGATCTGCCAGCTATTAGAAAAAAGGTGTGAAAAAATATTTCAAACTTAGCGGAATATCAGAAAAAACCCAGCGTTACCATATTTTACCCTTTCCTCGCGATGCACCCAGATGCGTCCTACCTTAGTATGGCCTCTGTTGAACATCAGCAGATTCTACTGATTAGTGGAAGAGTGCTGTCAGTTATTGAGTTCATACAACTATCCGTCAGTGTCTCGTGAACCTAATGGAAGTAGCGTCATTCTCATAGCCCCATAAACCTTACATCGTTCACTCCATTAAGAATTGAAATTTTGCTGTTTAGGTCGAGAAAGCCAGAGTGTCTTATTACAAGCAAGTGTACTTAAAGAAAAAAGCCGAAGCTCAACAGCATTGGGAATCGTTAGGCACGGAACTTATAACATCGCCCGTTTGTAAGGAAAGATTTCGTAAGGTTTTTCAGGCCTATACTGCATTTCCTTGACATCACAACCACAACGCAACAAAAGCACAGCGCTAAAAAAAACAGACGAAGCGTTTTCGCATGCTGGTACCTCATAAAGTGCAGTTATAGCTGAGAAACAAATCAGAATTTCAGTGTTTGAAAACTTCATCAAAACCCACACTTCTTTATTCATGAAAAATTCCATTTATTTGTTCAATAAAAACTACCTATTTAACTGATTACATAGTCAGCCTCAATTTGAATTGTTAAGGTCTGTTCACTTTTGACGTATGAAATATAGTCGGCTAGTGGTGAAGCCATCGTACTTTGGCTTCAGTGGATTCGCTGCTGATATACATTAAAAGACAACAGACTGTAAAACATCCATCAGAAGTGAATTGGATGAACACATCCAGTTTGATTTTGTTATCACTGAAAATAATATCCTACAATGCCACCAGCTACATGTGACTGACTTGCCAGGTATTTTAAACAAAACCCCTCATTATACTTTTGGAATACAGTTTTCATTTGGGTGGAGGAAGCTTAGGAGGATGTAAGTACTACAATTTTTATACTATTTTCTTAGGATTAAATAAAGTTTACTAAATTATCTCACAACAGATTATTGTTCAATGAATACACTTTCAGTCTCAGTACAACTTTCAGCCAATTAAAAAATTTCTAAAATGTCTTCATTCAGGTTTTGCTTTCTTCTTCCTCCTGGTTTTAGCAATGTTGGCACTTTTTATACCTAGGAAGGACAGGAAGCAATGGTATCAAGTCACATTTGAGGATTTTTTTAAGTCGATAAAGTAGAAGTGCACTTTTGATCTTTACATAACATATGCTAATTTTTTGTATATGATATTCTTTCACAGTTTCTGATGATAAAAGTATGCCTCAAATGGTATTTGGGTTGGAGAACTAACAAAGAGTCTACAAAATTAGGCTTGTAGTTTTTGGGTAAATCATAATTTTGGCAACCAAGAAGCAGAATTGAGAATAGGAGTAACTATCCATCAGATAAGGTCGTCTCTCTGAAGTACCTCAAAGCGACCACAAAGCGCTTCGACATTTTGACGAGAGTTAAGACGTCAAAAGGTTAGTATACCTATCCCTTTGTGTTATTATCTCGATAAATTTTACCTTTTCGTTTATTTTCTCGCTTTTCCTGCTCCATCATCTGAATAAGTCTCCACGAGAGGTAACCACAGAGCAACATGAATGGTGAGAGAATTAAAAATACTATATTTCCATACAAAAACAAATGCACACATTAATTTTTTGTACTTTTTAATTGTAACTGAGGCTAATCGCACACTCGGAAAAGGCTGAAAACTATATTTTCGTATGACTTACCATACGTTACAAATTCCACCGGGTTTTTACCCACGTAAATCACAAGTTTTCGAAGATAAATGTCGAATGTTGAATTTGAAGTATGATTTGCACTCATGTTGTCCGCCATTTTGTATTTTTCCTATTAATCATGTTTACCACTGACTCATTACTATCAAGGGCGCTGATCAAAAGCCGGGTCAAAGATGTACAAATGAGGATAATTGGGGGTTTTTAGTACTGTCATTTTATGGCATTTTTCTCGGAAATTTTATAGTACATTACTTGGCAGTCACTACAGTGGCCTTAGTTTAGTTTTGAGGTGCCAATCATGGTTTTCAAGATTACCATTGTAACCTGGTATTTGCATATCCTGTAACATCCCCCCATTTCATTGACAATTACTTTTAATCTAACATTTGTTTTATTAATAAGAGTTCACTATTAACAACTTATGTGTTCACAGAATTTTACAGAAATTCGTCGAAGCATTGCTAATCATGTTGTGAGTATATTAGTCCATTCTTGTCTTCAAATGCCGCGTTGTAATCTTATCTTTTTCAATAACATGAACCACAGCGCCCCAACCACTGACGGCATCACGGTCAACCGCATTCATGAGTGCTTGTGAGATGGTCTCGAACAGATCATCTGGTGCCAAATCAGGTTGCCATAGCGACTCGCACATACCATACATCTGCTCGGAACATGTACCGCTAACAACGAAATCTTCTGCGACCATAGGACAGCCAATGAGATCCATACCAGCAATATATGGAGCGTTGGTTTTTGGATCTAAACCAGCAATAACAGGCTCTACAAAATATGGACCAAATCTTCTTTCAAATAGTAAATTTGAGACCATGTTCATAAACGTTTCTGGCTTTATATCACGGTTCTCGCGGAGTGTATACAAATTGAGACGAAACTTTAGTCTGTTTGAGACCGTCTGAACGTCGGTAGCCAGACCAGGGAGACCAACAAAGAGCTTAGGGCCCATTTGAAAAATCTTTTGGAAATCACACGACACTGTTTGTGCTTGAATTCCTAGCCGCTTATCCGAGGCGATCGCCACGCAATCTTTTCCACGCATTGCAATGATTGCAGCTCCATTGTATTCCAAAATACTCATCCCAAATAGTGGTTGAAATTACACCAAGAAGTTCAAAAATTAGAAACTTTGAAGTACAAAGATGGCGTCCGGCGTGCTGAGTGATGCTCGTGAGATGTTCGGTGAATACTCGGAACAGTTTCGTGAACTCACGCCTCGTACGAAGTGATATGGTTTTGACAAAATCATACTTTTGAAAGTTTTGTTGATATTTGATATTTCAGTATATTTCTTGTAAATTGTTTGCACGAAACAGATGTGGGAATGAGTGGATGCTTAGATAATGCACATTGCCCGACATGTGAAATAGATTTGGGAGAGAAACGCAATACAATCGCCTCGGTTGCATCAGGAACTTTGGTTAGTGTCACGATAACTTGACATATTTTTCTATTTTTATCCTTGCGAAATATCAAAATGAGTCTTTCTGCTTTGTGTGTTTGTAGTTTTTGACGTGAATAAAAAGCTTAGAGTTTACATATCTTAGATAAATGTACATTACGCTTTGGTTCTGTATTGAAAATATTGTGTTGTGTAATTTAAATTATGTCGTTATAATAAAATAGATATTAAATCAATCACGGATAGTTCATATTTAAGGTTAATTCTAGAGAGTTTCTCACTAAATCGAGTTTAATACGACCATTAAGGCTGCAATTCATATCTCATGATTCCCCAAATTTTGTCATAAAATAAAAATAATTTGTAATTTGGCTTTTCCTGTGTGAGTGAGGTGATGAATATTGGTGTCACATTAAGCTGTAATTATGTACAAGGTATTGAAGGCAATATTCATTTATTATTATTATTATTTGTTTTGTAGTTCTTTATTGGTTGGTGGATCATGATTGATAATCATGCAAATGAAACATTTGAACCAGCTTATCATACCGTTGGCGTAGTTTCCTCATTGGCAGTTATTTTGTGAGTATTAATCCGAATGTACCCCTTGATAATATAGGCGTAATTTATTCTAGAGACCAGTCTAAACTTAGATAAACTTGAGCAAGATATTGTATTTCATCTTATAATAAAGTCAGACAAATTTTTGGATAGATTTTTTTTGAAAGAAAGATCATTTTTCATGCCTACATCTATAAAGTTTCTATAAAATTCAAGATTTTTTTTCTATGCACTGACAAATCATACGAAAAACTTCCTTGCTCCCATTCAACCAGATGGACAGTCTACCTCTAGTTTAATTCTATTAAAATATTTTATTTTGCAACACAAGAATGATGTTTATTTTAAATTCATTTTCAGTATAAATTCTGTTTCCAATTCCCAAGTGAGAGGTGACAATTATGATGCCGGTTTCCTAGGGACTAAAGGTAAAATTCTATCAACTCATAGGTGTTCACCATACCATACCAAGTCTTAAATAATCACAAAATATCAGAAAGTATTTAACCAACCAACTAATTTAGGTGCAAGAGTTTGGCTTATAGTTGGATTTTTGTTTGGATTTGGAGGACTAATTGCAGCCACGTGGATTCTGTTTGCAAACTATGTTGTCAAAGGTGGGTCAGTTGGGTGATTCTCTGGTCACACACGTGACAATGCTATTTTATTTTGTTGCATGCAAAATATGGGCATACATGGATATTAAATATACTTAATGTTTTGTTTCAGATGTTGACAATCCTTATCCTGGAGTTGCCATATTCCTGCAAAATGCTTTCATATTTTTCAGGTGAGACACTGTGATGTTCAGGGGGGATAGATTATATACAGTAGCTATTAAGTAGAGGTTCAATGTTAATGGTTACTGCTATATACAACATTTAAAACCAAGATAGTTTGGGGAAATGAAACTACTTGTCACCTACCAGGATGTCATAGTTCATATCCCTTCAATTTTGACATTTTGGATATCAAGTCTGACATTTTCATTGATGCTTATAAAGTTATAAGTCTGTCAACTTTGCTAAGCATGCATTTTTATCATCCTAATTTACAGTGGTATACTTTTCAAGTTTGGTCGTAGTGAAGATGAATTTTGATAACTACAATCACCAAACCACATGCACACACACTTCATGGTCACACAGACCTAGTGATTGATTGGAACACATTGGCAGATGCAAGGTATCTTGGAAAATATTAAGTGAATCATTTATAGTTTAATAAACAGATAACTCTCGAAATATTCAGCCAGTAAAGAAACACTACAACTGATAGATCTGCATAATGTAGGACAGTTTGATAGAATTTTCGGTTGAACATATATGCTTTACCTGCCTGCTGATAATTGCCAAGTATTTTGCTATCAGAATGCAATTTATTGTGAGATCTACAGATCAAAGCACAACTGAGGACTATATTTATAATACACAGAAAGAACAGTAGCCTTTTCACTGAATCAGGCTGTATTCTAACAGTATGTTTAGGTCTATTTTGAATATATTTAATGTAAATCGTCAAATTATAATTGTTTTGCATAGGGATTTCGATAGGGATTTTGTGAGAACTTAGGTGAAGTAACGTAGGTTCAAATGAATGCTTAAAAACAGTAAAGAATGCATCTAACTGATTGGAATGAGCTCTGAAATATAACAAGTTGAGGTCAGGAATGCAGCCAATAATAAATATGTGTATATGAAGTTAAAAATGGTTCAAAAATGGCATATATGCACTATTTTGAATATACAAAAAAATTTTAAATTAGACAATAATTTTCATATTTACAAAGCCCCCAAAGTTCATAGGACAGTTAACATTTGAATTTCAATATGATGTTGGGAGTCCGTCCGAGGTATAACTGGCTCGTTCATGAGCACCAGGCTATTGTCCTGAAATGAGTCGCTATCGTTCATCCATATTGTTGGCAGAAGTACCAGAGCTCCCAATATCATCGGACCTCCGGTTAGATAAAATAAACTTCTGTATGATATACCTAATTCTCTTAACCAGCCTGTGTTAAGAAAAAACAAAGTGTTGCATGTATGTTGCTGGTTGATTGTGGGTGCATGGAACGCCTGGGTTTCTGCTTACACTGCAGTAATTGTTGTTTGTTGAACACAACATTTTGCCATGCCTAACTACTAGTTTTTGCTACATAGCATTTGCTATGTTCGGTACAGAATTGTGCAGCACCTGGGTTGGCCATGCATATATGACAGTGAAATATGGGTACAGCATAATGGGGCTTTATCCAGTGAATTATCAGATCAGTGGGTATCATTTGATAGTGTAAAAGGGGCCCTTATAACCAGTGGATTATTAGATCAGTGGACATCATCTGATACAGTGTAATGGCCCGGGGCCTCGGGCAGTGTTAAAACTGAGTGCTGGTGCCCGCCACTTTTTCTGGCGCCTAGGTTGAGCATGACGCTTCCAATTGAAATTGTGCATAGTTCCCAAGAACGAGCACTGCCTCCAGAGGTAGAACTCAACAAGGGCACCGTACTCAGCATGCTTTATGAGCCAGGTTTGGCTTTGGGCACCGGTGCCGGGCACTCAGTCTGAATGCAGCCTTAAGGCCCTGTTCCACGGTGCAATTTTTCTTGCAACTTGCAATGCAATTCTACTTCTAAGAGATGTAAATTAGTGAAGAGTCTTGCAGAGGAGAAGTGCATGAAGTGTAATAAACACAAAAGTTTCGTTGTTCCAAAATATACATCTCTAAAAAGAATAATTGCATTGCAAGTTGCAAGGAATATTGCACCGTGTAACAGGGCCTTTACTCTGAATCTGCAATATCACCACTACTCACCCACAGTGGGGGGACCCACGACCATGGAACAGGACATGAACATGAGCGAGATACCCCAACTGTGTGACATCAATTCCACCGAACCAACACACTTGAGGGTCATAATAGACATAAGTCCTATAAAAGAACCATCCAGCAGTCCAAACAACACGACGTATATAACCAGGCCCACATAGGATGTTGATACAAAAGAGAACAGTATGGAACACAGTCCAGATATAAACATGGAGATCACGTATATGGACTGGGTATGCGCTTGAAAATAATCGGAAACTTTGCCATAAAAAAGCTTGCCGACTGCCGAGCCAGCGGACATGAATGTTATAAGTAGAGTTGCATTTTGTAAGCTCACATTGTTCTCTTCGGCATAACGAATCTATAAAACGGAGTAAGATATTTAACTATAGAATGTGGAGACGCTTTTTGAAAGTGTTCAGTCTTTGGAGGTTCTCAGAATAGCGTGTATTTGTAAGGTATGAAAGAACAAAGGGAAACTTTATTACTGTAAGAATTACTCTTTGTCAGTTTTTTTTTCTTTATCATGCATATAAGTATATGTTTAGGATTGATAGAAAACATGCATTTTTTTGTTTCTTTCAGTAGCACTGCTTTTTGTAAGTTTATTTTATTCTCAGTATGATTAGGTTCGATCCAATTCACTTTTGACGTATGGAAATCAGTTCGTTATTGATAAAGCAGTAAGCATTGGTTTTAGTGGAATTGCTGGTCAAATACATTGCAAGTCAACCAACTGTAAAACATCCATCAAAAGTGAATTGGATCCCACAAAATTGGATCGTGTAAACAGACCTTAACACCCTTATCCTAAATCTAATTCTAGCTTAATCCTAATCTTATCCTAACCCAATCTCTCAAGGTTAAGTTCGTGTATCGGAATTTACTGAACAGGAATTATTACCTGCTAGGACTTGTCTCTCATTTACTTACCAAGTGAACATGTGGAATGAAATACCCAAATGTTCCAGCTGAGCTGGAAACACACCATAACAAGAACTTCCTTTTTCGCAAAAGCAATGCTACTTTCTTCATAAAATTTCCATTTGAAATCAGAGTAGAATCGCGTGTGGTCACTGGAATGATGGGCCTAAATATAATTCCACATATAATGACTAATAGCGCAAAACCACCATTGAAACGAAACACGTTCCTCCAGCCGTGATTTTTCAGCATAACTTCCTGCAGGATAGCCAATGAAAAGGCTCCAGTGTTACTGCCACAAGTCGCTATCCCTGTAGCAAGCGAGCGCCGTTTCTCGAAATATTCGCCAACCATCACAAGCGTTGGTAGGTAGGCCAGTGCTGTACCTAAGCCGAATATCACTCCATATGTAAGATATAGAACATTCAGTTGGTTTGCGAATGAGCTCGACAGCAAACCAACGCTCATTAGTATTCCACCCGACATCGTCACCGCCCGGGCCCCGTACCGCTCTGTTAACAGGCTTGACAGCGGACAGAAGAAGAACAGCATGAACTGACTGATCGACTGTACCCAAGCTAAGAACGTGAGACAATAGGATGAGTTAGATCTTTGGTATTGTATCTTTGGTATTGTATAATAACTGGAATATCGTCACACGATCCAGCTTTGTCGGATCCAATTCACTGACGTTTGGAATGAAGTTTGCTATTGATAAAGCTGTACAGCATTGGTTTTGGTTAGTGAAATGAAAATAACACTGGTTTTGCTGGAATTGCTGCTGATATACATTACAAGCCAACAGACTATAAAACATCCATTAGAAGTGAATTGGATCCAACAAAATTGGATCGTGCATTTGGTGAACACAGAACGGATCATTAATTAAAGAACTAGGAAATAACGTTTCGAGGTTGTGATTAAAATAAGCCGTGATTTGTCATTTGAGCATTTGAAAGGTAGAAACCGCAGCCAATAACCAGTACCTTATGTTTGACGTGAGTTATAGAGAAAACCACGCCCTGACCTTTTTTTTTTGGAATCCTAATTAAGCTATCATCGAGCGTTTTTAGCTAGTTTGGACATGGCCTAATATGTCTGAGTGGAAGTGCCCTTGGCAATACGACCTTTTTGACGTCAATCTGAAGGAAAAAAAGTTATTTCACAGACAGCGGTCTGACGTTTTTAGCCTATTGTATAACATCATCAAATCACGCGCGCATAAACGATTATGTTTTTTTATCTATCGCAATCATAATTAATCACGTTTTTTATTTATCACAATCGAGTTTTTTTACACAAATTTTGCTTTGTGACAATTCTAAAATTGACAACATTTAATGCATATATTTAACGTAATTGTAACTTCGAATGTTCCACGAAGTGTATAGCACATTTTGTATAAGGAAGACAAAATGAGGCAATGTATCCATGAAACTACTAATTTACATTAAATGAAAATTGATTTTAGCTTCGTAGAAACTTCGAGTAGTTTAAACGCTGGCTTGATGGTAAAGACAATAACAAGGCAGAATCTAATAATAATAAGTGCCCTTGAAGAAGTAAGAACTATCAAGCTTATCAAGCTTTAGATAGTTCATAATTGACCCGCTTAAAAGTTCAAATTACGATGTCATTCCCCTAACTCTTACTTCCGCGTTTTTCATTCGCTTATACATGCACGTAAAAGTCCAAATCCTCTTATTATACATGTTAAAAAAAACTAAATGAATAAATTGAAGGAACTTAGTTTTCAGCCGCATATTCTCTATATTTTAGTATGCATTAGTTGACCTAGAAGCTAAATAATAAAAATTTAAAAGCGTTAAAATTTTCCGTACGTGTACGTGCGTATAAAAAACGCGTAAGTGAAAAGCAGGCTTTACGCTTGTATTTTAAAAGCTCACTCAGACTCAGTGGGAGATCTCAATCTTCTCATATCGTTTCCATGGCGCTAGTTTCACTCTAATAAGAGCTTGGTTTTCAGTGTTTCACCTTAGACCTTTCCATTGACTATTAGAATAATGCAAAGATACTGTTCACAACTTCATATTCAGTGCATAATATTCAAGTTGACTCATTCAAGAGACTGAAGAGAGATGTAAGAGTGGTATGATACACTAAATATTTATAAATAAATTCGCAATCTTTGTATATTTTTTTCTTTGACTACTCGCTTTCCCAAAGCGAGTATTTATGATTATTAACTGTTGCGTTTCTTTGACACCCCCTGTATGCTTTTACGCTGTTAATTATTGAAAGGTAATACAAGCCAATAATAATGCCATCCTACTTTTCCAATTAAAGATGTTCCCTAGTGGATTAAAGAATTAAAACTTTTTTCAGTGTGAAAGCGTCTGGCAGGTTTCGGCATGTAGGAACATAGTATTTATTCTTCTAATTCCGAATCTTTTTATGTCAGCTAACGCCTTCGTAACGGCCCGCTAATTTCCACCTACACTGATTGTCTATCTCGTCGACATGCAAATGATATATAAAATTTAATAAATATCTCGATAATATTTGTATAATATTAACGAAAATGTGTAGTCAACTTTGGCGAAGGCAAATGATTGCCTACAACAAAATCACTACCTGCAATTATACATTGGACTTGCCACAATTGCCACAGATATGCTAATCTTGCTTGTTACAAGCTTAACATATCTGAAGGCAAACATTTTGCTGTATTCCATGCTCATACTTGAACAATGTTTACATTCCTGTTGAGTTAATCAGGACACACTTTTGTTATCACTTACAGGCGACGATATATTGCGCTTATATCAGCTTACCAGTCTTAGCCTTGCTTTCTCCAAAGGAATCGAGTAAAGCCACAAAGACGACGCCACAACTATAATGAATGCCAAGCGTCACAAAAAGCGTGCAAAACGCTGCTCCGCACACTAGCCATGCAAATCCACTATCTTTTACTGTGGAGAAAGCAAATTCATCTGTGTCGATCATGACTCTGTCTCTGGCATCCCTCAGTTTTTCTTGCTCTGTACTTGTCATGTTTTAAAGACCTTGCAATAGGTCCTCCGACAACGAAATATTATCGATTGTCTTTATGCGGTCGCTGTTCTTTCATAAGGAATGTTCACAGCAGGATGGAAGGTCACAATGTGGCTAAAATTTCCATCATTTTTATTTTTTTACACGTATTCGTGACACTCTTCCAGCCCAACGCACTTAATTGAGCTAAATTCCGCTTGGACCTTAAAAAACAGATGCGGAATATGCATCATTAAACAATTATAACAGGTAATTGATTTAAAATATGCATATTAACCTCACAGAGTGTCTGTTAAATTGCAGTTCGAAGTTGAGAGCGTTTCCAGTTATTTTTGTCGGCAAAATTAGTGTTGCTGCTGGGTTTGATTCTTAATAGTCAATTTTTAAGTGTCTCTAAAAAATTGTCCGCAGTTTGGTGGAACGCAGATTACTGAACCCAATTGGAGTTTACGTTTATTGATTGTTGAGGTAGATTAGTCAATCCATATCGCTGATCTAAAAATAGAGAATCAATATGTGGGATTTTTACACTGCATTTTTTATCATTTTTACAGCAGTTGACGATATCACTGTCTTGTGAGTTGTGACCGACGACACAACGAAAAAAAGTTCGTCCACTGATCTTGCTTAATGACGTCAGAGTCTAATCTTATTACATAACAATATTATCATTAATTACACTGCAAGATTGTGTGTTTATATTGGCTTGCTGCTCTATAGATATCTTGATATATTTATTCGACATATGTCATTAGAGAACGGAGCTAATAAAAACGCCCTATGCATGTAATTTCTGCGCGACCAACGACTATATTTTATATAAATCTCAACTAATGCATTTTATGCCAAGGCAAGATTGGTAATGAGATAATGACAAGATATTCAGCTCCGGGTTCGTGGCTCCGGGTTCGCGAACCCGGAGCTGGCTCCGGATTCGAGCGAACCCGGAGCTGGAGTGGCTAGTTTTCATACAAACCGATGTGGCCGCTTCGCTTTTAATGGGAATCGAAAAATTTAAAAAGGCCATTTTTCTTTGTTATATTATCAAGAACATGGCTTAAAATGAGAGTTTTATTTTATTTACTTTGCTCGCAATAGCTCCGTGAAGTTGGCCATTTTTTTCGCAAAGTTGACTGGTCAGCGGCACGGGCGACCGCCAGGCTTTATAAAAGTTCGATTTACTAGCTTTACGACGAGTTTTTGTAAAAACTAAAAGACGGCCATTCGAGAGAAAGCTTATGAGAATACCCTTATAGTTCTAACCTTCTTCTAGCTTGCGAAACCACGACAGGCAACTTCTGTAAAGTCTAGCTGTCTGATTTAAACCACGCACCCGTGGCATAAATTTAATCCCTTCGCGAAGGCAACTAACCCGGTTTCTGCAAATTTTCGTTTTTCCACATTGGTTTATTGAACTGTAAATGTCATACCATCAATGCTAACAATTATTTAAATACTCTAAGCAAAAAAAGATCTCTTCTACCTGTAGTATGCTACGGAAACAACACCGTCAAACAAGTGTACACAAAGCGGCTCAAATCGACAAACGGCCATTGCATGTTAAGTACGCTTTTCATCGCCGAGATTTTTTCGCTGATTTCTTCGCTAATTCGACTTTAAATAAAATTCTAAAAGATGGCCATTTGAGATATACATTCATACTCTTCCACCACAAAGATTTGAGGTTCTAGGATTCGTATCCAGTGAGCACAACTCCTGAGAGTACATGCCGTCAGAATTCTGTCACGACCCGACATCATTAACATTACAACCCGATGGACACAACCGCCGTGTTTAGAGCAAATTCACGCTTTAGCGGACAACGCTGGTAAACCATAAACCCCATATTATTATTGTTAGCCATCATTCGAATGCTTTACGCTAAAAATATCTTTACTTCTCTTACTACACGGCGCAAACAGCATCGCTAAACCATGGTCTTAAAAACGGCTCAAGTTCTCAAACGTCAGAAATATGTCAAATAAGCTGAACATCACTCGGATTGTTTCGCAGATTTCGTCGCTGTTTTGACTTCATATAAAATTCTAAAAGATGGCCATTGGAGATTTTTATCCATACTACACCATAGAAAGTTTTATAGGGCTTCGGGATTCATATTCAGCGCCAACAACTCACGAGAATACAAACTTTGTTGACAACAAGCTCACGGGCGATGATAATTCACATTGTTTTGATCTCAGGGAAAACCCATCAGGAACATCGGGTGATACTCGGGTAGTAGCGCCTTTACAACCATGTGTTCTTGAGTTCTTGTGTATATTTACATAGACGTTTTTAACCGCGTGCTTTTACGTTTTTAAATCATTTCTAAATTTGATTTTAAACATCGAAAAAATCCGATTTATTTGTATTGGTCAGATTCATTCTAATACGATAATACGAGTGCTTTCATGTAAACATTAAAAATTGGAACGCTTGCCGAATGACCAATACAAATAAATCGGATTTTTTCGATGTTTAAAATCAAATTTAGAAATGATTTAAAAACGTAAAAGCACGCGGTTAAAAACGTCTATGTAAATATACACAAGAACTCAAGAACACATGGTTGTAAAGGCGCTACTACCCGAGTATCACCCGATGTTCCTGATGGGTTTTCCCTGAGATCAAAACAATGTGAATTATCATCGCCCGTGAGCTTGTTGTCAACAAAGTTTGTATTCTCGTGAGTTGTTGGCGCTGAATATGAATCCCGAAGCCCTATAAAACTTTCTATGGTGTAGTATGGATAAAAATCTCCAATGGCCATCTTTTAGAATTTTATATGAAGTCAAAACAGCGACGAAATCTGCGAAACAATCCGAGTGATGTTCAGCTTATTTGACATATTTCTGACGTTTGAGAACTTGAGCCGTTTTTAAGACCATGGTTTAGCGATGCTGTTTGCGCCGTGTAGTAAGAGAAGTAAAGATATTTTTAGCGTAAAGCATTCGAATGATGGCTAACAATAATAATATGGGGTTTATGGTTTACCAGCGTTGTCCGCTAAAGCGTGAATTTGCTCTAAACACGGCGGTTGTGTCCATCGGGTTGTAATGTTAATGATGTCGGGTCGTGACAGAATTCTGACGGCATGTACTCTCAGGAGTTGTGCTCACTGGATACGAATCCTAGAACCTCAAATCTTTGTGGTGGAAGAGTATGAATGTATATCTCAAATGGCCATCTTTTAGAATTTTATTTAAAGTCGAATTAGCGAAGAAATCAGCGAAAAAATCTCGGCGATGAAAAGCGTACTTAACATGCAATGGCCGTTTGTCGATTTGAGCCGCTTTGTGTACACTTGTTTGACGGTGTTGTTTCCGTAGCATACTACAGGTAGAAGAGATCTTTTTTTGCTTAGAGTATTTAAATAATTGTTAGCATTGATGGTATGACATTTACAGTTCAATAAACCAATGTGGAAAAACGAAAATTTGCAGAAACCGGGTTAGTTGCCTTCGCGAAGGGATTAAATTTATGCCACGGGTGCGTGGTTTAAATCAGACAGCTAGACTTTACAGAAGTTGCCTGTCGTGGTTTCGCAAGCTAGAAGAAGGTTAGAACCATAAGGATATTCTCATAAGCTTTCTCTCGAATGGCCATCTTTTAGTTTTTACAAAAACTCGTCGTAAAGCTAGTAAATCGAACTTTTATAAAGCCTGGCGGTCGCCCGTGCCGCTGACCAGTCAACTTTGCGAAAAAAATGGCCAACTTCACGGAGCTATTGCGAGCAAAGTAAATGAAATAAAACTCTCATTTTAAGCCATGTTCTTGATAATATAACAAAGAAAAATGGCCTTTTTAAATTTTTCGATTTCCATTAAAAGCGAAGCGGCCACATCGGTTTGTTTGAAAACTAGCCACTCCAGCTCCGGGTTCGCTCGAATCCGGAGCCACGAACCCGGAGCTGAATATCTTGTCATTAATGAGATAGTGCCTTAGCTAATCTGTTTCCAGACTCAATGCAAACAATCTAGTGGATAGTGTCACAGTTTAATGATATACAGTTATGGAACTCGCGGCGGAACCCTTTGATGTTGCTGTCCCCCTGCCTACGCCATTCCACGCGCCACGCAAATTGCTCTGGCAAGTGTATTTTGACTCTAAAGTAAGGGAAAAAGGTGTTCGAAAGACGAAAAATGTTAATATTTTAAAGCTGGCTCAATCGACCTCCATTTTTGCGCCTAAATTTTAAAAACAAACGGTAAATGGTTGTGTTTTTGTAAAAAATATATGCGTTAGGTTAAAGAGATAAGAAATACAAGCACGAATGATTTTCTTTATAAATATCAAGTTGATTGCCAACATCATCGCCGATTATAAATTAGGCAGTTATTTTTCCATCCAGAAAACATCTGAGCTGATCTTAAAACAAGCATGATTGATGTGTTATTTCTAAAATTCAAACACACGAAAAAATTTCTTTGAAAATAATTTATTTTGCCATAAAACTAGCAAAAACTACATGTTTTTTATTCGAATCTTGAACTTGAATTCAAAGGATTTACAATAAACAAATGCAAATTTTACCTATATATATATATACAATACTTTTTACATGAGTATAAATCCAACTTCACACACAAATGGTAAATGTGCTAACAGATATTAATTTCAGTTCATACATGATTGTAATATTCATGAAGGACATGCAAATCAATTTCCAATCTAATCTATGCAATGCTGTGTGGCTTCTATGAGAAGATTGAAAGCTATTTTCCAAATTTTGGATGTGAATATAATACACATAGGAGACATAATAGGGTTCACAAATATCAGTAAACTACGTATGCGTTGTAAAACTTTTTTTAATAATAGCCATGTAACTTGCTATCTTGTTGAACAGTAGATATATCGTCCGCTCAAAAGTTAACTGACTTTGAGAAGATTGTTTCGCCATCTAGAAAAAAATACGACTGCATGTTGGCGAAATATAGTCAGATAGACCTACATTTATTAGATGAAATACCAAACTTTGAATATTTACCTGGCAGTTCTAGAAGCTTCGTGTGAAAATCGCACTCCTCGTAGTTGTATTTCCCGTTTTTTCCCGTTTGAATTCGTATTATTGCAGTCATTTTTAATCCAAAAGGAGCAATGTCGGATGGATAAACAAAATTTGTCAAAAAAACGAAGAGGAAAAGACCCTTCGCTTTAAAATTGCATTTTTTCTGCTAAAAAATCGAATTTTCCTTATTAAAAAGTGCAAAAACACTTGCCAGAGCCTAGCGCATGCGCATTAAAAACAGGGGGACAAGATTTGTCGCGAGTTCCACCTCTGTGTAGTACTCTGTGATAGTGTTACATAGCATTACATAGCATACTCGAAACGAGAGCCGGCGATCCATCGGGGAAGGAGTCGGAGATCGCGGGCTCTGGTTTCGAGATTGATAGCACAGATGACCAAATGTAGGTTCAGTCTGCGCGGAGGGAGCCCTGGGCAAGAGGATGAGTTTAGACTTCAGACAGTAAGGGGCCATACACGTCCGCTATGTCTCGCAAAAACTCTTAAAACTTTTATATGTTATGAGTGAAAATCATTGAAGAGACAGATATTATCAGGTGTTCAAGATGCCACATTAAGTCATTAACAACGGGACAGAAAGCTAAAAATACAGGCAAAAAGAAATATATTTTTTTAAATTCGGACGTCCAGATTTCTAAACCCCCCCTATGTCCGAGTGTGACCTGGCTTTACAATCCCCCTTTCCCCCTTTCCCCCTTGACACGACGCATCACGATGGGTACATTTCTTACTCACAGATCAACCGAATCCGTTCAGAGGATATTGGTGGTATTCTAATTACAATTGACTGAAATTATGAAATGACGGAAATGATAATTCAGTTTTGTCTGAATTCAAATTAGTTCTTTTCTACTAAGCATCCCAGTCTGAGCATTGCTCATTGCCTTGTTTGCCTACTGCTGAGAGCTAATAAAAGCGTTTTCCGTTTTACAAATGATAAAAGATATCTTTTTAGAATAACAAAGCAAACTATGTAAACTTATATAATTTCTCTTCAATTAGACACCGACACACTATACCGCTTCACTGCTTGTATTCTCGCTGTTGGTGAATTAAGATTGGCTACATTCATGACTATTGCTTGCCAGATTGGTGTTTGGTAGTGTATTTCTCTGCCTTTCTTTACCACTACAATTTGTGCTCGAACTGCGAGAAGTGCCGTTAGGTAAGTACACCCAATAAACTAATTTCTTCAGCAATGTTAATCCTAGAACCTTGTTTACAGATGAGGAAACTAAAGGCTAAAGCTATGATAAACCAAATTAAACCTACTAAACGCACATCGATCTCTCTTTAAGTTTTAACCAACGTACGCTGTCGCTGATGTACAATTTCACCTTGATAATCTATTAAATTATTTATTGATATGGAATGATTGGAATTGCTCATGATTCAGGCTAGTCCCCCAAAGTTTGAAATGATTTCCATTCGTTGTTTAGATCTTAAAGATCTTGTGGGATTTTCATAAGAATTAACATTTGAAATAGCGTTTTGATCAGTAGATGCAATAGCTTCAATTTTAGCTTGTATCTGCTATTTCAGTCTGCGCCTCTTTTTCGCCGGAAGCTGGCAGATAAGACATCATGCTAACAAAGAATTTTGGCTATTTCTATAGGGCGAAATTTTTCGATCGAGCGAAATTTTTGGCCTAGATTTCTTTTGAATTGTGAGAATTCGATCGATCGTATGTAGACCGGTAGACCCCATTGGTAGACCCCATTGGTAGACCCCAGATCATTGGTAGACCCTCCATATATAGAGAGGTCAACTGATCTTCTTCCAACTGGAATGTCGTGTTCAAATACCCGTACCCAGCTCCCAGACAGCGTGTGAAATATTTTTGCTATATTTACTTCGTGGTTCTTTATGGTATAAAAGTGTATGAAAGCAGGAAGTAGGTTATTCTGCGCCGCTTGTGCGTACAGAATGTTGGAATTACGTACGTGTTTAGAGCGCAACTGGTGACATTTTGACAACACAAACACGGCAAGTATACGTCCACGAAGCCTGGCTGGTTTTTGACTGAAAACTGCGAGCACATGAGTATTTTCTAAAATACACTTATATTGTTCTGAGTATTATAATTATGATCGCAACATTGCTTTAAATACTACAAGATTATTTGCCAGTTATTGCGAGGTTTTATATAATGTGTGACACCTATGTCATTTTTATGGCATATTTTCTTTGTTACGAAAGTTTCTTTATTCATTGTAGTTGCTAGGAGGCATAAAATATACCACGAAAAATAATATTGAAATCGATCAACTTGCTCTGAAATTAGGCGTGTAACTCTCTCAATATATACATCCATATGCAATATATGGCAATGTTCCAATGTCGTGAGAATGAGGAACACCTGGTTTACAAAACCATGTTGACAATATGAGAGTTTTTGCTAGTATTCCTCTGAGTAAAAGCTGTATTTGTAGAGCATGTGTCTCACCGGTGTTATAGGTTCAGATAAAACAAAGTATGGGTAGAAAATTTTCCACTTGTAGGACTTATCTTTTATTCAACCAAAGATGTAAGCCACTTTTGTTGTAAAGATACTAAAATAAAGTGCAATATATCGCAAAGTATTGTTGCGAAATTCGGTAAAAAATGGTAAATACAGGCAAAATTTGTATACTTCCGTTTAGCGTGCGTATTAAAATTGCCATGTTTTCCTCGCAGATATTTCGTTAAATGTCAAAAAAGGCAATATTATACACAACACGCAAGGATATGAACAATGCCGAAGGTTTTAAGCATGAAAACCACAATGAAAACGTGAGGTATTATTCATGAACGTGACATGTTTTCGTATCATTGGCCAATCACAACCAAAGGGAAACAACCTTAGCTAGCAGCTTGTTGCCAAGATATGCAAATTCAGTTAATTCACGACTTTGTTGTTGACCTGGAGTTAATCGTTACTCGCCGTGTTAGTTTACATTCGTCACGGATTTACGTATTATCGACACTATTGTCCTTCCCATTTCAATTGAAGCTTTTTTCTGTTACAGTTTTAACATCAACAAGTTGGAATTCCGATAGAAATTACATCAAAAGGTTCATTCGTCCTCGTGTCACCAAAACGAAAATCGATCGGGGGAAATGCTCACAAAATTGCACAAATATGCCCGAAAGCCAAATAAACTCATGCTCATTCTCGTCCCATTGGGTTTTATATGGACGCTGTATTTGATAAAAGCCCAACTAGACTTACAACGACTTCATGTGAACAAGAATTATTTGAGGGAACGGATTATCGAATTATCCAAAGAGTACGTCAAGGCTGTCGCCCGCGAGAAGGAAACGAATGGCATAGACGGACAATCTGTTCGTAAGTGAAACTTACGCTATTTACTATAGTTTCAACTATGGAGGAAGTTACAAGAGCTTGCTCTTGCTCATAATTGAATGAAATTGTATGTAATGTGTTTTGGCTGCACAAACCACGGGACAACTTGCTCTTTAAAATAGGCGGTCAAAATTAAAAGAGAAAGAATAGTTCTATTTGGAAAGGGACCTAATACTTCCCTTATATCAAATTTCATGCATTTCTCAGCTCAAACGTTGAATTTATTGCAAATATTATTAAGATTTCAAAACCCTTTTCAATAGGAGCTTGGCGTTTTTATCCGTATTTTATTACCGGTCGGCTGTTTTGTTGACAAGATTATGTGACGATAGTCGTCAAAACCCACAATATTATTTATTGTTCGTAGATCAGATATGTTGTAAAAGAAATCCCATTTTCAACTTTAATATTTCAAAATATAAAAGGTCTGCTTTTTTCATCTTATAAACTCCAAGTCAAGCTGTATGATGTGCGCATCAAGTTTCTAAGTGAAGCTTCAAACAATATTACTACAACAGCGCCAGGTGGTATTTTTCATATGCAGATAACGGCAGAAACCTCTTTGTTGTGGTAAAAATGTAGCGACTGCATCTCGTGGTCGGCAACCCATAGTCGATAGTTTCTAAACAGTGTTGTGCCTGCCTGTTTTAAAATATCTTTTCACATTGCATGTTTCAATGTGCGTGACCTCCCATGTGGGAATTATAGAATAGAATTAATAACATTTTAAATTCTATTCTATAATTCCCACATCGAGGTCACGCACGTTGAAACATCCAATGTGAAAAGATATTTTACTAAAACAGCCATGCAAAACACGGTTTGGATATCTATAATATATAATTATATAATAGTTGGCTAATCCAACACCTATAGCAAATGCTATATAGAACTTCTTTGTACATGTTACCTAATCAAAAAACACTTTGTTTTAAAGAACAAGGAAGTTTTATACGCAACAATTACAATTGATCCTCTAACATATCTTTAGCATAATAATACCCTATTGGCATTGTATTCTATAATTGTACCAAATGCACTTTTAATGAAGTATTTTTAATGCCCAGTTTACACTACACTCTTTTGGCATTGTACAACTAAAATGTACACCAATACCAAGTTTATTGGTAGCCTGAGTGTAGTACAGTACCACTGCTGTCCCAATTAATCAATGACAATGCAAGTGAGAAAACAACTTCCCAAGTCAAGTTCAATATAGGCATTGCATGCTGCAAGCCAATTTGGGTAGCTGTATTAAGATACATTGTATGACAAATGTACGACCAAATTCGATTATTATGGGTCTTTGCTGATGTTGCTGACATATACTTATACACAATTAAAAAGAATTTAGAGATACTAGTTAGAGGATGGATTTTTAACAATGTATTTCTATAGTAACCAGATATTCATTTTTTTATTTTAAAGTTGAGGTTCCTGATCTCAAACAGACAACATCTCTGTTGCTGCAAAGCATGCTAGATCGCCTCATGAACTTGGAGAAACAAGTTGAAAATGTCATTTCACAAAGTGCTTTGGATATTTCCGAACTGTCCCAAAAGGTTAAGTCCCTCAACAAATCCCTGAGAAGTATTGCTGTGAACTTCACCCGTGGTATGTAACTGTTTTTTTCAGCTTCTGGATGCAAGCCAGAAATCATGTAGTTTTGATGTAGATAACTTCAGGATTAGTTTAGAGATTAAGAACTGGGATTGGTGTAGGATTATCTGCAGCAAAAGATTGGCTGCTCATGCAAAAACCAGCCAACCTGTGCCTTGTTGCTTATCTTATATTACACAGCTAGCAATTGAAAACATGAAACATACATCAGAAAAATTTGTAATACATAAATATTGAGTTTATTTCTACAGTATTTTCCCATAGGATACTTAGTAAAGGAAGTACGTGCTAAAGCTGGCTGCTATGAAACTTGCTTTATTCATGATTTTAGAGGTAACTGTACGTCAATGTAAAGTTCCAACTAATCCAGCATATCCGGAATGTGCTGCCAAAGTCAAGGTAACAAAACACATTTCACTAATGTGCGTATAAAAAGCAAACCTTAAGCACATGGCCACCTGCTAAATATTTTGATAGTCTACCAGCACCTGCTAATTAATGGTGCTTATATCTTATCATGCAACTTCATAACAAGCAAGCAATGTTTTGAACTGTGAGGAATTTTTTCTCTGGTTTATTGAATATATATAAATCTGCTTGTCTTGGCAGATTCTTAGTTAGGGAAGGATCCAGTGCAGTTCTGCATGGGGGTGCAGGCTAGCCCCTTGTCATAGGCTGGTGTATAATGACTATGATATTAGACATATATAAGTTAGTCCTAACTGCACTCCTCTTGCATCTTATCTGATGTAGGCTACATAACATGTCCAGCACCCCCCCCTCTTGGTAGACCAATCAATTCCTGAATTTCACATTTCATATGTTGTATTATACAGTGGATGTCAGAACATTGGAAAAGTGATCCAAAATACTCTGAACATGGTGTGAATGGTACATTGTGCTCCTTCCTGGCTTATCTAAGTAAAGTTGAGTCGTTTTGCCCGTCAGAAAATGACCGTGGTTATACAGCACACCCAAATGACTGTAAAGTTCCTCCACATTCAGGAGCCTTCCCTAATTGTGAACAAAAAGTGGAGGTAAGTGGGTAGATCATTAATACTACCTAAATTACACTGGAATTATAACAATAGTGTAAACATCTATTGAAGTTATGTTAATGACCTACAAAGTATAGCCCCTCCTTTTCTTGAAATGTACATGTCTACTTGTGTGATTAGACGCTCCAACGATTGTACCAGAAACACAGATTATTTACAGTATATATTTCATGAATTTATGACTACATTGTTAGAGATAGCTGTATTGATTACCCCACATCACCCCATTACCCCCCAACTCAGAAGAATTAATATTTTTACATCCTTTTTCAGTGGATGAAATCATCCTGGAAAACCGACCCTTGCTATGCTAATGATTTTGGTGTTAATGGGACAATATGCTCTTTCTTGATTTATCTTAGCGAGGTTTTTATTCAATTTTTCATTTGCTGTACATACTTTGTATTCATGATTCATTGCATTTACAGTACGTACATAATCTATGTTTTTGCTATATTAGGTTGAGTCTTGGTGTCCAAGATTGCCTAGCAGACGTTCAGTTGAAAAGGGGGAATCGTCAAAAGTGGTTGAAAAAGTTGTAAGTACATATATGAAACTCTTTGAAAACTGTTACTTGATTGAATTCAGGAAAAAAACTAGGAAACATAGTATAAAGAACTGATAGAGTCAATCTAGTACAAGGTTTCGTTTAGATTCAGCCCCTCCAGTGGTTGAGTGAATAGATTTTAATGGGATCCTTAGGAAGATGGTTTAGAACTGATAGAATTTACCCGAGTAAATAAGGTTAGCCTTGTATTTTTTCTGTGTAGTAACACTGGATTAATGACATTGAGCTCACTGAATCTTTATAGGAGGAACATGCAGCTAGTTTTAGAAGCTGAGTAGCAACATTGTTAGATTTGAGAGAAAGCCTAGACATTGTTGGACTTTTTTCTTTTGGTTTAACTTCTGTATGTCCATCATATTGTGTTGGTAGAATGTCAAAGGCACAAGCATGGAAAAATTGATGGATAGACTCACAAGAGTTGTGTCTGAAGGGCGGTTAAAATGGATTCGAACAAGGGTGGTGCGTATGTACAATTATTGGACCGAAGCAATGAGCTCTTTGCGACGCAGAGTAAATGTCACCGATAAACCAGCAAAAAAGGTTAGTGAACCTTAGTATCACATTTCATCACTTGATATTTCAGATAGACAAGAGGAAAAACGATTACTTGTAGCATGCATAACGTTACACAGTGAAACACATTGTTACCTAGGGTTACCTGGTATCATATGGTGTTACACATTGTCACATAGGGATACATAGTTATTGTCACATAAAACCATGCAGTATTTTGTGTATGTACGTTTTCTCAAAAACCATTTTTTTAGGTTCTTATCCATGTTGGTGTGCTTGCAGAAGAAAAATCATTGCATTTTGCCGAGACAGCGAGTAAAGGCGGACCGCTTGGTGAACTCGTCCAATGGTGTGATTTAATAACCTCACTTTACATATTAGGACATGATATCACAGTTACTGTGGAGCATTCTGAAATGATAAGGTGAGAAATAACTCACTGCATGCGATTGGATGGTAATTTTATGGTAATAATCACTTGTCCGAAGACGAAATGTAAGATTATTGTTTTTTCACTTAGTGTTCTTGGTGGAAATGCAGGAACTGCAAAAAGATCCTGTCCTCCTAAAGATGGACATATGTCAGTAGATTTAATCTTCACAGATTATTATGGACTAAACTATCTTAAAAAGAAAGCAAGATCTCTGTTACAGCCTTACAAGTACGTTTTTTTTATCTCATATTTTTTGAAGGCTTTCATATGTATGACCCAACAAAGACGATATATATCCAGTATATCATGAGATATCAGTGGCTCACCCCAGCTCTCCCTCTTGCTTTCTTCACACAGGTGTAGGTTACGTATCGTGGATTCTTTCGGAACCGAAGCCCAGTTCAACCACAATGGACCGCTGCCAGCCATTGGCAACCCAGTACCTCATATTACGCAAAATCAATTTGGGAAGAATGAACTAAAGCTAAAACAATATATGACTATGTTTCGTAAGTAATCCTGCATACCAGGGGCCGGTTGTATATATCAAGCCCGTTTAGCTTAAACGGCGGATAAGTGAAAATTAAATAACACTCTTACAACTCTCTTGAATGAGTGAACTTGAATATTATGCACTGAATATGTAGTTGTAAACAGTATCGTTGTATTAAGGTTAAAAACATTTAGTTTGCTTGTTGAATAAAACGATAGACTTGCTTTCTATTTTGAACTTAACCACCGTTTAAGCTAAACAGGCTTGATACAACCGGCCCCAGCGTATCAAAATACGGATATCACCTTGGATATAATACAAACTCGGAATATGATTGTATAAAACTCTTTAACTATCACCCCTTATGAAGACACTAGCGTCGAAACGTTGGGTCATGAATGTGATCTTTGTCTTTTCAAAAAGAGGTCTTTCAGGCAAATGAGACAAGTGTTCTCTAAGCGTTATTTAATTAACTTGTTTTCTTGTGTGTCTTCATCTAGCTCACAGTCCTGACAACACATTCCTGGGCTTCGTAGTAGACAGTAAAAGCAACGTTCCGACGTCTGTGACTAAGAAAAAACAGGCCTTGGCTTATGGCAAACATTACTACATGTGGAGAGTAAGTTAACGATTTTGACTGATGGCCATGAAGGATAACGTTTCCACATGGATTTGCATGCGTTATTGAGCATAGAATATCTAGGACGGTTTTTTAGATCCGTGTTTTAGATCTGTGTTTTAGATCTGTGTAGTTATCCCGAGTAAGAACCAATAATTCCTAACATCGTGGGCTTTTTAATTTCCTGTTGTTAATTATTCTAACGTATCAAGCAAAAGTTAATCACCATCTTACTTTTGGTAGGATTTAAAGAATCGTGGATTTTTGGATATCATTCACGAGGACTTTGAAGTACACGCAACCACTGGTGGACTGGTATGTGTATTACACGTTTAGTTTGATCTCCCTAACTTTCTGCTCGCTATGAGAATACCCTCGGGCAGGCACTCCTTACTTTCCTACTCTGCTGTTAATGTTATATCACCATGATTCGGGATTCCACCTATTAACCCAGCTTGTTGTAATTATGTTCTCTAAGAGACGATTGGTTTTACTCCCGTTTAGCCATTACAAGAAGTTAAGAAGTTTCTCCCATCGTACGTCATCAACCACGGTGTTGTTGGGTCCGGTAAACTACAGGACTTGCTAAGAGAGTCAAAGGTTTGCATCTGAATATTTTCAGCGATACCTCAACGTATTGTCGTATTCGTATTGGATGTCCTGGATTGCCAGTGTCACTCCTGATACAATCCCTGTTTTTTTCTATTGCCATTGGATGAAGACTCATACTTAACACCTCGCACGCAAACCAGCCCAGTTATTACGAGAGTTTACACCACTCTCTCTCTCTCTCCTTCTTTCCAACATATATTACCGTCTCCTAGATTTTTGTTGGTCTTGGGTTTCCTTATGAAGGACCAGCACCATTGGAAGCTATCGCCCAAGGATGCTTTTTCATAAACCCACAGGTAAATAACGATCCATTTCTCTTCGACGTAAGAAAGTAGTTTGTCCGTTTGACACCAGTATACGAGTGGGTTAGTTCAATTCTTTATCGTCCAGTCAGTTTTATATACTAAAGCAAACAAGTTGCGTATTTAGATTATTACTAACGAAGTATTCATTTTCTTCTAGTTTAAGACGCCAAAGAATCGTGAAAATACTCCATTCTTCAAGGGAAAGCCAACATTCAGGGCAGTAAGTCACTCGGTATTTTCGTCTAAATTGCCGAAACGGGGCGGATAGAACGCAGTAAACACATGTCTGATAATTGGCAAGCGCTTCAACCATGATTATGTCCATTGCACGTGAATTGCAACAGCACAGACATCTATCAAACTGTTCTCTACATCGTTATTTTCTCTCAATTATCGTCTGTATAGTTGACTTCGCAACATCCTTATGCCGAGGAGTTTATCGGGGAACCTAGAGTGTTAACTGTGGATATCAATGATCCTGTGGAAGTAAAAGCAGCAATAGAGAAGATCATCGATAATGAGGTATTGATGTAGTAACAATTAATGGTTGTATTCTGTGACTCTCTATGATCCACCATCAAAATTTAGTGGATGAGTTTATTTCTCTTGTTTTTTAACCATACAGCCATCACCCTACTTACCTTTTGAATACACGCACGAGGGAATGTTGGAACGAGTGAATGCACTGATTCACAACCAGGTGGGTAACGTCAAACTGGAGATGGCTCCAAGAGGGAAGGTGGTTTATTTCTTGGAGAAAAAAGGAAGTCAAACCACTTAATATATTAAAGATTGTACGGGCTTATCTTGCAGGATTTCTGTCGTCCAGGGACGGCCTTGTGGCCACCAATTACTTCTAGGACAGTTGTAACTGGACTGCAAGGACAATCATGCGTGGCTGCTTGTCGTCAACAAGGTACCCTCATCATCATTTTGAATTAATGGTAAGAAAACGCATTTTTTTAAACGTGTTTTGTTTAATTTTGCTTGCTTATGTTTTCCAAGGTCTGGTTTGTGAACCTGCCTATTTTGAAAGTTTAAACAACCTGGATTCCTTCAAAAAGTATGTACTTTTACTTTGTTGATTTTAGTTGATTCTACTGTTTAATATGCAACAGAGCTTCCTAGCTTGTTCTGCAACTGTTTGAAGTGCTAAATATGCAACATGATTCTTACTGGACCTCCAGGAAGAATAGTTTAGAGGAGATAGATCTAACCAGTATAAATAAAGCTAATTCATTTTAGGTTTCCTCCTGTTATAACACTGGATCAATAAGAGATGAGCCTTACAGGACCTCTATCTACTTATTACTTTAATTCTGACAATTTTTCATTTCAGTTCATCTTTGCCATGTCAGGATGACAGCTCAATAAGAAGTCGAATGTCACTTGTGGCACCAGCTTATGTCAGTGCAGAGAAAATTTGCGTGTTACAGATGGTTCCATCTCTCTACAGCTGTACTACCTATGACAGTACTGTGACAAGGATTTGTCCCTGCCGAGATTACAGAAAAGGCCAGGTTGCATTGTGCAAAACCTGTTACTGAATATGACGAAGGCTTGGTAAATTTTAGAGAAAATTTCAGGCTAAATGTGCTGGGCTGGTCCCCCAGCAAACAACAATAATGTACCCTGCATCAAATGCTGGTAATTTGGTATGAGAATGTTCATGGTGGAGATCTTTCTAGTGGTTAGGTTAGGGGTGAAAAAAATATTTATTTATTGTGGTTTCTTTCTTGGTCTAATGAGTTACCCAGTTACAAATTATTATCATATTATTGGTCAGCTGGAAACAATCACCCATGCTGTCTCACCATTAAGTATGCCAATTATGTTTAGGAATAATTGTAAATAAAATTGTTTTAAGTTATATTCGTTGATGAACTAAATAACGTTTTTAACTGAAACTTTTTGCTTAGGAAATTGAATAAAAATGTTAAATGACTATGTTTTGAAACGTTGAGAAATGAGAATCTAAAGGTCTTGGGCATGCTGTGTCCGGATCTCGTTTGAAATACTTCATGTAACTATGTTCATATCATTCATTAGTTTAAGTCTGAGACGAAGCATATTTGCTTGGTTGGTGAAGATTTTTTTGTATTTATTTCCTCATATTGTTGGTCGTGTGATACTGTTCTATAATGATAAATATTTTCCTTATATGAGTGAGAACCTAGCACTCTTTTGCAGTGCTGAATCACGATGATTATAAAGATTTCTAATATTTTTGAACGAACGGTAAACAAACAGCCTTCAATATTTTGTCTTTTTGTATGGAATTGTCGTACTTGTGTTTGTCTTTTTATCATTCCATGTCAGTTGTAGGGTATTTGTGTTCGTGTAGTTTTGTATTCGTGTAGTTTTGTATTCGTGTCTTGTCTTCGTAAAATTTCATACCAATTTTTCAGTTCGTGATGAGCAATAGTTCAACAAGTATTGTCAAGTCTTGTTTGGACTATCTGAAACTGAATTTATCCATTACAATGAAGTATGGATAATTACATTATATAAACTTTTCAAACAGCTATCTAAGACCTTACTAAATTCACAAATTGGACTATCCAACATCATCCCACATCGTATTAAATCAACAAGTCATACATTGCAAGGAATCCAGTGAAATTTGCACTTGGGGAAATAGAAAATATGTTTTTACACATGATAATAACATTACACAATTGTAACTTTACTTGTAGAGTTAGAAGAGTATTTAAAGAAGTTACTAAGTTGAGATATAAAGAAGTTCAGTAGGTTACCCTACCCAAATTTGGTGTCACAAATATAAACAAAAAACAAATCTTAAACATCAGGTTTGATTTTTTATGACATTTTTAACATGTTCATCAATAGTCAATAATGGTTTTGATTTGAACAATGGGTGATCAACAACTTTTTGAAATCTCTCCATATCGGCAATCCTAAAAAAATTTGGTGATCAATTATTTTATATTACAAATGATATTATTAACAATATTGATAAAGGATTATTCAAGACAAGAAATATACAAACTGTGCATTCAGTCTTTTCTGTTCACTTGAGCTTGACTTGTTTTGCTTCTTAGTGTTTTTTCTAAAAATGAAAAAAACTTTATGAACAAATTTCCTCGACTATATCCCCAAGTCGTCAGTCCAAGCATGCATTAAGAAGCATATGTTAGCAAACCATTTGTCATACCTTTTCTTTTTAGTTATTTTTTCAGTTGGCATCTTATCAATGTCTAATAATGCTTCAGTTAGTGGATTTAAATCTCCTGTTATGACTGTTTTCTGTCTTATTTTGGTTGCTTTATAGTTTTCATCAAATGCTTTGCTTGCATGAAGTTCTAAATTTCCATCAAAAGTTATTTATTTTTAATGGTATCAAGCAGATGGGACAAGTTTTGCAATGCCGAACTACAAATTTGAAAAGACAAAGCTCACTTTTTAAAAACTTTTGATGTCTAAGTTTTCGTTTGCCTTTTTTTGTACTTAACTTCTCTTCATCAGCAAGATCCCCACTCTCTTGGCAATTCTTATGTGCTTCATCTTTTGTTGTTTTTTGAGGAACTTCGATTTCAAAAAGATTGTTTGTCGGGAACAGTGCTGGCAAATGTGACTAGCATAAAGCAATCAGGGAAATTGTCTAAGCATATGGTCATTAGAATCAAACCCAGACATAACAATTTACATTCCAATGTATTAACCTGCTAAACAAACTGATCTGAATTAAACTAAACAGAATGAGTAGTGAACAGAGTCTGGAGGATAAATGCTCCATAAAATGTTGGTACTCAATTAAGTGATATGGTACTCTAAAAACCAATACGAATAATGCATGAATGCATATATATGCTGTCATCTTTGTACCTCATTTGGCAAGAAGTTTGTAGTTTTTTGGTCATCTTCACTCGGATTGCCCTTGACCGCTTCGATGTGTCTTTTTGTTCTCACCCGGCGAATTTTTCCCATTTCACTTGAATGAATTTATACACATGTTTATATAATTATATTTTATACTAATATTTCCTACAACTAATATATCTGGCGGCAAAAACAACGTCGGTTTCAAAGAGGTAAATGCGGAAATTAGCTGATCAAATTAACGTGTTTCCTGGCGATTTGGAAGACAACTGAACGTACGTAGCAAACTTTTCCAATTCATTTATTTCCAAGCAGCCATGATTAATAAATATGTTGGTTGACTGGCTTGCCTTTGAATCACGTGTGTGTGTTGCCAAAGAGATTGTAAATTGAGCTTCATTGTTTCGAAATTGCATCAAATTTGAATACCAATATTTGCTTATCTCTTGACGGCCCATTCCGGTGTCAACAGCAGGAAAGGCGTGATTTAAAATATACGCGGTTTTCGCTTGCAAAAGTTCAACATGTTTGGTGAATATCTGTGGTGGTTAGGAATTGGGTACCATGTCTAGAAAGAACCTCTAGTATACTGTGAAAAAAAGCCCTAACGGTGACCAAAATGGACGCGAGGAACTTGGAAATACGTAGCAAATCTGTTGAACAGACATTGATGCCATTAATGTCCCAGGTTTGTAAATGCTGTGTAGAGATGTCTGTGAACGTCTTGCTCTTGTGAGTTCATTGTAAATTTATGGTAGCCTTCGAAGGGGCACAAAAGTGTAACAGATGAATGGTGACCAACAGTTGTCAACAGAAGTGGAGAAAATAATTGAAATTTATATTATCATAATTAGGGTCGTCTTTGTATTCTCTAGGCATTAATTGAACAAAACTGGATCAATTTTCACCCTTCTGTTCACTACGATCTACCGACCCCCAAAGTAAACTTAATTTTGACACTACATTGAGTTTATCGAGCTTTTGAAAACTAGCTTGTCTCTTTCAGATTACAACGCTTGTCAACCATAAAACTACGAGGCGAAAGAGATCAGCACATGCACGCAAAGCATTGCAGGGAATTTGTGCAAGGTTGAGAGAAGCAGTAATGCATTTCGTCAAAATTGGAGAAGAAATAGCCAGCGAAAATCCCGAGTTTGCCGCGGATATGAGCGGGGCTTGCAAGGAAGCGAAAGAGTCTGCCTCCTTGATGAGCAGTTTGACAGATGTGAACGGCGAAGGAGACACGGCAATCACTGAAAAAGCAAATATCATTCGCGCTGCTAGAGCCCTGCTGGCTGCTGTGACTCGAGTGCTCATTATTACCGACATGGTCGTTGTCAAAAGACTCGTAAATGCCGCGAGGAAGGTAGGTTATAAACTTTCAATTTACTTATAATAATTTATCTTTGCATAGTAATAAATGAAGCATAGCATGTCCTATTAAATATCACTTCTTAAAAACTTTCTTTGTATTTTAAAAAGCTCCCTTGTGCTGGCAGACATTGGACGGGTTTTCAGATAAACTTGTTGACATTTTAAACATTTCTTACATTTTTTTCGCCGTTGTTTACACTTCTTCCGTTCGATATCTTCACCCGAAAACTCATTCGGCTATCATTATACGCTTGAGTAGTTTTCAAGATCATTTTCAACGGTAAACAATCGAATTGTATGATAGTACGGTCTATAAGGCATGTCTTTTTTGAAAGGAAAGAGTTTTACCGAATACAAGAATATCTTAAAAATGGTTAACTTTACAATGTTATGTAAAATAACAAGACCGGCTTGACGTGGATTAATATTATTTCCTGTTAATAGGCTAATGTTTGTTCAGATTAGTTGACTTTGCAGGAGTATTTGCAATATTGAAAATTGAAAAGCGATTCATTGTCACGACATTATGCCGAAGTGTTTGTCATTAATCAATACTCTTCCAAAGAATTCTAATTAGTGCATAATCGTTCGGAATTCCATGAATTTGATATACTTCACAATTTCGTAACGTTTTTTAATCCAATCAACTGATCATCTTACGCAGTTAGCTTTGTTGTGAATGTTTTCGTACATTTATTCTCTGCGGTTTGCGCATTGTATGTTAATTTTGAAACACGCGGGGTTTTTTTGTGCCGTAATGTTTCTAAACGTTTTCACCGGCGCAAGAAAAACATTGAAAACAAACCATAATAGCCGTCACGTTGCTTTGTGACACTTTTTAAACAACACCTCTACTGCAGACGCAGTAAACTGCAGATCAGATGGTCCGTCTGTCCCCACTGTGGGGTCCATTGTTGATATTTAAGCTTATTAGTATTTTCATAAATTAACTGTGAAAAATATTTCTCATACCAAGAGTTCTTACCGGCCGCAGTCATCGATAGATTTGCGCAAAAATAGCTACTTAAATATAGCGTGGAATTTGCTATTTTGGAGGTGATTTTCCACCGTTGGGAAATATCCAATTCCTAATGTATATACCCCGAGTGCTTTGTCCCAAAAGCTATATGCGCAATCACCCAATATGGTGAGGATTGTGTTATCGTATGAATGTGAATTGCGCGCGATAGACGTTGTTATTGTCATTAAATAATTCCCTTATCATAATAGAAATTGTAAATACTAATGTTTACTAGCTTGATGCTAAACAATCCTCTTTAATTCAGTCTTATCACATAATCGCTTTGTACAAGTATTTGGTCAGAGGCGTTCAATAGTTTGATACACGTTGTAAACATTCCTCGAAATTTTTTTATTTTCTATTTCTCGTTCATTCGCAAAAGCAAGGTCTTATTTCTAGGATTATGATCTGGAAGCGGTGTGAGGATTCTAGTACAGTACTTCAGACTACTTCTTTCTGTACTTCCATACTTGACTTCCCCCAGGTCTGGTATAAAACCAACGCGTGACATCATGCATTCACCTTCAAATTTTCAGGTCGATGAACGGCTTCAAGCATTGGAGGGTGTTAACAACTTCACCGAATTCGTTCAAGCTTTCTCCCATTTTGGTGCAGATATGGTAGAGCTCGCCCATCTTTCTGGCGATAGACAGAACGTAAGTACAAATTAAAAATCTATCACATAGTAATCGTACAGTCCTTCGAGGCCCAATCGGCAATCGTATCGTGGAAATCGTAATGCTTCTCTGCATTTTTTTAACCATTATTTCTCTCTTCAGCGATTGGCTTTGCAAGATTCATTCGGTTGTGAAATGCATGCAATAGAATGCCTAATTTGCGAAACAGTATCTACATAACAACCTCATTCCCTCGGCTTGTTTTGTTTTCCAGGATTTAAAGGATGACATTTCCAAAGCTGAAATGTGCGCGGCAAGGACCCTGCTTGAAAAGTCGACAATGATGTTACTAACAACTTCAAAGGTCTTAAGATTTCACGTGTAAAATAAAATAGAATTAGATGGATATATGTAACTATATCACACTTTGTTCACATAGTTACGTATAACGCCCATAGTCTAGACAATATCTCCCCAAGGACTTCTATTTGATGGATAAGACTGTTTTCAATATATTCCAGACGTTTCTTCGTCATCCCGATTCAAGTTCGGCAAAACAGAACAGAGAAGGTGTCTTCCTCAAGATGCGAAGTGCTATGAACACAATCACATCAGTTGCTCAAAGCACTGCTCAAAAACGTGAGCCGAAGAAGGGGCGACTCATATTGGATCTTAAGAGCTTTGACGTGAGTATATAATTTGTTATAGCCAAGCCGGCGTTCAACTGTCTATAGTAGTAGCTATACACAATGTATATTATTATATCTGATGTTGCTTCTTTATTGAGTCCCAAAAAGCGTTTTTGTACTTGTTTTTGTCACAACAGTGGAACATTGAGCCATCTGTAGATGTGAACATTCATGTGAACATCCTTTTTTGACTGAATCATGTGCGCTAATCCTCATTTCCCAAAGTTTGGTTTCGCGAGGGGATGTGAAAGGTCTATATCGACTAATTTAGCCTGAGGTCATACCATTTGCCAAAGGACTAACCGACAAATTTTCATCCTAAAATGATAGAAGAATTTATCATTTGAAGCACTCAGCACCTCTGAGGCATCAATATTAGTCGAATGGAAACACCGTATCTTTTACTAGAAAAACTAGCAAAGGACCATTCACGCACACCCTCTACTCTAGAGACCCAATAGGTCATCGTTTTCTTTCACAGCACGTGGTGGAGAGATTGAAGAGCAAGGGTGATCTCAACAATACTGAGCTGAAAAAACGGCTGGAGGAAGGTTTGATGAGAATACTGGAAGATGCGAGAACGATTGCTCAGGCGCCGCACACCAAGTCTGAAAAGAGAGAAACCATTTTTGCGCTCTGTGAAAATGCTGAAGATGTTTTGAAAGATCTAACTTCCGCGGTAAGATTTGATAGAATTATTTTTTTACTCTCAAAAGCATCAGAACCATAATTGATCCAAAGTTTATGTGAATCAACTGTCAAAGCAGAGCGATGGTGAAGAGGAGTTATCAGTTATGTAGGAGTCAATAATGTTTTACCTTTCATCTTTCGACAGGCAGAGGGGAAGGATGAAAATCAAGACTTGACTTTGCAAAGAATCAGCAAAATGACTAAAGATCTTAAAACTGAGGTAAGCTCGCGTTCTTTGTTCGACTTTAACCAGACAGCATCCTGCTTGGCTTAGGAAATGAGAAATATAATGATTCTATCCTCTTACTGGGCGAACAAAATGTTAACTGCATACTGCTTGGCTTGGGAAATGGGAAATATATTCTATCTTCTTTCTGGGCGAACGAAATGTTAACTTCATCCTGCTTGGCTTAGGAAATGAGAAATATATTCTATCCTCTTTTGGGGCGAACGAAATGTTAAAAGATGTGGAGTGAAATTTGATTAAAATTTTGAATCTGAAATAGCTGGATAATTTCGATAAAAGATATTTGTACATGTCAAATGAAAAGTTGTGAGTCAAGGTTGAATAAAAAATGGTTCAGTTTTGTCTAGAAGTTATAATTTGCAGTAGTTTGGACATGCAAATGTGATTCACATTTTTATTTCAGGTTCAGCAAGCCGCGAGCGATCAGGTTTTCGAGACTTTCTCACATTTGGGTCACAAGAAATCGTTGCCCGCATTGCGGGCGGCAGCATCGACGGGTAACAGTGCCCGTGTCGATGAACTCGCTGAAATCTTCGTGCGGGATGTTAAGAAGTTACTTGAAGTATCGAAAGTTGCGAGAAATTTGTCCGCAAGTGAGCCGATCGCGATCACCGCAGAAAAAGTCGAGGAAAATATTCAAACGCTATGTCCACATGTGAGTAATGTTTATTTAATACCACTGATCTCAAAATAGACTGGTTTGCGCAACCTCAGCAGAGAGCAGCCAATTGTGTAAAGTGTATAAATGGCCTTTGATTGGTTAAAGTTGTTTTTTGTGACCTACGTTCTCTCTCTTCAGGTCATCGAGGCGGCGCGAACTTTAGCTCACCATCCAGTTAGCAAAATAGCTCAGGAGAATTGTACAGTATTTATAGACATTTGGGAGTCCCAGGTGGAAGAGCTTGGAAAACTTCTGCGGAGTATTATCAGCGGTGGTGATCTTAGACGTAGTAAGTAATTACTCTTTTTACCGCACATTAGTTAATTGTTAGCCATTGAATTATGTTTTGGGTCAAGGCTCCCCCGAGTTCACATTTGACTAATTGACTTTCACTACCGCTACCACTGACTGGTCCACAGCGATTGTGATTGGTTAATCTAGCAGGCATATCGCTTCTGATTGGTTCATTCTCCCCCAATGGCAATGATATTTTAGTCTGAGTTCGATTACCAAAAAGACTGACCTGCAGTTGTCTTCTAAAATTCGAAAGTCAAGTCATTAACAGAAATTCCACTTAGCTATTCCCAGAATCTGAGTGTTCTCTTTGAAAACGAATTACAAACAGGCCGAAAATTAGCGTGTTGTTTCACTAACTAATTGCAACCAAAAGCAATAGTCTGTCTTGTAGTTTGAATAGTCGTGTAGACTGTAGTGGAAAAGTTTAAAACCATTGCTTACTTTTATTCGTCTTTTGTGCGTCTTTGTTGCCACCGTACTCTCGCAGTAAGCGTCCACTCTTGATAAAACTTAAACATGCTCACAGATTTTCTAACGAGCGCATGCAGATGGCGTATAGAAAATTCAGTTTAGTTTGAAGAATTACGGAATGATTTTTTAATCTCGAAAAGTGGATGTTTATTGCTGATATTACGGTGAGTAACATTTATTAACCTCTAATGATAGAGCAGTTCGTATTTTATGTACTTTCACATACTTGCATTTTATGCACATGCTTCCAATTGATATACCAATGTTTTCTTGGGGAAATGGTCGGGTAGATCTATACTTACGTACTCGTAAAATCGCCTGCTTTTATTTAGAATATTAAAATAGAGCATATGACTTACTGTGACGAGGATTAGCATGCAAATTGCTCAAACGTTACGGTGATCATTTGGAGATCCCACAATTTCTAATAGACCGAATCTGATCTTTATTCTTTTAGGAGAGGTCGGTCGGCCAAAAAAAAGCACCACCACAAGTTCCTACGCGACACTTTAGCAAGATATGAAGATATTAAGGAGTTAAATTGTCGTGAAGACTGTCTTTTAATAAAGAAAATTATAATTGTTGTCTTTTAAACAGAATTATAATATTGTTGTCTTTGACATATAAAGTATATATCTCTGAAAAAAAAGTTTTTAATTTTGTATATTTCTTCAAATTTTAAATATGTATATCATCGAAAATTTTTAATAATTGATGTAACCATTGAAAGTTTATATGTATATATCACGGAATTTTATAGTTTTTTATGAACTTGTATGAAAACAACTATATATAGTTTGTAAAAGAAAATATGAACTATAAACTATAAAAAAAGAATATATTTTCAAGAGTTTATATTGGTATGAAATATATTCCTAAAGAAATAAATGAAACAATTTGTTCTGTATTTAAAAAAGAAAGATTATTAGAGATTAGAGAAGGCATTTTCACCCTAAAATATACTTGGTTTTGTTTTGCTTAAAAATTGTCATGTTTCGTTCCTTGTGGCTTTAAAAAGATTTGAATCTCATCAATCGGCTACCATAATCGTATTGTCGATCAATATCGATTCTCTTCGATTATCGATGCCATCAATTCAGGGCGCCCATCTGGATGATATAAAATACTGAATGTGTTAAATTGTAACTTCAAGTTTATTTTTCTGTTCATTATAGTAGAGAACAAACCAATGCAAAAAGATACCTTGCCTTCACGAATTGACCGAATGCTGGTGAGTGATACCATGATACTCTCCACTCACGAACAAGCTCTTCTCCCAGATCGTAGTAACCTTAAAAACCAATTTATTTTTCCAGAAACGAGGCTTGAAACGTGAATCACCAGCTACTTCGGACAGTGAGGATGAAAGTGATGGTTCTTATCAAAAGAGCTCAATGGTAACTCTTATCGTTTCTCATTTGTATAAACTCAAGAGGTTTTGTGATAACTGTGTTCTACGGGTCGGTGAAACAATATTTCTCTTTGATTTAGGAGCAGGAAAAGTTGGCAAAGATTATTCAAGATATCGGCTCGTTGACGATGTCAACGGAGATCAATGGCTGCGATATTGAACCGCTGCACGAGGAGGCAATGAGACGAGCCAGGGAAATGTCTACAATTGCAGAAACTATGAATAAATTTCTCCGAGGAGAAGGCAGAATCCATTCATCGAATGAGCTATTCTTTGAAGCACAGGTGATTTCCTGTTCATTTGTATGATAATCATGTACACTTATGGTGTACACTTGTATGATAATCATGTACACTTATGGTGTACACTTGTATGATAATCATGTACACTTATGGTGTACACTTGTATGATAATCATGTACACGTATGGTGTACACTTGTATGATAATCATGTACACTTATGGTGTACACTTGTATGATAATCATGTACACTTATGGTGTCCAAATCATATAATGGAAAAGTTGGCTAAAAGTCAGTGTTTCTACTGAGTTTAATCAACCAGGAACTCAACTCTATTAGCGATTAACATGTATCCATGCATTTCGACTCTATCTGAACTCTAATCGCCGTAATATTGTTGCCTATAATAGAGAATTATCGAAGAATATTAAATATGGTTGTTTAGGTTTGAATTTAGAGTTGGGATTGCCAGTACCAATGTTTAAATAAAAACTGACCGAGGCATTGTCTCTATTTTATACAGCGTTTTGCAGATTTGGGGAGAAAATTTCACAAACTCAGCACACAGTTTCTCCTGCAGGTACGTTAACTATGCTTTTTGCATAATTTCGTAGAAAAATTGAAATCCATTCAAAACTTTTATTTTTCCCGCAGTTTCCAGATATTCTGCCCAAGAAACAGCTTGTACCTTACGTTGATCGCCTCCCAGGATATTGCCAGCAACTAAACTTCGCCAGCAAATCGTTCGCCGTTGGGCAATCTGCGACGTATATCAAGGTTAGGATGGTCACTTTGAACTCATCAGTCTTTCACCGAAAAATCTCAGGATTTTCCAGATGCCACGTCATTTGCTCGCAGGAGGCACTAGTTCGCATTCTTTCTTTACTGTTGGTATAGCCTGAGGCACAAAATTCATGTTCCCATTCAAGGTCGACGACCCTGGCTTCTGATTGCTTCTGATTGCTTCTGATTGCTTCTGATTGCTCCTGATTGCTAAATTCTTCTACTAAATTTAGCTGGTTTCTTTTACAGGCTGGTAGCGCCATTCACCTCACGAGAAACATCTTGAAGATCATAATGAGAATTCTGAAAACGTTTCATAATTTAACCGTGGAGGTACGTAGCGAATAAAATCAAGGGGCAAAAGCCAAACAATTCCTGTCACATTATCTACAACTCGTTTATTTTATTGCAGGGTTCAGAGCATTCCGGGTTATATCGTCCAAGTTGGACTTCAGATTTCTCTGATGACTCTACAATATCCTCGTTATCCTCGACAACACTCACATCATCTCATACCCCTGAACCATCCCATTATGCAATAGGTATCTCTGATGTGGAGTCCGACATAGATTCCCCTCTTTCCTAAATGTTGGAAAAAAATACATACGTAGATTATCAATGCCTCGTTTATATAACGTTTGTAACAGTCTTCAAGAATGCTAGCAAGTTTAGCCTTAAATTTATTGTAATCTCATACGACAGTATGATATCTAGAGGTTATTGTGCCAAAAAAGTATTGTTAATGACTTATTGTTACTAAGTAATTATTGACTTGTTGTTAGTAATGCATTCTAAGTTAAGAACAGACGATAGAATTATGCAAAATAAAAACTTTCAATTAATTACATTCAATCGCAAAATAAACCCACGTACATGGAAATGTGTTGTCAGGCTTGCTGCATTTACAGACACTAAATGTTTGGGTCAAACCGTATAGAGAAGTTAAAAAAAACCCTGTTTCTAAACCTGATACACTGCCCAAGTTGTTTTGTGTTTGTATTGATTTTCGGGCAGCCCGGAATCCGGGTTCGATATTATTTAACAACCCTAAACTTTATAATCTACTTTTTTCAGTAGAAATTATATTCAATATTATAATCAATATTTAAAAAAAAATAGTTGAAATACAAGCATTCATTAATATAAGCTTCTGGACTCCAGTGTTCTTACAGCTCTCTTTTAGTGCCAATATGTCGTTACCTAAGATGAAGTATTCCGCGCATGTACACAAGCCTACGTTATTTTTGTACGAACGACCATTTTTTTAAATTTTTGAAAGAAGACTTATTGACCTTGGAAGTTGCCTTTCGTTGCTTCGAAAATACCATGAATAATTTGGGATATTAGACGGAATTATGTTGTGCGAAGAACCGATAAAGGTAAGGGGCATATTTCAATTTATTTTGGTATTTTTTTAGTCATTTTTGGCCGTAAATAATGTTAACATGAAAGGCATCTCAGATTTGCTTTTGAAGACACTATATAAGAGAAGCGCTGCCGCTATGAAACCCAATTATATTTCCGTTGAAGTAATATTGAAATGTAATGATTTTGTACCAATGTTTTTTGTTTGGAAAACGAAAGTTCTCATCTTGTCGCATGGCTGTTTATATAATGGATGTTTTTTATAAACAATGCCACACAGCAAAGAAGAGATATTAGTCATATTACAGTAAATACGATCAGATAAAGTATTGATCATGGCCATTCGAAATATTTGAAGTATTTACTGGAATTCAGGGCAATTTTTTTCACATAATTGCATGATATACACTCTGCAGGTTGGTCTATACAACCCTGTTGTATGAAGCAGAATAGTTATTAAATGACAAATAATGATTCAGTACAAAATATTTTCTATTGTTTATTTCAAAATAGTACACTATTTCTAAACTGCAACATGAATGCATGTTCCATACACCAGCTATTCTTCTGTTTTTGGATAGATACCCTTTCCCTTGCCATCAAATTCCTCTTTGACCACTTAACTCCATAGGAAATGGTGACATTCAAGCCTAAATATTGAATGCTTGAAATACTAGTGCCATAGAAAAATATATCAGTTTATCCCAGTTGCATTGTCTAGTATCCCTGATTCTGCTGTAACATGGAGGAAAGAGTTGTGAGATGCAAAATTCTTATTTTTAAATTTTCTGTTTTTTCAAGGCTGCCATTTGGCATGCTCTTAATCACTATGCATTCAGTGATGCAGCATTTCTGGCTGAAAGATTGTATGCAGAAGGTAAATGGTTCTCCTACTGACAGTCTCCTACAATGTCTGATGTTCTAGATATATACCATCTATAAACTATGCTTCTGTTTAGGTCTTTCTGTTTTAAGTCCCATGTAAAATTGTTGTCTTAACTGCGTAACTTCTTTTCTTTAATGTAGGTGCATCAGATGAAGCACTGTATCTTTTAGCTACAGTTTATTACCGTTCTGGCCAGGCAAAGAGATCATATTACTTGCTTCAGAAACGTGGTTACCCAACTGCTGAATGCAAGTTTTTATTTGCGAAATGTTGTATGGACTTAAACAAGTAAGTTGGATGGACATGTGCTTGATTCCTCTTTTGGTTCAACAGTGATCATTGAACTGTGGCATAGTCTTTCTGATGCAATAATGTTGAGCATTCATTCTTTGTGATTCCTGCAATTCATTCTATGTAAATTCCTAAAATTTTAGCTATTTTTGGAAATGTTTAGCTAGGAGATTGCATGCAATCTACTCAATATGTAATTCACTTGGACATTAAACATTTCACCCAGTAAACTATATATGATCTCCAAAAGCAAATGCTTAATGTTCTTCGGTTGGACACAGGCACTCTGAAGCTGAACGAATATTGACAGCAAGTAGCAATCCTGTCGTTGGCAACAAACAAGTGGAAACAGTTGTCTCAGAATTTGGTTCAGCAGCAAGTTACTCTCTGGCTCTGCTTGGGGAAGTTTGCAGGTAGTGTGAATGTGTGTATTTGTACATAAATTCTTTGTGATTAAGTCATTTGCATTCTTGTTTCACCGTAAGCTCTCTTTTCAAAAAATTCCTATCACATCTCTAGGAAAGCTGAGAAGACAACAAGAGCTGTTGAGTGTTTCAAAAGCAGCTTAAAACACAACCCATTGCTATGGAGCTCCTTTGAAACCCTTTGTAAATTAGGTGAGCTTTTAAAAACTTTCAATCTTTAGTATCTCAGATTGTTCCAAGGGAAGGAACCCTACATGTATATTCTATACTCTATTTGATTTACGAACTAACAATTTATTTACTAGGTGAAAAGCCAAACCCTTCAGAAATTTTCAAATCATCTTCCTGTCCGCGACTGCTAACCACCTTGACACACCGTGATACCATGACAACGGGCTCAACAACAACAAGTTCAGAAAATACCACTCTATCCACAGACAACCATGTGCGTTCCACTACCATTGAACCAATGGCAACCGAGAACATGGATCCCTCTTGGAACACGCCCACAAACACAGAAACTAACCAGTCATTTACAGCCCCATCTAATCTCCATGGCAACAATGCTAACTATGTTTCATCGCCGACCCCAATGGGCACGTCTAATGAGAACCGAGCGCGTCCAAAAGTTGGTCGAAATTTGCTTGGTGTGAGCTCTAGTGCCAGCCCATTTTCCCCAAGGTGAGCAGGAAGCTTGTAACACTTCTCATCTGATCTTGGTAGCTACATAATCCCACCTCTCTGCAACCCCTATAAATCCATCACCTGCTTTGGAATCAACTATTGGCTATTACACACACTAAAAGTAGATGGAATCCATGCCTTGTCCACTGACAATTTTTATACTCTCTCTTTTAGTTTTGCGGTTTTACCCATGGACACACCCTCCCCTGACCCAGCGACAACTTACATCACGCCTTCCCCAACTATAAATGAATGCCAGTTACCTAAAGCTCCTAAGGCGAGAAAAGTGAGTTGGTATTTGGTGAAATAATTGGGTTGTGGGGGCACCCCTCTGCTGCAGGGGGAAGGTATATGGTATATGATACATATACATATATACGGCTATGGGAGATGTAATGCAAGGGAGATAAACTGTAGTAAGTTTCTTTAAATAGTTGGTTAATGATCATCTCTTGGTCATCTCTTCCAGATAGGACGGCGCAACGAACTAATGGGCAAACACCCTGGCATTACCACCTTAACGACATCCAGTTCCAACACGACCGTATCTCAATCCACCTCATCCGGTGTAAGACGAAGTACCCGACTATTTGGATCCACGCCAACCAATGCGTCCTTGAATGACTCCACGGACAAGGTTTGCATAAATGCACAAATTCACGTCAGATATGACCGTATAATAATGTATTTTTAGTGTCTACTTTTCTTTCTTTTATCTTATGTATAATCTCCACTAAAATTCCTGTATTTCAACTCTAGGGTTCCAGGAAAAACAACAAGGGGGAATTTTCATTACAAAGAGGTGGAATAGCGCCAAGGAAAGTAAAGGTATTCAACAGTTTCATTCTTTCTTTGTCTCATGTCTTGTCATGATCCATTCGTCATGAGCATGGTCTTTGTCACTGTTCAACTAAAACCGTGCATCGAACAAGGAAGATTATGTATGCTCCGAACTTTTAATCTAGTTAAAAAACATGAGCAAATTTCGATCTAAAAGTGTGCAAGTTGTAGCTTCAAAATTTGTTAGCTGCTGAGAAACTTGTTTATGTTACAGTGAATTGCGCACCTGCATTTGAAGGTCATCCATCGGCAGTTTCGTTCCAAATCGTTCCCCCAACTCCCCCTAATCAAGTAGAAATATTCTAATTAAACCTTTCTAATTCTTCTTTTAATTGTAATTTTGTAATGCTACTTCACGTTATACAGACACGACGACAAACGAGAAGTTCTGCCGCCAATAGTCAACCATTATCTCCCTCGTGTAGCGAGAATATAATCCCAGAACCAAGTAAACCTACGCAGACCAGCGTTCATCCTATAAAGATTCCTGTCTCCACAACAAGCTTAGGTAAACATCAGTTAAACCAGTCCACTTCATGTCAACCACTTGTCAACTTGCTTCATTCACTCCATTTTAAAAGTTCCTCCTACTCCAGGTTAAATATAGAGCTCATTATATTATGTCACCATCCAGATAGCCTGCTCTCGCTGTATCAAGAACTCGGCAACGCTTACGTGGCACTGACCTCGTATGAATGCAAGGAGTCACTCGCGTTGTTCGAGGCTGTTCAACCTCACCATTACAACACGTGCTGGGTGTTATCACAAGTTGCGAGGAACCATTTTGAACTGGCGCAATATCATCTCGTATGTCACGAAATGTTCTGTAATCTAGTGTCTTTTAGTGGTTCGTTGCATGGATGCAGCCCTTCGTGGGTGCAGGGAAGTTAGATTAGCCTGCCTCATTCTAATCGTGCATTGCAAAACCATTTTAGGCAGAAAAGGTTTTCTTGCAAGTTCGCCATCTGGATCCATACTGTCTTAAAGGTGATCGTAGAATAATTTGATTTAAAAAGGCGTTTGCTATCGTGCAATGAACTAATAATAGTTTGGTACTAACGTCTACTGCGTTGTACGGTAGTGTCAATCTATTGTAAATGTACGAGTGGGTGATGAAGAACTATTGTACTTATCTTCTAATACCAAAATGAGTGAGAGCGAGCATAAGCTGATGTTCCCTGATGATTCATATCCTTCCAGGGATGGAACTTTACTCAACTACGCTGTGGCATTTGCAAAAAGAAGTTGCTCTCTCTGCCTTGGCCCAAGATCTCGTCGAGACTGAAAGAGTTTGTGCTGAGGTTCGTTCTTTATGACTTTATGAACCAGGTGTTGGAAACGTTTTTTTCCAAGATTTGCCTCAACACTGCGATAACTTGCTTTTGTAGAATTGAGCTTTGGATTTACAATCTTTTTTTCAAATTCATAATATTTATTTAGGCTTGGGCAGCCACTGGCAACTGTTACAGTCTTCAAAAAGAGCACGACACGGCGATAAAGTTTTTCCAACGAGCAGTTCAGGTGGATCCATCGTTTACCTACGCGTACACTCTCCTTGGCCACGAATATGTTCTCACCGAGGAGCTGGACAGAGCAATGTCGTGTTTTAGGAGCGCAATACGGACGGATCCAAGGCATTATAACGCTTGGTATGTTGGCTTCTGGGATGTCTTAATGGTTGATAAGAGGAATTACCTACCCTCTTTCCCAACAGCCTAGCCTAATCTGTGAAATAAGATACAGTCATCTTAACTGGAATACCTTGAACGGTCCAGTATCATGTTTTGGTTTGAAAAATGTCTTTGTACCCAGGGGAGGTATGAGGTGAACACTGTGACAATATACTGTTGTGTTTTAGGTATGGTGTGGGAATGATCTACTACAAACAGGAGAAATATAATTTGGCTGAAGTTCATTTTAGAAAAGCTGTGGAAATCAATCATTCTAGTTCAGTTTTAATTTGTCATATTGGTGTGGTAAGTCCCATGCACAAGAAGTAAACTATAACATCATAATCTTGGAGCCAAAATTTTAGCAAGCATTCATCCAAAATTTTTCCAAACAACAAGTTTTGCTTCTAGGTTCAACACGCTTTGAAGAGATCCCTCACTGCATTGTCGACGCTTGAAAAAGCAATGCAAATGGACCCAAAGAACCCTTTGTGCAAGTTTCATAGAGCTACGATACTTTTTTCCTTGGAAAGATACAAGGTAAGTTCTCTAGGCAGTGTTTTTATGAAGAGGTAGTTACCAGAGCTTTACCACCTCCGGTATAGGCGTGATAGCCTTTATTCTATTCACCAAGCCTATGTTTACTGGTAAACTAAACCCATGGATGTGTAGATGTTTAGTTTGATTTGTGTTTACCCCAGGAAACGTTAAGCGAGCTAGAAGAATTAAGAAGAATAGTACCAAAAGAAGCTTTGGTATATTTTTTGATGGGAAAGGTAATGCCTTTGTGTAAGGAAACTTCCAGCAACGTTCCTGGCTTTTGGGCAAATATTTTCACAGTAATATGTTCAAATTAGCAAACGTTTTTATGGTGATATATTTAAACGCGTCCATTTCAGGCGTACAAGAAGTTAGGCGACAACCATCAAGCACAAATGCATTTTTCCTGGGCCGTGGACCTGGATCCGAAGGGCGCCAACAATCAGATCAAAGAAGCTGTTGACAAACGGTATTTACCCGAGGACGATGACGTCAGCATCGACGATGTTGACTTGTCCGGGGAGGGTGGGGTGGGTGATGAGTTGAATAACGAAAGCAGATTTTCGGATAACGAAGACTTGGAATAAATGGCAATATTTCATTGGTTAATACCTGGTGACGATTTGACCAATGACGTACAGGAATATAGATAATCACTATATATTATAGTTCAGTTAGAGAAGAATTTAAAATATAACTATGACAGAATATCATTTTCTGTCTAGCTAGCGAAGAAAATGTTCATTACGATCAGTTTTACTTGCAATTTTTTCTGCAATATTTAGATTTTTTTGATAGCCCTTAATTATGACTGATGAATTAGATTTGTGTTTTTGTAAAACTGAGCCTGAAAATATTGCAAGTCTAACTATAATTTTATCTAATTATTGTGGAAGTTGGTTTGATATTTCGTTTAGATGGACTTTTTAGAAATATTGAACAAAATAGTCTCCACCCTACGGAATACAACTCTAATATGAGCATCTAAATATTTTATAATCTCAACGCAGTTTGGTATGTCCTAGATATGTTCCTCACTACTCGCTCCCAGCTTGTATACAAGTTATCAATACGTCTTTCCACGAATTAATTTTGACTTTGTTACAAGTTGTTCGAAAACGTAATTTGTAACTGGTTGCCAAGTCCTGGGGGCGAGGACATTAATAATACGGGGGGTGGTGGACTCCAGTTGTGCAAGGAATGATATGTAAGTATTCAAAATAAAGGTCAAACCCGAAACGTTCATAATGTGTGTTCAAAATTCTCGGAATCATTCCACCACGCTCCAGATACACGCTATATTCTGAGATCAACATGTCAGTGCCCGGTGGGGTGACCATAATCTCGCGTGACGTTGGAGGGGTATCCACGCAGGTCACGGGAATTTTGCCCGCAAGTGGGTGGAAAGTTGGAATTTCGTAAATAACGCAAGCGTTCGAAGTACATTTTTGTTAAAATTTCAAACAAAATCTTAACTATAACTTGCTTTTTTATCTGTGTACAACAAGTGGAAGATATTTCGGTAGAAAGCAGAGCATCGTTAAAGGTTAGTGAGCAATAATTTTACGAAAAGGCTGTTGAATTTTATGCCATTATTGAGTAATATCAAAACCAACTTTCGTCTGGTTATAATCTTGGCCACAATAATGCTTCTTGTTTCAAGGGAATTGTTTTGTGTTTACGCTTGTTTTTTGCGTACAATTTTAAGCTATTTTCTTTTTCTCGTTAAATATACGCCTAATTCAGCAAAGGGGTTGTAAAAATGTAACCATAAACTTGGGTTGACATGCGAACGAACTTGCTTTGTTAGGTTTCGACGAAATATTAGCCCGTTTGCTTTCATTTCTCAAAAGAAAAGCCCAAAAAATTTAGACTCTAGACGATATTACGTTGTCACTCGTGTTTTTGTTGTAACGTTTAATAATTTTATTAGCTTATGGTCGGGTGTTTTCGTAAGGAATTCACCGAATACTCAATTGCGTTTTAAATTTTACTCTGAATGCCAAGTTATTACGTAAACTTCTAGTGGTCAGATTTTAGCAAATATCATGAATTTCATTATTCCATTTACAAGAATGCAAAAGAATGCCGTCTTTCATTGTGATAACTTGAATGTTTACATAATTCCCGTATGAAGTCGGGAGATATTATGAAAGGATGAATATTCTAATACGAACCTCATAAAGCTCATATTGATATCGACAGGAATATAGCGTTATAGTGTCTACAATTTTCGAGTACTTCCTCAAAAGGTTTATGTCAGTATTTCCTGGCAATATCAGTTCCTTGCTTGGATTAAAAGGTTTAACAGTTTTAATTGTCTTGCACTAATTTAAAGGCTATATATTTGCCCAATTTTTTTGTTCTAATTATTCTGCAGTTCTGCCAGCTTGAAAAGGTTGTTAAATTAGCCTCATGTCATTATAGCATGACACTTCTTTATAAATCACTTGAGAATTATAACATGTTGCTTAATCCAGTCTGAAAAATTTTTATGGTGCAAAACTGTCAGTATATTTCTCATGTTGATGTAGAGATCTTTGTGTGGTTCGCTAAATGAGATTTCACAAGGTCTTCCTGCATGAGAATTTGGCATTTTGAGAAAGAAACTCGAAATACTTCCTCTCCGAATTTCAATTTTTTCCACTTTTTTTTCCACATCAACATACCCACTCCATGTCCATTCAGATAGATTTTTCATAAGCATGGTTTAATTCCCACTTGCATTCATTTATATAGGTTACCATTTTGGAAACGGCTGGTATTTTTGCAATTGCTTAAACTGAAATTAGTACCCTAACATCTTGGTGATAAGTTCCGATGGCTGCACGAGGCCAACAACAGCAACAACGGTCAAATGGACCTCCCCAGGGGAAAATATGCCAGTTTAAACTTGTATTACTTGGTAAGAACAGTTCATTACTTTTTCTCCCTAATTATATAAAGCTGGTCATTTTTTCGCTAGTTTTTATGTTCCCTGTGATCTGAGTACAAATCAGGGTTAATAATACGATTGATTTTTAAAAATTTTGTTAAATATGGATCAGCTGTCCAGACGTGTCCAATTTGGCAAAATTTTAAAACATCGGTTATCCCTAATTGTATTGTGGTATAATTACTGAAATAACTGTACACCTCTTGACCAATAAGCATTAAGTTATTCTATCATGCTAATTAATAATAAAAATAGTTACCTCTTAGGTTTGATAGGAATAACCTCTGATAGGACATTCGGTTGTACAAGGGGGTAATTAGGTGGATTTTAACTGAAAATGGAGCCATCAAAGACGATGTGAGAATGGCAATTGAATGGTGTGGCACATTCCAATTAGGGAATGCTACACTATTTATTCAGCATTCTCACATAGTCTTCAACATACCCATCCCCATTCTAAATTTATCTATCATGGCATGGGTGTTTTCCGAACTTTATCTGAATCTACCTGACATGATATTTATTCTGAGTTATATTCTGTGTTTATCCTTAAGTTTACATGTTTTTAATATTGTTTAGGTGAATCTGCTGTTGGTAAATCAAGTTTAGTGTTACGATTTGTGAAAGGCCAATTCCATGAATTCCAAGAAAGTACAATTGGAGGTAAATCATAGATCTTTGATTAAAAAAATATAAAGTTTTCCTATCAATAGCAATTGCAGTTAATTTGTCCCAACCTATCTGGACTTATGAACCTATACTTATCTTCAAATTATATCTTTTTTATAGCGGCATTTCTAACCCAGACTGTGTGTCTTGATGACACAACAGTAAAATTTGAAATATGGGATACTGCTGGCCAAGAAAATATCCTTTGATAAAAATTGTGCATATTTAAATCCCATGTTTTCAGCACACTGCCTGTTGCTGTGGTTTATCAGATGGCTTGATCACAACCTCTGACAATCAGGTCACAAAACCTTACAAGGCATTGCATCTGATCTGACCAGGATTGGTCCTTTGTAAAGTTTTATAACAACAGTAGCAGTGTGTGCTTTGTACAATCTCACCAGTCCCTGATATCATAGAATGTTCTTGCTGTTATCTGCATGTTATCTCAGTGTAGGTTGTTTGCAAATGAAATACTAGCAACGATTTTTCCTTGACTGCCTTGTACGATATCACAGCCTTGCTCCCATGTACTACAGGGGCGCACAAGCTGCAATTGTTGTATATGATATAACCAACACGGTAAGTAACAACTTTGAAACACTATCTGAATTAAAAGGGTAAATCAATTGTGATTTTTGGGGCACTTCACGTGATGCGCGTAAATTCTACAAGACATGCAGAAGGCCAAGCTGAGAACAGTCAATACCCAACATCATTGCAAAATTTCAAAATGTGTAGATTGGTGGAATTGCATCTAAAATCTTGATTTTTTTACATCATCCATAATTGCATGCCCTCGGCTGCGTATTATTCATATAATTAGCGAGTTTAAGATGCACCAAATCTACGACGCGGACATGACATGAAAACTGCTACTAGCGTTAGGAAACCAATACTAATTTGTTTTACATACGGCTTTGACTTCGTTTATGAAAAGGTGTCTATAATTTTCATTCCTGTTGGGAAACTGTGGAAATTAGAGCAGTTTTGTTTCACGTCCACGTCGTAGATTTGGTGCATCTTAAACTCGCTAGTCAGACACAATTTGTGAAAGGCGTTTCAGACACAACTCTGAATCTCTCATATGAACCATTTAGGACACATTTTCTCGTGCTAAAACGTGGGTGAAAGAATTGCAACGCCAGGCGAGCCCAAATATAGTCATCGCCTTAGCTGGAAATAAAGCTGATCTTGCAAACAAGAGAGTTGTGGAATATGAGGTAAACTAGACTTCAAACAACCGTAAATAATTCATAGACTATTAAGAAATCGTATTACCCATGTTGGCCATTCAACAATAAATACAATCTTGTACAGATTTAACTTATTTGCTAGGTAAGAGCTATGCCTTTTACCTAGAAACTATGCTTACGGTATACTCGTTTGATTGCTGTGAAAATAGACCTTTTTTATAAAGTCATACGCGGAAAGCCAGCGGTTTGCGGTTACACAAAGTTTAATTGGCTAACTAATTTTTGCGGAGCCACTCAATTTTCGTGTGACGTTTGCATCCTGCGTTTGACTTCGCTGTGAAAAAGGTCTATTTATTGGTTAGGATTGTCCCAGCCGAAGAAAGACTGGTGCCGTTCATCAAACCGGTCTCAATAGGTTTATTTATCATTTGTCAGGACGCCCAGAGCTATGCGGACGACAATGGTCTACTTTTTATGGAAACCTCTGCAAAAACAGCTATGAATGTTAACGAAATATTTCTGGCTATCGGTGAGTAAACGCGAGATTTTTTGTCATTAGAATTATGTCATTAGAGCACATGTTTAAAGTCTCAAAAGCGCTTTTTTAAAGCATAACCACAGTTATTGGGTAGATAGATGGCATAGTGTACCGCGTCAGTTATTCACTTATTGTCCAGCTACAGTGCCTACCCAAGGAACGTTAGAACCTTGGAGGCATGATTTTTGTGAAAATTTTTGACTCGCGTGGGTTTAAAACAGCAATCTTTCATCATGTTGTAAGATTGTGGAGGACAATACTTACCTTTTCAATATCCTGACCATATAAGAATGTTTCCAGCGCCGCCTTCTTATGCAAAGAAACAGTTCATCATTTGTACCACCATACTAAACCTGATTATTTATACTTGATCGCCCACATTTGCCTGGAAACGCATTCCAAACTCCTGTACTACTTGACATCGTGACCGTCCTCCTTCAAATTTCTACATATTCTGTGTCAAATTAATCCTCTTGCCGGCGTCCAAGATTAGATTTTCATTACGCAAAATATATTATTTTGAAAGAGATGCTAAATTAGGCGAAACTTTAGTAGAATACGGGCTTGATACAATACATTTTAAAAGTCCAAGCCGTTCTAAGCAGTTTTCGTGGCACGTTTATCTGAGAAGCAGTCTCGTTTTAATCTGAAGTGTTCAATCATTTCAGCGAAAAAATTACCAAAGACCGACCCGAATGCGGGTCAAGCCGGGGGCCAAAAGAACCCTAATAGAAGTGGAAACGTGGACCTTCAGGAGAGAAACCAGGGCGGATCAGGAGGGGGGTGCTGTAGTAAATAATACAGACATCGAGTAATCAATTTTTGGAACTAAAACGAATCTCTGAAGGCACGCCCGTGCTCGCTACTTATAATATACACATGCACTGTATTAGATTTCAGATCTTGTGATGTCATTTCTCTGGGTCTTATGTCGTCATAGTGTGCAATGCGTGACGTCATAGTATACGATTTATGTTGCAATTTTAACTTGATAAATGTATTTATGTCATTTATGTGTATGATGTCATACCATGTATACTGTGACGTCATTTTGTACGACGTATGACGTCATTTCAAAGATGATGAAACGAATTCTTTGCTTTTTCTTGATCATGCTAAAAAACGATGATGGTATTTTACGTAATCTGTTACGTCATATTCCCAATGACGTCACATCTTATTTCATTTACTCAAAGTACTCGCTTAGCGTAGAAGGAACACGTTAGGTCTATTTTATAATGTTTTCTAAGTTTGTCCTCGGTTTTAACCTGTGGTTCGAACCGTGGACACGTTTTGATTTCTATTTGTAACAATTTATGGAATGTAACAATTATCGTAGTCCCAATAGATTATTATTAACTCTGTAGTGTTAGGATTTTCCGATATAGATTTAAGTGTGAAATGTCGCGAATAGATTTCAATGTTTAAGGACAGTGGTATATGGTTTGCCCTAAAGCCTGATATATGAAAACTTAGTCGGTAATCCTCAATATGTTGTTTGGAGTGGATAAAATCTGATGTGTTTCTCCAAAGACTGGCATAACTGTGTTACGATAGAAGGGAAGGGAATTAATAAAACGCAAGTAGACAATATGACCTAAGAATAGAAAATACTTACAAAGTTGTAAGTTGTCTATTTCATGGATGCTTCAACATAATTTTGTTTAATTAAGTTGCGTCTAGAACAGCAAACACGTACTCGCTTATTATAAATCTCGAACACACTTGCTTTAGAATTTGCATGTTCGTTTACCTCAGCTTTTTCCAGGTTTTATCTTTAAATTGCTTCAATAATTTCATCTAGTTTTAAAAAACCAATCATAGTCAAGGAGATAAAATCCACACTAAAAACTGATCTTTATTTCATAGTATGCTATTTACACTGTTGAAAAGAAATATATGAACCTTTTTCTTTGATTTAAACATTATGCCCAAATGAATTCTTATTAGAGAGTCATTTAATATATCTATACTTAAATACGAGAAGAGTACCAGCTAGTGTTTAATGCTCAGGTAATGCAGTATTGCATGCGTTCGTCAAAGCCAAAAATAATACCAAAATATATGTTCATTCTTAACGAGAATCAGGAAAAATAACGTGTTGATATTTGCTCAACCAAGATCAACCCAGAGTTTTTTTTATCAAAGTCTTAAATATCCGCATGCATCAGCTTTATGGCTTTTTCACATCTCTTCTTTTGGATACTTTACACTTTCATCATAAACCACCATAACCCGTAGTGTGGCCATGAACTGCTTGGAGTTCGACATTGCTTGTAGGCCTTGTAGGTCTGGTAAACCTGTTATTTCTAATCTGATATGGTATGGTGTAGACCATTCTGATAAATATTTCAATGCAATCGGCTGACAAGAGGAGAAAAAGTGAAATCCCGAACACCTGAAACGAAAAATTTTAAATGATTAGACGAGAAAACGTGAATGCTTCATTGGCTCATATAAGTGCAAACAGTGAAACACTCCACAGTTGCGTCGCTTGCAAGTTTGAGGAGTTATTTACCAGTTTAACGTATTCTCAGTGTTTTACTACCCCCCTGTCCTAAGAGTGAGAATCCTTTGTATCTACTGTTTCACTAAGGTTGCCGCAGCGTTCAAACTGAATGTACTCCTCGCATATGACAAGAGATTAAGACAAGAAGTCCGCATTTCTGATCACAAAGGAGAGTTCGTATGAACTAACCACTATGATTTACCTACACATGTCAAGAGAATGTCATTATTCGTCAGAAACAGAAATTCTAACGAGTGACCCCCTGTAAAAGGGGCTGACGTAGTGATCGCTGGTACACCTTGGTTTGTGCGCATGTCCTGCACATGCGCCACCTCGCCTCGTGTTGGCTACTCACCATAGATACGTAGAGTGGTGGAAACTTGGGAGTTGTCGTCTGGCATGGTACGAAATTAACCCTGCACATATCTAGTAAAAATTTCAGCTGGTCGTCCACGTCTTGGACCAGTGTTATAAGATTTGCCATCCAGAAACATACACTTGCCAACTGAAGAAATGTGCAGCCAAGTACAATGAAAAAATTCTATAAAAGAATACGATCCTTTAAGTCATGCGGTGGTTGAAATATGGTGGTTATAGGAATATACCGATTGCGTACTACCAAGATGACTCCAGTTGAATATCAACCAGCGCAGAGATCATAGACAGCAATGTGAATGATGATTGGTTGAAGGGAATGAAATAATGGTTGATTGCAGTTGATGAGATTTCAAAAATGAATTGGAGTTGATGAGAGAGATTCTGGAAGTGAATAGATGCGCCTGGAATCATAATTCATTTACATTGGCTTACCAGCTTAATAAACATCTGTGTTACTTGTGAGCCATGCTGAATGATTTTGAAAACTAAGAAAAAAATGGCGACTACCATCGCCAGAGCTGTTACGACCACGAACGCTATCACGGAAGGAAGCAAAGTGTTCTGAAACTTGAACGCCCTAATGGGTAAGCCGTCCGGGGGATGTACTGTGACGTTTGCCTCATAGATGAATGGAAACTTTAGCGTTATACTGTAGTAGTCAGAGGTTTTAACGTTTCGCACTTTCGCGATCTCATCAAATGTGACGCATAACAAGATTGCCACTAGTGCACATATCTAAAAACAACAAATTATAACATTCAGTTTTCTGGGACTAACAAGTGCACAGCACTACCACTGGCAAGCGATGGTTTGATCTATCGGGGCTGATCCACGAGGCTTGTTAACAACATATGAAGAATATATATTGGAATATTTGGCCCTACTGTTCGGTCTTGTCTTTTCAACTGTAACTACCCTTATTGGAATCATTTATTCCGTTGCAATACTGGTGATGTCGGTACAAATTTTTAAAAATGGTGACGTGAAGATGCGCCGAAGCGATCCACAGCCGAAACGTTTTTATTCTCAATTTACGGGAAGCTTGCAAGTCGTGACACAACATGGCACGTTTTACCACATTAATACTTCAAAAATCCTGCACCATTTGAAATTACATTTATTGCCCACGCGCAAACATTATAATCCGCGGTAAAACAAACTTGGCACGATGCGAGCAAATATAAATATGCACTCTGCATAAATACCACGGTGTTGGATTTCAGGATGTTATCATTCAAGTGTATTTGTATTTTTCAAATCAACACGTATTTCTCGGTGGTACTTCCTAGTACCTCGTCAAACGTTCTTCGTATTTCCGAGTTTTCAGGCATGACAATTTGCGCAGTATTTTCGGTTTCTCTTTTAGCGGAAACAAGCAGATGTAGGAACAAGTTGAGACATGCTGGCGGAATTGAAAAAAACTCGCACTTTCTCAGGTTACAAAATACACACGTCAATTGCACTTCAGCTGTGATACGCTTCCAAATCGCAGGATAAAATTGTTAAAACTGATGTTATAAAGTATTAACTGCACTTACAGTGGTTTTTCGGATTTTGTTTGCTAGCAGAAATGAACTAAAAGGCGATCAAAATGTTCAACAAGTCTTACGGGAACGTGAATCGTTTTTTATGCATCTCACGTTCAATTTAATGAAAAATATAATCTGGACGTTGCGAACTTGCGCCAAGTGTGTTTTGGTATTCTTTCCAATAGTTCGTTTGTTTTTCTTTTCCCATTTATCCAAAAAATTTAGATGCTAAAACTCTTGGTAATAACGCGAAAGGAATGCTAGCAGTTGTGTGGGATGTATTTGAATTTTTTCTGCAAGTCTGCAACTTGTCACCAATTTCTCAGCTGTGTAAAATAAGGTTGATAAATACGTACGATTCTGATCATGAAAAGTAATCTTTTGTGTTATTGTTAATATATTACGGTGTATCATATTAACGTGTACAATGTTACCGAATTTAGACCTATAAATAAGGGTACTTGATGCATTGCGCTAATTTAATATCGATACACCTAAATTGTATCTAGAAGGTTTTTAAAATTTTGTTTGCATATAATATATATAGTTGCAAAGACAATCCATTTTTCATTGGCACAAGTCACTTTCCAAAGTATTCATTTGATATACTTTTTTTTAACAGAACTATCGCATAAAAGTTATGTATGCTATGAATTTTTGCATGTCAACATAAAAATACAATTTACACACCAATTGAGCAACTTTCACCCAAAATCCATATGTCATTACAACTTTCCATCGTCGCTGTCCGAGTTGAAGGTTCTCCATAATTGCAGAAGTATTTCTTGATGTTTTCCAATGGCGCGATATATCCAATACGCGCCAAGGTAAACAATGATGTTATGCGATGAGCAAGAGGCTACATATTTTGGTATTTTGTCGTGACATGTCCGATGGTTGCGCGCGTTTTGATTGGTCGTAATATGCGTTTCGATGGTTCCGATCAAGTGGTATGATGGTGTGACGACCTTGCATGGTTCAGTCCAGTTTTCTGTTAAGGTCATCTCGTGACACTATCTTCTGCTTACTTGAAGTTCTGAAGAACAAGAAAAACCAAGATGGCGGTTTTCGCAACGATTTGGAAAATTAGTGAAAATTTCTCCTCGAAGATATTTACACGCTGCTCTTTATTCAAAGGTGAGATTTAAATAGAATGTATTTGCAAGTGTTCAAAATTAGTTATGGTTTGTTTACTGCCATTAAATGCCATTACTTTCATGATATAGTAAGCCGATAAAACATTTTTTTCTGACCTAGGTTTTGAGTGTCATGTAAGACCAAATGCAGCTCAAAGATATATCAGTACGTCAGTGGCAAGCAATAAATATTATGTGAAGCCGAACTACCTGAAGCGCTGGGCAAGACGCGATCAAAAAAGACGCAAAATGTTTGCTGAATACGAACAACACAGAGGTAGATTACGGATGTTAAGTAAGTGCGATATATTGCCTTCGTCTGTGCGTAAGCAAGCTGCAGCCGAACTGGCTGAATTGCCTAGAGACAGTTGCATTACGAGAGTTAGGAATCGCTGTGTGCTGACTGATAGAGGTCGAGGTGTGATAGGCCGGTTTCAAATTTCACGGATCATGTTCAAATATTATGCTGAGAAAGGACTTATCCCAGGCATACAGAGGTCACAATGGTGACAGGTGAGACCTCCAAATAATGCTTCAATATTAAAGCGGACTTTCTTGAGATGGTTAAAGAGGAATGTTGTGAGAAAGGATATCACACGTTATGACATCACATGTTGGACATCGAGATTACATTTATGGTATCTTTGCCATTATCGACGAGAACACAGACTTGAAATATTTACCAAGCTCTACAAATATTAGAATATAAGATTGAAACCAGATTCATTTATAAATTTTATTTTGAAAATTATGCATTAGAATTTTTTATTTTATTGATGACTGCTGTTGCACGTTGTTTTATAGCTTCATGTGAGTGGTTTGTGAGAGTCTCTAAGTTTTGTAAAATGCCTGAATCTTCAAGACTGCTCTTCTCAGCAAATCCTACAACATAAAATTTAAGATATACATTCATGACCAATATTTATGGCAGCAATGTTGAATAGTGCAAGCTTGCCTGGATTTCTGAAGAGAAATACATACCTTTAAGAAATAAAGCCTCAATGACAGCTATTGAGTTATATTGAGTTTGGGGCTCAGCATTTTCAGCACATAGCACTTTGTTGATGGTTGCTATTAGGTTACTCTCATCAATTTTTTGCGAGTGTTCATCTGTATTGAACAAGAGGAAAAGATTGTCTACTTAATAGATTAACTGTCAATGAACAGAGACAGAACTTTGGAAATATTTAGTTGCAAAGGAACAAAAAACGCACTGTTTACAATATTTACAGCCATAACAATGCCAACCAAAGCTTCGTTCTGCATGGTTGTATGTGTCGATGTTATCATGGTAACCAGTTGTTTTAAACCATTGTTTTTGACCACAGTTAGAATGGATTCTGCAAGAAAAGTGTATGAAAACAATTTCTAGCTTGTTTGTCTAATTTGTTTCTTTCATGTGTGAGAACTAGGTTAGTTGTCTTGGTTTTTTAAAAGCATATGAGATATCATTTATCATGCAACGTATGCTGGATCATCAAGCACAATGAGTGAAGACTATCAGGATAGGAAAATAGAAAAGTCTTTGACTTCAGCTATGAGGGTTTCACTGTAATATAATATACTGTATTTGTTTGACTATGTCATATGCATTTACACACCAGATGTTCTAGCGTTTTTTAACAACGCTGCCAGGAGTCTGGACGCTTCAGACTTGAGTCCTTCAATACCAGAGTCCTGTGCTAGGGACACCAGATTTATTATACATTGCTCTTGTGAACATATTGTGTCAACTGCTGCATCTACGGAATGAAATCAATTGAACTGCCTTAAGTCAAATATACTTCTATATCATATAGATTCATAGAATATCATGTTCTTTAATTGCATGTGTACCGTACAGTTGAACAGTGAACATTCACATCCTCTTGACCATGTCATGTCCTACCTTGACCATGAACAAGCAACCGTATTACAGCGATTGCTCTAAACACAAGAGGAGATGGGGTTTCCGTTGAATGGAGAAGCTCTGCTGCACAATCTAATGCCCCAGCATCTATTAGGACTTGTTTGTTGCTTGCTATAGGTATGAAATAAAATATTTGAACTGATATTGTTGGGTTTTACTACTATTAACACACAGCAGTCCACTGGTAGTTATGATGGTGATTCATGATACAGGGAAAGAGGCTGTCCCCATAAATGTCACCATGCAATTATATGGGTACTTAAATTTAACCACATGGAATGATGAAATTTGTTTCAGGAAATAGAATAAAACATGATAATTTACCTGGAATGGCTAAATTCTTCAATGCACTTAAAACTGATATTTTTAGTTGAATTTTATCCTACAACATAATTTAGCATTAGGGTGTAGTTTAGACTTGTCCACAAGAAGGGCTATTAATACTAAAGTGTTTGCATATGAGAATCCATATCTTTTCTAGAGATGCATTGCATCTTTTCTAGACATTGCATTACTAAGGTACGGGGCTTATTACTGATTAGAGAGATTAGGTTGGTATTGTGTATTGGTGAACCAACCGCTTCAGTATTATAAGAATCCTCTCTTAATAAACCAATGAGCTTGTGGTGAATTTCCATTTTCACTAGTCTTACACAGTTTGTCTCTAGAATGAGGATAGAAAAGACATTGGCATAAATATGCAGGAACATGTTGGCATTATTTTGCAGTGTGCTTGTTTCAGGATGTACAGCAATAACAGCATACAGTACCTGTTCTAGCTATATTCCCAATTGCAACAGGACATGAGTTTCTGATATATGCTTCAGTGGATTGAATCCAGAGCAGTATTTTATCAACAAACATACTATTTTCATCTGCAAATAGTTTACCTAGGCAATTGTCTGGTAAAAATGTTGTAGTTAAGCACAATTACTACAATCTCAATATATACAAAAAGCAATAAACATTTAGAAAACCTACCATCCCCAAGTAGTAAAATTATCAAATCAACAGCTATCTTCAATTTCTCTAATAACTCGTCTTTATCATTAGAAGACAGATTTGTTGATATGATTTCTTGTAGAATCCCAACACAATTTTCTGAAACCATTGCTGTCTTTATTTTATCTAAATGAAAGGCACATCTCTTGCCTTTAATGTTTTTCATCAATATACTGAATGAAAAATTGATCATGGTTGATCAATAATTATTATTATTATTATTATGATAGATTATCTCAGGCCTGACAATGGCACTAGACAAGAGTGTTGAAACATTGGGTTGTGATGTAATCTTTAGGTGATGATTACTTTCATTATTCACAACCGTAGCAATAATAGCGATGAATTATATACCTGCATGGTTGCTGTAAACTTATTAATGTCAATCTTAGCAAATGTGCAGGATACTACTCTATGGTTATAATTTCTCACAAACATTGACAGAACCTTCCTCTGACAATGCCCTAAGGCATTCAGATAGTGATGTGGTGAATTCCCCTGAGGAATATTTCAATGCCTTCACAAATATTTCACAGCCTCTTCCTGCAGCAAAGCTGGAGACTCCTTCATCTAAGGATAAAATATCATATAATGCAGTTACATAGTTTAAAATTGCAAGTCCTTTGTTATGTGTTCACACATGTTCTTGGCAAGATACCACATCATATCACTACTATATAACACCATTGTAGATTAACGGATTGTCATCCTTGCATGCAACTAGCAGTAGATCTCCATACCAACTTCAAGCAAACAGGATATTCCATTTGTCGCCATCAAAGATAGATTGCTGTCAATGTTATCTTCAACATACCCCAGGAGCCATGGGATAGCCTCATTTTCAATAAACTCTTTCTGTAACATCTCTAAAACATATAGTCATATACAGAGCAATCATCATTGACAGATTCAAAAACATGTCATGAAGGTCGTGGCTTAACAGAGCAAGTGACATTGCCAATTTAAATGGTTTGATTCTGAATTATTTACCATTATCAAGAGACACATTGAGAACTGCTCCACATGCAGTAACATGAAGCTTGGCTTCGTAATCTTTGCCCTTCTCATTACGAAGTTTCCTCAATTTCTGAATGATTGTTTGAACTCCTCCATTCTCAAATATCTCTTCACGTGCTTTATCTACATTTGAAAATAGACAGCAACCAAGAAAAATGCATAGCGCCTCAGGACACTGCAGAAATTGGTGTTGGAAGTCAAATATCTCATCAGTTGCTCACATTTGAATCCTAGTATTCAGAAACTGCTGTCAAAGAAAATACTATCAAATAAGTTGAAAACAAGTTCAATTTTTCTTCCAATATCGGTTTTGGAAACTTTTGAAGGCTCTTCGTATGCATCTGCCACCGTAAAATGGCCATTTTGAGACATTTTGAGACATTTTCAGATGATTTGTTTTTGCCGTGTGCAAGCTTCAAATCTTTTGTGCAAGAGATATTTTGTTGAGTATTTATAAATCTTTTAGCTTGCCGAATTTAAAGTCTAAGTATTGAGAATTACGGCTAAGCCTACCAATTTCCGCGGTGTCAGCGCCTCAGTGAAATGCTGGTTCCAATAGTGTCATGATTGTGAAACACTTCATATAATTAATTAATATCTACATATTTTCTAAATGAAGACATATAAATAACAATGGATTAAGTTCTTACTATTGTCACAAGCAATATTCCCTATTGCTCTTAATGCCTGGTGTAAAACTGAGTCATGTTGTGTCTCAATACTGCTTAACACACATGGAATGAGACCAGAATCTACACACGCTTGTCTGGCATCTTCTGGAAAGTTAGAAATAATTGTACTGTAAGTATTTGCAATCAATCAGAAAAGCTTCACTCAGTTAGTAAGGCCTGGGTCACACTTGTCCTAAGAATTGGGGATCCGTTGCGTTATCTTCCGAAAGACAAAGGATTTTGCGAACCAGCAACCTCAGACAAAGGGTAGCCCAGATTCTTATGACAATTGTGAACCGGCCAGGTTTAAGTGCATGAACACACCAGATTTACATAATTCTGCTATGAACTCAAGGAGAATTGCAGTCAGGTTTGAATTGCTTTCTTTCAAACAGGATTTAACCAGTGGTAGGATCTTCTGAATTTCCTTAACTGGAATATCATCTGTAAATTAATCAAATCTAGTTAGTTTGCCCACATACTTCTTGTCTCAATGTGGTAATCATTAGAATCATTAGAATTGGTTAATCTAATAGCCTTATTGCATTGATTGGCTTACAATCCCTTAATGGTAGTGTCATAGTGACAGAGTAAATGAAACCTCAACTTAGTAAAGTTAAAATGCAATTCTTGCTAAATGCTACACTAATACTGCTTTTGAGCAACCTAGAACCATTGTTATACAATTTAAATTTTTAGAATGGACACAAACACGGCAATTGAGCTGGTTATTGCTATTTCGTTTAGAAATCAGACAATCATATTTGACCACACCTTAGAAATGAATGTTGTTTCAACCCCCCTGTACAGGAAACTATTCAGTTTCCTCTTGGACAGATTTGCATTACAGCTCCTTTTGGGGAAATACTTTATGGAGCACAACATTTTAACCATCACTTCTGCTCCTAATTCCAAGAAATATTTTTACCTTCGTTTTCTTTCAATGCGTCAACGACCGCCCGGACGAGAGAAGTATCAGGGGGGTGTGAACCATCGCTATTCGAGGTTTCGTCTGTGGACAGCGAAATTCGCAAATTCTCCAAAAGATCTGATAGATTTTCCATTTCCTCAGCAGTTCAACCACATAGTATACATTATATTGAATTTTTATTGACAAATACACTCTCTGTTGACAGTTACATATATTCTCAACCTCGTTCCCAGGGCCAATTTCAAAAAAGAGGGGGAATTGACCCTGGGAACGAGGTTGATATATTCTAGCTGAATAAGCAGACTTCGAAGTAATCGGAAGGATAGTTAGGGATTTTAGTGGTCACGCTTTTCCCAAGCATGCGCACAACACGCATCTTCGCACGTGTATTTTGATAATTTGAACGTTGCAAATTTTATCATTTTATCAAAATTTTGAATGCTTTAAACAAAAGAAAATGTTGGTTTTATTCGAGACTCCCGCTGGATACGCAATTTTTAAGGTATGGGATGAAAGATTTTACATTTGTAAACCATCGCTTGTAGTATTTTTACTATTTTTTACTCCAGTTAATTTAGCCGAATTGTGGTGGTCCTTGATATAAGTACATATACCGTATATTATTAGCTAGTTATCTTTTATTTTTTTAGCTTTTGGATGAAGGAAAGCTTCAGAAAGCTGACAACTTATATGAGGATTTTGAGTCGCCTGAGAGGGCGCATAAAATGTGAGTTTATGCCCACAGGACAAGACCTGGTGGGGAGGGGAGCCCCAAGAACAATTATTTGGGGGGGAAGGGGATATCCATATTTATTCTTTTTCTTGCAGTCCGAATTCATATTTTAGCATTTCCTGCAATCTGATTGGCTACACGAGCGGTCCATATGAGGCCGTTCGGACCGGGCAGGATTTAAAAGCACTCTAGCCAACACTAAAATATGAATTCGGACCGCAAGAAAAAAATAAATCTATTATTTACCAGTTTAGTCGGTCCATATTGGGAAATATCTCCCTCGGTCTCAAAAACATCGCTCGGCCTTGGGCTGTTTTTGACACCTTGGGAAATATTTCCCTATAGGGACCTCCAATCAGGTAAATAACATATATATGTATATATATGGTTGTGGATTATATGAATATCTGGCTCCCCTCTCAATTACCCTTGTCTATGTGAATGCCTATTGTGTGATGATGCTACTCTGCATTACAAAACAGGCAAACAAAAAAGGGTGACCGTGGTGCAAATTTTATAAGTAACTCCACTACAATATTAGTAACATCTGAATATACTAGATAAGTTCTAAAATATCACATAATTGACCTAGTAACTCAGTTTGGAATGGATTGAATGTCACTGATTTATTTCCCATCATGTTTTAGCTCAAATCACCATCAAAGCACCAATCAAATCAAAGCCATCACAAATCACCATCACAATATTAATTCACCTGAATCATATGTGCATTGTTATACCAGTAACTTTCAGTTGCATATATATGCCAGGGACTAGATAAGTTATGAAATATCACATATTCATCGTCTTGACCTAGCTGCACGGTTGGAAGAGCATTTGACTAATAAATGAGACAGCCTCGTCCCCGGTGCGGCGGGGGAACACGCGTGGGTCAGTGGGGAAGCTCTCGCGGGGGAACACACGTGGGTCAGCGAGCGCGGGCGGACCCATCCATTTCGTGTTAAAATCCCTGCGAGCGACTTTCTCCACGCGCACGACGCGCATGTAATGGAGCCTGGGGACAAGGCTGTAAATGAGAGGTCACTGTTTGCCACGTTGGTCATAATTCAGCTTGCCCAGTTGGTGACTTAGAGTAGCATCCTCACAATATTAATTCACCTGAGTCATGAACACAATCACTTTATTGTATCATTGTCCTTTAAAACTAGCCAGTTCTATGAAAAATTGTGCTGTTATTAATATCTGTACTTAATTTTCATTCCGCATAGATTGAAGTTAAAGCATTTTGAGAAATTCAATGATACTACAGATGCTTTAGCAGGTGACACACAGAGCAGTTACTTGATAAATCATTTATTCTTTAATTAAGCCTGCTGCACACAAGAGCTATCAGCCAAGCTAGCAACCTGGCAAGGCAGTTAGCTCACCCTGAAAACCATCTGCACACATAAGAAACTTGCCTTTCAAGCCCAATTTTTCACGAAAAACTATCCACACGCAAGAGTAACTTGCTGAGCTAACAGCCACACATGGTTTTTAGCTCAGCTAATAGCTCACGTGTGCGGCTTAATGTTGTTTTTGATCTCTATTTGAATGTTTAGCTGCTACTGCTGCTGTTGAGGGGAAAATGTCAAAGAGTCTGAAAAAAGTTTTAAAGAAAATTGTTTCGAAGGATTTAAATGAAAAACTTGCCGTTGCTGATGCCAAGCTTGGCAGTTCAATCAAGGTATGTTTGAGATATTGTGATGGCCCATTTTCAATGTCAATATGTTTAGTTATTTATAATCTCAAAATAATGATTAAAGGCAGTTTCTAATAAAGTTTTTCTCTGTCCTCACAGGAGAAATTAAACTTGAACTGTTTTTACAGTTCTGCTATTCAAGAGTTAATGAGAGGAATACGAAGTCAAATGAACAACCTTTTGACAGGTTTGGTGATGTCATTTAAAAATTTTGATCTATAAAACTTGGACAGTTTGATGATTTTCTGTTTGTGTATTGCCATTGATGCTACATGTCATATACCACATGTCTAATTTCATTAGGATTACATCTGCTATTTACCAACAGGATGTGATCTATACTTGTATCTTCTCTCTCATAATTGATTTACTTGAACCTTCAAATTATATCTGGGTTCGCATTCCACTGTCTCAACATTGTGTGACCCTTATCTGCCTTACGTTTTAGGATTGCCAGAATCAGATATATCATCTATGGCTCTCGGTTTAGCACATAGGTAGGTTGCAGAAAAGTAACATGGCTTATGATTTGCCATCTTTATATGATTTATGATTTATCTTTCACGTCTACAATGTCAACAGTGATGTCAGTTGAAAATATTGGCTTACCTAGCATAACATTTTTGCAAAAATTCCTCATTTAAATTTTTTAGTTTGTCAAGATACAAGTTGAAGTTCAGTCCTGACAAAGTAGACACAATGATAGTCCAAGCCATCTCACTCCTTGACGACCTTGACAAAGAACTGAATAATTATGTGATGAGATGCAGAGAGTGGTATGGCTGGCATTTCCCAGAATTTGGAAAGATTGTCACTGATAACTTGGTGTTTGCTAAAGCTGTCAAAAAGATAGGTACAAGATGGTTTATTGAAAATTGCATGTTTATGCATGTGAGATGCTAATATTCATGATAAACTTAAATGAACCATGTTAAAAGATATCAAAAATTATTACTAGGTTTGCGTACCAATATCCAAAATGTGGACCTATCTGATACTGTACCTGAGGATATTGAAGATGAAGTCAAGGCAGCTGCTGAAATATCCATGGGAACTGAGGTATTGTCATTGCACACATAAGTTATGCTTATGGGACCCTCTTTCAATGTTTCTCTTTGGAATTCTAGATATCCGAGGAAGATATTGAGAACATTTTGTACCTTTGTGATCAGGTATGTATGTGTGCATACCACCTGCATGTAAGAATCCTGCATGTAAGATTTTGTACTGAAGAAAGGACTACAGTGTTCAGTTTGTATTTTATTCAGGTTATTGAGATATCAGATTACAGAGCACAGCTGTATGACTACTTAAAAAATAGAATGACAGCCATTGCACCAAATTTGACTGTCTTGGTTGGTGAACTGGTTGGGGCAAGATTGATTGCTCATGCAGGTTTGTTATGATGTGAAATACTATTAAATAACCTCGTTCCCAGGGTGTTCTTGCCATGAACACAGAAGAAGACCTTGGCAACAAGGTTGACTATTAATGTTTGAATTTTCATTAACTATTAACTTTCCCAAGTTATTTGGAAAGGCCTCTCTCTTAATTTTGTTCTTTTCTTTAGGTTCATTGGTAAATTTAGCTAAACATCCGTCATCAACAGTTCAAATTTTAGGAGCTGAGAAGGCATTGTTCAGAGCTTTAAAAACCAAACATGACACACCTAAATATGGGTTGATATATCATGCATCATTGGTGGGACAGTCAAATGCAAAGAACAAAGGAAAGGTCAGTACATTTGTGAAGGACAATTGTAGACATAAACAATATTTATGCTAGATTTATGCTAATTCTGTTGTTTTTCTCAGGTTTCAAGAATGCTGGCAGCAAAAGCATCGCTTGCTGCAAGAGTAGATGCCTTGGGTGAGGACTCAAATGTTGAGTTAGGAATGGAAATAAGGGCCAAAGTTGAGTCAAGGGTTCGAGCATTGGAGGATGGTCAGGTCAGTGTCATTTTTCACCCAAGCAATAACTAAGCAAATACGGCAAGCTACGTCATTCTTTGCAAAGCACATTGCTGTACTGTATCCAATGTTCAATTTTTTCTCATTGCAGTTGAAGAAATTAAGTGGTACTGGTAAATCAGTAGCGAAATCTGAAAAATATGTACTACAAAGGCAAGTATTTGCTAAGGAAAAGCTATGAAATCTGTGTAATTTTTCAGAGAAATCAAAAGCGCTCAAGGGTTTAGCTTTTGGTACCTCTTGCACTACTCCATCTGCATGAAATTGTCTGGACTTAAATTAGTCTTTATCTTCTGCATTTGAATTGGCCGTTGTTGGCTGAACATACAACAATTCTGTATTCCTGGTAACCAGTTTTAATAAAATATCGAATGCCTAGTGACTTGTTTTATTTAATTTTTTTATTATTTTTTTTTAGTGAAATCAAAGGTTACAATCCAGCATCAGACTCTACGCTTCCTACAAATGGAAAAAAACGTAAACATGAAGAAACGGTTGACACTGAAGAAACTAATGGTGAACTTGAAGGTATAGTTAATATCAATGAACTTAAGCAACACAAACGGAAGGAGTCAATAGACTGGGTCAAGTGTTGCTGCTGATATACATAGTATTTCGTAATCATTTTAGTAAAAAGCTTGAATGTTTGATGTTTAACAAATAAAGATACTTGGGGCCAGTTGTTCAAAGCTAGGTTAACGCTAACCCTGGGTTAAATTTTAATCTATTGTTTTAGTTTATGTGCTTCCAAACCACTGTTCATTTTAAAACATTAGAAAATATGACTTCTATCGGTTAAGAAAATATTTATGAAAAAAGATATTCAACTTTGTAAACAATTAGAAAAATTAATGTAAAGATTTGCTTTAACCCGGACTTAACCCAGAGCTAACCGACTTTTGAACAACCAGCCCTTGTTTTTTAAGAATTGGTTTTTAACCAAACATTTTCCGAATATTTGCTTGAATAAAACATGTCTTTCTTTTAGATGAGATTGAAGAGAAGCAAGGAAAGAAGGAAAAAAAGAAAAAGAAAAAAGAAAAGAAAGTGAAAAAGGATCAAACAATAGATGAGGTTGGTTGAGAAACTGCCACTCGATTTCCTATGCCCCTGATTTCATGCATAATTAAGATGAGTTGCAGTGGTTAGAATATACAAAATTTATTTTTCAACTGACTGTAAGAGAGTTTTCAAAAGATTCCACCTATAATACCTAAAGCATGAAGCAGCCCTATGTATATATGTATCAGGTGTTTTTGATTATTTCTCTCAATTGATAACACATGTTTAAATTAAATGTATGCTCAAATCTTTCAGGCTGAAATCGAACCTCCCAGTTCAGAAAAGAAAAAGAAAAAAGCCAAAAAAGAAACAAATGATTAAACGTTTGTGAAATTTACTATTTGACCATCTCAATATTCTCATTTATTGCCTCCTCCTAATTGTGAGACTTGTACAGTACTTGTAATGTTTCAATAAGTTAACTTTTATAGTTTAAAAAGTCGCTATTAAATTTTATTCTTTTTAAGAATTGACAATTTGCTAAGTGATTGATTACAATGTTGGTTGAAATACGGGCAATACTTACCATTTTGGTCAAATTTGACGACTTTTTGAACTGTTCAAAAACTGTCTTAAAACGCTCTAAAATGAAAGATGTTAGTTAGGAAGCCATTTTTAGCATTTTAAGACAGTTTTTGAACAGTTGAAAAAGCCGTCAAAATTGACCAAAATGGTAAGGGGTAAGCCTTACCATTTTGGTCAATTTTGACGACTTTTTCAATGTTCCAAATATGCTCTAAAATGAAAGATATTAGTCTTAGGAAGCCATTTTTAACATTTTTAGACAGTTTTTGAACAGTTGAAAAAGTCGTCAAAATTGACCAAAATGGTAAGGCTTACCCCTTACCATTTTGGTCAATTTTGACGACTTTTTCAACTGTTCAAAAACTGTCTTAAAATGCTAAAAATGGCTTCCTAACACTAATATCTTTCATTTTAGAGCATATTTGGAACGTTGAAAAAGTCGTCAAAATTGACCAAAATGGTAAGGCTTACCCCTTACCATTTTGGTCCATTTTGACGACTTTTTCAACTGTTCAAAAACTGTCTTAAAATGCTAAAAATGGCTTCCTAACACTAATATCTTTCATTTTAGAGCATATTTGGAACATTGAAAAAGTCGTCAAAATTGACCAAAATGGTAAGGCTTACCCCTTACCATTTTGGTCAATTTTGACGACTTTTTCAACTGTTCAAAAACCGTCTTAAAATGCGAAAAATGGCTTCATGAGACTAATATCTTTCAAAACACTAAATCGCTATTTAGTTTAAAATTCTGCAAATAGGATTAACTAAATAAAGAACAAGGGTTTTGATACGTGATGCTGTGGCCCAGTTGTTAAGGCTACGGACTACCAGGTTGTAAACCCAGGTTCGAATCCTGCATGGGAGAGGTTCGATTTTCCCACCGAAATTATTCTTTAATTTAAACTTCATCGAAAAAGATTAGGTCAAATAAAGAACAATAGCTTTCGACAAATGATGCGGTGGTCCAATGGTTAAGACGTTCGTGTCTCAATTCGAGGACTAACGTTTCAACTCCTGGCAAAGCAACAAAAGTCAGCCTGAAAAATTTCGGTGTGATTTGGAATGCTTAAAACAGCTAAAAGACTTCTCTGCCTTTGCAAAAGACCGTAAATTGAAAAAAAGTTGAAATATAAAAAACCAAAAAAAATTATCGCCTACATAAGTACCTGAAAATTGAAAGAAAAGCACAAGAAAAAAAAGTTTTAAAAACATGCGTCTTCTAAAAACCATGAAAATGAAGAAAGTCAGACGGAAAAAAAATTAACAATTTCCCGCTTTTAAAAAACTCATGTTTACTTGCCTTCATTTTTTTTCACGAAAATTTGACAGGGTGATTTTCTTGAGAGTGAAAAAATTTAATTTTTTTCACTTTTTTGAAATTCTCTTAGATTTTTTTTACGAAGATGTATTTTATCTTGGGCTACCTGTGTCTATCTTGGGCTACCTGTGTCTGACTTGACACAGGTAGCCCAAGACATAATACTTTTTCGAAGAATAAAAGAGAATTCTTAGAAGAAAAAAATAGAAAATAAACTAGAGACCACAAGACAAAAATCAAGTTTCTTCTTAAACTTTTCAAAAAACATTTAGAAAATACTTAGAGAAAAACATTAAGAAGAAACTAGAGAAAAAAACTAAGTAGAAAAATAGAAAAACACTAGAGAAATAGAAAAAAAAACAGAGAAAAAAACTACTAAAAAAAAAAGAAAAAAAAAAAAAAAAAAAAAAAAAAAAAAAAAAAAGAAATAAAGAAAATAGAGAAAACTAGAAGAAAAAAGACAAGAGAAAAAAACTAGAGAATAGAAGAAAAAATAGAGAAATAGAAGAAAAACTAGAGAAAAAAAATAAGAAAAAAACTAAGTAGAAAATAGAAAAAAAACTAGAGAAATAGAAGAAAAACCAGAGAAAACTAAGTAGAAAAACTAGAGAAAAAACTAAGTAGAAAATAGAAAAAACTAGAGAAATAAAGAAAAAACAAGAGAAAACTAAGAAAAAAACTAGAGAAAAAAACAAGAGAAAACATTAAGAAAAAACTAGAGAAAAAAACTAAGTAGAAAAAAACTAGAGAAATAGAAGAAACCAGAGAAAAAAACTAACTAGAAAAACTAGAGAAAAAAACAAGAGAAAAACATTAAGAAAAAACTAGAGAAAAAAACTAAATAGAAAAAAACTCGAGAAGAAGAAAAACCAGAGAAAAGAAAACTAACTAGAAAAACTGAGAAAAAAACTAGAGAAAAAAAACTAGATAATAAAAGACAAGAGAAAATAGGGAAAAACTAGAGAAATAAAAGAAAAAATAGAGAAATAGAAGAAAAAACTAGAGGAAAAAAAACTAGAGAAATAGAAGAAAATACTAACAGGTTTAACTTAGAAAAAATACTAAAAAAAATACTAAGAGGTTTAATTGTCAAGTCACACAGAAGAACTTGCAAAATAAAAACACTAACACCATCAGACGAAAAAGGTTTATTTCTTAAACTTTACAAAGAAAAAAGATTTATAAATCCAAGTTTTGAAAATTGTCACATAATTCATCACATTTCACACTAAAAATATTAATTAATGAATCTGGGTGCCTTTCAACTTTCTTCAACACCAAAGAAAAAAAGAATTTCATCAAAAAAATAATAAGAGAAAATATATTTAGAAAAAATACTAATACGAAGAAGAAATTAAAGAGAAAAGAAGTATGAGAAAAAGCCAACAGCAACTGCCAAAATATTTTCAATTGTGAAAGCACAGGGAAAAACATGCAAAATCAAAACACCAACACCACCAGACAAAAAAGGCTTACTTCTTAAACTTTACAAAGAAAAATTTCTCTTTATAAATCCAAGTTTTGAAAATTGTCACATAATTGATCACATTTCACACATGTTATCACACACTAAAATATTCAATGAATCTAGGATAGGGCTAAAATAATTCAGGTTCTTCTGGGGTGCCTTTTAACTTTCTTCAACTTCATTCATTCTAAAGAGAAAAAGCATTTCATCAATCCTTTTAGGCAAAAAGTTGTATTTTCAACCTGACATCATTATTAAAAGATATTACTCATTATCTTACTTTAGCCATCTTTCATGGATAGACAATACATTAGTGACAATACATTCGTGAATGCATTTTGTTTTATGCCAATTATATTTTTGCTATTTTCAATAAAAAGAATGTGTCACATGCATATATTCAACCCAGAAATATGTCACTATTTAATTTGAACACAGAAAAACTGGGTACCACCCTTCTGAGTACTACAGAATATAAATCACATGGAAATCAGAAAAAATTCTCCCAAGTTTAAAATAGTAATTGCTGGTCTTTTTCGTGGATATTCATTGCAAGACAACCACAGGAATTTTAGTAATCAGCCAGACTTGTTCAGCTGTTATAGCATTAAGTTTCATCATTGGTTTCAAACATGGTGACCATAAAAGCAAATTTCAATTTGATTGTTGTCATCTCAACAATGTAGTGGCTTTTTAAAATCAAATGCTGGCCATCCATGACAAAATCAAATTACCTCAGTGCAGATATCTTGTTCACTTTCCAATCAATGTACATCTGACAGTCAAGTTCATATCCACGACTCATGTTGCACTCTTGACCAGGGAAAATCTTGAATATTACAACACATGATTAATATAAAATTGCATTTTCAACTATCTGAATTATTGTCTAGTTTTTGGTCAGGCATTCTATGGTTACTTCATCCCTCTATATAAATATGCTATATTTATTCAAAGCCCACCACAGGAATTTATCATTGGTGACCACATAGGGAGCATAGAAGCAAAGTTCACTTAGCAATATTAACAAAATTGTGACTGCCTGACGATTTTCATGAAGATCCTAGTTGCAGCAAATTCCCCCTTACACTAAATAACAAAATATATATCTGGGCGGTTGATATGTATTACAAGGTCACTACAAGAATTTCAGCTGCAAGGCTAATATAAATTTTGAAGGAACAATCAAATTACCTCTGCAAAAATCTTGTTCACTTCCAATTTTCCTCTGACAGTAAAGTCCATATCCACAGCAGCTCATGTGGCTGGTTGCACTCTTGACCAAGGAAAATCTTGAATATATAAAGAAGTCATTATTAATACAAAATTCCATTTTCAACTATCTTAATTATTGTCTAGTTTTTCGTCAGGTATTCTATGGTTACGCGATCATCCCTCGATATATAACTATGGTTGCTATATTTATTCAAAGACCAGCACAGGAATTTATTATTGGTGACACATAGTGAGTATAGAAGCAAAGTTCACTTAATAATCTTAACAAAATTTGTGACTGCCTGACGATTTTCCAAAAAAAGATCCTAGTTGCAGCAAATTCCCCCCTTATACTAAATAACAAAATATATATCTGGGCAGTTGATATGTATTACAAGGTAGTGACAAGAATTTCAGCTGCAAGGCTAATATAAATTTTGAAGAAACAATCGAATTACCTTTGCGCAGAAATCGTGTTCACTTTCAATGTTCATCTGACAGTAAAGTTCATACCCACGGCTCATGTTGCACTCTTGACCAAGGAAAATCTTGAATATAAGAAGACATTATAGTAATATAAAATTGCATTTTCAACTATCTTAATTATTGTCTAGTTTTAGCAGAAGGCACATAAACAGTAAAGTAAAATACTTAACTTTGACCAGACAGCACAACAATCTTGCTCAGAAAGGTCCGCGAACGGTCCACGTGGATACTGGATAGTTTCTTCGGCATCGCCATTTTGAATTCGGCCGGGCGAGTCTTGAACTGATTTCTATTTCAACTGTTCTCTTGACGTTCGTCTTGATAACTGGCTGTTGAGATAAACGTTAATGACAAAATGTTCAGTTCTGCTTCAGTCTATGGGTGCGGAAAATGCTTATGACATAAATTTTCAGGAAGAATATTTCATATTGTATATCGTTTTTTTGTTATTTCTGGCCGACAATTAGCAGAAGGCACACAAACATCAAAGTAAAATACTTAACTTTGACCAGACAGCACAACAATCTTGCTCAGAAAGGTCCGCGAACGGTCTACGTGGATAGTTTCTTCGGCATTGCCATTTTGAATTCGGCCGGGCGAGTCTTGAACTGATTTCTATTTCAACTGTTCTCTTGACGTTCGTCTTGATAACTGGCAGTTGAGATAAACGTTAATGACAAAATGTTCAGTTCTGCTTCAGTCTATGGGTGCGGAAAATGCTTATGACATAAATTTTCAGGAAAAAATTTTCATCATTGCAGGCAGAATTAAGCTCGAAACTTTAGATAACCTTGTACGCAGAACATTTCATATTGTATATGGTTTTTTGTTATTTCTGGCCAACAATTAGCAGAAGACACATAAACATCAAAGTAAGATACTTAACTTTGACCAGACAGCACAACAATCTTGCTCAGAAAGGTCCGCGAACGGTCCACGTGGATGGTTTTCTTTGGCATCGCCATTTTGAATTTGGCCGGGCGAGTCTTCTATTCTCATCTTTTTTCTCTTCACGTTCATCTTGACAAATAGCTGTTCATATAAACCTATGTACAACGAAAAAAAAGGGTTCGGCTCAGCTACACTGTACTCCTTAAGGAAGGCCTACGGCCTTCCCGTAGATTAGTGTAAAGGCCTACAAGTGGGAACTAGCAGCGTGCGGGGGACCAAAACGCTCCAGGCAAACGGTCCCCCTACTGGGGTCGGACAAAGCAACCGCAGATTACGCATATAATCGCCGGAACCCACCTTTTAGTCAACGGCGAACTCCTTCTTCCTCGAACAATCTTCAATCTTGCTGAGCTTCGATCTTGCTGTCCACCTTCGATCGCCACCAATCTAAAGAAATTTTTTTTTAACGTTGAGATTAAATTTATAGACGATAATTACCACGTGATCATAGCAGATCACGTGGATGATAATGTACGACAACATGCCGATCAACTCCGAACATCATCGTGAGCGATGTTACTATAAACGAATCACTAAACGCCTAGAAAAGTTGTCCTTTCCTATATTTCAACCTTTTAAAAGCAGTGCATTCTAGTTTCGTTTTGAAGCACAATTTGTTTTTTGCTTCTAGTTTTTTGGTTTCGTTTTAAAAGGTGAATTGTCGCTGTGTGCCGAATTCTTTGTATTTCTGATGTCAAACAATCCTGTACTTTTTGGTATCATAAATATAAGCTCCTTTGTTTTGGAGACATACAACAGTTTTTTTTATATTTTAGCCAAAACATATAGCAGCAATCACAGATTCACTAAGTTCATTCTCATCTTGATTCACAAATTTTTAAAGGACTTGAATCGATTCCATGCGGTCTACAATAGCTGGGCGAACGTCTTACACCTAAAGTCAGTCAAAGATTGTTGTATCTCAATTCTTTAGCTTCAGTGATAAACAACATGAAGAAAAACATCACTTAATCACAGAAAACGACACAGATCAGTATACCATGAGAAACATTAAAAAGCCTTTATGATCTGTTATAATAATTACCTTGGCAAACATTTTGCAAGAAAACTCTCACAAAGTCCAGTTAACTGATAACAATAAATGACATCGTTGGCAGTTCCTTGGCTAGCAATAATAGAACAAAATGATTAGGACTCCATATTCCGGATGGCGTTGACCTTGCAACCACCCCTTACCATTTTGGTCAATTTTGACGACTTTTTCAATTGTTCAAAAACTGTCTTAAAATGCTAAAAATGGCTTCCTAAGACTAATATGTTTCATTTTAGATCATATTTGATTGGTTTTTGGAACATTGAAAAATCGTCAAAATTGACCAAAAATGGTAAGGCACTAAGGCTTACTCCTTACCATTTTGGTCAATTTTGACGACTTTTTCAATTGTTCAAAAACTGTCTTAAAATGCTAAAAAAGGCTTCCAAAGACTAATATCTTTCATTTTAGAGCATATTTGGTTGGTTTTTGGAACATTGAAAAATCGTCAAAATTGACCAAAAATGGTAAGACTTGCCCCACAACCCATGATGAATAACACCTGCATCGTTCCAAAGAAGTTCAAATTGCTTGCTCTGGAAAAATGTTTGCATCTTGCCTTTAACTCACAATTGAAAATACTCCAAAATTCCAGTCGGAAGTGCTCCATAATCAATGATCAAACACCATCTTTTTCAAACGAAAATATATGATACGATATGATAGGGAATGATGCTGTATGATGCAGTATGATACGGTATGATATAGTATGATGCGATATGATACAGTATGATACGGTATGATACAGTATGATGCGATATGATACAGTATGATACGGTATGATATAGTATGATACAGTATGATATAGTATGATGCGATATGATACAGTATGATACGTTATGATATAGTATGATACTATATGATGCTATATGGTACAATTTGATACGGTATGATATAGTATGATGCAATATGATAGAGTAATATACGGTATGATATGGTATGATGCAATATGATAGAGTATGATATGGTATGATATAGTATGATGCAATATGATAGAGTATGATATGGTATGATATAGTATGATGCAATATGATAGAGTATGATACGGTATGATATAGTATGATGCAATATGATACAGTATGATACGGTGTGATACGGTATGATGCTAAATGATATGATATGATACAATAGATGTTTAAAAAAGGGTGTCGTATGTATATTGGGTGTATACTGAACATGGAATTATTACCAGCAATCCAGCAATCTCGCGTAGATTTCGAATTTTCCCGCAATTTGGCATATCCAATATCCCAATAACCCCCCAATAACCCCCCAATAAACCCCCACTGCCATAATTGGTTATTTCCGCTAGGAAGCCACTTGAGGCAAAGTGTTAGAACTTTAAAAAGGGAACTTCATGCATATAGCAATAAACACGTTTATATGCATAATGTGTATTCATTTTCAATATTTTATTATCTCCACTAATAACCCAATAACAAGGGTGCCTAACTATTAGTACATTAACAACAAAATATCACCAAGTGAAAGGTGTACATATTAATAACATTGCCATACCACGATAATGTTCTGCCTACAATCCATATCTTAACAGACTTTGCACACGTAATATTCACAAGTGACACGAGAGAGAAGTCCCATATACATTAAATATCCCCCAAGTAGGTACCTGTTACTTCTTTCGTTTGAATAAACTCCGTTTTTTCTCTTTTTTTGGCATTTCGGGGCCCTCGCCGCTTGAGCCTTCTCGCAAATATTGAATCCACTGCGCCATGTCGTTCTAAACATCACAATTGAAATTAAGATTGATCATATCCTTCCTTGGGCATTAATAAAAGAAAGTCATTCATACAACACTTACGGCATCTTTAGCTTGGAATAAATATTCGTTTCCATTCTCCATTCTAAAAAAAATATTCACAGTGTTTGTTACGAGCTTAACCGAGGTATTTCGCTCTGGTGGAACCAGAGCTGATACCCTGTTGCGGATTTACAAAGCAATCAGTGTACAAATTATTTCCTACTTTAATCTGAAGACGTTCTTTCGTTTATGGTAATCGTCAGCAACCTCTGTTCTTGATCCTCTTGTCGATAATAAATACAAGGCTTCGTTGATCTGCCCGGCATCTTTTTGGTCATCGAAGAAATGAAGCGAACTGTCCTTTAGAACAACATAAAACTGTTTCCACCGTCTATAAAACGTAAACAGGTATGCAGTGAACATATCAGGTTTACTAATCATTGATGATGAAAACTGTAGCTGAAAATCAGGGACAAAATCTGACCTGTTTGAAGCTTTCTTGTGTGGACTGTCCATTGTATGCTTTCTGATCAAATATCCTTCATTTTTGCTATCGTGATGAACATTTTCTCCGGCCATTTTGAATTCTTCTTGCCGCTCTTCATCATGTTCGCCATTTTCAATCGCAGAGGCTCTTTTCCTCGCTTCTTCCTCCTCTTTTTCCTTCTTCTTTCGCGCTTCTTCTGATATATTTCATTGGCAAAAAAACATCGTTAAGAATGAACCCTAATTCGCTTAAAAAGTTCATTATACTATGAGAAACGTAACAACAAAAATTATGTATTTGGTTTCAAAGTACCACCAAAAACGCTTTACCTTCTTCCAATCTTTTTCTTTCAGCTTCAGCTTCCTCTTCTCTTTTTCTTTTTTCTTCTTCCTCCCGCTGTCGTCTCTCTTCTTCCTCTTTCTTCGCCAGTTCCTCTCGTTCCTTTTCTTGTTCCTCTTGTTGACGACGTCTAGCTTCTCGTAGCTCAAACTGAAACGATATTAAGCTTAGTAAATAAAAATCATCGCAAAACAACAAGCTTATAATAGAAAAAGTAAGCTATGAAAAAACCCTTCCCAATATTAGAAAAACTTACCGCTGTTAAACGTTCCAAGGCTTTGAAGCGTTCTTCGTGACTTGTGACAAGTTTCTCGAAGTTTTGATGTTTCTCAATGAGCCTGTCTACCTCTGACTCGTTTTCCTTAAAAAATGCAGGCCAATTTTAAAAGAAAATTACGTTGGTTATACTTGACTACAAGTTAACTATGTTGAAGTACATACAGCATTCTTTTCGTCATCTTTTTTCAAGTAAGGTTCCTGCGTAAGTAACCATCCTTCAGCTTGATGAGCATCGCGAGCAAACTGCATTACTTCAAGAACTAGACAAGTCAGAAGAAAATTGCTTATGAAAGTTTCACAAGTTGGCGATCAACCCAAACAAACGTGTCAGGAAAATAAATTTTAATTTCAATACGTTCGCCCGAAATGAAGGATCTTTGTGATCCAACCGGAAAACTAAAAGTTAAAACAGTACATGCGTCTTTCACCTCTGGTGCTTGAAGCGTGAATTTCGCCAATATTCAAAGATACGTTTCCTTACTTAGCTGAAGATGTTCCGATCTTCTGTCCCATTCCAATACCATCTTCTTTCTCACTTTGTCCAAGTTATCCAATTTTGCTTGGATCTAAATAAATTTTAATAAAAAGATTTTCACCTATTGGGTGGTAATTTGTTCATGCAAGCATTCGCACACCCTCCCCCAGAGAACTGAGGCAGACAGCAGACCTGGACAAGCGAAGACAACGATAACGTGCTGTAAACTAAACTCACGTCTTCAGAAGCATAGTGATTCCTGGCAAGCAAGGTTTTTCCCATGAGAACAACTGAAGAGAATGCTTCTTCCCTTGCATCGATTTCACTCTTTCTTTGATTGTGTAGATCCATCAAAGATTCTGTTTCCGGCACGTCTCTGAAAACAAATTAAAAACTTCACGACATCCAATCCTGCCCATGACAAAGTTTCATGTTTCGAAATTGAAAGGACGCTCACCTAGATTTATCGTATGTCAAAATCTGTCGTTGCATATCATTCATCCAACCTAGTTGATCTTGAACAGCAATGCAGAACTTGTAATATTCATCAGAATCATTGAGCAACGTCGTTCTGTGTCGAACTTTGCCAGTCAAATGATTCCAGGCATCAACGACCTCTCGTTCGGTCTCCTTGATCTCATCCTGTTTGTCGCCCGCGTAGGAACCTTGAAGTTCAGCGGATTCCTCTTGAACAGAATTAACATGTTTTTCCAGAGGCGCCAAGTCAGCTTCGAAGGTTTCGTGTAGACGTTTCAAACGATCGACACCGTTTATATCTTTGCCCAAATCTTCAGGCATCTGACTTTCCTTCTCCTAAATAACCCAAGACAAGTGAAAAATTTAGGTTACGCGCAAAATGGTCAATTATAGCAACGCTAGCGTAGGTTACATGGCAATGCATGGTAATGTTAAAAGTATCTCACTTGTATAGGGACGATCAACAGTTTTATTTATGTCCTGAAATTCACTCTACCTGAATCATCCCAAGAACTTCTTTAGCATGGCTGTTGTACATGTGGAGTTGTTTTGCAGCTTCCAATAACTACAAAGCAAAGATAATTATTCTCCAGACGTACATTGGAAAATGCTAAGGTACAGTACATGGTATGGTATGGTATAAGGTATGATATGGTATGGTAGGCACGGTATGATGTGGCATGGTATGGTATGATACGTTATGATATGGTATGGTATGGTATGGTGTGGTGTGATATGGTGTGGTGTGGTATGATATGGCATGGTGTGGTATGATATGGCATGGTATGATATGGTATGATATTGCATGGTGTGGTATGGTATGGTATCTCACCTGTATTCTCGTGTTCATCAGCTCCTGTAAGTTGGCCCAGGCTTCATTCACATTATCCTTGTGTTGTGCAATGGTGGCGGCATCTGAATGACCTGTGCCAATCAACTGATCACAAATCTCGTTGGTTTTTGCCAGTCGTTCATTGCCAATATTAGTCGTGTCTTGTTTAAAATCTTCGAATTTCTGTATTAACAACTGTAATGTACAAAGAGAACATAAAAATCCTTGCTTGCACCGCATCCTTCAAAAGATTGGACAAACATTATTCGAAGTTCTTCAACTATATACCTCGCACTGTTCAAGATCCTGACCACAATCCTGTGACCTTGCAATCACTTCACGATCAGCGATCCATTGTTCAAGGTCGTCAACCTGAGAAGAATGAATCACATCATTTGAGTCCCCAGCTCTAGAACTCATTCCTGGCGACAAAACGAAAGAGAAAATTGATCGTTTTTGTAACAAATACCTCTCGAATGAGTTGATAAAGTTTATGTGTCTCATCAAGCTTGCCACGTCTTTCTTCAGCTAAATCTTTCAAACCTGCATACAACTTCTCAAGCTGAGATTGTCGTACGTTGATCGTTTCACTATAGAAAAGTTCAAAGCTTCATTTATCTCAAGGTAGTGTAACACAGTTAGAATATGATACAGACGACAGCACTCTCCAGTGACGGCAGACAGTCCAGCGAAAATCTAGCGAAAACCCATCCAACTATACTGCAGATATCATAAGTGGTTTAGTGTGCAAAACCCTACCTCTCAGGATGCCCGCTGTCAGTCAAACCACGAGCCCGTTCTCCTAATTCATTCACAGTCTCAGCATAGTCAGCAATGGCGGCCTCGATTGTGTCGTGTTTCTTGATGAGCTGACCAGCGCTTGGCTCATCTTTTCCTCGGTCATCTCCCATCATATACAACTCTTGTTCGCTCATCCAGGCTTCTGCCTCGGACACATCGTAATAATATTGCTTTGCCTGGGCGGATACGTCGAGTTGTGTTTGATACTTATCGGATAAATCTTTCAAGTTGTCCCAACTTTGTTCAAGTTCATCGATTCTTTCTCGCACGACCTCGGACTCTGGGTGTTCATTCTCAATCATATCTTCACCTTGTTTAACCAAAGCATCTTTCTGTGCTTGATGGATATCGATCTCAGCGCGCAAGTTCTAAAAAAACAAATTCAATTGAATTAGGGAGTTTTATTCTGCACCCAAAACAAACAGCTTCAGAGTAAATATTACCTGATGTTTCTTTTGAAGTCGTTGTACTTCGAAGAGATCTGATCCGTAATTTGTTGATTTCACCTGAGGTTCCTTTTCTCTTATCCATTCCTACAAGACGTCGAGTTCAAAAATTGTAAAAAGAATACAAGAAGTGATATGATAGAAGTGGATAGACTAGGGATATGTTGGGTGGTGTGATCACCATCCTCAGATCACCCTCGATGAACTGGAAATATTAAACGAACGTCTCACCAGCTCGTCATCAACATCTCGGTTGAATTGGTAGAACTTGACTTGATCTTCCAGCTCTTTACTTCGAGTACTGAGCGGTTCTTCCAGCGCATCAAAACTGGCAGAAAAGAAATGAGAATAAATTAGCGTGACGTCAGTACAACGTGGTTACAAGGTCTACCAATCATCTTGCAGTACGCGTTCACACATTCTAACCTGGCCTCCAGTTCCTCTTTCTTCGAAGCGACAATTTCAGGTTCAATCATCCCGGCATCGACCATGTCTGGTTCATTGCTTAGTTCATGCAGTCTCTGTCGCTTTGCCAATATCTCCTTCTCTAAGGCCTAAAATAACAAACAGTTTAAAGCTTTCTGTTTATACCATGACAGAGAGTGCTCAGTCACAACTTCCCAATTCCCCTCGCTACAAACAACAACGCCTCACCTTATGTTTCTGATAGAGTTTTGTCGCTGTGATAATATCAGTCGCTTTCTCAGTGGTAATAACCGACGTCTGACATTCCTGAACCCAAGTGCTCATATTCTGAACATCAGTCTTGAATTCCTCTCCTTTGTGAGCGGCTGAAATCTTCTTGCCCTTGTTCTGGCACAGTTCAGCCACTTCGTCCCACATTTGATCAAGTTTCTCAATCCTCGGCTGAACTTCGGGCTCAGTCTCTGGTTTATCGGACATCAGGTTTGTGCCAGTCTATAGACGAGAAGACAAAAAACTGGTTTTTAGGTCGGGAGTAAGAGTTTCAAAACAAGCAACCACCCTCTAGGTTAATAGCATGACTGTTCTGGCACAACGAGAGGATAACTGTTGATGACGTAGTACACACAAGATATACCAGAACTATAGCACCGTAATTCCACAGATGTACACTTCTGTACCTCTTTGATTTGATCCAGTTTGTCTTTGCTCGCCGCTAGTTCGGCTTCAAATGCTTGATGACGTTGATATTTTCCCCGGATGTTGCTCAAATCTGTGATCTCTTCCGAGGCGGCTTGATGTTTCTCCAGCAGCCAATCATACATCTTGTAGAGAAACAATAAATTGTAGAAACAGCGAAAAAAAAGACGCAAAATGCATAAACTTTGCAAGAGAGACAATAGCGTAACTTGGAGGAGTACTCCACCGTAGCTAGAACACTTATTTACCTCGTCTGCATCCTGATTGAATTCCCTAAGCTCAAGAAGATCTCTCAAGCGGGCGAGTGCGCTGTCGGCTGTGGCTCGGTTGTTTTTACGTCTGTAAGATACAAAAGATTGCCAGTTGTTAGTCCCTGATCAAACGAACTGAGATATTATCCACTCATAGATCTGATAAACCGACTGAAATGTCGGAGTAGCATTACATTACCTTTCGTCAATGTCGTGAGCTTTTTCGAGGATCTTCTCCGAGGCGTAATGATTATTATTTGCAAGACGGTTAGCAAAATCAATCACAGCATCAATTTTTTCATCATTAGCGTCCAGTTTCTTGCTGAATTCCTCGTGTTTCTTGATTGCATCTTTGACTGCTTCAACAGTGGCCTAATGTTTAGATGATTACAGAGCTGTTAGGAGATGTTATGAAAAAACTACGAGGCTCGTGAGTCCGTTGGCCCGTACACAATATAACTTACTGGATTCTCGTCCTTTGACAAAAATAACTCCTGTTTTCCCAGTAAAGAATCAGCTTGCTTTGCATCCCTCGTGAACAGCTAAAAAACCACACAATATTTCTCAGAAAAGCGCAACAATAACTCCTTTCTTAGAATTAAACCTTTCTACCTGATAATTTAAACTCTGTATGAGTTGGTTCTGTCTGGTATTGGACAGTTCATGAAGTTCTTTCCAGCCGCTCTCAATGTTGTCAAGTTGTTCCTTCAAGGATTGTTGCTGAAGATCAGACTCATCTTGGACCCACTTCGGTCCTTCATTCACAAGATTCTCATACGTCGGCTCGCGAGCGTCGATTTCATTCTATGAATGCAAAAAAAACACATAACTATATATGTAGTATGTACCTCGCATGGCGTCAAATCAAACGAATAGCACTGCAAATAGCTCAATCGTAGCTGACAGAAGATCTCTGCATTCCATCAAAACACTCACCTTCAAATCTTCATGTTCCTTCAACATATTCTCAGCTTCTGGTAAACTGTTTGCAAGGTCCTCCTTTGCACATTCCTGTTGCGTATCGTGCAACCTACACGAATTATTATCATTACAAGAATACTATAAGTCAAACATAAAAAACGCAAGTTAAGATTACAGTCAAATTAGGCAAGTCAGTGAGGATAACCTCAACTATATCACGCAGAAAGTTGCTGTAAACAGCGCTCAAAGAACATGCATTTGATTGAGAGATGACAGACTGCCTTTCACTGAATATAAATGGATCCACCCGGTGCTTACCATCGATGAAAATCATCCAGATCAATGACAAACTGTTGAAGTTCCCCGGATTCTTTTAATTCTTCGTCTCGTTGTTCCACGCTAGATTGTAAGTCGCCCCATGTCTGAGTGACCGCTTCAATTCTTTCGTTAATCGTCTCAGCTTCCTGCAACAGATTTTAAAATAACTGCAGCTTCAAATCTCGAGAGTTCAGCAAGAGAAATGAAGTTTACCTCAGGATGTTTTTCCGATAATTCATCTGCTTCTTTCTTCAACTCGCCGACCTGAAAAGAAACAGTGTAGAATTATTTGGCATTTAAAATATCTTTGCTAAAGTGACAACATATACGTCAAGCATCAGACTAAATTGATATATTCTGAAATGAAATTGAACGAGACCTTATCTTCCAATGCTCCAAGATCTCTTTGTATCACATTGAGCCTTCGTTGTACAGTGATCACACTTGATAAATCTTTAGTTTCAACTTCTTGAACTGTGGCTAACACACTCTTCTTCTCTTGGATCCACGTCTGAAGCACAAACACAAGAAATTACCGTAAAGCAAGGTTCCTCTCTCTCTCTCATCAGCATTCGCAGTTGATAATCTTGAGAAATGCATATGGTAAACGGAAATACAAATGCTTACTTTTGTTTCCGTTGTTTCAACATAGAACTTTTGAAGACGTATTGCTTCATCGAGTTCCTTCTTTCTCGCGTCCAGGCCCTCTTGTAATTCAACCCACCTGGAAGAAAAGAATGTATTAATATTAGGGTTAAAAGTGGCGGTGTTTTTCCTTCAGAGAGCGGACTTAATATCAATGTTTACAATACCTGGAGTTAACCTTCTCTGTCGTCTTTTGTATATCATCCGCACTCGGATGTCCCTCGTCAACCAGCTGTGTCCCCAATGTATTCACTTTACTCAGGCGTTCCTCGTTACCACTGCATTCCTAGAAGTGATTATTTTAATGATCGAATTAAAGGACATTCAATTGATTCATGTAATAATTTGGCATCATCATATATCAATATTATACCGTGGTAAAGTTATCAATTCTCTGCTGAATGACACGGCATTCCTCCAGATCCATTGTCCTGTCAACTCTGAGCGCCGTGTCCAAACGATTTTCCTGGAGAGAATACCGCAAATGTTTAGACAATTCTAATTCAATAACGTTCATTCATTTATTAAATAGAATTGACTGATAATTGCTTCACTCAGTAACGATATTCAATAGGCATTTTATAGACGTAAAATCAGTGTAACCAATCATTATTTAGTCATTATTTTACCCTTTCTGCGATCCAGGTATCAATAATGTACGCTTCTCTGTTGAGTTGAAATTGCGCCAAAGCTTCCAGGAGTTTCTTTCTTCGTTCAGCGGCGAGATCTTTGAGGTTTGCGTAACGTTCATCAACCCTAGGGAGAGTAGAGTACGTAGATATTACGAAGAACACAGTGAGAGTGAATTTCATAAGTAAATGACTCACGTTTTGCAGCGGTCAACAACCTCAGGTGAAGTTTTATCCTCGTCTCCGAGAGTTTCATCAACTTGATCGTGAAGAGACTGGATGGGCGTTGCGTAAGACTCGATCTCTTCTTCCAATAACTAGAATAAAACAAGGTTGGATTGTCGGGTCTTTACAGATCTGCATGTCCGAGGAGGGGTGGGGGGTGGCGTGGGAATGGTCACAAACCTCGTGTTTCTTGAGAAGAGTGTGGACGCTGTCTTCATCGTAACCATAGTCATCGTTAGCGGCCATTCTCTCTGCCAAGTTCATCCAGGATATAATGTCGTTGTAGTCCGCTATGAACTAAAGAAAAGGAACGATATATAATTGGAGAGAGATGGAGAACCTTTCTTTAACAATGAAGCGAGAGGGGGGAGGGTGAAACTAGGGGTACTGTAGGGTGAGGGAGGGAGTTTGAGAGATAGACCTAATGAGAGCAGTTTTGAATGAGAGAGGTCTTGTAAGAGATAGAGGATTGAAGGGGAAGATTCAACCACCGGGTCTCTTACCTGCTGCAGATTCAAACTATCTTGTAACTTCCTTTTACGGTAAGCAGCTGTATCACGTGCTGATGCCCACTTGTTGTCAAGGTTACTGAGACGTGACGTGATCGTATCTGAGGCATAGTGTCCATTCTCGACCATCTGCTGACCTGTTGCTTTCACTTGCTCAACTACGGGCTCATGTCCAGTCATCTCGTCCTCCATGGCCTGCAGTTAAACACACGTAAGAAACAAAACAAACCCAAAGGAAAAGTTACACCCCGTGCTCAAGATGCTTGAAAGACATTGTGTCTGGTCTATAGATTCACACAGTGCAGTGTTGTAAACGTCGTTGTTTACCTCGTGTTTCTTGAGTAACAACATTGTCGTATTAAGATCACGACCATAGTCTGTAGAAGATAAGAACGTGTCCTTCTCTGATATCCAGATTTCCTCTTCGTCCACATCGCGATAAAACATCTGCAGGGCGAGAGATTCTTCTAGTCTGGAACGACGAACTTGGGCAAGATTCAACAGTTCCTTGTAGGAGGAATCAATCTCTGCTTGATGCTCTCTGATCTCATCTTTGTCAATATCCACACCTGGAGTGAGAGAGTACAACAGAAAAAACTCAGCTCAATTCGAATGGTCCGTGTTGTACCAGTAACCATTCATTACCTTCCACCTCTGGTTCCATTTCAAGAAACTGGTTTGCCTGGTCGTCCGCAACTTTGATTCTATCTTCCTGAGCGGCGATGTCTGCTTCAATCAAGCTATGCTTTTGTAGGAGATCTTCAACGTCCAACAAATGGCGACCATAATCTTCCGACTGCAAGCTTGCCTGAAAATCAGGTTTTAGAAAAGTGTATTTAGAATATGTGCCACTGTCAAGCATTGAATGGAATATAATTGCACCTTTATATCATCCATCCAGTCGACAGCATTGATCATTTCTTGGAAGACTTTTTGTAATCTCATCACTTTCTCAAGACGAGCTCGGCGAGCAGCGACGAGTTCTAACAGCTCTTCCCATGATTTCAAAATCTCGTCTTTCCTGAAATATTTGATGATGTACAAGCGTGAGAGATGAAGAGATCAGAAGAAGATGCGAGGTGGTAAACATTGCAGAGAGGATGAGGGAAGGAAGATTAAGATGATATGGACACGTAATAAGAAGAGATGAAGGAGAGCTGGTCAGAGATATTATGAAATGAAGAGATCAGAAGAAGATGTGAGGTGGTAGGCATTGCAGAGAAGAAGAGGGAAGCAAGATTGAGATGATATGGACACGTAATAAGAAGAGATGAAGGAGAGATGGTCAGAGATATTATGAAATGAAGAGATCAGAAGAAGATATGAGGTGGTAGACATTGCAGAGAAGATGAGGGAAGCAAGGTTGAGATGATATGGACACGTAATAAGAAGAGATGAAGAAGAGCTGGTCAGAGATATTATGGAAAGAAGAGATCTGAAGAAGATGTGAGGTGGTAGATTTTGCTGGTTAGACTAAGAGATACTATTGAATGAAGAAATCTAGTGTAATTTTTTTTTAAGAGGATAATCAAACTCACTTGACAAGTATTCTCTGTACATCATGGTATTCCTCTTTATGTAGTTCCTCAGACACAGACACGCAAGCATTGATCCGAGCCTCGTACGCCTAGAGACAGAAAATGATAGAAATTGAACATGGGAAGGTCGAAAAGTCGAAAGATAGGACAATTGACGAATTCTTACGTGAATATCAGATTCAATAGCCTCGTGTTTCTTCATAGCGGCTTCAACAGCGGCCAAGTCGTTGCCGAAATTGTCTTGGGAAACAAGTCGTTTGTTTTCCTTCAACCATTGCGTCCTCATGGAGGCCTGGGGGAGAGAAAATGAAAGGAGGACTGAGCTCTCATTCGTCGGAATTGCTCGTGAGAACACGTTAAGAACCGGTCACGTTTCATTCGTTATAATCATGCGAACATCTAAACTGGACGATCACTCGTGCGGTCACGTGTGAACGTAGCCTTGGCTTGGATAATTCAGTCGTAAACAAGATATCGTGAGCACAAAGAGCTACGCACCTTTCTGTCGAATTTCCCAGCCAGCATCTCCAGTTTTTCTTGCCTATTTTGAACAGATAACAACAATTTATTATCATTTGACACATGCAACTGTGGCTTACACATATTTCGTTTTTATGGAAGAAGTTACCGACTGTAATTTGCAAGGTTTTAGCGTGACAAAAGACGTGAATTATTCAACGTCGTGAACCTCACCTGATCAATTCGTCCCTTAGAGCGACCTCACGTTCATGTTCAGCTTTCTCCAGTTCATCCCAACCCTGATGGATAAAGACAAAAAAATTACTCGCATGTTTCTCTCACATTGCACTTCGCCTACGCTGAAGACAGAACTCGCAGCTGACATTTTGTCACGTGTAATAAGAGCATCACTTGAAATGCCAATGTATAATGAATTAAATGAAATTATTTTTCAAAATTATAAATGTAGATTGACTGATGTCTAGCAGTGTTTACACAACACAGGTCTACTTAGAATTGACTGTATTTTGCCAAGGAAGTGATAATGAATTAAAGTATTAAAGGCAATATTTACTCTGTTAATATCCGAGATCATTTTTCCTTCAGGAGGAGAGTACATTTTCTGATGGTTTTCCCGAAGGTTGCTTGTCAAAATGAACATCTGAACTTCAAGATTTCCTTTCTGTGTAAATCTAAACATATCATAACATATTACATAAATGGATAAGCACATTCTGTTTATTTCAATCTGATGTATTATTAAAATACCTTGGTGGTTTCTCCTGTGTTCTGTATTGATTAAACTCCATCATTTGCTGTTGAACACCGACTAAAGTGTTTGCAAATTCCCGCTCTTGTAATGACACTGTAGTAACCCTAATCCACTTGATCAGGTCATCAGCGTTCAGATCATATTCTGTTATCAACTTGTTATTTTCATTGACCTTCTCAATCACCTGTCGGAAGAAGGTATCAGTGGCATTTAGAGAAAGTATTGCAGAGATATTGAACAGTGAATGTATGGTACCTTGCCAATGCGAGAACCACTAACACCAACAGTCTTCATCTTTGAGAAGTAATGATAATAGGAGGCAACATAAGTCATTATCGACTTCTCGTCTGGGTAGTCCACATTCACATCTGAAACGAGCCAGATATAAAAACATTATCTGACAATGGTAGCAGTGATCTGGATGTGGGGTATTGCTAAAAATAAATGTCGATGAAACATGATGCTACAGAACAATGGTGTTAACAGCACAACCAACTTACCTGACACATCAAGCAAGGGTGCAATATTTAATTCCCGTTCGGCAACATCAAATGCACATTGCAAGTTCTCTGGGGCAGTGCTCTTTGTCAGGTTTTCATACGGGATAAGATCAGGTCTGGAAACACAGAAAAATTTAGAGCACAAGATATTAGGGAACCACAGATATTTGCTGGTTGATTTGAGAAATTACGAACCTGTGTTTATGAATGATTGCACAGAAAGCCAAACCATCTGACCAACTTGTTGTGAAATTTGTAACAGTGACATTCCTGTAACTGCGAGGGGAAGAATGTCATGGAAAACACATCAGTGGGGGAGGGGGGAGTACAACGTATTCATCAATGATTTGACACCATTATTATTCAAGGAATTTACATAGAATTTAAGTTCTAAAAGCCTGGGTTTGCAGAATAGACAGTAGTTAATTATTTAAGACATGGGGTTGCATATCACTAATGTTTTCAAAAGAAGTACTTATTATGCAATATATTTTATACCCTGAAGTTTTTGACTGGCACCACAACAACAGAGCATCTTTCGCAGATCTTTTTTCCTTACTATCACTTTCAATAAAGATATCTTGAATCTAAAAAAAACACCAAAAATTCATAAGATTTAACTCATGGACACCAGTGGTGCAAACTAATTTTTTCTCATGATAATGAAAATGCAATAAATTGTGAAAGATATATGTCTGGTATAATCACTTTGCACATACCTGGAAACGAAGGATTATTGTCCAAATTAAACCTAGTGTTAACCTGGAATTTCCATCAACAATATCCTGGGCACCAATGTTTTCCAAATGAACCTGAATGGAATTAAAATAATTTCATACATATTTCCTCTGGTTAAAGTACACAATAAACTGATTAGGATACAATGCATTTTTTCAATGCCAGATATAACTTGGTTCACAAAAAGATGGAAGTGTCTATGCTAGAAAATGTTCTTAACTTCTTATGAGCATTAATAAGAAATGTACCTTTTGAGCTTTCAAGAACTGCAAAGCCTTTTCAACATTTTCCATCATGTGAATTCTCATTCTTCCTTTAGCTGGTTTACCCTTTGTAACAAAAACACAGCAGGTAAATCATTTCACACATAGCTCTGCAAAAGTGATTCGTAACAGTTGCATTCCACTCACAATCTTTTCCCCAGAGAGGATTTCCAAAAGTGTTATTAATTTGCGCCCATCTTTCAAATCTTGGTAGAGTTCGTTCACTCTTGTATCGACACGGATCAAGTGAGAGTTCACCCATTTTGTGAACGTCTTCTTCTGCACACGTTCACGCTCACCTAAGAGGAACCGAAATTGTAAACTACAGCATTGCTTCTTTGCTGAATTGTGCCATGGTAAAAACAAATAGGATTGCATGTACATTAAAACCTAGCTGTATTGGGCTAGATGTAATATCTCATGACTGTGAAACATACAAACTAAAATATAAAAACAAATATTGCACTAAAAATTTCCAAAACCTGGTTAGCTTAGCCAAGCTGGACTTTCTAAATTTAACACATTAATAAAAATATATAATGTATTTTTAAATCGCATGTGCTGTGCAACATAATATCAACTTTAGAGATCATGAAAATTTGCAGGTTCAAAGGATAAGCTTTTAAGCATAACCAAACAGCTTTAACAAGAAATTTCAAGTGTTTTTCAAGATTAACGAATGTTGTGTTCTTACGAAGATAATACAGGAACTTTTTAAAACTTGTTTAAAAGTGGCCATCCGGAGCACATTATCTATTGTGACGGAAATTGTTGCAATTTAAGACGTGAAGAACCATCAAACTTGAGATATTATTTTTAAACTTTGACGCTTTTAGAAATTACTAGCAAAAAACGTTTATCAGCCACCACCCATACGAATAAAATATATTATTTATAGCGATAAGATGGTTTGTAAACGTTGTTACTTTCACACGAAATTTCGGATAAATAAACAATTAGGATTGAAAAAGCTGACTATAATTTCTCGGTTGCGTTACGACACGATTACAAAGCGAAAGATTGAAAGTTTTCACGAGATATTTGCCTCTAAGATGAGCTCGTGATTATCTTTCAATGTTCTTAAAACATTAAAATTCATAACGGAGACAAGATTGTGTATTTTTACGAGGGTTTGAATGCGCTAATCGTTTGAAAATATTTGAATTGATATGTACTTTTAGAATTGAAATTCGACGAGCAACCGCCGATATTTTTTGGCGTACGATTACAACTTACGAGAACACTTCAGTATAGCAGCTAAACACTGATATAACAAATATATTGACTCGAAAGAGTAAAAAAATATCTCATCTTTCGTCGTTATATAAGCGTTTACTAAATATATTTATTATTGTATTGGCACTTATTGGCACAAGCTATTGCTCGGGCGACACTGCATCTAGACAAGAGTATTTATACTTAAGTTACGAAGACAAAATATCACCGTCTAATATGCAGTTGTACACCTGGGTTGAAGATTAAATATTGGATAGCAATTGAGTACAACAACATTATCTACCTTGGAGTACTTTTATACGGGATTTTTCAAATAATCTTGCCGAGGTTTGATCCAACAACTTGTCGTCCCCGTCGACTATCAAGTCTCCCATAGTGTTTGCAACTGGGTAAGGCTTTAAAAATATCAAAGATACGAGTTAAGATAAATACGAGAGGGAAGAACTGTGTAAACAGAGACAGGCCTGTAAAAATTTCGCTCCAAGTTAGGTCTCGAAATCTGTGCGAGGTCGCGAGCGTTTTAGATAGCTTGCAAGGTGATCGAATGATCTCTCCAAAAGCACTATCGATTTACTTGTTGTGCGCTACCTCCACAAATTACGACGGAATGCAAAGTGAAAACATTGCTACTGCATAAATAGAGCAACAGTAAGCACTGGCAATTACAAAACCGTTTAAGCGTAGTAAAGCTTTTGGCGCTATGCTCTTGGACGATCGTATCGACTACGATGAATGTATTTATGTGTACTACATGACTCGACATTAATCTCAGCAGTTTGCAAAGGCAAAGCTTATACCACGCTTGTTTATAAGTTCAAAATCGAGCTTACCTGGTTGGCTTACAGATTTCAATTCTTATATGGTTTTTTGATCGCAAAAACACCGTAAAATTTGACTCTTGCTGTAATCAGCTCGCATAAACAGAATCAGTATGTGTAATAGCGTGTCTGGCAACCGAGGGGTGGGGCTAAGGACCAATCACGAGTTGGATAACAGCTGTACGCTTTCAACCAATCACAGCCCTTGTTAGAAAAAATCTATATTTCTAATACCGAAATAAACATAAACTTCTCAGCTTGTTTTCCATGAATTTTCCCAGCAATTTGAATATTTAAACGATTTGAAAATTGAAACTCGATGAGATATATCGTTTTGAGCTTTTAGCTTTTATTTTCATATTTCTCATTTCATTGTAAAACGCAAACTTTGAAATTAATGAAATGATATTTTATCAGCTAACCAACGCTCTATAATTTTTAGACCTAATGCCTGTGGCTTGTTGCTCAATGTTTAGTGCTACTTGCCAGAATTGTAAATTTCTGCGGCCAAAAACGGAATTTGTATGAATAATCTAGAACAAGAGTCAACATCATCGTTTGTGAAAGAGGCGACGTTGCTAGACTACGGCTAATTAAAATGGGAAGAAAAATTCGGATTATGTCTGTATTGCATTTCATAGAATATCCTGTTTCATTCCAGTTACATGAAGTTTGCATACCATGCCACCAACATTTACAGTAACCCCATGTGGCCGCTCCAAACGTACATAAACACACAAATTCGTTCAATTTCCCTCAGGGGATATTCCAGGCGATTATATAAGCGTCTCTGTTATGACAGTCTAACTGTCTAAATCATTCTAATGGTGCCTGATAGGCGCAACAACCGTGTTAATTTTTCGTGGCTTGCCGCTTGCGCTGTCCGGTTGAAAGTTGAAACCCGACCAGAGTCTCCTCCCCCCCTGACCCAGCTGTCTGGAAACGCCTAAATATATTTTCACCGCTCTACTTTTATTTCTTTCTCAAATTTTCCTGTAAGTTCTAACTCTGTACTCGGACCCATAACACGAAAACGTAAAACGGCAAAATTGATTCCGTCCTCAAGTTATTTCGAATGGGAAAAATTTGAACAGTTTTAATATTTTAGCACACTGAAGATTTTGTCTATCATGCTAATATTCCAAAGCTAATATATACCGGCCGATGTTTTTATATTTATAGCCCTTAGGGTTGTGAAATTATTTGTTTCAAAAGTGTTTTTCACCTACCTCGCTATAGCCATTCTTTTCAATTGAGGACCCGTTAGCATCTAACGCGAACGAAACATGTTTGCCGTTTGATCTTGGGCTTTCAACAGACAGCATTGCTACATCAACGTCCAAGAAATATGAACAGGTCTACCAATCTTTTTTCACCCTTGTGAAAGGCAGTAGGCACAAGTTTGTGTTTGATGGGTTCAAATGAAGTTCAGCGCGAGGAACGAAACGGTTGAATTTCCGAAATAGATATTTCTCGGCAAAATTTTTCCCACCAAATGCTGTAATATGAAACCAAACAGCGAGCATTCAGCATAAAACCACAGCAAGACAAGAAACGAAGAATCTAGATCTGATCTTAGATGCGTGATAACATGATCTACTGAATCTGACACATAAGTCTTCTGTTTTTTCCAGTCGGACCTTCTTTTTTTTTGAAGATTTAGGCTTTCACAAGCCGCGTGGCGAAGATACACACGGAATGGAATATTAAACGAGCCAAAACCCTAAATGATCTTTCATGTTTTATGAATAGCGTCAGAAAAGCAGTTAGAATTAATTATTAATTGGATATGGAAACATCAAATGATATTTTTATAGTCATAAATTAAAAAGCAACGGAATAAAAACAACATGCATGTCAGCTTGACTACCGTAAGACTTCGCCGGCAATTCAAAGTTCCTACGCCGCTGGTAACTGTACTAAAAAAGAAGTTTTATGTTGTATGCTTGGGTATCTTTTAATTGCACTTTAAATATAATGGATTAAAACTCTCAGACAAAAGCTTGTAGCCAGCATTTACATATCGCATTATGAAAAACAAACAGTCTGCCATCGGGCTGAGGAATATGGATTGAGATGAGACAATCACGACAGCGCCATATGGTGCTTCAACTTAATTATCATGAAACGCGTGCATACCAACGCAGCGCAGATTTCTAGTCCGGGTGAATAAGATGATCCTAACTGGACCTTCGAAAACAGCTGGTTTGAAACTAATACTGCTATAAAGTTGGTGTCGTTTAGGTCTCCTTCTGTAGTGACACTAATGGACCTTTACGATCTACTCAATATACTAAAGTTAGTTTGAATTATCTTTGACTATGATTAGTGATTGATAATGTTTTTGTGATCATTTATACCGTCCATTTGTCTATAGTCATTCCGTTTCCTCCTAATTTTGTCTTCCAGGAATCGCAACCAAGTTCCTTTAAATCTTTTTGTAGTTTATCCAAAGTGTCCGACTTTATGGCTTCAACGGAGAAGAAGAAGTGGTTTTAAACATTTAGACAAATCATAGGTAGAAATGACCAAAGAGAAATCATTTCATGGACCTGAATCAAGCATACCTTGGTTTAGAAGGGTGATCAGACAACCACCTCCACCAGCACCTGTCAACTTTGAGTGTAGTCCATATCCTAACGTGATCTCACAGACTTTATCTATTACAGGGTGACTCACGCCAATCGTTCGTAAAATATCCTGGTTTAAATCAATCAACTTCTACAAATAGAAATAGAGAATGCCTTACAAGACTTGTTTCGCTTGCGTTTTACAATACTGTCAATAGTCCATACATTCACGACGAAAAACGGAAGACCGTGAATAACACGTAGCTTAAAACAAGTGCTGAGTTTTCTGAAATCGGCCTCCTACCTGAAGCTTTATAAAATCATCCTTCTCATCTGTAAAAGCGCCTGAAAAATTGCATTTCAAGAAGTTATTTACACATGAGTGCTGAGAATGAAGAGTTTTTCGTGGATTCAAAGACGGTTCTCACATTGCTTATCGCATCCACAAAGTTTTCTTTAGTAAGATAAGAAAATATCTCAGTCCCAGCACGGGAAAATCTTATTTCACCTGCATTTTTCGAAGAGTTCTGCTCTTCCAGTATCTTTCTACATTCCACGGATATATCATTAATAGCATTGAATAAATGATCGTAGACTTGTGGCCCCTAACAACATAAATAGAAAGCGTTCAATTGGTGATTTATGTCGTGAACTATTTCACTAATGGATGAAGATTTTTCATTCGTTTTACCTCCTGGTATCTTTGACGTAAATCATCTACCATAGTTTTTGTGCTGCGTGGAATATTACTGTTGACAAGGAATATATTTAATTCTTGAACTCTGAAATGAAACAAGATTCCACAAGAGAAAAATTACTTATGATATATTTTGCTGCTGTGAAAGAACTGGCTTTAGCTAAAACTCAGGTAAATACCTACGTCCTAATATTTTCCATATGCCCAGATTGAAATTGTAGAAACCCACCTGAATGTTTAAACATAAAATCAAATATTTGAAAATAGGCATAGTCCTAATTATTTCTTAAATTATTACATGCTACATAATATCTACACTCACCATAAGTACTGACAGTATTATCAATCCCAGATGGTGTTCCATGAATGATTTGTTCTGCTTTATATGCCCAATCACTTATCATTCTTAAGCATTTATCTCTTGAGCAGTCACTGTGAGATTGTGGCTCAAACCTTGTAACAGCCTCTGGTTCAAACACATTGGAGGTGACCAACATTGCTGTCGCTAGGACTGTGCAGTATGATGCAGATGAACCCAAACCAGCACCAACAGGAATGTCTGATTTTAACGAAAATTTTCCAGGGAGCGAGCTATGAAATCATTGAAATGAAAACAGGAGTGTAAAATTTTGGAAAATTGCTTTGTAGTAGATGATAGACCAAACATACCTTCCATCATAAATAGATCTATAGAGATAAACAAAAGCGTGGACAGCAGTAAAGGCAACCTCAGAGTGGTTTTGAGAACCAAGAAATATTTTAAAAGCATCAACATCAACTAAATAAATGACAAGTCAATGAAATAGTCAGCCCTCATTTAAATATTAAGAATAACCAGCTTTATTTAATGAACCACATATATCAGTCATGAACTGGTTAGTCAGTCACATGCTCAGTGCACTGATAAAGTAACGATGCAACAAGGACTACATCATTGCTGCTCACATTTTCGGATATGCACTGCAATAGATTTTTTTTTCATAATGACATCAAATGTCTCATAGTTTGATTAGCTTGTTGCTTTTGCAAAGCCAGTCAAACTTTATGCAACATCTGAGGCCTTCTCTGTTCGACATTATTGAGAAAGATATATTAAAAAAGTTTGCACATACGACTGGGAGAAAGTTGAAGATTCTTCAACTGATCAGTTGTCCATGATGAGGAGAATCCAAGATTGTGCAGATGCAGCTCTACAGTATTATTTGTTAGCTTCTCCCAGGTAAGTGTCGTTCTAAGATCAACACTTGCTGCAAGAGAAACCTAAACATAACAAATTCATGAAGAAAGATACATATCTAACAACTGATGTCTTAATAGATCACATATCTAAATTCCAAAATAATCTTACCTTGCCATACACAACTGCATGTTCACCATGCAAGATCACCTTTCCTGGAGCAGATACCACCAATGAACTAAAGTCTGCCATGACTAATAACTTCCCTTATATTCCTATGACTATGCAGCAGTTATCATCTTGTAATAAGATGCCCAATCATGCATTGTCTATAAGATCAATTCCACTCAAATACCAAGTTTCCAGTAACTCAGTGACTGGTACACAAAGGTACCATTACTACAATAAAATACTGGAAGTCCCAAGGTAAAGTTTATGGACGTAACTTCATAACTAGCTCCTTCTACATTTCAACATACATATAAATACATATTAAACTTGCTAATATTATCTGATAAATAAATAAAATTATTGCCTATTTAAAAATCATAAAGTTTCAATAAATACCTATTTTTTCCAGCCCGACTTTTAGGCGCGATAGGCGGTATCATTGTGCAGGTAAATACCTGAAGAATAGGTGCGCAAGAGGTACATAAAGAAGACTGTTCATGTAATATCATAATTCCTAAAGATATAAATAATTTATAGCAAAACACTTTGAAACGTCGCACTTTAAAACTTCGTACAATTTTTATTCATACAATAAGAATAACCACCCAAGAAATTTTCAATGTACATTTTTATACATATTTAGACCATTGTGTACAATAGACAGCAATACTATTTACAGTTGAAAAACACGAAAGCGCTTTGCGGCATTTACAATTTTAAAATTGATCTATAAAATAAATAAATAATATGTTACATTCTAAAACTTGCATTCACGAAGGCTTATATACGGGGCCAAATTTCTGCATATAATTTCGAATGTATTCCTTGGTCTTAATTTTTACAGAGTCGTTGCAGGCCAGAGTACTTTCATCTTTATTACGACTTAGTTCTTTTACCATAACACCGTGGGTGAGCTGAAAAGGAGATAAATTTACACAGTATTTACTTTGTGTGCATGTGGGATTTCTCAAAAATTTAAAGGTGAAGATACAATCGCAGGGAGTAGAAGGTAACAGGGTAACTTGTAAAGAACTTCAAACGACGAAAACATACATCAAACCGGACGGCTGTAAAGAAAAACAACATACTCACCTTCCTTGCTAGAAATTTGAAGTCATCGACACTAGTAATACGACCAATCTTGCAGTCCAACTTGTGATACGGATTCAAGTAGTTGACCACAACAGCTGACAGCTAAATATGCAATGGGAAAACGTTTAGAAGAATGTAGATATATACGTGTTTGTAAGCTGACAGTCGGGTTACCTTCATTCTAAACGTTTCTCGACGTTTTCTCTGCTCAGGCGTGAGATGTCGACCTTGCAACAGCGAGGAAGGTGAGTAAGCACCTTTTCGGATATCGGTCGTGTCGGCAGCAGCTGTAGTGTACTTGCTCACTGGACTCTTAGGAGGCGAACCTGGAGGCGTAGAAGGAGTCCTGGGTTTCTTCCGTTGCTTGGTCGAGTCAACAACTTCCTAATGAAGATAAAAACACAAGTTGAATAGAACCAGCTTAAGGAGTTCTTTCCTCCTTGTCACGTCTTAGAGAGCAAACCTATGCATGTATAAAGTGGCTAAAAGGCAAGAAATATTACTCCCTAGCCATTTGTTTCTTTAACAAATACTCTCAGTACCATTGTCACATCTTGTGGCAAATGCGAAGAGAAAAGACTGGACTCCATACTCGTGTCTAGTTCATCACCAAGGTAACCAAGCTCTGGCGTCGGTGGGCTGCGATCAGAGACAGGTGGTTCCCATTGAGTTTGCCTAGAGGAGGAAAATAAAACTCTTTCAGTTCTAATTGATATATTTTGAAACATAGTAGAACGATTGCTTTTAGGCAGTGTTATTATGATATTGAAAAAACCGAAGGGTTAAAAATATAGAAGAGTGAGTAAAGAATGAGTAGAGACTTTCGTGTTCGAGACGAGGAATTTGCTCATTAAGAAACATAAACAGCAAACTACAAATATATGCACAAGACAAGGATAAAATTGAACATAAATTAGCTGTCTTTGCCTCGACTAACCTTGTGATAACATGATAATAATACGCTCTTCCTTCCCCATCATAAGCCTTCTTCCAATCAGACGGCAGTGTTCCTTCTTGGGTCTTTTTATACTTTCCTGCCCATTCGGACGTCAGGTCAACTATCTCCATCGATACAGCGCTTCCTACGGTAGAACTCACCCTCGGTACATTAGAGCCCGGGTTTTGTTCCGTGGGTGCAAATTGCGGTTGTTGCGATGGATTCACCGAATAGGTAGAGGGTACGCTGGTCGTTTGGGTTGCGAGCGAGAACGTCGAAGGATTGGGAGGAAATTGCGGTGGGGGAAAGCCAGGAGGAAATTGATGTGGAGGGGGGACGCCTAAGTTTGGTAACATCGGGTTGAACAAGGGTTGAGGGTATGCCTGATTTTGGTTGGTAGACTGCTGATATCCAAAAGGTGTCGTCGGATTTTGGTAGGCGGGGGTATATTGTCCTTGTCTGTGGTTGGAGGCCATTTGACTAGGGTTAGTTGAAACTTGATGTCCAGCTGGAAATTTCCCCTGCGATGCTTGAGCGTGCTGGGGAGGTGGGGGTGGCAGCTGTCCATAGGTGTGTTGGACGTGACCCCCTGTTTGGTCTGGAGCAAATGTTGGTTTAGACGTCCATGAGGCCTGGTCTGGTGGTTGGAAATAGTTCGGCTGCTGTTGGACAGGTAGGGTGGTATTCTGCGTTGACACAGAGAAGGTTGTCGAAGGCTGCACCACACCTTGGGTAGTGTTAAGGTAAGGGTTGTAGGAGGGCGTTTGTTCTTGATTATGCCACTGATTGTTCTGATTGGGTCTAGGCATGCCCGTGTTTGCTGTGGGTGCTGTGGTAGGTGGGGTGAAATGATGACGAGGTTGCCAATCTTGTTGAGGGCTTCTGGGTGGAGGGTAGCCTCCTTTTCGACTCCCAAGCCTTGCAGCTGCCTTGGCATGCCATCCTCCAGATTTCTCCTCACCTCCGCTGGTATTAGCGACATTCTGCAGTCGCTGATGTATCGACATTCTCCCAGCATCATTAGCGCCTTCATGAACCTCGGTGTATCCACAAGTCATGAGAGAAGGAATCTCGCTCGAGTCACTCGATGCTTCACGTTGAGACGACTTCGACGCCGAGTGGAACTCTCGTTCGCCAAGTTTGGAAAGGAATTCGTCCTTTTTGAAAAGATCCTCATCAATTTTCGGTAGAACCGGAGCGTGTTTTTCCGATCTAAATTTACAAGAACAAGCATATTGCATACCTGTGATCTTGTTCTTAATTTAACAATCCAGGAAATTAGTCAAGTCAACCTACCTGATTCTACGACTTAACTCGGCCGAGGGGGCTAATGGAAGAAAGAAATCTGGTCGTGAGAAAAGACGAAAAAAGACGAAAAAGAAACAAACAAGAAAGGTTCTGGACCTACCCTCTGTTGTTCCTGAAGTAGATTCTGGTTCTTGTTTAACCTAAAAGAACAAACGTTCATTATTCCAACACGATCTTAGATAAATAATCGTCATGCTCATGAATAAAGCACACGTACCACGATGGTTGATTTCTTCGGAATACGATACACCTCCTAAACACACAAAATAGTTGATATTCATCAACACCCGGTCATGGTTGGTTCAGTTCTCGAGTATTCAAAACCTGTTTGGAAATAATCACTACTTTACCTTTAAACTGCTCCATTGATCTAATAGATCAGCAGCTAGATCAACAATATTCTCACCATCGCTCGATGTCGCATCGTCTTCTGACCATCTTGAGCATTCCTCCTCAGATGAATCTCCAATTCTTTCAACTATCCTACTATATGCACTTTGATGTTTAACACCGTCGGGTTTCAACCCCTCGGATTTTAGTCCCTCCTCAGGCTTCTTACCCTCTGGATTTAACTCCTCGAGATTTCGTTCCTCGGCTGTTTGACCTTCTTGCTTAACAGCAGGCAATTCAAGTCCATCGTCAGATCGTGTTTGCTGAACTGGCTCGAAGACACTGTCTTCTGCAGGCAAACACTCCGTACTTGTCAATCCAACATCAGATGGTTTACACTCAATATCGGACTTAGAGCCCTCCGTACTTTTTGAAGAGTTCTGCAACTCGTCCGAACTCGAGCTAATGTGAGATTCACGTCTCGAAGCAATGTCTAAGGCGTCCTGTGGGCTCTGGCCTCGAGAGTCCACGTCGCTGGAGCTCGTCTCCTCTTCGGGAACGCACGACAACGAAGGTTTCTTCGCCCACTTGCTGATCACTCGAAGCACTTTTGTATCTTTGACTTGATTCAAGTTAGCGACAGGCAGGTGTTTGAGCACTTGAACAATCTACAGCAGGATATCAACATGAGATTTTGAAAAGGAAATAGTTCAAATGAAGTGTTCTTCCTACTGGAAACACTCTTCGTTTAAAACGCTCCAGTATAACTCGACATGACAATAACCAATCGATGAATCCCCCCTTTTAACGGTCCAGTATTATGACAGGTAGACACCTCAACTGGACTTAACCATTTCATAAATATTGACTGAAAACGTCGTACCGATGCGCTTTTAAAGACTCAAATATCTGGGAGAATATCAAATATCTTTTTCATATTCATATATCCGCAAGAGGAATGCCATACATTTGTGTATATACAATAAAAACAGCGTATATAAGCGAGATTATAATGTACAGTATGTTGTTTTAATAAAACGTTAACGTAAACGCGAATAATTATATAAACAAACCTTTTTCTGAAGATGCAGCGAGTTTTCTCCGAGATCAACCATCCAACTCCAGAGAAGTGACAATCCTTGATATCTTACGAAATTCCGTAGACAGTTCTGGTCTATCGTTGCCTAAAATATCCAACACAATATGCATTACACTGTTCCTAATGTGCGCTTTTATACATACAAGGTGTTACCAGGCGTGCTAATATTGACTTTTGCAGAGTAATTTAATGGTGTTAAAACAATAAGTACTTGAGTGATAAGAACAAAGAAATTTTTATAACAATGAACGAACAATGGAACATTGTGATCTCTGGATCATGATTGGATGATAATGAAGAACAAGGGAATTTTGAAAACAATGATAGAACAATGGAACATTCTGATCTCTGAATCATGACTGGATGACATGAAAAAATTGAGATATTTTGAATAATGAAAATGAATTCATAAAGTGCTCTTTTTTTATGAAGCGCATAGAATATTTTTTCTTTTCAAAATAAAGAAATTGTGTTATCAAAATTCCATTACATTATAATCTTAATTATCTTCACACAAATACAGCAGTCATACAACCAAAGATCCTTACCAAAAGGGCGTTTAGCAACAGAAGGCGTTGTGAAGTGGTGTCTGCTCTGACCATGAACTGGGAAAGTTTAAGCGCCTGGTCGTCTGTTTTAATTCCCTTGTCACCAGCAAGCAGCTGAGCAATCTCAACCTCCAGCTGTAACGCAGTAATGACAATCAATCTACACTGGATTTTATCACATCCTACAATAACAACTGCAAATCTTACAGGTTTATCATCAAATTGCTCAGCTAACTGCCGTCTTCGATTTCTTCTTGGTGAACTAGTTGGCGCTGGTGAAGCTAATTAGAATAATGAGAATTAATTAGACTTTGTCAGAGAATTGATAATTACCATCATTTCTTAGAAAAACACAAGGCACATTTCAAGGCAGAAAAGAACGCCAGTTTAAAGCATTCATATTCATGGAAATATAATTTTCAAATAGAGTGACTACCAGGTCTGCCAGAGATGATAGACTTCAGGGGGGTATGCTTCTCCCCACCAATTATTCCACGGCAATTTTGAGACTCGCAATAACAGACTTGGGCTTTTTTCCTGAAGAGTATAAAGAAATTCCGTCTAAGACAACTTATGGGTAGGATGTTGGGGGTTTGTGGACATATACAGGGGGTGGTGTGTCAATATGGTGTGTGTCAATATGTATATCATGTTTGGGGCTGGTGGACCTATAGTGTGTCAATATGTATATCATGTTTGGGGCTGGTGGACCTGGAGTGGTGTGGTATAACACACACAAGATGCCCTTGACATACCCATAACGTTGAAACTTGTAATCAAACGTCAGCTCTGTACCAGCTTCAATGTCTCTCACAGAAAAGAAACCAATCCTCAAATAGCCATTTACTGTCCACTACAGCAGAAATGAACTGTTAACGCTTTAAATCTAGTGTAGTTTTAACACATCATATAATCCAACAAGAAATTATTTAACATTACAACAGAGAAACTTTTGTGATTCTAACATGGATTGAATATACCTTCTGTGTCTCACAGTTTGGATCACAGCTGTGGTTAATGAATCTTGAAAGATTACCCTTGTATGTTGCATCAATGATCTACAAGTAAATAGATTGATTAACTGGAGGTAATCCTTCACATATGATAACAAAAATGTAAACAATCATAACCTCATCAGCTTTCAATGTCATAAAATAATAATGTCTCCTGTTCTCGTGATCATACATCTCAACACGTTTCTCAAATTCTTCGTAGCCCATCACCTCGCCGCTGTACTCAATCACAAATTGATGCCTGCAATATAATTAAGGTCTTTAAACACTTTATTCAACTAAAACAGCATTATTTCCTGTAGTGAAGGACTCCAGGACTCGCCCACAACAAACTGCCTCAGTATTAAGGTGCAGTGAAGTTTTAATTATCTTTTCCAAGCAAGGGTAGCAAGAGCCAACCCTGGGCACAAGATCTCACTCACGCCGCAATATCTTCCAAGGTCCGCAGTCCCCAGCCTTTTTTCTCAGTCATAAACGCTTCCACCTTAACTTTTTGACCTTTTTGAAATTTTCTGTTTGAACAAAATTCTCCACAGGGGCATCTATAATTGCTGAAATAGTTTGAACAATATTTAGAGCTTTTAATCAAAGTTTCAGCCTTTTAAATGATTTATTTTCCACAACGTATTACCTACCATTCAATCATGAGCAATCTATTCAGACAATCATCTCCACAACCAACAAAATCACTTTCCTCTAAAAACCGTATCAAATAATAAATGTAGGAAGCAGTAAACAGTCACAGTACTACAAGCAAAACATAAACAACCAATCTCTCACCTGGACTGTACGAGCAATCACAAGACATCCGACGAATCTCCTTATTGATCCTCTTTTTTCTAAAAAGGAAGCACACATGAACAATGACATCACCAAAAACAGTTGTTGAATTATGGCATCCTGAAGTCAATGAGACAGCCAAAACAATTCTGCCTGATATATCTTGAAACCACTTAGGTCACCACATAATAATACAGGAGAAAACTCATGAGATACTTACTTGTTTCCAAGATATATATTCTCATAAATTGTCTCAAAAGCAGGATATTCTTCTGACGTCGAAGATGCAACTTCATTTTCGTGGTCACTATGATCACTATCCGGTTCACTTTTCCACATAAAATTGTAGAATATGATTATCACGTCATGTTTAAAATATATCAAGACAAACTTCTCATATGTCAGGCACATTACATTACTGGGCAACCAGCCAAAATCCCTGCATTGTTCATGCAAATCGTCAACCCCATGCAAAGTAAAAATATTGAAATCCGCAGGTATTATAACATGTCTTATGAGCGATTCATAGAAAATATAAATAATAAATCACTTTTTGAATGGAAGGCTTTGTGCTATCCAAAATGAAAGCAAACAAAAAATATCAAGACCAAAGCAAACATGGATCAAATTTGCTCTAGGAAAGCACAGCAGCTTATCTTTCGATTGCTCGGCTCTATTCCTTCATAATAACAGTCCCCAGCAGAAATAATTAAATCTGTGTTAAAAACCTGCATACAGGCAACAAAATTGCAGCTGTATGTTGAAAATTAATTCTCACAAAAAACCAAATCTTTCTACTCATTTGAGATGTGTGTTTCTTGTTATACCATACTATTCACCCACCTCATTTTCATAAGATGATAAATCCCTTCGCTTGGTGTTTACAAGAGTACAAAAATTGCATAAAATATTATATTACAGTAGCCATTTTGAATTATACAGCCGCATAGTCTAGTCCAACCACAGAAAGTAAACAATATATAATTTTCATAATTTGTACATCCTAGGGCTTGTAAGAATAACTACAACTTTCACGTTGTGAGTACAGCTAAAATGCATCATCATTGACGTTTGTTTACATTCAAAACGTTGTAAAAATATCGAGAATTTACTGCTGCAGGGAGGAAGGAGCAGACCATGAATTGTAAACAGCCAACACTATGATTACAAATTGATTAGAAATTTCTTTACATTGATAAATGCCAAGCTTCAAATGGTTTGCAAGATGAGACAGCTATTTCAATAGACTTGAAGGAAAGGCTAATATGCTTGTAACATAAAAACCCACACGTGTAGGATATTTCTAATAAATATTGCTTACCTTTCACGGTTCATGGTTGTATCCAAATATTCGTCTGCATTCATGCCAGTCAATCTCCCTGAATCCATTCAGTACAGCAAAGTCCGCCGTGGGGATTTACCGAACGCTTACAATTCAACAGGCCTTTCAAAACCAAACCGATTTGAAAGATACTGTAATCCTTCACCGCCCCCGAGAGAAAATATACACGAAAGACTGTCCAAGTTTACATCTCAACGGGCGAGCACATGCGGCTAAATCATATGCAGAAATTCCCCGCAAATGGAATTTGAAGACTTTTGACAACCCAGGGCTTTCAAAAGTGTATAAAAACTTTCCAGAAGAGCGCGGAGTGCTATAAAACCGCTCTGCAATCCTCGCTTTATATTTCGTAAGTTTTTTATTTCTATATTTTGGTATTACCGCCGTATTTAAAGCATTCATGAGATTGGATTGATATATTTCGGAAATTCCAAGCGCACGGCAACACACAACATCCGGGACACGTTGGTATTTACTGTAATTTAATTGGTTCATTACATGTTTGCACTCGTTTTTCAATATTGGCCAACTTCCCGCGTAACCCGCATTCTAAAAAGTAGCAATTTTGTGACAATTGTTAGATATGATGCTAAGGGCCTACGCCCCCGGCTGTCCACATACGGCAACGTCTCGCCCGAAATTTAAGGGCAATATCTTGCGTTAGCCCACAACATATTAATATGTAAGACTTTTTTGATGTTTTATTTCCTGTGATTTTATCACGATATTTCTTTATGTGATTATTATTATGTAATCATATTTCTAGTCCTTGTTATCTCTCGGTATACCTAGTTATACCCGTTGGATCACCAAGTATCCTCTTCCCGAATGACCGGTCACCCTCGGACAGACAACCCGTGTACCTAGAGTTTTTGCCATCAACTGCAGTGCACTTTCTTTTACGGTTTGTTAATTGTTCGCGCGATTTTACAACCACATCACAAAAGGGCCACCTGTTTCTACCTTGAATTGCCGTGCTGGTAAAAAAGGTAGAATATTGGTTTTGGATCAGCGTTTCACGAGCTCCAAAGAACGGCCACACGCTATATATAGTGCGTCGTCCATGTGACTGATCACAATGCCAGATCACATTAATTCCGCTCGAGCCAACGAATCGACGAAGGTAAAAGAGCAGAAGTCACCTGAGCATAAATTCCGGCATTGAACAACAATGATCATCTTAGTTATAGTTTGCATAATTTCTGCGACTGGAATGAGATCATTCCAAAATGAAACAGCATTTCTTGGACGTGTTTTTCACGCCAATCACGATCATCGGACGGCCCGTGTAAAGAACAACCGATTTCAAATCACTCGAAAGGACGAATTTAGTAAACGCCTGGTAAACGATGTTGTTGCTTACTCTGATTTCAACAAACTCGACGAAAAACACAAGCGCAGAAATGTTGAAAGAAAATATAGAAAAATAACACGGGGTAAGAAAGCACGAAGAAGGATTGGATTCGCTGGACACGGCGGGCAAGGAGGACGTGTACAGATCCCAAAGATGGAGATGAGGGAGGTGCAAAGATGGAAATTAAAAAAAATAAAGTTGAATGAGACTTTAAAGGCATGATGCCACACAACTTCTTCACCCAAAACTACTCTTTAACGAACGGAATCCAAACTAAAAAGACATTCCTTCCTCCTTCAACCTTGAACGCACTTCGAAAAGCTTTGACTGTTCATCCTTTTAAAACGTGGAGACTTAAACATGAAATCAACTCAATGAAAGACATTCACATTGACGAGGATAAACTTTACGCAGCTATTTACAACGGTTGGAACAAAAGATTGACACATAAATTACATAAAGTAATGCAAGGTGAAGACGTGTATTTAGACGTGTTTGGGGGCTCGAACAGCGTCGGAGGGGCGCTGGTGAAAGATAAGGGGGAAATTGACGGGAGGTACACGAAGGTACTCGCGGATTGGTGGGATAAATCAATCACACCAATTACTGGATCCCAACTAAAACTTCGGGAGATTGCAATAGGAGGCACATCAAGCGAATTCTTTCAATTCTGTTATGCTTCATATATTCATAAACAACTTGATCTAGTTTTCATCGAAATGGCAGTGAACGACGCAAAAAGAGAACTACCAGGGAATGCTAACACGAGTCTGCCGTTAGAACAGTTCACGCGACAAATATTGACGTATCGAACTGAGCCAGCTATAGCTTATATAAACCTCTTCATTGGCCAAACCTGCAACAATTCTTGCAGTAGTCTTGAAGACGGCGGTCTACTTCTTTTGTCTAAAGCTTACAATATCACATCATTGTCCTGGCGCGATGCTGTGTGCTCGGAAAAAGCCGGAGTCGATCGAACAAACCGATGCAGCAAGTTCATTGCTTCAGACGGCGGGCACATCAGCCAGATTGGACATGCGCATATTTCGCTGATGATTATCAAACTATTGCAAACCATTTTATTGAAGCATATCTCAAGTGTGACCCGTGTGAAAAAAACGACGCGCACCTCAGACGAGTCTCGAGGCAGGATCTCGCGTCAGAAGATCCCCTTACCTGTTTTTATTCAAAATGAAAGAAATATTATCTCGAAACCTCTTTGTTGGACACAATTGTCTCAGAATATTACAAAAGTCCTAAGAAATAACTTGAATGTAGCTGTGAACGAAACTAACGGCTTCTACTTGAAGACTACACATTTTGGAAATTGCAAATGCGCCTGGTGCCGAACTTATGCGTACACAAGCTGGACAGGTCGTACCGTAGGCTCAAACATGACATTCTCATTTACAATCCCGGGGGGAGATTCGCGCAAGGATGGTAGCAAAACTCGTCGGTCTATAGCTATCGCCTTGAGGGCACTCTGGACGTATGGTGCTGCAAATGTGTGGTTAGATGATGATGATAATCATAAAAAATTCGTGAACGCAAAAAGTCGGTGGGGACGAACGATCGTGCGAATGTTGGCTTTGCGGGTAGATCCTGGACAGCATAGGTTGCATGTTAGGATAGTGAGGGAGGGTGAGGTGTCTATTCTTGGGATAATGATAGGTCCTAATGGTGGACCATATCCATCAGACTGATGAACATGTCAGAGGAGAAGTAGAATGGAGAAAAGAGGAAGCCTTAGTAACAACGTTTTTGGTTAGGGATTTTCGAACAATATTTTCAAATCAAATTCTACCAATGAGATTGAATATTAAAGGGGGGTAGTGAACTAATTTGCTTACAAATGCAACATTTTAACAAATTGAGAAACAGACTTCAACAGATACAGATCAAAAAAGCTCTGATTTTACACTACAAGCATGCATAATCAATTAACCGGTGGTTTAGTGTTATTCTTCCTTGGTGTCAGAAGAGTTTCTTTCGCCAGCAAATGTCTTTAAAAAAAAACTTTTCTGGAAACTGAAAACCTGCGTATTTTCTACTCTTGAAATGCCATAATTTTAACCGTCTTTCTTTATCTTGCGTTTACGAAAGATATACCCCAAATTTCACGAGCCCTCTTGTGAAACGAAAACATATGTATCGTAATGGCAATTACTGTATATATGACAGTATTGGACAGTTTGATATACAATTCAGCGTGAGATCTGACTGGTGCCGCAATGTTCCCTAACAGAAATTATAAACAGGTTATATGTTCGTGAAGGAATTCTTATCATTATCATCCTGTGTTAATTTTTTTTTATCAAATCCAGGACGAGGATAAAGATATGTGACATTTTGAACAAGGTTATGATGGCTATACAATATGATAGTCGATCAGCTTGACTAAAGATCATCTCGCGGTTTATTGACAAAATACCGACTCAAATAACGTGAATTGCAATGAATATTCATCCCGGGGTGTTTTTGAAAATCTTTATTTTGATATTTCACAGACAGTTGGTAGAAAATGTCGAAAATTATTTTCAAACGACTAATCGTAAAATCTCGTCAGACGCGCTTCTTTCTGAACAAACTTTGAGGAATCTTTCGGAAGCATTGCGCGTTCCACCATTTAATATTTGGAAACTGAAGGACCGCTTTACCTCGAAGCAAGATTTAGGAATTGAAGAGTCAAAATTGGGGAAGATCATTGACTATCCGTATAACGAAAGACTCCTTGGAAAATTGTACAAAGTTTTTAAAGGAGAAGATATATATTTGACCGTGATTGGCGGGTCAAATTCCGGTGGGGCAGGTGTACAAGAAGATGAACAGGAGGGTGCGACTGGATTGTTTCCACAGGTTTTCACAGATTGGTGGGATAAGGTGATCACCCCCCTGACTGGGTCACAACTGTATCTAAACCTCGTTAGCATAGGCGGTACTGGTAGTGATTTTTACCAATACTGTCACCAAAAATATCTAGATAAAAACCCGGATCTGATATTGCTAGAGTTATCAATCAATGATCTTAACATCCGCCAGGTAGCTCATGTTAACAAATCGATTGCCTTAGAACAGCTGACTCGGCAACTTCTGGTGTATCCAACAAAGCCTGCATTAATCTATCTGAATCTATACCAAGGAAGCAATCATTTGATTGGCTGTAAAAATCTTGAGGATTATGGTCAAAGTGTCTTATCGCATATTTATAAAATCACATCAATCAAGTGGCGTGATCTGGTCTGCCCAAAATCGGCCGGAAATATTCGCAAGCCTCTGAATGAAATTCATGTTAACTTCTGCAAAGACAAAAGCCACATCAATTTACTCAGTCATGCTCATGTCTCACTAATTCTCATCACCATGATTCAAAAACTTCTTTTAAAACTTTTACCAATGAAAGTAAAACATACTTTGTTAGAAAATATCAACATTCCTAGACCTGTGTACATTCACAACCAAAGAAACTCTATATCTAATCCATTTTGCTGGACCACAATCACACCAAATTATCAGCTTTCCCACTTGAACAGCAATTTGAAGATTAAAATTGTAAAAAACAGGTTGTTTAAATATTGGCCTCTTATTCGATTGGGTTACGCTTGTCATTTACCTCGGGTTTGTCGCACAGATGCTTTCGGTGGTTGGGTGGCCACCACCCCCGGAGCATTATTGATAATATCCTTCACAGTACCTGGTGCATCTCTTGGGGAAGAGAGGAGAAACCACTCAGTAGTTTTTGCCACAAGGACATGCACTTACTGCGGCAAGGCATTGGTATGGGTCGATAACGATTACAAGAACAGGAAAATTGTGGATGCAAAGATACCGGCGGCTCAGACGTCTGTGAATATAATAGCACTACATGTGACCCCAGGGGTTCACACCTTGACAATAAGTGTACTAGAGTCAGCAAATGTTACCCTAGCTGGGTTAATGTTAGGTCCTTCCGATGGACCATACTAGCTGGGGCAACTGAGATACAAGTACAGCAACAGAATCTTGTTACAGTTACAACTAGTTTGCTAGTAATCTAAATTAAATTGTGTTTATAATAGTGCTGCTAGCCTGCTATCTTTTGATTAATATAATAGCCTTTACCAAATGACAACAACAAAGACGGTCAGTTACCTTAGTTAATCCTTTACCAAGCTGGTAGCAATTCGTGAATAACAACCACACGATGAATGTGAAAGATTGGATGATAGTTGAACTCACTGTTGAAGCCAAACAGGCAAGAGGTACATTTCACAATCGAATGATCCAATAAACGTCGACTTGTTCTGTTTACATTTTAGCGTAATCTCCTCCAGATGTATTTAAATTGTGCTGTCCTTTGCTTTCACAACTTCTATTCCATTAAACATAAGTAAAATCTTGTATTTTTTCATTCTTTTCTATGATATTTTCGGTGTATTTAATTTTTGAAAGAATGCTCCAAAGTTCTTCAATTAGTTTCCAGACTTTTGAAAATTCGCGCGCACGTTAATTAAAATAAGAATGAAAACATTCGCCTCTCAAAAGACTCAAATATTTCATTTTTTTACCTTTCTCTTTGTATCATTTTGCAATAATATGGTGTATCGCTTGTAGCTTTACGTTAAATTGATTATTAAAGTGCTGTTATATCTCGTGTTAGGATCTATTATTTGACGCTGAAACTACGGTAATGTCGTCGTTTAGTAATGAGGATTCATCGATTTCCTCTGCGAGTAGCTATGTTGAAACCTATATGGATTGTGAGTATTGTTTATGTTGATGCATCTCTGGTTTAGACCGTGGAAATAACCGGGGATTTATATTAGTTGTTTACTTTTTAACATATTAGATGTTGAGGCATTACCTGATGACTTGCAGAGAGATATTTCTCAAATGAGAGAGATTGATTTAGTATACCAAGGTATGGTGATTCAACTCCATCTTATAGTTCCAGATGAATTGAAGCATTGATGCTCAGTGCTGCACCCTGAGATTCCAACTTTACTTCATGAATTATAACCTTGCTTTATGAATCATATAACTCACTGCACACCATATATTTTTACTTCTACTTTAGAAAAACTAAGAGAAATTAGTCGTCTAATTGATTCCTATCACACAAAAAAGGAATCCTCAAACAGGAAGAAATGCTTGATACAGATTCAGAGATGTTTGGTTAAAAGTCAGGAATTAGGAGATGAGAAATTACAACATGTTTCCCATATGATGGACATGGTATGCAATATCATTGGCACTAATCTCTCTCAATAAAAATAAAATTACAGTATTTTCCAACTAAATTGTTTGGATGGAAACTACGACTGACAGCCTGGGTCTCACTTGTAGGTTGATACCAAAAGTCGTCAGGTCCACATTGAGATGGAATCAGCTGAATTAAGGAATGACCAGGCACCAAGCATGCCGATGAAACAGGAAACGCAAGGTGGATAATGCTCTATGACTCACAGATCATATACACTTTATATTCATCTTCTTTTATGTGGCATTTTAGATGAACAGGATACAAATCAAAGAGCTGGTGAAAAAATAAAATCAACTCGTATGTAATATTATTGAACATATTTGCAATCACGTTTTTGTACTTTCCAACACTCACACACAATTATTACCTGTTGAGCAGGAAATCGCCGACGACTTCACGAAAAAGTAAAACAAGAACAAGATACCGAAAATCCTGAGAAAACCTCCAATTCCACCGAGAATCCAAAACCACCGAAGAAGAAAAAATTCAATCGCAAGTAAAAAAATTATTTTCAATTTGCCTTTAGTCAGTTTTTCCCGGTACTAAATTGATTTCTAACTCTAATGGAGTAAAATTATCTTCAAATTTTAGAAAGAAAAAAGAAAACAGTTCACCAACACCTGACATTCCAATTGATCCGAATGAACCAACATACTGCTTATGTAATCAGGTTTCATATGGAGAAATGATAGGCTGTGATAATGAAGGGGTAGGTATAAGTGAAATATAACCTATGTCCCCACAAATCATCTCTCAAAAGCAACACTTTCTTTCTGTTTAGTGTGAAATTGAGTGGTTCCATTTCCAGTGTGTCAATTTAACATCAAAACCCAAAGGACGATGGTAAATTGCCTTGAATAAACTTAGAAATATACTAGGAAATATATGTGTTTACAGTCTGTTTCTATCTCTACAGGTATTGCCCAAAGTGTAGTCAGGAAAGGCAACGTAAAAAGAATGACAAAAATGACAAAACAGAAAAAACAGAGAAATAATACCACAGTTGTGTGTCACTGCTTGTATAAGTTATTTTGATAGACATGTAGATGTTATGAGCTCTATGAACTTTTCCAAATTATTAATTTGCTTCCACAATGTGTTCTTGTAAAACTGTACATTTATTTAGTTATATTGTGTTGACTTTCATGATCTTTTTACTCTGTGATGAAACTAAATTAAAGAGTTTTTTTTATAAACACATATTATTATATTAAGTACTACAGGGAAAAAATAGTTCAGAATTGATAAAGCTCAGATCAGACCAAGTTAGAACAGTTTAGAACTGCAGAGCTCAGAGACTGTTACACCAGCCTAATAATATATATATATTTATAGTACTAAGATTTAGATATGCACATGTTATCATGAAGGTATATGTGTTATATAAACTATTATCAATGTTTCCAATCCAATGAACCTTGTACGAGTAATGAAAAATCATAGTCTAAAGACTAAGATGCAAGCTGTATCTGTTAGCATGGTACAGCAAGATAACATAATTGTTGGTAAAATAGCTTTTCGTTTAATGTTTTGATGATTTTAGGATGATTTCCATCATGAAGACTTACGTCAATATTCCATCAAGATTAATAAATAAGTTTTGCATGCCCTTGGAAAGTAGTTTGAATATCATATGAAGGAGCCTGTCGATCATTTCAGCTGATTCTTGACTTCAAACCTGCAATGTAGCTATCTACATTGTTGTGGGTATTCTTCATTTCAAATCTGCAAATTAGCCAGCTTGTTGCTATCTATTTGATTCCTAATGTTTTCAAACCACATCTTCTTATCCTCAGGTGTTTCTGTTGAGAATACAAAATAGATCTCCGGAAATATAATCCTAAATTAAAGGAATGAAAAAATTAAGTCACTTCATTTGCCTTCCACTCATTCACTCTCGGATACCAAAAGGATGTAACTGCAATTACCCATTGAAATTACCTAAAAGAGTTCTTCTTATCGCTATCATTATCATTTTTCACTTCAATTGCTTTCCTTAAATCTAAGTTATTCAGTGGACAACTTTCCTAGGAATAAGAGAAAATACACATTTTAAAAAATCTTACATAACTCCACTACAGAGAAACCACAGAGACATGAACTACTTACTTTTCCGGGTTTGTAATATGATAGATAATGACCATGAAGTACACACCATCTTCGTTTCCACGACTAAGTTTAATTAAAGAAAATAACAGTTTATTGTTTAAAGAAAATAACAGTTTATTTTAAGCAGAATAGTAATATACTGATACAGTGTTGACAAATAGCATTTCGAACGGTAAAGTGAATCACAATGAATAATTGGAGCTATTTCTTTATATGAACGGGCTCAATCGTCTAAGACTAAGAACTATCAAGAATTTCTAAAAGATGATTGAAAAAGATCGAAGGAGATTACCTTTCTTTCTTTCTTCTTATGAATAAGTCCTTCAACGGTGGAAACCTATAAAATACGGATTCAAGTTATTCTCAAGTATCTCAATGAGAAGTCTTAAAAGATTAATAGTGTTGACCGCACAGCAAGTTTGAAAAAACTTCTTTATAATAAACGAACAAAAATTTCTTTATAATAAAGCGTCTTTTTACACGAAAGACTTCATCAAGTACGAAACGTTTATTATAAAAATATTATGCTGCTGCAGATCTTAGACTTACTCAGACGTGAATAACTTACTTCGTCGCCTAAAATTGATGTTGTAAAACGTTGGAGAGTTGCAACTGATGCTCTTTTTGACGGTGTCGGTGGTGTCATCTTTTCTTCGTCTGGCATATAATGTCGTTTCACTACGCTGTATTCTACTTTTTCTTCATTTTCACAGAGATACGGTTGTTTTAACTGCACGGTGATACCTATATCGTATGAGTTGTAGAAACTTTATAGATAATTTGGAGATAGTGGTTGACCGTGCGAAGTATATTCAATCGTGTTATGATGGTAAGGTGGTTTAGTCGGAAACAGTATGCGATGGTAACTGATTGGTACAGAACAGAGCTTTATAATAATTACGTCATTTAGCCTAGAAGCCTCGCTTAGAACCTCCAGTATTTAATATCTGCAAAACTTAAATAAATAGTGGTTTGTACCTTCATCGCATTCGAGGACAGGTCGTTTGTTAAGGTGACTCCAAATCTCTATCGGACTCCAAAACAAAGCTTGACCAAAACTGTATCGTTCGCCATCGTGCTGGATTTGAAAATGTTTCACAGATTTATCGGTCCTTACTGACACAGTGTAACTCCCTATGGCGGTACTGTTCCGGATCAAATAAAAGCCATCTTTTTCCTGAATAAGAAGCTTCTCTGCAGTGTTTCTTGTTATGCCATTATGAAAACAACTATGTGGGAAAAAAGGCGCAATTTTAAATCGAAACAACGTGGGCGTTTTTGCAAATGCTTGAAGCTTGCAAAACACAGGGGAAACAGGAAGTAAAAATTGAAATTGAATAAAATGCTATGCTTTTCCTGCTTTGCTAAAATTACAGACATTGCAGTGGAATATAATATATTTAATCCGTTTTTAACAGTTTTAGGAAGCACATCTAGATGTGTTTAAACACGTTTTCCAAACGAATAAAAATTAAGGAAGGATTATCTCAAGATTTGAAAGGTTACCACAGCCTTAGCTTTCGTCTAGAGCTCTATTGACTGTCCTCCATAAATTATCGACTTAGTGACAGTGGATTCTTATAACAACTCTGACTGTATAACTTATTCTTAATCTTAGATAAACAGACGAAATCCTGATTATTAATCACTAGTTTGACCACATTGAGACCTTATTCCAGGCAACGGTTATCTAACTTGTTGACATTGTGTGACTTTCATCCCACCGAAAGCAAAACATACACAAATATCAGAACGCGACTATACAGATGAGAATCCTGTTTTTCGTTATATAATCATTCCAACTTTATACATCCTTACATTATTACTGTTGATTGCGACATCGATCTATTTGGTACAAATAATTGTACCAAATCTGATTTGTCATCGATACCTGATGAATTAATGTGTATTTAAAAATGAACAGTTCGATAGCTAGCTCTGGTTCTTTATGACACTAATACTGTTTCGTGTTCTGGCTGAACTTATTATCACCGATATTGTGGTAAAACTATGGATTAAGACTGTGGATTAGAGTTAAGCAATAAAAACAATAACAAATTGACTCACGGAAGCTCCTCCATACGACAATTTGTGTATTCCACCTCATCTGCGCCAGAAACCGAGCTGCGTTTTGAGATATCAGAGTCATTGCTTGCTGTTGAACATAATCTTCTTGGACTCAATGGAGGAAACTCGAATTCATCGTCAGAAGACGAGGAACTTATTGAAATTGACATCGTGATAGATGATTGTGTAGCAATAAATATTCCCAGCGTATTCCAGTGCTATGTTGAAGACTGCAAGTTACGTCTAAGCATCAAGAATGCTTTATTCAAATTATATACACGTAATCTGTTTTAATTAAGATCAGGGGAAATTGTAAACATTGCACTTACGTATTTCTCTATTTGATATGCATGATTTCCCAGAATAATGAAACAAATCAACGGCGACACAGCGAAGGGAACTGTAGCTTCTGTATATATTAAGAATTGACTGAAGTTTGACTGACTTTGAAACGACGCTATATCTTGATTCTGTAAATAGGAGATTTGAATAAGAAATAGATCAAATTACTATCTGAAATCCGGCCTGCCGTATGCAGAATAAAGATTTTATGTAGTAGAGAGACTATAGTCAGCAAGTCTTTTCAGAGAAATAAAACAGCTGGATGATTTGTTAAAAATGATGAACGCAGTCTGAACTGAATGCATGGGACTATGGGAGCAAAGAAAATTCGTCATCTTTTATAAAGAAAAACTTCAGCGATGAAAGATTCGATTATATTATTCACCCTATGACCTCATCTTACCGAATTAGTATTCATGGTATTTCCCAATTTTTCATTATCGTTTTTACTTTTTGAAATGCGTCAATCGTGATGTCGAAAATAAAGAATAAATAATCCTGCAGCAACTGCACTTTTTACAGCAAATTCGCGACGTGTTTGTGTATGGATGTAGAAACTGTATCATGGCTTATAGTTATGCAATCGATCGCGCATTGAACGTCAGAGATATCTCTAGATCTATAGGTCCCTAACACCAGGAAAGTGCATAAAAAAACCGGAAAACCTCCTATGGACGGGAAAAACGACAAAACATTTTTATACTAGAACACAACAAGAACGTTAATTACTAAATTGCGTTTTTTGTCTCACGAAGTTTCGACAATTACGACTCAAACTTGAATGTATGATTGCTATAACCAAGCCTAATTATGTTGAAATATGTGAGCTATCCATCCGTGTCTCGACACGAATATTTTCTTTTTCTTAAAGCATGCAAGGCATGGATTAATATTTTCATAAGACAAGACACTTTCCAGTGCCAAGATGAAAGCAAGGTGAGCTTGACAGCTTCACACCAATGAAAAATCGCGATATGTTCGCGACTTAAAGTCAGAAACTCATACCGAATATTCTCGTTTTGTGAAAATTTTGCAAATTAACTCCCGTGGTGTCACCCTGGTGATAGTTCCAGACTCAAGGCGTTTGAATGAGGAAGTTGAGACTTACCAAGATCCTGTCTTTTGAACCAAGGTTAACAATAGTTTAACCAGGCATGCAAAGAACCAACTCTGATATAACCAAGAAGCAGGGTCTTCGTTATTAACCACTTTCCATCAAATGATGTGTAACATCTGACTATAATGCACTTCTTGACGTTTCAACCTAGGGCTGAAATCAGGTGAGTTAGCATAGATTATACTCATTAATCTATGGAGTTAGTAACTCAGACTAGACCCTAGTCCTCTTTAGCGCGCCTTGCATTCTTGTGACGTCGTCTAGTGGCTGTTAGTCACTGCTTGCAAAAGTGGACTAGGGACTAGTCAGCACCACTGGGGCTTTTAATGCAAACGAACTACAGATACCAGTTGGCAAACCACAATCTTTTGAATATGGTTTTAAAACAATAACACTTGACTTGACATGAACTAAGAACGCAAGCTGTCAGTATCAAGTCAAAGTGAAGTAGTGGATGTAAGGATGTTTCAAAAATACATCCACCAGAGGCCCAGTTGTTCAAAGCTGGATTAGTGCTAAGCCGGGGGTAAATTTTAATCCAGTATTTTAGTTTCTGTGTTTCTGAACCACTGTTTGTTTTAAAACTTAAAAAAATGTGACTTCTATCAACTTCTATCTATCAAGATGCAGATTTTTAACAAAATTGAAAACTTTGAGGACACAACCACTACTTAAACCTTTGTAGATGCCCTAGGAAGCATACCAACTTCATAATGATAACTAGTCAAACCACTATAATGCTTTTACAAGTTTTATTGCAATTATAAAACAGACAAAATACTTTGTAGACATGGTTGGAATCATAGAATAAAAAGTCATTCTTTATCATAATCTATTGTCTCTCTCTCATATGCTCCTTTTCTTCAGTCTTTTTCATAACAATTTTCTTCAGTGATACCAAATTATTTCAGGTCTACAACACGCTGCCTCCAGTTTACTTTGATCTGGCTCGCATTTTTCTGCGTTTTCGTTTCAACCTAACCAAAATTTAGAACATACGACGGATATTTTCAGATGAATTTTTGTAACAAGTGAAAAATCAGATGCTTTTTTCTAACCAACTGCTGCATGAGTATACAACTCTAAAATTGTCTGGTATTTAAAGCCAAATAGAGGATATTCACTAGCTTGTGAACTCTCAAATACGTTCAAAAAACACATGCCACGAGAGAGGTTTACAATTCAACACCCAACTGCTAAATCTTGACTTTCAAAAGGGACCTTGACATGAGAAGCATTCATCCTCTTTTGGGAGACAACCGTGCAGATATATTTGAGGGAATAAAATATATAATGAAATCAGTTGAAAAATATAGAGTTTATACCTTCGCATACGTTTCTTCTTCCACTAGAAACACAAAAATAGTGTGAGTAAAAATCGCATACAACGTGTTACAAATTATGAAATATCTCAACACACAACGTACAGAAATTAAACCCTTTCTACAAGTACCTTGTCCCTCATTCTGGGCTGAAATAATCTTCAGTCCACGATCTATAAAACAGCAATAGTGATAAATATGGACGTTCAAAAATAAAACAAGATTAATAAGGATTCCTTCCACAACAAACACAAACTTACCAATTTATTGAAATGGCGGACATCAAAGAGAAAGTCCCAACAAGCAATGCGCGTTTATGACCGGATTTCTATCACCGGATACTTCATCCTAAGGTATTTTATCCCGGGATATTTTCACTCGGATATTTCAACCTCGGATAATTTTACCCTCAGATATTTCATCCCGGAATTAAGTGGTAGCGGAATTTTGTTCACCGGAACTAATTACACCACTGAGTGGTTAGCCAATAGTCAGTACCTTACTTTCAATGGGAGGGGTTATTCAAGACATTTAGTCCCTGCTTATGAATGATTGCCCTCAGAATACTTCCATTTTTAATGTCTATTTACCTTGGCATGTCATTACCCAAAATTTTAATCCCTTTGTAAACTTTTATGTGTGCAAATATGGCGACAAATGGCCTTGATCGTAATGATAGCAACACGAACCTTTCTGTAATTTGTGAAGACACAGCAGGTCTAGTTGCTGATTTAGGGCGCCTGTTCAAGAGTGCAAAATTTTCTGATGTTCTTTTCATCATTGGAAACAGCAAGGAACAGTTTATGGCTCATAGTTTAATTCTCAAGGCAAGGTCTTTGAAATACCATGAAGATGATTGTTCAGGGTCAATTTATGAACCAAACTGGAGTCCTGAGGTGTTTGAGAATGTCCTGCGCTATATCTATACAGGAAAGGTAGAACAACTAATGTTATCATCCCCAGAAAGTAACCCAATTAGATAAGCCTTGAAAATAGGGATGGTGGAGGATTCTGAACGGAAATGTCTCGAATACGATATGGTTATGAAATATTTGAGCAAAATTGATACATGTTTTATTAGTAGTAAAAGGATCGTAGATCTTCATCTTGTACACTGCTTTCGTTTGTCTTAGGATGGAAATATTTCATGTAATTTAATTTCTTTCCTACAGATTGAATTGACTTCAACAACAAACTTAGAGATCCTTAAAATTGCTGCTAAACTTAAAATGTCAAAGTTGATTTCAAAATGCGAGGAGTATTTCCTAAAAGAACTCTCAATCGAGAATTGTTGCGAGTTTTATCTGGGTTCAATCCATATGGGCATCGAAAGCAGTATCGATAGTGAGCTGGTAAAAATCTCTCAATCTTTCATAGAAGAAAACGCGAGCGAAGTCGTTCAAACGCAAGGATTTCGAGGCCTTAGCAAAGATGCGTTGATACAACTCTTAACTAGCGACAAGGTAGAACATTTGTTTCACACTTTGCTTCACAGCATCAAGTTCAGTTATCATTTTGATATTTCGTGCAGTTTGATTTAGAAGAAGAGGACGTTTGGCGCGCCGTATTGACGTGGGCGAAACATCAAGCAAACGTTGAAACACCTTTGGAAGACTGCACAGAATATGAACGTGAAGATGTCTGCAAGGTAAGAAACCTCGTTGGAAAGGTGAGATACACTAAGCTAGTTGCTGACATGTGATAGATTCGGATAATTCGGTACAATGTGTGTCTCAGATTGAAAATAATCGATTCAAAGTTGAATACGAGTTTGACCTCGGCACTCCCTAACAAGAATAACTCATGAAATAACTCGGCACAAAATTTCGTTGCAGTATTTGAAGCAAGTAATAAACTACGTTCGGTTGCTTCTGGTGGATAGCAAGGTGTTTGCTGAAGAAATAGAACCTACAGGTGCTGTCCCCATGGAACTATCTCTTGAAAGGTAAAAAGGGATAAAATAGAAATAAAAGCAACCTCTATATTTTGAATATTCAAACCGATCACATTTACTATATGACTAGATATAGATTTGCTGCAGTTCCTCAGAAATTTGATCAGAATGATGACATTAGATTACGACCACGCTCTCACACGAAGAGATTTCACGGCACGACAATCTTATGGAAAACTAATTCAAAATATCAATCCATCTTAAATCACTGGTACGTAAAAAGATGATCCAAACGCAGGCCATGGTCACGTCATCCTTCATTGCATGAGCAGTCTCCATTTTTTTGTTTTTAGGTTTGGAAATCCTCACCAAGAATGGCAACTCATTTACAAAGCATCAGAAGACGGATTCTCATCAAAAACATTTCATGAAAAATGCGATGATGTTGAAAAAACATTTACCATCGTTCAGGTGAAGGTTGTAAGAAGGAACACAAATACTATCTCTGTACTGCACTGTAAGCTGATAAATGCAATAACCAATAACCATGAACTTCAATTTTAGGGAGACAATGGCTGTATTTGCGGGGGTTTCAGTGATGTCCCCTGGAAGTATGACAAAGGAAATGGAAAATACAGTCAATCATCGAAGTAAGAACATTTTATACCAGCAAACATTGAAAAAACATCACATTTCACATTTTCTTTCTCAGTTGTTTCCTATTTAATTTGGTCAACTTTGAAGGATTTCCACCGAAAAGATTTAATGTCATTCGACCAAAATTTGCGACATTAAGTCATATCAGGTAAGAAACTTTGTTACTTAACACATTGTATCAACCGTTCTGTGTATTAAATTTGGTATTTTAACTCTACAGTATCGGTCCAACATTTGGGGCAGGTCCTGATCTATATATCGCGCATGACTGTAATGTGAATACAGATTCGTGTTCGAAACTCTCTCATAGTTACGACGGAGACAGTGTTTTGCCAACATCGCTAATGGGAACTGTTAACTTCAAAATCGCTGACTATGAGGTGTTCGCACCTAAATAATAATATATAAGTACAATAGCCTTCAGGAATAAAACGTATAGACCAGAACATGACGTTCCGTGCCATTCCTCTAACATCTTGCAATACAATTAGAAAGACCAAGTTAACTATTAACTGTGGTTAACCTGGGTTCAAAATTCGTGGTAAATTACGCCGCCGGAAATGTCATACATATAAACACACAACTCCAATTAATTCCTGCAAATAACTCGAAGGATCAAGATGTTAGAATCGGTGAAATAAGCAATTTAGTATATATAAATGCATTTCTTTTGAAGCAGTACTTTTTTATCATACAGTTGGTTATGAAATTTCTAATCGACAGTATGATAATTTAAAAATTTAATAACCATTATTTTACCACAATATACTATTTTCTAACTGACCAGACTGCTAATTCTCGTATTATTAACCACCTAGATTTGTCTGTACTGAGTTTACTAATTATTAACTTGACGCATTTTACATTTGCTATTTTTGTTGCGCCTGAATCAACCTTTCCTTTGCTGGTCTTACTAGGTAATAATTTATATGCATTCTCCTCACATTTACCATTCCTGGACATTTTGCTCGTGCTCAACTCCCCCTCTTCAATAATATCATTCGGAGCAAACTGGCTCCCACTCTCAACCACCACACGAAGCAGGGTAACATCTTTCATAAACTCAACGATGATAAAATCATTGAGACGAGGCGCCTTGCCCCAGAAGTAGCCAAGGTCTCGCAATCTGTAGGGTCCATCCACGGTGTTGGACTCAAATACCTGAATATTAGTTGAAATAAAAGCGGACGGATTTGTGGAGTCGGTATATCGTCGTTCGTTAACACGTACTTTTTTCAAACCTCCTTCAATTTTACGAGTCTGGCCTTTGAGCGATGACTCGCGACCAAGATGTTTGAATAAAGATGGTCGATAGATGTCTCTGGGGCTGTTACCATACAGATGCACATCGTTGAAGTGTCTGAAGAGGATATCCACGGGAAATATCCAATAGTACATTTTAACAAACAAAGCAAGTCTTCCTAAATCAGACGCTTTGAAAAGCATTCCAATAAAACCCGACGTACCAAATTGCAAATTTGACCATTTCGATGGACCACGTACACGAATAAAAGATTTCATCTCTCGAAAATATGTTTGTGAGACAGAAACATCGTCCTCTAGCTGGAGGTAATAGTGGCCGAGATAGCGACAATACGCAAACAATAAGGCATAATCGATGCATTGTTTTGATCGCCACTTGATGCGATCAGGCTTATCTTTCCATAAAATAGGCAAGTCGGTTAGCTTTGGATAAAACGACAGGTCCGGTTTTATCACCTCAATAAGACCAGCAGCAACCTCTTTTGCAAACTCTTTTTTTATAAAATTAGCAGTTTGTGTATTTGCCAGCTGTTCAAAGTTTGCACTGAAGACGACGATATGACATCGTTTGGTCTCGTTTTGATCTAGATATTTTACTAAATGGCGTAGTGTGGATGAAATATAGTCAGTCGTATCTCGCTTGACCGTTGGTATACCAATAACAATGTCCACTGTAAAAGTAATTAGGCTACTTTTAACTGGCTTTTCACCATGTTACAAATCCCCCTGAACCTCCAAAGTTCAGCAAAATATTTATAATTTTGTAGTAACTTTTATACATATCAACCCTAAATTTTAAATTGATATCCAAATCCCCATCCCTTCCACAACCCTCTGGCTTAGGTAGGTGGGGGGAGTCCCGAGTAAATCCATTCCATAGAACATTTATTCTTACCTGGTTTTGAAGGTGGCCTGCCTACCATAGACATGACATTGGGATTAAATTTCAATCTGTCAGATGCATGATCAAGGTTATCTTCTTCTTTTTCTATTGGACTGAATTTCTTAGCCCATTCTGTAAAAACGTCCACACTGTCCGCGTTTCCTGAATTATTACCAGGAGCTCTCTCAACAGTTGGAAAATCTACAAAAATTTAGGAAGTTGGCTCTGAGAAATGCATTCAATGTTCTCTTCAACAAACCAAGTTAGATAATCATTCATGTTGTTGGGCAGGAATTAATACAAACCTATTTTGCGATTCTCCTCTTGATTTACGACAGATACCTGCTGAATTTCTTGTGTTCTAGGTTGGGTGACAACTGCAAAATGAATGAAAAAATATGCTTAATAAAGGAGATGGATATTCCAGTCATAATCTTCATTTTTAAGTAGACTACAACCCACAATAACAAATAGCACCAAAACTCCAACACTAAATCATTTATGTCTTTCACCTTTGACAAGGGGCTTGAAAGCTGGTGGTAAAGTGTCTCCAGCATCATTTTTGTAGTTCAAAGGACCTAAATAAACATTTGATTTAATAATAACATTTTAAACGATTTTGGAGCAATCAGTTATGATTTTCGGCACTTTATTGATGCAGATAAATTCTAAAGGTTCAAGGGGTCTTAATTTCAAGTGGAATGGAACAATTATAGAATACCTGGCCAATCTAACTCTTAACAGTGAATGGCATATAGAACTACCTTGTTTTATGTTACTTGATGCATGAATTGAATTTTTAAAGAAAAGGGCAGTTCTATACACTAAAATTGATCCTCTAACAGACCTAGCTTTCACATAATGCACTATTGGCCTGGTATTCTAGAATTATACCACCATTTCTTTACTAAAAATGCACTCAGTTCAACTTATTTATTGCTGTTTTAGTTATATATAACTTGATTCTTGAAGCATTTTATTATATGAAGCACTCTAAGTAGGGATTGATCATAGATTGTTTGGACTGGATTCAAAGCTATAAACTTTAAAATCAATACCAGTGTCTCAAATCAACTGTTGAACTAAGGTGTTCTCAAGATTTTTAGATATGGTCTATATTCACTTATATAAATAACTATAATTTCAATGGTAATGCTGGCATGAAATGATATGTTTTGTTTTTTGTTAACAGGGTGTCATGGAAATGATTCAGGTAAACAGGTCAGGGGCATCTGCCACGTTGAAGTTGCATGAACAATACTGCAAATATATTTGTACTTCACATTACAATATCATATTTCTCACACATTCGGTTAATAATTAACTTTACTTCTAAATACTCGTGCTAAATTTTAATCCGTTGAAAACAAAATCCGAAATTTTACACGGAAAAGAATTCATAGCGTAGCGTCGGTTTGTAATTGACAGGAAGAACATATTACAATGCATGAAGCATTTGAATAAAAAATGCCTGCTTGTAACTGAATTTTGAACTTTAAAACAAAATATCTATATCACTCCACAGTCCTGCCAGCTCTTGTTACGGTCGCAACGCCGAGGAGTCCTTTGTCTATTTTAGGCAGTTGTTTAGACCACAATATTTAAGATAAAACTATCAATATGTTTCACTTTAACTTACCCAAATAAATAAGAATGATAACAGTATTAACAAACGACAGTAACACGGCCAGAAGAATTGTATGTCCAATCTTACAAGGTATTTTTCGAATCATTAAGTTCTAAAGTTCAAGAGGCTCGCGTCCCCAGCTGCGTCTTCGGGTTTTCAATAACCGTGGTTGTCTGCCTCTGGGTTTTTTAAAACTTTACCACAGCGATCATTGCTTTTCCTCCTTTGAAACGAAGATCATAACTGGCTGGTGTTATGTGTAGTACTTATCAGAACATAGACTCTTAATAAAGCGAAAAATAAGTGTACAATCAATCGCTATTATTATGGCGGTAGTCAATAATCTCGGCACTGTATGTAAAATGGCTGTATCGATGTCAGGAAGATACTGTCGTGACGTCAAATGGAGGACAAGTGATGTATCACAAGGAGTCATGGTGGTTACATTGTGGCTTTTTTTGAGGTTGTTTTATGCATAGCAAGACATCTGCAACATGTTAATCTTCACTTGTATATAAGAGAACAATAGACGGTTGACCCCATACGTTGGCAATCCACAGTGTGGCAATCTCACAATCTTTGATAATGGGACGCATTCATTGTGATATTAACATTTGAAAATATCTCATCAACTCACGCAATCCCAGGCTCTTTATAGAGATCACAAAAACGAGAGAATTTGCGGTTTTCCTCTGCAGTTTTCCCAACAATAGATTGAAAAGCAGAAATGCTAAAATTGTCTTTATTTGTCGGAAATTTTAGGTACATATATATTCGGATATATTTGTTTGTAATATATTATTTACACTGAGATAAAACTTGGCGCTATTATCTACGTAATAAAAACAAATCTACAAAATACAAATATGATTAGAAATCATCGATCTCATCCATAAAATCATTGACAATACGTTGGGCATAGTGACCAGAAAAGATTACTGGTATTTTCATAATGTTGGCTTGGTTGAAGTACAGCGCCCAGACGTCATCGCTGTATTTTCTTATCATACCAACTCCATCAACCAACGTATACTCTTCAAACTCTTCAGACGTGACCTCTAAGTTTATGACTGCTTCAACATCGTATTTGGCTTGAACTGGATTTACGTTTTGTCTTGTTCCAAGGGTAATATGTGTGCTTGCATCTGAACAGTTATCGCGTCTGTCTGTAACTGGGCGAGCACTATCCTCTAATGGTAATTTCTGCAAGGATCTTGTGATTCCTTGGACAGCCCATGGTGAAACGACTCTACCATACCCGTGACCTGTACAGACATATAATTACAAACGCGATTCTTCTTTAATAGAAAGAAAAACAACAAAATCTTTACCTTTTCTTGGACAACGTTGGTCTTCCTTCATCCACAATTTACGTTGCGTATTTGTGAGAGTGACACGAGCGCTGAAGGTGTTTTCGGTTACAACTAAACCAACGATGGACACAAATGAGATCTGACCTAAAGCACCCACGACTGCTCGTGCTTTGTGATATGGTGAACCGCCCAGGTATTTTCCTCGAGGTGAAAAACATGCGGTGACGTGGTATGGCTCCTTTTGCTCGTTCATCAAGTAGTAAGACACGATGTCATCAACCGTGAACTCTTCAGTGAAACGAGCTATAAGATGAACAAGGAATGGAAACAAGGAATGGCATTATGGCAATAATAAGAAACCATTCTAATAAGTAAAATTAGCCAGGTTTAATCGAAATGAAACAAAAATCTATTCAATTCACCTGCGAAAGCTTTGATAAAGTGTTGGAACTCGGCTACTTGTAAGCTTTTCGACAAAATATCTTTAGCCATTGTCGGCAGTTTCACACTATCCTCTGGTGAGAGAAACCAACCAAAGTAATATGGCAAAATTTCATCAAAATCCTCAAGTCGTTTAAATATAGTGCCAAGTGGAACATTGTGGGGAGTTTTCTTAACCAACTCTCTAGCCTGATGCTTCCACGGAGTTTTTGGTTCAACCAACACAACAACGTAGCCATATTGTTGAGCTATCTTCATGTAAGGTTCCACTTCAAATGTTCTTATATTTGTGTTGTCTGAAAAAAAAGTTATCCAAAAATGATCCATGGGGAATCTCAGCTGTAAATCATGATCTAACTAAATGGTACCTAACTCTATGGACATTGTGTGCAATTTAAACCAGCCCCTAACCTTACCTATGATGATCGAAGGTTTGCCAAGAGCAGCAAATTCCTCTGCCTTTTTTTTACATTTGTTGTGTGTTTCCTCCAGTTTTTCTTTTTGCCACACATACTCTCCATTCTCATTGTAACGAAAATCATCAGCAGAACAAACAATGGCTTGATCTTTAGCCTGCTCCAAGATGGCTCTGGCAACAGTGGTCTTGCCACTTCCTGGTGCACCTCTCAATATAAACATGACATGAAACTGTGCTAATAAACGGATTGTTTCACAATGTTCTATAAATGGGAAGTTAAGAAACTGTTGTTTCTTTTGGTCTGTTGTTGGTCTACTGTCATTTGGACAATCCTCATTCCTATACCTTTCTTGTACATGATTATAGTCTCTATCGCCCCTAGGGCATTGTCCATAACCTTTTGTGGTGGGGCCACTACCTCCTGCGGTGTTACCATCCACTCTTGCATTCTTGTTACCCATTTTTGTGGTGTTGGCATGTCCTCTTGTTGTACTACTACCCCATCTTGTGGTGTTGCCATGCCCTCTTGTCGTATTGCCACCCCCTCTTTTACTACCCCCTCTGTGGTGCTGCCACTCCCTCTTGTTGTATTGCTACCCCCTCTTGTTGTGTTGCTACCCCCTCTCATGGTGTTACCTCCCCCTCTTGTTGTATTGCTACCCCCTCTCATGGTTTTACTTTCCCCTCTTGTTATATTACCACCCCCTCTCATGGTGTTACTTCCCCCTCTTGTTATATTACCACCCCCTCTTGTGGTGTTGCCACTCCCTCTTGTTGTATTACCACCCCCTCTTCTCCCCCTCTGTTGTATTACCACCCCCTCTTGTGGTGTTGCCTCCCCCTCTTGTGATATAACCATGCCCTCTTATGGTGCTGCTATGCCCCCGTCCTCTGTGAGACAACCCATCCCTGTAATTATTTGTGGGATGTACTTCATTCTGTTCTCTGTCAGAAGGCCTGCCCCTTTGTTGGTAGGTGGGGTGATGGGTTCCATTCCATCCTCCATAAGAATAACCACCCACTGGACCATAAGAAGGATACATTGATTCGTTCCATTCTCCATAGGCTGACCTACTTATGTGATTATAGTTAGGATACATTTCATTCCATCCTCCAAAAGGAGCTCCACCCATGTGACTGTAGGGTGGATTCATTGTAATCCATCCTCCATAAGAAGACTCACTCATGTGACCATGCGGAGGATATGCTACATTTTGATTCTCTACAGAAAAAAAATATTCACCAGCTGTCATTTTGCTCCATGTTTAATAGATCAACTGTAAACAAAATTACCAAAGATACCTCTGCTGTTTTGGTTTCCATGTCTAGGGTGGCCACGACCATACGAGCCTCGATTTGAGTTCCATCTCCCCCGCTGCTGCTGTGTGTATTCCATCTCTACTGAGAAGCCAATTTTTTAGAGGGAATGATAAAATCCAGAGCCATTCTCTTCTACACAATCCACCTTCATAATCTCTTTTTGAAATTGCTCTCAAGATCCAAAATCATCTGAAATACAAAAATATATCCTTTTTAAGAGAATATTACCAAGAACGACAATCATGCAAGACATAATCTAATTACGTATATGGAAATATAAGGCTAATATATAGCAATAAGATCTAGATGTTTAAGGTTAATTTACATCAATTCTCAATAGAAATTCATCATTACTATACGACTTTCTCAGACGGTACTGTCCGTAAAAATGAAAGTATATTATAGAGTTTAATCAGTCCGCCTTTCGTAGAATATACCTGTCAGGAAAGCAATGCTTTAATAGCAATACGTAAACAACAATGTCTACAAAATTTGAATGAACAGACTGTACTTTGAATGAACAGAAATAAAGTCACTTCGTTCACGATGAAGTTCTGCACATCGTTAATCAGAATACAACGAAATAAAGTTTGATCTTATATCTTCTTAAAGAATATCAACGATAATCTTACCTCGAGTAATGCGAAAAAACATCACATATGACCTCTGCATCACAACACAATGAGTTTGTTTACGTTTTACACCCTGCACAGGTAGCCCAAAGCACAGAATACCTTACAGAAGTGGAACTCCTGTACTTTTTTCGTAAGTGTTATTCGTCATGATTCGTCACTTAGCAAGTGCATTTTTTTGAGGAAGTCACCCCCCTGCCATTGTCTAAAATCAATCCATTTTTAGTATTGGCAGGGGGGTGACTACCTCAAAAAAATGCACTTGCTAAGTGACGAATCACACTTACGAAAAAATAGTATAGAGTTCCACTTCTGGTAGGTATTCTGTGCCCAAAGGCTTAACGATAAAAGAACGGGGTTTATCAACTAATGACTTCGGTTTGTCCCAATGTTAAATTTACTCTTTACAACAGAAAATAAATGCGAAAATTGAAACTCCTCTATATTTTCACTTAATATTGTTGTTCACACTTTCTTTTTTCACTTTCTGTTAATGTTTAATAGAGAAATTGTCAATTTCTAAATTGACGAAATTTTCAGGCTGTGTCGGTATGAATTGTTATGCACAAATTGGGCTTGAACCAAGTTAATAGACTCTCATCTCATACTAGTTTTTCACAGATTCAATTTTTTGTTTGTATAATGGGGACGATTTGTGCCAATTGATGATATTTAATTCTAAGATAATTTTCATGTTTTGTCTTGGTGTTTTTCAAGCAAATTTCGTGTTAAAATTTCCACACTAGCATCGTCTAGTTCTGTCTTTACTGCATCTTGATTATCTGCCAATATATCTTCAATATTTCTAAAAGAAACAACCTAAGTATTAATGGGTGTCCTCTAACACAAACATACGCATTTACCATAACGCGCAATACCTGCTCTTATCACCAAACCAACCAAGGTTATCCGCAACGAGATGATGGCTGGAACAGCTTGGACATTTCACTATAACCACACCCTTATTATACGCCAATTTGCTGAAAACTTTTGAGGACCTTGCATCGCAAACTTTGCATGTATAAACGATGGCTAATCTCCCTTCTAAAGTTTTTTCGACTTCTGTTGAAAGAAATCTGTACGTAAAAATACTTGAACGTTTGGCTTGGCAGGTCTTCAAAGTTAATCTCGCTTTAGAAGCGGCTAAAAAAATTGATCGCGCCTTTCCCGTCGCCATTTTGAACTTCAATTTCTTCTGGTAAAATGGACACGCGTGTGTGGAGGTGAAACACGCGTGTTTGCAGAGGCGTGTCTTGAATCAAAGAATGTTTATGCAAACCAATTATTGATTAATTAATAGGCAATTCCCATTATAGCAAAGCATCATGGGAAATGTGGTAACCTTGTCTTGCAGGCGAAATGCCCGCCATCGAAGCGAGCATTTCGCATGCGAGAAGTATCGCTTTTTTAATACGCTTTTTTCGCAACATTTGCTAACTTTTAATACATCGACGTGTTCCTAATGCTGCAAAGTTTGTTTTGTTCAAATTGCATTGCAATCGAAGCAAAAATGAGCTTAAAAATGTGCACCGAACAACAGAGGGAGCGGAAAATTGGTTCGTAAATACGTTCTAAGAGGACGTTTCTTCTTGTCCTTTTGAGGTGAGTACTTTTCGCAAGCATTCTACATCCCACCATTTTGACCTACAAATGCGTGCATGCCATTGCTCGATGTATACAAAGTAATTTCACAACGATCGAGTATTTTGTGCGGATTCTTTCGCTTGTTGAAATCGACAAATGTTTATCAAAATATCTGTCGATCGTTCGATCAGCATGGCGTTCAAGGGCAATACGTTCAAAGGGGCTTTAAATCTTTTGGCGCGAAATTTAAGCAACCCAAACCGGTTTTATCCGACCCGGCACTGTTACTTTGCTAAAAACGCTAAGAAGAAAGCAGTTTTGACTTTGGTTGTTCGTTTATCTGCTCTTTTTGTTGTCGACGGCTCATTTCCACTTTCTCGTAGAATTATTCAAGTAGGGTTATAGTATTAAAATATTTTTATAGTGCTAGATATATTAAATTCGTAGGTAAAGCTATTTAATATTAACGATTTAAAATTTAACATAGTATAAATAAGTACAATATATTTATAGCTTAGGTAATTTTTAAAATTTACTAGATATAGAAGCTAGGCTAGGTCTAAAATATTATATTAATTTATTAGGCAGGCCCTAATAATAAAAACTTCTAGTAAGTTTGTACATATTTAATCTTAAAATCATAGTTTTAAAATTCATAAACATATAAGTTTAAATTAAGTAATATAACTTTTTACTATGGATAATGAGCCAGAAACTTCATTGGGGGCAGATAGAGATTTAACACCACTATTAGATGGGTGGACAAAAAGTTTGAAGAACTGTCCAGTTTTTACATACACACAGTTAGAAAAGCATTTGATTCTTGAGGATAAAAATACAACTGATGGCAAACCTGCTGAGGCTTTTAAGCACAAGAAAAGTGGCTACAAGTTATTTAAAGCTGGATATCCAAGACAGTTTCGGGTGAAAGCTAATGTAAAGGATGGAGATGATAAAGTCCATTTTCTTGTCCGGTGCCATGTTAATGCAGAAATGAAAAAGAAACAATATCTTGTGAATGTTAACTTTGAACAAAGTTCAGGGAATGTTGTCTTGGCAAATTGCTCTTGTCCTGCTGGTGCTGGTGGTCGTTGCAAGCATGTGGCAGCTACTTTATTTCAGTTTCTTGATTATATTGAGCTTGGCCTATCAGATATACCTGACGACAAAACATGCACCCAGGAGCTACAGACATGGCATATCCCCAAAAAGAACACAACACAAGAAGCCCTATTATTTGAAGATTTGATGCCCCCAGGATACATATGATAAAGATAAAAAAGGTCGAAAGCGTCCAGTGCCTGAAGGGAAAAGAGATGGGTATTGCTCAACAAAAGAAAAGGTCTCAAAAGCTAATTTGGAGTGTCTTAAAGCAGGTTTGGAAAAAGCAGGAAGTACAAGTCATTTAGTCGGTATCTTAGACAATACAAAGTGTGAACCATGTGAGTTTGATGTTAATGACTTACCCTCAAGACAGAGAATTGTAGGTGCAAAAGGAGTGGGTGACAAACTGGACTACACTTCAGTAAGATCAAACATTCTGCAAAGGCTAAATGGAAAATTAGATTGTACCTCTATTCCTGATAAAGAAAAAAGTATGGAATTTGTCATGGAGAGATTATTTGTCGATAACGAAGGTTGCAAGGAAATTGAGAAGAACACACGGAAGCAAAACAAATGCAATGAGTGGTATGAACAAAGAAAATGTCGGTTGACCTCATCATTGTTTGGTTGTGTGGTGAAGAGAAGAAAATCAATCTATCCTAATAGTATTGTGAACAAAATTACAAAGCCATCTCAGACCAGGAGTGCGAGCTGTCAATGGGGAATTGAAAATGAGCAGAAAGCATTGGTAAGATATCATCAGTATAAAGATAGTTTAAAAGAACACATAAAACTTTGTGCAGCCTGTGGATTGATCGTAAATCCTAGATGGCCATGGCTTGGTGCAAGTCCAGATGCCCTCATTTTGGATCAAATAACTATATTTGAATGTGCATATTATATTCACATAATTTAAATATAATGATTGTCTGAACAATTTACAGTGAATTCATTATAATTTCATTGTACAATATATTTAATTATATATTTAAACATTGAGTACTTTAGAAAAACTATTGGTTTATAACATAACAATTCATTCATTCTTCATGTAGTTGAACTTGAATTAAGGGTCTGAAAAACAATGTTAAATATGAGCAAATGACCCAAATCTTGTTCAGGTCTGCAGCCATTGATATTGGCAAGTCGAATTTAAGAATACGAAAGCTCTTAATCCTCTGGATAGCTCTTTCAACATGTATCCTATGTTTTGCAATCCGCCGAGTTTCAATTTCTTCTTCTTCAGAAAATTGAGCTCTCTCACCAAGGAATGGGGGTATGTTCAAAGAGACACCATGTGGTAAATCCTCCTCAATTTCAAAGCCTCTATCTGCCATGATCTGATCACCAACTTCCAATAACTTAAAGATGCCACAGTCTTTTGTCAGTTGTTTGTCCGATGTATTACCTGCATACAGCTCAGAAACAAAAGTAAGGTCCCCTCTTGGAGATATTCCAATAAGACCTTTGCCGGTGTTATGATTCTTGTAGGTGGAAAATGTTGCGCTTTGGCTTCTTGGTTGGGATGGTCTATCGATAAATAACTCAGTACAGTCAATTATAACTCTTGTGTCTGGATAGGTTTCCTTGAAACTCTGTGGCATTGTTTCTCTAACATAGCTTTGTGATGGCCAAATGGGGATGGATCTTAAAAATCTGTACAAAAAGTCAAGCCAGGTAATCCAAATTCTTGACACTTGGGATACAGAGATGTTGAACCTTTCAGCTAAGTCCCTTTCAAGCAAACCCAGTCTCAGTCTTGTAAGACACATGAAAAGTTCTTCCTCAGGAGACAAAAATCTCTTTGGTCCACACTTCTGGTTGTTGGTTTGTCCTGAATTATTGGAAGATCCAACATATCTTAATCTTTCACAAGATGGACAAAGATAATCATAAAATGCCTTAAATGTACTGTAGCTAGAAAATCCAGTATAAAACTCAAAATCACTATTGTTATCTTTAAATCTTTGAATTGAGAAACGACATTGAATTTTTCTGTTTAGGTCAAAAATTTCTTTTTGTTTCTTTTCATTTTCCTTCTGAAGGTTCTCTACTAGCGCTTCAAGTTCTGAAACCTTAGCTTCTAGACTTGGTCTTTCATCTTCTCTTTCACTTTCTTTAACTACATAAATCCTCTCCCTGCATTTAAAAGTTGTTCTTGGCTTTGCTTGTTTGGGCTGTAATAGTTTTTCCACTATATTTGGAACATTATGAAGGCATGTCTTCTTGCCACCAACAAAATGTTTTGAACAGACTCTATGATGTTTTTTTGGTACAAAATTAACCCTTCCAATCCAATGCAACCACATCTTCCTGAGCTTTTTATCAGTTGGAATTACATAAAATGAAAGTTCTGGGTTATTTCTAGTGTTACTATCACAACTAGGAATGCAGCAAGTTGTTCCCCCTCCTTTATACTTTCTTTTAGGACATGGAGCTTTTATCTCACCTCTATCTGCCCCCAATGAAGTTTCTGGCTCATTATCCATAGTAAAAAGTTATATTACTTAATTTAAACTTATATGTTTATGAATTTTAAAACTATGATTTTAAGATTAAATATGTACAAACTTACTAGAAGTTTTTATTATTAGGGCCTGCCTAATAAAATTAATATAATATTTTAGACCTAGCCTAGCTTCTATATCTAGTAAATTTTAAAAATTACCTAAGCTATAAATATATTGTACTTATTTATACTATGTTAAATTTTAAATCGTTAATATTAAATAGCTTTACCTACGAATTTAATATATCTAGCACTATAAAAATATTTTAATACTATAACCCTACTTGAATAATTCTACGAGAAAGTGGAAATGAGCCGTGCGACAACAAAAAGAGCAGATAAACGAACAACCAAAGTCAAAACTGCTTTCTTCTTAGCGTTTTTAGCAAAGTAACAGTGCCGGGTCGGATAAAACCGGTTTGGGTTGCTTAAATTTCGCGCCAAAAGATTTAAAGCCCCTTTGAACGTATTGCCCTTGAACGCCATGCTGATCGAACGATCGACAGATATTTTGATAAACATTTGTCGATTTCAACAAGCGAAAGAATCCGCACAAAATACTCGATCGTTGTGAAATTACTTTGTATACATCGAGCAATGGCATGCACGCATTTGTAGGTCAAAATGGTGGGATGTAGAATGCTTGCGAAAAGTACTCACCTCAAAAGGACAAGAAGAAACGTCCTCTTAGAACGTATTTACGAACCAATTTTCCGCTCCCTCTGTTGTTCGGTGCACATTTTTAAGCTCATTTTTGCTTCGATTGCAATGCAATTTGAACAAAACAAACTTTGCAGCATTAGGAACACGTCGATGTATTAAAAGTTAGCAAATGTTGCGAAAAAAGCGTATTAAAAAAGCGATACTTCTCGCATGCGAAATGCTCGCTTCGATGGCGGCCATTTCGCCTGCAAGACAAGGTTACCACATTTCCCATGATGCTTTGCTATAATGGGAATTGCCTATTAATTAATTAAAAAATTAAATACATATAGATTGAGTGAATAAAATACAAATTTCGTAATCTTATTTAGAAACGTTTGTAGGATTTTGTGCATTGCAATTATTTTTCAAATGTGAAAACGGGCGCTACCTATTTTAAACTAGTTTTGTTTCGACTTACATGTCCTGACACTATATACACGTAAATGAATATTTTGATATGCATATTATAGTTCCTAAATTCAGCCAGGGCTCGATTATATTATATTATATCTACATGACTTAACAGCCATTTGACACACAGAACGTGTCGTTTAATTAGATGAGCGTGGACACACAAGACCTCATATTTTATCGTTGTTTTCTCGAAAACATTCCATGGTTCATTTTTAATCGTTTCACAGCCGAACCAAAGGGTACTCACTCCACCGAATCGACTGAAAACACAAGCAACTGACCATCCTCAACACCAAGAAAGATATGTGAATCGTCATCAATCTGCATTGTAATTGTGCAGATTTTCACTCGAACATCCAAATTCCGTTGATTGTCCAAGCTAAACAATCGAATAACTGTTTTATATAATGTTCGGGGAGTTGACTTGGAATGCAGGAATTCAACTCTATTGTGTCAATGTCAAACGGTCGCAAAATTGTTTGGTAAAACATGGTTTTCTATCACTGTATGCAAAGGGCTTACCTTTGGAGGCCTTTGATGGATAAAGTTCCAGCTGCTGTCCCCAGTAATACATAATCATCCCGCACTACCAACGCAGTCACCTCATCTTTGACATTAATACATTTCAACATCTTACCGTTCACAGAAAACTTGTATAAACGAGCCACTTTGTTCTCTTCCCACGTCGAGAAAATGATGTCTCCAAACTTGGAGAGAGCGAGGTTTTTTGGCTCAATGTTAGGAGTGGGTGAGAGGTCGAGTACGCGAACAAAATGGCCTTTCCTCACGGTGTGGATGATACAACGACCGTCCTGGAAAGAACCAGGATTTGGGTCATGGCAGGAATACAAACAGAGCCAGTCAAAGCGAACACGAGGGACAAAATTCTGATTTCAACGCATGTCAACTGGAAATACTACAGCAAAAGTTACAATGCTCGCGATTTCAATCAGTCTATGCAATTTAGTTGCTTAGAAGCCGAAAAGGCATGGTTATATGATAAGTTTATTATCTACCTGGTCCCCGCTGACAGCTATATCAAGTTCCCAACTCATAACAACGCACACAACTTGACTGTCATGACCATACAGCACTTGCAGTGGTTTACTGCTGACGGTCTGAGCCGTGCCAGAATGATGGTTGATTGACCATACCATGCATGTCAGATCACGTGATCCGCTGATGAAATGGTGACCATCTCCATCCAGGTTGATGCACGAGACGGTATCTGAAAAAAGATGAAGAAAAACGTCCCGAATTGATGTTTAATCTTGACCATAATCTAGGCCTTTACTGCTTCCTTACCATTATGATAAATGAGACGTTGAAGAAGTTTTGCCTTTGCTGTGAACACACGTATACTGAAATCCCAGTGACCAGCAGTAATCACGAGTTTTCCATCGTGGGTAACGGCAAACTGATGCGGGCCAACCTCAAGACTGGGAGAGAACGGGGCAGCTAAGCACCTTGATAAAAAATAACAATAAAATTTACTCCAACAGCACATTCTCCTGTGTTCATGAAATTCGAACGTGGACGGGCAAAAATGCGCACACTACGAGAATCAGCATCATCGTACCTATGGTGAATAGATTTCGTGACAGTTGCATCAACATTGAATGTGAATGGTTTGGATCTAGATGCAGGCAGCCACTGATGCTCACCAATCACACCTTGATTACTGATCGTGATTAAAGCATCGTGATTAATGTTTATCATTGATGTGGTTTGTGATTGACCAATCTTAACGTACACCAAACTCTCCTCATTGTACAACTATGATGGAAAAAATGAATCATGATTTGAGTTTTTACTTTGCTATCAGACACTCTAATTTTCATGGATTCACCTTTATAGCGTGGGCTTTTAACTGTCCAGCGTCGCTGAAGATGCTCTTCAAATTGCCAGGTACAGCGGTGTGTTGCCGCATGCGCAGTTCCTTCGCTTCGTCACAGTTCATGCGTTTCGGGTGTGGCTCAGTGAGCAGCTGGGTTGGAGTTTGTCCAAAATTATTAATCATTCCTTCAGTGTACTCTCGTTCCTTTGGGTCCGTGATTGCATCAAGATCAACAGCACCTGTTGAAGAAAGAATATGTCAGTGAAATCCGCACGAGGAGGTTAGAGAGAAATGCAGTATTTTCAGGAAAGGCATATATACCTTCATAAGTGCAATGGAAGAAAACATTGAGAGCTTCTTCGGCTGCACTTCCGCGCTGTTTATAACCAAATATCAGATCAATCCAATGGTGAAGGTTCTCGGAAACATAATCGGACTCAAGGGCCGAGCGATGTTTGTGAACAAAATCCTCCGGAGAGTTTGCCCACTTGGGTAACACTACATCGTGGATCCGCTGACCAGAGTGTAGGATACCAAGGTCGTAATTATTCAAGTTCGTAAGAAATTCTGGGAGATAGAAGAACTCCGGGATCAATTCTTTCACGTCACTTCCGTTGTTATAGATCGATTCCCATGTCGCAACGAAGGAATGAAACTGCCTGTCAGAGACGTCAAAACGACCACTCTGCAGTTTGATGTGAAGCGAGGTGAATGGTTCCATACGAACAAGATAATGCAAGACACCAGCAGCAGTTGAGTAGTGGGTACCATAGTGGAATTTAGGAATTGAACCTGACGGATCAACAAACATATCGTACCTAAATATTGGTTAGAGAGTTGTAAGATATTAGAACTATTCTGCGGCTCCAATATCAGCTCCAATATTTGTTCCAGCTCTATCTTTCACATGCAGAACGAAAACCAACACAAATCTCATGAAAGCTACACTTTTTGAGAGTATTTTTGGGCATGAAACAAATTCTGACTAAAAGATAGTTGAAGACATTTGCAGCGGTGTCGCTGAAGAAACTAGCTTATAGATTGCCTTTAAACAAGAAAAACAAATATACACTTACTTTTCTTTAATTTCCTTAGCCCTTTTTTCATTCATGGCTCCAATCGGTTTGGACAAATCTCGATATACATCCGGGTTATTAAGATCCAGCTCTGCTGACGTGTAGTCCTTTAGTATCCATGGAAACACGGGGTACTGACTTAAATCGTTGTACGTTCGACCAGCGATCGTATTAAGTTGAATTAAATAATCAAAATTCGATATCTCCCGCCTGACCCATTTCTTAACGAGCCCCGAGGTCTGCAATAGTTCGGCCGGAGATCGGACAGCGCCGTAATAAAGATTGCTTGGTTTGAAAGACATGATTACGCTGTACGCTAAGTTTCTTGTCTAGGAGAACAGAAGATACTCTTTTAAAATGAAGAAATCAGAAGATGAGACTATACTGATGACTCGAACGTGATTTCCAGTTTTGTTAAAAGGAGCTCTGAAGATCATGAACAAACAACACTTTCTCGTACCTCTTTTGTGAAGTTGATGAAGTAGTTTGTTTGATCAACAAGGAAGAACTCCAAAGCGCTTCTTCTATGATTGAAATTTCTCAAATGTAGTTCTCTCAGTTGACTGAGAGCAATCTTGAAGTCCCAGGAGGAACCATCGTCCACACACTGTCTTTCCGTTGTTGTAAAACTCACAGACGAAGATGAAATATCGACATGACCTGGGACAGTTTCCATCAGAGTGATTAATTCACACTCGAATTTACTGGGTGCTGCTGTATCAGTGACATTGTCGATAGATCTAAATATATAAATTGAACAGCAGCCAAATTAGAGATGTCAATCAAAGAAGGTACTTGGGTTTTTTAGATATTTTCAATAGTTGGAACATACAGCGTTCTGACTTTGATCATAATATAATTTATGTTGCATTTAATAAAGTTATCTAGCATTAATCCATTGTCATTCTTGACTTGTATCGAAAACAGTAGACCTTATCAGATCTGCCCGGTAAAGGTTTACATAAGGAATGTCACCCACAGCATTACTTAGAAGAAGAGTTTCACTTACTGTACAACTTGAGGAAATTCGACATTTTCTGTCTCCTCCAGTCTCTCCGCGGCGTAGTGTTTCAAGAGGACGTCATCAGCCACAGCTCCAGCGAGGATCTTAGCTTCATTCCCAGCCTGTTTTGCCTCACCAGTGTCGCGCAGTCTGCTTGCCTCGACATGTGGGTTGAAGTGATAATTTGGCGTCAATTTCAAACGCATTCTTGAAAAATTTTCTGTTGTGGACAGTTTCCAGGCATTTGTTGTGACAGAACTAAACAAATTAAAGATTTTTCATTAGTTTTTATCCAAACCAAAAAACAAGCGAATCGTTTCTTCCTAACCTATTCTTCCAAATTCCAATTTCACTTTGCAAATCTCTCTTGGTCAAATGCCATTGTTGTAAAACGCGGTCATACTGCGCTTTTTCTTCTATTCTGCGAATTTTGTAATCAGATTGTGCCTTTTCTTCAATTTCCTTGAAATCCAAAACAATTTCCTGGAATTTCTTCTTACTTTCCTCTTCATTCGCTTCCCTCAGCTGCAAACTGTTGGTCAAACCATTCAGACATTCCATCCAGAAGCGTCCCGAGTCAATGGAGGACTTCGCCCTGGAAATATATACGATTTAAGGATTGAGATTAAAGATTAAGATTAAAGTTTGAATTAAGGATTGAATATTGTGCATCAAGGTAGGGTTTTGAAGATATAATCTGATAAGTTCACTTACAATGAAGCCTGGTATTTTTTCATGCTTGGTATAACTTGCTGTTTCATCAAGGCAGCAAACTCCTCGCTATCAATACACTGAAGAAACTGCTCTTCATAATCGGCGCTGTCCATAATAGATCGACTTGGAAAATCAGGAACGTACATTGTCAGTGGAACTAAATCACCGTACTGTTGAAGAATGTAACGAAAAAGCGGCAGGGTGAACGTGTACTTGCTGTCGCTTTCTGGAAAATGCATTAAAGGAAATTAAAATGAACATCTCAATCTACAGAACGTGTTCAGTTCTGTTATGAAAGAAAGCATTGTCCCTAACAACCTTCAGCTTGTATTTACCTTTGTTTTTGGACATTTTAAACGCTTCGTAAACTTTGCCAAGTAAAAAACAAACTTTCTCTTGACAATCGATGAGTCTGTTTTGCCAGACAGTGTAGATCATTGAAGATGAATAAGCACAGAACTCAGGGTTGTCTTGAAGGAGAAATTCCAGCAGGACTTTGTCACCAATCTCAGCCATCTCTGTCCAGCCCGTGTTCTCACCACTCCAGACATTTAGACGGCCCAGTAGTCGAACCATTGTCTCAACAAGCTGAAATTCAGGTTCAATTTCAATGTCAAGAAGCAGCATGATCAAAGCACAGCAATCTTTCGTTATAATCACTGGGAAAATACTACAAATGTTGAGGTGATATGAACTCGTCGTACCTTTGTACTCCAAGTGCTGAGACTTTCGTTCTCCACAGAACCAGCAATGCTTCCTGGAAACACAATGAAAACACAAGAGTTTTATTACCAATTTAAATGGTTATGATGCATGTGTAATAGATGGAAACATCGAAATAAAGTATAGAATGAGAGAGAGAGAGCTTCATCTGATACTGCGCCTGTATTCACTTCATCGAGACTGTTCGTTTGCTTCTGAGCCTACTCAGTCATTGAATCTTACCAGACGTAAAAATGAAATCATCCACCAGCTTGATAACTTGCAGAGCACTCACGGTTTCTTTCACTCCAGTTTCTCCTGATCTTTCAATATCCTCCAAAACCTGCGCCAAAGACAACTCTAGTAAGCGCCTCTCCAGCTCACGTGACGGAACAATAAAGTCTTCAACTGAACTGATCGTGCTGATGGACGCAATCACCTCACCACGAGCCTGGATGGAGAAATATATCATGATTATTATCAGCAGATTACATACATAATCCTAAGTTTAGAACGGATCAAGATCTCCTATATAAAGTTCTTATAATTTGAGTTTGCCTGTGTAGGAGCACTGGATATATAAGAGTTGATCCTCACTGGAAATCTACGGGAAAAAATCTTGATAGAAGAAGGTAAAAATTCTTGTCGAACATTTCAAATTAAAATCTCTGTACCTTCCACGATTCATCATCGTATCCCTCGATGCCAAACCATAAAATCTTGAAGACAACTTTGACAACAGTTTCGAGTAAGTCTTGAACGAGATCGTTGCCGTCACTACCATCATCTCCCCGTTTGCGTTGCTTCAGCAGTAGTCGCCATATTGGATCATACCAGGCCACCTCTTGGGCACATCTCTTGGCGCTCATTTGAGATACTTCGATAGATTTCAACAGCTAAATAATAATATAAACCTTTCTGATTAAGTGTTGATGTTTGTTTACTAATACTGACTAACCCAATTAGCGTTTCACTTTGAAACTTCCTGAATGCCAGGCAAGCAAAATTTTGTAGCTATTCCTAACCTCTCTACAACGCTAGCGTTTGTATGCTCACCGACTGCGCAATATGCAATTTGACTGAAGTACTTTTATTCTGTGCGAGTCCCACAACCGGCAACACGATACGATAGTCTTCGTACACCCTCTGATCTCTTAGTTCGACTGAACTACTCAAGCCCAGCTCAAGAAGTGTAATTTCAGTGAAGCCATCTGATTCAGTATTCCGTATACTCGATGCCAAGCCAGAGAACACTTCACTGCAAAGCTGAAGATTATCTCTGGTAGCCTGGGGAAGAGAGCTCTCACCCAAGTTGATTGTAAGTATTTTGATCGCTCCACATCGTAATGGAGGTTCACGCAGGTTTTTAACCAACATCAAAAGAATTGCGAGGTGTTTCTTATCTGCAAGGAAGAGAAGATGAGAATATATTTGAACTGAATAGAACTATCAGAAGATCATGCATTGTAGATGAAAAAGAAAGCTAAAATTTTTTCTCTCAAGGTAAGCTTACGGGAGATTTCCATCATGAGTGGGATCTTCGTTGGACCATTACACAGACCAGCGAGCAAATCAAAGGTCTCCTTTAGGACCGTTCCATCTGAGACGGAAGCAACAAATTGCATCAACGAGGCAATATCCTGACCAGTCACCTTCAGTTTGAGAAAATAATTTATCATTCCTAAAAAATGAAATATTTCTTTTAATATGGATCGGTAAAAGAACCAAGAAGAGACCATTAAAGTTGATTAAATTTTTCTAGGATATAATAAGGTTACTGAAAGCAAGCGAACCCGAGCCTTACCAAGTAGGGATCCTCGGATGATCTTCGCCCCACCTTCGTCAACCATCGCCTGCGCGTCTGCGCAATAAGTGCTATCGGTAAGATAATACGTCCTTATAACATCTAATATAAATTCCGTCCCAAAACGAGTTCTAAAATAAGTTGGGTTGTCCTTGATCAACGTCGAGAGATATTGAATATGACCAATCTTGATCGCAAAGTCGCATCGTGACCATATTGAAAAATTGAACAAAATGTACTGGAATATACAAGGCATTAGAACTTCGTTAGAGTGTTGCAGTGTCTCAACTAGTTTCTGAATTGACATAAGAACAGGTACGTCTATAAGGCGACCATCAATTTTGGCTAGTACGACACCAAGGGTGGCGATTTCTCGTGATCTGAGGGACGAATCACGCAGCAATGTGCTACCCTTGAGGATGTTTTGAAGTAAACTCAAGATAATTGTGACACCGTTGTTCTCTTGAGCGGCTTCCTCGGCATAAAGACGGTTTTTAAGCAAAGGATCGCGTTGGGGTTGAGCTTCGTGATCGTCAACCATCACCCATTGCTCCTCGTTTGGCCTCTCACTTTCAATCCCGTTTCTGATCTCACTAGAAAATAGTCGTGGTCCAGGTCAACACGAGAGAAAGCTAGGATACACAATGTTTCCTCAACAACAATGTTTCCTAGTTCATCCCGGACACACAGAGGAGATTATTATATCAAATACTAGACACACCTCCTCTCCTCATTGCTCAAGACCAAAATCCTTTCATCGTCTTGAACGGTCTCCCCCTGGCAAGACTTAGTTTCATCGAACTCGACTTGTTCCAACAACGGTAAGAAAACTTCCATACCTCCCATGCTATTGATGACATTCTGAAATAATATTTAACATTTCTTCTTTAAACGAGCTTTTCGTTACCTTGGGTTACGGCTCATACAGTTTTGAAACGAAGAACAACAGTTTAAGATATTATCGAATGGTTGATGCAAAAAGAAATTTGATAGGATTTTCATCATCGTCATGATAACCAGACTTCAACAATCGGGTATAAGACATATGCGTTTAAAAAACTGACCTTGATATCCCAGCTGGAACGTACTTCTCCTGTTAGGCTATGAAGAGTAGAAATGTCAACTCATCAGCGACTGTGAAAAAACAATGCGAGAATTACTCTAAACTCACCGTCCATCAATTCTTTTGCTTCCCAAATGACCTGGTGTTAAATCAATACACTTGCTCCTCCTGCATGCCTGTGACAAAAGAGAAATAGATCAGAGTTTATTTTCCTTACAATAGAAAGTATTCACTATTTCAACCGTTGGTATTCACCCCAACTTCATTTTTTTGGTGAATAAATTCTATTCATACCTTGGCATTATAATACAAGACAAGTTTACTAGAAAGGTCTGCTAGCACCGAGTAATCTTCCTCGTCATTTGATCCTTGAGGTTGGAACAACGAGACACAGCTGGGACCTAGGATGAAGAAAAGCAATCTCATCATGAACCATACCTCACCACGATAAAAACTTGATTTGTGAGGTACCTTACCCACAGAGTAGAACACATAACCCTGTTGTTCACCGATGGCTTCATTGAGTACACACACAGAACCGAGTTGGCCCTGAATGGACTCTGGGACGCCCCAGAAATCATCTTGGTGCCCAGCAGGCACGTGAGTTCGAAATTTTGTCACGGATTCCGAAGGCGAGGGGTTCACTTGAGATTCCTTGAAATGGCCTTTTAAAAATGATGGCAGGTGACTTGAGAAATGTCCACGTGCAGAGGAAGTTACGTCATGCGCAGAAGAGATCGTTTGAGGTCCTCCACAACCGATGTTACACGAAGTAAAAGGCTAAAAGAATAGAGACGAAGTATTATATATACGACTATTGCTTTCTGTTCTCTCAGGTAGCCCAGGAGATGCAATAATGAAAAAAAACAAATGTGACCAACCTCTGACATCGAAGGTAGTTTAATAGGCAGAGCCATCTTTAAATTGCCATCGATGTAAACGGAAAGTTGGTCTTTTCGAGCCAAAGGTTTGCGAGATTGATTGTGAATTATCAACACGGAATGCTAGAATGAAAACAAGCAAGCACTACAAGCGTGAATCTTGTCTTACAGAGTGACACAGTGGATGATGAGAGCAGGTGCATGTTAAACCAAAGGAATATCCCAATGAACGTTGACTTACCCAAAGATCATCTGCTAGAACGACGTCCACAAGAGGCGCTGTAAGGTATTCTTTCTTCGTTATAATCGCAACAACCAAATGTCCGTTTGGTGTGAAGAATGCTTCAAAACCAGTGCCACTTGCAGAGAGAAAGCTGGACGAAAATGGAAGAGACAATGTTACCCACAAATTTCGAGGCTTTCCTCTAATTCTAACTGCTCCTGGCTTGCAAAAGCAGTCTCTTATAAGATTCAATTCACCAATTTTAGAGAAGTGAGATTCCCTCTCCGGTTCTCTCTATCGATCCAATACTGGAGACAAGTGCTCCTCGTCATTATTCACAAAGAATATTGCTAAAAATACTCCCAAATAAAGCTATTAGCTACACACCTGTACAGCTGTCTGCGGTAGGGCCAGGAGAACGCCACTTTATCTTCACATTTCGTCTCCGCTGGAGGATCTTGTTCACGTGAAGACCTCAGCGAGATCAAGGCATGAAAGGTGAACCCAGATCCACCCCATTTCTCTATACCACGTAACCCAATACCCTATAAAAACGAAACACTTCCTAAATACAAAACTGTTCAGAAATTCTTCAGTAGTAGACGAGAAGAAACATTGCTGTATATATGAAAAGGGGCCATCATCCTAATCCACCTCCCCTCCCCTCACCTCACCTCAACCTATCCCTTCATGAACAACTGGTAGGCTCCTTGTCTGGTGTGGAGATATAACGTGTAGCGATGCTACTATGCTGTGGTATGAACGTGAAGAATCTCACAGCTTCACTTACGCTAGTTTTGTGTCGGAGATCAAAATACGCGAGTGGTTTAGATATCTGTTCTCCATGCGTTGAGATCTTGATTAGTGATTGCAGCAGTCGATCAAAACCAGGAACCTCGGAAGGAAAATATAATCACGACGTTTATTAATTAAACTCATCCACAGTTCCAAATGCATTCTCCGCGTTTTTTAGAAAGAACTAAATTCATATATTCACTAAATCCTCGCTTACTTTTTCATCATTCTCCGAAGGTTTCACCAACCCCATCAATTCTCGGAAATCGCTTGGTTTCATAGAAACGCTGCCGAGAACTTCTAGCATGACCAAAAGATTTTCTAAAAACAGCAAAACTTTAATGAACACCACTCAGTGCAGATTGCGCGCTCGGCGGGATTGCAAAGGCTGCACTCTGTAAACAACTATAAGCCTTCACCAAACCTCTGGATTCAGTTCCAAGAAGATCATGTTCCTTCAAATGTTGCAATATGCTCGGCATCACTCCAGTTTTTGAGCACAGCATAAGGTTGTAAGAGGAATACATAACAGTCCTCATTAAGATATCTGATAGAAATCTACAAAATAATGTCATCTCTTATGAACATTATTCAAATAGGGCAAAAAAAATAGCAGACCCAGGGCAGGTCAAATTCTATTGACCTTTGCAAATCAGCTGGAATGAAAGGAAGCCAATCGATCAATATTAGTACGAGGTTTTCATCCTCAATTTCTAACTGCCCATCTTGAAAATCCTCGCCAATCATCTGTAGATAAAAGACACTGGTTTCAGTGAATTGAGATGGACAAAAGGTTTATATGTTAGAGGGGCATTGTACTTGCCCATTTCAACAGTCCAAATATGACATCTTTTGTTGGTGAATGCCATTTTAGCAAACACTCCTTGGTTGCTGTGTAGCCATTCAGGGCTTCAAAAACCTCCTGAAATATGTGGAAAGTTATGCAAATGAAACTCGTGATAAGAAGGAAAGAGAAAGATGTTGAATTTTTCCATAAATGGATGATGCCAACATCTGACTGCAAATGTCATGCCCCATGTGGCCAGAAAAGAATGACATTATACTGTACCTTAGCTGCACTTGATAAATGGATTAGAGTTTGAAGTGCTCTGATAGAACTGTACATAAGTTGATTGCAATTTTCAATTTCATTTTCATCCTAGGATAATAAATTGTATGTACTTTTTCATGTGTCTGGTAACTTTGTCAAAGGAAAGACTCTGGTGGCAGGAGTGAGGATATTCCCCAAACAACTCATAAACTAACCTGAGGTTGAAAATCGGAGACAATTTGGAGATTTGTTAGAATTGTTTTGAAGCAGCTCAATCCTAGAAATACAGCCTAAAAGAAATATTAGGCAGCCTTTACAACAGTACCAAAGAAAAAACCAAAAATATTTCACAATTTCATTGCTATTAATACCTGAAGTGCTGGCTTATCTTTGCAAGCTAACATCTGACATATTGCATCTGAAATTTTGTTCATAATCAAAATGTTTGTTAACTTAAGTAGAGTTCAGTCTCTCACCATATCTGCATGCATGAGCCTAACTCTTAAACATACCCAGTAAGTGTATCTTCAGAAAGACACCCCCTTGATCTGATGGATCATTTCTGGCGGAAAAGTAGAAAAAAAATTATGAGGTAGGCTGGTGAATCCTGAACGAAAAGGAGTATTGCATTTTTGTGAATATACTGTTGAACTTACTGTTGTTCAAAAAGTTTGAGATACCGTAGCAGAACGGTTGGTAAATCAATACCAGATCCCTAAATGGACATGGAGAATTAGCATTGTGAAAATAAAAAATTTGTTGGAACACCTGAAAATTCTTATGGTTTTTGTAAATAAACCTAGTGCAACAGTTATTGCAGGTTGAGTATTCTGCAGGTAGCCAGAATGTATGAGGGTATGTTAGAATAAGAATTAGATATGACATATGGCGACAGCATTGCTGCTCACAAGTCAACATGGGATTTTTACCTCTTTGACATAGTTTGGGTTTAAATGCAATATATGAACGATCTTCACAAGGCATTGCAGAGCAAGATCTACATCAATCCTGGCTGACGTTGACTTTGATAAAATATCAAATAACCCTTCAATAGCCTGCTCTGTGATTGCAGATAATGCATTCTCCTAAAACAAAAAATTTCACAAGGGGAAATTATTAATCTATTCATGACATGTTTAAGAGATTTAAAGGAGGTAGATTACCTTTGAAATATTATATAGGTTTTAGCTGAGTATTGGAAACAAAACAGTTTATCAAATGAGTATGGACTCCTTATTTTTATCCAAAATAGTATTTCAACTAATATCTTTTAATCGGTCTTAAATCACTCGTGTGGAAAAACCGATTAAAGGCTTGAACATGGCTTAAAGTGAAATATTTTTTTTATAAAACATATTAAAAGAAGTGCAAATCTTGCCAGCAACGCTCTATTCCCGTGGGCAATTTGTGTCCACAGACGAGAAAAGCATCGTTCAGTAGATTAACAAGCACGGCGAGAGGCAGATGCTAATGAAACAGGTATATTAAATTTAATTTTTGTACAAGATTTACATTTAAAAAAATGTGCCCAAAGTATTGCATATTTTGCAAGTTAAACCGCTTTGTATATATTCGCGACAAAAATCCTGGGACACCACAATTAGTCGATGTGTACAGAAATACCGAATATTGTCAAGTATAAATATAATATTTATATTAAACATTTATGTCAAAAATTTATGAAATTACGCATTCATTCATAGCGAGCGGCGGGCACCTCTAATACGTCCTCCTGGCAAAGTTCTTGCAGCAGCTCTGAAACCCAAACAGTGGCCATTTAATGTCCTCTTCGTTACCATTCATTCCTGCATCCTAGATTATTTCGTACAGCTTCTAAAATCAATAAATTTAAAAACATTTTGTTTTATTATTATTCTGAACTTCTTGTTTTGACGTAGCTAACTCCATCTTCCTCATTGAAAGAGATAAACATGAACCCTGCGGGTGCGCGGGTTTCATCAGCCTGTTTACCGTCAGTTGTACAATGATGAACAGGTGCGTCAATACTCGATATGCGCAATAACAGTGCGCAACGCAAAAATCCGAAGTTACCTTAGTATACAGTCTCAGCAAGTCTGACGAGGTTAGCTGCCAACTGTAATTTGCGTGTATTTCTGTATGATTGAAAACAAAATAGATTAGGAAAACACTTTCAAATTGATATGAAAAACTGTTAATCACAATTTCACAAATATAAATAGACGGGTGACATTTGGCTAAAAAAAACTGAGAACTCCTATTCAAGACCTCCGATGTAATAAGCATGGCTTGGCACGTATTGAGCCAGTATGTTTATGCACACTACCAAAAAACACCTGTCATATAATAACGGGTTCTCCTCGTCAATTTAATATTCCTAAGTATCGCATCACTATAGTAACATACCCGTTCTAGCGCTGTTTGCAACATATGAAAGCTAACTTCGATCCATGCACAACACTGCCTTAAATTGAAACCCCTTTTTAAAAGGTACGTCTCTATTTCTGATAAAATACAATACTGAGATGTCGTCTAAAGTTAGGACGCGGAAAAGTTTTCAACTTTTCTCGAAAGTGTATAAATTGTAACTGTATAATCCTAATTGCCACAAAATTTTAAACTAATGTCACATCATAAAACTCCCGTCGCAATCTTAAAGCAGTCAATACATAGTCCATTTAACATAATGTATCGTCGAAAATTCTTGTGTATGCACTACGCAGCGATATTAGATGTGTTGAAAATTACTTGTTTGAACAGTTTCGTTGATTGGTATATTGCTTGAGGCTGCACATCTTATAGCGCTAGACATGACGTCAACGAACTTGTTTGTGGACACGGACTACGATACTGATGGGAGGATGCAAAGTCGACAGAGCAACGCTGAGATAAAAAACAACAGCAGAAGAAATTCAGCAAGAAGAACAGAAAGTGCACAAAATGGCGAAGTGCTGGAAGGAATGGAACAAAAACCTGAGGTTTTATTTTTATGCTTGCAAAATTTTGTGAGCACGTACACAAGTGATCTGCACTAGCAGTACGATAAGAATGATAGCCATCTTTCAGTTCTCAAAGTTAGATTATAATGTTGATGATGCATAATAATCTTGTGAGTGGAGCTGGTCACCTTGACTATGACTTCAGGTAATATTTCACCCTTTTTTGTAGCCAGTCGAGAGCGACAAAGAGGCAATCGAGAGCGATCAAGAAGCAGTCGAGGATTCTGATAAGGAGGTAAGTTCCTTGGCATTATCTTCTCTGTTGACAGTGTCATATTCGCTGCCTCAGTAGAGGACTGAAAGAAATTACTTGTGTGCGACAGTGTTTTATATTTTTGCCACAGGAAGACGGGAGCTATGCATACAGCATGGAAGATGAAGAATTTGAGAGCGACGATGATGACAATAAGAATTCGTAAGAAACACTTCTTGATCATATCTCACAGTCAAGCGTGTTCCCCTTGTAGCACCAAGGAATCCTCGTAATCCTCCATTGTACCTTCATGTCTCGTATGCACAATCTTCTCTTCATAAACCCGAACACATTTATATAGCAATACTTTTATTTCCACCTCAATCCCTTACTTCCACCAAGAGCACGTCATTCACGTAATATTATATTTCCCATCATTTAGATCAAAAGGCGTCAAGCTACGAGTAAGAGAACCGTCGAGACGATTGCCATCAGGTCGATGGAAAACATTAAATGTATTTGAAGACGAAAATGATCAGAAGAAGTCGAAGAAAAAGTTTGGGTAATTTAAGATTTGATTTGCCAATGTTTGAGTGCAGTTCGTGACTGTTAGAGTTTCCCTTTCCATTTCTTCTGCGCAGAGGTAAAAAGAAAAAAAGAAACAGAAGTCGGTCTCTTCCAAGGGGAGTGAAGTCAGACCTCAATACATGGAATCTTCCACAGAAAGTGAGGATGAAGACGACAGAAAAATGGACAGAAATTCGGTAAATATTCACTTATTTTGATGGGGCAGTAATCGGGGATAAAGTTAAAATTTGAGAGGAAGGTTTACCATAGTGTTGGCAGGTTATCAAAGCCCTGAAAATTTAAATCGACCAACAAATTTCCTTCATTCTATTAATATTTTTTTGTTTTCAGACGCCAACAGGAGAACTGACATCTGAGTATTGGCAAATTCAAAAGTTAATCAAATTTGTCAAGGTAACAATTATTATAAGTAACGATTTGTCCTTTAGGTCGAGAAGAACCCCTCATACAAATGGTATTTATAAACGTTGTCTGTTTCTAGATTGGAAATCAGACTGCGACACTTATTGCCTTGTGCGCTCTCAATGACTTTGATATGCGGTCTGAAGCATGCCAAATGGCAGTACGTGATGTTAATGGACTGTTGGTGCTCACAAATATGTTGAGAACAGACCATGATAAATGCAAGGTAGGCTAGGTTATGACGTATAGAGCATGTTGAGGTTACAAAATCGATATGAAAGCTTAGCAACTGGAGAATATGAAATAAGAAAAATGCCTTCATCATTCTTCACTTTGATAAATGCAAGCAAACCGCCATTTCACGCAGGATATTACGCTTAGTAAGAGAAGTAAAAGACAATTAAAATAATCCCCTTTTCTTTGCAGATTGCCACCATGAAATTGCTCGACCCTCTAACGGAGAAGAGCAAGTACAACAGAAGAGAATTGATCAGATTTGGAGGTATGACTCATGAGAGATGAGTGGAATGTTGATGTGACGGTTGCTAATGTTTTTATGTCTATCTAGCAATGCACAGCCTGATAGAACACATTGCAACAAGTGACAACAGAGACGTGGTTGGTTGGGCGGCTACAATCATTGCTAACATGAGTCAATCCAGTTTAGCGAGAAACATCTTGAAGCATCACGATGGAATAAGGAAACTGGTATGATATTAATGATTGTAGTAGGGCTTCTTAAGCAGTGCAGCGTCGGTTCAATCTACCAGTTCTTCCTGCAGAAAACTCCACGGAGTTTGGGTGCAAAAGGCTGAGTTTTGTACCTCATTTTGTACCTCATTGAAAAGAGTTTTGTACCTCATTGTACCTCATTTTGTACCTTATTGAATAGAGTTTTGTACCTCATTGTACCTCATTTTGTGCCTTATTGAATAGAGTTTTGTACCTCATTGTACCTCATTGTACCTCATTTTGTACCTCATTGTACCTCATTTTTTACCTTATTGAAAAGAGTTTTGTACCTCATTGTACCTCATTTTTTACCTTATTGAAAAGAGTTTTGTACCTCATTGTACCTCATTTTTTACCTTATTGAAAAGAGTTTTGTACCTCATTGCTCTTATTATCCAACAGGTTAACTTACTAGATTACAAAGAGAATGATCAGGTTCGTGTCAGCTACCAGAAGAGAATATACTACACATTGAGTAATGAGACACTGGCAAAGAATCTGCAAGTTGCCAGGTCTGCGACCAGAGCTTTATGGAGCTGCTGTCGTGATAGTCAGCGGTGTCGTGTGGCCGTACTGAAGACCGGCGGCGTGCCATATTTGGCGAACCTGGTCACATTAGAAGATGAAGATATTCTGGTTCCAGTCACAGGTCTCATACAGGAGTGTTGTATTGAGGTGAAATTACTTAGAAGTTTCGTTAGATTTTCAAGAGCTATTGCAACGAACCAAAGTCAGATATATAGTCACTACTCTACTAATCTTAAACAACTTAAAAAATATATAAATAAGGAAGAAGACCTATCGTACTTACATGTATTTTGAAACATTTCTCAACAACATTCCTCTGTACGCTCTTTATTTTACCACACCAACATTATCATAATGAACCTAAAAGGAAAGACAATGTATCATTGATCATTGTAGAAAAACTTCCGTTTGGCAGTACAACACACCAATATCATCGAGGACGTCGTCAATCATTTAACACGCGACAATCTGGAATTGAAGACATATGGCGCTCTTACGATATTCAGGGTAAGTTCGGTATTTCAGCCATGGTAACCCGAAACAAAACCTAGGTTGGTTGTCACAGGTTAATATGAAGGTGTTCTGTTATTGATTTCCCAAAGCAAGGATGGTAGCAAGGACTCTATTATCTGCTAAACAACTTCCAGAATCCACTGTTTCTCGTTCCAGTGTGCCGAAGAAAAGGAAACTCGAGATATCGTGTATGAACAAGATGGTATTTTGCCAATCATCGACCTTCTCTCGTTGAAGGAGAGAAATGCATTAGCAGCCGCTACGGGCGCCGTGTGGAAATGCGCGAAGAGTGAGGAGAATGCAAGACGGTAAGTTGGGAATGATTCCGCAGCTTTTGTAAGCTGCACAAGATAGAGGTATTCCTAGGTTAGACCGGGAAGAATTGTAGACCTTCGTTCTTTTTCATGACCTTCAGTTTATCATAGCAAGTTTACTGTATTAAATATAAAGGTCTTATAGCTAGAGATACTTACTTTGTTTCCAGATTTCTTCATCTTGACATGATGGAAATGTTATTGAAGTACATTCACCCACAATATCCTGATGAATGGACCGAAGAGGTAAACATAACCTGTAAATAACAATAATAAACAACTGTATATGTCATTCAAATTAACGTCCCAAAAGTTTACTATCGTCTAATGATCTGTAATAACAAGAGACGTATGTATGGTACCCACCAATACGACAGATGACTCTTTCTGTACAAGACCTTAATCTCAAATTTCTCCAAATATCTTCCCTGTAGGTCCAAGCCCATGCCATAGGTGCCATTGGAGAACTGGTACGAGTTCCCGAAGGATGTTTCGAGCTGTACCGTTGCCATGGTTGCGAGGGATTGATAGGCATGCTGGGACATCCAAATAGAGACATCTCAATTAACGTTGCGAAGGCCATCTGCAACAGTAGTCTGGAAATCGGATGTAAAGAGTGAGTTAGAGATTCATGTCTATATAGACACACGTTGGGTATTTAACACACAGTACACCTATTTTCCCCTTTTTCTCAATGACACGCAGAGGAAGTTCTCTTGAAAGCTCTTTAACGTGGACATTAAAAAAAATCAAGGCAAAAACACATAAAGATGCTTCTCTAATTATTACAGCATGTGAAATGAAATCTGATGGTATTCACCGTTTCTTTTGTGCAGGAAATTCAAACGAATGGACGGCATTAGATTGCTGTGGACATTGTTGAAATCATACGATGATGAGGTAATATTAGTGCATGGCTGTTAAATCACAGCAAGTGTTTGTGAGGATGATACGTTAATTCTCGACTCTGTCTTGAAGGTGATCATCAATTCTGCGTGGGCTTTGTGCGTTCTTATTGATAATGACGAGGTAACAAATAGTGATAGATAAATTAATATTTCAATCAATAAAACTCTTCAATAAGCCAATTCAATCATTCCTATATTTTCCTTAAAATAGACAGACGCTGAAAATATTCGTTCTTTTGTTGGCGGCCTGGAAATTTTGGTGAACTTATTGAAATCTGAAAATCTCGAGGTTCCTTTAATTCATTCTTTGGGAAGGAGTTATCTTAGAAAAGAATTGAGTTCTTCATGTTATCAAACAAACTCCTAAAGAGGGTCGTATAAGTTAGAGTAGCAATAGACAGCGGGAAGAAATCTTGATTTTTTTTTGCATCACTAGTTGTGACAAGTATTCTGTTCTCACTCCAGGTATTAACCTCGGTATGTGCGGTCATATCAGAAGTGGCAATTGACTATCAAAATGTGGGAATCATTTCTGACTATGATGTTGTCCCTCTTTTGGCTGAGCTGACGAATGTGGTACGACTTGTTTGTGAAATGTTTATATACAACAGTCTACTTTCACGTACATGAGTCTCGTCTTGACAGGAACATTTAGGACCCTTTTATAGCATTATTTGTAATCTTTACACATAGCAAACTTTTCTTAGGAAGATAACCGATTGAAAAGGTATCTCGCCGAAGCTATTGCAAGGTAAGGAGACCATGCAAGCCAGAAATCTTCAATCGCCCTATCCTGCTTCTGATCTATGTGATTTAGTTATTTCACCGGTAAGACGAAGGTGATTGGCTAATACCTGGCCAAAGTGTGGACGTATTGAAATCACATACGTCCCAAGGTGAATCACGATGTTTCTAAGACGTTTTAAACAATTTTAGATGTGGTGTATTTGGTGATAATGCGAGAGCGTTTCGTACCTCAGGAGCTGTTTATAAGATTGTGAAATATCTTTATATTGAAGATATTCCTTTACAAGAGGCAACTGTACGAGCTTTGTACCAACTTTCACGTGACCCAGCGAACTGTGCCATCATTCACAAACATGGCGGAGTTAAGGTTTGTTATACCCCTGGAAAAAAACACAAAAATATCAGTATTTTCAAACAAGTTAGACACACTAAATCTACCATACTGACTTGTATTGATTACCGTGCTATGCTACTCTTCGCGCTATCCCAATATATTCCCAACAATATCCTCATTTACTCTTCACGCTATCCCCATGTATTCCCAACAATATCCTCATTTACTCTTTACGATATTCTTCAGCTACTTCTAGAAATGGTTGGTTCAGACGACCCGGACTTGCAAGAGGCAGCTGCCGGCTGTCTGGCGAACATACGAAGACTGGCGGTGACTGAAAATACAAAGACACCCAAGAAATCCAGAACTGCGTCGTCAAAATCTTCACATTAAAATACTCCTACCACAATGCTTGTACATACCTGTTCGCCAGATCATTTTCTTGTAGTTGTAAATATTTTTTAACTTGTGAAATAAACTATCAAGCTTAAAATGAGACCATCATATATTGAAGACCTATTCATATAATCTAGTTCTCCTTTTGAGGTATTTATCTCAAGAGATTTACTTACGGGATGAAGCTTTTGTTTCGCCATAGCAAAATGATTCAAACGTCCCGCAATAATACACCACGAGCAAAAACGACATTCTTTTCAACATGGCTTCGTAACTAAGCAACACTAGAAATGAAAATTGAAAATATCAATATACACGTTACTACACATAAATTATCAAACAAAAGAGCGAGTAATTACATCTCTATCACAGCAAACATTTGTGGCACTTAAAACATATTTCTTAAATTTCTGCAGATTTTAAAAGCCTGTTACAATATTGTGGATGAAAACACAGTAAAAAAACTTAGTAAATTTCAACAATGAGTAATACAAATCATAATGCGAGAAAAAACTCTGGCAAAAGACACATATTTAAGACAATACTCTGGTTAACATTTTCCCTGGGTATCGTTTATGCTTTTATAAAACTTCAATCTTTCGTGGTTAACCCTGATCAGTTTCAAGCCACGGTAAGTTTTGAAATATCAGAGGTGAACACAACCAGGATCGTTTCACGACAAGAGAACTCGACTGAAGAACAGACGCTTGTTTTCATTGCTGTGTTGAGTCATTGGAGAGAATGGCGGAGACGACAAAGTATTCGTGAAACATGGATGACGGGATGTTCAGAAGGTCGGGCGAAGTGTTTGTTTTTTACAGACGATATCGGAGCAAAAGGCAATGATAAACAATGGTTGCAAACAGAGCTTTCGTGGAATAATGATATCATATTGATGCCAATGACAGGTAGGGGAAGCCGGGAAGTTATAAACAAATTTTACTTCAAACTAGACAGGCTTAATTGGTCTCAAAGTTCTCCATGATTCAATTCCACACGACTACAATCAATCCATATTTATCTTCTTACATACTTACCACAAAAGGCCATGTTTTTGCTCTTCACCGATGTTGAATGTTCATCAAACTTTTTTCCCTGGTTCTCAGTCTACAAGGTCCGCGGAAGATTGCATTTAAGATGAACCACACAGGAGAACGTTCATTCAATGTGTAAAACCAACTACCTTCTTCTTTAGAAAACATGTCTTTTGCGTTTGGGGCTCGTCTTCTGTGGATCCTGCAGTGGGCAACGAACCACAGCAACTTTGAATATTTCTTAAGAATCGACGATGATCATTTCCTCTGCTTGGAGCGACTGCTTTACGAGCTGCCATCGCGTCCTAAACAAGCTTTGTATTGGGGCTTCGTGCATTGTAAACCTAAAATAGTCCGCGTTGACGAGGCATGGTTGATGATAACCAGAGATTTGGTGGTGGAAATTTTAGGGAAGATAAATACGACGTTACCTTGCCATCCTGTTGGAGACCAAGCCATGGCGATGTGGATAAATAATAGTACATACAACGTGACTTATTTTATGGATAATACAAGAATAGTTCATAAAACTGCTGGTCATGATACCAAGTATTATACGAAAACAGTTTGCGAAGAATACATTAGTCTTCATGGAGTTTTCAGTGTTGAAATGAGAAAATTGTGGTTGGTTTGGTTTAAATTATATCGAGCAAAGTTGAAATCTATGCCTCGTTATAAGATAAATCCTATTCAGAGATTTGAGAAGTTGTGTCATCATTCTAAAATGTTTTCAGTCAATGGGTTTTATCCAGAGTATCGGTTCGAGCCACGGTTGTGTAGACTGAACCCGACTTGGTCAATAAGCAAAAGCGTGTACGCAGGAAGAGAGCAGACTGGGGAGAGATACTCGTCATATTAGCCTATTCATTATATAGAACATGTTCTCAAAAATAATTGTCAAACAATGGAAACATCGATTATATTTCGTTATTGATTGTGTTAATTAATTAAACTATATTCTCAAAGGCATCATACGAAAAATTACATAAGCTAATTTTACAACAAAATGAAAAACTGCATGATCAGTTTAAATTGTTTGTGAATTACTTTCTATTTTTCCCTGTTCAATACCTTTTGCACCGTTAACGAAAACATTTGCTTCTAAATTCTAATAGCTATAAGAGAAAATGAATCACATAATGTTTTCTTCCTACTTAAAGACCTCTCATTTTTAGGCTTTTATTTATAAAGCTTACGTTATATATACGGTCATGTTTTAAACAGTTGTATTTTACTATTTAAGACTAAACCGCCAGAAACCGCCCGTCGTCCGCTAAAATTCCAATCGTTCAATCAATGGAAAAGTTTGTCTAAAATATTTTATGACATTGCGAACAAAAGCAGTTACTTCTGATAGCTTTCATGATAAGTTCGAACGAAATCAGCGGCTTATCTTCGCGCGGTCTTCCTGATGAATCGCGTATGAATTGTTTCTCTGGATCACTATAGCGAGTTGCTTGTTTGTGAACCTCAGCAGGCTTATCAGGAAACTTGGCTGGGAGCATAATTGACCACTTATTTTGGTAATGCGTAAATGCAATTCTGTAACTTCCGTCATCTTGGGCCTTTCCAGTGAATGTCAGCGGTGTTGCCAAGGTCATCTTGATGTCATTTTCCAACGCAATTACGGTGTCCGCATGATTCGTCTTCACGGTAGAGGTTGTAGCAGCAGGCTTGGTCAATTTTTCTTCAGTGATATCCTTGCAAATAGCACAAAAATATTTGCAATTTTTTTTAATACACAGAAATATTTTCACCCGATTTTCAAGAGAGTTATCAAGATGCGTAGTACTACGTGATTCACTTTCAGGCCATAATGAGCGTGAGAGTCTTGCTGGTTGACCATTTGGGAAGGTTTTGGGAAAGCGAAGCTTCCAGTGATAACCGGAATGTTGGAAGTTAATTTGTATTTCACCATCATTTTCACGTTTGGCAACCACTTCTCCTTCTTTTCCAAAGTATTTCTGCAAGTCATCATGAATTTCTTTCAAGGCGACCTCCCTCTTACCTTCATCATTCGTGGCTTGGTTTTTCAAAGCATTTTTTTCATACTGGTCACTGTTTCCAGCAAGCCTTGGACTCGTGTCGCTTTTGGGGGTTACGATTTCAGGATCCTTTTTCTTGATTCTTTTGCAAGTCTCGCAGGTTGAACGACAACTTTTCTTGATTGACAACAGTATATTCGTAAGACTGGTAAGCTGGTCCACAAGTGCATCATGTGAAAATGGACGGGCATATGATAAACTATCACAACTCGAAGAGGAGAAAAGTTGTGCAGGTTTGTTAGGGAAGGATTCAGGGAAACGAACCTTCCAGTGATAAATGCGATGTTTGAATGTCATTTGTATATCACCAGCACTTCCACTTTCGATTTCGATATTGCCTTCGCTGCCGAAAAACTTCTTCAGTTCATCGTAAATTTCCTTTAAGATCACTTCTTTCGGGGACGCCTTCTCAACGTCGTCATTCTGGTTGTTCGAAGCACTTCCTCCAGGGGGGTTATGATCTACTGGAGAAGAAATTTGGAGGGTTGGATGATTTTCGTGGGGGCTGGTATCAGATGTATCCATCGGCTCTATCTCATTCGCTCCTGAAGACGGTGTAGCGACCTGGGCATAGGTGGGACTATTGTCAAGATCACGTTGACTATTTGAGGCTGTGTTGCTGGAGTTTTGGAAACCAGTCCAGCCCCTACTCGAGTTTGTGTGACTTGTGCTGTGATTCCGCTGGGAATCTGAGCCCGTGCTTTGGCTGTTTCCGGCAGCGGTTAAGGAGGCTCTACTACGAAGTGTAGCTCCGTTTTGGTGAAAATTACGATTCTCGGCTCCTTGCTGTATTTGATTCAAAATATCGACATTACTCAAGTAGGGATTCTGGTTTTTTAAAACGACATACTCTGCCTTTTCATAAGGCTTTCTGTCGTGCGTGAAAAAATACGGAGACAGCGAAATCGTATCGGAACTCTTAATATTTGTGATGATGACCAAAAATTTCGACATGCCTTCCGGGAAGTTCCGTTCGACGGTCTGTACGTCTCCCTGGCTGGGTCTGTCTAGGCTGAGATTGTGGTGAGAATGCCACTCGCCGATATGACATTGCATGAAGCCGTCGTTGACGAAGCGTCCAACCCGTTGCATGTAATTGATGTCTTGATGGAACGAGGTGTTTGTTCGTCTGCACTTCTGTCCTGGTCCAAGGACGACATGAATCATAGCGCTACCTGATGTAGTCCACAGACCAAACAGATTTCCACCTGTTTCAATGTGTGGATGTCTGTACACTTCAGCGCAAATAGCATTGTAGTCATCTTCGAACAAGTACACCTTAGCAAATATAAATAAATACTGGTATCAGCAAATTAGTTTGGGACCAAAATCGTGGAGAGTTTCAGTACCAAGGATTGACCAAGATTAATTATATATATAACTTCACTTCTCGTCCTACTTTGCATTAAAATTACAGGATCTGTTTCACCGAATACCATTGACTCCGGCAGTGAATTTGGTGCCTCATGTCCAAACAACAAGGGTCTATCTAACAGAAATAATAATCTTCATAGGCGTATTTAAAAGTGTCTCACCTTATGTCTGCTCTGCGGTATACGAGCCATTCTTGAGACGAAAGTTAATTTCAAAGGTCTTCCTTGGAGTTGCTGTCTTGTTGTTGATACTGTGTGAAAATGGCAAATGCGGAGCCAGAATCAGCTTACTAGTATATTATCACTTTAAAACTTTCGCTTTCGCTTCCGTCCAGATTAAGTTACACTTCACGACATGAATAACTTAACGACTTAAAACCTTATATTTATAGTAACTTACTGTAGCAAACTTTATTAAACTCATAATCATTTGCTTGCTATCATGTTTATTGTGAACATGCACTTCGTGTTGTCGTTTCGATCACGCTTTACCAAGAAAGATGCTCCTCTCTTTCTCCCTCCGAGAAAGATGCCCCTCTCTTCCGAGAAAGGGGCTCGCTTCCAGGAAAAGGAATTTCACGGGAATCGATGCTTGGCGTCACGCTGTTTTGATATGCAAAGTATGTGCGATTGCTTTCGTTTTATTTCAAGTATTACAAGTGCTATTATAAGAGTAATATAATTAGAATAAATAAATAATATTTGCAGTGTTTTACGTGGATTTTATGATGAGATTACATTCATAAGAACAGGCTTGCCGCATTGAAATTTGAAACCCAGCATGCGAGAAGAAATCAATGTTTACTATCTTATTGTATGCATAATGCTACGACTAATATATGCGAGACCACTAGAAACTAAGAGGTTTTGTTTAAACCAGAATTTCTCTACTGAAATTTCCTGCAATGTATCTGTGCTCGGTCCCAACTTCTAAGCAAACAATTGAACTGGGCTGAACTCTTTGATAGTTCTTTTTAACATGTAATTTGATTGGTCAATACCTGAACATTATACGAACATATCACATTACTGGTTCACCATGTTTTGAAAAAAAATATCGAGAGTTTAGTTCATGAACACAGATGCTTTTGAAATGTTGTTTGAGTCGAGTCGAACCCAGAAAAGATAAAAGTAAAAAACAGTCGCCTTTATATAGCTATGTCACCCTATTTAATTAAAACGCTAATGCAAAAACAATTTATCATAATAGTAAGGATAATTTTTTTTCTAGTTTTGTTCTCAGAAGTAACCGTTTAAATACGCTATTTTATTCGCTGATATTTCCGGGAGACCGGGACTCAGATGAGAAGGTACTACAAGGATATCTCAAATTGATTGCTTGAATGATATGTCGGAGTAAATGCAACGGTGCTCCCTTGGGTTAAAGGGTCAACCCAATGTCATGTTTTGTCGTTCTGACTCCTCCCAGTAGAATCAATCTGAGATACAGAAGAGGCGTTTCCTTCACCATCATTTTCTTCAGGTTTTGGGTCGTTCTGATTGCCCTCAGTAGAATCAAGCTGGGATACAGCAGAGACGTCTCCTTTACCATCATTTTCTTCAGGTTTTGGATCGTTCTGATTGCCCTCAGTAGAATCAAGCTGAGATACAGCAGAGGCGTCTCCTTCACCATCATTTTCTTCAGGTTTTGGATCGTTCTGATTGCCCTCAGTAGAATCAAGCTGGGATACAGCAGAGACGTCTCCTTTACCATCATTTTCTTCAGGTTTTGGATCGTTCTGATTGCCCTCAGTAGAATCAAGCTGAGATACAGCAGAGACGTCTCCTTTACCATCATTTTCTTCAGGTTTTGGATCGTTCTGATTGCCCTCAGTAGAATCAAGCTGGGATACAGCAGAGGCGTCTCCTTCACCATCATTTTCTTCAGATTTTGGATCGTTCTGATTGCCCTCAGTAGAATCAAGCTTAGATACAGCAGAGGCGGCTCCTTCACCATAATTTTTTTCAGGTTTTGGATCGTTCTGATTGCCTTCAGTAGAATCAAGCTGGGATACAGCAGAGGCGCCTCCTTCACCATCATTTTCTTCAGGTTTTTGATCATTCTGATTGCCCTCAGTAGAATCAAGCTGAGATACAGAAGAGGGGTTTCCTTCCACATAATTTTCTTCAGGTTTTGTATCGTTCTGATTGCCCTCAGTAGAATCAAGCTGGGATACAGCAGAGGCGCCTCCTTCACCATCATTTTCTTCAGGTTTTGTATCGTTCTGATTGCCCTCAGTAGAATCAAGCTGGGATACAGCAGAGGGGTCTCCTTCACCATCATTTTCTTCAGGTTTTGTATCGTTCTGATTGCCCTCAGTAGAATCAAGCTGGGATACAGCAGAGGCGCCTCCTTCACCATCATTTTCTTCAGGTTTTGTATCGTTCTGATTGTCCTCAGTAGAATCAAGCTGGGATACAGCAGAGGCGTCTCCTTCACCATAATTTTTATTAGATTTTGGATTGTTCTGATTGCCTTCAGTAGAATCAAGCGGAGATTGAGAAGATGCGTTTCCTTCGCCATCATTTTCATTAGATTTTGGACCGTTCTGATTGCCCTCAGTAGAATCAAGCTGAGATACAGAAGTGGCGTTTTCATTAGTGCCTATCGGTTCCTCCTGTTGAACTGTTTGGGATGACCCACAGTTCATTCGTGCTGCTGATTTACAGTGGTCGAAGACGCTAATTGATTTACTTTGCGACTCAAGCGCACTTGGGTTGGCCTTTGATAATGGGGTGGAAATATCTCGGGGTTTAGGCGTGTTAGTAGGCGTGTGTTTGCTAACCTGCAAGAGGGTGGGATTGGTTTTGGAACGTTGTTGAGCTTTCAAAGGCATGTTTCGAACGATGCTAGGAGCTGAATCAGGACGAACCACATAGTTTTGCCTTCGTTTGCTTCTTTCCGATTCAAACTCAATTTCTGCCGTAATTTTCTCATCATTCAAGAAGGGATTGTCAATATCTATGACTTCAAATTCTGCTTTCTCGTAGTGCTTCCCACCGTTCGTGAAGAAATAAGGAGAGAGCAGAATTGTGTCCTGGTTTCTAATATTGGCAATGATGACCAAAAATTTCGAAATACCTTTGGGGAAGTTACGTTCAATGGTCTGTACGTCTCCGTGGCTGGGTTTGCTCAGCCAGAGATTGTGGTGAGAATGCCACTCGCCGATATGACATAACATGTAGTTGTCGTTGATAAAGCGTCCAACACGATGCATGTAATTGATGTCTTGATGGAACGAGGTGTTTGTTCGTCTGCAGTTTTGTCCTGGTCCAAGGACGACATGAATCATAGCGCTACCTGATGTAGTCCACAGACCAAACAGATTCCCACCTGTTTCAATGTCTTGATGTCTGTACACTTCAGTACACATAGCATTGTAGTCATCCTTATACAGGAACACCTTGGCCTGGGTAATATAAATAATACTGTATCAGAAATCGAGGTATAGGGACCGATTTTAAGCTAGGCAGAGTTATAGTGCATGCCAAATTGTACGAATTGTGTTCTTCAAACTTCAGCCTCATATATTGATATATATCATAGTCAATATGCAGCAGTGTATATGGTTACAAGCAACGAGTATCCATCAAACATATTTCATACAGCTTTACAACAGATTTACCTAAAATAATCGTACCTTGTCGTTCTGTTCGCTGTCTCGTGAACGCAGCATTTCTCGCGACAGTTCAGTAGCTTTAGTTATCATCCACTGTTTTATTGTTGATACCATTATACTTGGTGAAATTGAAAATGCGTCATTAAAACTCATTATATAATAACTTTCAATAAAACTTTCGCTTTCTCTAACTTCCGTCTACGGTCTAGTTTAGATGGCGCGTCATGATCATAACCACATTTGCATGAAAAAAACTGTATTCATAGCATTCTGTTGTAGTCAAAATTTAACAAATCATTCGCTATCGTCCATTTATTGTGAACAAATAAACTTTGTTTTGAGAGTTTCGATTAGGCTTTACCAAGAACAATATAAGCTCTTCTCCGGGAAACATGATCTCTCTTCCGGGAAAGATGATCGCTTCCAAGAAAACGCATTTCACGAGTATTGCAATGTTTGGCGTCATGCTGTGTTGACTGATATGCAAAGTATGTGTGATCTTTCAATAATAAAAATTTATTATTTAACAAACTACTGTTTAGTAACACTTAACAGTTCTAAAATAAATACCTTCATCAAGAGTTTACACAAACAGAGAATTTTAGAAGTATACAATTGTACATTTAAAACAAAACTCGTCAAAAGCGTTACGATGAACAATGCATACATGTGAATAACCAGTGTTATATGGGTGAAATGGTGTAGTATATTTGTGCGAGACTGGGAATGATGATATAAAGTGATTCAATGTCATTGCGTTTATAGAATAGTGCAACAGCAATCACAATCATTTATATTGCTCCGGTGTACAGCATAAACACTGCCGTTTTTTCTTTCCAATGCAACGTCCAAGCATTCTCCACATTGACCAACTGGGTGATCAAAATGATACAACTCTACAATCTCTGTATCATGGCTAATACGCACGTATCTGATCCTATAGCCATGGACCATACGAGGAGGAACCTGCCTTCTCTTATTTCTCGCCGCCGTGTAATCATGATAATGCGGTTTGCAGTGAGTAAAGTATAAAGCTACTAAACCATCACATTTTAAATTCTCATGTCCTGATCCCTGGGGTTCGTGTCGACCACCACGCGAGTGACGATGTTCCAGATTTGTCTGTTCTTGTCTTGCTCTCACTCTTTCTCCAGCCTCTTTAGTCTTCCCCGCTTGCGATTCTCTCTTTCTTGAAGAGGTCTTTTTGGAAGGAACTTCAGCACCTTGAGATATCTGATTGCTCACTGCAGCATTCGCGCGAATCGGGCTTTCCCCTTCAAGAATTTCCAACTTCATTCGTGTTACTTTTTCTCCTTGGCTGGTCGCCTCAAATAAATTGAAAGCCATCGAGACCCTAGGTCCATCATTCCTCCACTCGATCATCGCAATCAGCAATAGAAATCTCCCTGGGTTAGGCAAATGTCTCCAGATCGTGTCTCTATCGCCACAGCTTGGTTCGGGTAGATTCATACTATGATGAGAATGCCAGGAGCCGATATTACACAGACCTTGGTTAATAGTCAGCACCTCACCAGCTTTACTTAAATATTCTTCGTCCTGAAAGAATGAAGTCGGCGTGCGACGACAATTCTGACCTGGTCCAAGCACTGCTTGAATGACTAGTTCATTTTCGTTCATCCACAATCCAAAGATATCGCCTCCTGTCTCAATGTTCGTGTATCGCAAAGTCCACATACTTATGAGCTCTGCTTCTCCACCATAAATATATACGGTATAAGGCTTAGCGTCCATTTTTAGTAGCTTTTGTAAATGAACCAGCTCAGATAGCTGTTATATACATGTCACAATACAATCACCTCATAACATTGTTGTTATAATAAGCTTGAAAGAATCTAGAAGCATTTCAAATTGTTTTCAAATTGTTTTCAAAACTTTACAATGGCAATGCCATGGTTTTCGCGGAAGTGAATATCCAGGAATTGATTAGCATCAAGTTTCGAAATTTGGAATTGAAGAACACATTCCTGGCTCAACAGGAGATGTTTTAGACAGAATGAAATAGCGATTAAATAAATTCCTGTAGGCATTTCTTAATCTACAGGCAGTCTCTTAAAAGCCAGATTTAATTTTTTAACCACACAATAACGCGCAGTAATTATAATTTTAAAATTTATAATTAGAGTAACATGGCTTGTACAAAATAAATACTGTATGAAATGAAAATAAACACTATGCGCTTGATTGCAAATGAACTCAAAATGAGCATCAATCTTAGAACTTAAATAAAGTATATTCACATATTAACAATATATATACACGACACGACCAACGTCAATCACTGCATGGGTTTACTTTTGGCTATCATGTAATCACTTGCAGTAAACGAAGGAAATACGAAAGTAACGCGAATTCCTTTCATTCTACGCGACATTCCTTATATTCAATGGCAAAGGAATTGAATTTAATAGTTCAGTTCAATTCTCTTGCCTCTGTCTATGAAGAGATATAAATTTACAGCCATAGATACTTCGTACTTGAATGAATCTCACTAGCTGCTGCTGTACAACATTTGGGAAAACCCAATACTTAAATAGTTATAAAAATACAAATGAAACGATACCACTGACCAGTCTACAGCGGGCCTCTTATTCCGGTAGTTGTGTAACCAAGGCAACGCCACGCGTGACCCAGTGATGCGAGGGATGTCTGGATGGCAGATGGATAGCGAGGATAAACGAGTTGCCACGTGTGGGCGTGGAGTAGACGGGGCATTCATAGGATACTAAGTTCGTCCTATCGGGAGTTTCTTCCTCAGCATTCTAGAAAATTAATGCAATCAATAAATGAGTGATCAACTTATTGACGAGAAGACCTTGTTGTACGAGACACCCTTTGGTTGACTACAGTACCAGACACTCAAAATTGTATCCTTAGTATGCTTACCACGACTGGTAATATCTTCAGTTCAGGCAAGGCTGAAAAGCGTTCATCTATTCCGGCTTCTTGCAGAGACGCTGAGGTTGCTTCCCAGACGGCACCGTCGAGATACAATCCAAAAATACGAACACAGTCGTCTTGGGATGAGCCGTGAAATGCAATCTTGCTCATGTCAAGATCTCGCTCGTGTTCCTCGTCACCATGAAGCCAGGTTCTTTCCGTGATCTCGTAGTTGAGTCTCAGAGAATCCACGGGCACATGATGTACACGAGCATGTCTTTGAAGCACTGAAGTAAAGAATCCTGAAAAAGGAAAAAAAATTTCGATTTATATTCATTCATATTATCCTAAACTAAATCCTGTTCATCCTGATCTTAATCTTGTCGATCCAGATTAAATATGGATACGGTTGGTCATAAATCAAAACTCGTTGATCTTGATCTTGACTTCAACTCATCCTAATCACTTTAATTTTATAAATCCGACGCTAATCCTAATCCTGGATAATCAGGTCGTACTCACCAAGCGGGAAAAAGAACGCAGAGATCCAGAAAGCGCGAGGCATATCAGGAGATCTAAATACACCACTGGACGACTTCTTCTCGGCAATGACCGTGCCAGAACGAGTGGAGTGGGCTGAGCGTGTTGACGCTGAGGTATCACGAGCTACGAGGGTGGCCTCAAGCCAACGAGAGAAGAAATTGATCCTTTGAACAAGATTGTTGGCCCAAGATGCCAGAGGTTTCGTGGAGTCATAGGAGACTTTCTGAAAACAAAACAGAATCAAGATTTACATTTTAGAGAATATATTTGAAGGACTCTCCAAGAACTGAATTCATCAAACGATGACATTAGAGTGTGGTTTGAAATTGACAAAATCGAGAAACCATGTCTTAATATGTAAATATCTGGGTTATTCTCGAACACTTTTCAAGGACTTTCTCTGAATTTTGGATTCAGCAAGAATTTTTGAAATGTCCTTGAGATTGAAGAATATTTCAGGCTGTTTGAGCACCTGCACAAACTCTTGTCACTGCGAGTAATGAAACTATTCTATAAGACAAACCACTGTCCAATCTGAAGGATCTTATCAAGATCATTGGGACTTACCTGCCACTGAGGAGGGACTTGGTTCACCAGCAAAGATTTGTACGTTTCTTCGATTTCATCCGACAACAAGACTCTGCCATGAATGGAATGAAAGAGGGAATTGAGCGAGGCATGGATTACGTTCAAGAGACGAGTGAACCTCGCCACTTCTCGTTTTAATACAGTATGCAAGGCTGATGAAGTGGTGGTAGTTGGGTTCATCACGGGATCAGTTGCGCTATTCGTGGTGGGATACCCAAGATCATGCGTGGATGGTTGTTGTTGGAAATAATCAACTCTGGTTGGAAGAAGCTTTTGAATGTCCGAAACTAGTTCCAACACAATCTCATCATTGCTCTTGCCAGACCTACAAAAACCGCAAGACACTAGTTTAACTACAATACGCGAACCTCAATTAGGCGCAGATTTACCATAGTTTGAGGTTTAATATGATATATTTAGAGCAATGATAACGACTTACCCAGCAACGTTATCGATCTGCGGGTGAACCAAAATCATATCATCCAGAAGACGCTTGGCTTCGTTTTGTAAACAGAAACGATTCGCCTCCGAGGGCATTCCGAATAACTCCGGATGATCAACGGTCGGCAAGCTCTCGATATAGTCGCAGCAGTCAGAAAACGAGGTGCCAATGGATGGTGGCTGATATTCCTGGAAGCGAAAGATTGAAATGCAAAGGTTGGTACATAGTTTTACAAATGGTCAGGTTGCAAGACGATGGATTTTACGAAAATCTTCTTACCTGACTTGACGTGTAACTAAAATCGTCCTCGAGACAGTCCGGTGAACAAAACTTCTCCACAATTTTCATCAGGCATCTTTTGTCCCACTTGTCGGTGACACGTCCTCCGTAAGTAATCTCAGCTGTGAGATACACCAACGCTTGCCACGGGACATTGGCGTGTTCAGATAACAGCATTCGAAGCATGGAGATTGATACCTGAAGATGAAAGAGGAGTGTTGTGGAACAAGACGTAGTTTATGTTGCGAGGGGGCGCTGGTGGAACAGAGACACAGAGCTCTCTGTATGTAAGTGGATTCGTAATCTACGAAACACAATCTAGCCCCTGTCTATATAAAAGCCTGTAATGTACCCATTTATAGGTATTTAGAGCGTCTGGGCACGAGGCTGGGAACTCCATTCATGCTGCAAGACGCTAGCTAACTTCTTCAACTTCTATGCCATCTCTTGCGCAAACTAACCTCCAGATCAGCGCTTGGGAAGTCGTAAGGAATATTCCAACCAAGAGCGCCAAACTTCCTTCGTTCTTGCACAACTGCGTTGAGAAGACACAATCCAAAGAGAAGCTTCTTCCAGTGTGGTCCAGGATTGTTGTCCTCGAATATCCCAGCCGTCACTGCGCCGCCAACGGTCGCAAACGATTGTAGGATGTTGGCTTTGATACCAGGCGAGGATTCGACGGTCATCTGAAATGGTTAAACACTTCACATTTATTTTTCAATAAAACTATACTGTTCTTCTTCGAGTCAATTGAAATAAGCGCGATGTATTTAATTTGGTTTAAAGAAAAGCAATGCTTAATCAGAAAATCCTTTGCTGTGAGATCAAGGTTTGATCGTAAACTCGAAATCAAGGACAGCAGCTCAATCTTAGAGTCCGTTTACCTTGGTAGCAGCCTGGAGTATAGAGATTGGAAAATCTTTATGTGGTGCAGAGCTCAGCCAAAGTCTAAACGACGGTTCGACGGCCACTCCGGGCTCAGCGATCCTAAAATAAAGATATTTACTTGTTATAGAACAAGTCTCATGGGAGCTTTTGTAGTTACGAGTTCTAGAAAAAGTACAAGAGTACAAACAAACAGCCTCTCATGACTATTAATTATGTAACAGAGAAGAGGTTTCTTAGGTTGGAGTGGTTTCTTCAATCAGGGATAACAATCAAATATAATCTAAAATATATTCTTACTTTCTTATTATTTCTTTCAGTTTCGGCATGAACGACAAAGCAAGATGACAATTCTGTAGAAAGACCCATCTTCCTCTGTGTTTATAAGCCTTGGTCACAGTCTCCTCGGTTCGCGTCTCCTGACCCCGGCCGAGTGAGACCATGTCCAACTGACATGCGCTGCCTCGAATATCACGGACAAAACGCATCAACTGCGATGCTGGATCAGTACCTTGAACAAAACAAAAAAATTTAGCCAAGCAAGACTCTGATGAGATGATTTGAAATATTTCATGGCTGTGGTTAAAAAGATGTAGATTCCACACGAAGGATCTTCATTGAAGGCATACCTGGTGCCAGGATGAATACCAAGGGAACTTTGGGATCAGAAGCGGAAAATATTTCTCGTAAGTCCAACGGCAATGCTGACACAAAGAGAGAGCCAAGATGTTCTTTGACGAACGTCCGGACAGACTCCAGCAGTCGCTCGGGTCGAAGTATTTTCACTACCATCAGACGATTAAAACTTGACAATTTTGAACAACTCCAGGCGTTCTTTTCTTTGTCTTCACCTACAAGTTTACAAAAGATTCCATTTGTTTTATTTACACGGGAAATTTAGTCTTGTCTAATAGTAGAAGACTCCTTGGGATCTTGCAAGGTTGTACTTTATCTTTTTCCAGGGTGACTACAAGAGGAACCCTAAACATCAACTAGTTAGTAGAGAACTGCGGACCAGAGAATTAATGTCTGACGACATTGAAAATATTAATCTCGCATACTTACATTCATCAATGGGATCATCCTGTACATCGAGGTATATATAGGGATCATCAACTTTAACGAATTCCGACCAGAAGAGTAGATTGTCAACAATATCCTGACATAATCCAGAGAATGAGGGTGAGAGTGCTGATAGTTGTACACACTCCTGCCACATGGGTACACTGATCCATTTCAACGGTGGTTTAGCTCTTGCTGATTGCGTACCCATGCTTCCTTTCGCCACTCCTGGAGTTCCTAGAAAGGTTGTTGTAATTTGACGTCATGAACAGGTAAAGACGGGATAAGTTCTAGGAAAAATAGCCAGGAATCTCAGATGTTCCATTCAGGTTTATACTGAAACGTATATTGCAGCATTTTCCATCAAAGATTATTTCAATGAAATTACATTGTTGAGTTCAAACTAGTTTATCATATAGCAAAAGTAATAAATATATAAATATCAAAGCAATACCATTTTTCCGAGGTCCATTAGAAGACGCGACATTCCTCTCCGTAAACGCCAGAGACGACGTTCCCCATATAAATAAACTCCATTCGTTCTTCCCGATCAGCGGCATTCCCGAGTGCTCATCTTTGGAATACTTCATGATATTACAACATAATAAGAACGAGAAGGTGGTTTGATGTTGCGCGAACAATCCATACGTGACATGGCGATAAACAGTTTCCGTGATCACGTCGATCAAAGACTCCAGATGATCCTGAAGTCCAAGATCAGTCGAGCTTGTTAAACTAAGCTGACGTCTTCTTTGTTGAGCCAATCTTTCATACATGGTGCTACGCCTGCGTTTATTTATCCTGTACAGCGGCTGGACTGTACCTACATGGAATAGGGAGTGGCATATAAGATGCTTGTACCTTTGTCTGACTAAAAGTACAATAGTTAGACCTGGGTCTTTTTCCTAATGTATCATCTCACTCACCTACTACCCACCTATCAACATGCCTTCCACCTAATGTATCATTTCCCCTTGGGATCATCTCACCCACCTACCTATCAACATGCCTTCCATCTAATGTATCATTTCCCCTTGGGATCATCTCACCCACCCACCTATCAACATGCCTTCCATCTAATGTATCATCCCCCTGGGTATCATCCCACCCACCTATCCACCCACCTATCAACATACCTTCCACCTAATGTATTATCCCCCTGGGTATCATCCCACACACCTACCGGCCTGTAAGGTTCCTAACAGCGGCGAATCAGGTCTTTTCTTTCCCTCGAATCGAGCGTTGTCACGCAAGGACAGTAGACAGGAAACGAAGAGATCGACAAACCACTGTAACGAGAACTGATACATGATGTTGAGGCTGGGAAGATCAACCAACGTGAAATATATTATCGCTCCACGAGTAGCCACAGGAAGGTAATGTTCTCGAGTCAGTCGAATCTCACTTCTAGCAGCTAAAATTGAAAACAATCTTCATGACAACCCATTTACTCCTATTATTCTCCTCAAATGATGAGTAAAACTAACTGGTATAATAGTAAAATACTAGAGTAGAGCACATCTGGGTGCACTGCAAGCTAATGGGTTCACAAAAGACATTGAAAGATAGTTTTGTTATCCCATTAGAGAAAAAATACATCCAGTTGCAAAGTCCGTCTACCTTCAGACTGCTCCACTTTCCGTTGAATTGTATTCGCTGTATTCTTGCTATCCTCTATTGTAGATATAAGTTCCTCATCATCCAATATGTTCCCCTCTGAAGAATGCAAGAGATCTAAACACTTGTCCTCCAAATCACGTATCTTTGAACGATCACTGACAACATTCTCAATTAGGTTGAAGAATTTTCTCTCCAATTCAGGACGTTCCTCGTACACGACTTTAGAAAGCAACTGATCCTGAAGTCCTAAAAGGATAGATCACACGTAACGCTTATTCTATCATAAGCAGCCGTGGTTTGTTGTATCTGCGGTCTTGACCAGCTTAAATGATAGTATCTCAAACATGGGGAACAAGGAGATCCTCGCTTACCTTCGAATGTGACAGTAAAATTGATGACTGTGACTTGATTGAATACCTCGGAAAAGAATTGAGGATTGACAAGACTCGTCGCGAGGAAGAGTTTAAAGTTGCTGTTGTATTCCACTTCGGTTTCATTGATTTTCATCACATGTTGGTTACCACGTACGGTCGTACGACGCTGTAAAACCGACTCTAAACGAGGATCAATGCTCTCGCGAACATCCTGGATGAAAAACAGACAACGAACACCAGCAATTAACAAGGAAATTACAAAGAAACTTGAAGCATACAAAGTTCCATCTTTACCGTGATAACAACAGCTTTTCCAAGTTGCACAGCTTCTTCGATTGCTGTCAAACAGTTGACGTCTCCAGATTTCACGATCGTCACTCCATTTTCTTTCTCCATCTCCGAGATCCATTTTACTGCTTGTTGCTGCGGGTCTATCAACAGTGGCCACTTGCGAGTGTTCGCCACGAGTACGGCGCTTTGTATTGAGGTTGTGTCGTGTGGCAGGGAATGACTTAACCATCGCTGAGTCTCACTGGGGTTAGTGAGGAACTGAGCTAAATCAAAATCGCTCGAAACTGGAATGTCTCGTTTCTGACAGGACTCGAACCACAGCGAGTAAACCTGTAGGGAAGATTTTATCAAAGTTGAATTGGTTGAGACTGAGATTAAGGTTATCAGATTGAGATTAAGGTTATGAGATTGAGATTAAGGTTATGAGATTGAGGCTCTCTTGAGATTGAGGTCATGAGATTGAGATTTAGGTTATGAGATTGAGATTATGAGATTGAGATTAAGGTTATGAGATTCTTGCATCATCACAATAATACCTGATACACACACGATCATTTTCACTTACCTGTTCGCGGAAATTCTGTGTAAACGGTCCGAGGTAGGCAATGGTTGCAGCGGCAAGAAAAGCATCTCCAACCAATCCTTGCGAGCTCTCATCCAGTTTCCTCACAGACTCAAGCCAACGTTGATGTTCCTCGCTGAAAGCTCTCGACAAAATAGAAGCTCGTCCAAGTCTTTCAGTTGTTAAGCGTTTTCTCTCGTGCAAAGACTCTAACTCGTTCAGACTCGCTTGATATTGATCACGAAGAAGCTGCAATTGATGTTCAATATTTGCTAAAGCTGCTTGCTTTAGATCCAACTTATGTTTGGCTTCAACAAGTGCCTGAAACGCCTCCTCGCAACGAGCCCGTTTCGGCAGCACAGCCCGGAATGTCTCGGTGTAGTAATCCAACGCGATAACCCAACGACACATGGATTTGCATGCGACCGAGATTTTCCCCACATGATCCGGAGTGAAGTTCGGATGACTCGTGTATCGTTTTAATTTCCCAAACACACGGTCGGTAACGCTGTCTTTGTTGAAGTTAATGAGCCTCTTTAAAAATCCTGGATCAGCCAATACTTGTTTTGTGTTCGCCCAGTCTGTTTTTTCCTCTAGTATCAAGCAAACGGCAGCCATGACAGTTATCACCATACCAGGTGGCTTCGTATATACCCTAATCTCAGCAATATCTGATTTATCAAGAGTGTTAAGGTCTTCGTTGGCCGCCATTAAAGCTGGAATGGCTTGATCTAAATCTCTTTGTGCCTCGTCAGCGATTTCTCGCACGCGTTCCGCTTCTTGGTTGAGCAATGACTCTTCCTCGGACACTACATGACGTACCTCATCCACAGACTCCTGATCTTTCGCTAATTGATTCAACAAGACCTCCGTGTCCTACACAAAAAAAAAGAAATTATTATTGACGCAAATTTCTCGAGCAACCGGTCCAAAGTAATCTCACCTTTGCTTTTCGTTCCAGTTCTGGAGAGAGTTCTACCAATTCCTGTTTCATTTTACCCACCAACTCGTACGATTCATCCAGTTTCAATATTCCTGCGCTTAGACGTTCTCTGTACTTCAGATATTCCTCCCGCTTCTTGACAAAGATCTCCAGAAACATTTGAATGCACTCCATATAGGTAGCTGGAGTGGCATAGCAGCGTCGCGAGAGCTCGGTCCTGAAGCGGCCAGCGGCCTCTTGGCTGATATGATGCACGTCCACAGATAACCTCGTCAAACGATGAAACTCTGAAACGAAATATCCAACATTCGAATCAATGATTGATTGTCAGCAACTGCAGTTCAACTTTCCTGACGTTTTCCCGCCAGAAAACGGCTTATTCGATCATGGTCGAATCCGCCGGAAAATGGCGAATTGGACCATGGTAGAGTCCGCCGGAAAACAGCGTATTCAACCGTGGTCGAGTCCGCCGGAAAACAGCATATTCGACCATTGTTGGTATCATAACCTTATTGAAAACAATATAGAATTTGTGCGTTCGTAATCGTAGAGATCCGAACCTGCTATCTCGACGGATTGCAAGAATGTCTTCCCCACAGCTTCAAGGGCATCGTTTGGCCATTCATCATACCAATCGATGGCGCAGCAGTTGATCAGCGACGGATACACACGACATCGTTGCCGGAATAACGTTCCCGAGGGTGTCATGGAGACGGCGTAATGGATATGGTCGTTGACACGTTGTTTAAAGAGATCAAATACCGCGTGCTTGTCATTCGAGATTCCCAGAGATCTGGCATTTTTTCCCAAGCTGATGAATATACGTTCCTTATCCTCGTTGCTGAACATATCTGGGACTTCTCGTCCGTTTAGCATGTAACTCACGTCCTCGAAAAATGATTCCTGAAAAGATAATCGTTGGTGGGATTCACAGACGTTAACAACAGATTATCCAATACGGCGATTCCCCGAAGTTCTAGCTTAAAGCTCCGATTTCTTCTTTCGATAGATGTGAACGAGTGGAGAAGTTACGGAGTATTCAAGTAAGAGCACTTATTGATCAAAGCATTCATAACTATTGCCTCGTTTACATCTGTCAAAAGACGAAAATCGCAAGCAAGATAACGAGTGGGAACGAGCCTTTGCCATTCGCCTACCTTGACTAAATATCTGTCATTCAAAAACAGAACCGTGTTTAGTCCGTCAATACCAGCAATACATAGGGCGGCCTTAACATCCTCGTGGAAATCTGTAATATTGTAGTTCGAGAGAGTACGTAATGTTCTGAACTCACAATTTTCTAGATACGCGGCAAGCTTTACCACGCTGCCCTTTCCCGTCCCGCCCAGGCCAACCAATAGGAGGTGACCGCCAAGCTGTCGGAATACACGAGCGGCACGCGACAGGTGCTCGACCGCTTGACGAAAGAACACGAATGGTTGGTCGAAATTTTCATCAGACAAACGAAGACGGTTGTAAAACTCCTATGAAGAGAAAATAATTATTAATATAAACCCGGAAATCACTAAACTATGGACACCTCCCTAATATGACGATCACCTCTCTAAACATGTTTGTTATATCTCTCTAACATGAAGATCTCCCTTACCTGATATCTCTCTAATTCTAACACGGCTATAATGTAAATACCGCTTCAATATCAACAGGTTTCTAATAAAAGCATCTCCCTAACATGAAGATCTCTCTATATATGGTTAAAACCTCTCTGATATGGACATCTCTTCGACATGAACATAAGTCTTATCTAAACACCTTTCTAATATTAAAACATTTCTGTTATGAACAGTACTACAAAATAGAACAGCGCTTAAATACATGAATACCCCTGGTAATAATAATTGAAATGATACCTGGAGGGTTTGTGAAAGCAAATTGACATCTTTGATCTGTCGATATGATCGGTCAGCCTTCGGGTTATTGAGGTCTGCGAAATCCCCAAATATCAGCGTTTTCTTTGTAAGCGTATCCACAGGCACCTTGCATCGTATACAATGATCTATCTTCTCCATCAGGACGCCATAGAAGAACTGTCGATCTTCCTTTTCCACCAAGCGGTCGTGGAACACACGAGTCGCTTCGTGGGCAAATAACAGCGTCATTTGATCACGAGTGGTCACAGCCATACTGTCAGCTTGAAGTAGACCAAGAATCACCTTTAATAGAAAGAAAATCAATGCAGAAATCACCAAGGATAATTAAGGAGGGATGCTGGATCAATAAGAGATGAGTTTAACTGGTTCCTTTGAGAAAGTAATGTTGAACTAATAGAGCTACCTAACACCAACACCTACATTAAATCTGTATGATTAAGAGTGTATGCAAATTTTATTGTTTTACTTATTTAATTTCTGTTTATCTATTTATTGTTTTATTTAATTACTTCAGGTACAGCCTACCTTATTAACATCTTTAAGATTAAAAGTGTAATGTGATTTTGCTGGTGTTGGCAGAAGCGTTGCTGCCACGGCGAAGAACACAGACAACGTAGCAAAGACTAGCTCCTGGTACATTTCACGCACGTCTTGTAGGAAATCATGGCTTTGTAGATGACGACCAAGACGAACTTGGAAGATACGATGGAGGGATTTCACGGCAGGCCGAGGGAGAGACAACACACTAAAATCATATGAAGAAAGATCGCGGAGTTCTTCTAATACGACGCAATAAGGTGGAATAATGCGGAATAAGACGCATGAAAGAGATTAATTGTCAAGCAACAGCCAACTTACTTGAAATGACTTACAACTCGTGGGCTCATCGAATGACGTCCTCCAGTTGGTGGCCCACAAGCAGCAACCACGGTCGCATCATCCACATCAGTCCAGAGAAGTTTACGAGTGTCATAAAACCCCCCGTGATCCAGATATTCACGTATCAACTCCAGGGGGGGTTGGGTACCGAACTCGTCAGGGCCAGGCATATTGAGGTCATCCATGAACACAATCACCTAGATTAGTGAAATGCTAGATTAGTTAAATCCTAGATTAGTGAAATCCTGCGTCAATCCTAGATTCGTTTACCAAGATCGGACAAACAACACCAGCTGTTTGACTGCTCATATGCAATACACAAACCTTGGCTCCTTCCTGGGCTCCTAGACTGTGTCGCCGACTCTTGATCAACTTACTGACGATGAAGGCTTGAACTTGTTTTGGAGTAAGACGAGCTGAGCACTGCATAGAAGAATACTTGACAGACGGTGTGATCATAGCATGATATTTCGACACATCCGTAAGACTCTCGTTCATGTTAGTCGCTGACCTCAATACTGTATCAATGATTGTTCCAGCGCCGCTTGTAGAACCTAAATATCATCGAACGATGTCGATATCAATAATTGATACATGATGCATTGGACGCGAAACAAATCTCACAAGCTGTTGAAGTTTTTTTACCATTACGTTCGTTCACACTCACCTACTTCCTTGGACAAGCGTAGTAAAACATCTTCGACAAGAATGGATTTTCCAACGCCAACATCACCAGTCAGAAGCACAGGTTTATCGTTTAGTAACAGCAATGCCAAGAGGAATTCGTAGCGTATCGTGTCTCGCGTTGGAACAAGACTCTGTGTCTTTAAGTCATCGAAAGCTGTACACTCTTCCATCAGACCTAACGATTCCGTAATCGCGATGCTTCGAGTGAGGGTCTTTTGAATGAGGACATCTGCCTTTGGGACGAGGGTTTGCCAAAGTACAAACTGTTCTGTATCCAAGTTCAAAAAGCAGTCGAAGACGCTATGTTGAGCTGGAGGTAGCATCTTCTCTAAGATGGGGTTGCTCTGAAAGATCTTCCGTATGAAGGCATCAAATGGATTAGAGTTGATATCTGGATGGGTTTGGATGTTGTCTTCCTCGTGTTCTTGTCTAAGGTCGAAAAGACTTGCAGATGGCGTGTAGATATAGTCTTTATCTTCGGCAGACGCAACGAAATTGCAGCCGATAGACCAGGTGAAAGAGAAGAGGTAAAGTTTACTGAGGAGATTGTTGTAGTCTGATGATGGTGTTGTAGTAAACGGACTGTGAGAAACGTTGGATGACGATACGTTGGATGAAGATACGTCAGTTGAACTGCTCCTCTCAGCTAAACGAGAATGAATGGTGCAATGATCAATTGCAGAGGCTTAACAAGGGTACTTTCTGAGCGTATAACAGAGAAATTACTGTAGGAATATAGTAATTCTACCATGTGGAACTCACGTGTGTCTGTCGGGAAAACTTTGATTAATCGTTCCTCTTTGCGAACATAATTCAACAAAGATTCAAGTATCGCACAAAGACATTTGACAACGCTGAGATCACACGTCTGATTCACTTGGTTCGTGGTCAGTCCTGAACGACGAAATGCTAAACCTTCATCCAGCGTTATGTTGAATAACCACAGCAAGTGATCGCAACCATCTTCAGAAATCTGGAAGAAAACCAGCATGTGTTGCTTTTGTATTATAATACAGGTGAAGAAGATTGTATTCATCTTGGAAGAAGATGGTCTCCACACTAGATTACCAAGAAATTACTCCCACAGCTTGTGAGATTTCGCTTCTAATCGATTCATACTAGAATTTCCCACCTTCTCTTCATCTTTGAGCTTTGAAAACCACGCCTTTACAAAAGGTCTCCATCCAAGATCTCTTGGGTCCTTTAAGAAAAAAGTTTGTTGGTAAGCGACGGAGGAAAGGAAATGCTTGTAGCTCAGAAGAGAACTAATCTTTGCTGAGTTTATGAATGTTAACTAGTACCAGGCGTATTCCAGCTTAGAAAAGGCTGTATGTGACGCTGAACTCAATGATCTATCGCTATATTGTTTTAACTTACCACATAGACCATTGCGCATCGACTGACCGTGGCTGGCGAGGCATTGGCCAGGTTATCAACTTCAAAAATAAATTTCATTCCAGGTCCGGTGTTGATGCGTTCCCCACTTGATAAACAAAGGACCTACAACAAGATGACTTCATGTTTCACAGTTGATAGCAGCAAATCAAAAAGGAAATGATGTTAGGAAATGAACAAGGTGTTTCAATGCAGGATATAGGAACATTAAAACACTATACACGAGATTATTACCTTCGTATCATCAAGAACGGTGTTGAGATTCTCCACCCAGACAGTGTCCACTGGTCCGTCCAGGACAATCCAGTACCAAGCACTAGCGTCTTGTACATACGAAGGATTTGAGAGTGACGACGAAGGAGTCGCCGCTTGAGAGATTTCATCATCGTCTGAAATATACACAACAATTAACATCAAGTAACCAAGAATGCAAGACGAGCCGACTGGCCTTATCTGACGTACCGATAATCGTGATCTTGTGAGACTCTTCTTTCTCCCGAAAACCTTTGTTGCACGTCACGGCCGTGTTGCCCTCGTTTGAGAACGTTCTGAATACACGTGATAATATTCCGTCTTTCCATTCCATCGTGTTTGAGTTGAATTCGCCATAAAGCTCTGACATACTGACACATTTTGGATTGATCGTGGCCACATTCACCTGCGCTTTCTTACCAATCACGTACTGCAAGAACACACGCAAGAGGGTCGTGTAAACGAGAGATGAGCAGATGAGAATACATCCGAACTATTCCGGTGAAAACGACTTGTTCATGACAATTATGACTAAATGAAAGCCAGGCCTTACCTTTGACGTGATGATCTGTTTTCTGGTCATGTCAACGACGCTACAATTAAATTCAGCATTAGCCGTTCCTAGTGCAACCATGTACTTGTCTTCAAGAATGTTTAAGATCGGTTTAAGGGACATGGCTTCTTTCAAGATCTTCTTAATCGTTGTTTTTCCACCTCCTGTCTCGCCGACCAGGGCAATGCCACCACGAGATAAGAGATTTTCGTGGAAATAGGCGACTTTCTCCAACTGTGACGGGCAGTGCTTCAGATGGAGCTCTTCTAGAGCAAGCTCCATGGCTTTCTAAAGAAAAAAGAGGGAGATCGCTTTCACCAGTTTTGCACAAAAGAAGCGGTATTTAGTGAACACTTTTTGGTAGGTAAGAAAACTAGGACATATTACGGAAATTTAGGGATAAATAGGTTGAACTAGAGAGAAAAACTAGGGAGGACTATGGGACAATGATAAGCTCACTTGAAAGATCTTGTCGTTAGAATGTGGCTTCGACAAGCCAGGGAAAAGATCATTCAATATTTGTTCAAACACTCGAATATCTTCAGTGACAAACTTTGGCACATTCGTGCTGTGAATTGCTTTCAAAAGTAAACCAGCTTCGTGTTCCTCAATACTCCTTCCATCATTGCCAGGTCTGAAAAAAACACGAAATAAAGCAGCTTACTTTTCCTGGATCTCTAGGTACATGTAATTCCACATATCTCTGGGTTAGATTCGACTACTAACAGTAACACGAATGATCGAGTTGAAATGGAAATAAATGCATTTTAAAGGATGGATTCTATCGCTGAATTCACACACCGTGGATTCGATCTTTTATGTTTTCCAGCTAACAGCAACATCGACTTTATTGAACGAAGACCAAAGTCATAGTGATCCTAGAAAACCAAATATATAACATCGTGAAATAGATGTTTGCTGGTCCAGTATTCCGTGTGTCGTATCGCGAACCTGTTGTGAAAGCTGTTTGCTGATCAGTTCATAGAGTTTGACAATCTTTCTTGATAAAGACATGGCGGTCACAAAACCCTCAGAGAAGAGAATGATCTCCGTGATCAAGACGTAATCTGGTACCATCATTGCAAATGGACGAAATAAGGACTTCACGTTGTCAGGAAGCTCCACGCGACCTGTATAGCTGAAACGATACATGAGGACTTAAAAGCTAGGCTGTTTCAATATAAACTGCTTTCTTATATAGAAATTACAATCTATAACTAGTAGAACCTACCCAGGATTCATGGTAATACAAACGCCACAAGTCCGACAAAGCCTGATATCTCGTCCTTCAAACACAAACCTGCAACGAAAATTACAATCATTATCAATATCACCGCCACATCCATCATTATCACCACCACATCCATCATTATCAGCACCACATCCATCATTATCACCACCACATCCATCATTATCACCACCACATCCATCATTATCACCACCACATCCATCATTATCACCACCACATCCATCATAATCACCATCAAACATACCACGTAGCATTGTTGTCCTTGGCCGTCTTGAGAGCATGAAGCTGCTGAGCAATGACGGACAATACCTCCACATCAATACGATTGAATTCGTCGAAACAAAACCACGATCCTGACTGAGCGATTCCCGAGAAAAACCTCCCAGTCATCTGGGAAGAAGATTTGTCAAGATTAAATTCAATAATCCTCTCCATTTCAGGATTATACCAGGGCTACACCCGAGTTTTTTGCAGTCAATCAAAAGTCAAGTCAATCAAAAGAGATATTTTCAAAGCGATTTACCTTGTAGTCGAGGGCTTCAGAGCAATTGAACACGACACACTGTTTTCCTAACGCCTTTGAATTTTAGATAAAGAAATCTGTATGAAACTGCAAACAACTGACTGAAAGATCAAGTTAACCGTAGAAAACTCCCCTCCAGTATTCTTGCAGGAAGAAACCCCATCTTACCTTGGCTAGATCTTTCACTGTCTCAGTTTTTCCCGTGCCAGCAGGACCGAATGGCGCGCCACCCATGCGCAGATGTAGAGCACCAGTAAGAGTAAGGTAACATCTGTCTGTCAACGGCGTGATGACCAGCCTCGAGGGACAACCAAGGTATTCGTAACCATATTCAAAACTAGCATTATGTTGTAAAACATGACAAGTGCTCTCGTTCTCACTCCACTTGTATCGTAGTTGTCTACGAGTAATGAAGTAAATATTGACATTAAATCCATGAACAGAGGAAACAGAGGCGTCTTGGAATAGGATACCAAAAAGCTTATAAAGAGCCGAACTTCGACATTGTGTCGAGGTTTACCTTTTCCACTGAAAATCCTCTGCATCGTGTATATCATCATCAATAAGCGTCCGTAAAACATCTCGCTCGTGAACTTTGATAGTGAGAAGGGCTTCAATGGATCGTCTATGATGGAACAGCAATGGTGACATAACAAGATCCACCAGTGAATTCAGTGTTGACAACTGCTGTTCGTGCAACGTCTCAAACGATCTCTCCTTGTTTTCCATGCAGGACACAACATCGCGACAGAAAAGAATTTGCGACTGCAAAACAATAGAATCAATGCAAACAACTCTTAGTTTACTCTCGTGGAATCTAACGTAACTGAGGTTCATGCAAAATGTAAGAATCATTGCCTTGCCTTACCACAGTTAGAACTACTTGTCCAGGATGTCCCAAAACCCAAGGTGTGAACTCTTCATTACGTCTCGATAACGCTTGTTTTAAATATCTATTTCGCGAGAAGACGATGAAAATTTTTTGCATAAATCTGTAAGACCTTTCAACTATTAACTGTTGTCGTTTTTGACAAAAAAAAAACAGTGATGGGACTTACAGTTTTATGACATTACGAATTGCATTTTCCACGGTCGCTAACCACGATTCTATCGCACCTCTGATCTTGACTGGTCTAAAAACATTTGGAGAAGGACAAGAATGAATTCGGGCCTCTTAGCTTGGGTAGTAAAGGAAGAATATTGCATCATCTTTATTGTAATACCAAAGCACGAAGTGTGCAAACACTCACTTGTTCAATGCAACACATTCATCCTCAGCTGAGATCATGTGATAAACCTGAAACGCGTTTGTTTCGTGTTTGATTCCCAACTTACGCACATTCCCAAAACACTTCTTCAGATGAGGCTGTAAGACAAGAATATAGGATCAACGTTTCTGTGTGGTTCTCATCAAAATCATGCCATAAACTAGAACTAAATCTGGCCTTGTTGCTCTCATGTTAGCCTCCCGAGTCCACTACCCGATCTCCTCGAGTCTCCAGTCCACTACCCGATTTGCTAGTGAATTCAGTTCAGTGGACTGGAACACAGGCTACTCTCGTGAGGGATTGACGGTGGATACCTGGATACATTGAGGATCTTTTCCATTAGATAAAATGTCTATAAGGTCATCGTTGGATAGGAAATAAAATCTTGGGAAGATTAGTCGTTTTGTTTCCAGATAATCCTAAAATTAAAACAGGAGGATAAATATCAAGAAAAGATGTTGTGTAAACCAGGCCAAGAGAGAGTTTTAATTTAAAATGTTCACTCATAACGCCAGGTTAAACACCACAAGCTTGCATATTGCATTACAATATACCTCAAGGCATCTGTGTATCTTATCCATCTGAGTGTTACAGGTTTGCAGTATCTCCAACACACCTGAACAAGATCAAAGTACAGAATATTTACAAGAACTGTCATGCTGAGTCTCTCTAAGGAATTGTTAAGATATGCTTCACCTGCAGCAGTTGTTGATCGAAGAGCGTTGGGATGATCAGCTGCTCGCCTCATGATATCTTTCCAAGATCTATCAACTTGAGTGAACAGCCGTGTCTCGTTTGGCAGTTGTCTGAAGAGGGATTCGAGAACATAAAGTTTAATACTACCTCACGCTGAAAGATGTTGTGTGTCTCATTAAAGCGACCCTGCTGTGTTCTTGTACAAGGTGTATCGAAGGGATGATACCTCTGTTGAATGACGTTTAATACACGCTGTATTCATAACGTACCTCTGAATATCAGACGCAGAGAAGATACTTTCAAGATACAACCAATGTCTTTGACAGATCAACCATTCTTCCAAGGTGAGAGAAAACAACGTTAGCTTCCTGTCCCATTCTTCGACCAAAGGCTGAAAAAGATAGAGACGATTGATACCATGATAGCTTACTATTCTCACAAGAACTTATACAAGACTTAGGCTGTTTTCCATTGCAATCGTATCGTATCGTAGCGAGGCGTATATCATTGTTTCCTTGGCACTAGACTAAACTGATGACTTTGAAACAAAGGAATACGCAATGGTTCGCTACGACTGAGGCGGAAAACAGGACTTACTTTAATAGGAGCCACAAATCGAGAACTCTTTATATTAGCTAACGTAACAAGACTATCTTCCAGGGCGGTGGTTATGTCATCAGCACCATTGATGATCGCAATATCTCGACTGGCATGAGCGGTGAGATTGAAGTCCGTACGATTCCAGAAATCCATCACCTATGATAATCATGCAAAATATATGTTATGTAATTGTTTTGCTCGGTAGAAAGAATATTGGTTGATGAAACAAGACAATGAAACCCGAAAGAAGGCTGTTTCTCTGGATCACCGTACATTACCTTGCGAAGCATTTGCTCCAGTGTGAATTCATTGGTCGCATGAGAAGAGATCTCGACTATCTTAGTTTTATAACGAAACACCTAAAAGCAAACACAAGGAATGAACTAGCGAGAAATCCACAAACGAAGTGTTGTCTCTACACAAAAGACGTGCATATTGCACTAATATTTTCTTACTACAGCGGAAACGCCTAATACAACGTGTTTGGTAGTTTAGTTTGGTAGTGAGTCAAACTGAAATGACACTCCCCAGATATGAAATGTATAGGAACCAGGAAGATGCCACAAATAAGAGTTGTTTCAGTATCGATGACCCCAGCACTTTTCATCCCTCGCTATATGTAACTTACATTCATTTTTAGTAAAACTCCTAGTGTGAAATGTTTATCTCTCACAAAGTTTCTCTGCATTAATATTTGAACGGCATCCCAGTGTCGTGGTCTTAGAGCATGATTGCGCAGACTTATAACAGCAGGCATGCCTTGTTTGAACGTTGTCACTTCTTGTTTGAGCTTGTGAATAACATTGTTCGCTGGAACACCTGGGATGAAAATGAGATAACTGATATTTTAAGCAATTGTTAAACATATTAATGTGAATATATTTTCCACGGAGGTTAACTCCACGAACCTTTCTCCAAGAGAAATATCGTCTGCATTAATTTGCTGACAGTCTTCTGCATTTCGTCAACGTTCAAACGATCAAACGGCTCTTCCTCCCATTGATTCACGAGTCGCTTCCACTGGTCCGAGGACTCCCAGAGCAACCTTCTCAAAGAAAGATCTCGTTCAACCTCAACAACATCTCTCTGTAATGATCCTGCGTTGTCAGCCTTTCTTCCATCATCGCTTCCACTCCTCGAATTGAAAGATGGAACAAAAATGAAGAAACAAAACGCGATAAAGAAGACAATGATCTACAGGGATGCAGTTGTCTGATGCGGCAACACCCACACAGGACAAAACGTAGACCGACTAACATTTACTCCAAACTAGAGCACACCCGCTCCCTCCTACAAAACGAAGCCGAATGCATCCCTGAATCTACAATATATACAGAGAACAACATCTGACTTACATATAGATCGCTTTTCGACGGCTTGTTGAGGACAAAGCTCCAACGAAATGATCTTGATAAACAGCGTAGTTTCTTGCTTTACTTGATATTTCCTGCAACTCATCTCCAAGTACACTCAAAGTTTCCAGTATCGTCTTGGAAGTGTTGATCGAGTCGATAAGACTAGGCGCTCGGATCTTGTTCTTCAGCGTCACCAGTTCACCATGGATACTGCCAATAAGTGCGTCAAGTTCGCAGCTAAATTTCATAATATTCTCATCCTTCTTCGCTTCACAGTATAACATCGTCGACTATAAAAGAATGGAGAAATGGTCAAGATATCGGTGTGAATTAACTCGTTTAATCTGAATGATTATAGGATGTACTGAAATCCTCCATCTTAGGTGAGGAAATTCGTTACAGGATGCGAGTCTGCCCTGAAGTCTAAGATTGTAAGAAAGCGTCAAGATCGATCAAGACTTTGTACATCTGCTTACAGGACACAGATTCAAACGTGTAACCCACCTTTAGGTTGTGAAAGCTCGGCATGAGAGTCTGATACAAAGCCATCTCCTCGGGTTCAACATGAACGTCAAAGCTGATAGCAAGAGAATAGAGTTTGTTCACTTTAAGAAACTCCTGTTCTAGTTGAGGTAGTTCACGTGACACGCGTGCTTGAAGGTTCAGCCGTTCCATGAAATTCTCCACGGATGCAGGAGACCTGTCCAAATTCTTGGAATAACCCTGGAAGAGTATATGGTAGAAAAAGAGTTTTTCAGCATACAAAGTAAAGATGCAAATCTTGAAATGTCGCAATATGTTCACTACGAGTTTCTGTAGGAAATACGTTTTATACAACTTGTCACAATACTCTTCGTAGACGGTACGGAAGGCAGCTTTGTTTGTGTCGCTATAGTTTAAGAGATTGTAGTTGACATGTTCACCTTGATAACATTGAGCAAAACATTATTCGCTTTGGCTGCTACGATAGGCAGATGATGGTGGACGCGTTGTAAGACTTCAGTGGGATAAGGAATACACGAATCAAAAAATGAAGTGACGTCAACCGATAGGAAACCAATTCTTTTTGCGAGGATCATCTCTTTCATCGCATTTAACTTCAAGATAAAACAGAGTGTTAGGAAATTATTGGGCTGTAATTCGCAGGAATTTACATAAGCTAAAGTCGAAAAGCACGAGAATGAGAAAAGTACAAGCTTAAAAAAACAGATTTGAAGCAAATAATTATTAAAGTTATGTTTTGACTTGAAGTTCTGAGTTTGTGTCAAAAGTCTCACCTGATCTGAGTGTTTCAGTAAGGCGGAGTGAAATTCATTATAACCCCATGATTGATCACTCATCAAGGCATCAACATCCACTCTGCGACACACGTCCACCATACGACAGAAACCTCTGTAATCCTGCGGAGGAAAGAGAGAGAGAGAGAGGGCTTTTGATGAGAGAGAAATTTTGCGCCGAAGTTCCCAAACACACAAGTATACACATATCCCTGCAAATCCCTCGGTGTACACGCCACGTGAAGGTAACACAACCCAAGGTAACACAAACCAAGCGTACGAAGGTAAAGTGTACATATATCATCGAATACTGCCTGCCTAGTAATATCCCGTCAAGAACAAATCACTGCTACCTCTGAGAAAACTCGCACGCCGTGAATCTCCTTCTTAATCGATGCAATCAAAGATTTGACGGTGTGTTGATAGTCAGGATCTTTGCCGAAGATCAGTTTAACATCTGGCCATCCGTCCAATTCGTCCGTATCATCGTCCAGCTCCGTTTGTCTGAGAGAATGTACGAGATCAGTGGACGGCGGTGTCACAAGCGACGCGATACATTCGTCTGCTAGTAGACTCTTGAATGATGACACGACCTCTTGGAACTTCGAAATCACACCTTGCATAGCGGATATAAATTCCTAGGAATGAAAGGATTGGATCATTAGCTGTAGTGAAACAAGGCAAAGTTCTACGTTAGTCTCCTAATGCGGTTTTTCTGAGAGAAAGACAGTCCAGTACAATCTATAGAGAACTGTGTGGTCTCTGACTTGGAGCATTCCTATATAAATATAAAATGTTCTATCACCTCTTTACTAGGATCCAGGTCAACGAAGCTACTTGGTGCAATTCTTTGGGATAGCTCTGAGGAGTTCCGGTCCGTCGACTTGCTGTTTCTTCCACTTTCCCCGCCAGAAAAAAGCGTTTCTACTAAGAAAGGTAATTTTGAAACTTTTTTCGCACAGGGTGACCGGTGACCCTATGTTCTAAATCCCCCTCTCTTAACACGATACAAAGGTGGCCAGGCGATGAAAACGTACCACAAGAGAAAAATCAAGATCTCACCTTTTCCTCCAACTGAGGGCGCGTCATCCATCACGACAGACTCAGGTATACTTAACACCAACTTCACTGTCAACATGGCTGGGGGACAGCTCGGCTCGTGCGACGTAATGCTATCGTCAGCATCGTGTTGCCCTGCGGGATACTGCTTGGCCGAGGAGGCCTGTACCTTGGCTAGCAACGTGCAAGCGGCTCTGACAACAAGACGACGTAGAAGCTCAAGGATAACAAAATCAACACCTCGAACAAACTTGTGCAACCTCGTGAGGACTGATCTCCATTGCGCTATCTGGATGTACGTAGGCTTCGGGTCTGTAATAGGCAATAGAAGTATAAACAGTTACCCTCAGTGATATGTGAAATGTTAGGATCCCAAAGAATACTATTCTTTCCTAAATAAAAGGACTTTTTCTATCCAATCTTTAAGTCACCTGAGGTTCCAGATTTCGGTTTCATCCATTGCAATAATCCTGCATGTCTTTCAATAACATTCTGAAAAATATTACAAAGGAATTTCTTTATAGGTCTAAATATTTGTTCATGCAGGAAATCCAGAGATGCTGAAACAGGCAAACATCGAACTCTGTTAAAACTGACTCAACGGTGACAGTCGTAATGAGGTCTATATTTCCTCCTACACAGCAGCTCCTTGGAGGCAATACTGGGCACCTAACAGGAGGAAATCTTCGATAATGAACTTACTTGACAGGCGTCCGCAGTGATTGACAGACACGTTGCTCGTAATGACTGAAGCTGCTTGTGAACGAGATCAGCCTGGAGAGAGGATTGTGTCACAAACTCGTCCAAAGTGAACGTTTTCTCCCCGAATTTCTCGTCAATGAACAAGATTCTCGCGGGCTCGTGCTGTAAACTGCTACATTGTTCTTCGCAAAGGCTGCGAATCTTAAGCACGGAGACCTGAAGGACGTCGTCTGCGGTGCTTAGGCACTCGCGTAATGTTTGTCTAAGATAAATGATGGAAACATTGACAATGCATTGAAAAGAAAACTTATTATAACGCCAACAAACGCTGAAAAAGAAAAGTTAAGTCCAACAAAATTAATCTCGAAAAAAGAAATAGAGAATCCAAAATACATTTTAGAGGTATCACCACACCTGTTTTCCGTTTTTGCAAAAGATCGTACGTTATTTCTCCAAGTTGTAAACGCTTTCCATATTCTGAGAAAACAAGACTAGTTACAGATCAAGCTTCGCCATTGCCAACCAACTGGAAATGGCACAATGTTTATAGTTTACCTGAAGTTAGCAAAGACTGGCATCTTAAAGATTTCGTGGAACATTTTCCATTCGTGAAGCCAGCGTGCGATGGGAATAAGGTCCGCATCAACATTCTTGTTTAACTAAAATTCAAAACACTTAATAAAGCGTACTCTTAGGAGTAACTGGAGTTGGAATTTAGTTGAAAATTAGTACCTGTGTAACGGCTGAAGCGGTAACAGTAAACAGTTGCTTTGAATCAAAGGTCTGTGCAGCACCGACACAGACTAAATCATATGGATTATATCGTGCTATGGGATTATTAAGGTCCTTGAGAGTAGCATAAGCAAACACACCATCATCTGGTAGGGTGTACAAAGTTTTACTGATTGCTTTTCCAGGCTGTGTGGAGCATTTTAATGACATCCACTCCTCTTTAATGATGGTTTCAATGTTCGTCTCCCAGTTTAAACGTTTTCGAAGTAATTGGACAACTTTAACAATGTCAAGTCCTTCGTAACAATCTGGGCCACACCCTGGAGTGGTGCCTGGAGTATCGGGGAGGGGAGAGAGGGTAGCTGTTCCATGGGTGGAGCTTCTCCTAAGATCACTGGATGACTGCACCTAAATACATCATCTCATCAATAGACCTTCCTCATTTAATGTCAAGCACAAATAATTTGGTTTTTCATGAAGTTTGCAGGCTTAATTCTAAAGTACTTGTGTATAACACTCACCACAGCATCCAGTTCAGCATGGTCTCTGCAAGTCCCTGCAGTAATTTGTGTAGGAAGCTTTTTTTGTTTCTCTTTCCTCAACAGAGTTGCCCGATACAGTGCTGACTGCTGTTTCTGGGACGAATTCACTGGAGGACGTGGCTTTATTCTTGGCTATATTAAACCACACATGATTAACAACATATATCTCAGACATTCAGTAAAAAAATAGATAAAAAAATCACTTCAACCAAAGCAATAAAAGACTAGATTGATTTCATTGGTAGGGAGTGGTTAATCCACAATGAATCCCAAAGATGCTGGTTATTATTATAATTATTAAAGTATAACAAATGATAATTAACTCATAATTAAAACAAACATTGAAAGAGTACAACTTTACGTCGTACCTGTGTGCGTAGACTACGATAAACATCAGAAGTTCCAGCGTTGTCGTACAAACGACCCTTCAAAACATCCGCAACTTGTTTTTCCTCCTCGACGGAGCTGCACGAGCTTTTCCCGCGTCGTATCTCCTCAAATTCAACCGTTTTATTTTCACCTTTGAGCTTTGATGTCAGACTCAAACGACTAGCGCTTGAAACAGGAGAGCTCTTCGGAGGCGGAGGAGACGTTTTCAGCTCAGAACTACCACGAGTAGGAGTCTCGTCTATGCGAGAGTTAGCTGGGACAACGAGGTCGCGGTTTTCCATCATTTACTTGGAAAATATTGAAAAATATCTCGGCCATTTAAATCCTGTTCATTTGTTTTCCCCGCCATAGCAACGGCGCGGGAAGACGAAGGCTTGGGGCGAGACCATACACCAGGTGTCCCTATTATATCCACAATTTACCCTATATCCAAATAAAGTGGCCCATTTGCTAAAATCAGACGCACTTTTCAATCACAATGTATTGTGGTAAATCAACGGCAAGTCGGCAATGTTAGAAAGCTTTACTGAGTTTATTGGTGGTAATTGTATAAAAAAACTACCGCATTTTCAACAATTTGAATAGGAATTAACTTTGTGAATTTTGCACATTAGAAATATGAACGAATCTTTAATTTTTCCGGGTGAAAGTTCAATAAATTGTTACTACCATCAAAAAGGATGATTAGCTTGAAAATTGTTCTGCACATTCCTACTACACGCTCGTGTGAGCAATTATTACACAGAGTCAAATTCGAAATCAATTAAACATTTACAATATTTTGCAAGGTTTTTAAACGGATTATAAGCCAACATAAAATTTTTGTGATGAATGTTGTATTGGACCATGTGGCGATTCTAATGCTCTTAGTATTTCATTACAAACATAATCCTAATATCTGCGCGTGTATAACGTGGGTGCCTCACACACAACAGACGCATTTCACATGAACGCATCGGCTCTAATTAAAACGTTGAGGGCCTTTCGCTTTGTCGGTCCGAAGTGTGGAAACGCAGCTGTTCATTTTGATCAGGCATTAATAATCATCGAGTCAAAAAGGCCATTGAGAGGGCAGAAGTAGAGATAGCAAGGATAGATAAGACACTGACGGACTCGAGTGCACATCACAAAAAAGGTGGCAAGTCACAAAAGCGCTTCGCCAAGTGCATACACAGAGAGATATTGATCAGGAAAACGTTCATCAAAGGAAGCAGAATTCAACTGAATGGTCTTGTAACAAGTACTGGTGTGTCAAAAAAATGGCTGCACTCCATCAAGACCGAACGAAAGGTATAGACAGTTTCTATTCCTCCAATTTTAGCGTGGTTTGAATTAGAAAGTTAGTTTTTGCAATTTATATTATCATATAGTTGCTTGAGCATTTGGCTATCTGATCTAAAGCCTTGGCCAATTTTCACGATCCGTTTTTAATCCCAAAAAGGTTTCATAAAAGCTAACTTGATTGGAATTATTTGTATATTTCTAACTCTTCTTGAAATGGTTTCTCAAACGGTTGTTTTTAATATTTTATAATGACGGCTTAGCTTTAGTTTATAGCTTATTAATTAAAGGAATTGAAGCCATGTTTGCCATTATAAATTAGTGGAAATTGAAAAACATATAATGTGATCATGCACAAGCTTGTATTTTATTTCATTGTACAAACACGGGAATTAAGCTAAAGGTAGCACGGCACTGTGAAGACGTATCGTTTGTGAATAAAAACTCGCTCAAATAAATCAGCTATGCTAGAAAGTTGAAAACAAACTACATGAACCTTTATTTATCACTCGAGTTGGGCTGAAAATGAAGATGAGTTTTTGATATGAACGAATGCAGCAAATCTTAACTATATAAATCATAATTTACAGCTTTGCTTGAAGTTACAGGCCTATTTTTTATAACAAATTGATAAACGATTAGCGCCCGAAAATACCTCGCAATTCACGGCAGTTGGTTGAGAAAATATTCAAAATATATATTAACAGGTTTTCTCGTGACTCAGAAATCTATATCATTACCACACTTTATATATAGCTAATGCAATACGGAATCTTGAATACCTCGGCTTACAGTAAAAGAAAACCACGGTATTTTCTTGCAGGGGAAATTTAAGAAGTTTGAGATATAACTCTTTCTTTTAATGAACGCGTGCAGGCCTTAAGACTAGAATGAGAGCTCGTTGAAAATTACTTCTTATTTCTAAATTTCAAACTATCTTAGTGAAGTTTCTGTGACTGTGTATTAAGGCAAGGAATCTACGTTGCCAACAAATAAAAATAGTCATGGATATATATAGTATATATATAACTTCAAGCCATAATAATTGAACATATATCACATGCATGAACATTGAAAGCACTCAAATACATTGAAAATATATAAATGCATGAAACTATATATAAATATATATAATTAAACAAACGGAAATTTCGGTGAAGTCTTTTAAGGGAATGGAATAGCAAATGCGGAAAAAATGAACTGTTTAAAAAAACCCCGACCTTTCAACTCTTAGATAACGGTGGCTTTCCTAACAAACCGTGCAGGGTCAATAGCAGTTAACACCACATCCCTGTAGTGTTAGACATAAACTGTGTCATCCTTTTATCACTTATATATTTGATATCCTGTTGCGATTCGTGAGCAAAACCTCCAAACAATTATATACATAAGTATTTGCGTGGATTTGATAGCATGCACTTGTCGACTGTTTTGATAAAGAAATCACATTGAAACTAAATAATTTGCTTTTAAAAGACATTTAACTCTTTAGGACAACACATAGGTGTGCTATTTGGCGAAATAACAATCATGCAGAAACCGAACACCGCATGATTCAAAGAAAAGGGAGCAAAAACATCCGCACAATTAAATAATGACTTCTGGAAGAACCGAAAACTGTATATTTTCATGAGACGAAAAATACAACAAAGTCCTTCCACTGGCTATAATATATAAAGTTATTATGAACAACGTATTAATTTACTATGGGCAACCATCAACGTTTATAACTAAGTTTTTAGCTGCTAAAAATACACTATTATTAAAGTAATGTTTAAAAATGAACGGAAATTAAAAGGAGTCAGATGAGCGCCTATATGGGTGGTTAATCATTTCATCTCATATTTTATCAAAAATGAACTCTACACGACAATGTATATGTGATCAGCTGTCTTTTGACGTCAGACCGACTACAGAATAATTAATGATATGGAAGAGTTTTTCTTTAAGTGAAATTCAAACATAACGTATTTAATGCATTTTAAACAAAGAAATGGGAACAATGTGTTATATAATATGTGAAGTATAGAGAAAGACCGAATTGAATGATGCAAAATATAGATTGGTTCAGTACAAAAGAGATCCTAAAGTGAATTGGCTATTTTCGCACGATTTACATATTATTAAACACGAAAATGAAATGCATAGATATTCCTGTCTTCATTTTCACGGCACTAATCTGACCATTAGCTTAGCGAATCGTGACTTTGCCTGAAGGTATGTTTGCACGAATAAGACTAGGTGACGCGAAAAGAACAAAATCACATCTTGCAACAGATAAAGTCATTGCAAAACGTCTCCTAACATCTATAGATACATATGACATCTCTTCACCTATATTTTCAAAACTCCAGTTTTCACGCGAGACAAACATGTTTTGATAGGCATATCAGTCTGTTAATGTGTATCACCGAATAATCCATGGAGCAAATATAATGACAACTGCAGCAGCAACAAGTCATACAGCTCCGGAAAATTCTGTGAATTCAAAACAGATTTGTAAAGGACTTATTATTACGTATGTCCACACAAGTCTCCGTCTTTTTTCTGCAAGAACTGCAACATAAAAGCTTCTCTTTTCATAGATTTTAGCGATTACTCCAAGAAACCGCTTGAGTCTTCTCTAAAAACGCGAATCTGTGCCGTGTGCGGTGACAAAGCGTCTGGCTTCCATTACGGCGTTCAAAGTTGCGAAGGATGTAAAAGTTTTTTCAAAAGAACGATTCAAAAACAACTGCAGTATATTTGTGTGGAGGAGAAGGATTGCACCATCGATAAAAGCAACCGAATAAGATGCCAATATTGTCGCTTTCAAAAATGCATTAAACTTGGGATGCTGAAGGAAGGTAGGGAAGATATAAAACGCTCATCCTTTTTCTGAAACTTCACGTAAGATGATAACTTTTCAATTTGAGATTTTGACGTATGTTTTTGTGCATCGTTTAGCCGTGAGGGAAGACAGGGCGCCTGGCGGTCGACCAAGGATTAAGTCTTTACTAACTTTAAAAGAACATCAGGAAACGTATGGTTCATCACAGATGATATTGGAGTTCATTCAAGCCAGGCCAGACTGTGTTCCATCCATTAAGTACGTCTTGAACTATATTGTGTTTGGAATATAATACTTTCTCCAAAAGTTATCTTGCTTGCTTGCATCGTTAACCTCATGTGCTGTTAAAATACCACTGTTTTTCATGTTTTTCCGAAACTTTTTTATATTATTTCCATGCAGATTGGACGGTCATACCATGACAGTACACGACCTTTATCATTTCCACACAGTCGAGATCCTGATGGAGGTCGCCGTGCAAGAATTACAGATGATTATTAAATGGGCAAAACAACTTTCAAGTTTCAACACAATGGATGTGGATGATCAGATCAATCTTCTTAGTGAAGGTAGAAAAACAGTTTGTATCTTTTTTTACTCATGTTTGAATGCAGTAAGTTTGTTTTCTGCATGGGTAAGTACTTGACTGTCATGTATATTGACAACACAACTGACTCGCTTGAATTGGATGTCAGATAGCTGGAATGAAAGATCTCTTCATAACTGACTTGCTTGAATTGGATGTCAGATGGTTGGGATGAAAGGTCTCTTCATCCTCTCAAACTAATCGTACATGACTTTCCAAAATTTCAGCTGCCTTGGAACTGTGGGTGTTCAGAATCTGTCAACGGTCGAGTCCTCACCAAGGCTTCGTTGTGTTTGCCAAGGAAGTTGTGTGGCATGTTGACTATCAATCTCACGTTGTGATCGGTCAATGGGTCAGTTTGTTGCTGATGTACGCTCGTAAGCTGCAGACCCTACAACTGGATATGGCCGAGTTTGCTTGTCTCAGCACAATACTTTTGTTCACACAAGGTAGGCGAGGAAACGAGCTTATAAATGGGTGATTCTCTGGTCACACATGTGACATTGCCGTTTCTTCACGCTTCATATTTTGCATGTAACAAAATAGAATACCACTGTCAAGTGTGTGACCATGCAGAGAGTCACCCAAATTCAGGAACATTTTCAATTCATCACAACCTCCCTCTTCGAGAAAGATCCCGTCATCCAGCAACTGATATCAAAATATCTCTCTTCCAGAGCCGTGTTCTAAGCTCAGAAATTACGATGCAGTTGAAGAAAACCTAAAACAAGCAATCTGCTGTCTTAAAGATTACATCAAATGTTCGTATCCAGAAAAGACAAACAGATTTGCTCAGATCATATTGAAACTGCCTTCTTTACGTGAGGTCTGCATCAACGCAAAGAAACAATCGTTGTTTGCAAAATCCTTTGCCAGTTTCGCATTGCCAACGATTTCTTCAATGCTCGTTCAACAATGAAGATATGGCGTGGTGTACTAATGAACTTATGCAGAGAATATGACGGCGTGCGATATAATAGAACCCAGTTAGAAGAGATTTATAATCACAGTTACAATATATAATAATTATGTTGTATTTAAAGAAAGGTTTGTAAATAATAAAAAATCTTTGAATTTGAGATTTATTCTTATTGGATTATGCTTTCATTTCATTTGAGTGAAATATAAAAAATGTCATCCCAGATTATCAAGAAATTATCCTGAGTAACCTATGTGCTTTTTCGCGTTTGTATTGCAACTGTTTCGTTATTTTTTCAATCGTTCCTGCAAGCCTTTCCATGCCTTCTCAACTTGTTTCTGTGTGTATTCTGGTTCCCACAAGGTGCTCAAGACAACGTTAGCCTGAATGACCCTCTCTTTGTTTTTCATCTGACTTCCTAATCTCTTCCTTGCTTCATCCTCTGACAATCCATTTCTTTCATTCAACCTTTTGACAGCCTCTTCTTCTGGGATGATTGAGACCCAGATTTCATTCACAAGCTGGTCCCAGCCGGCCTCAAGAAGTAGAGCAGCTTCCACAACACAGACTTGAAAACCTTTGTCTGATATTTCTGCAATAAGTTCCCTAATCCTTTCCTTAATTCTTGGCCAAACTATGGAGTTTAGTTTCTGGAGTTTTTTGCTATCACTAAACACAAGACCACCAAGTTTCCTCCTATTTATTGAACTATCGCTGTCCACAATCCCCTCTCCAAAATTTTCTATTATTTCATTGTAAGCATCAGTGCCTGGTTCATACACAGAATGACCCACAATATCTGCATTTATTACTTCAGCACCTAGTTTTCCTAGACGCTTAGCAATGGAAGACTTACCACTTGCAATGCCACCCGTCAGGCCAATAACATACACACTGCCATCTTGATTGGGCTGTGGCTTTGGAGCCTTGAGCAACACACCCAAGTCTGCATGTCTGCAGGCTGTTGAACTCAGTTTGTCTTCATCTGCGGAACTGAAAATAGATTAAATGAACTCATTAGCAAGTAGAGTACAAAAACACACCAATTATCAATCTAATATACTGTACCTCGCAATCACTTGATCACTAACAAGTTCTATTGAAAATAAATCCATTTCAGGTAAGCCAGCACCAACACGTGTCTTGTTTACAGATTGTCCTCCAGCGAGGGTTTCAGCGCTCACAACAAGGCATTCTATATTAGGGTCAGTCTTGGTTGGACCTGCAGGATCATCCAAGGGAACTATCTCTTTAATAAGACCTAAAAAAGAACAGAAAATTTCATTTGTTGGATGTTAATAGGTTATATCTCACATGCTTCTAAATTCATCCATGTAGTTGTGCTCACCAGGTTTGATATCCTCAATAAATTCCGCAACATTTTTCATACGAACATCCAATGGCGCAATGAGTTCACCCAGTGTCTTGTTAACCAGCAATGCATCGTTGCTGACACCAACTACAATTCGTGAATTTGTCAATAAACAACTTGCGCTGAGCAACAATCTATGGCCATTGTGGATTCTAGCATGATAATGATAAAAGGGCATATGAAGTCAAACTTTTAATTACAGTATAGCATTGCTTGACTAGTAAGCCTGGTTCTAAATGTTGTGACCAGTCTACAAAGGCTAGTGTGGTGATTCACAAAAACCAAACCTAAACATGCACCATTCAATGTTTATAAATTACAATTAATCTCATTCATTAAACACAACATGTTGTTTCTAAGTGTTTAGCGCATGAGAATCACAATGTTTGAAACAGGCATCATATACCTATCAAATGTCCCTCCAACAGCAACAGTTCCATAACTTTTCATCTCCTCAGACTCAGTATCTTCTATGAACTGTTCATAAATTGGAGTGTTTGACTCAAAAACTCCCTCCACAAACTGCATAGAATCTTTGTTTTTAAAATTATATCTCATACACGCTCTCTCAACAATACTTGCTTCATTCTTATACGAGGAATCGAGAAATGCAACATCCAAACAACGACTAAAGATTCTTGGCTCTTGTACATCTCCTAAGTCATGTTCCAGCAGAACACGTATATCCAAGCAATTGAGTTCTCGTGCATTTGATTTGTATATTCCTTCCAACACTTTGTACAGCTGCGCACGAGAAAAGCTCTTTTGTGTGATGGCATCGGTGTTCACTTTCGGGTTAAAACTGAAATCAACGTACAGCACATTTTGAACTTGTTCTGAACAGATTTTCAAAAGCTTGTAAAATCTAGGCAGGTTAAATTTCGAAGGCTGCAAAATCAGTACGCCGCTTCGGTTCATTCTTGACATGTGTAAATGAACGGGGTTTAGTTATTTTTTAGCCAGCAGGTTGAGAAAATGCCTTTCATACACGTCCATGTGGAAGAATTGCACATTGGCAGACATTTTGAATTCGACCGAGCAGGGACTTAGAAGGAGCCACTTTGGAAGAGAACTTTTTTCAAACCTAATCTGTTTGATATATGTTTGAATTATAACAATGTTTTGTTTGTTTGAATGCAAGAAAAAGAAAAAATTTAAAAAAAAGCTAGAGATACATATCAGGCTCCTAGACACTCGCTGCTAGGTTCAAATTCTCAGAGCATGTGAAGCTGGGTGATCCAGTCATCCAGGTGCGATGTCTAGGATTACCATGGGATTACAACTGATTTTCAAAATCACAAATACCAGAAATAACATGTTGTTAGGAACGGTAAAAAGAGGCAATTTGTTATTATTTCAGTTGCATCCTGATACGCCAAGAATTTTACGGCACAGAGCCTTCTGCATCTTATGTATTTTGTTGGAGACTTGGAGTCTATGTAAATCTAACCCTTTTGTTATGGAAAATATAATATTTGATACAAATATATATAAAATAGCTATCTACATGTTATATATTTAGAGAGTTTGGTTTCCTGAATTGGTGATTCGTTTTCGCAGAACAGAAACAAGTCTTTCAAGCCTGCAAAAGAAACACATATGCAGATCAATAGTTTGCTAAGTTATTTGACATTCATCAACTTAACACTCACTTGTCAGCTTTATCTTTTTCTTTTCTTTGAGCACTGAGTGCTTCAGCAAGTTGCGAACTAAGCACTTCCTTCTCTTTGGCCAAATCTTGAAGTCTAGCTACCAATTCTTTGGTGTTGTTTTGTGAAATTGCAAGTTCGTTTTCCCTCTCATTAAGTTTCGATTCAAATGTGTCCATGGTCGCATTAAACTGACCTCTCAATGTCTGTTCTTGAGACAAGGATCTATGCAAGCTTGTGGCAAATTGAAGAGAAATGTCATGGCTTTATAGATTTGTGTAAATCATGGGTTTTTGCAAGCAATATCAAGAGTGCCAAATACCTATAATAGACACGGTAATTTTGAATTTCATCTTCCAGTTCTTTTATTCTCTGCTGTGAGTCACCTTTATCCTTTTGAGCAGCCATCAATTGTGCCTAGTAAAGATAAGACTAGATAGAGCACAAAAACATAGTGATTCAAATCTTGGAGCATACCAATAGCCAAACACAAATAGAGGCAACTATTTCATACAATTCATCTATACCACATACTTGTCCAGATTTTATTCTAGTTTTCTCAGCAAACTTGAATTGATGTTTCATTAACTCTTTTTCCCTTTGTAATGATTCAACTTCTTTTTCAAGAGTTTCAACCTGTGTTCAAAACAGTCACAAACATTTATAATTCAGCAAGATGATTTAGCTTCAATTAGTTCACTGTTATTACCTTGCGAAGAGCATCGTCACGTTCATCAATCAACGCTTGTATTTCTTCAGCTGCCATGATTTGCTTAGCTTTGCCATGTTTCTTGTATTTTGCCACCAACATGTCGCCATGTCTGTCAATGCTTGCTCCTGTTTCTGAAGCCACCAATTTTTTAAATAGCTGCTTCATGTTCTGTGAATAAAAGGATAAGATGTGGTCTATTTAAACCCACAACAGTAAAGCAAATACAATCGATCAAAAATACTAATTACTGTTCAATACTTTACCATATCAAGGTCCTCATCATCATAAACAGAATCTACACCAGAGTCAAACCTGTTCAAAAGTAATAATATTTGTGTTTATAACTCACTACAGTCACTTAACCAAATGTTGTCTAGTTCAGTACGTGGTGTAACTACTCTAGTATTTTACTCTCTCATCTTACCCTTGCTGCTCTTGTTCAAGCCGTTTCATCCTCGCCAACACTTCATCCCTTTCTTCATTTGCAAGTCTCAATCTGGACAGCACAGCTGCATCTCTTTCTTTCTGGGCTTTGTAGATTTTATCCACAAGAGCTAAACAAAGCAAATGTTTTTCTTACACTTCTTTTTCATTTTCATTTAAACAATGCTCCATTCCTTTCAATACCTGCGCCTTTTGCAGCAATCTTTGCCTCAGCCTCGAGACTGACTTCATCTTGGTACAATCGAGCCTCTTCCAATTTCGACTCAGTTCTCGCAAGTTTCTCCATGAGACGATCATTCAAACTATCTAAAACTTTGACCTCATCATGCAGTAATTCTTCACTGTCTCTGCCATTGTTATTGTGATCTTGAAATGTATAATTGGACCGACCGGGACTGTATCTTGTTGACTCATCCTTCTTCATACTCCGATCAGTGCCTTCGAATCTAGCTTGCCGAATCATGTCATCCCTACAAAAGGGGACACATTGCAATAGTTTTGAAGGTTTAGATAAAGGTCAACTCCTCAGCCTCACATATGCAAGCCCAAGAGATGAACTTAGATAGAACATTGAAGTTTATTTTCATTTGCTTTCCCATCCTGTTTAGAAACAGGATGAATTGAGAATCATTGTAACATATTGTATTTGCCTGATAGAAAATTTGACATCAAAACTGCACCTGAGCTAATATCTTTTTCTAAAATTTCGAAATGGATCGTGTGGTGAAATTAATACGTTCTAATTGGCAATTAGTAATACAAGAACATATTAATGGTGTTGTTTAAAAACACGAATACTGACATTAACTAAACACAACATGAATATTAGCTTTGTTTACAACATGAAAATTACGCTTACTTTCTGTCGACTTCGCTGCGTAAATCGTTCAATTTTCTTCGCGCATCTTTGAGCGTTCTTGTCACATTTTGTTTGATTTCAAACATATCTTCGTGCTGTGATTTTTCCCGAGGAAACGACCGTCGTAATCTAGCAGAACTAAGCTTGCCGTCCGTGTGAAAATCTTCCTCCTCAATTGCGTCCATTATCAAGCACTACAACGACGCTATTCTCCATGTCAACAAACTCATTTTACCTCATAATTCGGGCAGGTGACCACACCAGTCATTATTTGGGATTTGCAAGGTACTTTGTGTTGTATAGCTGAAACGTTTCAACTATCCAGTTTATTTAATTACGCAGATCAGTAACGAACTGATCTGCATAAATTTGACTGGATAAATGAATAATTGAATGCATGTAACATGACGTATTTCGAGGTTAAGGGCTTGTCATCCAAATTTTATGATTTTACAAAGATCAGTGACCCACTGACCGCAGTAATACGACTCAGGATACACCTATACAGACGCCACAGGAGCGAGGCTAATACACGGTTCTGTTAAGCGTGAACTGCGCAGATCTGCATAAAAAATGAACTAAAATGGACACTCACCCACCAACTAATGCAGGTAAGCATAGGTATTTCTGCCCCTCGCATTCTAAAAACCAACACATTAGAAGAACAACCATTTCCATTTACCCGACTTTTATTTGTTCTATTTCACTTGAAATATATCGTCGATAATTGTGCTGCTGCGGTACCCACAAGGTAAAATTTACACCATACATAAATATAGATTACAAATTAATATATCCCCGATTCGTTATAATATTTTTAAAGGTTTTTATCAAACCAGAAAGCCTAAATGGTGGCCTCTTAAATAGGAAAGTGGAAGAAAAACTAATGAGTTCCAAAAGACAAAGTTAATCATTGTTGCAGCTGAACCACCTGAAGAACCTTCATCAAGGAGAGTTGAGCAAGAACGTTACCCTTAGATCGAAAACGTCAAGACGTTTTGCTGTCTTTTTGAGGAGTTGTGCTGTTTTTAATGCGTTTAATACCAGAAGCATTCGATGGAATTATTGAGCGTAATTTTTGAAGTGGATCGCCACACGCATTCATCATAATCATACGCTGACTATCCTCTTCTTCTCAAAGCAATCACAACGAGCAGAATATCGCCGATCCTCGTAGCATTCATTGAAAGTCCAGTGTTAAATGATCAACAATGGATACCGTCATAGTTACCGTGGTTACAAGGTGGTGAGCCATTTAGCGACAGGCTTGTGTCGTAGTCATGGTGATATGTCGTCATTTGTGGTCATAACTTGGACTCTTCTTGTTCTTCTGCATACAAGGTTGCGTAGTGCACTTCCAGATCTGCATTGCGAATTTGCCTGCAACGTTTCTCGTACAATTGTTTCAACTCCAGAACGCTCTACATCAAAAGATATTTATACACCAATGTCAGAAAATAGGACTGAGAAAAATATTAATATTCAGAGCACAAACAAATCCTTCAAAACCTTCTCTTTGACGTCTTCCAGTTGTTCCAGAAGTTGATCATGACTCTCCTTTAACTGTTGCATTTCCTTGTCATGAAATTCATTTGCCTGAAAACACAGAATTTCTTTTAATTATCAGAAAATCAAGGAGCAAAAAGAAGATATTATAGCCTCGCATATTGTATCGTAAAAACCTTTTGCCTCTCTTTCACTGCCTGTTCAATATGCCTTTTATTCTGTTCCCGTTTTAATCTAAGAGAAGATAAATCGCAGGATGAGTTTTTAAGAACTTAAGCAGAAACAAAGTACATGAAATTGTTATATTTGCAATAAGCACCTTTGAATTTCATCCTTGGACTTCCTCTCCTTTGAGACCAGTTTCAGCTCGGTGCTGTTCAAAAGATCTTGACTTTTTTTCAAATCGTTTATTTTTCTAAAAGATAAAAAGGTGTGAATCATCGCTGGAGTGCATATGGGGTAATAACAATGCTTTGCTTCGAAATAGAGCCCATTCTGTACCTTACATGAACTTCAGCTAATTTTTTACTTTGTTTTGTTTTAGTTATGTCCATAACCGAACGCAACTCTTGAAATTCCTATATTAACATCAACAATGTTTTTTAACACTCAATACCCGGTCAAAAAAAAAGAGAAAAGTATAAAGAAAAATGATTTTATAAGAAATATATTGATTTTAATACAAGAAAAACTCTATAGCTTTCGATGAAGCAAAGAGGAGGGAACTCACAGGATCGATGCTTTCTTTGGCAAAATCATGTTGTTCCTTCAGTTGTTTTTCAATCAATGTGATCACTTCTTCACGTTGGTCCAGCTTCAAGACATTCATCTGTTTCATTTGATACACGTGAATAAATATTTCAATAAGAATTCAGTACGACTAGGAACTAACAACCTTGAAGAATGCAAGTATACTAATACCCACACACGCCATGTTTAAAGATTTTCTCTTAGTCTTACCCTCATCTCGTGGTCTTTGCGAAGACTAGATACTTCTTGAACGCCTTCCTTATAAATCTCCTCGTATTTTCTTTATAAGAACAAAATCACAGAGCAAACATTCAATCATTCAAACTCGCACACTAAACAAGTTTCCATTCAACATAACTTTAATACTATTGTGTATTTTAGTCAATTCTCTCACCCGGATTTAGTCGCTCTTTTCAATGTTTTATCGAGCTTCTTTTTTGTTGATTCTACTTCTTTATCCATATCTTTCGCCAGTTTCTCTTGCGTCGTGAAATGCTGCTTCTGAACTCGATCCTTCTCCTATATAAAAACCAAGAATATTTAAGAGTGCAACAGGGCAACCAATTGAACCAAACAAGTTCAAACTTCTGAAGTAAAGTATATCACATGTACCTTCATGTGTTTACGAACTAACAACGTCATGTCTTTTCTGTGTTTTTCTTTCAATTTCTGTAGGTTCTAGGTGTCACATGATGATTACGTGATTACACATTCAGTCATTACTAAACGTCAGTGATTTGACGTTGAAATTTTATTAATATTCCCTTCAATGAACATCCATCACTTACTTTGTGGTCACGTAATTCTTGAATAGGAACTGGTACAATCTTGGGTTCTTCTGAAGAAAAAAACAACAAAATCTAGCAGAAAGCTCGTTTGATGCGCTAAACGTTGTTACAATACTCCATGCAAGGCTTTAAGCGAACACATTGCTTGCACCTTCACTCAACCTACCCTCTCTCTTCTTAGTGCTTTGAGATCGTTTGAATTTTCTAGAAGAATTTTCCTTCCGTTCAATATGATCCGCTGTGAGCGAGACTGATCTGTTCGAGGGGAGTGGCGCTCCGTTGCCAAGGTTACCAACTGACATGGATTGTTTTACAGATTTGCTGGTCGGACCCGGGAACTGCGATGAAGCACGGCGGGCGTTTGCAGGTACCGAAGCTGGTGCTGAAGTAGAATAAAGTTGTTGTGAGTTAAACGGAACGATTGTTGTTAAATTTAGGCAAGGAATCAAGCCATACTTACCAAGTTTAGGTTGCAGCTCTGGAACCTTGAAGAATTAAAACGAAAGGGAAAATGAATTTGAAATATGGATAGTGAAAATGTGCCATATCTTTCAGCAATATACAAACAAAGCTACGATCAAACTTGATGGATGAAAAATGAGCCGATACAGCAACGAGAATTGCAGTTAACGCGACAGCGGACCATTTACCTGCGACGAAGCTTCCTCTTCATCCATTAAACTTTCCAACATATGACCTCTTTGATCAGCCTTGGACTGGAATGCGATGGGATTTGTGAGAGCGTCGGCGAAATCTACACAGTCAAAGCCGCTGCTATTAGTATTAAGCTTTTCAATTACTGCTATGTATATTGAAAACAACAATCTATCATCCACTGATTAGATAGGAATATGTGGTACAATATAGCCCATAATGTACACAGGCGTACCTGAGAATCCCGAGGGAACATAGTCAGTGGTGACGATGTAAACAAACAACACAGGAAGGCACAAAGCTTGGTTACAGTCGCTTTTCAATTTGATGTGACGATAGCCTGAAGTGAGTAACAAGAACATGCGGGGAAGATTAAACTACTGCTCTGCCTCAGAGGTCAAGTATGGATAATCTCTTTGGATCCAGAGCTACGTGATGCAGAGTATTTCAAGAGATTTATCAAGGAAATAACATGTTCTTACCAGGTTGGATTGAGTCAACTGGTAAGACGCGATTCCCAATTAGTTTACCGCTCTCTTCATAAACTGCTAGTCTTAAAACAGCAAGATTAGGAAGAACCACCTATAAAAAGTAGTTCATTTTTCTGTCAAGTCATGGTTTTGGGAATGCCTGAGCCAAACGTGTACTCTACCTTATTAAAACGAAAAGGTTCGTCGTCGTAGACAGGATTCATGCCATTGCTTGTGACGGTTTTTGTACGGTGTTTTCTCCTGACGGTGTCCGCTGGCAAGCCGTACATGTCCACTTCTACGTATGTTCCAACTTTACGTTCAGAAAGAAACTGGCCTGAGATGACCTACGGACGGTAGACGTGCAACGTTAGGCCAACGTTAGGTTATCGTGGATAAGCAAAGACATCCTCAATGTTCCCTAATATCCAACATCGTTGCACTTACCTTCACTTCAACGGCGCCCGCGATGATTCCATCAACAGTGGATTCTGCGAAAGGATCGAATGATCTGTCCGTGCGACACATGAAGTCAGGCTTGCGAATATATCTAACAAGTTGAAAAAACGCACAACGAGTCACGAATTTAAGATGAAAAGTGTTGGGAGCAACGGTGCTTGTAAACAAAGCATTTTATCCTTTTAAAACAACAGCAGACAGAACTACAATATCAACATTCGTGTCCATACTTACCCACACTTTCCATTATATTCAAATTTTCCAAGGTTCAACATCATGGGAACATCTGCACATCAAAACAAGAGAACGTGACATGAAAGATATGAAATTACTACAGAACGCAGTATTCTATTCTTTAATCTATTCTCCTTAATTCAAACGTTCCCACTGCAAGCAGCTTATGAATTTAGTCCATTCTTACACTATCATCTTAATTCTATAATATATTTCCGTACCTAATGTTTGAAAGTTCAGAGCGACCAGCTGACAGCCTGCATTCCAAAATACCTGTGTATGAAAACAGTGATGCACTCAACAATATGAAAACAGCAAACCAAATGATTCCCATTCACAAACCATACCTGAGGCATGTAGTTCTCAGACCCCACTCGAGTTCCCTTTGGGTAAATACGACTAAGCTGCCGCTTATTATAACTGAAATATATCGTTAAGGAAAAGAAGGAAAGATAGATATATGCTAGAATAAATATGAAACACAAATGGATAGATATTGAGTCATAAATGATCAAGGATACTTCACAAATTCAACCGGTTCTTGTTTCAGCAGAGTTGTAGCCACCGTCTCAACAAATGAAGTCATCTCGTATGATTTGTTTCTTGCTAAAAATGGGGAAAAAATTTGTCTTTTATCGCATGCTGTTTGAGAATTTGTCTAAAGAAGAGGACACAAGGCTAGAAACGTACTTTCAGCATAATCAAAACTCTTGAAATGAACAGGTTGAATGTAGTTGACTAAATCTGAAAGGACATTCTCCGACTCCACCTCGTCTTCCTCCTTTATACATAAGATGTGCAAAAGAGTTAGACTCATGGTAAGCAGCTGAGGTATCTTTCTTATATAGCACAGAGCGTTGGGTATATAAGGGGATTTTTTGGGACATGCCACTCCCCATAGTTAGGGTGGGGGTAACCCTAATACAACTATATTACACCCACATCTTTTTTTTCCTTGTTTTTTTCCAGCACATCCTTGAGATTTTCCCCACCGTCGCTTTTAATGCTTTCACTGAGTTCATCGACTGCTGGAGCGCCATTCTGTGTTGTCTCACCGTCTGTAACATCGGAAGTTGTCGCCTCATTTCCGTTTGACGTCGCACCGTCCTGACCCGAAGCACTCTCAGAGTTCGCAGCTTAGAGTAATAGAAAAGAAAGAGTAATAAAAAAAGCTCGCCTAAATATAAACCTACTTGGGAAAAAGGGAATCAATCTTATTCAAGAGTATTAACCTTTTGGTAGTTTTTTCTTGTTCTTTATAATAATCTTTCGCGATAAAGCTTTTGGACTTGGTAATGGCTTTCCATCATCCAACTAAAAAGACAGAGAGAATCAGAACTACAAGCTTCGCGTAATTATATTATTATTGGCCATGGTTTTGCCGAGGTTTGACGATACAAACTGTGGTCGTTTGTGTTGCGCATAAAATCAACTTACTGGAAAATCGTCAATCGGTTTATCCAGCAACATATCACCAAAAATGGAGACACAATACTGGGCCATTTTACGCTGTTGTAAGCGACTAAAATAAAGTGTTTCGCTTTGATGTTAAAATGACTGCTCGTCGAGAACTAACGCCTGTGTTCAAAAAGCTCACTCACACTCTCTGAGAATAATTATCATGCTGACCTGCAGTGATTTTCAAACGATAATATAACAGGGTAATCTGAAGTCTTGAACGCGGACTCTGCTATTGCCTCGATGACATCCTATTAAGGCGGGGAAAAGAAGAAAACAATCACGTTTTTGAAGTAAGGATATCAGCACATAACTTCATAAGGTATGAATAAGTTCTCTCAACGCACCTTAAACGAGACTTCAGTGCACAAAGTCATTCCATGAGTAATACAGGGTTCTTGATCTTCTGATTTTCCATCCCAACAATCCAGCTCAATGCATCTACAGCCAGACATGAGAGCTTGACGATAAATCTCAACCGAAGACTTGCCCGTTAACTGATGACCTGTGCAAACATAATGTATATGTTATGTTTTGTGGTTCGTGTTATTTAAAGGTGGACAGAGAGTGGGTCGACTTTTCTAACCTGTGAGGTAGGTATTGTGTGACGAGTTGATGAAGTAATGAGAAAGCGGAGCGTTCATGTCCTGATGCAGAGCCAGACGATCGCTGTTGATCACTGTGTTGTGTTCACTCATTAAATATCGGGTGAAACCTTGTACTGAGAGATGACCTGGAATGAAACAACACAGCAATAAGATCAGAACCATAAGAGCAGGTGGTGGAGATCGCTGAGAAGATGAGGGAATGAAGGTGACTGATATATGAATGAAATGAAGAGATCAGAAGATGTGAGGTGGTAGACATTGCAGAGAGGATGAGGGAAGCAAGGTTGAGATGATATGGACACGTAATAAGAAGAGATGAAGGAGAACTGGTCAGAGATATTATGGAATGAAGAGATCAGAAGATAGAAAAGCCGGTTAAATAGAGATGAAAGAAGAGATGAATGCGAGCCTCAATGATATAATTCTACACTCTCTTCACCTTTCGCTGAAAATTGTTTATTTGGTTCGTATGTTGAAATTAAATTCATAGCTCGTTCCGTATCGTAGTAGGGGAAAAGGATTTCATTCAGGCGAGGATCTCGTTGATATTGATTAAGAAAGACAACAAATTGATCTACAGTTAAATATGGCTTCTTTTTTGCACCTCTGGAAAAAAAAGAAAGCAAACAATGTTCACTCGTTTTTCTGAAGAAATCCTTCGACATTTTCAAGTTCCATGCACGACGGATCATCACAGCCGGTTCCATGACTGTGTTTAACGATTACTTACATTTCAGTAAATATCTTATCTATGTCTTGCCTATTACAAATTCGGCTCATGAATAACAAGAACGTGTCCAATGTAAAGTCAGATATTTGGATTGCATCATCCTGGAAAAAAATGAAAACATGTTAGAACAAAACAACCAAATATCAAACTTCGACAGTTGTCCATTGTTGCTTGAAGAGTCATATTTACAGCGCTTATACCTTTCTACTTGCCAATCCAAGAGATTGCAACGTGTCATAAACCTTCTTTTTATCATCTTTAGCGCTTGCAAGGTATTTCGTAATGCTACAATAAAAAAATTTGAAACTTTTGGTAAATGAGTAAACAGCACCTAAATACAATAAATATATCAGCACCTCAAGCCACGAAATAACTGTAAAACCTAACCGAGGTGGTATGTGGGCTACTTTTCATTCAGCGGTCTGTACGCAGCCTAATATACACGATACTCAATATACCCAAGTGCCCTAAATTAATTAATCAAACTCTGAACCTACAGTTTGACTGGAATAGATCCATCAGGATTTGCCTGCACCATCAGCTTGGTGTAACTAAATAAAGCCAAACAAATATCTTATACACAAAAACATAATTGTTGACATCTGACACACAAAACACGTTCTTCACTTACTGTTTTTCAAGAAAATTGAGCGGACTCGCGTTGGCTGGTAAAACGTGCTGGCAAAACGACATAAGACAGTCGAACCATAGCTTGGCATCTTCAACACTGGACGCAACAAAGTTCACTGCATTTGTTTCCACAAAATTGGGTCCATAAAGAACGGTAATGCAGTGATCCTCGAGGTTCTCAGAAGATGATAGCTTAGATTTTATCAACTCTTTCACCTTGGAATCCTGAAAAAGGTTATTAATCATTAATCATTTATGGCATGTGTGTATTATGCTAGCTAACGATCGTTTGTCTCCATTATGAGTTCCTAATAGATACTTTCTGCACTCCAGTGCTCTGGAATTACAAGTTTAATGAAACGAGACAATTCAGAAAGTGTTCTTCAAATAAGGCAAAGATCCGGAGCATTAGGTTTTCCAAGAGTAATACACAGGGTCAATTTGCAAAAGAGGCTTGGGTTTAAATGATATCTAAATTGCAGCACTGTCGGCGTCAACATTCTTTGTGAAAGAAACACTTCTAATTAGAGCGAGAAAGTCGCCGGTTAACAATCAGTTTGCGGTTTTCTCAAAAATAGCCAAATTTGACAGCATTCAAACGTGACAACTTTTGGGTAGTGGGATGAACACTAGAGCAATAGACAAAACACTGAAAAAACAGATTGACAATGGAGGGGAAAACGAGCTGTGATCAGCCCCACATAGCTATATACAAACGATTCTCTCTTGACTACACTAATAGTGGTTCAACCAAAACCATAATGGACATCAATTTCATCAGTCGCAAGTTGAAATTATATACTTTTATTCCGCTAATTGGCAGTAGGCAAACCGAGACACTCTTATTTCATTTACGGCTGCATCAGCGTCCTTCGAAGAAGACCATCTGCCATGCATGGCGCTCTTAAAAAAACCGCAAAACTCTACGACTTTATCTGATTTGCATTTGCAAAAGCAACTATATAGTTGTGCGTAATCCATCCACGTACATGCGCAGAACTACGACGATGTACGTTTTATAAAAGAAATGATAACGGTTAAGGAAAGTGAGAACTTTCGAGTCCACCTCTTACAGTTTACTGCAGTCTTGACAAAAACTATAATACCAATCGACTATTGATACAAAAGACAGAAGACGAGTGTTGGCGATGGCTTAAACTTATATATAGATTAATATCTTGAACTTCAAACCACTCGCAGCTAAATCGGTGATTCCTGCGTTGAGTTAACTAGAAATTTAAGATTTTAATCTTCGGATTATGCTTCGTTTGCGACTAAGCGCTATACTGGCGAAGACAACCGCGAAAAGCAAAATATATTCTTCCAAATTGCTGTTTTTTCGCCGTGCAATTAAATATTCTCATTCAAAATTGATAGCTGTATGTGCAGGTAGCCTTTTTTACACTATGAATAATATACACACTTTGAAACAACAGCAAGGGAAGCTGAAACGATAGTCGAGTATCACAAGCATACATTCTATAATTAGGCACAAAGTGCATAGTATAAAAAATTCAGACTCTTATTGCGGTTTTCTACAATTTCAAAAACATACCGCGCCAAGGTATTGAAAATGTTTAAAAAAAAAAAAAAGCAAAACGGCAATAGGCCAGAAGTATGCATTGTTAATATTCAGAGCAGCTGAAAATTTTGTATGCTTTCAGCATTATTTAAACAAATATAATTGCATGGGAAAAGAGGTTGATATTTTTCGTATTGTGTGCTCTAACTGTTCTTGTAAAACGGACTATTCGTCTCGGTAACACTGAACAACATCCGCAATATTGAACATTATATTATTTCCGCAAGCGTTCGCCTGTCACAAGATTGTGGGATGGGAAGACAGTTCTTGAAAACATCAATGTCCAAAGGTTATATAATTTCCCTGCCCACTCGCTGTTCAATTTCATCGATGAATAAATGGATCGCCCGCCGTTACAAAACTCCCCGAACAATAATCATCACCCTGCGTTCAACTTATTACTATCGTCGATTAATAACCATAAAATCATAAATAAAACAGCTCTTAGGGTTGGACTGGGAAAAACAAATTCAACATGTGTATATTTCTGTATTTTTGTCCACGCTATACGTTTTCAAAATATACCGGCTATTTTAGGAGTCTTGAGATTGCCAAAGCAACCTAAATATTTTACACAAACGAATAAAGAGCTCTTTCATTTTGTAGAAAATGATTAATTGAACGACATGAAGACCTCAATAGATTCACGTTTGTGGTATTGATGATCGTGTTTGTAAGGATAATGACGTCCACAAAAACACTTGAATATTCCTAGAGGACAAGTCTGAAGCTTCGGATTAAAAGCTGCCTAAGAAGCTTTCGTTTGCTAAAACCCCATTAATAGCATTATCAGTGACACTAAAAGTATTCTATTTACTTTGATACTTCAAGTTGTGTCCTTCCTAAAGTCTTTTGTGTGAAGCCATGAAAAATGACAGCAGCGTGCATGGATGGATGGATGGATGGATGCGAAATTGAAATTTTTTGTCAGAAAACAGTGCGGGATATTCCTTTAAATTAACGCAATTGCAATCTATGCTAAAGTCGATGCAATAATTAAAAATCGTGTCACTGTAAGATGATTAAAAAAACGTCGCCGATCTGAATTTTAAATTTGAGAGTTGGCTGCATTCGTGTGCGGCTGGGATTTATGATAACGGCGTTGCACTGTCATTCATCCACGTTGAATGAATACTTCGAGCATTCCACTACTGTGCATGGCAGAGCTCAAAATTGGTCCATTGTTTTCGAGAATGCGACGTGTTTTGAGAGAGGCACACGGGCCGGTATACCTTGCATAGTAATTACACACACAAACGATATTACATACATTAAGCTTTAATTTATGCTTCGACTGAACTCTGCCACTGCAGACCACCAATATAACCCATGAGAGTATTAAATCCGTTAAGCCAGATATAAACACACAGAAGAGAACCTACCTTTGGCATTCGAGCATATTTTCCCGTTCGAACATCGTTGATCTGAATGACATCGAGCAAGTCAGTCTCCTAAGGAAAATAAAGATAAAGAAAAAACGCAGGGAATGAGATTGATCAAGTGGTTGACATTGTATGCATGATTTGAGATTTTACTTATCCCCTTGATACATTAGTAACGGCATTTGTGAATAGCGTGCTCCGAGGGAAAAAATACGACCGCAAGATGCTTTAAACTTTGCGTTACATGAACTTTGTAGTCGCGCTTATTTGTAGATAAGCCGGCTTGAAAACGTGGACGGCAGAATGCGATGTATTAAGTAACCTTGTGATGTTTTGAGCGTCACTCTGCATTCCATACGTTTGACAGATAAATACACTTGCAGCAAATATTTCACGGGCTCGATTTTAAAAACACGAGAGATTCATAAATCGGCATTATCCCCTAAAGTATTCAATAAATATATACAGTAAGCTCACCGCTTTCTCCTCGAATTTCCAAAATAAAACGTACCCATTCGAGTCGATCTTTAATGTGCATGTCTGTGCTAGCCCAGAGTCCTAAAGTAAACAGAAATTACACAAGGCAATTTTATGTCTGATTTCTTATAGATAACAATCTTGGTATATTTTCGCGCTAAAATTCAATACAAACGATCTTCTTGTACTGTAATAAGGAGAAACCACGACAGTGCGATATGTTGATCGACAGCTTGTCTGCTATCTCTACATGCAAAATATATAGCATAAGGTAGAACAGAGAAGCCCTTGGCAATCATATATAGATATCTATATAGCGGCCTCAATGCTTCCCGCAACAATTTCAACTTCAAAAGGTACGATCCTCGAAGTATTGTCGATTGAATTCCTCAGCGAAGTTACAAGTAGCAGAAAGAAGCAACGTATGTAATATTCGTGTGTTATAACTGCCCTTGTTCAACGTAGATTATGGCTCTGTGACACAGCGACAATACAATCATAGTGTTCGATTATTACGAATGATTGAAGTACAAAACAGTCGAGATTCTTACATCGTCCCATTTAATGAAGGAACTCCCGGATATGATAGAGTCAGGGACTTTAGGTAACTCCAAGGTTTCTGCATAAACTCCTCCACTAGCCATTATTCATCTTGCCAAAATGCAGTCGGGTACTAAGTGTGTATATTTATGCGATCTGAATAATTCATTGCGATTTATTTGCAAAGGACCTGCCAACGAACGCATACGGCGCCCGATTGGATGGTTGCCTCGAGAGATCTTTTTAATTTAAGCCGTGCGAAAATGTGAAACGCTCCCAACTCTGCATCGTAATTTAACCATTTTAGGCTTTCAAACAATTTCCCCGTTTCTAATGTGTCTTCAGTCGTCTGTATTTAAACAGGATTTCAAACAACCGACCTTGCGTTGACTGAAATGGGCTGAAAACACTTTGGATCGTATTTTTCACGACAGTGCTATTGAATCGAATACTGAACAGATTACAAAATTAAATGCGTTTGATGTCAACTTCAATTTAGTATAAATACTTTATGTGCCCTTCTGACCGCTGTATTGTTCTCGAAAATGATAAAAGCGATTCGTACACAATGAATGAAATAGAATATTTATTTCCTGATAAAATTTAAGCCTAGCTTAATTACAATTTTTACCAAAGGTCATAAACCTCGAAAGATGAAATCTCTGAATCTCACAGTTGCCTTCCGAGAGTGAAAACTCTCCATTAATAATTCCGGACAAAGAAAGGACATCTTGTTTTGACAGTAGGACATGATAACATGTAATTAGCAAGCATCGCAGCAATATCGAAATTCAGATGAAAATAGATCTGGTTTCCGTTTAAAAAAGTTGGAATGGACTACGTTTCTGGGTTGAGAAATGATCTCTATGTACTCGAGGATGTGGTTTACTGGTAACACAGTCTCTGAGGAAGGTCAAGAGTTCAGAATTTTATGAAACTGGAGTATTTATCGATCAATCATGACACAAGAGTAAATAATGTGTAGGAGGTCACCGCTTTCAAAGGTTAACTGGAGAACAATGCCAAGCATAAGAAATCACGAGTTTTCTGTTCCTTACTATCGTCCCGGTAATGGCTTCTTCACTTAGCGCTCTTTTTTATGTGGATACATCAAATGGCGCTAAATGAAGAACCTGCAAGCGTATATATACCTGACTCATCGTCACGACTTCGCCACCCTGTGCCTGTGGCTGTGTGTAGTCCTACAACGAAAGAAATCATGAATGAATTTTAGGTTTTGTTATCAAGGGAGGATTTAAAGAGAAACACTCTCTTCACTTAGGGGGAAGAAAACAGTCTGAAAACTGTTTGAAATGAGTTTTGAAAGACATCAGGTAAGAACTACTATAAACATCGCTTATTTTTCTAAGCAACGCATCCTGATAACCCTGTATTGACCACCGGTACACCAGTAATCGGTCTATGAATAGAAATCATTTTTGCAATCGCATGCAAATGTTTAGCGCTTAAATATCACAAAAAGACACTTAAAAAACAGAGAGATTCTTCCAACTGGAATAAAGAGTTTTTGAAGTCTCCAACTGAGAATGGTTCCAAGTGATTTCACTTCAAAAGGCGGCTTGACTTTCGCTAATACAAAGGCTGGTAAGAATAAAAAACCGTTCCTCGGTTGAAGGAATTTCGGATAATGTGAAATATTCTGAATCTATCTGTTCTTTCTCACCAAATGTGGTATATAACGACTGTCTAAAATAGGCAAAGTTTCTCAAGAGAGTTAGTAATAAGGCTTCAGGTCGAAACATCGAGAACCTTTTTTTTGTCTATTTCGGGAAGATGTTAGACCACATTTATTGGCGAAGGTATTCAAACATTGTGACCGAACCTTGGTTATTTTGGAAGGTATCTAACTGCTGGTATGCAAATGAATACTTGGCATTGAAATTATGCCTCGCTGGAGCGTAGAACTTCTGAAATGACAAGTGTGGAAACCGGTAGACTCAAAGTTAGGATTAAGGCATTGAATGAAAGTTTAGGATTAAGATTGTACTAATATCAGTCGTGACTCGCTAATCCTTTGGGCTAATCCAGCATCAGTCCTGACGGCAAATATCTCGTTCGGAATTTAATTTTAAACTGTCTCATGTTTACACTGACATTAAAGTCTACAAAATAAAAATATTTGTTTTGCTTTTATTTAAACAAACAGTCGCATGCGCGTAAAGATAACAATGTATTTGGGGGAAATCTAATCTGGTTTTTACATCACTGTTAGTCTCGTCCCCATGATAACGAATACAAGCATGTTTTTGCATTTTTTCCACGACAAAACACAATGTAATTTTCCTTGATAGCTTGATAAATCAGTTTTAAAACATAGTCGGAGGTGATATTCAGTGATTGGTTATCAGCATGAGGTTGTTCAGCGTGGGTGAAAGTGCAAGAAAAGTCAAAACATTCAGCTATTGACTGGACAAAAAGCAATTGTGCCGATGGAAATGCCGAGTTTTTGCGTGAATTTATCAACGAGGAAAAACGACAGATGATGATAAACATTGCCATTTTTATAAACCACTTTCAGGCGAGTTTCTTTGCGTACAGATGTGAAAGAAACGAGGAATATCAGCGCGCATATGGTGCAACTTTAGGAAGAGGACGGAAGATAAAAGCACATGCACAAACAGCAGACGAATTAGTATAACTCTGCATAATTGCGAATATCTCATGATTTCCACACGATTTTACAATATACCAGGAAAGGGTTGGTGAAAATATCTTACCGCAAAGAAATATTCGTAACTCGCAAGGTAATTTCAAAAACAGCGCATTGCAATGTAAACAATGTTAATCCTGTGGTGAAATATGAATCATAGCCCACGCCTTTTCATGCTAATTGATAAATTAGCACCTCGTCTGTGGGAACCAACAAAGTTCCGAAGAAGGTAGGACTAGGATGAATGTACGTTCAAAAGATGAAATATATATGTAATGTACCTATTTAATATCTTCTAGATGAGAAATATGCCTACTTAATATCTTCAAAAAAAGCAAGGTCTTTAAATATCTAGTTTACATATATTTTGTGCAAATAGTAAATCAATCAGCTGTATGAGGTAACAGATATACACAAGGATATATATTTGTATATATCCCCTCGTATCCTAATGTGTAGTATATGAATTGATACTGGGTATAGAATAACACATGTAACAAAACTAAGACAAAACTAATGTAATTATAAGAGTATATTATAAAATATTTTTGACTTCCTTTATAATAGTTTGACAGAGTCAACTTCAATCCATTTCCCCAGCTTTGCTGAAATTAGTCTACACAATACAAGATGATAATCTTTTATTATTTTTTCATAGCATCTTGTATTCTGACTTATTGTCAGCCATTGATGAGGATTGATAAGATAAACCTCTGTGACCAAACAAAAGGGGCGTAGCTAGGACCCCTTGAGGAGGGGCAGAGTAATCAAGGGGTGTCGGCACCACCTCTTCCAGAGAGAAAAAAATTCAATGACACTCTCCTAATTTCCATCTGGATTTCAATGTTTTCAATATATGATCAATTGGAGAAGGAAAGGTGACTGCCCCTCATGCCTACCTTGGCTATACCCTAACAAAATATTCTAGTAAATAAATCATTTTGTACACCAGTACCTTTTATTCTTTATCTTCTGTCTTTTTCACCCTAGGCTTTGCAATCTGTATCTTATTTTCATCATCATGACTGCGTAATTCATCTAGATAAGGCTTGGTTGCAATCAGTACCCCTGCGGCGACAATTACCAAACCAGCCCTGGTAAAATGACAGATTTCTGAAATTACCTATGTGAGTAGGAACAGCCTGTACAATGTACAATTTTTATTGCAAATATTCCTTTTGTCCCATTTAATTTTGCTCTCATTAGGGACATTTCACTTGGAGAAACCACAAAATATCAAACTTCAGTTGGTCTGTCAGCACTCTGCATGCAATGTCAAATGCAGAAGTAATGACTTATACTACACTAGGATCATATTTATGATGAAGAAATGCTCCCATGCAATCTACTATAAATTTTTTAAATTTCTTTAGAGCATACAAAGACAATATCTCCACTCATTGATCTAAGATAAACAGGTGCAATACTGCATTAATCTTTATAAACAAATTTCAAAAACCACGTGCTTCAATTGTTTTATTTTCATTATAATGTATATCGCACGATATCCCACAATAACAGTCTTACCAAATTTTAGCATATCTCACAGTCGTTTTAATTCTTGCTTGAACAGCTTCGGGCAACTGTTCCACCTCTTTTTTTGCTCCAGAATTGAACATAATTTCAACAAAATTCACATTTCTTGCAAAGTTCACTTCGTTTTAAAGTTCAAATTTTAATCCCTCCGGCTGGAGACGAAGAACTCACGACAATTTCCGACTAGAATAATGGCCAAAAATAGAAACTCTCCACTATTCCAAGACCTTGTAAAATGCAAGATATCAAGTTACTAAATAGTACCAGACATTAATATTATTATCATATTACATTTGCAGCAACGATACAAGTTTCATTCTACATACATTCAAGGATTTCACTAGGAATCATTTAGTTTCAGACAAGTCAGACAGTCATTCAGTTTAACACAGTTTAACACCCATATCTCTGGGACATTGTAATTTGTAATCAGCTTGGATAACTGTAGAGAATACATGGCATTATTTTAAATAATTATTCTTAAAACATTAAAAAGTGCTGTTCAAATGTGAAAGGCCTTAAATGATTTAGTTTTTCATTATGGAGCATCAATGTTCCATAAAACTCACATGGTAATTTGAAAAAATATAATTTTCTTCCCGAAATATATTTCTACTTGAGAGATATTTAATCATATTCTAAAGAATATCCTTTACGTTTGGAAGGAGGTACAACATGGAGTGGCAGTTCAACAGGCAGTTCATTTCCATCTAATTTAATCTCAATCAAGTGCATAGCAACTGCAAACTCATCTGAGTCCAGCATTCCATCTTTGTCAAGATCAGATAGCTTCCAAATTCGCCCGAGCACCGTATTTGGCAGCTTGGATTTGACAAGTTCACGTTTGGCATTCGAGCCAATCACTTTCCCGTTTGAATCAGGATTAAGGGTTTCAAAGATGCGATCATATTTATCTTTTTTCGGGGCAATGACCCAGTCATCTGAGCCAGCGCCAAATTGAATCCCTTCACCTGCACCAGATGCAAAGGGATTGTGCATTGAATCACCAACTGTGAATGCACCACCACGCACAGCGATTGAGGTGTTGGACTCATTTTCTCTTGGGATCATCGACATGAGCTTTGTTACTTCAGACTGCAACATCTTATCCACATCATCGATCAATTTCTGTTTCAAACTGTGCAGCTTTGAGAAATCATAAGGCTTAAGTTTGGCTTGGAACTTTGAGATGGGAGGAAAATCTCCTGGTGAGATGTTATGCTCTTTCTGGATCTTGCGATAAAGCTCTCCCAGGTTGGTTATCAGTTGCTCCTTCTTCTTCTCTTTACCAAACATCGATGGCATTTGTTCTCTGAGGCTTGAAATAATGTATGCATGGACCTGAAAAATATGTTTTCCAAGTTGTTACATCAATAGAAATAAGACTCACAACTGTTATCTAACTTTATGATAATTAATATGTTATGCAAATCTTTTTTCATTTAATAATTTTAATACATAGGAGAAAACAGGTAGTTTTGAAGTGGCTTGGATCCCTGCTGATAAACAAAGTTTTCCTTTCACTTTTGCTATGGCGAACAGGAAATAGATTAATACTGAGCATGAGAAATGATCCTGTTCACAATAATTTTACCTTTGCAAGTCTTGCTCTCTTGATGAAATCGTTGAGCTTTCTTAGGGCAGCATTCCGCGGCAGGCTCTGGACATCTGCAAACAAATCTTGCGCCTCAGCCTCAAACAATCTTCTGTTTTCATCATTCTGCAATGGCTGATCCCAAAAGGACCCAATATAAACTCTGGAAACTTCAGGTGTATTGATCACCTTGCCAAGCGACCACATCAGCGCACCATACACCCTCATCAGCTGTTGAGTTGTCACCATATCTGCCTTATTCAACACAATTCTGATCTTTTCATCATACTCTCGAAGGACATCAATACTGCGCTGGAACTCATCCGAAATATCCAACTTGTGGGCATCGAAGAGGAGAACGATTCGGTCAACCCGCTCGGCAAACCATTTTAACACGCCAGTGAAATCGTACCCTCTCGACACAGACTGCTTCTCACCAGATAAGATCCCAGGAGTGTCAATTATGGTTATACTTTCAACAACTTTGTTTGACAACTCAGAACAGTACAGTCGATTTAGGAAGGCATTCCCAAAAACACCCAAAGACTGAAACTGTTTGAATGGATCAACAATCAACGCATTACCAGGAATGACTTGGTCGTGTTCCCCATGCATGACAGCTATGAAGCTATCCGTGGTTGGCTCGGGACCTATTCTTAAACCCGGAAAATCTTGCTCCAAGAGGTATTTTATAAAGGTTGTTTTGCCGGTTGAGTACTGTCCGACAAGCAGGACCATCGGCTTCGCCGTGAAATCGGCATCAGACATCAAAGGTGAGTGAAAATCATTGAATAAGTAATGTTCCTCGAGGGGGCGCAGCTTTGTCTTGTAAAGTTTCTTCAAACCATCGACCACGGACTGCAATACAATGGGGTCTTTCTTCTCGTTTTTAGTCAACCAACTAAACATGGTACGATGATTTATATATACGACAAACTGTAGACAAAATAAAGTCAGTTCCTGTTCGGTAGATCGTCAATTCTTTCAGTTTTAGCGCTCACAACCAAATCAAATCAAATCGCCATTTTTGTCATACGAAGATCATGCGCACATCTCCGAAACAACGCCTTCTTGTGGAAGAGTGATCATACATCTTCCGGAGGGTGATCCACTCTGATATTAACCACAAAAACCACTTCACAAATATTGCAAATCGCTACAATATCCTCTTAAACGACTTGACAATCACTTTCGCGGTAGCTTACTTCAAAACTGCGAGCTAGTTTTGATTAAAACGTCTTTTAAAGAAGTTGAGAATAACCAATTATGACATCATATCCAACTAATTGAGAAATTTCCCCCCCGGGAAATTTTAACTTCATTAGACACGTCATTCTTGGATTAGCACATCTGTTATTACATGAGTAAACTAACCATTTATGGTTTTCCGCTTTCTAAATGGTGAGTGACCGTGAGTCATACCAGCCAGATTATAATCCAAGACCACTCGAGTTTCGAGGGCATAATTGCATAAAAATAAATTGTTTTTTTGCAAACATACTTCTCAGGAGCTTTTTTCCCGTTGTGTCTCTTGAAGTTGAATGTGGCTTTAGCGCAAGCTGTGGCCTTTTGACTTTTGTCTGTCAACTTGTTGTTTTTGCTTCGTAGCTGAAGTACCGGTATTGGCATGGGCAACCCTTCCGTTACATTGACAATGTGACGGAAATTTCTTGGAAACCACAACTCGTGATTTCGATATGGCAGCGCAAGTCACGCTTATTTTGCCAGCCATAGAGATGATCCTTGAGATGATCCAATATAGGCAGATTATTATTATCCGCAATCATTCAGTAATATCTAATTATAAAACACTCTCGTAGTTTTGTTTATCCTTGTCATGCTGTGCTGATAATATTACATAGCGTAAGGTAATCATTAAGTTCATAAGTTGCAAGAGTATTATCAATAAAACTGCGTCTTTGTTATAATAGAGAAGAGAACCAAAAGGTATTGTATTCAAAAATAATTTATATTCTGTCTATTACTATGATATCTTGATTCTTTGACTGTATTTTGTTTTTAATTTTTCATCAATTTTTTACCTCATGCTGACCTGTTATGACTACAGAATGATTTAGCCACGAATACGTCATTAGCCTAAATATTTTTAATTAATCACTTTGGAGTTGAAAACCTTTTCAAAACCAATTTCCCCCCATTTTTACGTGCGTCTCAAAGGCGCATGATTTCACGATTTCTAACAAAAAGCGTCCTGTTTTAAGCACTTTTATTTGTGGAGAAATTGTGATCATGAATCGCATTTTATTTGATGATATTTTTCGTACTAAACATGCAAAAAGATTCACATTTTGAAACGAAAAAAATGCATAAAACTGTGGCATATTTCAGGGAAGTAAGATGCGAGATATTCTGGTTTTGGTAGAGATCAGTAACTAGGACGATGCGTAAAGATTGTGAAATTCCACCCAGGTGCTCCCACTCCCAGGTGTATTATAGATGGCTCTCCATTTGCTCCCTGAGCTCCTGTTTAGCTACGGCAGTCAAATGCACTTCATCCGGGCCATCTGCGATACGAAGTGTCCGCAATGCAGCAAACATATAAGCCAGCGGAGTATCCTGTGAGACTCCTGCGGCACCATGTGACTGAATGGCGCGGTCAATGACGCGAAGGGCCATACGAGGGGCGGCTATCTTTGCCATAGCAATCTGGGAAATTAGAAATACACTTAAAGGGGCTGTTAGATTGGTTGGTGGACGAAAGAGGGGAGGATGGTTAGCTTCCAGTCATCAACTATAAGATTTTATCCGTGTTTGTTTACCTGCTTTCTGGCACGTTTTGTTCCAAGACGATCAATGTAGCGAGCAGCCTGAAGTGTCATTAACCTTGCTTGATCAAGCTCAACACGACTCAATGCAATATCATGTTGAATCATTCCCTGAAACCAGTGAAAAATCATTAGGAATTAACAAGATTCGAATCAGTGAACTAATCCTGTCATGTATCATATCATTTAGTGAACTATCGAAGGATGTGTTTCCATAGCTCTCTCTTAGTCCTAAATATCAGCGTATCTTAGATGCATCAAAACACTGAACACAACCTTTTTCGCCAGAAGTTCCACAAAGGCAGTTCTTGACGTCACACGCTGACACATTAGTTCCAGGGCTCTCTCAGCTGCACCGATTGTTCTCATGCAGTGGTGTATGCGGCCAGGTCCCAAACGACCCTGAGCAATCTCAAACCCACGCCCCTCGCCTTATTGAATATATGGAGTAAAGGTTACCAGCAATGAACACTCCAGATACAAATACAGATCTAAACTTTTGATCACTCACTTACCTAGTATCATATTGGAGTCTGGAACTCGGACGTTGTCGAACACGATTTCCCAGTGGCCAACGGGAGCCTCTGAGGAGTATATTTGATAAAAAATAAGAAAAGATAGACGAAAAGGAAGATAGGACTAGAAAACAAGATTTCTTACCGTTATATCCGAATACAGTCAATGGTCGTATTTTCTTTACTCCTTTTGTCTCCATTGGAACGATGATCATGGAATGTCGTCTGTGTCTAAAGACATCAAATCACGTGCAGTTCATGCAGCCGTCACATGCTTGTTCGTGATCTGGTTAGGACTACTAACCTTGGGGCTTGTGTATCCGCTGACCTTCCCATCACAATCAACAGTTTACACCGCGGATCACCAGCCCCTGAGGATAAAAGCTGGTTGTTAGAAAGCTTACAGCGCCACATACGACCCAAAATATCCCTTCACATCCCTCCTTACCACTCGCCCACCACTTCCTTCCGTTAATGACGTAATGGTTTCCATCTTTTCTTATCTCACACTCCATGTTCGTGGCATCAGATGAAGCAACAGCAGGCTCTGTCATACAGAAGGCAGATCTAATATCACCATTCAGTAACGGCGTCAACCATTCCTTCTTTTGTTCAGGGCTGCCGTAAAGATGAAGAACCTCCATGTTACCAGTATCTGAAAATATTTGAAAAACCTTTCGTTTAGTTTGGTAACTCGGTGGAGAAGATTTTTGGAACTGTTCAATGCGATCCTGGTTTTCTTGGCAGAACCAACAAGAATCGTAAATACGAAAATAAGATACAAAAGCTCGGAGAAGAGTTTCGCGGAGAAAGAAAGAAGTCCATAAACTATATCAACGTACCTGGTGCAGAACAATTCAAACATTCCGGTCCGATGAAATATCGTCCAGTTTCCTCTGCGATCAGGGCATATTCAGTTTGGTTCAAACCAGATACAGCCGGAAGGAACAAGTTCCACAGGCCTCGCTCTTTTGCCAACTTCTACTCAAAATGAGAGAAGAAAAGTAGCAACAGTCAAAACGCAGTGAATCAGTGATGAACTGACATCGAACAAACCTTTACTGATTCGATAATGGGTGGTATTTTCCAGGGGTCACTTTCCTTGGCTAGATATTCAAAGTATTCCTAAAAACAGCACCACAAAAAAAGAGGAATAAATATAAGAGTTTCTTTTCGCGATGTAGAGATGCTAGATGTTAACCTTCTCTGCAGGTAGAACATGTTCTTTCAGGAATGCTTTCGTCTTAACTAATAATTCTTTGGCTCTGTCAGAAATTGGGAACAGATCAACGATGGATCCTGGTCCTCCGATCTTTGTGGCTGGTTGATGTCCGATTTTCTCCCTAGGAAAATAAATTTCTCCCAGTTATCCCTCAATGTACTGCTGCAATCATTGTGTCAAGCGAATATGCCAAGTTAGAATGCAAAGATCGCGGAATATTCCTAGTATTGCTTCATTCGAATATGTTTAGCCTTAGGAAGAATGCATCTGATATCAGATCCCAAGTACCACAGGTACTGGGCTGAACGTACCGGGATGTCCAACCGTGACACCCTGAATATCCTCGCTATCCCTCAAGAGTCTGAGCATAGTTTAATTTGTTAAAATTATAGGCACACAACGCACTAGGGCAACAAATATCTTTTCATAAGAATACCTCGAGTATTATAATATCCTCGCATCTATATGACAATATGTCTATTCTAGCCAAGTCTGCCGTATTTACATGTTTCAAAACAAATGAGAAATGTGATATGGTGTCAGTTTAAAGAAGACCAAACGATGCACACCCATAAGCACTTACATTTTTATGATTCTCAAAGCCTGACGAATGATTGGTTGAACGACTTGCCAATACAACCCGGCGTTCTCAGCTGCGGCGTTTCCCTGAAGACTTCGTGCATAAACACCCTTTACAAGGAAATATGAAATTAGATCCTGCTGTTAGGCAAAGGTTAACAGAAGGTCGAAGCAAAACATTGCAAAATCCAATGACTGTTTGCTAATCTGCATATAATGATTTGATCATTTGCATAAAAACCAAGCAACACAAATGACTTTTTCACCTGAGCAATTGATGCCATTCTGAAAAGGTTTAGTGCCAAATAAAATTCCCAGTACGGGATATTAACCGAGCAACCAAAATGTTGACAATATCGGCTGATGAACTCTTTCTCTGTGGGGAGTCCTTCTGTTGAATGACAAAAGGACGAGTTGTTTGAGATATAGAAGTGCAGTTAATTGAATCTGAAGATTTCAGTCTTTTTCAGATAGATCATAAATAGTTTTATATTTTACTTTTACAAAATTTTTTGTATACCATTGGAGTGGGATGGAAAAATAATTTTGATTTCCTCAGGCCAATGGTATATCATACATGTGTACGCTAAATCCATCATTGGATCACCAATACTTGCCAATTCCCAGTCAAGAACAGCAAGCACAATGGGCTAGAAGAAAAAATCCTGATTAAAAAATAAATCAGAAATCCTTCTTTCTTCATTTACAATTATTGAAGGCAAAGGTTTGAATCCCTCATTAAAAAGACTCTCAAAAATCTCCACACCTCAAACTCACCTTAACAGGATGAAATATCATGTTGTCCAGTCTGTAATCACCATGTACAATACCTGGAACATACAGAAAATTTGTATCATTTATCATTTGTATCATGCAAAGATGCCTTTAATTAAACAATAGTCCTATGAATAAGGCTTACATTTTTGTTGGCTGTCAGGGGGCAACATTTCCAATAGAGTTTTGATCAAAACTTTTGCTTCAGGAAGGAAATTATCTGTGCTGTCTTCATACTGTTTTGCCCATATGAGAACCTTAAAAGTAAATTTGTTTGTGATCAATATATCAACCAATATTAAAGATTACTTTCAAAGACTAACTTAACGCAGTTGCGCAGAGCTAGCCTGATCATTTAGTCTAGTTATCTAAATTTTACTTGGAAAATAATTGCTTTCACAGTCAATGAATGCCAAAACATTAGCGTAGATGGACTAGACTATCAGAATGGCCACGTCTCTGAGACTTGTGCATTACTTACAACAATGAATACCTGTCTTTTTGAGTGGTTTGTTGATTTCCGAGATATATATTTGGTCAAGCCTAATGATTGAGGCTCAAATTTGTGCAATCTTGCAAGATTCTCTGCAGCATTAAAATAACATTCAGGTCCAGGTTTTTCCTTGCTTTGGGAATGAAATATTCTTCCCTAAAATAACAGAAAATGTTGGTTCATTTTTGCTGGATGGTACCATGACAAATACGACAACATGAAGCTTCATACCCTAACATGCTCCATGATGTAGAACTCTGTTCCAACAACTGATACATCATTACAGAAGTGTAAAGGTTTTGCAACAGGGTAACCAAACTTGTGCAAGGCTTCCGTAAAGTCGTATTCCCTTTCAATCTAATGGTAATGTAAAATAATCAATTTTAAGTACTTCTGTGACTGGTTGTAGGAAGGGTTAAGGGCAGCCACAAATAGTATTAAATATATTATAGAATGACCTGATGTGCATGTCTCAGTAACCTGCCTGGAGGTTTCTTTCTCATCACAAACTCTCGTGTTCCTTTTTTCAAATAAAAAGTCGGATTAGATTGTCCATGACTAGAGATAAAGACAGACTATGTTAGAAAATTCTCTAGTATAAAGATCTTAGCAATAACCTTGAAAATATTAAACAGACGTACCTGTACTGTCGGACTAATAAGTTTTCATTTTCATTATGGGGATATCCACGTAAATGTCGGAGAAGATAGTTATCCAAAGACGTTTCGTTAAACCTGTGTTCTGGACGAACACTAGAAGCTACATTCAGATTTGCACCCTGATCCGCCATATTGAATGACGAATGTGATGTGAGTAGGTTATAAGGTTATAAGACTGGTGCCAGTTTACTGGTTAGCAGGTTCTATGGTTATATAGCTAGGTTCTATGATTCTAGGTTCTATGGTACTAGCCTTCTAGGTTCTGTCACTTTTGTGGTTCTAGGTTCTATGGCTCTATGTTCTATGGTTATATAGCTAAGTTCTATGGTTCCAGGTTGTATTGTTCTATATTCAACTTTTCGAGAGACTTTTCGCTCTCATCTCTTGGGCATATATGATAACACTCTAACTTTCAGTTTTTTGTGCATAGTATATTTGCAAATGTACAATAGATGTATTATAATACAAGCTTTGGTAATCATTACTAGGACAACTTTACTAGGACAGCAAAAAAACATTGTGAATGCAAGTATGGCACCAAATCATGAAGACTGTTGCGGTTCCTTGATAATTCTTTTTGTATGTTCAGTTATACAGTGACAAATGACTGGATAAATCCTTGCACATGCTTCGATACATTTCTTCACTGCCTACATCAAGGTACAAGTGCATCTATATCAACCAGGATTGGAGCAACAAGGTTGAAGATACACTAATATCATAGAGGTATCCATTTTCGAGGGATGTCTATAAACTGAAGTGAGATGTTAGAGATGGAATGGTACCTGATTAGTCTGGGTTAGAGAAAGTTCTCCATCCATATTTAAAACAGAGATTTGATTAAGAACTGGAAGGAATGCAGTTGTTACCAAACCAGTTGTCTCCTGATTGTTTTCCTACAAAATTAAAAATCAATAGAAAAAATATTAAAGCTTAATTCATAGAATGTATTATTGATAGCTTGGCTTATATTTCACATGTATCATACAACCTCATTGTATATTGGATCCATAAGTGTATTAGTGTTTGTTTGGACCTACAGGTAAAATTAAACAAGAAATCTAAAATAGAATTCATAATTGAAGACTGAAATAGCAGCTAATAGCTTTTTGTTCTGGTCAACTTAAAAATTATTTTAGGAGTAGGACATAATGCAGATTTAATGTTTCTTGAATACTTACTAGAGAAGATGCAATAACTAGATCAAACATCTCAATTCCTGCATCAACCAAAGCAAGTGTCGCACAGTTGATGGCTGCAGCAAGAACTAGAATATGCATATTTCATTTGTTTCATTTGTGTTCATTTTATTTGGTAGATTCTTCAGATGAACAACTGATTTATTATATATTACCATTTCCATCATTTTCAAAAACCATAACATATATATCAATCTGTGCTTTGGGAAATTTTTCCTGAAAAAGATGAAACTTTAATTAACAGATGCACTTTTAGCATTTGAGACTAGAGCTTAAATACAACACAGGGAATTAAAAACTATATACTTGATCACTACAAGGTCAAGCAATCTCACCATAATTATTGCTGGTTCAAGCGCTTGTTTGATTATGTTTGATAAATCTTTTTCCTCTGAATCCTAACAAAATGTAAGAAACAAATAATGTGCTTGTTCGAAGATGATCAATAACAATATTTAATATGGTAAAGCAATGCACACAGCTTAGGAAATCGTAGGCAATTATGTTATACTCACCCTAATAGGGGACCTCCGTCTCTTGCAAGAGAATGGTGCATATTTTATTTCACAAGTTAATTTACCCTAGATATAAAAATCAAAACAATTCAGTGTGATAATCTTAATACCCACACATAAATGTAAGTGAATTTAAGCAACTACCCACCTTCATTCTAAACTCCTGTTTTCTCAAAGATTCCCTTGGTCCATAACTTTAAAACAAAAATGGTAGGATATATAGGTTCTGCATATATGAAAAGACAGTCTTAAAGCACATGCATAAGTAGGTTTTTCCAGAATACCAACAAATGTTGGTTTCAATCAGCTTACATTGAGCATATTACTTTGGTTTTTCCAGTTTCAATGTAAGCTGAGCCTTTTGCTTGAGTTACTGCATTTGCACGAAGAACTGCAAAATATGAAAGTGATTTGTCACATAAATGCATTTCCTATTCTTCGGATGTCTTAATGAGGACGGGGAGGGGAGACATGTGTAGATGCTGGGGGGATCTTTTACTTTTAAAAAATTAAAAATGGAAGGGATGACACCCGCTCATGCAATGGGTAATCAGTTTCGATTAAAACAAGAAACTTACACATTTTTCGTATTTCTTCACATGTCCGGCCATCTTGTCTTTTACCATCAACTACAGTCTATAAAATATTTAAATGAAATATTAAATATAGTATGATTGTGTCAGAGTGATGTAACAATTAACACTCCCTTTGTTACATTTTCCTGATCGTATAGATGGCAAACAGGAAAAATAGAAAAGAAATTTTGAGAAATACAACAGGAGAGCATGTACATCTGGAGTTTTCATCTGCTAGTAAAATGTAAACAAAAAAGAAGCTGTGCGACTTTGCACGTGTTCATCTCTCAGACTCTCTCACCTGTCTTTCTCTGTCTTCTTTTGCTTTTCTCGGGTCGAATAGAGCTCGAGTTTCGTCCACAGGACCACAAACACGCCGAGTATCTAATGGCATTCTCAAATAAACAAGAAATCCATAATTTCTCTTCAAAAATCGAGTTTAAAAAGGAGAAAAATTGTTAGAAATCCCAACTTTCTCAAGACAAAAATAATTACTACATGACGTATCCCGAAACAGTGAGCCTGCAATATACCTGTTCTCGTGCTCTACCCCTCCTACTGCTGTGCCCTCCCCCCTCCACCAGCTAATACATACCTCTTCTGCTTCACCTTCTTTTTCCCTCTGCCTCTTGGTCTAAAGAGGACTATTAGAATTGTCAAATTTCACATTACTTTAGATAAGAAGTATACGGGACGAAAAAGATGCAAATTCTTCAATCATGTTTTCATATATTTTATTATATATACCACGCACAAAAGCCTGAGCATATAGACTAAAAACTTGTGACGAACTTCACTGCTCTAGGAGTCTTACTGTCAAGTTTTACAGTATTGTGAGCAGAAAACTATCTGTGATAGAACAACTGTTATCTGATCTTCAAATGAAAACCAGCTGTGAGTGAAAAAAGTGCCAAAATGGCTGGAACATTGATATCAAGCAAAGAAAGGGATGAAGTTAAAAAAGTGAAAACGTTAACCACTTGTTCAAATCAGAATACTATCAACATTGACTTGCACGTTCTTGATCAGTGAAATCACGTTTATAAAATATGAATTCTATTACATCAACAAAATGACTGCACTTCGTTCATGGTTAGTTAAAAGGTTAAACGTATAACATATATGAAACAACAGTTTTTCCTGTGCGACCTAATGTGGCGTATTGGTCACAGAGGTTTTATGTCTTTGATCCAGTGAAAGCCCAAGCTGATCCCGCTTAGCTGAGATTAAAACGGAGTGGAAAATTACTTTGAGGTATTTGAAATAAGTATATAACATGATCTCGGTAGTGGTTAAGTCATTCCCACAATAGCCTGAGCTTGTTTGTTTCATAAAAAAACCTTTTTAGTAGTACCTCAAAATCATCTTAATACGCCTCTGTTGAATCTCAGGTAAGCGGACTCATAAAAACAGCCTGATGGGGGAAACTATGGTCCCTCACTGATTCAAGCAATATTTTTAAAGTCATTGTAATTCTGTCTTTTTAGTATAATGGAATGAGCGATGTTCCATCATTAGGTCTACCATCTCAAGCGTCGAGAATTTTGGTGATGCTGACCACAGATTGTTCGCAGGCGAATTGCTATATATATATAGAACCACCCTATTTGCAGGTGTATATCTCCCGCGTGTTCCTGCAGGTTTCACACCTGACATGACAACACCAGAAAAAGCGACATTTACACTTCACCGTTTCAGTGACGACCTGAACATTGTACCCCCGTCCGCAGCACAATATACTGCATCCGTCGAGTCCTGAAGAAGATATATTACACACACGCCCAGACGTTCCGGGAGTACCTAACTTCGTGTTGACATCGCAAAAGTTCGGAGAGGAACGGATATAGATGAGGTCTCCGGAGCTGGGCTTGCGTGAATTCCTGTCCTTCACACGCAACACGCGTGGGCCGCGTTTCGTTTTCACCATTTCGATAGCGTTTTTGTATTTTTTTAAAAGACGCTTTCCAATGCTTTCAAACGACGTAGGATGTTGCATCCAGCATGTTTTCACCTCGCAAGAATCACAAACACCGTGACACTTGCATTTACGGTACAACAGATTTGATAGAGACTAAAATGAAGAGAATCATTGAATTATGCAGCCCGCATGCAGTTATTCCTAGAATATACCTGGAATTCATAGAAAACTTACCTTCACTCCAGCGCGGATATTGTGTCTGTTCATTTTCTTCCGCTCTTCACCCCCCGTCTTCGAGACGCGGGTCAATGCAAATTCCTTCGTCAGCGCTCCGGCGAACTTGACATTGCTATGACAACCACGCCATTCCCAGTTTCCCGAGGGACGTCCGCTCAGTGATCTGTCGCAACCACAGCTCGCGTAGTTCCCAGAACTACATGCGCCCGTGATCGTGTGAGCGACCCCGGCAGCGGTTATAGCGTACAGAAATGCCGATTCCTTACAACCTAAATCAATGAATGCAAAGACATCATCATCGTGGGTTGAAACTGTATCAGACCTGCTCCTGAATGCCCAAGACTAAACGCAGGACTAAGGCATGCATGATTCACACACATAACAGTATATACACCTGTATCACCTCTATATGCCAAGCAAATAAACATACAATAAACTATATCCAGCTGAAATTAGCTCACCCTAAAAGATTCTTATTTAACTTCACATGAAAACAAGAAGTTCCCCTGTAGTTTGAGCAATGTCTACCCACACACTTGCAGATGGACAGGGTGACCGCCGCCCACGGATGCGTGTCAAAATAGACAAACTACTCAGATAAATTGACCTTCTTTGTGTGTTTATTCAACAACGAATGAGCCGTCTTTTTGTCGTCTCTAGGAGCTTATCTACGGTGCTATTATCATTTACTAAAGCTTAAGTCATCATTAAAGTATTTCGAGAATTAAACGACAAACTCGTAGACGTACTATAGTCGACTTACCGACAGGTAAAACGGGCCCAAACAAGGTTCCGTGCGATGGCACGTTTGAACAATTCCATCTGTTCGTACTCAGCTGTTCCTTGCATTCCTCTACTCCTGTTCTTGCGCCGCGGAAAATAGGTTCCATCAAATCAGGGTATTCTCGACATAATTCGCTTTGCTTTTTATTTAAGCTCGTGTAGGTCTTGCATAATTCTTCAATCTCCTTTGGCTTGCTTGGTCTTTTACCTTTCCAACCCCTGGAAAGAGCACGAGTATTTTCATTTAAGCATTCAGGAAAATTCAGGGGCAAAATAAATTCATTTTACAGTGAGAAATATTAACTGCGATAAACGTTAAACGTGACTCATGTTAGTTGTTAAGATTTATTTCAAAGCCAGAAATATATAGAAAATTTCCCATGCATAACTCGAACAGGAAAGAAGATGAAGCCAGATGACTAGGATTGATCAAACGATATTTAAGATGGGATTAACTATCATTGCTATCATACGATGATGAAAAGTTGAGAACAGACGGTTAAGCCGAACAAACAAATTAATGCCATAACGGGAGAACATCCACAAAGGGTTTAAAAAGTTCCGCAAAGTGACGTTCCCCAATGCATGACGCGTACGTGGGAATATAGCACGTCTATACGCTGTGTACCTGTTCTACCTTTGTAGAATATGATGGAAGATTATTGGACGGTATAAGAGGAAGGTCCACTCTCTTTCCTCTTGCTCTCGATTAACCTGGAAACTCAATCTCTTAAACTCTGACTTTCCAACTATCTTTCATCCTGCAGGACGTAATCTCGAGTCTCACGCAAAACTATTCAAACTACAACCATCTTTTTAAGTCCAGCAAACGTCACGTTTGAAAAACACTCTACTTTCTCCAAACCAATAAAATCAACTGGATGAATTAAATGAAATTAATCCCAGTCTATCTCAACGTATGGTAAAGTGGGAACCACCAAAACTAAGAGATCAGTTTGAAGAATGATTCATGATATGTCAATACATAGTTCAACATCACAACCAAATTATTTAACAATATATGTACCTAAACTCACCATGAATTTTCACTGATTCTTTTGCAGGATGCGTTTTGAAAAGCCATCAGAAGAAAAGCAAAGCACACGCTCACTATCATCTTGAAGTACGCTTGTGTTTTTTCCCCCTGTGCGTTTTGTTTCTTAGTAGTTCGTCCTCTTGTAGCTCCCGCTCAATGATACGGCGGATCAATCAGCAGAGTTTAAAAGGTCTTGTCAGAGGAGCCCAATTATTAGATCAATCACTTTGGCAAGGTAAACGACGTGGCGACAATCTGACCAGGAGCAAAAACAAGTTGACTGAATCCCTTTTTAATGAAAACCAGTTCGAGGAATCGACTATAAGTTCTTCGCACCAGCAAGTTCTCGTTTGTTTTCCAATGTTTGGACGTTTGGTCGAGTATTCCTGGAGGAAACAGGACGATAGATTCACTGCGGATAAATCAACGTTGGTCGGCAAATGAGGCTCGCAGAAGCTGAAAGCAATGAGAGAGACAAAACATTATATCATTAGCACCGTCTAAAATAAAACCGACCCGAATGGGAACAGTGTTGTTTGTAAACGTCAAAAGAATTATAATTTTCATTGCACGCCCGACAATGTCAACAAAGGCCAAATTAAAATTAGGAAAATGTTTGAATGACACCGCCTGGATAGAAAATTGCGAGAATTCACATCTACAAATAGATCATCGTTTCTAGATTAGGCTGCAGACTGCATTGCTATCCACAGCCTGCCGCGATGTCTGTCCTAAATTGTGTCTGAAAATGTTGAAAACACTTGGACGCATAGGGCTGAAAACTTTGTGAATCTTTTCCAGAGCTTTCTGATCGAGAACACGGCATCTCTGAATTTCGTATCGTATATTTAGGCAATCGAAAAGTTCAACAAAATTAGTGTAAATTGAAAGGCAGATGGCGGAAAGTATTAATTCTGTTGTTCAAAATAGGAAAACAAATTTTAAAGAGAAATAAAGAAATTTAAAGGGGTTTTTTGATGCACATATTGCTTCTCAAAAGCCTGCAACAGACTAGCGTGAAAAACAGTCCAAAGATAGCAGAGTTTTCAACTTTATAATACAAGAGAAAGACTTGTATTTGAATGAGTAGTGGATATATTTCATGCATATTAGCGATGAAACTGAATGTTTTTCATCCTGTAATGGTTCATCATGCAGAGGATTATCAAATAGCGTGGCCTCGCATAAAGCATTCTTTTTTAACCCTCGGCCAGCTTTAGGAAAGCTTTCTTTTCACATTTACCGGGTGAAGAAAGCGGCATCATGCAATAAAATATCTTCCCGGGTCATTAAGCACGAAGGAATGTGAGAGGCCGGTGTATTTGTGTTGAAAAAAGTGCTTTGCGGTACTTCATCCCTAAACAATCCAAGGAGAAACTATATATGGATTAGACTATGTTAGTATATTCTTTAGGCAGACGACAGGGACTTGACCATATGAATTATCTATATTTCCTCATCGGAAAAGAATTTATTAGATGAAGATTTTTTTGTAAAAAAATTAGATTCGTAAAAAGATCAGCTAAATATCTGATGATTGTGATGTATATCAAGTGCGGTCTCCAGTTTGTGACGGAGGAAAAATAGACTTGTTGTGTCAAAACTGTAATGTGTATTCCCCTTGTAAACTGGTAAATTAAACTTACACCTCCTCAGAGAAAATAATTTGAGCGCACGTCATGCAAAAGAGATCAATTCTTGCAGTGAGTAAATTATAGTAAAATCCGGTGGAAATTTGTGGTTTTCTTTGAACGAACCTTAAATTTTTAAATATTTACAGTTGTCTCAACTGCATGCGCTATATAACGTGTCGGTAGTCTTGCCCTAAATACTAAACTGTAATCAATTCATTGGATAAATGGCTTTCGGTGTATGCCTTAAAACTAACACATTCATACAATTCAAGATCTGCGACGCACAAATCATTTTCTAATCACGAAGAAAATAATTTGATTTACCGCCAGGTTATTGAAGAAGCGTATTAACATGTTAACAATGTTTTTGTTTGCAGAGTCAAACAGATTTATGTGCATTAAAATAGCGAGATAATAACTGATGCAGCGAGAGAAATGCTGCATGGAATTTCAAGCTGGATAAAGTAAACAATATGAAATACAAGTTTACATAACGAATACCATCAGGCAGATAGCTTAGCGGATTTAGATTACCGACTCGAAATAGCCATGGCACGCGCGTATACGCGATGAGTATATAACTATTTGTTTATGTGATCTGATAGACACCATCATTTGTGTCCTTCGCAAACGAGGATAAGACGTGATGAGTTTTGACGAGTTTTAGAAGAATAAAGTACTCAGATTAGAGTCATTAGACAAGGAATTCTGACTTCGAACCGACTTGAGTTTAGCTAAATAACTTTGAAAGCGATTCCATTGTTTGCACAGCACGCGCGTAGTGGAAGTTAGTCAACTCTGGCGCGCAATGCTTGTTTCTTTTATTACATGATCATTAAGCTGAATGATATAGTAGATGAGATTCGCATGCATTCCTGTAAAGTTTCTCTCATAACAAACTCTCGTACACAAACTCTCCTGTATATGCACATAAAAGTCTCTAACACTTGTTGAGACTATTCATCGTAGCTTCATGCAAAAGATATATAGCTAGCTATCCTGTCTACAAGCCCCAAATCTATTTTCAATCGTAAGGTAAAACTTTTCGCAAAAATATTATTTGATCAACCTAAAACTTGATATACCAAGTTCAAACCCAGGGGTTTCAATCGTAATAAATCGTTCAACTGCCTGGAATGATGGTTCAAAATCGTACATTTCATGTACAAACATGCGATATTAATCAAAGAGAGTTTGTATAGTGTTGTGTGATTACAGGGATATCATAAAAAACATTGACAAAGACTTAAACGTGAAGAGAGACAAATCACTTACGTGAAGACGACAACCAAGCAACAATACAGCTTTCTCCTGAAATTCTTTTACATAAAAGAAATGGGAAAGTATTCGTTGACATCCAGGAAACTGAAAACGGAATGAAACAAGTTAGGAAACGAATACAACTAACTAGAACGAAGCGAGTTTAATGATTTGCTACGCAAGGAACGCGGAATGATCTGAGAATGTAATTAACTATAAATCATTTTCAAACGAAATGATTACCTCTGCACGGCGGCTGCTAATCCAAAACAACAAACGAAATGTAGCGAATGATTTGCGATCGTAAAAGCAACAACTAACAAAGTCGTTTGACAGGATTGATGCGTGAAAAAGATTCGAGATCTTGATGTTTTCTGTGAAAAAATGAAGTATCCTTGTTCGTGGTGGTACTGAACGACAGCAAGAGCTGCGCTGATGCCGAGTGACGATGCCAAATTATGGAAGCGAAATTGTTTTCCATTCTGTTGGAGTTGAACCGGGGTCGCCTGGAAAACGCATTAAACTGTAAGCATGCTGGGTCAGTTCATTTAAGCATTTCCATATGTTGTGCTGCACTACGTCAGAATTAAGCCACAACTTACCTATAGTTTTGTTTCTTGCGGTTGAAAACAGGACAGAGAGAATCACACCCAAGGTAATGCAATTAGTTCCATCAACGTTTTTTTGGCTATATCAACCTGAATAAACTTGTTTTACCTGTTTCAATTGATCAAAATTTGCTCATTTTTCACCAGAATTATAAAATACCGAATTTCATTTGTAACAACCAGGAGACAATTGAATGAAAATACGCATTTTAAAAGCATTCATGCATATTTCAGATCTATTAAAATACGATCACCGACTTCTCAAAGGAACGTAGTCCAAGTAGTCCAATTGACTTGATGTCATACAAGTGTAATTGGTCGGTGACAGTTGAATAGAGAGTGCTCAAAAATCTTTTAGAACTTTATTAAAACTTCAAACCTGACAAAACAATACTCAATATTCTACGCTGGAGGTATTTGACGCCAAAAACGCAATAAATCTTTCGGCATGTTTTGAATTAATTTGCGAGGAGGATCACTCGGTATGGCTACAGGCATTTTACGACAAAAATGCTCAAGAAAATGTTTTGAATTTTTTCGTGGGATTCGAAAGGGAAATTGCTAGCAAATGATATCTATTAGTTATGGTTACCATTCAGTGTTCCGATAAACCTTAGCCGTGTATTCCAATCCGCCAGGATAAGAACAAATCATAGACGACAAAGAAGGGTTTTTTGCGCGCCAGTGTTATAGCATAGCGTATTACTTATAACGTAGCACAAGCTAATCTAGAGGGCAATGAAGAAATGTGTATAACTCGTCTTAGCATAAACCTAGTAAACATCATTCACACAAAACTATTCTCTTATCGATGTATTTAATCAAATTTCACAATCCGTTTAAATCTGTCCAATGATGTTGAAGTTTATGTCATTAGTTCTGCGGATATTACTTTGTGAATAGTCTCTGCCTCGGCCACTGATCTCATCATAGTCCAACAGTTTTCACGATTAATTCTGACCTCGCAATTTAATACTAAGACGACCTTAGTCATGCTTTATAACCTCACGTAACGTGTACGTAAAGACGTCTTATTATTCCTTTGCTGAATTCTTCTTTAGCGAAACATTCACTTATCTTTCTTCTTCTCCTCTTTCTTGACCCTTTTTTCATCTCGTTCAACTTTACTTTTTGCCGCTTCCAAACACGATTTCAGTTCAAAAGCGTGAGCTATATTACCCTAAAAGACGTATTGTACTTTTAATAGAAAACTTATTTTGCAAAGTAACTTTCTCTAGTAAACGACAGTGCTATATATTGATTCATTATTAACACATCAGCTTGCATTCCAACTATGCCATCCATTCCATGTGAAATTACTTTCAAGTGATACAAACCTTTGTGAAATGAAATGGAAAAACTTTCCCATCACGTCCTGTTGATTTGACAGGCCGTCTTTTTACTTCTTTGCCATTTTGGAAGAGGATCAGTGTAGGGAGTTGTTTTGATGCCACAGAATCATCAATATTATACCTGAATCAAATATAGTTTACTAATGGCTGTGCACAAATATTAAAACATCTTAATCTCATTGCCATGTCAAGCTATTCAATCTTTATTGGCTACAGTGAAGTTTCCAGGGCAAGACTGAGGCAGGGATTGCTAGCAATCATTACTATGAACAGCATCTCACAAGCAAATACTGTACTTACTTCTGTGCAACTGCTGGGTATCGACCGAGATCAATTTTACCAAACTTGAGATATTTGCTGTCACACCTGATGAATGAGTTAATATATTACTATGTACGTTAGATATGTATGTTGTTTATTTATTGAACATTATATTTTTTTATTCAATATTTGAAAATTACTCAAGAATCTGGTCTTACTTGAGTGAGACCTCAGCAAATGGTTCTGCTAATCTCTTGCAGGGTGGTGACCAAACAGTGTAGAACTCAATAAGGTAAGTCACTTCAGGATTTTCTCTTAATGCCTCCTATTAAGAAATTAGGAAACAGAGTTTATATCTTTTGTACTGCAAGATTTGGGATGTATTCATCTCATGATCATCAGAACAGGAATTCATTTACAGCCATAAGGGATATAATGTGGAATATATTTAGCTATGGGTGACACAACAAAGAATAATCAAGCAATTTTAATCTGAGGTGAAAACAGTACCTCCAGAGAGACTGCATTGAAAAGTTGAACTAAATCAGGTCCAGTATATAGCGGCTCAGGAACAGCAATGAAAAGAACTAAAAAGTGATTCAATGGTTTATCAGCATGAACTACCAAAAAGCCCAAAAAATCAGGCAATGCAAACTATTCTCACCTGTACAAAATACTGCATAGACAATGAAAAGTCGCCAGTCGGATCTTAGGAATAAAATTAAATTGACTGCTTTAAAAAATCCACAAGCCATTCCAAAGACATCTTTGTTTACATCTATCGAAATAAATTTAAAAACGTACTTAAAAAATTGGGAGCAGAGATAACACAGCTGGTCTTCTTTATATTACCTTAATGAAGTACTGTAGTACATAACATACCCTTTTTCCATTTTGAATTCTTGAATGCTAAGACAACTCCAACAAAAACTAGTACTTCACAATCAGACTAGAAAGTTGAGAAAGAGAATTAGAGTGGAGAGATAAATGTAGAATACAACTTCTGTAAGGATAACGATATTTAGTATTGCAAAATCTACTATATATTACTAGTCAAAAGCATAACTATTAAAACATATTTGTCAATTCTGCATACTGTCATTACTGTGCAGTACATTTAAAATTTACTGTTCTTATGTTAAAACAATTGAATGCACAACCGAAATCAATAGCAATAGCGTAGAATTGGAGTCTGACAAAACTTACCAAACTTAATTCACATCTTTCGCCCTCTTTAAAGAACCATTCACATATTGGATGTAAGGTCTTTAATACGACATAAGATATAGACGCAAGAACGTTTAAAATATAATAACCAGTGAAGAATGGAAAAACGGCCGCTACTAAACTCATTCTTTAATTTCTTTTCGTAAAAATGAACTCAAAATAAAATAATTTAAAACTTTTGACACGATGTTCAATATTTTATACTTCTACTGCTGCCATATTTGGCGAACTGACATATCGGGACTACATGAAGTGATTATTCTAAATCAGCGCTGGCTCAGATTTTAAACTTAATTCCTCCCTTAATCCTATCAAAATTCTAATCCCAACTCTTAATCTACACTTTTACAACCCCGTTCAACATTTCATTTAATCAAAAACCTTGCATTGAAGCATCTCCTTTGTATATCAGTTTGTACCAGTCGTTGCAAGACGTAAGAAATAAATTTCTTTTTACTACTATTGCCAGTGTTAATGTAATCCAATCGTTACTTAATCGTTAATAGTAAAATCTGCAATTCCTAAACTCAAATTCCTGATTTATATTTTTTGGGTTTGCTGTGGTAACCGAAGTGACAATATACAAATACAACGCCAAACAACAACAGTCAGAAATGGCCAGAATGATTTCTAAAAACCAACAGTTTTTTATCGTATCAGACTGGGAAACGGATCAAAAACCTAATGCTAACACAAATTGTTCAAAAAAGAAAGATAAGGACGGAAATAAATTGGATTTTGTCAGGGTTTTACCCGACGAAGTATGCCTGAAAATCTTTAGCTTTTTGGATGTGAAGAGTTTGTGTCGATCGCAACAAACTTGCTGGAAATGGCACGGATTTATCGAAGGTTGTCCGTCGCTGTGGAGAGTGCAATATAATATTTATAACAGTTTAGTTCCGTCTCTACCTTGCAAGAGAAGAAAATTAGCTTGCAATTGGAAAAGGAAATTGAAGAATGCCTATCTTAACGCCGATATACACGATGCGATTAGACACATATACTGGCGTAATAGGCGTATGTATATGGCGCTTTTTTAGGTTCAAAATACGAAGATTTAAATTCAACGAATGTGTAAGAATTAGTCGATAACAATAATTCGGTAAACACTGGATTTGTTGAAAATTATCGCATGTATAGATACAAAAGAGTGAATTTGTTGATTGAACGAATTCCTCGATAATGCTTTGCGAGCTTGAATTTTTGAGCCCGCATGTGTTAATGAACCGTAATGTAAAACGTCATCTTATAATCTTGACAAAAATACCAATTCAAAATGGCGGCAGAAAATACTGTTAATTTGTATTTATCGAGATTACGACTGTCACTTATTGATCTTGGCAGGAGATTGCAGTCCAGTCCAGGTGACGACACTGTAGAATTTGTTGTGTTTCGTTTGGAGCAAATATGTGGTCATTTGACTCGGATGGGAGATAGATTCCACGTTATCGTCCAAGCTATCACAGAAGTTATATCACTTCTCCAAAACTTAAGATTAGACCACAACAGAGTAGCTATTCCCAACATTCTAGAACAGACTAGAACGAACTCCGTCGGAAGACCAAAGTTTAATATAACTCAAGAACAACTGGTCTATTTACTTGAGTATGATATATTATACCATGCACGATATATTTTTTGCTCATCTGGAGTGTGAAATTGTGACTGGTCACACACGTCACAACGTCACACGTCCGCGCTACAAAGAAAAGCCAGTTCAGTATATAATATGCTGCAGGGAACGCACACGACCACATTAGCATTCGTTCACACAAGGTCACAGATGGTCATATCCAGCCACACACGATCACACAAGATCACACATGGTCACACATAGTCACACTCGAATCACACATGGTCACACATAGTCACACTCAATCACACATAGTCACAGATGGTCACACATAGTCACACATGGTCACACATAGTCACACTCGATCACACATAGTCACAGATGGTCACACATGGTCACACATAGTCACACATCACATGGTCACACATAGTCACACTCGATCACACATAGTCACAGGTGGTCACACATGGTCACACATAGTCACACATGGTCACACACAGTCACACACGGTCACACATAATCACACATGGTCACAGCCGGTCACACATAGTCACACATGGTCACACTCGATCACACATAGTCACAGATGATCACACATGGTCACACATAGTCACACATGGTCACACATAGTCACACACAATCACACATGGTCACACATAGTCAGATACGGTCACACACACATAAAAAGCTCTGAACGCGTTACAATACATAATTTGTAATGGAAGGCTTGCAGGCGAGAAAAGTTGTAGTTGAATAACCTGAAAAAACAGCAAAATTTTTGTCTTCATTTGTTCCTGTATGTTAATACAAACTTGTCTCTCAGAGAAAAATAGATTTTCATGTTTCATGTTTCATGCAGTCATGTTTCGAGCACTGGAACGCATAACATGCGACTGTCTACCAATTCTACTTGTAGATGCTGGTGGGCGGTAACCAAATAGACGACGATGCTCCAACAATGCTGTATATGATGTTGTGGTTGGAGTTGGTGGCACATTTGTGGTAGTTGTTATAACCGGGGTAAATGTACTTGATGAAGAAGGCTCCGCAGGAACGACCGGTGCTGGCGTTGAACTTTGTGTTGAATTTGCAGAGGGCGCTGAAACGATGCTGTTAGCGGCGGATAGAAGTTTTTCTGCACAATCTCTTAAAATATTTTCCATTACGGCTGCTATTTCCTCTGTTATTTAACACAGTATAAATTATTTGCATAAAAACGCGCGAAGAAACAGAATTCAAGAACTTCATGTAACTTCACGCATATTGAATAGCACGTGGGCGCAAGGTCGCAAAGCATTATCGAGGAATTCGTAAAATCAACGAATTCACTGCGATAATTTTCAACAAATCCAGTGTTTACCGAATTATTGTTATCGACTAATTCTTACACATTCGTTGAATTTAAATCTTCGTATTTTGAACCTAAAAAAGCGCCATATATGTATTCCGTATTCGAATAAATGCGTGTAAAGATGTCACCACTGAGCTATATAATAATTCCTGGAGGACCGGCTCGTCATTTTTCAGTAACTTCGCCGCCATCTTTTTGAAGCCACCAACATGGCGGATTTCGCCCTTCTGCGCAACCGCAGAAGCTTTGCTGACGCCACTTGGCTCCTTTTGACCATGGTATTTACCACTGACCAGGCTCAATTCTGAGCCCGCTACAGCAGTATTCTCCCCCCTGGTTTTTGTAAATAACAATTCTCCCCCCTGGTTTTTATAATTTTTTTTGCCGTGAAATCTTTTTTGTTTTTGAAATGTTTTTCGGTTGTTTTTTTTATATTTTTCGCACTGACATACAATAAAGTTTTATTTTAAGATGAATACAAGTCATACACGCTATTTTTTAGCCAGCGCGGAAACAAATATATTAAAATATGGAAAAATGTGGACAAACTAAAGATTTAAATACTGACACGAACGACAGGTTTCTTATTTCATTTCGTAATAATATTTTGTTATTTATACATTCCAATATGAGAGTTTACAAATGTTTGAATGTTTGGCACTATCCTCGCATATTTTGAAGACAACTAGGAATTTAGGCAACAATTTGACTTTTCTAAATCCTGAACTGATGAATTGCAGGAAGTATGTAATCAGTATTCAGTATGTGATGTTGTCTTCAAGACTTATATTTAGCACAATACAAAATCCAAAGAAACAGAGGCAAAGCTCAGGCAAAGGCTGGGCAGCTGACTAAACTAGTGCAGCAATATAGTTTCAACCAAGAATCATATTTGCATAATATACTTTCATTCAAGTCATCAACTTGTACCCTAATAAACCTTAATAACAGGCTTAAAAGTTTCAGCATTCTCTAATGCATCCCTGGACCCTTGGTTATAGTAAAGAATAACATTTATCCCTCAAGGCTCCACGATTAGCCTAAGAATATAACCCCTTTGGAGGTTGATACCATAACAGAAAATGAAGTGCTGCAGATTAAAGACACACTGCTCAGTCAATGCATGTATATTTATTTCATTAATAATAAATTGACAAATGGTATAAAAACACCAAGACAACAACAAAATCAGATAACATGGAAAGAAGAATAACAATTAATGCACAGTCATAAAATGCATGAACTTCATCCTGAAAAATAAAAATGGAGATATGATCAAGATTATTCACAAGGTGCAAGAAGCTAAAAAATAAATTAAGAGCTGTGATAATTGATCATTTCACTTGGATTTGACAAGGTAAACAAGATAATATATTAACTAGGCTTTAACAGGGCTCACTACAAGGTTGGAATTTACACTGTTTACAGCAACTTATTATTTGTATCAGCACCCTCAGATCATGTTAATGATGTGGGTGGGATCTATAGAAGAGTGATTAGTAGACTCACTGGGGAAGGGTTACCTATTAGCATTGAGTTGCTATCAGAAAACAACATAGACCAAACCAAAAGATGACACTGCCAGGAATTTTAACTTTCCCCGACACAATTAAGAAAAAATGATAAAATTTGGGTATATAAAAATGATAAAATTTGGGTATATATTGCATTGACAGCACTGTAATGTACCAAAGGCTGTTTGTACCACACGTTTTCATGGATTTATTGTCTCAGAGGCTTTGGTAATCGGTTTATACTATAGTCCAAACTCGAAGGCCAAAAACGAAATTGTTTATAGTAAAAAAAGTTGAAAAACGGCTTACCTGGATTTTATAAAATAAGGGCAAAATGAGAAAATTCACTCTACCGATAAGTGAATTAAGCCATTCACAACGTCAGACGCAGAGCACGAAGCTACGTGTCCTTTCCATTTGTTGAACAGGGAAAAAGAGAAACGCTTTTATCCATTTTATATGAAAAACAAAAAAATATATACGGAAAGCTGAAAATAAAAATCGGGAGGGTGATGGACACAGTTTTTCACCTTGTATCGCGGTATGTCAGTGGTAACTACCATGAGCAAAAGGAACCAAGTGGCGTCAAGTGGCGTCAGCAAAGCTCAAAATCCGCCATCTTAGGGCCTGTTTATATGATCCCGTTTAGCCGGGACGGGATGTTTTCATCCCGCTTAGCCGGGAAACTCGCCTAGGCGGGATGGCGTGTTTATATGGAGCTCATTTTGTAGTGCAGGTTCCTTCGACGGCATGTTTTATTGTAGAAAACGAATATGCCAATATATACACATGCTCCTAATGTATGTTAATCGCGAATCATCCCGGCCAAGCGGGATGGAGTGTTTATATGGCAATTTCTCGTCCCGTCTAAGCGGGATCCCGGCAAGAAGTGCCGGGATCCCGCCTAGGCGGGATGGAAAAGTGGTCATGTAAACACTAATTAGTGTTTGTATTACAAGCGGGATCTCGGAAACTGTCCCGTCCCGGCTAGGGCGGGATCATATAAACAGGCCCTTAGTGGCTTCACTTTTTTGACAGGAGCCGGTCCTCCAGGAATTATTATATAGCTCAGTGGATGTCACATTTTAAATTTCGTTATAAACTGATGAACAGACAGAGTGACGTTACCAATATTTTTCATACGTCAGGATAAGAATCGTATACGACTAATCGCATCGTGTAGATCGGCCTTTTTAGATCAGTCGTAAGATTAATAAATTTCTTTTTACTACTTCTATTTGACAATTGCCAGTGTTAATGTAATCCAATCGTTAAAATCTGCAATTCCTAAACTCAAATTCCTGATTTATATTTCTTGGGTTTGCTGTGGTAACCGAAGGAAGTTCATTCAATTCCTGCATGAGCCAATCAGAACGCCGTTGCCATAGCAATTGTCGCATTTCTGTAGCACTTTAATCAATTTACACTGTTGCAAAAGATAAACAATACGCTATAGAATTTACTACAAATACTACGCCAAACAACAACAGTCAGAAATGGCCAGAATGATTTCTATAAACCAACAGTTTTTTATCGTATCAGACTGGGAAACGGATCAAAAACCTAATGCTAAAACAAAGTCTTCAAAAAAGAAAGATAATGACGGAAATAGATTGGATTTTGTCAGGGTTTTACCCGACGAAGTGTGCCTGAAAATCTTTAGCTTTTTGGATGTGAAGAGTTTGTGTCGATCGCTACAAACTTGCTGGAAATGGCACGGATTTATCGAAGGTTGTGGGTCGCTGTGGAGAGTGCAATATAATATTTATAACAGTTTAGTTCCGTCTCTACCTTGCAAGAAAAGAAAATTAGCTTGCTATTGGAAAACGGAATTGAAGAATGTCTATCTTACGGAAAAGCTCACGCGAAAGTGGCTTGCTGGTGAATTCAGTGCTCCTAAATCCTACGATGAACTGCCTGGAAATCATATTCAAGAATTACCCGCTGAGGTTTGGGGGGCGATTCTGGAGAACGAACTGTGTAGGAAAAAACCTCGAGCGATTAGAACTCATTGAAAACAAGATATGCTTAACGCCACGTCGCCACGTGGGTCAGGGTTTTAAATCACAATTGAAAGAGATTCAAATTACTATTTATCAAAGAAACCACAATGAATTATTTGAATTTACGGTATAAAATATCCTAGATAGGGCAATATTTTTAGATCTCAAAATTGACTGCTGTGTGCGAGATTTTACCAGTAATTGAATAGATTATCAACAGTCAATTCAAAATCTTTTATCATAAGAATTTTATATACAAGGATTGAAACAGAGGCTTATGATGGTAATAGTTAAATAGTTCAAGTAAGATAGAAGGTCTCTGTAACCTTAAAATACATGTTGGTAAAATTGGTATTTGCTAAAAATTTCAGTTGGTTATCAGCTTATGCGGATATATAGAGATTGTGTATACCTGACATTGTGCTGATTATATTAATATGTTGTTTAAATACTATCTCTGCTGTTTAAAACATGCTAATGTACAAATGCTAGCTAAGGGCATTGTAATGATGGAGTTACCTTCCTTCTAATCTGTACATCCACAAAGAAAATCTATCAGAGGATTGCAGTCATGTTATCTCCTTCCAAAGTACTTGTTGGCCAGAGCATTTTTATCCAAACTTCTCAAAGCACATTCCAATACTTCACTTGTGGCTTGAGTTGAATTAGATTCCTTCCATTCATGTAAAACTTGAAAACATTTTTCAGAAAGGCTGCCATTGTTCACATTGTCTCTGCTGATTTCCTCAATTTTTTCATGTTTGACTTCCAACCGTCTTCCCAGCTTTTTATAGAAACCAGAACACTCTTGGGATAATTTATCGAGCATTTCATCACTAGGTGACTTCGCCTCATCTCCTATGCTTGGCCCTTTGGAAACTTCAACATCATTCTTGTTGTTTTCTACACAAATCCTTTTGGAAAAGTTTTCTGTCGAAAGAAACATTTTTATGTAGTTCAGAAACAAAAGGATTTTTAATAATTTTTTTCCAAGAAAAAACTCAACATTACCATCCATCTCTTTAGGTGCATTTCTTGTTACAAAACTGTGATCTCTCTTATTCAAAGTATTCACACCTAAAAATGACAAGCATTTTTGGATTGGTTTTTTTAAACAAACTACAATCATTTGATAAAAAGAGGACTTAAATATAGTAGCATATTGTGTATACTTACTGTAAAAATGATTAAAATTCTTCCCAACATGGAGATCATTTATAATTGCACTAAATAGTATTCCTTTGTTGTAACCATCTTCCACATTTCCAGTTCGATGGACAGCCATTAGTTGAAGCCTCCACAGGACAGGTGACCCAGAAGAGCCATCGTCGGTATCTGCTTTATAGTAAACATATGGGTCCTGAATTCCAATGATTTTCTCATAACTAAACTGCTTGGGTCCACCCCTTGGATGTTGAAAAATGAATATATCCTCCCCGGCTGCAGCCTGTGGTTGCTCTGTGAATTCAATTGGAAATACTCTAGGATTAAGACGATTAATTTCTTCTTCATCCACGCCAATTACTGAATAATCCAGGTCCTATGAAAATATTCATTAGTTTAGCCATTGAAAAATAACACCAAGAATACCTAACATGTTAACACAACTTACCAAATTTGTTTCAAATAGTTTGTCTGGCCTCAATCGAACCGCTATTCCTTGGTTCTCTTGTTCAAAGTGAAAAAGAGCAACAGCAACTGCGGCATCCGCCTCACAGCTGATCACATGGTGGTTTGTCACAATGCAACGATACTCACAACCAAAGATTTTTGCTTTTGCATAAAATCCCGAACCACATCTGCAAAATAGATTACCATTGTATTCACAAGCAACATTTCCACTCACTCACGGGCATAATCAGGTGTTTAAGGTCAATAATGTTACCTGTGCTGACTACATTAGAGACAATAGATAATAAAATTCCTCATTATATATTGTTTAAAATATATTCAGTATAAAAAAAAATCAAAACATTTATGTCATTTAACTTACTTTTTTAAATGTCTACCCGACAACTTTTTTTGAAAGCGCAACATACACACGGCATTTTTGGATTTAGTCAACTGTTCTGCACTCATCAAACCATCTCCTTCGTACAATAACACCTCGTTCTTCTCCCCAACTTTTTCGTCTGTTTTCAAACGTCTTTCAAAAGCCATGTTTAATATAAAATCTTCGTAGAAGAACTTGAATCAAAGCCCGCCATGAAAATCACACATTGAGCCATTGGCAAAGCCATTGGCTGTTTTTCGGACTCCCGCAATTTCCACGCAGTGTCCCGCGTATCGTATTGTTCTTCAAAGTCAACCTCGTTCTTCTCACGCAGAAGGTCGAGCGCAAAATCTGCGCTCTGGTGCAACGACCGGGAGAGAAATCTGCGTGGAAAAAGACTGCATCCAGCGGGTATTTCCTCGCGCGATGCACCACGTCAACATTCAAAATTCGAAGGTCAAATTTTCTCTAAATTTTGGTGAAAAAGGACAGTTTGAATTTTGAATTTTATGAAAAATGGGAGCAGGATCGTCTGTGGAAGAGATACCGGGAGGAGGAACAGAAGGCTATCATGTTTTGCGAGTAAGTAAATTGTTTATTGCCTTGTTTGTATCCATATAGTTTCCACACGAGTGCCTTTGTTGTGTTCTTGTAAACAAGTGTAATATTTGTAGTGGTTTAAATGGATGTTTCGCTAGGTTTCTTTAATTCTGTAAACTTTCTTTATTTCGTAGGTGCAGGATAACTCCCCAGGGTACAAGGCTGGCTTGGAGCCATTCTTTGATTTTATTGTGGCGATTGAAAACACAAGATTGGTAAATGCAATATTTATAATTGATAATTCTAATGATTTGAAATAAATTATATTAGACACGCAATGTCTGAAATTAATTCATACATGCTTAATTCCACTCTAACCATCCATATTCTAACTTCAAAACCTTCTTGTACAATTTCAATTGTACATAATTGTACATGGTACCTCTCAGTCTGGTCTGCAAACCTGTGAAACTTGTATTTGCATTCCAGTATATATGGGGTAAAGGGTCATTTTAACCATGATTACCTACTTCTTTAAATTCATTTAGGACCAGGATAATGAAAGTCTAAAAGAAATACTCAAAGCCAATGCAGAGAAACCTGTTAAGATGATAGTTTACAGTAGCAAGACTTGCAAAGTTAGAGGTAATGATTGGTCTCTGAAATATACAAATGCAACCACAGCCAAAATGTCATATCTTGTATTTCATTTCTTCATATCAGAGGCAAGTATTACTCCCAGTAATCTATGGGGAGGTCAAGGGCTGCTTGGTGAGTATTTAAAACATGACTTTTTGTAACTTACTTGGAATTTTACTGAACATGGTACCCAATTACTTTCCAGGTGTAAGCATCAGGTTTTGTTCATTTGAAGGAGCAAATGAGAATGTATGGCATGTACTGGTAAGTGTTGATGGTTTTGTAATGGTAATTAACTGTGTGTGATATTATATAATTTATTAATTATAATATGTTTGAATGAATCCTGCAAATTAAACTTCTTCTCTAGGAAATTCAGCCCAACTCTCCTGCAGACATTGCAGGCTTTAGACCATTCACAGATTACATAATTGGAGCGGACTCTGTACTGCACGAGGTCAGACATCAATTATTTCAAATGTGATATTCCGTTAAAGAAGGACAAAATGGTGCTAGCTGTACAATATTCATACTTTGTTTTCAGACTGAAGACTTGTTTGCTCTGATTGAGAGTCATGAGGGTAAACCTCTGAAGCTTTATGTTTACAATTCGGAGACAGATGGATGTAGGGAGGTAAAGTAATGTTCATTGTGTGTGCGACATACAAACTTTAATCAAAACAGCTGAAGAATTGCTCATTCAATCCCTGCTTACTGAATCATAATCATGTTCAATTTTAACATGAATTTCGTTTCAGGTTACGTTAACTCCTAACAGAGCCTGGGGGGGTGAGGGAAGGTAATGAAAAATTGTGTGCTAATGTAATTTGCTGTTGATATATATGCTAAACTCTAAGTCTTGCTTTCCTTTATCTCAGCATTGGCTGTGGTATTGGCTATGGATACCTGCACAGAATACCTCTAAGAGATGAAGCAAACAGGCCCAAAGATGTCCCTGTTATTACCCCAGCATCCGCATCAGATGGCTTCTCAGAGGTATACATCTTTGAATAGTCAAGCCAGTACAACACTAATCAAATTATCAAAGTAAATGTACTAAACCTTGCATCATTTCAGGTTCCTCTTATGGCACCAACAACAGTTTCAGCAACAGCACCAGCACAAACAAATGGTACAGTCTAATAATTGTAAACACATTTTGTGGTATATTGCACTCAGGTTTTGTGGCATAATCATTGTTGGTATTTTCAAAACATGTGTCTACAGTCTGTGGTGAAAATACAGCATTTGAATTGAAGTGTAACACAAGCTCACCTGTATTTTCAAAGTTGTTCAAACAACCATCTGTTGAATTCAGCAACTGAACGTTGCTACTTCAAGTGTGCCCGTGAAAGTTGTTATTAAACTGTTTCTTTATTGCAGGTCTTGATATTGGTATGGTGAACCTGAACCTCTCTGATCCTACGATCATTCCTGGTCAAGTTAATCCATTTGCTGCAGCACCAACACAACAGCCTGGAGTAAGTCAGGCCAATCCTCTGATCGCTGGTATGCCTACCATGACTTCACCAAGCTCTTCTGTACAGCAACCATTACCATACAGCCCACATAAACGGTAGAGAACGATTTTACTCCTGGAATAAGATACACACTTTAAATCCTGTTCCAAGATCTTGAAATCACGATCTGCAATTGTGTATATTTATACAAACCTCCTTACCCAGAATAACACGAAGTATTTCACTTTTCTTTCAGGGAGATGACGAATTCCCCTGGTTTAGTAAACGAACAAGTAAACACCACTTCTCTGACCCCACAACTTGACCCAGGTACAGTTTCACCTGCACCCGCCGTCCTTTTAAACCCCTCGTTTAACCCCTCCGAACAACCCTCGCTTCTAGCAGCTGGAGGACCCACCGTGACCGCCACCCCCTCACCTTTACTCACTGACATAACTGCGGGTGCTATACCCTCAACTGCGAGTGTCGCCCTACCATCTGCGGGCGTTCCTACTCAAGCTAACGTGGAAATTCCGCTGAACACGAGCTGAATATAGTTGAATATATGAGGATATGAACATTTAACATACGATAATATACTATTATAACATCATATTATTATATAATATTACTCATTTATACATGAACACAGTTCAAAATAAAAATTACATTTACAAAGCAAAATCGTGTTTATTTTTTTCGCGTTCTCAATACTAGTGAAAATTGATGAGAAATGACAAGTTACGTGAATTTGCATAGGAATTCTGCTTGATCTCATTCACTCTCTTATGCTCCCGTCAAACGAGAACAAGAGCTGCATACGAATTAAGCAATTAAGTTTAATAGATACGCTGCTGTGCATAAAAGCTATTGCAAAGTCAACGAGTATTAAATATGAAACACAAGCGAGTGTTTCACTGACCCCATGAATGTATCTGAATAAATCTTGTTTCAGTTTTGTCGCGGGCTTTACTCTTTAGTGTGTATTTGTGGATATTAACTGTATTATTCGAAAATATGTCACGCCATATAAAAATGAAAAAAAAAGATTCTTTAATACAATGCATCTCAACTCGTCCTTATATACAGAAAAAAATTTCAAAAACATTCATTCTCAAAATGATAGTTTGCGAGAGATCGAGTCCTATCATTATAATCGCGCTGTTTGAGTCCTCCCTATTTTGGGTCTGATAAATATTAAAGCTAATATCAATATTTTTTTCAAAGGCTTTGGCCTTTGGTAAATCCCTGTTTTTACTCAAATTCATGCCAACCAGAAGCTGTCAGGAAGTAGATACTGAATACAATAGACCCAGATAATCATTATGTGTTCAGGAGCTGAAGGAAGGAACTTTGATCGGCTTCAAGCTTTCAATATGACAAGTCTTATAATTGATGGTAAATCTCTAGCTGTTCTTACTCAAATTAATACCAACCAGAACATATCAGGAGGTGCATGTAAACAGGATACAATAGACCCAGACATCATGTGTTCAGGAGCTGAAGGAAGAACATTGACAAGTCTTATAATTGGTGGTAAATCCCTAGCTGTTTTTACTCAAATTCATATCAGGAGGTGCATGTAAACATGATACAATAGACCCAGACAATCATTTAGTGTTCAGAAGCTGAAGGAAGGACATTCATAAGACAAAATGATGTTCACCATAGTTTTACTGAAAATCTTTATTTTCTCTGTCTGTTTGGCTTCTGGTCTGTCAAAAAGCAAAAAGGTACAATACTAAGTTGTTACAACTTACAAGATAACTATCATGCGTCTAATTATTCTATATCAAAGGAATAGTCTTTCCGTAACAAAAATTATCATAATAATGTTATGACACCTAATTTGTAATTTTTCTACTTTTGTACACAAAGCACAAAGTTTTCTTAGTCAAATTTTATATCAAATAATTTTCCTGCAGCTATATTGCACAGTGTGATTTTATCATGCATTACAATACGCGTCATAGTGGGCCGTCAATGACCTCTCTTCTGAAGGCTTGCATTCTATGTTCGGAATTGCTCGGAATAAGAGAACAATATAAAATAAGCGCTAAAGTCGCTAAAAGATTGTGGCTGATTTACATCAGAGGCTTTGTGTCCGTAAAGGTACAATTATTCATGATCCTGTACGTAAGTTTACCTATGTTATTACTTCCTTCAGCAATAGTAAGTGCCTGACCAAATATGACTTAAAACAAATCATACGAGATTCTTAGGTACGTCATTGACCTTAAAATGACAATTGATTTTCTATTTCTCATTCCTTACGCAAAATACCGCAGTCTATAAAGACTTGTATGGTAAATTCTCTCCACAATTTTGTTTCAGAGATTTTCGAGATGCAACGTAGGCCAAAATCTCAACCACACGGACAGAACTGGACAACTGAAATTGTTGATTTGCACAGAAAAGATCAAAGGCGTCCCACAATGGAAATTTGTTGACGGTAAAGAAACGAAACTCTTCATAACTAAAGAAAGTACTTAGCACGAGTTAGCCCAGAGCAAATCGTAATATTAAATATCCGTGCAATCCCCACAACCAGCTTTTCAACTTTCCTGTTTAAACCTTATGTCATGGCTTTTGAGTTTATACCCCTTTAAATGCAGATTTATTAATAATTCTCTTTCGCGAAATGTAAAGCTAGATTCTTTTAACTCCGATAACAGGCTCTTCAACGTTCGGTGAAATATTCAACCCAGCTCAGGACTGTTCTAGCATCGTTGAAAAATTATCTCAGGCAAAAGATGGATTTTATTGGATTTTTCTACCTAACGGAACAATCCACAAGGTACGTGAAGATAAGACTGATAAGTAACCTGCTTGCTGCTTTATCCTGGCTCGTATTCCTGCCAAACCCTTTTGTGAGTGAGGAAAACCTTTACCACACGAAGTAACTAAGGGGCACATAGAATTATCATTCATACAGAATCAGAAATCATAATCGTTAGGCAATCCGCGCATGTGCAATTTGTCCTTTATAACACAGGTGTGGTGTGATGTTCATACCGATGGTGGGGGGTTTGCGTTAGTTGGAATGAAAGATAATCCTGTATCCTGGACTGTACCATCAAACTCTCTTCCCGTCGACCCACAAGGACCTCCACATTGGTCCAGTGATCTCGGTGATGTAAAAGTCCTGGACTTTCGAGTTCAGTTTTCAGCTGACAACAGTTTTGAAAACACGAAGGCAGACTGGTAAGAAAGCTAAACTCGAGAAATATTTTCAAAATGAAATATCTAAAAAGTGGTGTCTTTCCTAGGTTTTATCGCCTTAAACCCCGAAGAATGTTTGGGAATCTTTTTTCTAATGTGAACAACGGATGTCCCTATCTGCAAGGTGGAATTGGAAACATCAAGTTTGTCAAAGATCTGCTGAACCAATCCGTTCTTACTAACAACTTTACGTGTTCAAAGTTTGGGCCGCACACGCATAATAAATTGGGATGGGTATACTGTCTGCTTATGTAATTTGAAACAAACTTCATTTACCATTCCTATGAACCGGCGCTGGAAAAATTGTCATAAAAAATCCAGTTAATGGATCCTGTCAAAGCTTTGCGCAAACACCTTCATTCTTACTTTAGGGCAAGATGAATTACTGTCTTCGACATAAGTGCAAAGATGGTTACGCGATATTGAATACATTTATTAAATTTAAATACGACAATTTTGGTGGCTACAGGTATTGGACTACGAGCTTTTGTTTAAAACCAATCATAAACCAATGAAACATGTAATTCAACTATTTAATTCGAAAGCGAGAATCATAATAGTTTAATTTAACGTTTTTAATATTCTTCAGCTACAGTGCCGTTTCTTCATTTTCCGGATTGGATCATCAATCCACCGCTTTTGTTGGTTGTGATCGTGGCAAGGTAATTGTTTTCTAGAGAGGAATATATCACTCTTTAGCAATATTTTCGTAGCAACTCCGAGTTCTAATTTCGTTTATTTATATTCTAGTATCTCTTTTGTAGTGCTGTGCGTGTTTTGGTCCCAAAGGTGGAAGACAAAACTACTGTGGTCCTGCTTGTACAGCAGTGAATGGTGGCACAGTGATGAAGAAAGCTTTCGTTTGGTTTTGGGTGCGAACTAGAGTGCCTGAACGTTTGTGGAAGAGATGTATGGAGTATGTAGTGAAAAATGCCACAGGACACCCTGAGAAACATTTTATTGATCCAGTAACAGGGACTCCACAAAAGGTGGGATAATTTTGAGTCATTTTAACTCCAACAACCTGGATAGCACCAACAACAAATACAACATAACGTTCACAACCATCCACAATATTAGCAATAGCAAGAACGAAATCTCATTATCTTTGGTATTCAACTCTATAGCATTTTAATAAACTTTAGGGTTCCTGCTCAGGAAGTGTTAAATCATCTCTAAACGAAGGTGTAAGTAAATATTTCATTACTCTATGTTTTCATTACACACCAGTCTCTCCGCCATTACACTTATCTTGCAAATACATGCAGTCTGCCATTTGATGCAAAGTATTTCTGAGCATGTGTCACAAAAGAAGACGTTTCTTTACTTCAGACATTAACGGTGTCTGACAAGGAAAGCTTGAAGAAGATTCCAGATGTTCCAGGTCTGGTTTCGTATCGAAAAGATGATAAACAACTTTACTTCAATCAAGGGTCAAACTGGCAAGCATTGAGCACTGAAAAAGAGGTAGGTATGACCTACGAGTACCTGTAGTAATATTGTTATAAAGAAGTAGTAACATTGTCAACAATTGTCAGTAAATAATGAATTTGGCAGTTACTTTGACTGAAAAGTCTTCATGCTAAACGGAATGTCATCCCGCGACTATGAGATGCCTAATTGATAGGTTCGTTTGTGCACCATGTTGGGTGCAACCATGCAAGCCAGGATCTCCCTGGTAGCGAGTTTATGTTCGGCGTTGTTGGATGAAGATGAGTTTGGGTTTGGTAAAAGTTTTTAATTCAAAATAATGCAACGCCATCTATGCAGTACTGCTGGACCGTTAAAGTGTATCTTATCCTGAGTCGAAATCATCACGGCAGATACATGTTAGCATTCCATGTTTTTTTTAAGTTTCAAGGACTGAAAAAACAAATGGAAAGAATGAAAAATATGATTGATAAGCTGAAAAAGCAAGATAAAGGTAAACAATCGAATGATCAATAAATAAACCATTGTCATGAAGTATATCAAACAACCATTAAACGACAAAAAACTGTTATGCTTTCAGCTATTATGAGTCGCGTTGACGAGTTTCATCCACCGTCTTGCTCAGCTTTGTTGAAACAACGTCCGTCAACTTCCAGTGGAAGATATTATATAAATCCTCAAGGACTAAATCCATTGGTTCAAGTGTACTGCGATATGACGTCAAAGAATGGTGTTGGTGTGACAGAGATTGGACATGACAGTGAATCAAAAACATTTGTGAACGGATATGAACCAGCTGGTTCCTACAGGCGAAAGATTAAATATGATATTGCCATGGAACAGATTGTCGATATTATCAAACAGTCTAAAAATTGTGAGCAGTTTATAAAATACGAATGTCATGCTAGCAAGTTGTTGGCATTTGATGGTTGGTGGGTGTCACGTCAAGGTTCAAAGATGAATTACTGGGGTGGAGCGGCAGTCAACAGTGGAAAATGTGCCTGTGGAATGACCAACAGCTGTGCAGGTGGAAGAAAATGTAATTGTGACATCAATGACGAAACATTGCGCGAAGACAGTGGATACCTGACAGACAAGAACACACTTCCTGTTACTGAACTGAGATTTGGAGATACTGGACACAGCGTGGAGTATGGGTACTATACCCTGGGGAAATTGCGCTGTTGGGGTTAGAATGGATATGCCATTTTTATGCTAGTTCATAAACTTAAACGTGTATACACAAGCTTGCGTACATAAACAATAGATTAGAATAGTTTAAGATATAACTTAAATATGAGTCGAAAACCGAACAATTCTCAAAATTAGTAATATGTTTAAACATCAGTAGAGAGCATTTCGTAAATATGCCTTAAAAAATCGTCTTTGTATCGTCTAAGCATGTCGTAGAATAAAAACCAAGTGTGTGGTTAATTTTAGACAATTTTGTCGCGAATACTAGCTTTTAGCTCAAGTGGTATAAGCACACGAAGTCTAAAAAAAACACGGTTAAATTCTCCCTACCTTATTCTCTACGCATTCTGTCTTTACGAAGATCGTCTAACTCGGTCCAGTTTCTTTTCGCATGTTTTGCCAGATACGAATTCTTCATTTTATTCAAAGTGAATAACTCTTGCTTGTGTTTTCGTCGAATTCTCAAACAAAGACGTTCCAGTTTACCAGTGAGCTGCTTGACCTCACGGTCAGTGTCTTCGCACAACTCTCTCATTTCATGGAGAGGCCCGACTAATATAATAAAGAACATAAACGCATTGGTTTGATGAGGGGAGTGTGGTGTTTATAGGAGACCCACAACTCCATTCCTCGGGTCAAATATCTTCTATAGTACAATGGCTCTAACAAGAAATACTTTTCTCATCTTCAGTATAAAAAATAAACTTCAATATACCTTTTCTTCTTCTCTTTCGACGACGTTTTACTTCGTAAAGTAAACAAGCGATAGCAAGAACAAGCAGAACCACAATGGAGTATATAATTGATTTATTTGTATGACCTGAAGTAGGATCAATAAGTTTAGTTGAGCGGCTCACGGATTCAGTAACTTTCGGTTCCTGTGAAGCAAATATTGGAGAAACATTAGCGACATCATCCAAGCAATGCATGAGATGAAAAGATGAAAAATGTAATTCTCGTTAAAAGCTCTTCATGAAATGCTCCACTAAAAACCGTGGCTTTTCCAAGTAATTCTGGCTTTTTCTTACAATATCGACAGGGACTCAGGGAGAACAGTGACTATCACCTGGCTATCGATCAAAACAACCTGTGCTGCTCGTAATATCACTTCCAGTTTCTTACAGTCAAGAAGAATCAGTGATATATTCCTACCTCAATGGCTTCCACTACTTTTCGAATTTCTTCATAAACTATTGCACGATTTTGTGAGATAAATTTTTTAAAACATTTTTGTAATTTCATAGCGTCCCCGGCCAAGACAAGACCATATGCTGATTTACGATCAAATATCCTTCGGATACGGAAATATTTGCTGAACAATTCCTTCCTTGCCCCAGCGACGTACGTGTCGACCAAGAGTCCATCCACCTCCTTTTCTCTCAAAGCCGACACCATGTCTTGGACGTTGTTGCAAATCTCTGAAAATTTAGGCAGAGGTGGTTTTGTATTTGTATAATAAATATCATCCAGCCAAGATATGGTTTAGGGACAGTCTTAGCGTAGCGATTGAAACAAAGAGGTATTTATAAATAGGGTGAAACTGAGAGTGGAAATTGATATAATGAGAGAATGTAATTTGTTGACAAGCTCGCAAATCTGACAGATTTTGTTAGCACATATATTGTTCACTCGTCACATGCAATATTTCTGCAAAACTCACTTTTATCAACTTTTGCATTACGACGAATTGCAAAATTGTATTGAGAGGAATTCTGAATGACAGCAATCTAGACGACCAGAAGAACACAGCAGGTTTGTATTTTTGTACAAGACCAGTTTCTATGACATACCAACGAGCTTTTGTGTCGCGTATAGTGCATTCACGTACCTGTTTACCATACAAACTGCGGTCAACCTTCAAAGAATAGGTCGTCAAACTTCCAGCCACTAGACTTGTGAGAATAAGCATGAGAACTTGACCAATCAATGCCCAGACAATAGTGAATATTCTCCCGCAAAACGTTGTAGCACGTCGATCACCGTAGCTGTGAAGAGAGAAAGTTTAGACAAACATGACTGATACTCTGAAAATTATCGTAGAGAATGAAAGAGTTAGTCTAGTTCCTTTCTAGAAAGGAAAGTAATATTGTGAACATCGAACAAGCCTTCTATACTGGAAGTATTTCTTTCGGTCGTTTGATTTAGCCAAAAATATATTGTTAAACTTTGATCTTAGCAGGAGAAAAATATTCATATTTAGGCAAAGTATATCAAGATATTGGAGATGAAGTAATCTCACCCGACAGTAGAGCCTGTGATAAACGCCCACCAGATGCCCTGATAGGTACCAAACAGAAAGCTACGAGGAAAACTCTCTGCTTTTGATCTTAACTCCTAAAGATAAGGAAAGATAAGAATCGCGGGTTTTTTTTGGGGGGGGGAAAAATCAATCTCGGTACAGATTCGACTTACCAAGAGCCATATGATAATCCCCGCCAGTAAAGAGAAGACCAAGTATAATATAGTAATTGGCCAACAGCTGAGTACAAGAGCAAGCAATATATCCGTGCTTGACTTTTTTGGGTCACGATGAACGACGTACGCCTCGCCAGGTGAAAGTATTACTGGTACAAAACCGTACAACGAACCATGCTTTTCCTGGTCGAAGCTACCATACACGGGAAAACTTAAGTCGTTTTCGCCCACCTTCCTGCGCATGTCCTCAATCGACTTCTTCGGGTTATTTCCTGCCCGAAAATCCACATCTGTTGTGTGCGACACACAAGACTGACAACAGGAGCTGATCATGTTGCGTAATACAACAGGGAACACTCCAGTTATATTAAAGTCCTCCGTGACACTGATGTACGGTTTTATATTCCACCAGTTCGTAGAAATGTTCTCGTGGCATCTGCAGGTGTCTGAAATTTAGGGAGGGTTAGTCAGAAATGCTGCCTGCTAACAGGCCATCTTCAGGCGACAAGTTTCGGCAGTGATTACACAGTATCTTGGAAATGAACCGGAAATTAGTCTTTTCCTATGGTTTTGCAGTTTTTATTTTTCGAAAAGGATTAGAAAGAAATCATTATAATTTTACAAATGAATAAGTTGTTTAGTAATACTATGGGTAAAAGAACTAAAAATAACGAGAATATATAGAGTAATATATAAAGGAATATTAATATGTTAAAGAGAAATAAAAAAAATATGAGTTGTTCATGGTCTCAAAAACACGAAAATTGCCGCCATATTGGCTTTCTATGAGCAGTAATCATTCCAGTTTCTATTGAGATCACCGACATGAACTGACCTCCGTAAGCAGGCTTGCTGGACTTCCCTTCCCCTTTCACAGTCTTGGCGGTGATTTTGACCTCATAGCGAGTGAAAGAGGCCAGATTTCGGAACTCAAATTCGTTCACGTGAGGAGCAACTTGCTCCGTTCGTAAATCTCTTTCTATCTTAATCCCAAACCCCTGTTCGACTGCCTTAAACCTCAGAGTATAACCCGTCAGATTGCCGTGTAGATATTCCCAGGGAACCGGGTCCCAAAGCAGTTTCAAGCTGGTTGGAGAAACGTGGTTTTCGAAACGAACGTTTGGCGGTCCACGAGATGGTACTACAACGAAAAAAAATCATTTCTTAATATTATGCTGAGTTAACGATGCAAACGTTTCTTTACTTACAATCTCCAAGAGTCAAGATCTCATCAAAAAAATCATTTCTTAATATTTTGCTAATTTAACGATGCAAATGTTTCTTTACTTACCATCTTCATTAGTCAAGATCTCCAGACTTGTACTGTACGGTCCGACGCCATTAGCATTATACCCAGCGATTACCACAGAATATCTTGCAAACTTCATTAAGTTTTCGAAAGTGTAAATGTCTTTTTCGGGTCCTAAAGTAACAAAGTGCACACGATTTTCATTTCCACCGACGTCTCTCTTGACTCTTGAATTAGGATGTCGACTTGACCCGGTGTAATTTACCCGGTAACCCAGTAATATTCCATTCAGATGCGCCGGCCGTATCGGATACCAACTAATTGTCACTCTCGTGGAAGTCACTGAATCTTCGTAGAAGTAGAGACCGACTGGTGGACCATCTGGCGCTAAATGAAATTATATTATTGTACAAGTTTCATATCCTTTCATTGATTCGATTGACTAAGGTGCCAAAGGTTAGTTAAGGTAAATGCTAACAGAGTGGGTTCTTTGAAATCGAGGAAAGCCATACAGGATTAAAGGTCAAACTGTGGTAAAAACTGAGGTCAGAACTAAATACAATTCCCCTGATTTCCAGGAAACACCACCAAAGAAGATACTATTTTTACATTAAGATCTATCATCCAATATGTTAAACTTTCAACTATATTACAACCAGTATTTCTTCTCACCGGCATCTTCTGTGGTTACATTGTATTCCAGACAATCTGGGATCTTGTAACTCCCAATTGGTCCAGGAAAATATGCCCTTACAGATATGAAATGTGTCACGCTCTCCTCCAGTCCTTTTAGGAGAAAGTACGTGTTGTTCGAACGCGAGTTTTTCACATGGACATCACGTGGAAAACCCCTGCGCTTGATGCGGTGGGAAATATCGTAAGAAGCAAGACCGCCTGGGACTAGGTCGGAATTCAACGGTTTCCACTTGATCTGAACCTCTCTCGCGGTGACATTGGACAGTGAAACATTTGATGGACAAAACTCAGGGGCTTAAGAGAAAAAGTTTGCGATTCAAAGAATATTTTTAATGAGTGAAGTGCTGATTAAATGCTGATTAAATTTACCTCCACGGAGAGTTCGACCTGTGAGTTGCCAGACCCAGGACCCTCGCCTTTGCTTGTCGCGCCTTGAACTCGAAAGAGGTATTCCGTGTCTTTCTTTAATCCAGTGAACGCGAGGTAAATATCCTGAGTGGTCGTATTGTGAAGTAGAGTGTTATTCTGGTAAAGACACACACGATAATAGCGTATCTCTCCCCACGTGTTCATTAGAGCTGACCAATAAACTGTCAGATTGTTGGGAGCCGTGCTGAAGTAAGTCACATTCTCTGGGGCTCTTTTAGGAACTAAAGAAGAATGTTAACATAGAACATTCATTTCACTCAGATGTAGTGACACTTATAGTAGATGTAGTAACTAATGAGTTTTGACCTACCAGTCTCATCCGTCAAGGCGAATACAGGATGACTAAAGTTTCCTTGTCCAAATTCGTTTAACGCAGCAATCTGTACGCTGTAATTACTGTAGATTCTCAGTCCATTCAGTACGACTTGGCGGGAAATGTGAGGAATCGTAAAATTTCGTTGTTCTGCATGACATCCAAGACAACGAGCTTGTATTATGAAGAAGTTAGCTTTACCATTCTTCGATGAGATTGACGACCATTGAACTCTTAGACTCGTAGAGTTGACGGTTTCAACGGAAAGAACTGGAGCAATGGTTGGAACTAAAACAAGATTGAATATTTCTTCCTGCATCATAATTAGAGTACCTTCCTGTAGATCTTTTGAAGGACCTCGCATATCCCTGAGGTACTTACAAAGGACAAAGTAAAAGATCCCAACTTACCATCGTTGATATAGATCGCTGTGGAAACACTTGCCCCCTCACCAACAGTCGTGAATGCTGCCACAGATGTTACATACGTGACAAAACGTGTCAGATTTTTTGGCAAGAGAAATGTATTCGTAAACGGTGAAACAGAAGCTGCAGTGTAGTTTATTTTGGACGCGTTTCTTACTCCATATAATATACGGTATCCTCTGGGTTCACCGCACCATTCATTGTTGTTGTTTAAGGGCGACCATGTTAATTCATAAGTCAATGATGGCAACGATAACGATACATTGATGTGCCTTGGTGGAACACATGGAACTAAAAAAAAGATATTCCTCAATAAATATTTCTCAATATTACAATCTGACAGGGAATGCGGAAGAATCAGAAAACAGCATCTTCTGGCCATATTCTGCAAATTTAGCTAACCTACAGACATATTTGTAAAGTAGGAAGCTTTGTTTTCTCAGCCACAAAATTTCAAACTGGACAAAATAAAGAACCCAGTACAGAGAGAGCTACAAATGCATCGAATCTCAGTGCCGACGTTTTGTAGAATGTGGAAAATCTTTTATCTTACTGTCGCTCAGTGTTCTCGCGTCAACCCATGAACTGAATTCGCTAATGCCACCTTCAGACTCCACGGCGAGGCTCATGGTATAATTGTGGTATTTCTTTAACCCATTTGTGTAATAAAAGAATGTTTTCTGATTAAAAAATGATTTGAAACGTTGTGTCGTGTTTTCAATGACATCTTTCAGGCGGATCTCGTAATTCTTAAGGATGTGATGAAAGTGTTGCAGCATAACAATGGACCATGTCATCTTGAGAGATGTGGATGAGTTAGCCATTATTGAGATGTTCTGCGGTGGGGGCGGAGGTACTATAAAGAAAAAATATTTGAAAGAAAGGTAGAAAAGTTGAAAGATTGATGTTAATGTGTACGAATTCAATGTGTAAACCGCTATAACCACACTACAAGAGCAAGCAATATATCCGTCATTTCCTCAGTATGATATATATGATACTAATCCTGACGACTACCATTCTCACAAATTCTAACCATTTTCTATGTTCGATATCTGCACTTGACTCGCTTCTCGGCTGACACCAATCGATGTTCGTCCAGCAATCGTTATCAAATAATAATAATGCTTCTTCAGCCCCTTCTTCACAAACACCAGCTGATTAGAACCGTTTATTCTCACAGTTTCATTACGATCGATCAATTTGTCCAAAAATATCAGATCATAACCCAGAATGACGCCATTCCTATGTTCTTCTGGTATGGGTGTCCAAGTGACCAGAAGAGACGAGTTAACACTTTCTGAAACGTTGAGATCTTTTGGGGCAGCTGAGGGAACTAGAACCGAACACAAAACGTGAGTCAGCGCACAGCCTTCTACGGAACTCAGCGGTCAGTTGCTCGGTGTCAACTCAAGTCACTTTAATGAAGTGGCTTCAAGATTGAGTTACAAAAGAAGTTGATGTTTCTGAATGAAGTTGTGACCGTTGCGACAAAATTGACAGCTGACTTATGATACCATAGCATAGAATAAACACATGGTACGTACCATCTTCTAAAGTTCTAATTTGAACCCAGGGGCTAAACTTGCCCTCACCAACGGTCGTGAAAGCTGCGACCCTCAATGAATAGTTGTGATATTTCTTTAAATTATTTCCCGTGAAATTATTGTCGGTGACGTTCGGAAAGTAGTGCGAAATATTTCTCACCAGATGAACCAGAACGACATTATAACCAAGTATTAGACCACTGTAACCGCTGTCATGACCATATGGCGGTCGCGACCACTGTAGCAAGATTTCCGTGGAAGATACAGACTGTACTGTGACGTTTTGAGGCGGAGGGGGTACTAGATATATAGAAACATCTAAGTGAAACTTCTCGAGAGTGGAAGAGAGTACAAAGGCTTTACAATACGTCAGTACAACCTACCATCCTCAGCTGTTTTCACAACAAGTGTGACACTGCAGTTTCTTATCTTCCCATCGTAGAATTCATAGACGTATATCTGATGTTCCTTGTGCGCCATCAAATCATCAATGATTATGCTTTTCTGCTTCGTAATATCAAGCCGCGTAGAATGGTTTTTGGAACAAAGAAAACATTGATATCGTAAATAAAGGCTTGAGTCCTGATCATCTGGACGTATGAAGGTCCATCGAAGAAATATCGACCGAAAAGTGACGGACGTTTCAGTAACATTTAAAAAGGATTTTTTGTAAACTAAAACGGAATCACGAAACATAAGATTTGTCACTGAAGAGCACAGCACAATGTCCAGACTATTGAAGCAGGTTAACCAAATATTTTTCCAAAAAACCGTGAAAATTTGCGGGTACTTTTGCCAGTGGCAAGCATACCATATAGCACAGAACGAATCACGTTACCTTGTCTCATGGTTGCCACTTTCAAGTAAGAAGGGGGACCCAAACCCGCCTCGTTAGAAGCAGAAATAGAGCAGTTGTAAGACGTCCACCTTCGCAGGCCTGTCAAATTGTAGCTCGAATGACCAGCAGGAATATCTTGCATAACACACTTCACTTGTACGGGAACGCAGCATATTCTTAGGTTTTCATCCCTGTTTGTGCATTTGATCCCGTTATCACAACAGCGTATCGTGTAATTAATAGATGCCGAGTTCCAATGAATGCTCGGTACTTCATGCCAAGTGAATGAAATGGATTTATGATCTCGGGGCACTCCTGTGAAGTTTGCAGGTGAAGCGGAAGGAGCTAAAAGAATGACACTGAGTTATTGTATGAAATAGAGAAATTTCATTCGGCAATTGCTGCTAAGTGAAAAATTTTATTAGGCTATGCCAGCTGATAGAACCTCCGTTCTGGGGCCAGTTGTATAAAAGACTAATAACTTTTAACTGTAGGATTTAACGATGCAAAATGTAGTTAAAGAATGTAGTTAAAGAGTTTTATACAACCGACCCCTGAACAGTCAGTAACTGTTTAGACTTTTCACTTATATAAAATCAGTTTGAAAGCGCAAAAAGAGTGTAATATATATCACTAACCACCAGGTAGTGTTCTCCTCTCAGTCGCCTCACTCCAAGGTCCGAGACCAATTTTAGTCATAGCAGATATTTTCACCTTATAGAGATGATACGGTTTTAGGTCGTGTTTCTCGTAAGAAAAGGTGGAACCAGAGGAGATCTTTATATATTCGAGGGCAGCGTTTGATTCGTCGACGATGAAAATATTGTAGCCAGTGATGACTCCATTCCTGTGCCGTTTGTTCACAGATGCCCATTGTATCATAAGACGTGACGAAGACAGAGCTTTCGCATACAAGTATGCAGGCGGCATAGTCGGAACTAAAATATAACGACAGAATATTGTGTTGATACATGTACTTGGGAAGAACCTCTTGGTGTAACCATGCAAGAAAATGATGAACATCCTAAGAACGACTTGCACTTGAACGCAAAGCAGTGAAAATGAAAGATGCAGTTCAATTCATCTGTTTCCGTGTAATGGTAAAACGTAGACTCCTCTCCCCGAACAGAAAACATTGGAACGGCGACTTAACCCCCCCCCCCGGAGATCCGCACGTTGAATCGGGGGCTCGAGAAATGCTTTTTCATACAGCATTCTGTCAGCCAATATTTCCACCAGTAAATGAAAATATAGTGTGTGATACTTCATTTAAGAAAATCTAGTCTTCTCTCGAGAATAAAGACAATGCTTGTGTATTAATGATAGCATGTTGTCATCATATGTGACGTTTACCTGATTCATTTGTTGTTACAGCAAAGTATTTACTAATAAAACCCATCCCAACCAGATGCTGAGGAATAACTCGTATTTCGTATAACGTATTTGGATTCAAGCCAACCACCTCGACTTCATTAGCTGTTGTGAATAAATATGACCACCGTCGGCGGTAAACTGCTACTATGAATCCACGGAAAGGGGACAGTTTCTCCTCCATCATAAACTCCCAGCGTAAATTCACTGAATGAGCAGTGCTGCTTTGCACTTTTAAATTGAATGGCGGTTTATCACTTACTGGTAAAAATAAAATAAGTACATCTTTCAGGTAATCTTTTCACTCAGCGAGTTCTTCTTTTCAACTCAGGCTGGGAAAACAAACATACCGTATCTTGAGGTAACATTGTAGTCCATTATGACATCTGCAAATCTTTTCTCTGCCAACAACACACACCAGCTCAGCCAATCTTGTCTCCAAACGGCCGTTGAAGACATGAATACGGTGATGCTTGCAGTTCTATCGCAGAAAATTGTACAAAGATATTGTGAGAAAGAACCACTGCATCTTTTAGGAATTCACAAAAACATGGATATAACTTACGAATTGATGCCAGTAGATACAGTAATATCCGAAACAGATTGCTTGCAGGTGAATTTCAGCTGGATAAAGAGATTTTTACACGAATGACATTTTGGCTAACAAACTGCATGTATAAACTAACAAACGTGGTTAAGATCATTTCAAAAAAATATACAAAACAAACCATGTCATAAAGTTTTCGCTGATAATTTTCGTTGAGTACACTGTCTTTATTTCTTGCATTCTTAACTGACTCCGTCCAAAATCCATCCATCTTGAAGATGATAGGTTGAGGTTTGTATTCCCCCTCAATTGTTTTGTATTGCCCTGAAATAAATACATAAATGAGTGTGGACCCAGGTGAATCAATATTGTGATGGTACTATCCTGAGTCACCATCAAGCTTGACTACAGTGGGAATTGAACCGACCTTTAATTTGCTCTTTGCAAGTCGGATTCTCGAATAGGTGATATTTTGGCACTCTAGTTCTCTCCTTTTCTACATATACATAGCCCTAACCATACATTGCACTTACATTGCCCTAACTTACACTGTTTTATTTCTTACCATATCTTTTATAGATCTCGGTGATATTTTCCTGGGACAGCATAGTTGACCACACGCTAACATCATCAAACGTATTCCCTGGAAATAAGCGAATATTTTCGTCTACGACCACTTCGCTGCTACAACAACCAGAACTAGATCGACGAGTCTGTAATTCACCATTTTTAAACAGGGAAATTTTAGGGTTGTTATGTTCAGCAACAATGGTTAAATAAACAAAGATACCCCAAGGCCATTCATACTCTACACGATGACGGCACGTCTGATTGTGGTGGGTGATATTTATCTCAAGTAGACCAGAAATATTATCATAAGTCACACAAAGGCGGGAAATTTTGAAAACGATCATTGGACGAGTTATTTTCACCCACATCGACACAGAAAAATTTTTTAGAGTCGATATATTTTGACTCCATTCCGTTTTAAATTCAACGGCTTTGTTGGCAACACCGGTGACAAGGTTTTGTTGGATATCTCCTTCTGAGGATGAGGATGAGTTTCTCGCCAGGACGTCGTCCATTGACCAGTAGTACAAAGCATTTCGGTAGAGAGAATTCTCTATATCTACACAAACGAGACGGAACGAACTAGATTAAAATTGAAATATTACTTTAAGGAGAAGAATCAACCTCGAAGTAACATTTAAGAAGTAACGACATACCATTTAAGCAAAATTGATTAACAAAATTCGCCAGCCTTGTATCACATAAGCACGATCGGTTGTCTCTGAAAGATTTTATACACGGGATGCCAGGTGGACAGGGATTTGGACAACTCGCTATAAAAGGGTGGAAATAAATTTCATTATAAAAGGTATCAACCTGCATGGCATATCAACATAACTATCAACCTGAGCAGAGACATGCATCTACTGTACAAAAAGATGAGTGTAAACTCTATCTACCATTGCTCCAACCAGGCCAAGCATTTTGTGGAGAAGTTTGACAGCTTTCTGCATGTAATTTCATATCAAATATTGCGATGTCACTGCGGAAGTTCTCGCCGCGTACAGCATGGAATGAAATCTGCAGGAGAAAGTGGAAGTTATGAGAGGCAAAGACGAGAACAGCGAAGGTCTTTGAGGTGTGTTGGTTAGAGTCAGCATGGAGGTGTTGGACTTTGGGGTCAAACCTTAGCAGAAGATATCATCCAAATACGCAGGACTGGAATTGTTGTCAAATGGAAATTCATAGTAATCTTGTTGAAGCAACTTAAAATTATTTGAAATATACTTTATTTGCGTTTCAAATTCAAGTCGAAGCTATAGTTCTTATAACTGAACTGGTTTCGGAATGAATAACAAAAGATACAATCGATTAAAGGTATCACGATACCTTTCTCCAGGCATCTTTCTCAAGGAAAGGAAGGCTCACTGTTGCTTTTTTCCAATGTGAATCCCTTTCCTGTTGTTGCCCGGCCAAGGACCAGTAAATATCACAGCGTCGTTCCTGTTCCACGTACACAGATAACCGACCAATTCCCATACCGTACATAAAGTATTGAAAACTTAAACACTGGTAGCCTGACACGATTTTTGGTGAGAGTAGAATCGCAGACGCGTTGTAATCCATTGTGGAACCGTCTATGTAGAAATAGTTGCCTGAAACAAATAGATTGTATCTCAGTTTGGTTGGATGATTTGGTCGAGATAGTTTCCCAGGGAAGCAAAGGGCTTAATCGAAATTGTGAGAACACTCGGTCCTGCTGATATTCATAAAATCTCACCTGTGAATTGTAGACCAGTAAAGGGATAGGACGAGGTTGCAATATAAAACAGCCATTGATTGGGAAAGTGACGAGAATTTTTCCAGCGACAAGTTGAAAGATTAACGTTACACGAAACTGAAAATAAATATACAGGATTTGGAATTACGTAAAAGAACAGCAAAGGGGGATATAAACGTTACGAAGAAAAAAGAAAGGATAGACAACTCAATATTAAACTCAATATAACAATGAACATGGACAGAATAATTACCCTGATATTCTTCAAGAACTTGTTCGGTTGTCATTTCACTTGACCATAAAAATAACTCGGAGAGATTAAAGTATTCATTAAAAGGAGTTGAAACGGAGAACAATCTCTCCATTTCGGGAAGAAAGTCTTCGGGAGAGGGACTCGAAGAATGATTTGAAGGACTGACAGAATGACTGGAAGAAGAAATGAGGGAATAATGAGAAGCACTGAGAGGATGAATGGAAGACGAACTGACAGAATGATTGGAAGATGAACTGACAGAATGATTGGAAGAAGAACTGACAGAATGATTGGAAGAAGGACTGACAGAAGGAAGGAGATTAGAATAGCCATCCCATTTCACGTATTCGCCATTTATATAACAACGCGATCTATTTCTGTGTGAATATGTAAACACAATGTGAACGATTTCACGCGAAGTTGAAATGACGAAACGTTTTCCACCGATATCAAACATAAAATTCGTGAAATTAACCAAAGCGGGGTCAGAAGATGTAGAATTAAACCAAACACGGAAGTCCGAACCATAAGATAATATTTCTGAAAATAGAAAACAGTTTGAAAACGTGAACATATGTAAATAAAGACGACGTTTTCCAGTTAGCTTGATATTATAGGAACACCAATTTTTAAAACCAGAGTCTTTAAGAACATGGTCACAAATCTATGTATACTTACCCTTTTTACCATTTGTTGACAGATTGTAAAGTTTACTGAACCAAAATCCAATAGAAAAACCATTATCATTGCCAGGTATGAAATGTTCGCGATTTAAAATAAGATGGTTTGCTCTCAATTTCTCATCTTCATTATTTCTTTCAAGAGAGGAAAGTTGCAGTTCATCCAAGCACGATAGACTACAAGACTTACTGAATATCCAACGATGTGACTCTAAGAGAATGAACAAAAGATGCACAAGGACAAGGTTTATTTGCACGAAGGTAGTTTAAATTCTAAGTTCAAGAGTCTAAAAAAAGCTTCTATATCATTTCACTGTCTCAATCAGAATATGCTTTCTTTTATGATCTGCACAATTCATGAAGCAGTCCTACGATAACGATAATTTTCAGCGTAGAAAAAGAGGAACATCACACGTCACTTTACCTCTAGTTCGCTCAATTTTCTTAAACTGAGCAAACTTCACTACTTCCTGGTCCTCGTCAATAATGTCAATGTTAACAGTCCCAGCCAGTTTCTCGGAAAATACCGTTAATTCCACATAGTAATATGCAGAAGTCGGTCCTCCATGTAGAGACATTGGTTTGCTGTTGAAAATGCGACCAGAAATCTCAACTTTAAACCGAAGAAACTTATTTTACTATTGACATTCAAAATCACCCTTTCCTAAGAAGATTAGCTTAGAACTGACAGAGCTATTCAAATAGAATCAGTTTAGGTTTCCTCTTGTCATCCTTACTAAACCTCTAGGAAGATGAGCTTAAAACCGAGAGAGCTATGTTAAATATACTACAAATAATATTCAAATTTAACGACGTACCATTTATTTGTACTACTGCATATCGTGACCGTATGATTGTCTTGTTCAAGGATAAGCCTGCACGGCACATCACAACTCAAGGAGAAGGTGAACGCGCCATTAAAATATGGTCGCCAATATCCTTGAATTCGATAAAATGTACCTGGTACTGTGCTCAGTTTGTAGGGGAGGATGTTCGCAATTTTGACCGCGTAATTTAGAGGATTGGGTATAAACCGTGTCTCAGGCGAAGAGCCAATGGGAACGAGCCATCTACGCAATGTAAATCCATTGTCGTCTTCAACATCGTCTATAAACAAATTGATGTAAAGCACTTTACTCTAATGGCTTTTCACAACTAATACCCAAAATATAAATATACCCACAGCTGGTTTGAAAATGGGCAGTTTTCAAATTCATTTTAGAAGCATAATGATAATATTAATGCAGTTGTTAAAGATCACGGGCCAATCACCTGAAGAAAGATCAATTTGAAATTTGCTTCCATTGGGTGACATAAACAAGCGATATGAATTATAATCGACTGTAATTTGCCCAGGATGAGTGATTGAGTTCAAACGGATGAACTGGGAATAGTTGGACTTCAACACTTCGAACGATGCAGACATGTCTAAAATATAAAGGGTCATCAGATTATTACTTTTCATAGCTACACGGCAAGATTTCGACGCGTGTATAATAGTAATTTTTCACAAGAACCCTCACAACACTCAATGACATGTACATACTGAACTCCAAACTTTCGTTCCTTCTATCCAAATATAGCCATCCATCAGGGCGCTGGCGTAGGAAGGCTTCTGGATGACCGAATAGTTGAAAGGAGACTATTTCCGAGCTCGAATTGCGATGAAGTCCAGGCAAAAGCAAACGAAACATCGCAGCTTTCGTAGGTTCTAATGCAATGTACATTCTACCCTCTCTGTTATCAACCAAAGTTTGATTAAAAGCTGTCTTTAAACTCCATGTCAATAAACGAGTTTCTGTATAATTCTTCACATGGTCTTTGAATGAAATCTTTACCACTGCAATAAAATGACAAAATTCACACATGTGTGCGTGTCGCAAGCTTAAATGCCCCTAGCTTCTAGTATAGAGAGCCCCGAGGGTGGTTTCTCCACTTAAATTGACTACAATATAATATCAAATGCAGGCTAATAATTTTCTCAGTGCTTCGTGATACATCCCAGACTGCATGGTCAACAACACAACATACGCTTAAATGTCACGTCTTTCCAAGGTATATACTTCTCGTGTAATTATGCGTGTTCATCGCAGTTCATCATCATTACCTTTATCTTCAAAACGACTCAAGTTCACCGGCTGTTCTTGCAATGACAGGATACTGCATATGAAAGCCTGGAAGAAGACGCAGATAAGGCGCTTACTGCCCATTTCTTGACGAGTTTTTCAAGGAATTTGTATTGATCACGCAAGATCCAGATGTGGTTTTGAGCGATCTAAAGGCAGAAAAGGTTCTCTGCTTGGTAAAAGCAACAAATTATTGTAATATAGCCATATGTGTGAGGTGAAAATTAATTTTTTTGTTCGTGATTATTTTTAGCACTATATGTGCAAATGGCATCGGAAATGTCATAAAATATCTCTTTTTAGGCAAGCGGCCTATTGAAGTTTGCTTGTTGAAAATGCAGGTAGCTAATGCAAAAGCCGTTGCTAGGGAAGTGGACGTAAAATCTGAAGACGAAACCTTGTACACATGCACTTAAGCGATTCATTTTAACCAAAACGGAATCCACTTAACTTTAAATTGAGCCGGATAGACCCCGGTGAAAATTCACTGTGGATAAAATTGCAATATTTGACAAAATATTGGTTACAAGCGCATCTATATTGATTTCTGTCATTTTTAGGACCTATATGGATCCTTAAAATTTGAATTTGCGCGGGGGGAAACAATATATAGAGCATGCACTGAACGACTCTTATGAAAACGTTTAACTTATGAAAATAACCGTCTCCATATTAATGACACATAACACAGCGTGACAATGTATGCCTTAAGCCCGGGCATAGCGAAACTACATTTTGATTTGCGAAAAATTAACAATTTTACAAGAAAATTTTAATCTTCTTACCAAAAGAGAAGTGCAAATGCTGATCGTCACACCGTTCTTCATCACAGGCAGAGTTGCCCTGATGCGGACATAACTGAAAAGAATAAACAAGTATGCTTCACGTGGGTCTTAGTTGGTTCATAAAAAACAGCTGTTTAGGGGTCTTAATAAAGATGAATTGACAAAATTATAATTGTAATCATAGAAAAGCTGAGTTTGAATAAGTTTTTCGCAGAAGATATACACCGAAAGGGAAGAAAGAACAAAGAATAAAGCTCTCAAAATTAGACAGAAATGTATGTCATGAGGCAATGTTATATAGTTGTATTTATACACTTATTTACCCTACCACATTTCTCATAATCTATTTATCTTTCCTACATAAATGAAAAGGTTAAAATTATTGAAATTTTATCGTTAACTGGAGAGGAGTATTATTCTGCGCTCCTACACATGGCAATAAAATGCTGAGATTTTCGACATGAAATAAAACGCTCGAACTTCATATTTTGTGCTCAAACGCCATATTGCAATGTGGTTGAAGAAAATGTGCAATTGACAGATAGCCACACTAAAAGGAGATTGTTTATGTAGCTATATATACATAAGCTTGAAGCTTTCGCAACTACCAACACCTCGCTCTAGTGTGCTTTCATTGAATCTAAATGTTTCCTTGCTGATTTTAAAAAAATACAAGTGCTTGTAGATGCATATACCTCTCGTTTGTGTGATATATAGCTTTAAGTGCGCAGAGCTTCAAATTTATGTGTTATAGAAGTTACAAGTGAGCCGAAATGTCTATAAAACCAGTCAATATATTTGAGTGTAGGTTTGAACATGTGGAACACTTGTCAACGTGTATATATATATTTGAATTACATTCATTTAAGAAATATACACACAGCATTTCTTTTAAATGAACATAACCTACTATATGGCTAAAAGCTTAATATATTAAGAAATAATAATGTTGCATTATCAATATTTGATGAGCATAATTGTTAGGATATTCAAGTCTAAGGAACACATTGAAATTTTCAGCCGTAATTTTATCTATTTAATTATTTATCGACAACCTGCCGAGCAAAAAAAAACATGCAAGAATATAGCGGAACACATGCACGAGAATACAGCGCTATATATACATGTATCCCTAGCAACGATAGCAAAAATAAATATACAAAACGTTGAAATTAATTTCTGTAATAAGGTGAATGAATTTACATGTCCTATATGCATGGCTATCTGATATTGTGTTAAAGGTAAGTGACACGAACTGTTGTGCAAATATATACAGATCTAGACTAAATGCAGCGACAGGAGTAAATATATGCGGTCCAACTGATTAAAGATGTACTTAAAAAAAAGTGTGAATATCGTTGAGGACGTATTTTTGTGCAAAGCGAAATACGGCACTGCGATGCTTTCAAAACATGCATCAAATGTGATAAAATTGTTAAGTTTTTTTGCCTATATTTGGTCTATGCACAGTTGTTCAAAGGCTATCATATTTTTAGTTACTATAGGAAACACTGTACGCCATATGCCGTGCAGGTATTTCAAGACATCAGACCATGAAGTGACATTGCGATGAGGTTCATCCCAGAGCCAGGCGTAAAATGCTTAGGATAAAACCTTGATCTTTTTAATTTAACGACTTGTTTAAATAACTGTTCTCACACAATAAAATTGATATACTTTCCTAAACATGATGGTTGGAAGCAATGTCCAAAACGGGATATTTTCCTCTGCCTAAAATTGGAAAGATCAAGGTTTCTCAGTGGAAAAGCTGAATTCACGTACTACAGGGGGAAATATGGTCATTTTTCGACAGTATTTTTAAAGAAATTCATAAAAATCGATATGTTTCATAGGTTTAGCTAAGAGCATTTTCCGTGGTCTTATACAGGCGGACTTGTTTACACAGATCACTAGTCACATCTAAGGATGGCGTGCAGTAGCCAAGCGACCGGTAATTGTGTGTTGTCGGGGCCCGACGACGCCACGGAATTCGCGAAGGTCAAACGATTAGACCCGAGTTATGTCGGGAACAATCGTGCGACCGAAAGGGGCTCGATATCTGTCGATCATATTTGCAATGCTGGCGGTATTTCTCATATTCCGTTCCCGCGCAGAAGAACTTCATGGGCAGGTGAAATTGGATGGAAAGTGAAAGAATCGAGTTCGTACGACAATCGAATGCTGAGAAGTTCTCATCAAATACGAATCCCCGACGACAGTTTCCGAGCTGAGATACAACACAAAGTCTTAAACACAGGAGTGTACTAACTAACTTAGGTTAGGACTAGAAATAGACTAATGTACTACATGTAAAGCTGAAGTTAGTTACTCAAACGATTTAAAGCTATAAAATTTACACTCCACCGACCTTAACGCGCTTAATTCGTCTTTCGCATTTCGTTTATTTCGTGTTGTGCACCAGCACTTCCTGCTTGCACAAACTACAAAACGATGCTTAGAAAAAACTACACCAAAACATCTCATACAACACACATTTAAAACGTTCTTGTGTTTTTTTTTAATCAAAATAGATTTAGATATTTTTGCCGAAGCACAGCGTTTGGATATGTACAACGTTTAAAATTATTTATAAATTTGTATAGAATTCGCTTTTTATTTATAATTTACATAGAAATTTATGAGGATACATTCTGGTCGTCTTAAATATACGTGATCTCAAAAATACTCTATCTGCAACCTATCAAATTGTTCGATTATGTTAGTGTAGTCACTACAGAAGTGGGTACGCAGGCGGTAGTGAAACCTGTTAGGAAATTTCTGAAAGAAGTAATGGCGTTTATCAAAAATATTCTACAAACAACGGTTGTTAAACAAGGTTGCTGCTTCAAAGAGTTCTCATCAACGAGAAAGACCATTGCATGGTCTTACTACAATACTTATTTATTTATTTTGTGTTACCTAATAATATAGGGGCAATACGCCTTGAATGTCTGCATTAAACCTGTTTCATATGATGAATGCTGATGGAGAGAAATTTCCTTGCAAGTTCAGGATGAAAATTTCTTATCAAAATTGTTTCTAATCAATCTATATATGACGCAAATCATTTACATTAAATATTTATACCAAACAGTTGTTTGAACAGAATCATTTACTTGATTAAGATATGTGGTAATTAGAGACATGTGGGGATATACGAATACACATATAGACAAACAGGAACAATGACTCGCCTGCAAGACGGGATACCCAGCCAATCTCCGCAGATCCTGTTATATCATAATATATCCTATGATACCACCACATACAGGGACATGCATTAATTATTGGGACTGTTTTGTACAGATGTATCCATTCACATGCATTAACACATAGGAATAAGTTCGTATCATATCTATAGATATCGCAAGTATTACATTACATTCATAGTTACCACCCCCAAATTGGGACTTGTATCGTAGTATATCCAGCGATATCAATATTCATCCATAGATACCATCTCAAATCGGGACATGAATCATATTGTATTCATCCAAGTCATCCTCATACAAGAACAGATTCCTCGTTATCTAACTGAAATGACACGAACATGAGAATTGTGATGAAATATGTAAGCATAATTTGGCGAGTTTTAAGCCCCAAACGACAACACATCTTATCTTGATGGTGATTCAAAACAAGGCGTAGATCTAAACTGCATGTTTTCAAGTTCTTCAAAGCCAGTCTTGCTGAAGAAGAAGGCGTTTTTCCATACTCACCGCTGTCAGTTCTTTCTCATCAAAAAATCTGTACAGTTGTTTTCTGATTGGAACAAGAAATATGACAAACAGCGGAAATAATGGCGCTATGATTGTCATCTTCGTGGCAACAAGGACACATAATGCCAGCACTTGGACCAGGGTAAAAAGATGAATTTTTCGGCCACCGACCTGAAATAACAGAAAAAAACACAGCTTATTTTCTATCTACGGCATATTTTCGAAGACCTCAGGGATCCTGGGTCCTGAACTCAACAGTACCTTGCGAACGAATGCAAAATCTGGATAATGTTTTGGAGGCATGAAGAACATAACAACGCGAATGACAAACTGATTTCCGGAAAGAGAAATTGTGCCGAGGTACACAAAGACACCGAATAAAACAGCAATGGGAATCACTTCCAACGCTGGAGCCATCAGAACTGAAAGACCTGCAAGCACGGAGTATGAACGTTAGTGAACTGTTTTGCTGCACTTGCAGTACTGGGCACTGACATACAAGTACTCACCAATGAAAATATGTATGAATATGTTTGTTACACGTTGTTCAATGACTTTCACAACATAAGCTCTTTCTCCTGGCGCATGCGTAGTACTCATGACGGTGAGCGCATTTTTATGCGAGACTGAGCGCACCGGAGCTGCGCATATCCATGGCAACCCCATGAGGGAACACAACCCGCATACAAGACCCACCACGAGCAAGTCTAGATTATATCCGGCTCCTTTCCGCAAATTATTTTCCTTCTTGTTCAAGACGATTCCTGTCAATTCTGTTTCCATAAACAACAGAATGCTCACAAAGACTGCCGGGATAACCGCCGCGAACATCCATCCCACGTGGATCCCCGCGGGAGCCACGAACCAGCCGCGTTTTTCGGGCAGTGTAGGTTTGAAGCTCGAGAGTTCGGGCATCTTTTGTGTGTAGACATCCTTGATAGAATAGTCCAGTAAGGACATAGCGAATATAGAGATCGCCATTCCAAAGTCACTGACTGTTCGGCGTCCCTAAAAGATACAAAAGGGCTGCCAGTGAGCTTTGTATATATCTTGAGTGATGCGTCCAAAATGTCGGGAATTTATAGTTCAAACTTCAAAGGTTACCAAATTTTGCAAAAACAGAAGATTTCTTCAACACATAACGTACCTTTTTGCCAAAGAAATGGCTGTGTCTGAACTTGCGAAGTTGAACAGTCAAAAGAACAGTTCCAAATAATAAGATTGTTGTCAATAATGCAGTGTTTGGTTCATTACGAGGTTCTGAGGACTTCGTTGGGTCTGAATCATTCGTCGTATTTATATTTTGATTGTGCCATTTATGAGTACGAGTCAATGGATGATCATCAAAGGTCTAAAATAAAATAACAGCAAGGATAACATACTTATTGAGAGCAAAATAAGTCTAAAATATATGAAGCGGATGTAGTTTCCCCACCTCGTAAATAAACTTAAGGGCCTCGTAGACAAAGATGAACGAAATGAGACAAGCAAATATTTCTTCGGTAAATCTCGTGAAGTATTTGACAAGAAAACATCCCTCAAAAGCCACAACCAAGGTGCAGATTACAACAATCCATAATCCAATCCAGAACCGCAACGCGAGATAATCTAATCCGTTTTCGCTGCAGAACTGGGATGAGAAAAAAATTCTTGAGATTAGGTTGGAATTAGGGTTAACTCTAATCAAATCCAATCTAAGCCCTAAAGACCTAACTCTAACTTAATCCTAATCTTATAACTTAAACATGGTCACATTGAGATAAACTCTTAGTATAATAACTTTGAACGTACATAATATATTGTTTCCTCAAAGACAAGCACTGGACCGGTCACTCCGACAATCATTAGCGGCTGCCCACTGCAAAATCCGAAAAATATTCCTCCAATTGCCGTGGCGAGTATTGACTCAGACAGTCCTATCAATCCATCAGTTTTCTTGCTTAGAAGACCCCCGTACGTCACACACGGAGCGATTGTAGCAAAGTAGACGAATATGAAAGTTACGAGGCATTTGAAGTTTTTGAATGCGTCGACGAAGTCGCTTTTGTAGTGTGGGTATTTACGTTGAACATCCCTGACGAGACCACCAAATAAACGGCCGGTTCTCAACAACGGATCGTCATCTTTTCCTGGAATTCTTTGCGCGGCTGCGGCTGCATTTGGAGAGAAATTGGTTCACATTAGACAAACAAGATCCGGGCATGCTCAAGTTGAAGGAAAATTGACTAAATCTACGCTTGTGTCCACAAGAAAATCGCTTTATAAATACCACTACATACCTTTCCTTCGTCGTTTCATCACTTCTCTGCTGTGTCCTTCCAAGATGGGCAACAGAACACGCTCGTCCCAGTCACCTGGAGCCAGCACGATGCTGTCAGACAGGAACTGGTTGATGGCTGAAAGAATATCCTCCTTCTGTTCAGCCCGATAGGCTAAACTGTGGAAAATCTCGTCCGACATCAGGGTGGCGATAGAACGACCAATCTCGTGGTACTGATCGTCGTCGCGAGGAGGTCCCAACATGACGAATATAAACCGCACAGGGAGTGGAACTTCTGTCAGATTACCAAGACGACAGCCTTTTGCGAGCCTCACGAATGCCATCGCAGGTTTCTCCAGCTCTTCCATTGTACCAACCATGACAGCCGTCGCCTCGGCGTCGGAAGGTATTCGGCCACGTATGTCGGAGGTCGTATTCTCTACGTCATCACTGACGGTTGGTTCAGGAGCAAAAGAAACTCCCACGCGGTTCTCAGTCTAAAGTGAAATAAATTCGCCTTATCTTTACTCTTCATAATGATTATGTTTTCCTCAAACGACTTTACCCAAGTTCTATAATACATTAATTAGGTCATGACTCATGATAAAAGGGCTGCCTTTTAGCATTTCTCTACTGATTTAGGAACAATCTTATTTCAACACAAACTATCAGAAGACAAGTGTTCATAGCGGAACATTTTGTGATACTTTATTATTGGTGAATACGAACCTTGTCCAAATAATCAAGGGTTGAGAAAGGTGTCTGACTTGAGGCATCGCTGGTTGTCCTGGGTCTTGCTGGTTCTAGAGGGACATTTTCTTTCGCCTCTTGTGCTGGACTGACTTCTCTAACTGTCGACCCGTCAGTCTCATTGGGTTTCAATGGCGTTCCTTTGGGTTCAACGCCAAAAAATGCAGCGAGATTTGTGCTTGAGCTTTGTCTCCGTAGCCCACGTTGCATCTGATGCTGATGGCGATGTTTTGAAAGAAGTGCTGACAAGACTTTTGAACTGTGAGCTCTTGGTAGTTGATCTGTGATCACCATCTCCTCGATGACCGCTTCAGCAATGCTCGAGAGATCAAACTGCTCCAAGTCAAGCAGAACCGCGCCTGGGGGAAATTAAAACGATAGATTTTGGAAGTTTTTAAACATCTTCACGATCATAACTGACGTACATACCTGTCTCAAGGCCACGTCTTAACTCTAGTAAACTGTGAAATGATAAAGAAGGAATGTGCGGCTTTCCCCAACGCTTCGATTCTTCAACGTCTTCTTCAAACTTGATCCACCGGGCCCTTTCCTTCCACTCTGTGTCCTCACCAACCGTTGTCAGTTCTTCCAGTTCAACGAAGTTCTAATTGAATTACATTTATTCTAATTAACCATTTGTTAAGAAAAAACGAAAGGGTAAAGCCCTGCCTTGGTAAACTTAGAAAGAAACCCGGCTGTGAGCGAATACACATCAGACGAGTTTTCCCGTCCCCGTCTTTGATGAGTTTCCCGTCTAAGACGAGTTTTCCGTCTAAGACGAGTTTTCCGTCTCTAATATGAATTCGGCTATTAGAACTCAACACAAGTTTGCAACTAAAATGTGAGATTACCTCATGAGGTCTGTGATCATAGGTCTTCTTTCTTGGCGCAGGTTTTATGTGACTGACAAGACTTCGTAAACTTGCAGATAAATCTTGATTGCTAAAGTGGGTTGTCATACCTGAACGACGAAGCCGTACTGGTCGTCTATGCATCCCTTTCAGATCCTCAAATCTATGAACTGCAGAGATTTACAAACTGAGTCATGGCTTATGTATAATTGTAATCATAATCAAAAGTCATCACCACCAAGAAACCTATGTTTTATGGACTAATCGCAACACTGACTTACATTTCATATCCTCAACATCCTTTGTGTCAAGTGCAGTACCGTCTGCTGTTGACTCAGGTATGCTACCCTTATCATTTTCCTTTATCGTAGCCACGCCCGGCCGTCGTCTTTCCTGAAGCTCGGACTTGTGTCTTCGACGATGATGATGTTTATGGTGGCGGCCAGATTTTGTTGGTGTTGCGTCACCTTGTTCCTGTTTTTGTCGATGCTTGACTTTTGCGTCCTTTGGTGTCTCAACCACTGGTGCTGTGTCTATCGCTGCTGGCGTAACTGTCTCGGTGCTTGCATCGGCTAGCTGTGATAACCACCCTTGTTTGGGAGGTGTAGCCAGGATCTCATCCTCACCAATTTCTGGAAGGACACTGATGGTTTGGTCCACAATATTTCTTTCACGTTTTTCCTCCTGAACTTCAGGGATCGCTGGAGTGTGATCTTCCTTGGCAGGTATCGTTTTTGGTTTCTCCAAAGGCTTCGTTGAGTCCTCATGCTTTTTCTTTTTTGGTCCTTTTTTTGATTTTTTCCTTTCTTATCTCGGTGATGGGAGCGAGGTTTGAGCGGTGTGTGTAAGTGTACATGAGTGTGACGTTTCTCTAGGAAAGAAATGGATTATACATTGGACATCTTTTCGAAAAATGCCTTCAGTTCTGGTATATTGGACAGGGCAGAAAGAACTACGGCCAAATTTTCAATTTTTACTCTAATCAGAGGCCTGCAGCTATCAAGGTATGAGTGAATGATGTTTGGGTAACACTGGAGCTACTACATGCATAGGAACATCATGCTCTTTGAAGAATCCAAGGAGATCATTGCTTAGTTTTATGAAATGTGCATTTTTTTTTATTCAAAACATTCTTGTTCACTTTGAAATGCAAATAAATTACTACTGAAGGTTTGATGCATTTGGCTAAGAATAGAATGCAGAGATAGTGGTTGCTATATAGCACACAGAAAATCCTGTTTATGATCAATCAATGGGAAATAAGAAAACCCCGTTTCCTCTGCATAAATATTTCTCATTTCTTTATTTCCTCTCCTTGGATAAATCTAAATTCTTGGAAACAATTGAGGGTTTTCCGTAGAGGCTAACAACTACAATTTATTGCTTCCTTGAACAAAATTTACACGTATTTGAATGCGTTTAAAAGCACAGGTAAAACGTTTGTTTACATTTGGTTGTGAGGTTCCGGCATAAAAGATTGAACAATACCTCCACCCAAAGTTGTCCGAACATGCCCCAACAAAAGCACGTAAGTAAACACAGACGGTAATAAATACAGAAATTACTCACTCAAGTAATCTTTCTCGTTAAACTGTGGATGGTAATGCGAAGATTGAGATTCATTTTCCACTTGAGGAGAGCTTAACGTTGGAGTATTGTATTCAAATGGTTCGCGAAGCACTTTCGTCAGTAATTCGTCTTCTGCTTTTATAGTTTCGTCCATCGCCATCCAAACTCCCTAAAGGAAAATTATATTGAAACGTCAGATAGCTGATAGCTATAAATAAAAATATTGTTTATTTATTGATAGTAATACTTCTAAATACCTCGTGTTGATTCTCCGTGCTTGTGCCTTCAAGCGGATCATTTTTCTCAATGGATGTCATCTCGTTTTAGATAATAGTTTTATCCAATTCTTCGACCTTGGAAAACTCCTTTTGCTGAACTCAAACAACCTCAGTTGCTAGTCCAAGGCGTTCCTATTCTTGCAGTTTATTTTATTCAACCAGAGATATGTAATCCACTTCAAAATATAAAAATATAGTCGTATTTACATATTAAAACAGTGTATACCCTATGCCAAGATACACTACCCAAGTCACATGGCCATTCGATCAAAGTTGTAAACAAAGTTAAACTCTGTTCCAAAACTCGTTAATTTCGCTGCTGCAAATCTTTTCCGTCTCTTAATCGTTGGAGTGGACCACGATTCGCACAGAATTGTCTTTTTGCAAGCTCAATTCATTGTTGTTTTTGGAAAAATGTACATTTTTGATGAGTCTTTGCATGGTTTTGAGCGGAACCTCCGCGTCTGTCTGGCAAATGGCCAATCAACAAGTTGATAATCGAAGTCATGTGACCGGAACACGAAGGTCAAATGTCACGAGACTTCCCCACAAACTGCACGCGTCTCTTGCAAATTTTCTGCTGACGGAAACACGTGGAAAAAGGTTTCCGTGCGCAAATGCACTTTGCGTTTTGGAATACCAGTGACACGTAGTAACGGTTGGTACGTTACTGAATAAACCAAATACCATTAACATAACCATTGTTTTCTATGCTTAAAATAAAGGAGTCACAGTGCTGCTAATCAAAGTATTTGGCCTATTTATTGGGTAACTTGTACATAGTGAATATTTCACACAAGCTTGTTCATATATCTATGAAGATTTATCAAGATTACACTTTGAAAGTTATCAATAAATGACTTTCTTTAGTCTCAATAATAAATTGTTTTTCCCCCACAGTTTGCTCACCACAAAAATACTCAATGGATAATATAACACATTATAATTTAATTTAGTCACCATGGTAAATTGTCTTTTATTTCCATTTTAAATCGCAAACTAGTGCAACATGATCGGAAGGTAATACAGGTGACGGAAGAGCTGTGTAAAGCTGAACTTCTTCTGTTGAAGGTATAGGAATGTTGGACTCTACATCAAAAAATTTCTTGCTTGAAAATATGTAATCAAGCAGCCCAATAAACCCTTCTGTATAGTTGGTATATTCTGGGAAACCACAGCAGTTTTGAAGACCAAACTTGTGGCTGTAAGGCATCATTTCTAAATGATTATGTTCTGGTTTTTCCCCTGGTAAATTCCAATCAGGATGAGAGTCGGGTAGTTCACCACTGGACAACAATTGAACCACACCAGAATCTGGTAGGCTGTTTAGATCACCACAGAACACAACACCAACCTGGTGTCTACCACCATCATTTTGCTTTAGCTCCAAATCTAAATTTTCCATTGTTTTCTTCAAAACATTGAGCATAATCATGGTCTGCAAGTTTCTAATGAAAGGTGTATCAGGGTTGAAATACAGATGTACATTAACAACACAAATATAGTTTTGAGGGCATTGCACACTTTGGAGAATTATTATTTGGCCAACAGTTGTACGGCTCATCAGTTTTTCATAGAAAAATTTGGCTTCTTGGACCCTTTTAAGTAATTCATTATTGCAGGCATCATTTGTGAAGGATTCACTAAGCAAAAAGTTGTCTTGTTTTATCAAAGTGAACTTAGACTTCCTAAAGAATATGGCTCCACCTTCAGGCATGACTCCAGACTTGTATTTCACGGATCCACCATAACCAAGAGAGGTCATCATTGGATTGAGGTGATTCTCAAACAGACGACGACCACATTCTTGCAGACAGATTATGTCACCATTGTACCCCTCAATTTCCTTTAATACCAGCTGCTGTCGGTAATCTGATTCAAGACAGTACTTGGGGCAATAACCAAACCATGTATTACGAAACGTCTCATCTTCGATGTAACAATCTGCAAGGATGTTATACGAGATAAAACGGAATATGCGAGGATCAGAGGTTGGTTTGGCAGTGCTGAGGTGGCGTTTGTCGTATGGGGTGTCCCCAGGTCCAGGGGTCACCTCACAGGTTGAGGTAACATCAAACCAAGTGTGAGCAGTTTTCCCAACACCCCCAGCTGCTTTGCATGACATTTTCAAAAAACAACCGATATCCGCAATCTTTGGGATATAGATGAATCCCTGACCAATTTCAATCCAACTTGCTTCTTTTTCCTCTACTTGTGTTGAGGAAGGATTTGAACCATCAGCTCTTGATTTGAACCATTTGAAGAGAGAGTTTTCTCTGTCAGCAAACTTGAGCTTGACCACTGGAACAACAGGAAAGCCGGCCATGATAACTGAGGGAATTTTGGCATTGTCTACCAAAGGGGTGTTTTCCTCAACGAGAAATCTTGAATCACCAATATTTAAAACGTTGCTTTCCTTCCAAGCAACTTGATTAGCTAATTCACTATCAACCATCTCGCCGTTTGGATAAAATAATGCGACAGGAATATCATTTAATGCTTCTTGTTTTTCAGCCTCCTTCCCTCCCAAATCTCCTTCTTTTTTGATGGATTTCTGAACAGAGACACCGATTCGTTTTAGCGTTTTTCCAACCGGGTCAGCCGGTGATCGACACATGTTGTATCTCCTGTTGTTTAAGCTAAACAATAGCTTAATATTTTGCACGTTATTCACTAACTCGGTATAAACTGATAGGTAATTCATCTTGTTAAAGTTAAACACAGTAAAAACAAATGTATTTCAGTTTTTTTTTAAAAAAAAGAAAATAAAATATTCAGTTTTGTTTTGAGTCTGCATTCTAATGATATATATCAGATACTTTGTGTAGACACAAACATTAAACGGCAAAAGTGACTACTACAGATTGCCCTAATTTACCTTACTATAGTATAAATATAACTCTACACCATTTTTTGCTCAGTCATACTTTATGTGTTTATAAATTTAGAACCAGTTCATGAAATGGGGTGACTTTTTTACACTCACTGTATCACCTTCCTTTGGGAACAAAAAATGATGAAATAGTTCCTTTCTGCCTTTTTTTAGGAGGCTCTCTGTTCTGCAAATGATCAACCAGAATTTCATTTCCTTTCTGCAACTCTAAGGCAAAATGATAATCTTGATGCTCGTCCATCTTGGATTTTTCTATTTTCATGCTGCATTTTGAACAACAAATAAACTCAGAATTGTGAGAACTTTCTGAGTCACTTGTTGGATTTTCTGTGATCAATTGGACTCCTCCATATTTGCCATCATATATTCCTGTTTCTGAAGCATTGGTTTTTGTAATCTTGGTCTGATCTGTGCTAATTGTGTTCCTAGGAATTGTGTATTTTTCTATCCCACTAGACGTCCTCTTACTTCGTTCTGAAGTTTTAGAGGTTCCAAGAAATTGTTGAATTTCATTTCTAATTTCCTTTGGTAGTTCGTTCACAATATCATGATCAATTTCATCTCGTTCATAAGAGATGAAGTCTGTTGATTCAAGGTTGTCTGTGCTGAGAGTGCATGTGTTTGAAGGTGCTTCATTTTCTGCCGAGTCTGTTTCCTCCTCGTCGTTTTTCTCTTTCTTTGCAAAGAACGACACAATAGAAGAGGCTCCTGAGGATTTAGAAATATCCTCAAACTTACTTGCATTCAGAGAGAGGGAAGTTACTCCAGGCTGCCTAAAAATGCATATTATTAATTAACACACTTTCTTGTACTATATTAAAGGACTTGCTACTGCAAGGATTGTTGCCAAACCAAAAAGAGAGAGAACAAATTACCAACCATTTATCCGCAGTTCCGGAATTAAAGGTTTTTATGACTTGCATAGCATTTTCACAGATCGATTCTGGATCAGAATATCTCAAGGGAAAAGAGCGAACACGACTACTTTTTGTCTCTGTCCACAGCCCAACTGACACCAACTTTGCCTTTCTGTTATTCTATCAATTAATGCAAGCACACATAAACTTTCCAGGAACACATGATGGTTATCACAGAAAGAAAACATCTCTACCTTTTCTTCTTCAATTCTCAGTCGGTCGCTGAGTTCGCTGGCCAGCTGATACATCCAGTATCTCACTTTCTCCTTTGAGACCAGTCTGGATTTTCCTGTGAAATTTTTCCCACATCCGCAAGACTTAGATAACTGCCTCTGTCGGACAATTTCATATTCACGACCACGACATACATCATAAAGCCATGTGCTATGCATATATGCAGGAAAACAAATGAACAAGTGTAGGTGAAATTCATCATTTTATCAGACAGTTTATTCACTATCAAATACATCCTATATTAAGACCACTTTTGGTACTCCTTACCCAGATTTTTCCCCAAAGTGATGCTGTAATTCTTCTTGAGAATATCTTGTCAACTCAGACATGTATTCAACTCCAAGTGAAGTAATCACGCTTTGTCCAAATTTACCTCCAAAGAAACGTCTGTATATAGAAACTCCACTCAAACCTTTTCAGGAATGGATTTATGTACTAGAGCTCCTCCACCCCCCAACCTTAGGTCATAGAGGGTGCTAATTTGGGTATCAATTTAAATATACTGGAATTATATGAAAAATTAATACACAATCATGAATATGGTGTATTTAAGAGTTCATAGCCCAACATGAGGCTTGACAGTCTAAGTAGCATCTAACAACCAGGTGGTGGTTCAATGCACAGCAGATAGTTTGCACCTTTCCCCACCCTACAAAACCTAACTGGATCAATCCTTTATCTAGTTGATTGTTTTATAACTGGAGTTTATTTAACTTACACTTTCTTGATTGGAATAGTCTCAAAAAACTTTGCAACTGAGTGTTGAGGAAGCAATGTTTGCTGATTTGGTTTATGACTTCCACCAGCAATCTTAGCCAAGACCTTGAACGAAAAGAATTGAGCTTTTAACTATACTACTCAAAAGCATAAAAAGTAAAGTTATATTTCATTCACCTTATTATGAGCAATCCCAGCTGAACAAGTAAAACCGACTTTTTCCTTTACAGCATCTCTTGCCTCTTGAATGATTATGGCTCCCATGGCTAAATTTTTTATCTTATCATCAGATAATGCAGCCATCCAGCGACCTCTGATGTCAGAACTGTCTGTTGTGTCAGTGTAACCAATAACATGACTGCAAGCCAACGTCTTGTCCACAAGTTCCTCCAAAGATATCATCTCAAGTTTTCTGTTTAGGTTAAATAATGCCTTATAGTCATTTACCATTATATTTATAAACATTTATTATTTCAAATGCTCAATGCTGATGTATTTAGACAAACACTTCTCGATGTTTTGACCTAAAGAAAGTCTTTTTGTCTACTTTAGGCAGTTTTTATACCATATTTAAAGCGAATTTGATTTTTAAATGAACTTATAGTGGGATTGACCCTAAGTGGGACAAGCAGTTCTCATTGGGAGGTAAAATTTGAAAATCTGGGGCAGAGTAACTCTAACCAATTCTTAAACTGTGCATTTATTGAGGTCAAAACCCAAAGCCTTGATTGCAGATCTCTTACTTTTTGACCAGTTCTGTCAAATCGAGGTATGCCTCGTCCACACTGGCACGTTCACATACATCAGCAAAACCTTGCAAAACATCCATCACTTCGGCGCATGCATCACGATAACGCGTCAAGTCAGCCTTGCCTCTCATTTCAGGAACTCTTGCAAGGATAATTTCAGGACATTTCTCCTTTGCTTCATCCCCTCGCATTTGCCGTGTTACACCAAACTTTCTAGCTTCATAACTAACTGCTATGATTCTGGGCAAACACATATAAATACAATCAAATATTGTCATTCATATTGCTAACTACCTATAGCTTTCTAGTTTAATAATTACCCTCCACCTTTCCACTCATTATACTGAACAACTGCACAAGGTTTCCCAAGCAAAGACGGGTTCAAACGTTGCTCAACTTGTACGTAAAAACAATCCATGTCTACCAAAGCAACAACACGTTCAAGAGACATCCTAGGACGTGATTACAAAAGATTTCTCGCAAACAGCTAGCAAAACAGATACCAACAATACCAACTATTCAACATCATCATTTTCTGGACTTGTTTTGAAATAATCGGAAGGTATCGACTACTCTCGGATGAACTCGGAACAGATTTCCAGCACTCTGATTGGTCGAGATTATACCATTACCATGATTACCATACACTCAGCCATGCAGAGACTGGGGAGAGTATTCAGGGTTAATTAAGGTGGTTTTTAGTCGATATAGATTTTTTTTCGAACCATATCCGTTCCATATATGTTTAATAAAAGTATTTTTTTGTATGTAAAAGAAAAATTTAGAAAGAACGCCGAAATAAAAAAGAATTAAACAAACGTAAAAAAGAGATCATCCAGCTCTATGCCACAATCTAACCGGTGATATTACAACCAGCTGCGATATACCAGCATAGATTACAACTACGAAAGGTGCAAGGACAGTTGCTATAGGAAGAACTCCCCCCCATAACTCACATCTTAACGGCCGTCTAAGGGGGAGATGCACTACGGCCCCCAGACCATGATGTATGTGCACCTAACCGTTACGTCTCAGTGAGAAACAGAGTGGGCTTTGCCACACGCCTAGCGCGTCATAGACGAATCAGCTACAGTGGCGAGCCTTGAGAGCGAAGATAAATTTAACGTATTTAAGCTTTCCTGGTTTCGGGAGGCGGTCCCTAACAAGGATATGCACAGAAAATGACTAATAAGACACACACTTGGAAATTGCAAGATTTAAATGCCTAAACGTTTTTAAGTGTTTCTAGCAAGAAAATAGTAATCAATGCGACTACTGAATTTAAACGTTTTACCATTTACTGCCGAAAAACGGCGCAGACGACCATGGCGAATACGACCATGGTCGAGTTCGCCGAAAAACGACTAATTCGACCATGGTCGAGTTCGCCGGAAAAGACTAATTCGACCATGGTCGAGTTCGCCAGAAAACGACTAACTCGACCATGGTCGAGTTCGCCGGAAAACGACTAACTCGACCATGGTCGAGTTCGCCGGAAAACGACTAACTCGACCATGGTCGAGTTCACCGGAAAACGACTAATTCGACCATGGTCGAGTTCGCCGGAAAACGACTAACTCGACCATGGTCGAGTTCGCCGGAAAACGACTAATTCGACCATGGTCGAGTTCGCCGGAAAACGACTAACTCGACCATGGTCGAGTTCGCCGGAAAACGACTAACTCGACCATGGTTGAGTTCGCCGGAAAACGACTAACTCGACCATGGTCGAGTACGCCGGAAAACGACTAACTCGACCATGGTCGAGTTCGCCGGAAAACGACTAACTCGACCATGGTCGAGTTCGCCGAAAACGACTAACTTGACCATGGTCGAGTTCGCCGGAAAACGACTAACTCGACCATGGTCGAGTTCGCCGGAAAAGACTAACTCGACCATGGTCGAGTTCGCCGGAAAACGACTAACTCGACCATGGTCGAGTTCGCCCGAAAACGACTAACTCGACCATGGTCGAATTCGCCGGAAAACGACTAACTCGACCATGGTCGAGTTCGCCAGAAAACGACTAACTCGACCATGGTCGAGTTCGCCGGAAAACGACTAACTCGACCATGGTTGAGTTCGCCGGAAAACGACTAACTCGACCATGGTCGAGTTCGCCGGAAAATTTCAGGACATTTCTCCTTTGCTTCATCCCCTCGCATTTGCCGTGTTACACCAAACTTTCTAGCTTCATAACTAACTGCTATGATTCTGGGCAAACACATATAAATACAATCAAATATTGTCATTCATATTGCTAACTACCTATAGCTTTCTAGTTTAATAATTACCCTCCACCTTTCCACTCATTATACTGAACAACTGCACAAGGTTTCCCAAGCAAAGACGGGTTCAAACGTTGCTCAACTTGTACGTAAAAACAATCCATGTCTACCAAAGCAACAACACGTTCAAGAGACATCCTAGGACGTGATTACAAAAGATTTCTCGCAAACAGCTAGCAAAACAGATACCAACAATACCAACTATTCAACATCATCATTTTCTGGACTTGTTTTGAAATAATCTGAAGGTATCGACTACTCTCGGATGAACTCGGAACAGATTTCCAGCACTTTGATTGGTCGAGATTATACCATTACCATAGACTCAGCCATGCAGAGACTGGGGAGAGTATTCAGGGTTAATTAAGGTGGTTTTTAGTCGATATAGATTTTTTTTCGAACCATATCCGTTCCATATATGTTTAATAAAAGTATTTTTTTGTATGTAAAAGAAAAATTTAGAAAGAATGCCGAAATAAAAAAAATTAAACAAACGTAAAAAAGAGATCATCCAGCTCTATGCCACAATCTAACCGGTGATATTACAACCAGCTGCGATATACCAGCATAGATTACAACTACGAAAGGTGCAAGGACAGTTGCTATAGGAAGAACTCCCCCCCATAACTCACATCTTAACGGCCGTCTAAGGGGGAGATGCACTACGGCCCCCAGACCATGATGTATGTGCACCTAACCGTTACGTCTCAGTGAGAAACAGAGTGGGCTTTGCCACAAGCCTAGCGTCATAGACGAATCAGCTACAGTGGCGAGCCTTGAGAGCGAAGATAAATTTAACGTATTTAAGCTTTTCCTGGTCTCGGGAGGCGGTCCCTAACAAGGATATGCACAGAAAATGACTAATAAGACACACACTTGGAAATTGCAAGATTTAAATGCCTAAACGTTTTTTAAGTGTTTCTAGCAAGAAAATAGTAATCAATGCGACTACTGAATTTAAACGTTTTACCACTTACTGCCGAAAAACGGCGCAGACGACCATGGCGAATACGACCATGGTCGAGTTCGCCGGAAAACGACTAATTCGACCATGGTCGAGTTCGCCAGAAAAGACTAATTCGACCATGGTCGAGTTCGCCGGAAAACGACTAACTCGACCATGGTCGAGTTCGCCGGAAAACGACTAACTCGACCATGCTCGAGTTCGCCGGAAAACGACTAACTCGACCATGGTCGAGTTCGCTGGAAAACGACTAACTCGACCATGGTCGAGTTCGCCGGAAAACGACTAATTCGACCATGGTCGAGTTCGCCGGAAAACGACTAATTCGACCATGGTCGAGTTCGCCGGAAAAGACTAATTCGACCATGGTCGAGTTCGCCGGAAAACGACTAACTCGACCATGGTCGAGTTCGCCGGAAAACGACTAACTCGACCATGGTCGAGTTCGCCGGAAACGACTAACTCGACCATGGTCGAGTTCGCTGGAAAACGACTAACTCGACCATGGTCGAGTTCGCCGGAAAACGACTAATTCGACCATGGTCGAGTTCGCCGGAAAAGACTAACTCGACCATGGTCGAGTTCGCCGGAAACGACTAACTCGACCATGGTCGAGTTCGCCGGAAAACGACTAACTCGACCATGGTCGAGTTCGCCGGAAAACGACTAACTCGACCATGGTCGAGTTCGCCAGAAAACGACTAACTCGACCATGGTCGAGTTCGCCGGAAAACGACTAACTCGACCATGGTTGAGTTCGCCGGAAAACGACTAACTCGACCATGGTCGAGTTCGCCGGAAAACGACTAATTCGACCATGGTCGAGTTCGCCGGAAAAGACTAATTCGACCATGGTCGAGTTCGCCGAAAAACGACTAACTCGACCATGGTCGAGTTCGCCGGAAAACGACTAACTCGACCATGGTCGAGTTCGCCGGAAAACGACTACAATCATTTTCAAAAGTAATTGGGACACCTACTATTTTTAGCTAAAATCTACTATATAGGATGATTTTCATACATCTCCCCCCCTCCCCCCAATCAATGTTGGTTTTCAAATCCAAACACGTTTCGGAACAAAATGTCCGTCTATTTGGGACACAACATTGAAAAGGGGGCGCGGGGGATCTGGGTTTGTCTTATAAATCGGTAATTTGGCTACCTGTCCCAACTCTTTTGAAAATGATTGTAACTCGACCATGGTCGAGTTCGCCGGAAAACGACTAACTCGACCATGGTCGAGTTCGCCGGAAAACGACTAATTCGACCATGGTCGAATTCGCCGGAAAAGACTAACTCGACCATGGTCGAGTTCGCCGGAAAACGACTAACTCGACCATGGTCGAGTTCGCCGAAAAACGACTAACTCGACCATGGTCGAGTTCGCCGGAAAACGACTAACTCGACCATGGTCGAGTTCGCCGTAAAAACGACTAACTCGAGCATGGTCGAGTACGCCGGAAAAGGACTAACTCGAACATGGTCGAGTTCGCCGGAAAACGACTAACTCGACCATGGTCGAGTTCGCCGGAAAACGACTAACTCGACCATGGTCGAGTTCGCCGGAAAACGACTAACTCGACCATGGTCGAGTTCGCCGGAAAACGACTAACTCGACCATGGTCGAGTTCGCCGGAAAACGACTAACTCGACCATGGTCGAGTTCGCCGGAAAACGACTAACTCGACCATGGTCGAGTTCGCCGGAAAACGACTAACTCGACCATGGTCGAGTTCGCCCGAAAACGACTAACTTGACCATGGTCGAGTTCGCCGGAAAACGACTAACTCGACCATGGTCGAGTTCGCCGGAAAAGACTAACTCGACCATGGTCGAGTTCGCCGGAAAACGACTAACTCGACCATGGTCGAGTTCGCCCGAAAACGACTAACTCGACCATGGTCGAATTCGCCGGAAAACGACTAACTCGACCATGGTCGAGTTCGCCAGAAAACGACTAACTCGACCATGGTCGAGTTCGCCGGAAAACGACTAACTCGACCATGGTTGAGTTCGCCGGAAAACGACTAACTCGACCATGGTCGAGTTCGCCGGAAAATTTCAGGACATTTCTCCTTTGCTTCATCCCCTCGCATTTGCCGTGTTACACCAAACTTTCTAGCTTCATAACTAACTGCTATGATTCTGGGCAAACACATATAAATACAATCAAATATTGTCATTCATATTGCTAACTACCTATAGCTTTCTAGTTTAATAATTACCCTCCACCTTTCCACTCATTATACTGAACAACTGCACAAGGTTTCCCAAGCAAAGACGGGTTCAAACGTTGCTCAACTTGTACGTAAAAACAATCCATGTCTACCAAAGCAAC